TAAGAGATGATATCAATCAGTATTTATCGAAATAGAGCCTCACTTCAAGTTTTGGCTTGACTTTTCTATCATTTTGAACTTTGAAATTTTTTTAAAAATATTCCACCTCCAGCGACAAACTGACTCTCCAACATAGGAGCTGATTCATTCAACAGGTACATCACTGTTCATGTCACAAACAATACAAATACTCTACAAATCTCTCACACACACAACGCTCTACGTTTAATTATCAGGAGAGGATCATGTCAAGCAACATCACCCTCACGGTCATATTCAGCGGCTAGGAGTACCACATTTCCGCGTCAGGAGTCAGTCATCAGCACACAACCATAATATTAGTGTTCTACATGGTGAGTAACACTTCATATATCAATTTGAGATACAGCTGATCAGTATTTATTGAAAAAGAGCTATATTTCATATTTTCGCTGGACCTCTCTATCATTTTGAACTTGGAATTTTTGAGTCCAAAATATTTTTAAAAAAAATTTCCAAGTCCTCAAAAACCTTGTGTTCCAATTTCATTGCTTCTCTCTGGTTTTACAGTTTGAAACACCAGTCCGATAATAAATAATCATCCTCTCTTCATTTACAACATTAAAATTTTTTTTGGGCCAATTTACCTTCAAAATTCAGAGTGAAATAACTCAACAACCACTTCACATCTCTTAGAAATTTCAACACCATTAGAAAGCAAATGAAAATTAGCCTAGGATTTGAGTATATCTCGTCCTCAGCAGTTAACTTCGGACCGTGGACAGGACTTATTGAACAAAAAAAAGAGTAGGTGGAGCCAAACCCATAAACCATTCATGTAATCATACTTAAAAACATATTGATTATTGATACTTGATCTGTTCCAAGACAGCAATCATCTTCTCAACACGACCAGTAACCTTGTTTTTAAGTTTGGTCATTGCTCTGAATTTTGGCTTCATGAGAGAAAACACACGTAAATCCTTTTTTAAAATGTCATCAACTCCGTTTTGCTTAATTCATTGTTGTAGTTAATTGTATATTTCTAAACGTTTCTCAATTGATGGCCTTTGAAATAATCGATTTAAATAAAAGAAACAGTTTGTAACACAACCGATCCTACCTACTCATCGTACTCATAAATCTGTTAGAATAATTGAATGTTTGCTTTGGCTGCAGATTTTTATAAGACCCTTATCCTCGCATTTCTCGCATTTCGCTTTCCAGCTTCTCTCGCGATTTCGGTTCACAAGACAGCACTCCACGGAGTGTTTCACTACTCTCAAACAGCATTGTGAAGCCCGGTTCCTTGTTGTTACGGTTAGTACCATTTATATAATTTTGAAACTCTATCATTTACTTGATCACGAAATTGATTGGTCCAATTGGTGGTTTTTAAACTGAGATTCAACACACCAAGCGATGCTCCTCACAAAAAAATTGAAACTTCAACCTTAATACTCTCACGAAATAACACCGCCTCGTCATCACCATGAAGTGCTCTAGTGCTACTTTGAAGAGACTGCTCATGAACAACACCTCTGTTGCATTCAATCTCTCCAAACGTATGTTGCCTAAATCCTTGATCGTTGGAACCTCGTTCCCTTTTAAGTGTGGTGCCATGTCTTGTTCTTGGAACCAGCCACATCCATCATTAAGCCCTCGTTCAAGCATTTCTGGACAGCCACTTCAATTTCGCTGTTACGTTGATGCTTATTCCTATGCCAGGGAGCAAGGACTTTGTGCACTTCCCCCTCTTGAAAATGGCGATGAAAGAATGACTCTTGTTTTGGATTTAGACGAAACATTAACCACAGTTGAGGCAGACAACAGTATTGATTATCAGAGTTTAGGTATGGAAAGTTTTACCATTCCAAGTGGATATTTGGTTGTGAAACGTCCTGGGTTGGATAAATTTTTAGTGGACATGTCCAAATTGTTCGAAATCGTTTTATTGACAGCAAGTGTGGACCATTATGCGGACTCGATTTTGGAATGTTTACCAGATGTTTTCAGTCATCGCCTCTATAGACATCACCTTTTTGAAACAAAGAAGGTTTCTGAATTGAATCGAGATTTGAAAAAGGTTATCTTCTTGGATAATAATACTGGCTATTTACGTGATAACTTTGATAACATGATGTGCGTGAAAGGATTTTCAGCAATGTATAAAGAGTGCGCCAAAGATACTGAACTGGAAAAGATGGCTGACGTTCTGAAGAGAATTGTTGAATCAGGGAAGGTCCACGAGGAAGTTAAAACATGGAACAAATTATTTGCTGAAACAAATAGACCCTTATTCGAAAAGGAAATGCTTGAACAATTAGGAGTACAGTGAGACAACTTCATGTCTTTAAACAATTGAATCTAAATTTCAATGACATACAGTCTTTTGTTTGAAGATTTGGCTTAAAATCATGACTTGTTCTTGTCGAAATTGTGTTCGTTGCGGTGATTGGTAACAGGCAATCAAAAAAATTCATCGTTTCTTCGCATATTGACTTTGCAGCATCGTTTTGATTGACACCAATTTATTAAAAGTTCAAGTCATTCCCAAATAGTTTACACGAGTTGATGAGAAGGCAAATTGGTTGGGCTAATCTCGCATGGTGTAGTATTTGGAGTGACGTATGCGTTGGTTGTAAACTTCAATGGAGCCAATTCCACCCCATCAATATAATTCTCAAAGACCAATTCCACCGTTGCTGCAGTATATCCATTGCTTGGATTTCTAACCAACACTTGCCATTCGAAAGGTTTAACTTCACTCAAAACAGTTGAGGTCCAGACATTGGCGCCGATCGTTGTGGTTCTAAAATCACGTCCATTTGGATTGGTAGCTTGCCATAAACTCACACGAGTTGGTTTCTTTCCATTCTTCACACGGACGTTGATAATCACACCTTCAGAGACCCATTCACGTGTGAATGTGTATTTTGGTAAAGCAATGTTGTTCAAACGAGCATATTGATAAGTGAGAAGAACCTCCATGACATCAGAACCGCTCATGGAGTGGCCACTATTTGGTACATAACGAACATACTTTTCACCTTTCACTTGTCGATAGGAAAGATCATTGAGATCTCTTGGGTTTGTTATTAAGGACATTGTTGTTAAGAAAGAGCAACAAGACGCAAAAAAACTTACGGGGCAAAGAATTCATCACCCATAGCCATCACTTGATACTTGGGAATGGATTTCAATCTTCGATAATTGAGCGGATCCACAATATCTGTCAAACTCTCAAATTGTGGTTTGTAAAGATAATCCGTCACTCCATTGGTAACATAGTCATAGAATGCCCAAGGCCATGCACACAAGTTGTTATAAGTATGTTCAATAAACTTGGCAGTACCAAAGGTTGGAATGACGAGTGGAATGATCGACTTGACACGATGATCCACACCTCCTAATAAGATGGTTGTCCATCTTTGATTAATTTATACAAATATAGCAAGGTAATGAAACAACAAAAGTGTCAACCCTAAATTTCATGTGACATTAATTTCAACTTACCCTCTCTTGGAAGCACCGCTCACAGCAAAGGACTCCAATTGATAATTCAACGTTTGTTGTACGAATTGCACCACTGCATCCATTGCCAATTTCGATGCCTTCACCATTGGCAATTGAGTCACATACAACAAATTACTGGAAGTATTATTCATAAACTTTTCCCATCCATAGCCAATGATTGCATCTTCACGACGAACGAGATGAGCTGGATCTGAATTATAAGTCATGACTTGATTAGGAATCATGAATAAATTTGCTGCAATGCTTTTAGTGGTCGAAGCAAGTTTTGAAGAATAGGCCACAATGTTGGGTGGAGAGGAATTGGCTTCAGAAATTCCTGGAGCAGGGAGACCGACATCGCCATTGGTAATGAAGAAGAAACCTTGAGAGTTGGCTCGATTCAAATTATTTGGGATGGCTACAGTTACGTAATGATACCAAATATGGGTAGAACCAATTTCTGATTCTGGCAACCAAGCAACAGAGGTAACATTCAATGTATAGACAGTGGCATTGGCACCGACAGCAGTGTCAACGAGCTTATAGGAAAAGACACTGCTTGGTGAGTGAACGTAATTGTAGAGTGCGTCTCTAAAATTTGAAGTGGTGCTGTCAGTTGCCAAAACAACAGTCATGGCACAGCAAGCCAAGAGGACAGCAACAATCAAAGTTTGAATACTCTTCATGTTGATGACGGGTGTGTGTTATTATTATTTTTTTATGATAAGATTTAACAGGGTGAATGCTTATCACTTTACATTAGAAGGTAAGTTTTGACATCCGATACGAATTTACGAGACAATTTCGTACACAAGCACGATTCAATTGTGCGCCTCCTCTTCCACCTTTAACCGTGGATAGACTAATGCTTTTAACTACTTCCTTTTCTTGTGTACGCACGCATTGAACAATTTAAATTGTGTTCTCTTATTAATACCTCCAACAAATTGTTCACAATATTAAAGTTAGAAAATTTAAAGAGCCCGTGAGATGAAAGGGAACATGTAATGAAAAAGTATTGAATACCAGCGTGCACCTTTTTGGTGTCTTGTTCCAGTGTGTTCACAATCAAATTCGAATTGTAATACTGTTTTCTTTTTTGGTTTATGGTTTTAAGCATTCAAATTTTCATTCACAGTGAACAATGGCCGATTACGACAAGAAATGTACAATTTTTATTGAGAAGGTCATCCACTCTCACCAGAGAGTTTGTTTCCACACCAATGACTGGCTCTCAATTCTCAATATATTATACACAATCATGACCGTCAGTACAAGAGATATTTTAACTATTACTGCGCACATTCTACACGTTATTCTCATCATTGATGGTAATTTCCTGCATTTCTACATGTTGCAACGAAGGAGTTGCTGGAGATGGTTCTTCCTTAATCATTTCCAATTCTGATTTCTTTTCATAATTTTCCTCAACCATCGTCATGACATCTTTTTCAGTAATTTCATTACTTGTGGTGGTTGTATCACCATTCGAACCACTAGTGTTATTGCAATTATTTTGATTCGAATTCACAGGAATGTTCGCACAATGCACAATACTTTGTCGACGACCGTTCGTACATGTATTCAACACATAATTTCGAGCATCCTTGTCACTTTGATCATTCCACAATGGAATGTATAACAACATGACAAACACAGCAAAGACTAAAACTCCCAGTGCTTGCAACAAGTAATCCAACACGTGTAAATAATTTGCATAGTTACTCGTAAAGAATGAAACAATGGCTGAAACAATTTGTAAAAACGAGCTCAATAACATTCCTAACATGAGTCCACAAATTTTGGTAAAGGGTTTTGTCATGAATTTTGAAGATTCCTTGTCACGTGCTGCAGAGACATTGCGTGACGTTTTTCTCACGTACCATAAGAGTCGAAGACTAATGACACAAAATACTGTTAAATTCATTAAGGAAAGAACGCAATAAATGACGAGAAGAATGATTTGGACAGGAACGACTACGGAACTATTGAGAAGTGTCATTCTTGCCAAAAGGTTCATGATGGCATTGAGAATGACGAGAATGGCCATGACACCACTACAGATCATGTTGATGGAGAAGAGAGACCATCGGAGGAGAGCGTAATACTTTTTAGAGATGGTTCCTGCAGCTGTTGCTGTGGTTAAACTGTAAGTATCAATTATTAACATCATATCAGTGTTTTGAGTAGTGTTTGTTTTTAGAAATTTGAAAGTTTGAATTTGTGTTCAAATTTTCAATGAACAACCCGTCGCGTGTGTGTGTGTGTTCAAATTCAAAACGATTCAATTGAATTCATGATTGGACACTACTTACAACATATCTTGAAGAAATCCAGTAATAACTGTGATGTTCACAATCGCAAAGAAAGCCAAAGCATTTTCCATCACTGAAAAGACCCACTCGACAATCATGTAATCCAACAAATTTGGAAATCTCCTCCAATCGTATCCATTCATATATTCTGCTGTGCTGTTGTACACCACTCGCAACACGAGAGCAACAATTTCAGTGACTACCAAAACACCAGTCAAGAAAAAGAGAATCTTTTGCTTGAATTTCATTTCATGACGAGCTCGAATGTAAAAACTCAATAAAATTCCCATCAGTGAAGAAAGAGCCACAATGAAAATGGCTGAATTACATAGAGCGCCAATATTCTCTGCTGTGGATGGTATTGAACTTTGTGTTACATTGATGGATCTTAACAAGAGGGATCGAGTTGTTGTTGTTGAGAAGGTGTGAAAATTTGTAGTTTCTGACAATGACGAAGAGTGGTGTGAAAACAACATGTGATGACTTTGGGTATTCAACACTCGACTCTAGTAAAGCTTGTTGGAATGACAACTGTTTTTTTTTTGTGTTGTTCTCTCGTACTGTTTGGTGGCGTCCAGTGAGTGAGTTTCAAACATCATGAGACCAACAGGTGCCACACAACGGCAACTCATACGAGTATGGTATATACTTGTGGTAGTAGTGTAGCGGAAGATTACGGACCACCATATGTTTTCTAAAAATCGATTCACACCTTTTGAAAATATTTTTTGTCCTTTTTTGTCAGTCGCGCACCAAACCTTTCCAATCCGTACGCACTTGTTGGAAAGAGGCAAGTTTTGGCCATGAAGCAGCAACATTGTGAACGTCTGAAAAAAGTAGATGACATCTTGGATCAGAAAGTGCTGTATATTTCAGCTTATAAAAAATCACTCTAAAAAATCGTTAATTAAGGATGGAAATCATTTGTTGAATTTTCTGAGAGATGGTCACAAAATCTGGTCTCTCACTAGCTCTTAAACTCCAACAAGCTCGAGTTAAATCCATATAGGCCTCTGTTACCCGCACTAATTTTTCCAATGATTGTTCTTGTTGAGTCTCATTGGGCAATATGAATTCCTTAATCCAAACTTGTTCTTCCTCACGATTACTGAAGGGAATTTCAGGTCGAATACCATTCATGACCATGGTTGGAACTTGGAAGGGAATGTGCGATTCTTGAAGTTTTGGAGATCCTGTTAAATCTTGTGCTTTGAATCGAGAGAGTTTGGATGAATTGGTTTCCATAAATGGAACTTGTTCAAAATATAATTCCCACAAAATGATACCAAATGCATAGACGTCAATCGCTGCATTCATTCCTTCCTGAACACCTCCTGACAATATTTCAGGTGCCATATAGAATAATGTTCCAATATTAGTTGTCATGGTTCCATTCATTGTTCCAATGACTTTACTCAAACTGTGTGTGGTGCAATGATGTGTGAACATAATATAATTCATGAATATAATTCAACAAAAATTCCAAAGTAAATAACACAAATATACCCATTCCATTCCATGTCCTTGCATTCACACAATCGAAACTTACCCAAAATCACACACTTTAGGTGTTAAATTATTGTCCAGCAAAATATTTCCTGGTTTCAAATCACGATGCACTATCATGTTTGGTTTCAATGAGTGCAAATAGGCCATTCCATTCGAAATTCCCAACAAGATGGAAAGCTTTTTCGAGAGTGCCAATTTTTCCTTTCCAACTTTACATTGATAAATTAATTTATCCAAACTTCCTCTTGGTAAATATTCCACTACCATGAATTTTCCAGTGTCAGTCATGCTCACTCCATAAAAGTTCACAATATTGGGATGTCTTAATGAGCTCAATAATGAAGCTTCTCTTTCAAACTCTTCACTTTCTCCCTGTAATTCTGAAAAATCTAATTTCAGACTCTTCACAGCAACTTCTGTACCGTTCCAATTTGCGAGATAGACCATACCGTTCGAACCTTCTCCAATCTTTTTAACAATATCCAAATTTTCAATTGGAATAATGTACTTTTCTTGATCATGCAAGGATTGTCGAGTACTCGCTACAGATTTCGAGCTTTGAGCATGAGCAGGCGGAGTGGTCGTAGATCCAGTGAAAATAAATTTCTTATCAATTAATGTCTTTTCTAATTTCATTTCAGCTTTCTCCTTCTTTTCTAGCTTTTTCAACTTTTTCACAATGATATAAACTCCATACAAGACGGCAATGCCAAATGCAATTCCAACGATGAAGAGTAAGACTCCTCCAATTAACACTACGGGTAACACAACGGAATAGGGAAATCCAGGAGGATTTTTAGTACAAATCATGGCATTTCCATTCGAGCTTACGGGTTGAAGAGAATAATCTTGATTGCATGGTACGATTTGAACTGGAATGGAAAAGAATGTGTCACTGCTCAGTGTCAAATTTAAAGTCGTATTCGATAGGAAATCAATTGAGGAATACACAGAAAGGTATAATCCATGAAGGGTTAAATAATCTGTAGAGAGTGAATCGACGGTGACTGTCATGTTACTTCCAACGCTGACTCCCATAGGAAATTCAATGGATTTGATCGCTTGATTATTCTTGTCCTTAATTTTCACAGTAATATCTACTGGTTGACCTGGATACAACGACAGTGAGGTTGGCATTTCCGTCGCAGCTTGTCCTTCTTGATACTTGACAGAAAACTGAAATTGTGTTCCGTCAATGGGTGTTGCAATGTTGTGTCCATAAGATATTGCTGAATTCAAACCTGATAACGAGGTTGACACTGATTGTAAGAGTGTGGGATGCGTGGTGCTTTGAGCAAATAGGCAACCACCTGAATATGAGGCAATGTTATTGCTACAAGCAGAATTCATCATGTAATTGGAGGTGAGAGAAGACAAGTACAATGCTCCTCCTCGGTTAGCCATATTATTTTGAAGAGTGCTGCTTTGAAGAGACAAGAAAGTGGTGTCTTTCACATAGATGGCTCCTCCATTTTGAGTTGCTGAATTTCCTGTAAATTGACAATTTGAAATTGCTACTTTTTCTTGTTGCAAATAGAGAGCTCCTCCGTAATTAGCAGAATTCTTGGTGAATTGACAATTCGAAATGGTGAGATTTCCAAAAGTCATTCCAATCAAAATGGCACCTCCATTTTGTCCCTTGTTGCCATTAAATGTGCAATTACTAAATGTCACTGATGATAATTTGAAATATCCAACCATATGTTCGATTTGAACGGCTCCACCTCCCGTGTTTTGTTGAAAAATCGAGTTTTGAAAATTCACAAGGGAAGCTTGATAAATTGACATCAATAGAAGGTCTCTATTATTGATAAAAGTAGAATTTGCAATGGTAAGGCTGTAAGAACCGGTGAGTTGAATCAATGCCTTATTGCTGAGATTGGTTTGATAGTTACCAGAAAAAGTACTATTTCCAATGATGACACTTCGCACAGAAACAATTTTGAAATCCAAATTACTTTTCTCAAATAAAGTTCTTCGAATCGTCATTGAGTCTCCAAATGATATCAGTGTTTGTTTGGTGGTGAAAAAATTGCATTCATGCAGCAATAAACTTTGAAATTGAGTGAAAATTGCTAAATTATCATTGAATGTGGTCGATAAAAACGTCATTGTTGAAAACTTTAAAATCAGGTCAACATTTTCAATGGACGATTCGGAAATGCTCAGTGATTTCGAAATGACATCCACAACCATACTACTATTAGTTATTTTACATTCTCGAAAGCTTATTGCATCATTGACATTGGAGATGAACCAATAACAATTGTAAAAATTCGAATCATATATCATGGTTGTTTGTTTTTCGTTCATCTTGTAAATTGCAGAGCCACTAAGGTTGCAATGATTCATTGACGAAATAATCATTTGTTCCTTGAAAATTGTGTTCTTTACATCGAACGAATCAAACTGATTGGTGATGTTCAAAGAGGCAGGAGCATTAGAAAAACTAAAAAATTCACTTCCCTGACAGTCCAACAAAACTTTGGACGTGTCAGGTTTTGATCCAAGCCATATGAATACAAAAGTTGCAAATTTTGCCGAATTAGGATTCGTAAACTTGAAATTACACATTTCTGTAGGAATGTCACTCATTACATTGATGGTCAACTGAATTGCGTATTTAAAATTGATGGGAAGCGAGGGCAATTGTTCATCGATGGCTTGAATTTGTTGTTGGATGGAGTAACACGGATATGAACTGTTAGTTCCACACGAAGAGGCACTCGTTGTATTTTCTAGAGAGGAATTTAAAATTAAATAGGTGCTGTATTGATATTCTTGAAGAACGACAGCTGCATGTACATGTTGTTGAAAGAACCATGTCGATACAATTATCGTTATTGAGAAGAAAACTTGGAGTAGAGATGTGTTCAAGCTTTTCATTTTCGGAAAGAGAGAGAAGGACAGTTTGTGGAGTTTGTTGGAAGGAGTGGATGGTGCAACGCGTGTTGTTGCAGTCATGACCTATGGATGGACACAGCAGCGTTTTTTTCTGAGATGCAAAGTATCCGTGGTCTTTGAGGAGGAGACCAAAAAATATGGTGTGATGTCACTTGTCAAAGAGTTTGTCCTAAGGAGTTCATACAAATGAAGTACTTGCTGCCAACTAATCAACTCGCGTAAATGACAGTAACAGCAAACGCCAGTTGATCATGTTTAAAACGTCATTATCTCCATTACAATGCCACTTTATTGAATTTCTCTCAACTTCAACTTGCCATTCCAATCATAATGGAATAAGTTGTAGTCGATCATCGGCTGTAGTAAGGTTGGTCAATCAACAATTCATCTCAAAAATACTATTTAACAAAAAAGAACCATGTTCACATGAAAATGCTAGTAAAATGTATTTGCACAAAGAACATTCACTTAATTCACTGACTATGCATGGTATGTTTGTCAAAATGTCGATGTCTTGGATATTTCCAAAGAGGATGTCCCTCTCCTTCTACTTTCTGAACATGATCTTCAAATTCTTTTCCTACTTCTTTGAAAACATTCACAATATGCTTCACGACATAATCTCGAATAATTTCTTCGGTACAAAATGGACTCATTGGAAAGGCCTTAATGGCTGACAATAAATGTCCATGTTTGTTTTTACGAAAACATCGAGTGTAGGAGAGAGCTGGTCCATCTTGTTCGATTCGTTTCAAATGAAGAACATTTGCAATATGTTTTTGATATTCATTGCTTCTGTTGACCACATTGGGATCGCTCTCTTCAAATTCTTTAGCATATTGTTCTTGGGCATTGATTCCTTCTGGATAGACTCTAAAGAGTGTTACAAATCCATTGTCCAAGTCATTCACAATACAAATATTCTCAAATTCAGAGAGAGCCGTCCGCAACGCGTGTTGTACTTTCACTAAATGAGCAATCATGGACTGATAACCCTCAATTCCAAACAATAACAAGGTGCTGTATGCAGATAAAGACATGGCAGGTCTCGAACATTCCAGTGTGTAGCATCCAGGTTTGTAAACGGAGAAATTGTACAAGTAATGCATGACATCTTTGGGACGAGAGAGATTATCCTCAAATTCTTTGCCATTCTGGAAGAGGACACACGAACAAACGTAGTGAGAGAATCCAGTCTTGTGGAAATCAATTCCAATTCCATCGGCTAATTTCAGGAATTGAATTCGTTCAAACACGCTCTTGATAGCAGGAAGAACATATTGAGTGTCAATTTGGAGAGGATTCTTCTCAAAATCGTAATAACGGAAAAAGAGCCATGGCCATCCAATCACAGAGTCGCAATAAACGAAGGGTTTGTAATCGAGTTGATATTCCTGAACAATCTTGTCACGAATTTGAACAATGCTTTGAACATCATCGACACCAAATGGGTCTGTTGATCCACATGTGGCAATAATGCAAGCAATCTTTTCCCCATTACGAGCAGAATCACAAAGTTTCTTGTAGAGATCGTCCTTATTCATGGAATTGTCATCATTGATTTGAACTCCAATGACATTGTCCATTCCAATGCCCATCCAATCGGTCGTGTTGAATTTACAATAGTGGCCAATCTCTGAAACAAACACTTTGACCTTGTCACTGTCTCGAATACCTTTGAAACGATATTGCGTTCCGAGGCATCTTGTCAATGCAACTTTAAGAGCGTACTAGGTTTAGGAATTTTAAAACAAAGTGTTGATCGTGCACACATGAACAGTTCGATAATTAAGCTACACACATAAAACAAAATTTTCACTTACCATTTCATTTCCTGTTCCACCAAAGGTAAATACTCCATTCGCTGTTTGTGGATCCCAACCCACCAATTTTGTCAACATTCCCAACGATTCAATCTCAGTCAATGCGACATTCCAAGCATATTCATCTTGCACGATAGCCACATTATACAATGAACCAAAGAATGAACTGATCAATGCTGGAATATTGGAAGGAGGATTGACATTTTCCAACATGATTGGTGAAGCTAGATCCATCACACCATGAAAGTATTCTGAAACTTTGGAAATGACTTGTTTAGGTGAAGAAGGATGAAGTGGAAGTTCTGCTTTCGCTCTATACTTGACAATATCTTCTTCCGTATTCAGAATTCTTTCAGCGTTACCAATGTAGGAACTGTGGGGATTATCTGTATGTTTCAATTTCAAGATCTCATCCAGAGAATGTTTGACCAATTCCTCAAAGTTGTGATCTCGTTTCTCATCGAGAATGGGAGAAGGATACGCTGGTTGAATTTGTTCCTCAACAATCTTTTGAAAGAGTGGTACACGAGTTTTGGTTTTTGAGGGAATGTGTTGTTTCTGTTTGGACTTTTCTGAAGGTCCTCCACCCAAGGAAGAAGACTTTTGTTTGGCTACCTTTTTGAGTTCTACCATATTCTGTACGAAATGGTTGTTATGATTGAGTGTGTCAGATCTGATTGAAAAGATGTTTGGCCGTGAAACAAGGAAATTCAAATTACAAAGATCTCCCCACGTGGTTTTTTAAAATTTGAATAATAAATTATTATTGAGAAACCAATAGTTTCAATACCATCTTGGATTTCGGAAAAGGAAGCTACACATAATCGAGTAATTTCCTTCAAAGAGTATTCAACAAATTTGATCTGGAGTTCATGAAAATGTTATAAACAGTGCAATGAATAATCGTGGTTGTTTTGAAAATTCCAAAGCTATCATGCTGTTATCCAATTTCATTTGAACCGTGTGTTATCGCACGCCATGATCTTCTAATTGACTCTGTGATGGTCAGGATTCAATCAAAAACGTGATTCGGGTTTTGCAATTTTTTGAAATAGAAAAAAATGCAAAGACTTTGCAAGCCTTTCCTTTCTCAATCCTCGTCTCGTTGCAAAACATGGATCACTCGTAAAGGCTCATCATCATCACCTTCCATTCTTACCCACAATAACAATAACAACAAACTTGGTGCTTTGAACAACGAATGCGGTTGTCAACATTCCTATTCAACCACAACAAGTCAATCCGTTGCAAGTGTTGCTGTGGTGAATGAAGAAGCAGATACATTTTCATCAACAGCTTCACAACCATCGGAATTGATACAGGAAGAATTACAACAAACAGAAGTACCACTCACACCTGCAGATATGGCCACTTCCGAGCAAGCAGCTTTGGAGGCTATGGAGAGAAAATTCTACGTATTGCCTTCAATTTTTGAACAATATGGTACTCCGAGACCACCCACTATTTCTCTCATTCATCAATATTCGGATGGAAAGGCTACCTTTGACTATCCACCACAAGATGCCAATGATCAAGCAATTTCACTAACTGCACAAATTCCCAATATTGACAAGACATATCCTAATCCTAACTTGGCCCAATACTATGCACAACATAATGCACAACTTCAACTCCGAACCTTAAAAGATAATATTGTGGATTCACAACCATATTATCGTCTTTCTAGTTTTAATTATAGTGCACTAAGATATAGTTTACTCCGATCGGGATTTAAGAGATTGGGAAAGGATGTTCCTGTGGTTGAGAGAGGATTTATGAGTGCCAATGAAGAGGAACAGGAGAGACGTTTCGAAAGTTTCATCAAGGAACCATTTTCAATTTTCTGGGGACGTCACTTACCTGCTCACTTTTACCAACACTTGAATGCATTTCAAAGAGTGAATCATTTTCCAGGATCAACAAATTTGGGTCGAAAAGATTTACTCTTCATTAATCTCTTCAGACAACAGCAATTGATGGGTGGATCTGAATACGACTTCTTCCCTGATAGTTTCTTGTTGCCATACGATTACAATGTTTTTGAACAGAGATGTAAGGAACAAGAGCTCTTCATTCTCAAACCATTCGCTAGTAGCTGTGGAAGAGGTATTAGTGTTTATAATACAAAAAAACATGCTCCAATTCCACAAGATAAACGTATCCTCGCTCAGGAATACATTGCGAATCCATTGTTGATTGGTGGAAAGAAATTTGACATGAGACTCTATGTTCTTGTTTCCTCCTATGATCCACTTCGTGTTTATTTGCATCATGACGGATTGGCACGTTTCGCAACCGAAGAATACGACATGGAAAAATTAGATAGCGTCTTTTCACATTTAACCAATTATTCACTCAATAAGAAGTCAGAGGCATATGTGAGAAATAACGAAGAGGGCGAGTCCGAAGAAGATGGATGGAATGAACATGCTCATAAATGGAGCATTCCATCTCTCAAGACTTACCTCAAGAGAAACGGCTTCCCAGTCGAGAAGATTTGGGGAGATGTTGAATCCCTCATTGTCAAGACATTAATTTCTGTAGAAGGACGAATTCGTCAAACGTGTGACAAGGTCAAATTACCATCCACAAAGAACTGCTTTGAAATTTATGGTTTTGACGTCATGATTGACAATGATTTGAAACCATGGCTAATTGAGGTCAATATTATGCCCTCTCTGGGAGTGTCATCTGTGCTCGATAAGCGGGTAAAGGTCGATGTGTTGAGTGAGTCATTCCACATCATTGGTATGGTTCCTCACTCGCGTTCCAATTACGAACAAGAAAAACAGAGCAAACTTCGTTATTATGGAGAGTCTGTGAGCGCTCAAGAAAAGTACATTCTCCACGATAGTGAAGATGAATTATCGAGATTACACAACTTTAAGCGAATTTATCCACCTGTGGATGGCAATCCTGGCCGATACGAACACTTGTTTGCTGAACATGTACCATCCAACAAGATTTTGATCGATTTTGAAAAAGAAAAGCTTAATCATAGTATTGAATCTCTTCACAAACTCATTGCATAAACATGATTTTCTCGTAAACTACTAAACAAGATGAATTCACCTCAAACAACATTGTGGCCAATCGCAATCATGATCTTGGAGTTGAAGTATTGTTTGCCCGCCAAAAGTTTTACATTTTTTAAAATTAAAAAAAACAAACTGCATCCTCTTTCAAATACATTTTCCTTGACCAATTGAAATTGAATATCGGATTTGATTATATAGGCCAATTTTCAAAAGAAACAATGTCAGACAATGAGGACCCACAAAGTCCACTGCTTGTGCATCAACAATCGAACAATAATATTATCAATGATACATCTTTCGAACCAGGATCCCCACAATTAAATGTTGACAAGAAAGAAGAAGAGAATGCTGCACTGGAAATATTCGAAGGCACTCGTCTCAAATTTTTGTAAGTTTCCATGAAACACGTATCGTTTAGCTAACAACAGATCGTCTTATCGGAATTTTCTTTGATGAAAAAATATGAATCACTTCATCACAACCAACCAACAACAGCCACACACTCGGATTTCGAAATATACCACAAGCCATTCAACATTTGGAAAATGAAGAGGAAATTGTGTATCTCGTCGGAAAACATGTTTCAATATTTAATTACGAAAAACGAACACATACATTTATTTTGAAAAGTGGCAATGTTTTGGAAATTCACGCATTTGCCATATCCTACAACCGAAAATTTATTGCATTGAGTGAATCAATCAACTCTGCAGATTCAAAACGAAAGAGTCAACAAAATCTCAATCAAACCAAAGAAAGTACAACAGAGTATCAAATATCTGTTTACAACTTTCGAACTGCCAAACGAGCACGAGTACTCAATGTAGTGGGAACATCGGGCAAGCCTTCTCCAGTCATTTCAATGGCATTCTCGCGAGATGCCAAATATTTGACAGCAGTAACCGATGAACCAGATCAATCTATTTATTTATGGCATTTAGAAAAGTCAAACGTAAGTATGAATAGGAATCGAGAGTTGCAGCTTTCGAACACGTTAAATTTGAACTTGATTTGAATATACATGCACCATCCCACAGAAAGTATCAAGCAAAAAGATTCCATTCCGTGTGACTCAAATCACCATCAATCCTTACTCACACTGGCAAATGGCCACAACAGGTCCTGACGACATGAAAATTTGGCGTTTCACAGAAGGCGAATTAAAGCATATTGACCCAATTGGAAGTGACAAGTACACGTATCGATGTCACACATGGTTTGATGATGAAAAACTACTTGTAGGTACAGAGGAAGGTCAAATCCTTGTAATCGATGGAAAAAATGTGGTCAAGACATTTTCCAATGTTCATCCAAATGCTTCGGGAATTTTGTGTATTGAGGCCATTGATCGAGGTTTTGTATGTGCTGGTGAAAATGGCTACTTTTCAGTATTTGAAAGAACCTATGACTCTGAATATTTTAATCATTACAAACGTTTCAGAACATTAGAAAAACGAAAAATTGTTTCAATATGCGTCTCTAGGAAAGAAAATAACGTTATTTGCTGCTACGATGATAACAAATTTGCCTATTTTTCTTTAACAAATGTGGACATTTTAAAAGAGAATGACAATAATTTCACCTTATTACCGATTGGATTTCATGGTCAGCTCGTGCAGGGATTAGCAACCTGTGTACAAAAACCTCTAATGGTTACGTGCGGTTCAGATCGAACTCTTAGAATATGGAATTACATGAAGAGACAAGTTGAACTGGAGAAAACTTTTGACGAAGATATTTATTGTGTGACCATGGATCCAACAGGAACACGAATTTTGATAGGTTTTCGATACAAACTAAGCTGCTTTGCCATTCTTTCAAAAGACCTCTATTTATTACATGATTGGCATGTCAAGAGTTGTAAAATTGCCACCTTTTGCAATGGAGGACAATACTTTGCATGTGTATCTGCCACATCCATACTCATCATCTCTTCATTAACCTTCCAAGTTGTAAATACTTTGAGAGGACATTCTGGAATTATCAAATCGATTGTTTGGGGAAAGGATGACATTCATTTAGCATCAGCAAGTTTTGATGGAAGTATTTGTCAGTGGGATCTCGTTTCAGACAAGTTGCGAATTTTTGAAAATGTTGTCAAGACATGCAACTTTCGATGTGTTGCCTATGATCACAAAACGAATACCTGTAGTGCCGTGGGAAATGATGGAAATGTATGGACCTTTAGAAATGGATCACTCTACAGCCAAATACCGACACGAGAAGATTTAACTTCAATCATTTACAGCTCGCACTCTGAAGTTGCAGTCATTGGAACCACAAGTGGAAAATTATTACTGTATTCATGGCCTCCCGAAAAACCTGTAAACAACTCGGACAAGGCCCTTCTCGAATATGAAGTCCATAATGGTTCAGTGGTTTCACTCATGCTTACCAGTGATGAACGATTCCTTTTTAGTTTGGGTTCTGACGATACACTTTTCATGCTCGAATTGGACACTTGGAAAGAGGGAAAGCCATTGCAATTTAAGCATTTTGAATTTGACAAATTCTATGACTTGTATTATACATTGAAAGCAAGTGAGGAAGAAATTGAACAACAAATTGTCGACTTGACAGAAAGGTCAAAACAAGCTCATGATGACCATGAACGAAAATTTGAGCAATTAACCGAACAATACACTCAAGAAATGGAAAAACAGCGCATTCAATACACGAATGAAATTAAGGAACTCAAACGTGTCAATAACCAACTCGTGCAACAACTCACAGATCAAGACATTTCTTTTAAGGAAAACTTGAACAAGGTAGAATATACACACCAAGAAGAAATTGACAAGGAACGAATCACTGCCGAGTCCAACGTTGCTGAATGTAAAGCAAAATATGAAAAGGAAGTGGAAGGATTGAAAGAAAAATTGGCCTACTTTGTCGACTTGGTAAAAGTCATGACAGAAAAACATGAAGAGGAAATTGAAAAACTCAAACAAGAATACGAAGAAGAAAAACTTCAACTAGTAGAGACGTATGACAATTTGAGTCAAGATTTTAAACAACTTTCGAGTGTGTATCAATCAACCGTACAACAAGGAGAGGAAGATTTTGACACACAACTCAAACGAGTGAAAACATCTCTCATTCATACCATTGAAAAACACAAACAATCTGTGATTGAGGCCAAAGGTGAAGCTGTCAAAAAAGGAACCAAAGTTGAAGAACTCAAGAAGGAAATTGTTGCTCTCAAAAATAAGATTGCCAAACAAGAAGAGAAAATCCATCAATTAGAAAAGAAGCATGATGAATATCGTACCACCATAGATACTCTTCAGGTCGATAAGAAGAAACAAGAAGATGCAATTTTAATGCAAGAACGTGACAAGAAAGACCTCTTCCGTCAAGCCAAAGAATTAGAACAAATGAGATATGTTCTTACATTTAAGTTTAACAAACTCAAGAATGAAGTGTCACCAAAAGAGAATCTCATTTCTGAATTGAGAGAAGATTTGAAAAATATTGAAAAGGAACTCTTGCAAGCCAAGATTGAAAATGACAATTTGCAATCACAAATTGCTCAAAAGAATGAAAAAATTGAAGTCATTCAATCCGAATCTGTGAAACTGAAACAAACTGTCGATGACAAGACACGTGTACTCGTGTTATTAATTCAAGAATTGTCCAACTTGACAAGTAATGGAGATTCCAAACTCACCAATGTCCATCTCAAGAAAATTGTTTCTCGTTACAACACCATTCTCACGAAGGGAATTAAAGCAAATAATCAAGGAGAGAAATTACGAGACACGATTGAGGAATTTGAGAGACAACGAGGATTTTTGGAACAAACAATTTCAGGTATGAAGAGAACACTCTCCACACGTGAAGATCATTTGAAGGGTGATTTAGTTCGAAAGAATAATGAGAATTCTGTCCTTGTCGAAGAAATTAATCAATTACGAAAGGATCAAAAACAGTACAAACAACGAATTATTTCACTCGAATATCAATTGAAGAATGCATTACATTTCCAACAACAGCAACAGTTGCAACAACAAGGAAAGGAGTTTAATACTTCAACGGCAGCATCGACCATTTCATCAGCAAGATCGAGACGTGCAGGTAGTGCAACTTCGGTGCGCTCCTCTCTCAATAGAATTCGAACACCTGATACATACTTTGTGCCGATTAATAATGGTACTACAATTCCAGGTTCTGGATCATCATCGGATAATACCATTACTGGTCTCGACCGAAAGAAAGTTGCAGAGTTTGTGGATAGTTTGGAAAAGAATAACAAACGTTTCGAGCAACAGCAACAAGAAATTGACAAGCTCAAAAATTATGTTCAAAATTTGTTGGAAACAGAGGAAAATATTAACATGCAAGATATGATAGAAACCATACAGACACCGTCCGTGACACCAACCATGGTCATTGAGAGCAGATCGAGCTCTTCAACCACGAATGCTGCCAGTAGCACTCCAGCAACCACAACAAAATTGGCCCCCATTAAGCTCAACAAGAATGCATGAAGAAAATAGAGTGCTGTCTGTTTGAATTTCAAGGAAACGGAATTTCTTTGGATGGTACATTGAGTGACAAAACAAATTTGTTGAATGACTGAACAAAATAAGACCTTTTAATAATAGTAGGTATGATTAAATCAGTTAAGGTAACAATAAATCAGCCTCAAGCAATTCCTTTTCAAAACCAATTTTGATCGCTGTGCGTTTAGAAATTTTTGGTAAGCCCTCTGAGAAGCCCATGTCCTTGAGTGTGGAAATGGCTTTTTCAACAGCAGCCTTCTTTTCAAGTCCTGACTCGGCATATTTCGTCACACAGTTCAAGAGTAAATGATAACCATTTTCTTGCTGTACTTGAGCAACTCTGAGTGGCTTGATCACGAATTCATTGGCACTACCAGAAGGTACTGGAGATGAAGAAACATTGCTCAAATACTCTGGAACGTTTTCTGAGGAGGACGAAACGAGCACAATAGATTGTGAATTGCTCTTTCCAAAAGCACGTGAAATTCTTGCTTCATAAACTTGCTGTGTAGCTGGAGCGTCCAAGTGAATGACCAAATCTACATTTGGATTCATTGGAGATGCAATATTGCTACAGAAAGCAATGCCATTTTCTTGCTCGTTGAAATAGCTGAAAGAGGTCATCGCTCTTGTAGGGGAAATACGGCTGCTGATGAGAGAAGAAAATAGATTATTTTCAGCCATTAAATAGTGAGCGTGAATGACTTTTGCAGAGTCACTAAAGACTGCAACCTTCTTGTGCTTATTTTCTGATAAAATTTGATACAAGACCTTCAATTGCTCAGCAGTATTTTGTGTCTTGATGACTGATTGTTTCACGTTTTGCTTGGTGATGGTTTCTTCACTAGTGAGTACTTCAACATTTTCAGAATTTCTCAAAAATTTAGAAAAGGTACCCTCAGTATCATTGATGAAAATTCTCTTAGCATTTGGAGAAATATTTTCTGGAGTAAAGATTTGGTCCATCATGGAAGCCATTGGACCCTTAAACATGGAACAATCGTCAACAATCACAAGCTTGACATTACGGAAGTAATCCGAGTTCTTCAAATGATCTACAAGTCTTCCAGGTGTTGCAATAATAATCTCTGGCTCACTGGCATCGAGCATTGAAATTTCCTTTTCAAAACTTTTTCCTCCGCATGTAATTGCATATGACAGTCCATAGACATTTTCTCTACGAGTTTGTGAGTGTTCATACGCTTTATAATCATCGTATTCCTCAATAAGTTCGTGACCTTGTTTTCTAGAGGCATTTCTATTGTAGGTGTCAAAGGATGGCTTTTCAACGGAGGCATTTGGACGTTCGCTTTCTGGCAATGAATTAATGTATTGATCCACTTGTCGTCCAACTGCGAGAGCTGCCTCACGGGATGGAACAATAATCAAGGCACGAAAACCAGGTCGCTCCGTCCATCTCTCCTCACGAATTGCCTTTGTAACAACTTCAAAAGTTGGAATTAAGTATGAAAGAGTCTTTCCGGAATAGAGTGGTGCTTGGATGAGAATGTCCTTATCATTTTCAGATGATGAAACAACTTCCAAGGCTTTGTTTTGAAAAGATGTGAGAGAGGGAATTGCAAATGTTGAAGCAACTTTTCCAAGGTCTATTGTGGATGGAGTGTTGAGTGATGTTGAATATGATGATTGTGCCAATGACAAAGCCGAGGAAAAAACAAAATATAATGAATTTTGAAGATAATGTTATGGTGTTATATGAGTATGGAATTGCCATATCATAAAAGTATGATTTCAAGGTTTAAAGTACAATAAAATTCAATTCATCATCATTTGTTGTTATTTTCAAAGAAAATGACATTCCGTGTAAATAAAACTCTCACGTTGTATGATTTGAAAGTACTCAACCTACCAATTTGATAGAATCGTACCGAGGAATGAGTCTTCCACAAAGCAGAAGCATTGTGCAATGAACGGGAACATAATTTAGTGAAACTCTTCATTTTTTTCATTAACAACAAAATAATGATACGCTTTTGATGAAAATTATTAAATTATTGAGTGAGAACGACAAAGGTAGAGCTTTTTGAAAGAGCAATGTGATAGGTGGTTGGTGGGGAGTTTTGGTCATTAAATTTAATTTGCAGTTTCTTCATGGTCTCTCCCGAATTGCTGGACGTGAGAAGCCCGTTCACATCTTGAAGAATGAAATAGATGTGGGTAAGAAGCTCTGGTTGATTCTTGAGTATTCCTTCGCTCTGTGTTGTTGTTGTTTGCAACCCATCAATTACAAGACCATAGCCAATTTGTAACGGAAATATTCCCAAATCATCATCAAACGATTGAAAATTAAAAATGTAACTGTATCACTTCACATATCAAATCCAAACAAATACATACATGGATCACTGTTCCATTGGTATTATCAATGACTCCGTATCCCTTCTGTCCTTCAATCGCTTCTAGACTTTGTAAATTGAAAGAAGCCTTTGCTTGTAAATCTCGGGAAAGAAGACTCATTTTTCAATAAAACTGTCATCACACAACACGTTCAAAAAATGTCTTCGGTAGGTATCATGGATTTTTTGATTCCGTTTGTCTGTGGTGGCTAATAATCTCTTCTTGTGTTATATGAACAATAATACAACAACATAATCAATGTAAATGATCCGATATATATGTTTGTTTTGAATTGAACAATCAATTGGATGATGAATGTATGTTGATGATGATGATGGTGCTGATGGATGACTCGAATTAATCTCAACAAAACAACCATATGATCATTGAAACTTGCAAAATAATCAATACATTGTTTGAAAACAAACAATTAATATTTCGGAATCTTGTTCCGTGGATTATTTAAATGAATGTTTATTATTATTATTATGGGAACAAATTCAAAATAATATTACATACTTGGCCTATCATTATAAACCAAAAGGCCTTGGATACTCTAGTAAACCCTAAGCCTTTTCTCAACGAATCGATAGGAAAATCTGTTGTTGTCAAGCTCAAATGGGGTATGGAATATAAAGGACTTTTGAAATCTGTGGATCACTACATGAATTTACAATTAGCAAACAGTGAGGAATGGATTGATGGTTCATTCAGAGGAAACCTTGGAGATTTGTTAATCCGATGCAATAATGTCCTATACATTCGACAAGTTGATCCAGAAACTGAGGAAAAGGAATACAATGATCCTAAAGCAACATCTTCACTATTGAGACAGCAAGGCAATGGTGGAAACGTAACAGAACAACAAGACATGAAGGAATAATTTATTGAAATCCATTTTGTAAAATTTTCTCACTCACTCATTATTGTTCTCTTCCTCATTTTGCGTTTGTCTGATTAAAGTATCAACTCTCTTGGTTCAGTGATCATCGTCTTCACAAAACGGGCGAAGAATGAACCTCTTCCTAGTTCCTTCTTGCTGGTCTAGCGCAGTCAATTGTCAAACAACAAAAAAATTCGCTAACAGTAACCTTCCACAACCTGCATCCTCGGTGAAATCAATTTTTGCTTGTCAGTGATCAACAAGAGATTCAAAAAAACGAATGCCCTATAACGAAACAGAGATCAAGTGTGTCGTCGTGGGAGACGGTGCCGTAGGTACGTTCTTGCATTGTTCCATCCGTAATCTGTTTATACAAATTTCAAACTGTCAATTCTGTCCAACATTTATTATTGATCAATTTAAAACAATAGGAAAGACATGTCTGGTATGTTATCATCATACACACGCGCCATCTCATTGAATGATATCATCGATACTATTGATCACACACATAACAAAATATTTTACTTTACACATGATGATGATGACAAAAATGTGGCAATCATTCATCATCCATCACCAACCATTTGGAACTCATACAAATTTTCAATTCTCAACATCTTCAAACCTTCATATTCGATATATTCATTTGCATGTCACATTAGGTCAAAGTGTTTGTCGATAACAAATTCCCCGAAGGATATGTTCCAACTGTTTTTGAAAACACCTATCTCATTCAAGAATATAGAGGATTTAAAGTAAATCTTGGAATATGGGATACAGGTAAGTGTTGGAGAGTGCCAACATTGTAGAATTTAGTGATTTTGTGAAATGGTTCTAAAATGGATGCATCATTATCTTACTAATTTTGAATGATTCTATGGTTGTTGAACTCTTGCTGAAATGTTTGATAATTGTGGAACTCTTGTGAATGATAATTGTCATGATTCTTCTCAACAATAGCTGGACAAGAAGATTAGTATGTAATATGATACAATTATGATGATGATGATGACTCATTTCAAAAATCATCTTGATTTACTCCAATTTTTCACAATCTTTTTCAACAGCGGTAGGTCATTGACACAATTTATTGAAATTTACCATTCTTTGTACATTTTTATCAGATCGTCTGAGGCCACTTTCTTATCCAGGAGCTAATGTCATTATCATTTGTATAAGCGTTGTCGATCCAAAACCTTTTGAAAATGTCAGAACCAGATGGTTGCCAGAAGTCACACATCATTGTCCACATGTTCCCATTGTTTTGGCAGCTACAAAAACAGATCTTCGTGAAGATCAAGCTTCATTGAAACTTCTTCAACAACGAAATTGCAAACCTGTCACTTCTCAAGAAATTGAACAATTTGCCAAAGAAATTAAGGCATTCTCCTTTCAAGAATGTTCAAGTAAATTGAACAGCGGAATTAAGGAACTTTTTGAAAAGTGTATGCAAGCAGTATTATTTCCAAATGAAGGAAAAGAAGGATCTAAAAAACAAGAGGATTCAAAGAAGAAGAAGGATTGCTTAATGATGTAAACATGATAAATTCAAACAATTTGATTGTGCAATTCTCCTGTTGTGTTGTCCTCCTAAGAGGTCAAAGCTTAACTGTCACTTGCCAATCGCACTTGACCATCCAAAAATTACGAAAAAATGGCTCAACTCACTCATCCAACAACCTTTGAAGGTTTCCAAATCAAACGTGTCTGTATCGTTGGCGCTGGCTCCAGTGGTCTCTCCTCCATAAAGGCTCTTCTCGAATCCAATTTCACAATCAAACCAGAATCCGTTCCTTCCTATCCACATAATTTTCAAACTAACAATAATAACAACAATAACAACCACACGAATCCAAACTCTTCCGATCCATTCAAACCAAAAATTCTATTCGAACCCGTGTGTTACGAAGCAACCAATGACATTGGTGGTTTGTGGAAATTTTCACAACAAGAAAGTGAATTTTCATCTGTGTATAAATCGACAGTGATCAATACGAGTAAGGAAATGATGAGTTTTTCGGATTTTCCCATACCGGATGAGTTTCCTTCGTTTTTACCACATTACAAGATTATTGAGTATTTTAAAATGTATGCCGATCATTTCTCGTTGTGGAAATATATTCATTTGGAAACTCGAGTGGTGTCGATCACTAAAAAAGGAGAGAAATATCTTGTGAAGAGTGTGAAACATGTTAACAAGGATGACCATACACCATGTGAAAAGGTAGAAGAATTTGATTTTGTGATGGCCTGTACTGGACATCATTCCAAACCTCAAATTCCTCAATTCGAAGGTCTTAATGAACATTTCAAAGGTCATGTCATGCATTCACACGCCTACAAGGATCCATTCAAAGAAGAATTTCTCAACAAGAATGTTCTCGTTATTGGAATTGGAAACAGTGGAGGAGATATTGCAACAGAATTGGCCAAAAACGTTGCAAAAAGCGTCATTCTCTCCACTCGTTCAGGAACATGGATCATTCCAAGAGAATCTCTTTTTGGTTCTCCATTGGATCACGTTCCTCGTTATTTGTGGTTATTACCAACTGCTGTTTTACAACTAGTCATGGAAAGTACCATGAAATTATTTTACGGAAATATTGAAGGAGTGGCAAGAAATTTACAACCTCGTCATCACTTGTTGAGTTCTCATCCAACGATTAATAGTGAACTTGTTGGAAAGATTCGAACTGGAGCAATTTCTGTTCAAAGAAATGTTTCGAAATTTTTAAAGGATGGTCATTCAGTTGAATTTGAAGATGGAACCATTGTTCACAACGTTGACACTGTGATTTTGTGTACAGGTTACAAAATTGAATTCCCGTATTTGAATGAAATTTCTGAGGACTTGTCATTGTGTCAACGAGAGGACAATCAAGTTCATTTATACAAGTACATGTTCCATCCTTCACATAAATCCATCGCCTTCATTGGTCTAGTTCAACCATTGGGAGCAATCATGCCCATTTCAGAATTACAAGCAAGAATTGCCACTCGTGTATTCCGTGGAGACTGTCACTTGCCATCCGAAGCTGAAATGAACACAGACATTGAATTGAAAAAAAAGAATATGGAACAACGATATCTCAAATCTAAACGACATACCATTCAAGTCGATTACACACTCTACATGGATGAACTTGCAGAAATGATTCAAGTTCAACCTCGTTATTTAAATTATCTTTTCACACATCCAAGATTATTTGTGAAATTATTGAACTCTCCAGCATTTCCAGCCACGTATCGAATTGAAGATCAGTCTCCATTCATTGATCAAAAACAACGTCAAATGGAACGAGAACAAGCTATAGAAACTCTTCAAAAATTTTCCTATGATTTACTGTCTGAAAATTATCAACCCAATCCCAATGAAAGAAGTAATAAGAGAGAAAATTCGTTTGTCTTGGTAGTAGTGTTACAGGCCGTGTTTTTATTTTTCGTTTATTTGATTTATGTATTGAGAAGAAAATTGAACTAATCATTGACGAGAGAAGAGATTTATTAACCAACAATTTATTCATTTCCATGATCCCACAAACAGACTCTTTCAAGTAGAAGCAAGAAGGTTTTTGAAATTGTCGTCCTCAATCACACAAGAATACACAAACAACTGCAAATGAACACAAATCATCTCCTTAATTCTGGTTCATTTTTGAAAAACCAAAAAAAAAAATGATCAGTAAATTTTTTGGCTCTCCCGTTTCATCCGATGATTCCAGTAGTAGTGGCGGCAACGTGGGCCATGGAGAACCAAGTTCATCATCCTTCTCTCCCACAGCAGCAAGTGTCCGTAGTGAGATGAATAACAGTTTGATTCAAGTAGCATGTAATTGTCAGAATATTTTGATCGCTGGATGTGGTGGAGGATTTGATGTATATTCGGGACTACCGTTGTATTTTGATTTGAAAGCAATGAATAAGAATGTTTATTTGGCAAATTTGGCATTTACGGATTTGAGTAGTAGGTAGCAAGAGTCAGTCGTTGTGTTTTCTTGATTTGGGTATATCAATACTTCCAATTCATGAATGTACGAATCCCAGACCAGATGGGATTCATACATTCATGAATGATCTGATCATTAATTTCAACAATTGGAATTTATAATTTTCAATATTTCAACAAATTTCAATAGGGATGGATAACAAGACTGAGAGTATCCTACTTCCATCATATTCTTCGAAAAAAGTTCTCTATGCCGTTCATGCAGACTCCAATAATCATGATTTGGTCTATTTCCCTGAAAAGTATTTGTGTGAATTTTTAAAGCAGAATAGTTTTGATGAAAATCCAATCGTTTATACGTTTGATAGAAGTACTGGAGTGGTGGGAATAACTGAGGGTTACGAAATTATCATTCAAAGACATGGCATTGACTTGTTGATATTGGTCGATGGTGGAAATGATTCACTAATGAGAGGAAATGAGGAACAACTTGGATCTCCTCATGAAGATTGTAAGTGGTTGTTTATTTAAAATTCTCAACAAATATAATCATTTGGTGTCTCACGCGTGAAACGGTTGATTTCATTGGCACACACCAACGATGCCATCCCTCCCATATAGGTATGAGCATTGCAGGAGTATATGCAATTTCTGAAAATGTTCTTCCAATGGACAAAAGAATCATGACCTGTATTGGATTTGGTGTGGACCATTTTCATGGTGTACATTCCTCCCTATTTTTTGAAAACACGAGTAGTATCATTTCACAATACGATGGTGGATTCAAAGGAGCTTTTTCAGTGCTGAAAGAATGGAATTGTTTTGTATTATTCAAACAAGCATGTGATTATGCTTTTAAAAAGATGCCACACAATGCATCAATCGTGTCAAGTTCTATCATTGCTGCAATTGAGGGTCATTACGGTAATTATCATCCACCAGAAATTAAGGATCGAGTGAAATATTCAACATTGTACATTAACCCAATGATGGGAATGTATTGGGTTTATTCAGTGAAAGCCATTGCTAATCAATTGATGTATTTGAGTTTTATTAAGGATTCACAAAGTATGATGGAGGTGGCTGATGGGTTGCGAAAATACAGAAATTCTTTGAAAACATTTAGAAAGCCATCACCTTTTCCTCATTGAGGCGGGTTGTAAACACCCATCAAGGCTCAATAAAATACGAGTGGTTTCATGGTACAATATACAGATACACATTCAATTATCCTCCTTTTGGTTTCACAACCACTCTCAAACAAGTGTAAGCAAATACATGATACACTAAAATGAGAGCGAGACCCAACCCTAAATTAATCCAAGTGACAGACATGGCTGTGTCCATTTCCAAATTTTCTAAAACTGCATCTCCGTTAGGGAATGGGCAGAATGAGGACGAGCCACATTCCAACTGTAAGCCCTTAAATTCATTAATGACAAAGGATTCGAACACAAAATGGAAAATACTTGTCCAGTAAATCCATATGAAATAAACTGGAATGGTCGCCAAGTTCTTATAAAAACCACCAAATAACATGAGCTATGTGTGAAAAATCCAAGTCGATCGTCACATTAAGCATAGGTATTTGAGAAAACTCGAGAACCATTGTCAACTTACAATTGTTGCCACTACAGGCATGATGGCAAATGCCACCCCTGGATTTGGTGCAAAACTAGCAATGGCACATCCCAATGCTTGTCCTGTTAAGCTCATCACTACAATAATCAAAATAAACATAAAAAACCTCTCCACTGCAGCATTCAATCCCAACCACCAATAAATCACCGATCCAAACAAGATGGGATAAAACACTGCTCCGGGAATATCTGCCACCACTCGAGCCAAATAAAAGCTACTCACTCGATACATTTTCGCTCCACGTTCTCGCAGCAAGACAGGTTTGTCCTGTAACAAAATATTCAATGATGACGAGAGACTTCCAAAAAACAAGTTACTCGTCGCAAAAAACAATAGACCTAACCGGTCTTGAACTCCAGTCTGTGAATTATTCAATCTCAAATAAATCAAGCCGAGCAGGAAAGCAGTGGAAACTTGTTGAGAAAAACGAGCCATATTCACTCCCTTATTTCGAATGGTATTAAGGAAAGCTCTCATGAGAACGACGAAAAATTGATAAAACCAATTCGAGTTGTACTTGGAAGATTTCTTGAGAGTGACAAGTTCAACTCCCAAAGAATCTTGCAAGGCATGACTCTTTTCCAAACCTTGTTGAGAATTTTCCTTTTTCAATTCAGAATCAGTATAATGTGCCAAGATTCGTTCAATACGTTCATCTTGTTCGACTTTAAACCTTCTTCCCCTTTCAGAATTTTCTGAAGCTAACGATGGATTTTCAGTGACCATGTCCATGACAAAATCAGCTGGATTAAATTCTTCAGGACACGTGTATCCAATTTTTTCAAAATAAGGAATGGCTTTGTGAGCATCTCCAAAATAGGCAATTTTACCACGGGCTAACAATAGTAAACGATCAAATAATTGAAAAATGTCACTGCGAGGTTGATGAATAGTGAGAACGACGCTCCTTCCATGTTGTGCCAAACGATTAATCAATTGAATAACATTCAAACTAGTTTTTGCATCCAATCCAGTCGTAGGCTCATCCAAAAACAACACACTCGGCTCTGTTAATAATTCAATAGCAATACATAATCGTTTGCGTTCACCTCCGGATATTCCTTTCGAGAGACCAGGAAGACCCACAATCGTATCTGCAACTTTGGAGAGACCCAATTCTTGCATGATTACATCCACGCGTTCCATCTTGGATGAATTCGGAAGAGAGGAATCCAAACGAAGGAGAGCTGCATATCGGAGAGTCTCTCGGACTGTGAGATTGGGCAAAAGGACATCATCTTGTTGGACAAAGGCACTGATGGATCGGAAGGCTTTGCCAGCTTTGGTTTTGTTGGCGAGGAGAGAACCCGAGGTGGGTTTGACTCGTTGAGAGAGAATGTTCAACAAGGAGGTTTTGCCCTATCGTATGATGTAAATGATATGGAATTGGAATTTGAGGGAGTTGTATATTGAGGGTGTTGTAAATATTTTTTTTTTGTTGTTCAAATTTTTGTAAAGTATTGAAAAGTATTATTAATTTTGTTTTGGGATTATTAGATCGAGAGAATACAAGAACAACAGTGAAATGAATAATAAATCTCAACTCGACAACATTGTTACTTACAGCTCCACTCGGTCCCATAATCGCCAAGACACTTCCAGGCTTGACATAACCACTCATGGCATGCAAAATCACTTTCTGTTCCTTCCGAAAGACATTCTTCAGAGCGAACGCAAATCGTTCTCGAGGTGTGGTCAATTTTGAAGCAGGCAATGCGGGTCTTACTTTCACGACATAGGTCAACTCGTGCCATTCCAACAAGACACTCGGAACTGTTCGTTGTTGTTGTTGTTGGTGTTGTTGTTGAACTAGTGTTACAGTCGTGTGATTTTCTTGATTAGAAGGATTCTCAATGTGTTTCATTTCAATATTGACTGTCGGCATGGACGACGACGTGCTCATCGTCGTAGACAACTCTAAATTGGATGAAATGGATGGAAGTTATTATGTGATGTTGTGTTGGTGGACATGAATTTTTTTGTTTTTTGTTTGCTGGAATTGAACGATTCTCGAACGACGATGAAATTTGCGTAAGGATGAAAACTTTTAGCATAACAACAACTTCAAGTTGGCGGAGTTTTGAAAATGTGAAAAGACCGATAATTGATATGGTTTGGACCAGGTCAACTGAATTCTGTGATTTTTGTAATATAGTTTTACAAGGATGTCTAATTGTCTTCAATCAAGAACGTACAAATAGGAGGTATTGAGAGAGGTAATAATTGAATGTATTGATCAAGACTAGAATGCATGCTCGTCAACATGTCAACTAAATATTCAACATACAAAAAGTGAACTAGTTTCGATTTGGTTTGTCAAAGGTCATGTCTTGAATATTGAATTCAATTTTGGCAATACTATGATCATCAGATTGACCACTGGTCGTGAAGAAAAATTGGATCTCTCTTGTTGAATCATCATTCGTCGGGCCCTCTTTACAGTCATTCAAATAAAAAGCTCTATCATACGCCTTCAAGAGAGCATAATCTTTAACTCCTTCCATGGTTTGAAAATATTTCAATGAATCTAAAAACCATGCAAATTGGTTGAGCTCACCACGATCCTTGAATACAAGCCACTCCAAGTTATAAAAATCTGAAAATTCATCTTCTCTTTTTTCCACTTGCGCGATCATGTCAAACAGTTTGGATGAATAGTAATACATTTTTTGCATTCCAAAATTATTTGTAAAATATGGTACAAAGTGATGATTGTTCAGTGGTGAAACAAGTCCCAAGTTGGAAAAAACATCATTCACAAAATGAATGCTATTACAGCTCTCGCTATTATACCATTTTGTTCCATTGTATTGACAGATGACATTAGCAACAATGAATAACGCCTGTTTGATACGTTCTTTTGAATCAAAAAAATGATCACCAATAATTGCAAATGCATTTCCGTATTTTGCTCCTTCGTTCACCGTTGTAACCAACGCCATTGAATGTGGATACCAATCCAATTTGAATGGACCCAATAAAACACTCAAATGCAATCCGAAATCTGTCACTTTCTTGAGTATTTCATTCTTCAATCACTCACATACTTACCTGTGACAGAAATTACTAATCGAAGTGACATAAATGCACGTGTTGATGGATTTCTTCGTTTTTGTGGTCTCTGTTGCAATAAATATTTACCAAACACACAATACATCAATCGTCCTGGAATGACATTGTTTTGAGCATAGATGTTTTCTAGGTTATTGGAATTATTTGCGATTCCAGTATTTTTCTGTTTGATTATTCCAATTCGTTCAATTTCTTCCAAATTCAATTGTTCATTTGAATACTCATCAAGAGAGCAGGTAGGTGTATCTATGAGTTCTTTATCATTGTAAGGACATGGTGCTTTGTTTTGGTAATACAGATTGTTCTTTTCCATTTCGATAAATGTTGACTGTTCGTACTTGGGCATCTTCTCCTCTTTGATCTTTTCGTTCAATAGAGGTGGTTTATATATGACTGTAGAATGTTCATATTCTTCGTCATCAATGGCCATGGAAACATTGGTGGTTGTTGGATTTTGACCAGAGTTTTGAACAAGCAACGAGGGTTGAAACGTATTGTTCTGCGGTGTAGTATTATTATTATTATAATTATTATTAATAATAGTGGTGGTTGTAATAGGAGTAGTTGTGGTTGTTGTTGTTGTTATTGGACCACTAGTGGATGAACAATTAGTACTTGTTGATGATGATGATGTTGAATCAAAAGTGGTGGACACGAGATCTGGCAAACGACTAGAGCCAAGGAAGCTAAGCTTGGACCACCAGCCAGACATTTTTTAGTTTGTCAAATTCTCATCTTTCAAGAAGTGACAAGTGGCAAGTTCACAAGTTGAAGTTTTTCATTGTTAGCAAATGACACACTTCTTGTGTTGAAGGAGTGAAGAATGAGTAGTTGTCATTCCATCATCCTCCGAATGGTCATCATTTTGAATCTTTAGCCTGGTCAACGCTTGTTGTGTTTGTTCCACGAGATTTTCATGATTCGACCATCCATGTAAGTATTCCTTCCGTTCCAAACTCCGAGACTCTCCACTCTCCGCATCGAACTCCATCAAGAAATATGCCACTTCTTCCAACGTTCCAACAATACAAATCGATGATCCTTTTGTGTTGGTACAAACTTGTCGTTTCAGTGTGCAGGAAACATCAAAATGTGAAAAGTGAGAAGTGGCAGTACTTTCAATCAAGCATTGTTTCCATATTAAATTTCCATTTTGAATATTAAGGCAATAGAGGAAAATTCCATGTCCTCCACTCACGACCACATAGAGTCGATCTTGTAGTAGAATGTTTTGAACATTGGGTTGGTATGAAAATTTGGACAAGTCGTCAATTTTTGTGCGCCAAATTGGAATTCCAATGACAGCAGTGGTTGATGTTTCAACCTGTTGTGGAATGAGCCCATGTTCATTCTGTGGCGAATCATGTGATGATGATCCAATTTCATTTTGGATTAATGGACAGAAACTCATTTCATGATTTTCATAAATTTCCACACTGAGTAATCCTACCAACTTGGCATCCTTTTCAACCATATACATGGCCAATGGATTTGTAGAATTTTCAATTTTCTGACCGCTTTTCAAATGTACCAACTCGGTTCGTAGCTTTTGTTTTTCAGTTCCAGACATGAGCCAATATTCAGAACCCAAACATGTGAAATCGACTTGTAAATTTCTCGTTCCAACCATGACAGGGACTGTATATTCAAAACATGATTGTTCCAAGTCCAATAAATTTTGAGAATGATGATTGGAAGTAGAGATGATGTGATCACGTTCTTCTGCAACAACAAGTTCTCTCTCTTCAAGATGACAACATGTAAAATGCACATGAGAACCTTGTGGTCTCACGTCAAAGAAGAGTCTATTTGGAGGATTCACTTGTCGTTGTGAATATTCATTTTCGAGATCTGTAATGGTCAAATTGAAAGTAGTTGTTAATCGATTCCATTTAGCCAAAGTTTGAATTTTGAAATTGGTCAAGTGAATGGAAATTAAGGTCGAAGTGGAGGATGATTCAATACCATACACGGAAAGAATGATGTGATTCGAGGTTAATACAGCACAATCAAAGGTTCTCTTTTTTGAATGAGTCGTATTCTTTGTTGAATTGGATTCTTGAACAGAATTCATTGTTGTTGTGATTGCTGACTGTTGCTGAACGAGAGAATGTCCACCATTACCACTCTTTCGTTTCCATTTAAATTGAACGGAATGATGTTGTTGTTGCTGTTGCTGCTGTTGACTCTGATTCATGGTTGACACATTCATATCCGATATCTTGTCACTTGTTGGAATATTCATTTCATCGAGTGTCACATTGTAAATAAAATCGACATGTCCCGTGCTTTTCCTTAATGCCATGACAACGGTCGTATCCACTCTTCTCAACAATAATCAATTGTTTGTGATTTTGAAACGTCTGTCGAACTTGCAATGGTATTGGTTCCCATGGAAAATACGGTTCCAAATCCAAACTCCATCGTACACATGAAAATGTTTCCAAATCCACACAAATAATTTTGAACTCGTCTTGGAGTGGAGGAGAATGATGAAACAATCCTTTGGAAAGTTTAGAGTTTCCAGAAAATAACAAGGGATAGGCAAACAAGGAATCATATGGCATGTGTATGGAATGATATTTGAAATTATTCATTCCTTTTCGCCAATGTTTGGATAAAGTTGTGAAATGAACCAATAAATTCATGGTATGAGAAGGGATGAAATATTTGGCATGAGAGTGATCATGGATTTGAGATGTATTAGGATGAGCTGTGGTCGGAGGATCAAAAGAATTGGTTGTTGATAAATGTTGTTCTTGTGCGTGTTCGGTCAACATGTTTGAAAGAATTGATTGCAATTTTGGAAAAATTATATGCGGAATGAATTTCAATTCATGTTTTTGTAAATCATAGCGATATGATCCGAATAATACATAACGTCGTTGGACTTGTGCAATATAAATTTTGCATTGTTCATAAAATTGCTTATTGACATATTGAAAGGATGTGAGAATGTCGAAAATTCGGCAATTTTCTAAAATACAAAAGATCATTTCATCGGGTATTGAGCTCATGGTGGCGTCCGAGTTGTTTGATGAAGACAATCGTTTCAAATGTCGAGTTGTCAATGATTCTTTTCTCGTCATTTTTTTTTGTAATGGATTTGACATGTGGCAAAAGACATTGTTTCAGATTTCGACACAAAAGTCATGAATCGAAAGAAGGGTCTTTTCAATACTCAACAACCATTGCTCCTCCTCCCGTCCCCATACAACTCAGAATTTTTCAACTATTAGATCGGAAACGGAGTTGGATGTCGGAGGACACACCGGAAACTTTAAAAAAAAAACGCGTTCCAACCATTCCCTATCTATTTTTTTCTTTCGGAAGCAACCACGGTTTTAACCATGCAGACCGAAGTCAGCCTGCCTGCCAAAATTCTTGAAAAGCGAAACCGAAGGCCGAGTCAGCCCACACAAATCAACACGACGGACCAACCGACGTTGGGCGAGTCTTCTTCTTCCATACTTTTGCACGAACGGAACATCATGATGAGGAATGAACAACAGCAACCCCTTTCGGATCCTCCCATTCTTTGGAATCAAAAGCATGCTGCTGTTGTTCATTCTCAGATGAACGGAATGAATCAGGAAACTCAATTCCAACCATTCAATCATCCACAACAACCCACACCGAACGGATTGCATCTTCCTCCTCCTCCAGTACTAAATAAGAATCATCATCACCCTCAGACGTCGACCACAACAGAATTCGTTGGTGATCACCAACATACGGAAGAAAAAGAAACCCAAGCGTATCTGCCGAGACCTGTCCGAACTGCTGCTGTTGCTACAAATACGATGAACTCTACGAGTAGCTCACTACTCTTGCCAGTCGTTGTTACTCCAACCTCAAGCCATGGTAGTCATGCCAACACTACACCAACGAGTGTAACAGGGTTAGGTTCCAACAACATCCATAACAATGGAAATCATTTGACTCCAACCACCATGAATTCTTCTTCCTTTTCGAATCCACCCTTTTCATTGGGAAATGGAGTTCAACAAAATTCACAAGACATGGCCGAACAAGCCAAAAAACGAAGGAGAAATCAAGCCAAGGCTGCCTGTGAAAATTGTAGAAAAGCTCATACTGCATGTCAAGACCAAAAACCATGTCATCGATGTGTCAAGCTTGGATTGGAATGTGTGGAAGCTCAGAAAAAGACCAAAATGAAAATTCCAAAAACGAGTGGTACATCTCCTGCCTATGCACCCCTCTCGACTACCACGACAGCAAGTATTGCTGCCACCAATGCGGTACACAATCATCATTCCTTAAGCAATGGTAGTGCTGCTATGGGTATGAATGGACATGTGAATCATCACCATGTGGATCAGAGACAGCCAATGGAAACTCAACAATTGTCTCCAAATGGTCGACCAATTTCTTCTTCGTCATCCACTTCATCCTCGACGTCGGATGGTGACGGAGAAACACAACGAAATTTTAATCCAGTTCCAGTGCAATTTCATTCATCCCCTACTGCTCAATCTAATGGATCCATGGTAAATCATGTTGAGTCATCCACAAATTCACCAATGAGAGTAGTGGCAAGTACGATGCAGCATCAACAACCACGCAATGCGCAATCTAATTCCTCAACTGTTACTTCTTACTATTCGTCTCAATCTCCACCTCAAACAAACACGTGTGCACAACCTTACACACCAGTAGATAACAACAATAATCTAGATATGCCACTACATATTTCCCAGCTTTCACCTCAATTCATTGTTCAATTCCAACAACAAGTCAAGGACGGAAATTGTGACAAGTTGCGTGCGACCTGTGAACACTGTTTTCAGCTCATAACCATGTCGATCGAGGACATCAAAAAGGCATTCACAGTTCCTCATCTCTCTCGCCAACATCACGATGTTCAATTCAATTCAAATCGCAATGGATTTTTATTGGCTTACTTGTATGGAAAGTTTAATGTCATGAACATGATGCGAGACATGTTATGGACTCATCACAAAAAAGATTACATTGACTTCCTTTACAAACTCGTGTCATTAGAGGACGACAAGGCACTCATACGAATGTTTTTACAGGGAGTTCAATTAGATCTCAACACCATTGAGAATGAAAATGGTGTTGGACTATTAAGTTTTTGTGCATGTTTTGGGAGATTGGATATTTTCAAAATGCTTTGTGAAGAATTTTCATGCTCGCTCTACCAGTGTCGTGATGAAAAGTATTTACCCATTCATTTCGCTTGCAGTTATGGTCATGTTGAAATTGCCGAGTACATTCTTCAAAAGCATCCCGATCAACTCGATATTCAAATGAATAATCATAGCTCACCCCTAATTCTTTCTTCAGCGTATGGAAGTATGAAGAGTGTGAAATTTTTAGTGGAACGAGGAGCAAATGTTCATCTGCAGGACCATGAAGGCCAATCTGCTGTTTATCATGCAACCAAGTATAATCATTTTCAAATTGTTCAATATTTAGCGCAACATAATGCAGATCTTTATGCTAAAACTAACTCTGGTCAAAGTATTTTTGACTTGGCAGAAGGATCACCAGAAAAGAAGCTCTTATTAGAGCTTATCATTCAAAACAAAACTCTCAACGATAGAATTTCATTACAAGATGACCTTATTAAATCAATGAGGCAAACATGTAAATAAAATTGTTTTGTTTTTGTGTCGCTTTAACTTCGTTTGTTTAAATAATAATAATAAATATCCAAGATTGAAAAAATCACAGGCGATCAACTCCAGCCACGAGAAAGCGGGATTTTTCTTAGGCGTAACAATGGGTACCACAATTCCAGTCCTCCTTGGAACATACGTTCTTGCGTAGTCTTTTTTTAATACCTGTACGTGGAAAAAATGTCGAAACGTGATCAGTCCCATTTGCACTTTGGTAAGATCACGGAAGAAACGAAGAAACAAAAATTACATTCGCAACATGAGGATGATTCATCAGTCATACTGGTTCGAACACATGAAAATGTGAGAATGATGATGGTTGATTTTTCAACTACTTCTTGTCGTGATGAAATCAATCAGAATGGTTTAAATCATGACGATGACTCTATTCGGAGATTGGAATTATTATTGAAAACGAAATTCTCACGACAACAAATGGGGAAAAAGAAATGGGTTTTGAATCGGGAATTGAAATATAAAGATTTCTTTCCAGTGGAATTTATCCATGACAAAGAATTTGTCTTGAATCATATTAAAAAGTATGGTTATGGATTGCAATATTCACCCAGCCTTCAAGGAGATCGAAATTTTGTGTTGCAAGCGGTTCAGCACAACGGTATGGAGATACAATTTGTAAGCGATCATGTTCGCAATGACAAACAAGTTGTATTGGAAGCTATCAAGCAAAATGAATACGCATTGGAATTTACTTTTTCAATTTTTTGTAGATATGGATGGAAATTTATTTTGGAAGTACTTCCATATTGCCCTGAAGCGATGGGCAGGGCTTCCACAGAGCAAAGGAAAGACAGAGAAATGGTTAAATCTGCAATGAAAATTAATGGCTTGGCATTACGTTTCATTCATTTGAACATAGATTCCAAACATGACCAGGAAATTGTATTGGAAGCAATCAAACAGAATAAGGATGCGCTTCGAGAGGCAACGGACTTTTTTCTCAAAGATCATGATTTCTTATTGAAAGCTCTCAAATTAATATATCCAGAATTTGAATCGTTGGATTCCTTGTATTATTCAAAGAAAGAAGTCATGATCAAACTTGTTCAAGATTTTGACTTTTTTCTCCAATTTGCATCCAACGAACTCAGAAACGATCGAGAGTTTGTTTTACATGCAGTCAGAAATGGTAATTCCATATTTTTTGCTTCTGAAGTATTGAGGAGTGACAAAGAAATTGCACTTGCAGCTGTCAACCATAATGGTTATGCATTGAGGTTCATTTCCGATCACTTGAAGCGAGACAAAGAAATTGTGCTGGCTGCTATTAATCAAGATCCACTTTCCCTTAGTTGCGCACCAGAAGATGTAAGGAACGACAAAGATGTTGCTGTGAGACATGACGGTTATGCTCTCCAATGCGCATCAGAACAGCTAAAGAATGATAAAGAGATAGTGTTGACTGCTGTCAGGCAAAATGGATTCGCCTTATATCACGCTGATGACGTACTGAAAAATGATCAAGAAGTTGTTTTCGAAGCCATCAAAAAAGATTCGGAAACTTTAAAACACGCTTCTAAGAAACTTTTACGTGACAAGCAATTCTTGTTGGAGGCCATCAAGCTTGGATGCAAAAACGTTCTTCGTTTTGCACCAAGAAAATTTGAACACGACAAGGTGTTTTTATTACAAGCCATCAAACATAACTGTTTGGGAGTTTTTGGATATGATGTCAAAAGGTTTGGAAATGACAAGGAAATAATGTTAGAAGCAGTGAAGCAAAATGGATATGCTTTGTGGTTTGCCGCTGAAGAATTACAACATGATAGGGAACTTGTAATGGAAGCACTCAAATGCAATGGTTTTGTTTTGGAATATTGTGATGAACTGTATCAAGAAAGAATGGAACATTGTTATTATGGAGCCTATTTAGGCACAAATCGGGATTGATTCAGTTTTGGATATCTTTATATTTCATGTAACTTTTGTTGAGAAATTTTGCTCATGAGCAGCGAAATGAAGCAGCTCATGGGTTCAGTAAAGTTGTGGAATATTTGAAGAAGATCAAGAATGTTGTCCTCTTAACACTTCTAGGCCATGCAAGAACAAAAAAAAAATGCTGCAACCATCATCACAGTCAAATCATTTTCCACTTCCCGTCCCGAATAAAACAAAACGGAAGAGAATTTTCAACGAAAAAACGGGACATTTACTTCATGAACAGCACAATGGAAAACATGGCTCCGGGTGGTACAATCGCAACGAGCATGATGGGCGCATTATCAATGAGGCTTCTCATGTGGCCATCCGAAATGGGTTGAATACTGTTAGCAATAATATCGCTCCGAACAACAACAATCAAGAAGAACAAGCTCACTTGGATCATCACAAAAATTCAACTATGGAACAACCTCCTTGTGCACTTGTTTCCTACTTTTCTTTGGACTCGATATGTGAGAGTTTTAATATTCCTATGAACGTCATTGGACGCTTCCTGAGATCGGAAGAGGTGAAAACCATCATTTCATGTAATTTACAAACTCATAGATTGAAAATATTGTGGATGGCTCTGCTTAATCTCATGTCTAGATTGTATATTACGGTTTCAACAGTGCAAGAAAATTCAGGAAATCCCATCACTTCCTCCACCCTAAGAATGTATCCAACACCGACTGCTAATGTTTATATATCCCCTTGTATTGCCCTCGTCAAATGCATGGCAAAACAATTGTACAGACAAATTATAGAGATTACCCATGAAATTGAGAGCATAATGGAGAGATTGACCGAATTCAACAAGTTACTTTCAAACTTTTCCGAAACCAATCACTTCCTCATATCTCAATTGGTTCGATATTGTGTGGCTCTAGAGGGTGCTGGCTCTTCCAACAACACCACGACCCGTCAATCTTCTCATAATATGAAAACGACACTCATTAAGGAAAGAGAATTTGTTTCACATTTTCAGAAAATACTCATCAAGAGACTAGGATTGATATTGAATGGACTAGATTTATCCAGGTTGTCGCAACAAAAGACTACACCTCACTCCAAGCGTAGTTTTATCATGCAAATAGACAATTTACAAGCAGAAGATTTGTTTGATCTCACTGCTTCTATTCAAGATGTTGCCCTGAAATATGGCATTGCAACCAAGATGACGACAAATCTCGAAAAACCAAGCGACCTCAAACAAACCACAACAGAAGCTTCAATGTGTAAATTGAAAAATAATGAGCGTGTCACTGACCTAACGACTAATCATAACAAGCCAACAACAACTACAGAAGGTGATGACAACCATCGTACGACGCCCTCAGATGGAATGAGTAAATCAAGGACGACTATTACAAATACTGATGGAGAGCTTAAGAAGTCTGCCAATGATGATTACAGGAAGAACGATCATGAAATGGATCTAAGCGGTGACAGCTTCAATAAGGTAGATGAAGAGACAAATGAAAAGCATGACGATATTTATGCGGCCAAAAAAACTGATAATGCCAAGAGTCACAACTTGGTTTATAGTGACGACGACGAAAAACATCATGAAAATAACAACTCAGGAGAATCAATCCACCAACGTTTTCCACCATTCGGTGACATTGAGCAGCATGAACCAATGATTTCTTCGAGTCCTCCTCTTTGCACTCCATCCACTCCTTTGAACACTAATCGACCCTTAATAACTTCGGATGACCTCTCAGCAACTCCTATACCAAAATCAAGCCAAATGATACGAGCTACCACAAGCAGCTCAAAAGCTAGTGATGATATTGATTTATCTGAGACTGGAGATTTATTGCCTGAAGACACCTTATTGTTACTAAAGAATTCAAACAACACTCCTGTACTCTCTGCAAAGAAGAGCAAGACCAAGGATGCATCCCTACCGTCCACCACAAAACAAGCATCCACTCAACAAGTCTCGAATGGTGCGACTCGAAATCAAGCAACGAAACGAAAAAGTGCACCTCCAACCTCTTTCAGCAATGGTGATGACAGCGAGGAAGATGACGTACCTCTGGTATCCATGATTTCATCCAAGGCCATCACACAAAAACATGTTGGTAAAACTCCACAACAATTGGTCAAATCTAACAACAAATCAAAATCACCACAACAACACGACGAGAAGCATGATCTTGGGCATTTGAATGATGATGGAGACGATGAGGATTCTTTCAATAATGATCATAGTAATGAGAACCAGAATGACGACTTGTTTGATGATCATAATGACTTTGATCAGCCTTAAATCCACGAACAACACATGAAATCCACATTGGCAAAGTGTTATCGATTGATAAAAGGTCAAATTGAAAGAAGCATGACAAGAAAAAAATGATGAAATTTGTAAATACTCGGAAACCTTTTCGTTTCAGTAGCTGCAAAAGTTATCCGAGCCAACAATTACCATTCGTTTTTCATTCATCATCGGAATTAAAACAACAACAACACAAATATTACAATCAATCACTACTGGAAAATCATTCGCAAATCATACCCGGTAGCCAAAACAATCCATTTGACCTTCAACAACAGCTTCAAACTCAGAAATCGTTCATTTCAAAATTTCAGCCGAACACCAACAACAGCCAACAACAAAAAATAGTGAACACGAGCACTGGCACCAGTATCACTGACCTCTTCCCTTGTTCATCATTCTCAAACACGCACCACCACAATTCCTCTGTTCTCATCATTCATAGCAACTCGTCTCTCTTTACATCATTTTCTTCCTCGTATTCTCATTGCCGACGATACTTTTCTCAAAGCCTTGTTGCAAAAAACATGCACACCTTTTACGAGATTTTACTTGTTCCCAATAATGAAGGGGAGACAACGATATCATTCTTTACCAATGGAAAGAGGTATGTGGATGATACGAATTTGAAAAATTCAAATCTTTTTTTTAATTTTTGCACTAATTCTGTATTATTGCCAATCCATAACGACAATATGATGATGATAATACATGTATATTGCATGGCATTATCCATTATTAACAATGTAATATAACTATAACATACACAGATATCTATTCAATTGCTCGGAAAATTTAAATCGTTTCTGTACTGAATGCGGAGTGCGTATATTCTCTGGATTGGATCATATTTTCATTCCACACATTTCCCCAACTTATTTGGGAGGTTTACCGGGAGCAATTATTACTGCCTCCGAATTACAACCTACCAACAAAATTCACTTGTATGGGCCTCCAAATTTGTGGCATTATTTAACATCATTGAGACCATTTGTGAAAACTTCGACGAATTTCAGAATTTTGTTGAACCAAATGATGGAACATCAACTCGATCAAGACTACATTTTGCATAGTGATGAAAATCTTACAGTGAGAGGATTACTTTTAAAAAGTGACCGTGCTTCAAGAGGAGATTATCATTCACATTTACAACACTGTGATTTTGGAGCACCATTTGTTTTACGAAATTCTGATGGAGGCTATCGACGACGCACGTCAAGTAATGTTGGACAATTATCTTGGGAATTTCTCTTCTCAGGCAAGAACCATGACCACAACAACAACAAAAATTCATCAAGCAGCAGCAGCAGCCATTCTCACAATGTAGACTTGTCACCCATGAAAAAGAAGCAAAAGAAGGAGAGCGATGCATGTTATTATAGCTTCAAAAATCGCTTGAATATTCAACCAGTGGGAGAATTTGAGATTACACAAACAGATACTCTCAAAGAAATGCTCAAACACATGTATCCAACAATGGCTGACTATTGCTTGTGCTTTTTGTGCAAGACTGCAGATGTTGCAGGTAAATTCGATGCAGAAAAGGCCAAACAACTAGGCATTGTTGGAGTAGATCGAGGAAGACTTGTCAAAGGTGAAACCATCCAAGTGAATGGGCACACAATCAAACCTGAAGATATCATTAGTCCTATAACACCTGGCTCTGAAGTATTGATAATTAATTGCCCCAATGAGCATTACTTGCCAAGCTTGTTGTCAAACAAACACTTTGAAAAGTACATGAGCTCTGTAGTATCAGTGATACACTGCGTTCCTCATCGTATTCTCACAACTCCTGAATATCGAGAATTCATGGACAAATTCAACAAGGAATGTGATCACGTTATTGTTAATGAAGACTCAACAAAGGATGCCTCATCATTTGTTTCCTCGTGCACCAATATCACCGAATTCAGTTTAGTGGATAAGGAATTGTTTACGCAATGTTTAACACCTAATTACAAGAATGACTCTGACTCGAATAGAGCTCAAGTCATTGAACAACATCCAAACTCGAAAGTATCATATGGAGAGAGCTTGACGAGGTATAATCTTATTCCTGTTCGATATAGAGGTTTGGACAACAGCAAAGTCTCATATATTCACAAAATTGATCCAGAAACAGTTGAGAAAACATTTTATCAAACTTACCCAACCATTGCCAAACATTTGACCGAATATAAGGAAAAAGTTGCCAAGGAGAGTGACCTAGATCAGACATCAGCTCACCCACAAGCCAATATTTTAAAGCGTTGCAGCGATGAAGAGTTTGAAATTATTTTCTTGGGAACTGGCTCTTCCATTCCATCCAAGTACAGAAATGGTAAGTTATTTTTTTTGTCAAGCTCAAACCAAATGTTCATCATTTCTAAATATTTCAAAAATGTTCATATCTTTTATTCACACATAGTGACTGGAATTTTATTGAATTTGTTCGATAGGGGAGCAATTTTGTTTGACTGTGGTGAAGGAACATTGTCCCAAATTTACAGAGCGTGTGGAAAAGAAAAGGCAGAAACCATTTTGAAAAATCTCAAATGTATTTGGATTTCTCACTTGCACGCTGACCATCACTTGGGGTTGGCCCACTTTTTAGAAGAACGTTCTGAATTAACCAACGACAAGGTTGTAATAGTTGCTCAAAATCGTATCAAGGTTGCTCTCTCAGAATATATTTGTTGTTCCAGCGACACCAAGTTTGCCTTTGATTTTGTGCCAATGAAAAATATCACTCCAGATACGTACAGTCCAGATCAGATATTGATTGATCGTGTCTTTGCTCCTCTTGGCTTAAAATCAATGGTGAACGTACCAGTAGACCACACATGTAGTGAGGCGCATGGTATTGTTGTGACTCATCATAAAGGATGGAAAGTAGTATTTTCAGGAGATACAAGACCTTGCCAAAGACTCATAGACGCTGGTAAAGACTGTACAGTGCTTATTCATGAGTCAACCTTTGAAGCATCACTTCTCCAAGATGCCATCACCAAGAAACATTCGTGCTCATTTGAGGCCATTCAAGTTGGTGAAAAGATGAACGCCTATCGAACCATCTTGACACACTTTTCACAACGATACTGTAAATTCCCAATTGTAGATTCACACGATTCAGATTATGCTGTCAAAAACGTTGCAGTAGCACACGATTTAATGCGATTGAATGCCAAAAAGCTTCCCAAAATTCCTCGTGTGATGGAACTTTTGAAAGATTTCTGGTCCATCATTGAATTGGATGATTCTGCATTTATCAATAACCCAATCTCTGAAGATCAAGTGAATGACTAAAAGGAAATTTGCAATGGAGCCATGTCTCCCTCGAATCGATGCTCTTCGTGGAAGTGAGAGAGCAACCCCAAGTTCCCACGTTTCGTTTTCGATTCCAATTTCACACACACAAGAAGGCAAATTCCACACCAATTGCGATGGAGAAACCTTTTTCATCGATTTGCTGCATACAATAAAATTCACACCATCTTACTCTTCATCCATTCACACCATCTGTTTTACATTTTATGAACGAAAAGGCCTTTCAATAAGACTTGCCTCCTTCCACTCCATCAGTCAAATGCCATCCAACGAAAAAATCAAAAAGAAAAAACGCAATCAAGCCAATTACTACATTAATCTCTCCCCTACCACCACCACAGCAGAAGCCTTCTCTCGCATCAGCACTACTTTTCCAATTACAACAACAACGATCCAAATGTCCTTGTCACCTCCCTCTCCAAGAACAGGTCGTTCCCGGAGTGATTCAGTGAGTAGTAATGCCAGTTCATCCTCCACTACTACTACGACTGCGACTCCATCATTACTCAATCCATCATCGATTAATCATTCATCATCATCGACTGGAAGAAAGAAAAAATCTTCTCGATCCGGATCGACGACGACGACGAGAAAAACATCTTCTTCTTCTTCGAATATCCATCCTACAAACAGTCATCATCATCAACCAAATAGAAATTCATCTGTGGCCACAGCATCACATGAATTTTCCACTGTGGCAGAATCCAAATCGAAAAATCGAGAAGGTGTTGATTCGCAACATTACGAAACCTTTTCGAATATGAAATTTCACAACATGGATGAGGTTCAACCCTTACTTGATCAAGTAGAAATGGAAATGAATCAATTACGAATGACACGCACTCAATTCAAATTAAGCTGTAATTTGGTATTCAACATTATGGTCTTTATTTTGAATATGGTGTTTTTATGTTTATTGAGTTGTGTGTTGGCCTATGTCTTGTCACCCATTTATGTGAATCATGATATTCATGAATTTCAAGTTGGAGGAGCAAATTCTGTAGATTCTTCGAATGGAATTATTCCATTTTCTGCTGTTTCGATTGATGGTAATGGACATGTGTATCAGGGATTTGGAATGGGATTTTCATATTCGAGCGTTCAAACGAATTATTCTCAATCATGGACAGGTCAATTTCGAACGGTTTCGTTTTATCCAAATTTTGATTCCATTCTTGTAGTGAGACCAGAATATGATATGGAAACGAAACGCGTGATCTTATCGAGTTGGATTCTCAATGGAGGTAAACAACATGTTCAATCCAATTACAATTTCACAAATATGAAATTTATTCCAACTTTGATCGATCAAGTATTTATTCATTGCATTCATCATGTGGTGACTGCTGAGATGCAACAAACAGTCACCATGCTTCATGTGAAAAATTCGGAAACGAATGAATTATGTCTCTATGTATTGATTGGACATGTCGAAAGTCAAACATCACATTCCTTTGTATTGGATCCAATTTTAATTTATAATTATACATTACCTTCTTTGAATGCGGAAGTGTGGAGTCATGAACGAATTTTGGCAAGTTCTTCGATGGCCATTATTCTTGGAAATGATTCTCAAAAAAAACAAGTTGGAATTGTTTCACATCGATTTGATGATCATACCTGTCGATATTATTTAATGGATGTACCAGAGACAACTCTTTCATTTCATATTACAACATCATCATCCAATCATTCTCATGAAGTGGAAATTTCACAACTCACCTTACAAGGAATTTCATGTTATTCAGTCGATATAACCACTCTTCACATGGAAACAGAATCGACCAGCAATTCTATGAAATTACAGAAACATCTCAAGTTGAGTAATGATGACAAGAATGACTCATTACAAACCTTCTCACTTATTGCTACCGAGTCGATGGCCATTTTATTGAATGGAATTGAAATGGAATCGACACAACCCATTCCAACATGCCGAAAGGGATATCAATTTTCTGAATTATCGAATGGATATCGACCTGATCTTGATATTCAAGTTAGAAGTATATTGGGAGGAAAATTTATTTTTTCATGTTTGAACGATCATGATGGTTCCGTGTCCATGCTGTATGGCCAAATTATATTCAATAATCTGAAGAATAATTTTGATATTGTCACGGGAACGAGTTTTTCAACTGTGATTCCTGGACGTGTCACTAATACTTGGCTTGTGCATTCCACGAAAAATGTGTTCGAGTCAGGTGTTAGAGAATATGATGTTTTTTTGACATATGAATATTTGGAGGAAATGAAAAGTATGACTACCATTCAGACAAGATCTTCATCAGAACCATTTCAAACTTTGTCAGAACTACGATCGTTTTATACGATCAAATGTACCACACCCACACAACGAACGCTCTCTCATGATGAATATCCAGTGTGTTCGACACCATTCAAACATCTCTCCTTTTCGTCACAAACCATTCAGTATGATATTAGCTCTATTAGCAAATTTGGAGTCTTGTTTACAACATTGAGCTCGTCGAATTTGTCACCCACCAAAAGAAATGGATTGGCGATGAGTGAACATCCACAACAAGAACAACATTCAAAGGACAATAAGTATTTCATACTATCGACAGAATTAGCGAATTGGCAAGGTGGATACAAATGGATTGGAATTTGCATTTCTTCAGGAGTTTCATTTGGAAGTGTCAAAGTTGCTCAAAGAGGTCTTGTCACCTTCTCAAATATGCAACAGGAATTAATTGAAGGATCTTCCTATTATGCAAATATTGATGGAAGTATTACTAGGAAAACCACGCCATGGTATATTGGATATGCATTGACGAAAAAACAATTGTATATTGATTCGAGTTTTGTGAAATGAAGAGATCATTTTCAACGTTGGTAAATTTGCCATCTGTCAACATTCGAGATCGGTTCAATGTAAATTTTCAAAGCTGAAATTCCATTTGGCGCCAAAAAAAACTACAAAAAAAAATGAGCGATTCAGATGTTGCCGATCAAGCATTATCGGGAAGAGAAGATGTTTCCTCTTCTTCTTCTCGGCCTCAAGAAGAAGTCATGAGCCAAGATGTGGACCCGACACCCACTCCCACAGCTGATCCGAATGAGGATGCTCTTGGAAATGATGAAACACCAAATCATGAAAATTCGGAGGAACCTCAACAAGAAAATCATGAACGCGATCAGGAAGAGCCCGAAGACGACGAGGAAGGGTTTAAACCTTTTGACCCGAATGCCTCCATGAATGTTAGCAATATTGTAAATACTCAAATGAATGATACCATGGGAAGTATTATTTCTTCAGCGAATGCACTGCAAGGCATCAATGGAAATGACTCTCCGAATGTCATCCAAGATGTAGAAGCATTGAGAGAGGAAGAAAATAGAAAGAAACGAGAGGAACATTTGAAAATGAAAATTCGTCAACTCAAGGACGAGGAACAGTCATACTCTAAAATTAACCTTACTAATATTAATGCCAACTGGTTATACTTGATGAGAGAAAGTAAATTGAAAGAACTTAAGGACACGATTCAAATACAAGCTCAGGATCATGACCGATTGGTAGACAGAAAGAATGCAACCATTCAACTCATGTATCGTGAGTTGGATGAATCCGAAGAGCAGTATCGTTCCGCATTGAGAACTCACATGCAGCATATTGAGGAATTGTTGCAATTGCAAGATCAGCGTCTCACCATTCTCCATCAAGAGTTCAACAATGACTTGTATCTGTTAAAAAAGGAATATGAGGAAGAAATGGAAGAGTTGAGAATCAAGCACGAAGAGGAAATGAGAGAATGGGCAGAAATTACCAAAGAAATGGAAAAGCGAGAGGAAAAAACCAATGAAATCATGGAAATGGATTTTGCTCAAACCAAGGAAAAGGTAAAGAACCGATACCAAGAAGAGCTCATACAAATGGTTGGTAACATGAATGATAAAATTGAAGAATACCGCCGCATCACCAAGCAAGAGAACAATGATCACTACGAATCCATGAATCAAAAATATAAGGACTATATCATTTTGAGAGAACGTGACAGCAGTTACATTGAAATTATCAAGAATCAAACGTATCAAATCAAAATGAAGGAGGAAGCTCTTGCTCACTGGAAAGCCAAATGGTTGAACAATCTAAGGGAGTGTGAAGATCGAAACAACAAGCTCATCAAGGAGAAGGATCAACTCTCTCAACATTTCAAGGACCTTAAAAAGAAGATGAATGCCTTTAGAGACTCCGAAAAGAAGCGACTCACAGAACTAGTCAAAATGAGTAAGGATACCATCGATTCTCTGAATGAAAAGTTGGATAAAGCGTCACGAATCCTCAAGTTATCGGAAGTGAACAGAAGATATGAAACCGAGCGAGAGCGGTTGATTCCATTCGAAACCGAGTTGGAGAGCTCTGTGGCTTTGGCCTCCGTTGCCGAATCTGCTATGGAAGACGTCATGGAAGGTGAGGAGAAGAATTTTACAGAGTCCGAGTGGCAACAACTCGATCGTTTCTACAAACGCTATAATAAGGTTCTTTTGGATAATTTAGCTTTGGAGCAAGAGAAGGAACACTTGGTAGATCAAAACAAAAAGCTTCGTGACATGTTGAAACAATATTTGGACGGTATTACGGTTAACGAAGACGTTCTCAACAGTAGAAATCCTCTCTTAATTGTGGATCCATTAATTAAGGGACGATCCAACGAGGCAGGGGCCAAAGAGCTTGTTGTCGTTTCTGCCACAAGTAGGCAAGCAGAAAAAGTGAAAATAGGTAATTAAGGGGAGAGTATGGTGTGAATCTAAGCTTAGATATGGAATGGTATAGCAGGCTTTTTTTGGAGGCAAATGGTAGGAGCAGTTCATTGTGAACGGATGGTTGGGCAGAGTCAATAGCAATGAGAGGAGATTTATGTTGTGCATGAAAATATATAGACAGCCCATACATTGTACTCCAATAAATCAAATAATTGTTGTTGCAGTTGCCCCGTGGAGAATCCATCTTCTACACACCATAGCCTTGTTGATCCATAATTTTCATATAACTCACACTATCGAGGAGCCACTTGCAAGTGACCGGTCGGTATCCAGTTTCTTGTTCAATCTGTTCTGCTTCCTCACGTGTCACATCATTGTCTGCAATAATAATATTTTCATATTTAGATTTTTTAACTCGCTTAAACATGGTGCCATGGACGGTGCCGCCTCCAAAGGTCACCAAGTCTGTGAGTTCTTTTTTTGATGGATTCTTAGACTTGGCATTAAATGTACCATGAAAATGCACTCTATAGTTGAAGAATAGGCGATTATTTCCATTGGCAATACTTTTCCTTGCTTCAGCTGGAGAATTGTGTTTAATAGTCACATCTCCCAATGCACAAAAATCCTCCTCACTCACATGACACTTGGCCTTAAGGACTGCGTCCAACCATTCCGTTCCAACAATCCACACTCCAGAAACGACACCAACACAATACTTGATCGTTCTTCTTGCAAGTCTGTTCTCATCTAGTGGTGAAATCAAATGAGTGACTTCATCCGTGAATTCGCTTCTCACGTCACCACCCAAATACTTTGCTGCTTTTTCTAATTTTTCTTTTGCTTCCGTACTTAGATTAGTTCCACACAGGCACAAACGTTTTGCCTTTGAACTTCTATGAGATACTCTCTTTGAAGATTGTGATCCTACAGAGAGTTGTGTTTGCTGAGTTGGCTGAGTATTTACATGTTGTAACTGTTGTAAAATTCCAGCTGCCGTACTAACACTTGCTGATATGGTTACAGGCGTTGTTTCATTATGTACAAAAGTGGAGAGGAAAGGATATTTTTCGTGTGAAAATCCAAAAACTCCATACGAGTCATTGAGATCGGAAAGGAGCTCTTCCAATTGAGAGAGCTTCATTCTTTTAGCGGTCAATTGTTCATCAACATGCCGTAATTGATCATGGACAGAGGTCTTGTCATCTTCCATGAAATCGTCAGAAGGAATAACAATGGCTCCAATCGATGCTGTTGACGAGTCTGAAATATTTCCATCCTGTGGTTGTGAGGTTCTAGAGGCTGCTGTTCCTTTTCTGTGAAATCTTCTCTTTTTTCCTGTTGTGACAGAGCTTGTTGTTGCTGTAGATCCAGAATTGTAAATGTTATTGACTGATGTTTTTCTTCCAGTATTTGCTGGAGTTTTGTTGGACGCCGATGCTGTTGCTTTGGTCGGATCAGGATACATGGAGCACAATTCTTCATAGGTATTTCCCATAGAGATGGAGGGGGTTGTTTCCATTGAATTGGCTGTTGAAGTATGACTTGATCCGAATTGTTCCATGGTTTGATCGAATTTTCGTTTAAATTTATGAAATTCCTCGACAAGATTGGTCAATGATTGCATGGGCATGAGATGTCTCTTGGTGAGAATGGGTGTTTTACATAGAGGACATTCTTTTTTAATTTTCATTCCTTGTTCAATACAGTCATAGCAAAACAAGTGACTACAATGAGTAGCCGTTGGTTCTTTCCAAACTTCCAAACTATTTGGTGTGATCAGAGAAAATAAGTATTGTAATATTGCATGTAAATGATGAGGATTAAATATTCAACAAGAAACAAATTTAAAATATATTTGATTTTTCCAAAATAAAATTGAAATCAAGAAGACGTTGATGAAAAAATCATCCCGAAATGCCAACGAAAGTAACACTAAACATACCATATAGCACATCGTAACTCTCTTTCAAAATTATCAAAATCAGATTGTTTCAATGGAAATATCATGTTAGTAGAGTGGATGGCTTCGGAGTGGGTAGATTTTCGGGAAGATGGCTCATTCTTTGACAAGGGTGGAGTTGGATATGAATCCGAGGGTGCCAACGAGTTCTCATCATCGGCAAGATCCATTCTCATGGAATCCGAGAAGTTTTGAGATGGACAAATTGTTTCTGATGATTTCTTTCTGGGCATTTTTTGAATTCTTTTTTTTGGCCAACTTAAAATTGTTTTGAGCCTCAACACAATTTATTGATTCTTAATAGAGCTAGTATTACAACTCTTTAACAACCTAGTAATGTGTGGAAGGTGGAAAGGTATGATCTTTCACTGGTTCTTCTAAATCTCTTGTACAAGACACTTCACTTTGATTGTCTGACAATAACTTGACACAATGCGAAGATGAGGTTGACAATGGAAACCCAGTACCACGAATTGAGGAAATAGATTGGTTCAAAGATGAGGTATTTTCTTGAATGGACTCCCGTAAAAATCGAACTTGTTGCAACAATTCTTCCTTCTCCATTAAAAGAGTATCATGAGCTTTCTTGAGCTCTTCTACAGCTACTTGATGTGCCGATTCTCTTCTTTTCATCTGCTGTTCCAGCCGTTCAATATGTTTTTCAGATTGTGACAGATTTTTCTGTGTGGATTTTGTTCTTACTCGTTCTTGCTTTAACTGTTCTTTCAACTGCTCATTGTCATCTTTCAGGGACTCAATCATGGAATTTTGAATTTCTATTTGAACTCGCAGTTCTTTGATCTCACTTAACGCTTTCAAATTATTCTTAGATGGAGAGGAGTTATTTGAAACGGCAGAAGTTGAATTTAAATAATCTTGTAGAGAGCTGGTCAACTTTCGTGTTCGTTCTGTGAGAGGTTCATGCTTTTCCAGCTCATTCTGAAGGAGGGTTTCAAGTAAATCGGAAATGTCTTGCGTCAGGTGCACCTTCACATGATTTGTAAGCTTTTCGTTTTCGTATCGTTCTTTGATCTCCTTAATTTTATCCCTTAACTCATGAATGGTTTGTTCATGGCCAGATTTTGAGTGATGATGCGAAAGATCTCGTTCTTTCCTGGATGAGACTTGTACAGGACGTATGGAAGAAGTGTTTAAAATGGACTGAGAAAGCTTGACAATGGGAGAGTGATCTGCGTTGGGTATTCTCATGTTTAAAGTAGTATCTATGGATGAAAGCTCTTCTTTAGATAAATGACGAGATTGTTTGGATCGGTTGTTGGCTACTGATTTCTTGATTGGAGATGAGCCTTCTGTTCTTGTTAAATATCGTTCCATCTCTGTGACTTGAGAAACAAATTGCTCTTCTAGATTGTTTTTCTCTTCCGTAATTTTGTCAAGAGCGGATTTCAGCTCCTTATTTTTCTGTAGCATTGAGGATAGTAATTGGTCTTGCTGAATGGAGGATTTGGACGATGAGGAGGAGGACGCGGAAGAGGAGTGTGTATTTGTTGCAGCGATGGGTTGAGATTCCAAGCTCTCACGTAAATTTAACTTGGGAATTAGAATTTTCAAATCATCTTTCTCTTCATCCGAGAGTGAGCTGTCGAGTGTATTCATAGGTTGCCACGTTTCAAAATGAGCCTCTTGATCGCGAGTTGAATGAGAGCTCTTGTAAGGCGAAACGTTGTGCTTGGACATGTTGGTGCCACGTGTTTTTCGATCTCCACTTCGTAGAATGGCTGACCTTACCAAGCGTTCAACTTTTTCTTTTTGTTCTTCCATATTCTCGGAACTGGTATCTATTGATGTTTTTGATAGTATTTTGATTTTAGAAATGGTTGAATCGCCATTTATCTTCTGCCGAAATTTCTCGTTATTGTTTTCTTGAGCGAGATCATTTAAATCATTCCTACCAATTGTTTGATGTTTATCCAATGAAATGAAATTGTCCTCCTCATCATTATCATCACCGTCATCATAGCTTCTACGATAGAGTTCCAATTGATCCGAGAAATCATCGGTGTGTTCGTTCAAAAAATTGTTCGTGCTACTAACATCGGAATCAGTATCATTATCATCAGTATCCATAGGATTGCTCAAAAACCTTTTTGCCGAAATAACTCCAAACGATGAAACAGATGTATCCACATTGGATTTTGTTCCTTCCCTTGATAGTGATGAATTAATTGAGGAAGCAATCGAGCGAGCGGAAAGTGTTTTCATTTTTTTTTCGTTCCCTTAATATACAAAATGGAAATTTACAAATAGAGATAAAATAAAGATTCCATTTCGTTTACTCTGCAAATTCTGGAACTCGAAAGGTGCTTGTAATGAAACCAATAATATTTCGAGGTGAGGTGTTTGGCTCGTTCTTTAAAGTCTCTCTCTTCGACTCGCCCACTATCAAAACTGGAATGGGATTCAATTGTGTCACTCCTAACATGATCAATGTTGGATTGTCCATATATTGTGTCATCCATTGCGAGAGATCCTTGCAAAACTCGGCATTGAATTGATCGGATGGAAATATTTGTTTGAAATCAATCGTAGATGAAGTTCTCTCTACGAGTGGATGTAGTGACGAATTTCGTTGTTGTTGTTGTTGAGGAAGTGGTGTTTGTCCAGTCGTTGATGTGTTAGTGGTACTTGTTGTTTCATTAGCCATTTGTGAGCAAGTGGTGACAACAGCAGCATTATCATTCAATAGAATTCTCTTATGGAGTGTTCGTTCTGGTAATTTGTGCAATTCAAAATGAACTCCCAAATATTGACATATAAATTCTAAACTTGTGAGTGGATGCGAGGTGGTCGTATTCGATGGAACACCATTGGCAAAAACGAGTGGAATGAGAGGTGAGTTCACTGCACTTGGAGTACTTGGATCTTTCCATGTCATTTTGTGAGGTTCTCGAGTGACTTGATGAACAGCCAACAATTGTTGTTGCAATTGTTTCAACAAAATAATATCTTGGTAGGTGTTTTTACAGTGAAGAGAATGCACATTGTCATCATTCATTGGATAAGAATCGCCATCCATAGCAGCAACATCAATCATGGTTGCATCTTGACCACAAGAGCTTGACTCAATGAACAGAATTCCACATTCATTCATTTTCAAGCTTACCTGAAAGACCTTATTCTTGGAAGGATCTACCATGGTTGTAGTGGTTGTTGTATTTGCATTTGCATGAATCGTATTGGGAATGGTTTGTTGTTGTTGTTGTAAATAATTACTCGTCCAATATTTAATACAATCATCATTTTCCCATTGATTGACCAAATGTTGTCTCTTATTGAGGGTGATGATTGAGGGAAGTGAATGGCCTGAAATTGTACTCGTCGGAACCTTATTCAAGCATGATGTTGGAGAGTTATTCAACTGAGAAAAACAAGCATGTTTTAAGAGTGAGGATTGTTGTAACTTTTCTTTCCAAAACATACTCGAGATGGTTTTAGTTACTCCGTTGTTGGTGTTGTTGTTGCTCTTGTTCGGATTCAAATTGAGAATGGCATTCCATGAGGAATGTACTCGTCGGAATTGTTCGAGTTCTTTGGGACATTCAATGAATTGCAAAATTTGATACACAATTTCATAGGGAACAAGACTTAGAGAGGATGGGGTTTGAGTAGAATAGGATTGGATCATGGTCGTCATCTTTCCCGATGAATTATTATTATTATTAAATTACAAAATTTACGAGTGGTTGAAAAATCGTATTAGTGATAATACTGTAGTATTATAACTATTCGGGACAACTTGTTGTTTCTTTTTTTACGTTTGTTCTTCTTCTCATCCTCATGGTGAAGTTTTCAAGTGCATGGGAAATTCCCGATACCCGCACGAGCATTGAGAATTGAGAAAGCAGGTAATTTTTGGAAATTGGTTGACAGCAACTTTTCAGCCAGCGCAGCAGTTACTGTGAGAGTGCCTTCGTGTGCGCACTAACAAATCTCAATACGCCTCAAATCTCTCGACATTTCTTGTCATGCTGAGAATTGAGAAATCAAATATTGCAGAACTCAAGTTCTCTCTTCCATCTTATCGAATTCTCAACGGCCTTGAGCAAAATGATCTAAAACAATGAAGTAAAGCAACGAACGATTGAGAAGTGTATTTCGTCAGTTGCAACTCAAACGTGCTTTGCAAATCAATTCAACGAAAACGAGTAATGCTGACATTGAAACAATAACAACAAAAACCAAACACCAAACAATCTGTGACACCTTCGAGTCATGGTCACCATGTGATTCGTCGAACAACAAGCAAAAGAAATCGAGAATGGATTTAAAACCTTTTCGGCATACTAATTTGTTTCAGTTCTAAACTTGATTTCATGACATGATTCAAACACTAATTTTTACAATTCTCTCAAACATTCAATCACACAATAAAAACTAACTAAATAGTACAATGATCAATAATTCTTCATTTCTAATTTACATGACACAATAATAATTTATTGGGACTTGTTCAACATTTTGCAAAGGAATTGTTCATAATCAAAATCTCCAGAATCTTTGGCACCAATTTCATTTCTCATTTGAACCCATTCTTGTTCTGTGAATTTCTCACCCCAATTACACAAGGCATCTTTCAATTCCTTGCTTGGAATGGTTCCTTTTCCGTCCTCGTCGAAAGCACGGAATGCTTCTCTAATCTTTTCTTCACGATCACTGTTGTGTGTGTGTGGAAACACCGGGAAAATCAATTTGAAATGAAAGTGAGAGTGCAAATGGAATCATGAGGAGGAAGTTGGATAACATAGTAGTGTGTGAAAATTGTTGAAGATGAGTTGTTGTAAAATGTCAAGTGTTAACCATCCATCGAATGCAATCATGAAAATGATCCAAAATCGATACGGGTGTGTGGGAGAGATGATGAGTTTGACATTATCCATTCAAACAAGAGTGATAGGTTTCACAGACACACACACGCATGTACAACAATAAATATATATAAAAATCAAACATCATCATTGAACATAATTCGCATCATGAATCGATGGTCCATAAAATCATCATCAACTTACGTGTTCTTCAACTTTTGTGAAAGAACGGTCAAGAATTCAGTAAAAGTGATAAAACCAGTACGAGAAGAATCACATTCTTCAATCATCTTTCTAATGTCGTTTTGTGATTTGTTCTCACCCAATGAGAGGAAAGTCTTTTCCAAGTCAGCTTTGGAAACTTTTTGATCTTCATCCTTGTCGAAGAAGGCGAAGGCTTCCTTGTATTCTTTGATTTGTTGTTGTGTGAGTTGGTCTGATGACATTTTGTGTGTGTGGGAGATGATGAGTTTGTGGTTGCTTGGTTTTTTTTATGGAGTCTGGTGGATGATTGATGTGAAGAAGCTGTCCTTATTTTTGCAGCAGCCATCACTCGTCACCCATTTTGTTGACGTTTGAAGTCGTCATGAGCCACCTTAGATAACACAGTCTAAGGTAATTCTGCAACTCATTAACTTGGTTAGTAACATAATCGAAGTCTACCACCATCACAACAATGGAAGACAGTATTATTGAAAACGACAATACAGGATGTTTGAGTTATCAATTTGTTTATTGATGTGGTGAAAAGGTCCAAGTTGTTCAAACACAATTACGTCTTTGGAACAATGGTGAAAAGCTCAATATAACGATCACCAATGTTGCATCTGTTTCTTTCGTTGGCAGCTCTTTCTGCTTCGCTCTTTGTTCTAAATCTAATGTAGCAAATTCCAGTTTGACGATTTCTCTTAAAGTCCATCTTGAATCGAATACTATCGTCTTCAAAATCATAACCATTGAAAAACTCCATAATGTCTTTTTCAGTTGCTGTGAAAGGAAGACCTCTCATTTTGAGAGTTCTCTCAGGATGCTCGAAGAGTTTGTATTTGAATGGTTGTTGTGAAGAGCTGCTAGCCATGCCATTACTCGAGTTCATGAATTGGTCCAACCCATAGACATGATAATTGTTACCATTGTTGTAAGAGTATTGAGCTTGTTGCATCATGAACATCATTGGATGATAATAACCTCCTACACCGGTGTATGCAGGATTATATGAGCCATAGTTGCCTCTACGATTGTATGGATTCTTGCGATAGTATGGGTTGTTGAATCGTCGTGTTGTCTGATGCTGCTCGTGTGGTTGTTCTTGTTGGCTTGCATCGCCAGAGCTTGCTTCCAAAGTATTGTCGTTGGATTGGGTCTCTTGGACAGGAATAGCTCCTTCTTCTTCTTGCATGTCTCCGTCTTCTTGATTTGTTTCTTCTTCAATGCCACAAACAGCAAGCATTTCAGCTCGATCACTCTTGAGAACTCTCACAGTGTAGGTCATTTCATTCAGTGGTTCTCCTGTTTCATGGTTCTCTTCAGTAGAGGTGATAGTGGTTTGATCCCTCTCAAGTGCTCGTGTCAAGCTTTCTTCATCATCAAATTCAATAAAGGCCTCACCTGTCGAGTGCTCATCCTCACCAAATATGAGATGAATTCCAGCATCAGCAATGTTTAGGCCGTTCAACCAGTCTGCAATTTGATCTTCCTCGAAATCTGTTGGCAGACCTTCAATCTTGACAATGAATGATGATGATGATTCAACTGAGGTCGTTGGTTTCAATTCGTTGTTGGATGAAGCGATAGCATGACCTCCATTCATGGTACTATTTCTGTTTGTTTGATAATAATTATTTCTCATGGCTGGTCTTTGATAGTAATTATAATTGGTCAAATATTGGTGGTGTTGTGGTTTTGTTTGATAGTACTGTTGATGTTGTTGAATATAGTATTGGGAAGCTCTTAATTCGGAAATACTGCTGTGGAACAATTCAATGTAGCGATTTCTAATTTTTTCCTTATTTCTCTTGGAGGCTTGAACCATTTGTTCATGAGACATAAATTCAACAAATACTTCTCCAGTTCGCTTTCCAGTCATGGGGTTAATGACAAAAAAGATTTTTCTACGAGTTGGCATTGAGGTTTGCTGCGAGAGAGTCTCTTGATTGTCATGATGTTCTTGTGGTGACTCAGTCTTACTTTCATCGGCACCACTACTCTGACTACTATGGCTCCCATCGTCTCCAACCATGTTCGTTTCCTCACTGGTACTGCCTCTGCTACTACTGCTATTACTATTGGGACTACTGCTACTACTACTATTCATTCCTACATAATGATGATGATTCTGTCTATACAGTGGAGCTGTTGCAATGGTAAGGCCAGAAAAGAATGTTTCAATTTCCTCTTCGGTTGCAGAGAAGGGAACATTTCGCATCTTGAGAATTTTCGAATTGTTTAAATTCTTCAAGTTGCGTTCGAGAACTTTTCTCGAGTGTTCCATCTCGTCCACAGTACTCTTGAAAATCTCAATGTATCGATTGCCGAGATTCTTCTTGTCCATGGTCTTTCTTGCTCTCTCAAGCTCTTCATCGGACTCGAAACGAACATAGGCTTCGCCTGTAGATTTGCCATAATAATTAAGCATTAGAAGAATGTCCAATTCCTTAACAAGTTCAATTGGTAACGTGTATTGTCTTGCTGGAGATTGACCTGCTGTTGGTTGAGGTGATGATGGCGATGATGAGCCCATTGAGGTCAATTCGTTCATATGTGAGTGAATTTCATGATTATTGACATAATGAGAAGAAACTTGTTGAGGAGTGGTCGAGGTGGTTGGTGAGTAAGAAGAGTGATTGGCAAATGATGCTGGTTGGAATGAGGACGATGAGGGTGATGACGAGGTATGAACACCAGAAGAGGAATTTGCACTACTACCATTGTTGGTACTATTACTAGTTGTAGAGGATGGCACTGAAACTCCCTTCAAAATGTCAGCATAGGTTGGCTGTGAAGGAACAATTGCCGAAGGAGAAGTTTGTTTCGGAGTTGTCGTGGGCAAGCTTGATACTGCTCTGCTGTTGTTATGAGTGGATGAACCATTATTGAGGTAGCTACCAAAGTTACTTTTCTGTTGTGTCATTCTATGACTTGGACGTTTCATGCTGCTCATCATGGTTGGCTGCGTTTCAGTATTCTGTTGCTGTTGTTGTTGTGGATGAGCTTCATACGTGGGAGCAGAACTTTGCACGGGCGAAGAACACTCTACAGGTATCTGTTCCTCCAAATTAGTGAGTGAAGGGTCTCTCTTGGCTAGCTTAAATTCGGAGAAGAATTCAGCAATATCACGGATGGTGCTGGTCCAAGGCAATCCTCTAAGCCTTGCAACACTTGTCTTAAATTCATCAGTAAGGGGAGAGTCGACTTGTTGCAGGAGGGCTCTCTCTTGTCGGATGGTTTGCTGCAACACATGAGGAGGAGGCTCAAACGAAGGAGAATGAATGGAGAGAGGTTTTGATGAAATGAAGCTTGGTCGGTCATTATGTTGGTTGGTAGCACTTGTCGGGGTAAGAGGTGCACCACCTTCGGCCGTCGAAGAGGAGGTTTGGACCATCGACTTGGTATCCATCTGTTCATGGCTTTCATGGCTACTACTACTAGGAGTGGAATGGTTTGTTGAAACGAATGATGAGGTAGTTGTGGTAGTACCTTCAAAGTCTTCTTGTTCGGATGAAGAACAAGTTGTTGTGGCAGCATTACTATTTGGATGCACTTGCTTGAGGATGGTTTGAGCCATTTTTTCGCAATTCTTAATCATTGTGAAATTGCTTTGAAAGAATGAGGGAATGTTCGTGTTTGTTTTGAAGCTGCTACTAGTAGTTTTCAGGTATTTGTTGCCTGTTGGAGTAGTAGTAGTAGTGGAAGTTGATGTTGTCGTATCTGTTGATGTTGTTGTTGCCGACGATGTGGGATACGAATTCTCAATGAATGAAAAGAAAGGTCGTTCAAAGAGACTATCAATATGAATGCAATGTCGTTGTGCAAGCTCCTGAATGACTTGAGGAATATTAGATTGCACCACGGAATGATACTGCAGTTGTTGAGAATGATGATCCAATGTCGAATGAACTACTACTGGAGAGAGGAAACAAGAATGTAATTTGCTGGGTATAAGAATGTCTCTTCTCTTGGGTGCTGATGAAGAGGATAATAATTCTTCTTGAGATGTGGATGTTACTGTCGTTGAAAGTGTCTCGTGTTCAATACTCTCGTCCAACTGGGAGGAGTGATTGGTTGTTGTTATTGTGAATGGGTTGTTAAGTTCCGAGAATTGTATGCGAAGAGGAAAAGGAGGTTCAATAAATTATTGAAAAATTCAACGATTTTGTGATGTTTTTAAAAATCGAGAAGAAACACACCACCCGTTCGTTATGGATGGAGTAAAGGAGAGATTAATTCGGAGAGAAGGATTCAAGTTTCACCGCGATCGGCGTACGTAATGAATTAAAATTTGTGGTAATGTTGGAGTGTGTTACAAAAACATTCAAGGATGATGGTCGTCGTCACACGAACCACACAATGCACGGGGATGAATGAATTGTCGTTTCGTGGTGTGGATGATGATATTAATGTGTGTCAACAATAATTGTTAAACACAATAATTGTCGTCGTCGTGTCCAATGATCGTCGTCAAGAGAGTTCAAAGGTGTTTGCAGCACACCAAAGATTGAGCGTTTTGTTTCAGTTGCATCCAGCACGCACACAATTATTGGTCAATCAAAATGCAACATTCGACGAAAATGGTATTTTTCAAAATTATTCAATCAAAATTGTGTGTTCGGGGAATTATTGGTTTTGAGGAGATGGCGGAGAGTTGCCATTCATACAACAACAACAACAAAAAAACATGGAATGCCAAATGTCAAGCAAGTTGTATCACATGGTTCATGTTTTCGCGTGATGATGACCATGATATCGTCATTTACCGACCACCAAATAATAGTTGCACAAATTTGGACAATGAAAACATTGAGACAAAGTCATACACAACAAAATTAGGAAAAAGTGTTAAAAACAAAAAAGTAATCACACATTTCATACATACCAATTGGAGTAATTCACAAAAATTAGAAACAAAATGTACAGGATATGGCGTATAATGACCACACTGTAAAATTTCAGTACTCGATGGATCATATTCCTCCAAATTAATGATTATTCCCTTTTGGCTTGTGTGAGGAGACTGAATGGAGTGATTGTTGTGATCATTGTGATCATGATTGAAATGATTACTAGTTTTTGATTTTCCAATATTCAGCCACTTGTTGTCACTCGCATCCATCATCACGTCTTTCCGATGACTGGTTGTTGTCAATGCTGTAGGCGCGTTGTCACACTTGACAATATGATAAACCACAGATTTGACACCACTCGGAAATGATGATGAAGGTACCTCATCGAATGACATGATGGAATTGTCACCAAAAAGCCATGACGATGATGAAAATCCATTTCCAGCTGCACTCCGATCAACGCTTCTTTTCAGTTGCTGACGAGCGAGTTTCGGATACGAAAATTCAAATTCTATAATAATACAATAATGAAAAGATTCTACAATATTTGAAATAATGGCATGATCATCCACCAAGGATGGATTCAGATGAATACTTGTGTTGTTTGAAATATTTACATGTTGTTGTGATTGTGGCAATGTGGATGAAAACAATAATTGATTTGAAATTACAGATGTCTGAGATAACGGAAAAAACCAATCCGAACAACTACTCGAAGATGATGAAGACAAGGACGATGAACAAGATTCGCTCATCACATCCGATCCTGTATGAAAGGAATGAGATTTTGTGGCAACACCCATCATGACCGATGATGGTAAGATCTGTGATGGTTGTGATGGTTGAATCATCATGATCGGCTGTTCGTTGATGGCGTTGGTCATAATACCATTCGCCGTCGTCAGAACTGTGCTCACGGAACAACGTTCATGTGGTCCATCATCGGTTGATGAAGAAAGAAAGCGAGAACTTTGACGAAGACTTTGGCTTCGGGGAAGAAGTGTGCTGTTGAGATCCATCATTGAGTATGTGTTGAGATGATCTTTTGTGGTTGATGGGATGAATGCGCAATCGGTTTCTCTTCAAACAATAATGTGGTTAAGGTTGGATGGCACTGGACTTGTGCAGTATTTGTTTTTTTTTACAATTCAGATTCTTTTATTAGAACGATGGGGGATTCCAAAAATTCGGCAAACTCGGAATCAGTCGTGGAACATGTTATTGGTTTTGAAATATTCCAAAACGTTCGAAATGGTACGTGTGACACACAATTTGGAATATTGGAACACACAAATTTTGAAAATGATCCAATGTTCTTTGATTGAAATAATATATTTGAAGAAGAAATAATAATGTTTATGATAAATAATATTTAAAGAAACTGCATGAATGTCTTATATCATGTCATTCAATAACGTTTTCACTGCATAAATAATTTCTTGTGCTGAAATTTTCAAATACAAGGAATCGTGATGACCCTCTCCAGCCACAAGCATGTATTTAAATTTCATATTTCTCGCAAAGCACATGTAATCTTGTGGAAGAGCTCCCCAACCGAGTTCAATCACACCCGTTCCAGCTCGTGTGAACAAAATATTGCTGAGAGACGCTCCATGAGGTGAAATCATGATATCTGTTTCATAGAAAATCTTGGCAGTAGTTCGAATAAACTCATTGGCGTCCTTTGCTGATCCAATCACATATTCTCGTACTTCACAATCTGGAAATTCCTTTTTCAATGCCAATAACACGGAGGCATGATCTTGCAAATTTCGTGTCTGAGCTCGTCGATCAATTAAAGTTATAATTTTCTTCTTTTTCAAAGACAATAAATTTGGGAATTTGTTATGCATGCCTTGTGTAATTCTCGAGTTTAGATATTGGTATTCGAGAGCATTCATGTGTGGAAAATTGTCATCATCTGCATGATAGAGATATAATTTGTTTGCTCTCATGACAGTTTTCAATTCTTGAGTGACTAGATATCGTTTTCCAACAATGACTTGCAATTCTTCCATAATTCGTAAATATCTTTCAGCCACAGGATTATTTGGCCAAATTAATGGAATATCCAATGGCAATTCATTCCATAATCGAACCATTCTCGGAAGAATCTCCACTGGCATGTGACCATTTGCATATGGTAAAACACTGCATCCTGGATTGGCCAATTTTTCAAAATGTCTCACTCGAAAATACTTTTGAATGGTTGGTTTCCATCCGTAACCGAGTTGGACTTGAGCGATAATGCCTTCATCGGTGAATGTGGCCCATGAGACATCATGATGAAAACTTGACTCGTCCACCCATGCACATTCAATTTCTACGATCCAAGCTTTTTGCTCAACTGTGGTGTGTATGTGTGAATTTAAATATGGTGAAATTGTCCAAGGGTAATTTCAAATATCACACCAAATTTGGAACATGTTGTAATAATATTGTTTACCAATGGTTGTTAGAAATAAATTTCGAAAGGTTCATCAAACATGATCATTACATATTGTTTTCAATAATTATAATAAGAAACAAATTTCAAACATTTGAAAACATCAAGACATTTAGAATGTCATGATTTTCATAACCATCACCACATTCAAAGAGAATAATCACAATTAACTTACTCTTCGCACAAAAAGTTCCTTCTCTAAATTGTCTTTTCGAAGATTCCTTACACTTGTCGGTCATGTCAATTAAATAGGGTCTTCTCCACTGAGCATCATGATCATTCGCTGCTGGTTTACAAATTTCACTTTCCGTCTTTTCACTCAATTTATACGGAACTAAATTTGCATAATAATAAACATCCTGTGCACTCAGTTCCAAACTTTTCACAATTTTCACATGTTTCGATTTTTTAAATAATTTAAATCCTCGTCCATCGTATTCGTGTTGTGGTCGTTTCCAAAACGAATCAAAGAACTCGGATGGAAATTCATGGTCAGATGGAGTACGGAGTAGTGGACACTTTCCTTTGGTTCCATTGATGATGGGATTGATGATGAATTGATTGGATTCTAGCGAGAATGTCACATCTCCTAATGAAGACGTAGATGAAGATTTGGTTTTGTGATGATGACCTTCTCGAATAAAGAAACTAGCAATGATAGAGCCTAGAGTGAGAAGAAGAATGACAAGAAGTGCGAGACGAAGATATTTGGAGACTGGGAGTGTCAAGGATTGTTGCGGCAACAAGGTTTTTGAAACAAACATTTTTTTTTTCGCGAACGTCACTTGCCAAAGATGATATTGGGATCAATTATGTGTAACATGGATATTTATTAAACACGGTATCAATGTTTTCACAAACTACAAGCGTGGTTCATAATTAAAGAATGCGCAACAACTTTCACAATTCAAAGATGGGCTGTTCGTGATGAAATAAATTAGCCCGCCAAAAATTTACACATTTTCAAATCAAGAAAAAATAACGAACACTTAATTTCCATGAGCCACCAGCACTTGGATGTGGTGTATGGGAGAACAACAACAACAACGAATCAACAAGTGGCTGAGGAAGATCGGCCTTCATCTCCTGGTGCGTTGTCATGTGATGGAGGAGCAAAGCAAAGAAAATTAAGAAAGCAAAAAGTCATTAAGAAAAAGAATGAACTCGGAGAGTATCGATATTACAATCCGAACACGGGCGAAGATGTTACGGAAAAAGTATTAAAACAAAAGGAAAAGAAAAAGTTGGAGAGTAGTATTGTTTCGGAGCAGCAATTGGAAGAAGATGAAAAACAACTGAAGGAAACATCAACTTTGGAATCACCATCTAAAATTCAAGAAAACAAGACTTCACCTACAAAACCAACATCAAAGAAGAAAAACAATGACGAGAGAGCAGAAGGAAAATTTCAAAAAAATGTTTCCTCAACTCGACATCAACACGATGATGACAAAGCGGATGGCGACACGAGTTCGAAACAAGTCACAAAGAAAAATAATACAACTGTGAGAAATGAAGAAGAAGAATTAACTCAACAATATCCTACAACGATGAAAAAGGATTCCTCAAAAAGTGAGATTATTTCAACAAGATCCGATGATGACAGTGCAGCATCGGAACAACAACAAGTTGGACAACCCAAAACAACATCAGCTATTGTTCCTCATCTTGGATTACCAACATCATCAAGTACAGGTAAACTGCCGAGTCGTGGTACTGGTCGAAATTTGCAATCACAAGATGAAAATCAGAGTGATGAAGAGGATCAGCGATCCGATAAAATCATCATTACTCCACCTCCCACCAATAGAGCAAGATCATTCTTTGCTCCTCACGAAGGTAGTGACAATAATTTTGAAGTTTTTCAAGTAGAAAAACCACAAACCTCACAAAGTGACAAGTCAGTGAGCTCTTCCGAAAGATTAATAGGAGACGAGGACGAGAGCAAGATGAAAAAGCAGCATCGTGAAAGCCCACCTAATGAGAAAGCAAAACCAAAATTAAACAATAGCGAGCACAGAAGACGACGACGTTCCAAGCCCAAGCGCGAAGAACCTACCAACAATCAAGAAGATGAGAGAATTTCAGATGGTGCCAAGGAAGAAGAGACCTCTTCACAAGATGCCCTTATACAAGCTCCAGCCATTGCCTCTTCAACAGCTGATGACCGTATGTTGGATCAGGATGAAACAGCAACGACTGGAACTGCCTCCTCTGCTTCAGAAGACGCTCTCAATTCATCTCCAAAAAACAAAGATCCAATGGCAGAGTTGTATCAGGAAAATAATCAACCCATTGTTGCAACACCAGCAGTACTGCCCGGATATCTTGCTTCACAGTCTTCACTCAATATGGATGCTATTTGGAGCATGAAAGGATTGGCCAAGTTATGGAGAAAATCCTTAAATTTTGTAAGGACTTTTTCATTTACAGATCCTCAACAAGAGCCAACCATCAAATCAAACAAACATTCGTTATTTGATCCCACTAAGAGAAATATTGCAGAGAGAATGACACGACCAATTTTAACATTGACCATTAAGGGTGCAGATATGTTGACTCTTGATGAAAATGTCGTGCATCCTTGTGTGAAAGTATCCGTGTTGGACACTCTCACGGGTCAATATCTCAAAGCAGATTCATTCAATGACAAGTCCAATGAGGTGGTTTTACCTCAAATGACTCTACCATACAATATGAAAAAGACAAAGAGTTTAGTACCAATATGGAATGACACCATGTATTTTGACACACTGTATAATCATTTTCTGAAAGAAAATGTTGTATTTATTTTTGAACTTGTAGATTTCAGTTTTGAGTAAGTATATTTGTGAGAAGGTCAAGTGTGAGAATTGAATATGACAACTATTTTCATACGTTAAACAATTTACTGAATTGAAATGAAAATTTCATGACAACTGGTCACACCAAAATGCAATTTCTTCAATATTTTCAAATGATTTGAACAAAAAAGAAAAGGAGAATATAAAATAGCATGGGGATTTTTAAAGCCTGTAAGCTCTAGTGGAAGAGCCAATGCAGGAAAAGACTTGCGAATTAGACTTTTCAAATATCATAGAAAAATTCCTGGAATTCTCTCTAAATTTTTCACACACCAGACACCTCCAGTGCAACCTTCACAAACGAGCAGCCCTTCCACCACCTTAAACACTAATCAAGTAGTCTCTACCAATGAGGCGTTCTTGCTGTACCAGCACAGACAAAAGGCACAATTGTATCCTTCCACTCTCTACATCGAAATGAAAGCAATGGTAAGTTGAATCAACCTTGGTCGAGACATCTTGAATTATGGCTAATTTTCTGATCCTTTATATAACCACCACAGCAACGACCACCACGAAAAAAGATATCGTTCCCTGAACGACCGCAAAAACCTAATGAATTTGAAATTGGAAGATTTACTCTTGAGGAATTGCTTCAAAATAATGATGAACAAGTTGTAAATATTGTACAGTCAGAACAAACCAAAGAAAAGAAGAAGGAGCAATCCCTTCAACGACTCAAACTAAAACGTGAAGCCAACGAACCGTGTGAAATTCCATCCAAATTATTATTTCAATTTGATGCAGGAGAAAAGGGATGTATATGTTTGGATTTTTCAAAATCTGGTCAATACTTAGCCTGTGGATGTCACACCAATGAGAGTTATGGTCAATTGAAAATTTATGATGTCTTTGAGGGAACTCTTGTGGAAAGCATTAATGCTCACATTGATCTCATTTACAGTATTGATTGGAATTGTGACGATAGTGAAATTGTAACCTCGTCCTCGGACGGTACCTGTAAAGTTTGGAACGTCGAGTACGATAAAAAGAAGGCCTCCAACAGAAAACCAAAACTCGTCTCAACCGTTCAACATCCTTGCTATGTCTACACGGCACGATTCCATCCTCAATGCAAGAAGATTATTGCTTCGGGGAGTTACGATCGCCGTATTCGAATTTTCAATAAGGACACTGGAAAAATCATTAAGGAACTTGAAGGACACTCCTCTCGAATCAGTAGTATTGTCTTTGATCAAGGTGGCACTCGAATGTACTCTGCCAGTGGTGACGGCATGATCAAAATTTGGAGTTGTCGACTCAGAGAAGATTCTACCTTGGATGACATTTCCAATTCATTCGCATGCATGAGAACGATTCAAGAGAGTGAATTGAGCAAATCCACTCTCACCTGTATTCGAATGGATCCAAAATATTCACAAGAACGTTTATTTATTCATTCCCAAGACAACATGTTACGACGATTAGATACTGGATTGAAAAATATTCGTAATCGATATCATGGTGTGAAATGTTTTATGAATGCTCAGAAATGTAATGTGAGTCCAGATGGTCAATATCTTGTCTCTGGATCTGATATTGGAAGAGTCTACTTTTGGAATGTTGAAAGTGAAGAATTAATTTTTAAGGAAGGAAAAGATTTTGGATTTGAGGATTCACCAGTGTATGACATTGCATGGAGTTCTAAAGAGCATATGGTTGCATTGTGCTCGTTTGATGGAAATCAACCAATTCGAGTGTTTTGTTTTGAGAAGGCCATTGACGACATGAATTCAAAAACTCATTCGACAAACGATCAACAAGCACAGCAGCCACACAAATCGTTGCACCATCATCATCATTACACCACGCCACCCAACTACTCTCACATGTTTACATCATCAAATTTACAGGCAGCACTATTGACCAAACGATCCAATGGATCGAGTAGCAATGAGAATCCGAATTCGTATTATGGAGGTCCTTTGAGTCCTTCCAATGCGACGAGTCAGAGTTTTTTCACAATGCCTCAATCACCCATTGGAAAGAATGGACAAGGTCCACCACCACGAAGTTCAACATTATTATCAAGCGGCTTTAATTTTGGTTCGAGATCAAAAACACCAGATCCATTCAAGTTGAATCCTGGTAATTCGTTGTTAGGAGCAAGACCAAGAACATCGACAGCTCCCAAAGTGGAGTTTCAATAGTACAAAAATACGAGTTAGAATAAATACAAGTTATTTATTGTAGAAGTTAAATTTTGGCATTAGGAGGATTGTTTAAACGTTTAAACAGGGTTTCTCTGTTGTGGTTGAAAAATCTTGACAGAGTCGCAAGTGTCTACTTGAAAAAGTCCAAAAGAAGTTTTTGTTGTGGTTTAGATGCCTTATTGGAGGTTGATTTTGAAGGATTTGTGGTGTTGGAGGAGTCTGATTGTTTTTGACCTGAATGAACCTCTTTCTTACTATTATTTGATTCTTTTCCATTACCGTTGTTGTTGTTCTTGACATCATCAACATTGGATAAGGGTCCATTGGATGCCTCCATACTTGTTGACAGCAGTGCAGCAGTTTGTTTCCTCACTGTTCCATGATTCGTGACTGCCGATTTGATTGACTTTCCATTTTCCTTTTTCTTTTTCACAGTGATTTTTGTCTCATCGAGTCCAATCACTAGCTGATGATTTGCCCCTTCTTCAGAGGCTCCTGCTGGCGATGGAACATGTTGTTGCATTTCATCAAGCTTTCTCTTATGATTGGGCTTTTCTGGTGTTGTCCCTGGTTCCTCATCCTTCTTTTTCATTTTAATTTCCACAGAATTGGAATTTAATTTACAAGTATTTCGCATGGACTCCAAGACATCTTCAAAATTTTTCGAATTACATCTCGTCTCTTCAATGAGTTTTTTTTTATCGACCTTAAATTTAAATTGATGAGTGGCAGTCAAATAAAAAGCCACAGCCTTAAAGACAGGTTTGGTAAAATTGGCACCACTCTTTCCTTCAAATTTTTTCAAAATTTCTTGTTGATACTTTTCCAAGAGCCGATCACAGGCAGCTCCAATTCCACTACATCCGAACATTAAACACAAATCTTCAAATTTAATCGGAAATGAAACTCCCAATAAATTAACAGCTTCATTAAAGGCTCGTTCATAATCTTGTGCGGAAGAGGCTGATTTTTTGATGGCCATTTCTCTTGAAAATTGTGCAATATTTAGACATTTACAGGCAATATCTACACAAACAGGAACTTGGCACAAGGAAAAATTCGGAGGTAATCGACCAGTACTGATGGACAAGGAACTTTCTAAACCACGAATAAAATCTCGGGATTTGGAAATGACTTTTTGAATAGAGGTTGGATCAAGTTCCGGAGCCAGTGTTAAGATGTAGGGCTCGGTGAGAGTGGCGATGAGAAAGCGAGAGGCCATCCCTCATGGGTTTATTTTTTTTTAAATTTTAAATAAAATAATTGAAGTTTTGTAACGTCCTTGTGTGGCGCCAAAATTTTGTACAATTTTGAGTTGTTATTAAAAAAAAAATACAACAATACGAACATCATAATGTCCAAAACATCTACCAAAAGCTCGGAATCCAAAGATGAGAATAATCATGTTTGGATCAATGGTAGGTTATGCTTGAATTCATCCATTTTCTTTGTTTAACTCTATCTGGAATTTTAGCTTGGTATGATCCCTTGGCAACGGTTACTGCCATGTCTCAGTGTATGATGTTTTGTGATATTAATGGAGATGGAGACTACAAACTTGTTGCAGCAACATCGGGAAAGAATCCATTGGAGAGTAAACGAACAAAACAAACGCATCGTCTTCGGGTCTATAAAGGAACAGGAAATATTAGTGAAAATATTTTGATGGAAGAACCCATTGCAATTGCTTCATATTACACGGATTATCAAAATCCAAAACGACCCATGATTTTAGTAGCAAGTAGCAACAAATTATTTCTGTACAAGAATTTGCAACCATTTTTCAAATTTTGTATTCCTTCAAAAAGAATTGATGAGAAAGAAAGTGAAGTTTGGCAATTTCTGAGTGAGGGTAAATACGACAACAAGACTGCATTTGCAGAGTTGGCCAGACTACGTGACCTTAATGTGGCATTGAGTCCTCGAAGTTATGAATTGCTCTCGCTCGCTTCGAACGACGACATTCGACTATTTATTGACGCAAGAAAAAATACCCCGATTGATTTTCCGAACAATATTACTTGTCTTTCGATTCTACCAAAAGACAGGGAAGGAGAGGATGCTATTGGATGTCCTGTCGTTGGAACAGAATCTGGAATTGTTTTCATCCTCTCTCCATCTGGTTCACAAATAACAAAAGCAGTACAACTTCCTTCAGCTCCTGTAAAATTCTGTATTTCTGGAAATTTAGATAATGATTATCGGATTGCAGCAGCATGTAGAAATGGAAACGTTTATACCATCAAGAATGGAGAAGTGAGTGGAGTAGTTATTGAACTCGAGTCACATCCAGTAACTATGGTGAGAATTGAAAAAACTTTTGTGATTGGACTCATGAACAACACCATTCACTGTTTCAATACAAGAGTAAGTGGAAGATTTTGATTTCATCGTGATGGTGTGAAAATAACGATCAATGATGCATATTTTACAACATTTGTCACTTTCATTATTTGTTTTACAAAATTTGTCTTGCGAACAGGGAAAAAAACAATATTCCATTTACTTACCTGCAGCCATTAAAGACATGGAGGTGTTGGACATGAGAGGACAACGAAGCGTGAAATGTGTCATGGTAGCTCTCGAAAATAAGGAACTACGTATTTATAATGGAAAGTCTCTTGTGAACACAATTCAATTACATGAGCAAGTGGTCGGTTTGAAATACGGTACCTACGGCTCTGAAGTTAATAGTTTGATGATTTCATATCGAAATGGAGGTTTAGATTTTAAGGTCATTTCAAGAAAAGCAGTTCTCGAAAGTAAGACTAAAAGTGGACCTCCTCCCGAACAAGAGGAACCTCTTGATCTTCCCACAAAGACATTCTTGTATTTGGAACAAACAAAACGAGAGGTGGACTATTCGTCCGAAATGCACAATGCATTCCAGAAGGATTTGGCTCGTGTTCGCCTCAACACTGCGAGATCCTATGTGAAAATATTAACAGATGGTCAAGGTCCATTGTCCTACACGTCGGGCTCGTCCGTTCGTTTGGTTGCAAATGTGCAAGGTTTGGGACCAAAATTTAAGGTCAATATTGAGGTTCAAAACACTGGAAAGAAGCCAATTTCAAATTTATTTATTATTTTTGCCTACGATGAAGATGTGTATGCTTTGGAAGATGACGCTAGACGGTTAAATTTACCTTCTCTCTTGCCGGGACCTCTCTACAAGTTCAGCAAGATGGTGAACATGTTGGATCCTTCCAATGCACCTGACACTCTTCGACTATTTGTGTGCAGTAAGGAAAGTCCCTCACCTGTCATTACAGCAGTGGTGAATATGCCAGTGGCTGAAATGGTAGAACTCATGTAGAATGTTATTCAGAAGTAAATAAATAATTTTTTGACAAATGGTACAAAAAAAATAACATGCCTTGATGGTATTTTATTAGTGACAATGTTTTCTATGTTGTTTCACTTTTTGACATGGGAAGGAACAACTTGCAATATTAGCAGCAACAGTAGGAATTGTGTGAGTTTCGTGATACATTGAGAGGTCTGATTTGAGCAAGAAAGTGAAGAGAAAATTTGAATAGGATTCTTTTGTGCGTCATCGACAATCTTGCGCACAGCAACCATTATTTGTTCCAGGGTCAAAGAGGAGAGTTGAACAATTTCAGATTGTTCAACTTGTTTCGATTGTTGTTCTGTGCTGCTGTTGTTATTGCTGGAAAAGGAAAATTGGAAGGGTGACGATGTATTGTTAGAGGCCGTAGAGCTTGAACCTGTGCTTGTGGAGCCAAAGGAAAATGTAGGAAGCACGTTGCTATTATTGTCACGTGATGCTTGCAACGACCACGGCGAAGAAGAATTTCCAAAAGTGAAACCAGCGTCAGTACTACCTGACGTACTTTGTTTTCGATCCCTGTCATTACTTGCTGATCTAGCACCCATTCCTCCAGGTTGGGGTAACAAATCAGGAGGTAGTGAAGGAAGGAATCTTGTATTTCCAGAAGAAGAAGAAGCACCCATTCCGAAATTAAAGAACGTATTTCCAGAAGATGTACCACTACTTGTTGTTGATGATGAAAACAAATTATTTGTGGTATTCGTGTTTGGTTTGTTTGAAGCTGTCGAGGATGAGGAGGTGGTACTGTTATTTGAACTATTAAAAAGAGGGCTAAAGTCAAATCGGAATGGTGTGTTGGCAGTAGTGCTTGATGCACTATTAGCAGTAGAGCTGACATTGAATGAGGATGTTGTTGTTGTACCACTGTTATTACTATTTGCTACAGATGAAAATGTTGACGATGAAAATAGTGGGCCTGACGTGGATGAGGACGACGAGGATGATGATGTTGCATTTGTTCCATTAAGCTGTTGCTGAGCTGTTCTCGTTGTGGTCGTTGATGTTGAACCACTTGTTGCAGCATTTGACAAATTATTTGGTGCTTGATTACTTGTCGTCGGAGATGATGATGATGATGTAAATTTAAAAGAATCTTGAGATTGTTTGTACATGGTATCCAATTTAAACTTCTCTAGTGGTGAGATATCATTCCAACACTTGTTGAGTGAGCCCGAGGTATGAGAAACTCCTTCAGTATCGGCATTGGCATTGGTTCGTCTTCGTTGCCGTCTACCATGTGGATGAAGATCGTTGTGAGAATGATGATGAGAGGGATTTTCAAAAATTCCTCTTTGTCCCATATATAAAAATCTACCACCATAATCATCATCATCGGAATCATCAAAATCATCAGAATCATCGGAAGTGTTTTCATCAAAAAGATCATCATCCTCATTTTCATCATCATCAGAATCATCAACAAGTGGAGGATAAGCAATGGATCCATCCACACGATGAACATCTCCATCTCTTCCAAGTACGTGATTACATGTACCACAACAGCAACATCCTTCGGTTCCATCATCATTATCGGTTTCTTCATCATCGGAATCAACGTCCACCCATTCATCATCATCATCGTCGTCATCATCGTTATGATCATGATCACTACCACCACTAGAAACAAGATCAGGTGGCTCATCCTCATGATCAAGCAATGGAGGTAAGTCATCGTAAACGTTTTCATTGTCAGAAGAATTTTCAGAAGCCTCGTTGTTGGACATTTTTTTTGTAACAAGAGGCTTGGTACAGAACAGAACCAATTCTAAAATGGCTAATTCGAACAATAAATTTGACGTTTTATTCTAGGGTTATTCTTGAATAACTAGAGATACACTAGATGGGTGAATAAATTAATTGGTGTGACAATAATGCTGTTCTACTTTCTGTTTACATAATGGGATGAATCAATTTGATAGTATTGCAGAGAGCGCTGACTCTTTTTTGATTCAAAGGCCTCCATGAATGAAATGTCATTGTTAGTAATCAAACTCCACTGTAAGGATGATTGTTGCAATAATGGGTCAGCCAGATGCGGCGATGATGTAATGGCAGTTGTGGAACGCTGCGTTGTGACCGTAGTTGTGCTGGATATTAATTCAATTGTGGGCTGAGGGACTTCCTTGGGTGTACACTCTCGCTTCAAGTGAGACAGTCCACAAATTGAGGCTTTAACATTGGTCCGTTCTGAGAGAGGAGTTTTGTGGTAAATACCAATTAATTCCTCTACGATTCGAATCATTGTGGCTGCATGAGTGACAAGCAAAACTGTGGGCTCTACATTCTCAGTTCTAATTTTTCGTACATTATTTTCCACATTGTAAAAAGTTCCTCTCACTCTTCGAATTAAATCATACATAAGTTCCATTGTATTCTTCTCGGTAAAATACGCGAGAAAGTTTTCAGGATTCAGAGAAAAATGGAGACCCTCCAAATTCAACTCCTCATTGCAATATCGGTCTACAATAAACTTGTTTAGCAATGGAAATTCCTCTCTAATCTGATCAACATTTGGAGGCATCATATCCAATGTCCACTTTCGTTTCAATCCATAAAATTCCATCAGACCAAAATCAATATAAACTTCAATATTAAACATTTTTCCATCTCTCTCACTCTCCTCCAAAATACTTTTAACAATTTGTTCGGTCGTTTGGAGACATCGATGAAAAGGTGAAGTGTATATTTGAAGCGTTTGCGCAACGACTTGGTCCTGTGAATTGGTGAATGTTTGCTCTACTTTTTTCACGAGATAGTTGAGGTAAAAGTTTTGTCCGAACAATTTGGCACACAGTTGTCCTCGTTCTGTTAAAGGAGGATCTGCATCGTAATCTCCGTTCACATCAATTGGAGTACTTGGTGTTTCGGCTGAAGAAGCCGATGAGGGAGGGGTTGTGGGTGAGGTAAATCCATGAAGTCCAGTTCCATATTTAATCAGTTGAGAAGTCTTCTCCCCGTGCCGAGTGACAAACAATTCCTTCAAAGATGGAATGGTGTATTGTGGATAGTGAACGGTGAGAGGATTTTGAAGAGTTGTCATAGTGGTCGAAATTGAGCAAGTACTTGATGTTGTGGCGTCGGTTGTAATAATGATACCTTGTGTTGGGGGTGGTGGTAAAATATTATCTGATGATGAAGACTGCAATGGTGGTTGCTGAAATTCTAACAGTGACGTTAATGAAGAAGTGGAGGAATTTGAGAGGGTACTGCAAGTGGTGCTTGTTGGTGATGATACAAATGCATTGAGAGCAATGCTGCTTGAACTATCGGAAGTTGTATGATAATGATGGTCTTGGTGGTGACAACTACTATTTTCAATACATGATGGATTTGTGTTGTCGTGTAGTCGTCGTGTATGCTCATGACTGTTATCACTTTCTGTAGTGTTCTGAATCGGGTTGTTGTTAGGAAACGCAACAACGGATGATGATGTTGATCTACTTCTGGTTGAAATCACGGGTGGTGAACACAGGTCATATTTGTGTGGTGGTTGATGAGAGGTTGGTGTTGTAGTCATACCATCATGACCAAACATGACTTCTCCTTCATTTCCGTTATAATTATGATGGTGATTTTCATTTCCGTTACAATAATGATGGTGCGAATGGTTCATACTGTGTTGCTGAGGAGGCTGATGATGATGGAAATGATTATGCTTGGTTGTTGTGGTCTTAGGGTTGCTACTTGGAAAACTACTATTACTACTACTGCTGGTACTCTCGGGTACAGAATGTCTTTTTGTAGGAATAATAATTAATGAATCTTCATCCTCCAAAACAGTGGTACTCGGAGGTAGGTGGTCCATATTCCAATATTGTTGTTTGGTATGATTTTGTTGAACAACAATCAGAGAATAATAAATTATTTGGTGATGATTGGGATGTAATTTTCAGAAAAGTGCAAACCACGTCTCGTTCTGGATGAGTGCACTTTTCGGGAACAAAAATTTTTTTCTTGTTTATGCATAAAAAACAAACCTTTCAAACGCGTCAACCCGTCAACGATGATTTTTATTGAGAATGATTCTCAAAAAGTAACATGGTAAGGATTACTTTTTGAAAAGAATGTTGTACATTAAGGATTCATGAGCATGTCACTTGACAGTGTCCTTAAGTCTTCAACTATTAAATGTACTTCATAAAAATAGCTCACAGAAAATCATGTAAAATCCCAGATTGACTTTTTCGAGAGCTTGCTCTTACAAACATCGTCAGCAACCTCAAGACATAAAAAAATGTCCAACCAAGATTCATCCATACCGTCGAAATATTTGACACAATTGCCAAACACTACCATCACTTCAACGAACAATTATACATCATCAACAATGTCGGATCTTTCGATCCCTTCTTCCTCTTCGATCCATTCCTCCCCACCATCGAGAATGGGACGAAGTATTAGTTATGCAGGAAATTTACAAAATCATGATCGTGATGACAACGATGACAACCATACCGAAGAGAATTCACAATCGTCATCATTGACGTGGACCACCATTGAATCATCACCTCGGAATCGAAGAAAATCCAATCAGGATCGATCTTCTCCATCTTTGACACCATTGCGGAATGATGATTCATCATCGTCACCTCGGAGAGGAACGACCAATTCATCTTCCACAAATTATTCCCCATCGCATCATCATTATCAATACACTCATGGATCGACATTTTCAACCAGAAGCATGTCATCTCCTGCATTACTTTCGGAATCGAGAGGAAGCATGTCCTCACTTCGATCACTTCATAATGAATCGTTTGAAATGATTCCTCTCACGGTCTTGACCTTGTGGAAATTAGAGGATTATAGTGTGACGATGGCGACACCTCTTCATGGAGGTACATCTCCTGCAAAAGAAGTCAATGAAACAAATCCCTTTGACAGTGTTCGAACGAATGAATTTCATACGTTTATAGAAAGTGACACCACATCGACAACAAGACGAAGACCAGAAATGGTGAGAGGAGATTCATACATGTTAATGTGGTGTCCATGGTTTAACATGTACGATAATTTATTTATTGAATTTTGGCTTGTCAAGTTGGATGAATCTGCTACTTCAAATACCTCTTCGAGAAGTAATACAAGTAGTAGTAGTAATGACAATTTCAGTCATACTAGTTATAATTCAAAACATGGATGTTCTCCATCCTCCTCCATGTCACCATCCGCGGATGATAATAATAATTTTCGAATACTTCCAGTTCGACAACATGCAAAAGCTCTCTCAAAACAAGCGACTCATGAACGATTTTTCAGTGGAAATATTTGGGGATATTCAGTCGTATTAAATTCATCTCTCGATCAAAAAGATGAATCAATTTTACCTCAATATTTAACCAATGCATTCCCCTCAGCGAGCACTCACTTTTTCGGAAATGATTTGGAAAATTTAATCATTTGCTTTTTTGGAACTACCAAAATTTTCAAATTCAAGCTTAATGTCATGAAGGAGCTGCACAAAAATCACAAGTCCAAAATCAAATCCGAATATGTGACCAATGTAGAATCCATTGATTTTGTGGAAGCTCTTGATTACAAATCCTTGCGTGTGCATTATGCAACCACTCCATCATCAGTCGCCACAACTCCAACCGACGTATTTTTCGATGTCGTGAACACAGTCGAAGAGGAAGAAGAAATGATCGACGAGTTGTATCAGAGTCTATTCGATTCGAGTAGCATCATTTCGGACAATGCCAAAAAATCACTTCGTTTAATGTCACGCATTGAAATGATTCATGACCACCTTCAAGGTTATGGCTTTGTGAGATGTGACATTCAAAACAATTGTCACTTGTACTCATTGAATAAGAAGAGACCTGACAGTTCAATGCAAAGTCCAATCTCTGCCAATGAAAGTATCAGTGATGATTCCTTTCTCGAATTAGAATCTCCTCGTAATACTACAACCACTCTCTCAGTATGTGAACGACGTGCATTCAAATTAGCTCACCAGTCACTGAGCTTGGTATTTTTTCAGAGACAAATAGCTCGAAAACAATATTTGAATTTGAAAAGTCCAACCAGTGGACGATTTGAAATGAACTATTCACCACACTCGAAAAATACTCTAAAAATTGGATTTGAAAAAATTGGACACATTTTACCATTTCACGTGGATTCTGGAAAATTGAACATGATGAATCATTCGAATATCAAAATTTGTAAATTTGATGAGAATTTGTTTCTAGTTTTGGAAATTGATGAAAAGAACATGAAAAAGCAATGGGAAAATTATCAACTTTTACGACAACAAGTAGAATCTATGACTGTCACGTCCAATAATGAGTCTTTGCCCACACCAATCATCATGATGGAGCAAAATCTCTTGCTCGATCAAGACAAGGAGTTTGATGCGTTACAATTTTTCAAATTTTACATTCTGGATTTATCCAAGTCGGATGATGTGAAATTATCCAGACTTTTCACAAGTTATGATGTGACACAACAAGCAAGTCATGCGACCACCTCTCAATTTTCCACTATGAAAATTCATGAAGCTTTTCTGAAAATTACTTCACCCAAATCGAAACAAATGCACTCTTCAACCTCAACGCTACACAATACCTTATTATCTAACAGAAATACCACGAGTGAAACATATTCACATAATTTACATCAACCACACCAACTTCAACAGAATAATCTTCAAGTCCATTTGCAACACAACATGCTTCCAGTTTATAGAAGTCAAAAATCCAAAAAGAAGAGATTTGATTTCATGTATGAAAAACTTGTTTCTCACATGATTGTTTTTCGAGGAGACATGCTTAAAAATCCATATCAGTACACCATTGCTCTCTTTTATAACGTGAAAGGAGATCGATACTTCTTCTCCACACAACACGATTTTAATGGAATTGGAGAATGGACAAAATTGAGAGGAAAATGGTTTGATTTTATTCATTTCACACATGTCGGCTCGAGATCGAAAACATTATTCGATCAAGCGAATTTAATGTTGAACGTTGGTGTGAAACCAACAGAAGGAAATGGTGGTGTGGTATCAGGATTGGGATTTCCAGATATTTCTCTTCGTTTGAAAAGTAAATGAAATTTGTCTTTCATATAAATATTTGAAACAAAAGTTCGAAAGTTCAACAAAAGTTTCAAGAAAAAAAATGAAAGAAACGAAATCCAACAAGTCTGAAACCAATGCTTCATTCAACAACAACAACAACAAACACGCAACAAGTTCCGAAAAACACGAACAAGTATTAGCTATCACCAAAATTCGTCCCCGAAGGAAAACATTTGAAAAAGCCAATAGCATCCTTCATTCTCAAATGAAAATTCCGAAAGCCTTTGCCAAGAAGAAGACTCTTTTGGATCAATCTGCTGAAATGCCTACATTCCGATTAACGTCCGTTCCTCATCAATCTCTAATGAAAATTGGTAGGCTTTATCAAGAAAGTGATCCAGCGAGCAAGATGTATCCGAAAGGTTTTAAAGATGCCTCTCAAATACAAGCACCAAAACGAGGACGTGGTGTCAAATCTATTGAAGAAATTGAGTTGGAACAAGGAGATTCAGATACATCGTTTTATACTTCCGATGAAGAAGAAAGTCCATCAGAGTCGGAAGAAGAACGAGCTTTGAAACCACTCCCAAAGAAAAGGGTTAAGCAATGATCATGTGATGCCTTACTAGATCCGAATAATAATAATACTCACATGTCTTGTCAACATATTTAGTGAGGCAAGTGAAAGATGTCACACACAAATGGAAATGCAAATCGAATCATGACACGAATATTTACCACTACAACATTTTCAAAGTTTTATTGATTTTCAAAAATCTCTTCACGTAGATGCACATGTTGATTCGAATGACCGATTGATCAAGATTAAATTTTTGATTCATTCCCATGAGTGAATTCTGCCAAGAGAATGTGCATCCCTTTTCAGAATGAACAAAAAAAATGTCTGAATCTATTCATGCATCTTTACTTACAATACATGAAGAAGAGGAAACACTCCAACCAATATCTTCATCACTCCCAACGCAACAACATAATGATCATCATCAGCAGCACCATGAAGAAGAAAAACAGCAAGACAAGTCCGATGCTCGTAATGATGATGACAATTTAAAAATCTTCTCACAACAAATCTATGACTATATTTCTCAAAAGAATTTTAGGCAAGCCTTGGAGGTATTGATTCATTGGATGAATTCTGATCACGCCACTCCCGATGATGGTGTGCACATGATTGAATTTTTAAAAAAGATTTACAAATTAGGGTTTCAGAGGTTGTCGAATGTATTCCGAGAGTTGGAACAAGGTCAAAACGATTGTAAAAAGTTAATTCTCGCTGCCATGTATTGTGGTAGATGTGGACATGAAGTGGATTATGAAAAAGCAATGGCATTGTTTGAGTCTGATTCTCTAAAGTATCATTACTTTTCTCAGAACATGTTGGGAAATATTTATTCAAATGGACCAAATGGAATTGATGTTGACTACCACTTGGCCAAAGAATATTATGAAATGGCTGCAGCACAAAATTATTCCAGTGGTTTCCATAATTTGGGAAATTTATATTATTATGGAAATGGTGTGGAACAAAATTATACAAAGGCAAAAGAATATTTTGAATTAGCAGCTCAAAAAAATCATCACGATTTTAAATGCAACAAGTATTTAGCATTTGAAAATCATTATTCTGAAGCATTGTATGTTCTTGGAACGTTATACGAATGGGGAGATGGTGTTGTACTAGATACCAAAAAAGCAATGGAGTATTACAAGCAGGCAGTGGAGCTTAATAATGAATATTCTGCCTTTTCCATTGGGGAAACCTTGGAAAATTCAAATGATTTTGAAGGAGCGGTGAAATATTATACAATTTCTGCCAATCTTAACTATGCTGAAGCACAATATCGATTAGCAGAAATGTACCAGACTGGTTTGGGTGTGGCTCAAAATTTATCCAAAGCTATTTATTACTTTGAATTGGCAGCAGAACAGGAATACTATGATGCAGAGGAACAGGGTGCTGCTTTGAGGTTGCAACGATTTTATTTAAATTTTCACAGCAAGCTGTTTAAAACATTAGCTTTGGGTCTATTTTCAGATGTGATTGTCGTTGCTGTCCAAGAATATGATGACTAGATTGCAAATGATGAGGCCATTCATGAATCTGGAACAAAATTGACACCATAGAAAAATGAAATGGAGTTTGCAAACGAAAATATCCACAATAACAATGACATCCATTTACAATCTTAGTGCACTAGTAGAGGTCAACAATTGAAAATTCCCAGCGTCAAGCCCTAGAGAACACAACCATTCGTGTCACCACTCAAGGTTACCATTGCTATTCTCACTACTGCATGTATCATCATGTTCAAATAAAAGCGAGAATCCCCACTTTTTCTTAAGATTAGGAGCTACTTGTTCCAAGCTTTGTTTCAATTTCAGTTTTTCTTCCTCAGAATAATCCTCAAATTCAAAATCTCCAATATCCAACACTGTCAAATTGTGAAGAATTCCACCTCCAAAATAAATTCCCCTTGCTTCCGCAACAAGAGGATGAGTCGAAGTACGTCGTAGTAAATGTAATTCTTTCAGTTGCTGGAACTCTCCAATTTTCTTAAATATTTCTCCTGAAATATTCGAACATGGATGAATACATAAATGCTCCAAAAAGGGTTGTGATTTTAAAAATTGATAGACTGTTTCATCAGAAACGACACATTCCAATGGAGTAGCTCCTGAATAGGATTTCAATTTGACAGCTTTCAATTTGGAACACATCTTGGAGAGGCACGTTAAAAATTTGTCGTCCAGTAAGCCTGGAAAACCATATTCCAACTCTTGCAAATTAGGACAACATTTGATCACATCCAAAACAAATCGCTCTTTCGTGTTGTCTTCAAATGCTCCCAAGACACTCAATGATTTCATCGATTCCATGATGGGAACGAAAAAACAATGATCTTGGTATTCTTCAAATTCAATTGGCTGTTTGGTTTCTTGAACGTTCTTGTCTTCACTCTTTTCCTCTCCATTCATGGAATCATCAATTAAACATAACTTGTGATCATTACACATTTTTGAATCCAAATAGTAAAAGCTCAAATTCAAACTTTCCAATGATTTGCATTTTGTTAAAATCCATAAAAGCTGTTCAAAAGAGCAAGAGCATCGAATGGTTAAATGTTTTAAGGTATATCCAATAGGAATGCCAACAATTTTGACAAGTTGAGTATCCTTGTCATACTTGTCAATATCCTCTCTAAGATCGAAATCAAAATCAAAATCGCCATTTTCTTGATTTTCAATAATGACTGTATTAACAATCATTTCTTCAAAAGCAATCGATCCAGAAATGTCTTCTTCATATTCTTCATCACTTTTACTTTCATTCCATACTTCTTCTCTCAATGATCTCAATTCTACAATTTTTCTCATATCCAATAATTGGAAAACAAGATCAAAAGGAATATCGCGAGCGAATATGAAATGATTCGATAATTCATCTAACGATCCATTCCGATCTGTAATTTCCTCAACGATGGCAATCACTTGATCGATATTTGTTAGAGTTATGAAAAGTGATGTTCTGGTTTTGAGCGCATCAATGAAATTCCATTCTAAATTTCCAAATTTGGAAACGTTTTCAGTAGTTGGGAGAACAGTCTTTGAAGGAACACAATATTTTGCCAAATAATGTTCAACCATTTCGGAAATTGTTTGGAACATGGTAGAAGAAGTGATTGCCAATCTCAGAATGTCCTTACTTGGTAAATATTCTAAAATCAGACGCAATTCATCATGATTTAATGGATCCAACAAGGGTTTAGGCAACAACGTATCAATCATGATCGGATCATGTTCATTTTCATCATCCTTTGAATCATGTTCGTTTTCATCATGATTAATTTTTAATTTTTTTACTTCGGGATTTTTATTCTTCTCTTCATGATCATCATCATCACTAGCCACTTCTTCATGAAATCCCTCTCCATAATTTCGTTTCATTTTTTTTTGAATTATATTTTTTAAAGACAGTGCAAATTACAGATCTAGCTCAACATTCATTTGTTGGTGTGTGAAATTACTGATTTTTTACTCAAACATCAAAAGCAGCAGCTCTCACAACTTGACTCTCAGCATAGGAACTTCTATTATATCCAGAATCATTCACTCCATAAACTCCACTGCTGTAAGACTTGGCCAAGACCCAATGTCCACCTCCATTGACATTCAAAACCACAACTTTACCAGAACAGAGCCAATTTCTAATAGTACTCTTGTTAGTAGTTTGTCCGAGGTATTTAAAACCAAATTTAGCGACAGCACCCCAAACGAACAAATTGCCATAATATCCTCCGTGAGCTCTTAAATAAGCATTCATTTCACCTGGATTTTTGCTTGATTTACCACGTCCGTTCAATGCACTGGTGACTGAGGTCATGAGACAACCAACTTTACAAATAGTTGAACCTATTCGAATGGTTTGAATGGTTTGAATTTCATGAAAATTGTCACAAATTATCACACACACGAAAATTGAATTCATCATGGTTTGATTATTGGAAAAATTTCACACACAACAACTTACTTGATCCCAATCGATTAGCTCCCCATCGTCGATCACATTGCTTAAACAATGGATAATTATAAGATTGTCTACAACTATTTCCATTTCTAGAAGTATTTCCACCCTTTGGTTGAGTTGGTTTCTTTGGTTGAGTTTGTCTTCCACCGCTGACAGATGTCAAATAGGCCTTTGCAGCAAATCCAGATCCAAAACTTCCTGAAACTCCATACCAAGTATATCCACATCCAGTTCGAACCACTCCATTGTAACTCACTTTTTCACCAGCTCTCAACACTTTGATGACTCTTTGATTGGTACATGGTCCTTTTCGAACGTTGAGCATGGTCGTGGCCTTTAATTGAGCGCCTGATGAGAGGAATGCTTCAGAATCTGCCATGGCCTCCGCTTCTTCAGAAAATTCATCATCGGACAAGGCAGTTGGCATCATGACAAGTGAAGTGTCAGCCAATGCTTCATCAACGACAGCTTCTTCGTCCTCTTGTTCCGTTCTACCAGCAGCAGCGTTGATAACACTTGGTGGTAGATCAATTCCAAAGTGAAGAGCATTCACAGGTTGTCCAACGAGAGAAATGACATTTGACTGTTCTGGATAGGCCTTTTGAGCCAAAACACAAGAAAAAGTGAAAAGAAGAAGAAGAAAGGCAACGAGGAGAGGGGTTCTGTTCTTCATCGTGTGTTGGAGATTTAAATATTTTTTTTATGATGATGAGTGGCTCTATTTCTTCATAGTATGAAATTTTGAGGCAACCGATTATAACTGTCAGTTGTCAGAGAAGAATTGTAATGAACAGTAATCGGAAAATTGCATACTATTGTGCTCGCTGTAATGTGAAACTCTTGTACAGATCTGGAAATTGTGTAAAATTCTCTTTCTTTAATTGTTTCAACCATTGAATCACTCATCCCTTTTCGATAATATAATAATCACGAGCTGAGATTGCCTCTCAATTACAACCATGATTCAATAGTTCAAATCTCAATTTTTTTGAAATATTTCCACACTGTAGTTTCGTTGAATTCAAAAAACTGTCAAGTCTATTTTTCATTCACTCATATTCCTTCAAATTTCTTGTAATCAACTCCCTTAATCGTAAAACGCATCACTTGTTGTTGTACATTTCCTCAACATTCAGACCACAATATTGTTGACAATATTCCATCCACACGCGAGCAATATTTTCTTTTTCCGGATTTGGAAATGGAAAACCCTGTTCCTTCTTTCGTTCAATGAAATTTTTGAGTCCGCTGCTCAATACTTGAACCATCTTCTTATTTACGACTGAGGAATTCATGACTAAATTGGAATTGAGAATTCCTCCCAAATTTCCAACTCTCATCTCCACATAACGAGTGGTGTTTTCATCAATTTTGGAAATTAATCTCAACCCCATGAATCGAGTTCGAATATCATTCTTGGAAACTTTGTTTTCCAAAGATGGAATTTGACAAGACTTGTACAAGAATAAATGTTCGACTAATTCTTGACCTACAAATGTGGATGTACATGAAACCACGACTTCAACCCTTCTCTTGGTTAGGATCGAATTGGTATTAAAATGTCCTGACACGGTTGCATAGGGATATTTCTGAGTGGACTTGGTTGGATGAATGGGAGAATAATCATGAAATTCCATGTCATTCAAAGTGAACGACATGTGATCGTCATGGCAAAAACTTTTCACAACATTTTCAATACTCTCATCCAAATATCCAACTAATTTGCAATTTCTCAATTTTAGTGAAGGATCAGAGGAATAATCTTTCTTGGTCGACCAATGGAATAATCGATTTGGAATTTCCTTATATGAACAATTCCAATCTGCAGAATACTCTTTGGCAAGATATTTCAAAAACTTGAAATCGCGATCAATCACATACGGTGAGACAAAATCTTGAGCATTTACCGAAAATTGAGATTGCATTGTTTCATCGAATTGTAACTTGTCACGAAACGCTTCAATCACGTGTGAAGGAATGAGATTCTTCTTGAGACCAATCTCTATCCATTCGTCCACATAGGATTGATATTTTTGTTGGAACAGAACAAAATAATCTTCGAGTTCATAATAGAACATTTCACACAGCATTTGAATTTCATCCAAAATTCCAATGGGTTCTGCATTTGAAATATTTGGTGGTTTCGTTGGTAGTAAAGTCATCATGGGTGAGTGAATGGATGAGTTTGATAGCATTGGACTCGATGAACAAGTGTTTGTAGTATTCAGTGAATCTTCGGTGGACATTTCATGATTTCGCAAAGATGGAAATTGATTTGAAAGAGAATTTTCAAAACAGACTTGAAGGAATTTGGAAAATCGTTGATGTGAAAACCATTTCTGTTTGAAGAGAACATGTTCGACCATGTATTTCAAATAAGGATAGTTGGGTGGAGGGTTCATGTCATGGTTAGTGCTTGGAAAATCATCTTGTTGAAAATGCCAGCCGTCAAACGTATAGACCAAGTGATGACAATAAGTTTCTAACATGTTCATGATGGAAGGAATGTCTTTGAAATGTTTGTGAATCTTTCTTGATACTCCATCGTAGACGTAATCTAAAAAGAGTAATTTCACTTCAAATTCCATGTCCATGTCCATTCTTAATTGTTGATCTTGTGAATTTTCTGTTTGCATTCCACACATTTTGATGTAGTCCAAATATTTCGATCGAAGAGCTTCTACAGATCCAAAGATTTCTGATTGGGGAACTGTCGATTTTGACAAGTTGTCATTTGACACTTGAGCTTTTGTCGTGTTCAACGAGTCACTACTCGATCTACTCGAAACTGACGAGGTGTCATCCACTGAGAGTGTGTTGTTCGTTGAGGATGATGCCGTGGCTATGGATGAAAGCACAGTGGATATATTTGCGTTTGCAGTGCTTTGAACACTGACAGCTGACTTTTCATAGTTTGTCGAAGCATGGGTGTTTGATGATTTTGCCGAGTTGTGTGATACATTGGAAGGTCTTCTCTGTACTTTTCTACTCCATTTCTTTTCCAATGATTCCCTATGAAGTGAACTACTAGTGTTGGAAGGAGACATTCGTGTGGCATTTGACAGTTGTTCGGAAGACGTCCAAGGGGACTGTGGCGATGGAGGAGGAGAGGTCTCTGATCCATCCTCGTGTGGAGAGCTATCTAAAGTTGATGAAGATTTGCCAGTGGTCATCCAATTCTTGCTCACAACAAAGGAAGAAACAGAACTTGACACATTTGGATGACAGTTGGCAGCATAGGTACTTGGATGGACAGGCAGCAATAGAGCAGCCAATGGTAATCGAGTCGAGTAATTATTAGCAGCTCCTCCCGAAGATGATTTGGTTCGTTTATGATTATTCACAGTGGATCTTTTCATGTTTCAATGATTTCAAAAATTTAACAATAAATCTAAAAAACACAATAAATTCAGCAAAACAAGAAGCTTCTCAATCGAAAGAGTGTGGAAGTATCTTTTGAATTTTTTCTCTTGTTTCAAAGGCATCGTCTTGGTAACGCTAAAAGAAGGTGACTACCGAACGGGCTTTTCTATTTCCATTCCAGGAATAGCAACTTGGAGTTCATGGCGTTGTTGGAGGGTTGACAGTATCTTGGATTAAATTTGTTTAAACGAAAATCCAGAGTCATCCGTTTTATTGAGTTCAACGACCACTCCTTCCCAAAGATGAAGATCTTTCCATGGATTCATTACACAATGAATGAATTCTCTCGCTCACTTCACATCTTTTACAAATTTTGATTCGATTTCGCAAATCCCACTCTCTTATTTTCATAATCAAACACAGTATAATACGTGCTAATAAAAGTATCTCCCAAAATGATAAATCCACTCGTATTCATATTCAAAGTTTGGAATCCAGCCACACATTGAGTTTGTCCCTGACTTGAAATTTTCAACACATAATCTCGAGGAGTCAATGTGAAACTTTTTCCAGATAAAATAAAAGTCACACTTGGATTGGAATCAATATTGGAACAATCCTCATTGACTTGAATGGAATTCAAGATGGGATTCATTATATCTGGAGTGGCAGCAATTAAGGAAGTTCCTGTATCAGCAATGGCAGCACATGCAGGATAACATAATTGCATATTTTGTCCATTCAATGCAACATCATCCATGTACATGAGCCAATACGATTGTTGTTGAACAGGAATGTACGTGATGGGTCCGGAATAGTATTTTTCATTGACACCTCCCAAAATTAAGGCACTGGAGACACTTTGAGGATTCTTGGTCATGTAAAAGGAAAATAAATTCTTTTCCAAAAGACCTTGTTGCATCATGTTATTGAAAACTGGAGTCACACCATCGACAGCAATTTGAGGAAAGGCCATTCCTAAAATTCCATCAATTTTTGCATTCAAAAAGGTATTTCCCAATTCACGAGTGACTTCTCCAAATACTTGATTTTTCACATACAATCCACCGACCATGACATCATCCTGACTCAAATATCCCTTGACAGCTCCAGTTCCATACGTGATATTAAACGAACGACCATTTTTCACATAGGTTCGAGATTGAGTGTGATTATATCGAGCATGTCTCACACACGAAAGATCTTTACATTCCACAGAAGGAGCCCATAAATTAGAACTTCCTGTATCAAACACCATTTTGAATGACTGAGGTGGATTTCCAATGGTAATTTCACCATAATATTGAACATCCTCATAGTCTTTGAGTGGAACAATGGGAGCAATGGAACCTTTTTCGAAAAGTGTTTGAATGGCTGGTTTGAAAAAGTTTCGAGTGTTGCTGCTGCTGATGGAAGGTTGCTGTGAAATTCGTAATCGTTCCGTGTAGGCTCGGGCAGAGTGGACCGAAGAGAATTCACGTTTGGACAATGGAATTTCAATGATGCGAGAAGTGGCGGCGAATGGAAGGAGGGCACAGCAGAAAAGTAGTAGAAGCACTGGAGAAAGAATTGTTGTCATGTTGTGTGTTTGTTAATTTTTTTTGTTGAACTCGACGAAAAAGTGAAGGTTGCGCCAAGTTTAATGACGTTAGGAGTTGGGAGTTGAAAATCTCCGTTGAGGGAGCTCCGAATGGGTAATTCACAAAGTGCCAAAATTACCTCTTGATAAATTGTAAGCCTTACTATCTACGGATTGACCAGCTGCTACTCCATTTGCTACTGCTTGGGAAAGCGTTACCTATGATTCAACAAACCCTTCACAAAGACGCCGTATGTACGCTCGGTTAGGTGCACGACACAAAAAATGAAAAATTCTTTACACCTCACGGGGATCGAACCCGCGACCCCCGGCTTCGTAGGCCGATGCTCTTCCAACTGAGCTAAAGGTGCACTCATTTCAATGATATGTTCCGGAACAAATGAAAACGTTTCTCTCCTCCAAATTATCTCCTTCATTTTGAAAACAACAGACTCCCAATGCTACGATGTTATTGAATTGTCTTGGAATCAAATATACACAGTGGTGTAGGAGACTTGGGTCTTTAAGATGAAACAGGGACAGTAGATTTTGTTGAGGTGTATATTACTTTCACATCAAGGAATTACTTGTAAAGGAATGTGACGTTCTTGTTGTTTTTTTGCCACAATCGTCGTTTAAATAAGTTGACAATTGATGATTTTAAATTCACAACGTGATCATCCATTACCACTCTTGGAATGTCATGTGACTTGTATTTTGAGAGCGATAAAAAAAAACTCAAAACACAATCATTAGTCTTGAACCCTTCACCACCCACAGAAACACGCCCCTGTTGCATCTACCACGAATTGAAAAACGCAATCTTCACATTTGATTTTCATTTCACATCATCATCATTGACCATTCCACTCTCCCAAACACCCACTTTCCAATCATGACACCCAAATCATTTGTTTGGCATTTGTGTGGGTGGTTGTTCATGTTCATTATGTTACAACACATGTTCACTCTTTGTTTTAAAATGCCAAAGAGTATTTTGTCAAGTTACACCACCGTCAACAACACTGGCAGTGTTGAAATGATTCGTCAGAAAATTGTTGGTAATTATGTATACTTTGCTGGTATTTTCAGGGTGTCCATCAATCTCTCTCCGACTATTTCATTATATCATCCGAAAGAATTCCATGATGAATGTAATTTATTTATTGCCAAGATGGAGATGTTTTCAAATGCAATTGTTTGGTACCAATCGGAGGCATTAGGATCTTGTGGTAGTTCTATTAATGCAATGGAAACCTCATTGGAACTCAATCATGGAGACTGTGATTACGTGGCTCTTTCATTCAACACTGGTTGGCCATGTTGTGGCTTTATTGCTCAAGGTGGACCTGGTTACATACTCTATAATGCAACGAACGGAATGAGATTACGAGCAGAACAATTAGTCATCTATCATGGAGCAATAACATCCTTGGCATTTGATACCTCTGGTTTCTATGTTGGAGGATATGTGAGAGGAGGGAATTATTTTGGTGTTGAAGATTTTCAAGATCCAAATTCTGGTCAAGGAGCTTTCAATACCTTTGTTAGAATGTATTCATTGCCATCTCTTCAACCTAAATGGCTCATTCAAACCGTGGACACTAACAGCACAGTAAAGGAAGGTGCTAAACAAGTTACTGGAATTTTCAATGTGAAAATGAATGGAATGAATATAACAGTTGTTTCAGGATCATTCTCATCCATAGATTCAACCGTGTGGAGAGATTCAGCTCGTAAGCTGGTCCAAGTGAACAAGAAAGACGGACTGCATGGTAATTATTTGCTATTTGTTCATGAAAATGGAACAATTTTATCTCATTTGTCAACCAGAGTTAGCACTTTCTTTGTTAAGAGAGAAAAATCAATTGTCCTGTGTGGTGTGAATTCTGTTGCAGAGTGTGAAGAAATAAGTTTACCATCATTGATGATCAAAAATGTTATGGTGTCCAAACAATTAAGTTATTGTAAATCCACAATTTATTCAGTTTCTGGAAATGAGAATCAAATCTTTATTGCAGCTAAATTTGATTCATGTAGAAACTTTGAGAATATTATTTTGTCACTAGATTCACAGTTAAGGGACACGTTTTGGAACATTAATGTCACTGCTTCAACTCTGAATTTCATCACTGTGTCAGCCAACAATCAAAACGTATCTATATCCTATCTTTACACAGGATCTATTACAGATATTCAAGGAACTACTTATTTTTACCCAAGGAAGAATCTTTTGATGCAGTTGTACAGTGTGGACTTTTCTACTTCATGTTTTGGTTTACCTTTTAATCACTCCAATGTTTGTTCTGCCCACGGGATATGCTACTCCGCTGACTATTGTGTTTGTGATTATGGATACATTTATGATAATTGTTCTCAATTTACATGTTTTGGAAAAGTGGACAATATTGGGTGTAATAATGGATCGTGTATTGGAGTGGATACATGTAAATGTGATACAGGTTTCCTTGGACCTCAATGTAATATCACAAGTTGCTTTGGAATTCTCTCTACAGATCCAAAGGTGTGTAATGGAAAGGGAAGTTGTGTAAACTTCAACACTTGTGAATGCAAGGAAGGTTATTTCGGTGAACAATGTAATTCATTTTCATGTCATCAAATACCATCATGGGATACTACCAGAGTATGCTCTGGAAGGGGGAAATGTATATCAATGGATACATGTCAATGTGACGAGCATTATTTTGGGCCTAACTGTGAACTCACTCAATGTTTTGGAATTGATTCCAACAATATTACAGTGTGTGGACGTTATGGATCATGTGTCTCTTACAATCATTGTCAATGTCCAACAAACAGAGATGGTGTGGACTGTTCTATTCCAATGTGTTATTCTGTCTCTGCTGCAAGTCCTTTGGTTTGCAATGGAAATGGAACGTGTGTCAGTGATAATAAGTGTGTGTGTCACAAATTTTCCAGCAATTTACCAAAGTTTATTGGTGACAAATGTCATCTCCCTGTTTGCTTTGGACACACTGGAAATCAATCATGTTCAGGAAATGGAGTTTGTGTTGGTCCAGACGAATGTTTATGTAATATTGGGTTTTCAGGAAATGTTTGCAATGTCGATGATAGTCTACTGTTCAAAATATTAGTTCCTATTGGAGCTGTGATTGCATTTCTTGTTTGTTTTCTATTTGCAAGTCTGACCTGTTATCTCTACAAAATCAGATATTGGAATAAGAGAACCAAAACGGAGAAGGAAATGGAACAAAAACTATTGGAAATTGAATTGGAATTAGAAAATGAAAGAAGTCAAAACGTATCCTATTTGATACCAATTGAAGAATTAGAATTGATTGAAAAAATAGGTTCTGGTGGTTTTGGTCATGTGTACAAAGCTCGTTGGAAACAAGTGACAGTTGCTGTGAAATGTGTGGACTCTAACAGTTCTATTGAAGAATCAGTTGACAATCAGAATGAAGATGATACTTTTGAAAAAGAAGTTCTCTTACTCAATAGTTTGAAACATCCCAATGTGATTCAGTTCTTTGGAGTTTGCATGACTGAACGTAAAAAATTGATGGTTATGGAATATCTTGGTGGTGGGTCTCTTGATAAATTAGTGTATGAATTGAAAATCAAGAAAAGAAGAATTCGATTACGTGACAAGTTACAAATTTTATTTGGAGTGACTAATGGACTCAGTTATTTACATAATTTGAAACCCAAGCGAATTATCCACAGAGATTTGAAGAGTGCAAATATTTTACTTGAAGAAAATATGCAACCAAAAGTGTGTGATTTTGGATTGTCAAAATTGATTGGAAATAACAATTCGACTGCAATGACAACAAATTTGGGAAGTATATTTTATATGGCTGTAAGTATTTAGCATTCTACACACAATTCCAATTATTATAATATACATTTATAGCCTGTAAGTTCATTAATAATCTTTCTCTCATTTTCTCTTTCTATTAATTATTTAATTAAGGAATTGATTGGAGTTTCAGACATTTCAATCACTCACAAAATAGATGTTTATAGTTTTGGTATTATTATGTATGAACTATTTTTTGAGGATAATCCTTTCCTTAATCATAATTCTCAAAAAATTCATAAATTCTCACAGCCTGATATTACTGATCTCAATAGTTTCAGTATTCCTCTAAAGGTTTCAACTGGATTCAGACCTAAAATTCCATTTTCGAACAGAGAAGAACAAACTTTATGGATTCAAGAATACATGAAAGACGATGAAAGATCTCTTGGAATGAGTGATTTACTTTGGGTGGTGGATCGATATATTGAATTGATGGAATTGTGTTGGGATCAGAATCCTAATGTAAGACCTTCCTTTGATGATGTTGCAATTCAATTAGCAAATATCATATCGAGATGTAATGTGTAATTATTCCAACGAATTTTTATGCAGATGATAGGTATCGATGAGGATGTAATCTAATGAAGGAATTTAACAATCTCAATTGTATCTCCATGTTTCTGTTGTCAACTTTGTGAATTATTTTCCATGTGCATGATGGTACTATTTTTTGTTTTTCAAGTTGTGGAAGGAGGGCGATGATTTACTCATTTTCAAATGATGATGGTTCGGGATCTGTTCAGTCTTCCTCAAACCCTTGAACTGGAGACTATTCAAATCGTGTCTTGATCTCGATAGTCCACGTTTCATAAGGGTAAATTTATTAATTCCTGAGACTGTAAATGCTTGAATAATGATGGGCTTTGTTCAACACTGTGATCAGATTCTCATTTGGTCGTTCGTTCGCGTCTTTCAACTTTTAATGAATGAACAACAAGAATGACACAATCGTAACAACCACACCATACGCAACAACTTTCAATGAAGAAGCAGTGTTGGAACGAGGACATGTAGTCGTACAAACGGCACTTCCATTACATCTGTCATTCAAAATATCGGTCCATCGAAGAGTATTTCCATTCCTATGAAGTCTGACAGACATTTGAGGAGTGGAAGAAGTGTCCCAAGTTGGAGGTGTAGACCTATCAGAATAAATACCTCCAATGTATCTTGTTACAGAAGCCATCGAACATTTACCAATCACATTCGATTGCAATTTCACCAAATTCAAACCTTCGCGAGTGATTTTCGCTTGTCCGTTCAAACAACAACAAGTGGCTGTATCACAATCTGGTTGAGTATTCCATTCACCAACCCAATAGTCTGTATAATCCACATTCTTATAATAAGAATTATTCTTATTCACTCTTAATTTTTTCGAACCTGTATACAGCTTGTTTTCAATTGACAATTCTGCGCCCATAATGACATCTGAAGTAACCTCAGTATTACAAAGCATTGAAAATGATACAACTCCATTGATAAGAAACACACCAGAAAAAAGTGTTTTCATATCATGACCAGTACTTTGGGGATAAAATCTCACTACACCTCCAGACAATGTGGAAATTTTACCAGCGTTATCATATGCCGTGACATTTCCGTCGAGTCGAAAACCACTTTCGACTGATTCCCTTGAAGTGTAAATTTTGATCCAACTCACTGAACTTTGTTGTTCTTCAGCATGGGCCATGTGGAATGGTTGTGGGTCTTGTTTCGAAATACATACACAGAGAATGATAAGCCCAAGAAAGCCAATATACAAGCTTTTTAACATTTTGGACAACCAGTGAATGCACAAAGAGAATGCTAGTTATAATTTTTTTTTTGAACGATGATGAATAGATTTTGAATATTCAAGCTGTGTAGGTTTACAACGAAACAAAAGTTCTTAATGAAGATCAGAATTCTGAATTCGTCATTAATATTTGACGTGAATATGTATTATTGGTTTAAAATATGACGAATTTAAGCCACAATTGGGATTTCCTGAGAGAGGAAATAACCCGTTTCTCTTACGGATGATGGACTGAAACACTCTCTTTAAGATGTAAAGGAGTGTTGGTTTTCAAGCCAGTAATGACGAACAAGCAGTGGAAAAATCTCCTCACAACCTTCAGAATAGAATACATCATCTTCAACACTCTCCTCAAAGAAAATACATGTTGACCATGGTTTGCAAAGAGATGGGAAAGCACTGATTTTTAATAGTGCGTATTATATGTGCTGTACGAATCGTTCTTCGGTTGAGAAGTACGGAGGATGAGGCTTTCATATCTTGCACTTCATCCGAGTGCGTGATGGAAGAAACCTGATGTTGTCCCATCCGTTTTGCAAAATGTATTATCAAGTTCTAATGAATGGAATGTTGTTGTTGTTGGTGTTGAGTTTTTACCACTCTTTATTTAACCTTTTAATTTTTTCACACTTTAAAGAATGAACAACAAGAAGGACATAAGCATGACAATAAAACCCAACACAGAAACCTTCAATGAAGAAGCATTGGAACGAGGACAGGCGGTTGTACATACAGCGCTTCCACTGCAACGGTTGTACAACACATTGTTCACTTGAATGGTATTTCCGATCCTTTTAATTGTGTAAGAAGTTCCAATAATTGCAGAAAGAGAAGTATCGGAATTAATACCTCCAATATATAGGGTAACGAAGCTGGTTTGACATGCGCCTTTCATATTCGACTGAATTTTCACCAAATTCAAACCTTCGCGAGTAACAATCACTTGCCCATCTAAACAACAACAGGTCGAAACATCACAGCCTGACTGAACATTCCATTGACCGACCCAATAATCTGTGTAGTCCTTATTTCCACCCGCATTGTTATTCACTCTTACAACCTTCGTGTCGATGTAAGGACTGCCATCATATGTCAAACCTGCAGCCAAAACGACATCTGAAGTTATTGGAGTGGAAAGGAGGACGGAAAATGTTGCAACTCCATTTACGATAGAGAGAGAATTAGATCCTACATAAGTGGCTCCAGTATTTAGTAGTCCCAATGACACCTTGCCAGACACTGTGGAAACTTTTCCTGCACTGTCATACACAGTGATAGTTCCAGACAATGAAGAGCCACTTTCGATTGCTGTTGTAGTCGTGGTAATTTTGATGGAACCCACTGTTGCTTGTTGCTCTTTTGCGTGGACCAAGTGGAAAGGTTGTTGATGTAATTGACTCAACACACCACAAAGAACGAGAAGAAGCCCAAGAAAGGCAAAAATTTTGGACATTGTTGGCAATAAATGGACGAAGAAAGAGATACTTCTTGTTGTGAAGGTTGTTTTTTTTTGAACGGCCGTATTCGAAGAGAGTCATTCTTTTGAAGGGGTGCAAAACCGGACTGTTTACAATGCAACAAATGTTTTGATTGGACATTAGAATTCCTAACTCGTCACAAGATATGATGTGAAATAAAGTGATTGGCTAAAAACTGTAACTTCCGAGCTGGCGTTTCTTTACCGTTGGGACCTGTTGACAGCCATGTGAAAAACTGGGGCAAAAACTGACAGCCAACCAACCCAAAGCCAGACAGACACTGTGTGGACGTTAATAATTCGTAATTTGCCCTCTCCTGTGTGAAGAAGCTATTTCCTTCCTTTCAGCTTCAATACATGCTTATGCAATCAAGACATGTGGTAAATATTGGAGATGGGCAAAGAATCATGCGGAATAGTCTCTCCTCCGAATTGTTGTTTTGTAAAAGAGAACGAATTCAAAAGTATAAGAACAGCCATAACGGCTGCAGTCTCCGAGCAATAACACATGCAGTGGTTATCGTTGTCTTTTCTATAAACTCTTTTTGGTTGTTTTCACTCTGCATCCACTTTGAAGAATCTGCTTTTACAGCGAAGGCAATGATAGATAGAGTTATTGTTGAAAGAGACACAAAAATCAATATACCCACTGATTCAAGCTCTCACGTATGTGATATGAGGACTTTTACTCACCATGAAGATGTGGTAAAAGAGGTAAGTTCGTTGTTAAATTTTACTAATAATACCTTGTATCAAAACCACAATCGGAATTCAAGTTTTACATTGAGTTGCTACAATTAAGCAGTATTTTAGCACTCATCCTCATCAGAGGTTTTAGCTGTGCTAGGATGGGAGGTTTCTTCCGCCCCTCTTCCTGATATTAAGCTTTGTTTTCAGAGCTCATATCATCTTAGTTTTGAGAGATTCCAAGATTAGTAGAACGCGTTTATATGCTCGGTGTGTTGTTCCGAAATTTGACTCTTGAAATGATCACTGTTGGTGAATTGAAGTTGTATGAAGTTACTCAAACGCTTACAAACATGATTTTGTTCGCTTTTGTCTTCTTCCTCCAATTTAATAATGTTCCAAATTTTTCCAATTCAGTGCTAGAAAATCATGAAATTTCAGATGAGGAACTTCATTCTGAATTCAACGAATTTTCACAAGGTTGTTGGTTTCAGAAACGATGATGAAAGGAAATTTCCTTGGTGAAATTTTTGGATTTTGGACCAAGTTTCAAGAATGGAGAGTTAAAATATGCTTCCAATTTGGTTACTATTCACATCGGATTGGTTGATGATGGTTGTGCTGATCCGAAATGAGGAAAGAATATTGTCATCATTGAACGCTTTGAGAAGATACTAATCTTCTCTGCATCGTTGTTAATTTTGATGTAGCGTCTCTCGACTGGCCAGAGCACCACGACGGATGATAATGACAATACTTTTACATTTAGTGATGATGATACTTGTCTTTCATACAATACCTTCTCTCAGAACTCTTCGAGAGGAGGCTTCCACCGTTGGATGTCTCATCGGCTCTTGCAAGAGGAGACTTGTTTTTCTTCCACTGCTGCTCATTGGCTGAAAAACCAGTTCCGTGTTGTTAAAATAAAAATAGAGGCTACTGCGAGTCCCATTGAAAATCCAATCAAACACGTGAAGATGTTTGTTCCATTAATTTTAGAGTGAAAGGATGATTCTTCGTCCAAGCATGCAGCGAAAAATTTGATTGCAGCTGGCTAGTAATTTTCTAGAGCATTTCGGAAATAAGGATTTCTTGAGTTGAATTTTCTCATCTTTCTTGCCAATTTTTGACATGAATTACACTTTGATCCTAAATTTTTCCACAACAATCATTCTCTACTTTTCTTTATATTATAGTCTCATCATCCCGACACTCGTTTTTCTATGGGATCATGAATTTCATTTTTAAATTCGCGGAATTCGTTACCGTGTGTATTACATAGATTGCATTCAGGACCAGCACTATAATCGCAAATCATTTCTTGTGAGAAACGATTCGAATGTTGCAACCTCTTGCGGTTTAATCCGATACCCTCCTTTAAAAAATTGCTGATGATACAGGTGCGTTTTGTGGAGTGTATTTTGGGCATTTTTCGCGAAGAGATGAATTTTTTGTAAAAAGTTTTGATGAAAATCATGAAGTTTGTTTCGTCGTGGAGATTAAAATATCAATCAGCCCTAACGTGTATGTATGGAAAATGAAAAGTTGAATATACAATTGTATTGTTAACTTTGAACTGCCGAATTGAAATCTCCAAGGAGTGTTCGGTATGTGAGTTTTGGGTAATCAGTTTACAAAACATCGGTTAACAGCTTATTTAACGAAAACAACAAACAACCAGCTTCCTAAGGAGTACACCAACTGTGACATGAACAATTATTTCTTTATATTGGTTATTGGTTGTAAAAGCGCTGTCTGATGTAATACTCTCAACGAAAGTATCCGGACGCTCTACAAGGCTGACGTTGTTGAAATTTAGTAGTATTTTAGCACTCATTCCATCCGATGATTTAGCTGTGTGTTGGGATGGGAGGTTTCTTCTGCCCCTCATCATTGAAGACAAACAATTTAACATACAACTGTCACTTCTGGAACATGTAACCAAAAAGAAAACATATCTTGAGACCACGATGAGGAGTTCGATCGGTTCTATCAAAACTAAGCATGTTCTTTAATAATGAATAAAGTTGCTACAAAATCTAATTGCTTTGGTTTGAATTTGACTCTTTCTTTTTAAAATGAGAGCACAGATTCTGATCCCAACTGTGCCACTGCGTTGAAATTGTCATGACATTTCAGGTGAGTCGTTTGGAATAATTACACATTACATCTCGATATGATATTTGCTAATTGAATTGCAACATCATCAAAGGAAGGTCTTACATTAGGATTCTGATCCCAACACAATTTCATCAATTCAATATATCGATCCACCACCCAAAGTAAATCACTCATTCCAAGAGATCTTTCATCTTCTTTCATGTATTCTTGAATCCATAAAGTTTGTTCTTCTCTGTTCGAAAATGGAATTTTAGGTCTGAATCCAGTTGAAACCTTTAGAGGAATACTGAAACTATTGAGATCAGTAATATCAGGCTGTGAGAATTTATGAATTTTTTGAGAATTATGATTAAGGAAAGGATTATCCTCAAAAAATAGTTCATACATAATAATACCAAAACTATAAACATCTATTTTGTGAGTGATTGAAATGTCTGAAACTCCAATCAATTCCTTAATTAAATAATTAATAGAAAGAGAATGAGAGAAAGATTATTAATGAACTTACAGGCTACAAATGTATATTATAATAATTGGAATTGTGTGTAGAATACGAAATACTTACAGCCATATAAAATATACTTCCCAAATTTGTTGTCATTGCAGTCGAATTGTTATTTCCAATCAATTTTGACAATCCAAAATCACACACTTTTGGTTGCATATTTTCTTCAAGTAAAATATTTGCACTCTTCAAATCTCTGTGGATAATTCGCTTGGGTTTCAAATTATGTAAATAACTGAGTCCATTAGTCACTCCAAATAAAATTTGTAACTTGTCACGTAATCGAATTCTTCTTTTCTTGATTTTCAATTCATACACTAATTTATCAAGAGACCCACCACCAAGATATTCCATAACCATCAATTTTTTACGTTCAGTCATGCAAACTCCAAAGAACTGAATCACATTGGGATGTTTCAAACTATTGAGTAAGAGAACTTCTTTTTCAAAAGTATCATCTTCATTCTGATTGTCAACTGATTCTTCAATAGAACTGTTAGAGTCCACACATTTCACAGCAACTGTCACTTGTTTCCAACGAGCTTTGTACACATGACCAAAACCACCAGAACCTATTTTTTCAATCAATTCTAATTCTTCAATTGGTATCAAATAGGATACGTTTTGACTTCTTTCATTTTCTAATTCCAATTCAATTTCCAATAGTTTTTGTTCCATTTCCTTCTCCGTTTTGGTTCTCTTATTCCAATATCTGATTTTGTAGAGATAACAGGTCAGACTTGCAAATAGAAAACAAACAAGAAATGCAATCACAGCTCCAATAGGAACTAATATTTTGAACAGTAGACTATCGTCGACATTGCAAACATTTCCTGAAAACCCAATATTACATAAACATTCATCTGGACCAACACAAACTCCATTTCCTGAACATGATTGATTTCCAGTGTGTCCAAAGCAAACAGGGAGTTCACATTTGTCACCAACAAACTTTGGTAAACTGCTATTAAAAGTATAACACTCACAAAAATTATCACTGACACACGTTCCACTTCCATTGCAAACCAAAGGACTTGCAGCAGAGACAGAATAACACATTGGAATAGAACAGTCCACACCATCTCTGTTTGTTGGACATTGACAATGATTGTAAGAGACACATGATCCATGACGTCCACACACCGTATTGTTATTGGAATCAATTCCAAAACATTGAGTGAGTTCACAATTAGGCCCAAAATAATGCTCGTCACATTGACATGTATCCATTGATATACATTTCCCCCTTCCAGAGCATACTTTCACAGTTTCCCATGATGGTATTTGATTACATGAAAATGAAACACATTGTTCACCGACAAAGCCTTCCTTGCATTCACAAGTGTTGAAGTTTACACAACTTCCCTTTCCATTACACACCTTTGGATCTGTAGAGAGAATTCCAAAGCAACTTGTGATATTACATTGAGGTCCAAGGAAACCTGTATCACATTTACATGTATCCACTCCAATACACGATCCATTATTACATCCAATATTGTCCACTTTTCCAAAACATGTAAATTGAGAACAATTATCATAAATGTATCCATAATCACAAACACAATAGTCAGCGGAGTAGCATATCCCGTGGGCAGAACAAACATTGGAGTGATTAAAAGGTAAACCAAAACATGAAGTAGAAAAGTCCACACTATACAACTGCATCAAAAGATTCTTCCTTGGGTAAAAATAAGTAGTTCCTTGAATATCTGTAATAGATCCTGTGTAAAGATAGGATATAGATACGTTTTGATTGTTGGCTGACACAGTGATGAAATTCAGAGTTGAAGCAGTGACATTAATGTTCCAAAACGTGTCCCTTAAATGTGAATCTAGTGACAAAGTAATATTCTCAAAGTTTCTACATGAATCAAATTTAGCTGCAATAAAGATTTGATTCTCATTTCCAGAAACTGAATAAATTGTGGATTTACAATAACTTAATTGTTTGGACACCATAACATTTTTGGTCATCAATGATGGTAAACTTATTTCTTCACACTCTGCAACTGAATTCACACCACACAGGACAATTGATTTTTCTCTCTTAACAAAGAAAGTGCTAACTCTGGTTGACAAATGAGATAAAATTGTTCCATTTTCATGAACAAATAGCAAATAATTACCATACGGTACGTCTTTCTTGTTCACTTGGACCAGCTTACGAGCTGAATCTCTCCACACGGTTGAATCTATGGATGAGAATGATCCTGAAACAACTGTTATATTCATTCCATTCATTTTCACATTGAAAATTCCAGTAACTTGTTTGGTGGCATCTACTTTGCTACTTGTGTCCACGGTTTGAATGAGCCATTTAGGTTGAAGAGATGGCAATGAATACATTCTAACAAAGATATTGAGAGCGCCTTGACCAGAATTTGGATCTTTAAAATCTTCAATACCAAAGTTATTCGTTCCAATAACATATCCTCCAACATAGAAACCAGAGGTATCAAATGCCAAGGATGTTATTGCTCCATGATAGATGACTAATTGTTCTGCTCGTAATCTCATTCCGTTCGTTGCATTATAGAGTATGTAACCTGGTCCACCTGTGACAATAAAGTCACAACATGGCCAACCAGAGTTGAATGAAAGAGCCACGTAATCGCAGTCTCCATGATTGAGTTCCAATGAGGTTTCCATTGAATTAAAAAGGGTACCACATGTTTGTAACGCCTCCGATTGGTACCAAATAATTGCATTTGAAAACAGTTCCATCTTGGCAATAAATAAATTACATTCATCATTGAATTCTTTCGGATGATATAATGAAATAGTCGGAGAGAGATTGATGGACACCCTGAAAATACCAGCAAAGTATACATAATTACCAACAATTTTTTGACGAATCTCTTTAATTTCACCAGTGTTGTTGAAGGTGGTGTAACTTGACAAAATTCTGTTTGGTGTTTGTATACAAAGAGTGAACATGTGTTGTAATATAATAATGAACATGAACAACCACCCACACAAATGCCAAACAAATGATTTGGGTGTCATATTGGAAAGTGGGTGTTTGGGATAGTGGAATGGTCAATGATGATGATGTGAAATGAAAATCAAATGTGAAGATTGCGTGTTTCAATTCGTGGTAGATGCAACAGGGGCGTGTTTCTGTGGGTGGTGAAGGGTTCAAGACGAATGATTGTGTTTTGAGTTTTTTTTTATCGCTCTCAAAATACAAGTCACATGACATTCCAAGAGTGGTAATGGATGATCACGTTGTGAATTTAAAATCATCAATTGTCAACTTATTTAAACGACGATTGTGGCAAAAAAACAACAAGAACGTCACATTCCTTTACAAGTAATTCCTTGATGTGAAAGTAATATACACCTCGTCTTTTCGGCATCACCACAAAGGCCATTAAACAACGAACTCAGGTTGTGATGATCGAGATGAAGATGACTCAAAAAGCTTATTTTCTCTTCACAATTTTCGATGTGAATGCTTCCAAATTTATGTACATGTGGCTAACATGAGATTTGTTGTCAAATGCAAAATGAAAGCAATGAAAGGGATATGAGAGAATGATGAGAAATATAAATTGTCATTTGCCAGTTTTTCGGCTCCATTCGCCTTGGGAAATTCCCTTTGACTGAACTAGTGCACGTTTTTATTAGACAACCTTACCATGATATAAGTTGTGACAATGTGTGGAATTAAACTTCTGGAAATTGGTTTTCAAAGGTTCTAGAATTAATATTCCTTTTTAAAGCAATTAACCAATTTCAAATTCGGACACTCAATTATAAGTGCAAACCCTTCTCCTTGATTTTGAATCACTTTTTAAAACACACAAAAACAACTAAACCTCATCAACATGTTCGAATTCTTTTCATCACTCCTTATTTCATTCACTTCTGCAACAATTTTCTCACTCCTCACACTGTTCACATTCGGTTTTTATTTGGTTTATCAAAATTATCAAAAAGTACAACACATTCCTGGTGTATGGCAATTATTACCCTTTGGTCCCTTTCGAATTCCATTTCTTTCTCCTTACATTTACATTGGAAATCAATACGATCTTTGCAAAGTCATTGAAGCACATGGAGACAAGGAAACAAAAACTCTTCGAATTTCAACTTTATTTGGTAATGTCGTCATTGTCTCGGATCGAGAAATGTTGAAACAAGTACATTCCAAACAATTACATGTCTTGAATAAGGATCCTCGATTGAAAGTGACTGAAATTTTCGGTGAAAGTTTAGTATCTGCTCCAGATACAGCTCGTTGGAAAAAACATCATCGTGTGCTGTCAGCTGCCTTTACGAGTGGGAATTTGGAATTCATGTGTCGAGTGGCTGTGAAAACAGTGGACCAATTGACAAGGAACAAGTGGGATGTGTGTATGAGTAAGAGTGAGAATGGAACCATGATGTTGGAACCTTATCAAGATTTTACCAATGTCACTTTGGATGTTTTAGCGAAAAGTAAGTTCTTCAAAATTGCCATTTCTTGACTTTTGACATTTTAAAACCATTGACTGGAATCAAACCCAACGTCAGGTGTGTTTGGCACTTCTTTCTGTGTCTTTCCAGATTCTGAACAATCAAATCCAGATCTCATCGCCACAGGTCGACAATTAAAACAAGCCATTGAAAAAATCTTTACCATTGCCTTTCCCATTCGAATGTTTCTCGGATGGTTTCCATTACTCGAGAAGGTAGCTCTTCATTTCTCAGGAGCACAACAAGGTATTGAATGTTGTTCAAAAGTTTTGGACGAATGTATTGAAGAGAGAAGAACACGAATTGAAAGAGGAGAAGAAATTTCACAACAGGACTTGTTGAGCTTAATGGTCAAGGCGAACATGGAAAATAATGAGTTGACCATGGATCATGTCAAATCGAATGGGTTATTATTCTTTGTTGCAGGTAGGTTTGACAATTCTTGTCAATTTGACATTTGACATTTCAAATTATTTTCAACAATATCATTCCCTTAATATCCTATGATGATCCCAATTTCAACCTATAAAACAGGCACGGAAACAAGTTCCAACACCCTACAATGGATCATTTACGAATTGGCCAAACGTCCAGAAATTCAAAAACGAGCTCAACAAGAAGTCGATCAAATTCTCAACAATGGTCAATTACAACCCTCATTCCAACTCTACGATTCATTCATCTATTGCAATGCCATCATTCATGAAACCTTACGTTGTCACCCTCCCGTCGGTTCCATCTCCAAAATTTGTATCCATCCTCACACACTTCTCGGAAAATTTGAAATCCCAAAAGGAACAATCATTCACTCACTCATTACTCAAGCGAATAAGAATGAACAAGTTTGGCCACATTTACACAATACATTTCATCCAGATCGATTTTTAAATGTGGATGAATTAAATAAGAGACATTCCGATTATTCCATGATTCCATTTTCAATGGGTTTGAGAAAATGCATTGGTTACAAATTTGCATTGTTTGAAATGTTGATGGTCTTGACACGACTCATTCAGAACTATGAATTTGAATTGTTGAATGATGAGAATGTGAACCCAGTGTTGGCCATTCCGGATATTACCTTCAAACCATATGGAATGAAAGTGAGAGTATCGAAACGGCGCGTGTGAACCTACAGTAATGTCAATGCCTTAATGAAACAGTATCATGTCCACATGCCAGCTGTCAAAAAATTACTTCAATCCAAAATAATAACAAAAATCCTCAAATGCTCGATGTGCTTGTACTAAATCAATTTCCTCATTGTGTGAAGATGTTTGTTGTTGCTCTTGTTGTTCTTGCTGTTCTTGTCCAGTGACCAGTTGTGCATTCACCAATGTCCCTCCTGCATGACCAAAATGATGTTCCTTCATGGTATCATCGAGTCGTTCATTAATTCTCAATAAAAAGCTCTTCATTTCTGTAAAAAATCGCTCCATTCTTTGAATTTTTAAAAATTGTGATTCTTGATATCCTTGAGGCGGGTCAATCTTGGAATGTTGATGTTGTGACATTGTCGAGTGTTGTTGTTGTTGTTGTTGTTGTGACATTGTCGAATGTACATGTTGTGGACAAGTCGTAATAGAACGATGATTGTTTAAAAATTGTTCAAATTCCACCAAATAAGGATTCAAATATCGACAACGTTTGGATAAATCTTTCAATTTGTTAAAATCTTGTGTCAAGAGAGCATAATAATCAATCAAGACTCCAGATGGAATTTCCATTTCATTCGTCATGCTTGCATCTTGAGAAAAATGTTCCAAATTTCTGAGAGTGGGTTGAGGAATGGGTTGTAAATTTTGTCTCTCTCCTCGTTCAATCATTTTACAAATTTCCAAATTCACCTTTGCAGCAATGATAATAAACGATGACATGTAAGGATTTAAAAAAATCGATTGAGGATTTTCTAATATTTTGCTCATTTTCACTGCATAATATTCAATGGATTGATAAGCTTCCAATTTTTCAGAAATGATCGATGTTTCATTCAATCCCACATCAATCATTTGACATAGCATTTGAACAGCAGTGGCAAATACAGCTCGTTGTAAATCAAATAATTTGGAGCAAAAATCAGTCAAGATGGGTTTCACATTGGTCGACACTAACATTCCCAACAAGTGCAGTCCTTTAAATCTCTCATCAATTCGATTGTTTAAATGTTGTAAAAATTGAATTCCTTCATTCTCAAAAACACTCATTTCAGTAATTAAAGGATATAATTTTGCCATGGTAGGAATGTCTGGAATTGGAAAGGAGTCACAACACATTAACTCAATTGAAATCAATCTCATTTTGAGTGGAGACATGTAAATTTGAATGCCATGTTTTGGAAAATCCACCAATGTCGTTGAGGTTGATAAAAAGACTCCTGGTGTCGTGGTTGGAGTTGTCACAGCCAATTGTTTCGAAACATGTTTCGAGGAATGAGAACATGCAAAATTTTCAGCCAATGCCAAATATCCTCTCGATGCTGCACGATTACCTTCACAGGCATGATAGAGTGCCAAGTTCTCATTGGCTAAATTCACAAATGGATTTTGAAAATCATCATAAATGTGCATCATGACACTTTTCAATTTTTTCACACTTCTCTCAGCCAATTCTGGAAATGCAAATGCTTGTTCACACACACATTGAATCGATAACAAGTACACGAGAATGTCTTTTCGAATGGCGAGCTCATGAGGTTTCATTTGTAATAATTTTTCAAACACAATCCATGGATCTTTGATTGGAAAAATTCCCATCCAAATGACATTGATATAGACTTCGAGAGTTTTTCGATTGGTAGCATGAGAGAAGATGAGAGAATTGGAATCATGGAGAGAATTTTCCTCTTGAAAGGTCAATGAATGAACTGGTTCCGAATTTGACCTCGGAGTTATCATTGGATCCTCCGAGAATGAATGCAACATTGTTTGTTCAGAAATGTTAATCAAATTTGAATTCAATGGAAGATTAGTCGAAGGCATTCCATTCTTGAGATGATGATTCGTCATTTCATGCAGGTTGTTCGTATTGTTGTTATTGATAGGATGATTGTTATTAGGAACGTTATTGATTTCCTTCTTCTTTTTCGTAGCAGGATGATCCTTTTTTCGTTCAATCATTTCATATTGACATTTCCATCCTTTTAATTTACATCGGGAACAAATGGGAAGAAGTTTGTCGCACTTGATGGAATGTGTCACGCTCTTTGTGGTAATGATGGTTAGTAACATACCTTTTTATGGTGCTTACGACAAGAGACACATGCAAAGGGATAGTGCTTTTCATGGTGGTTGGTTCTCGAGACACCCGAAGAGGGTGATGTTGGTGTGGATGAACCTGAGGAGGATCCTCCTTGTGTTTGACGAGTGACAGTTTTCTCGAGACTTTTGGGCATTTTTTTGAAAGTGAAAATGTAACGAAGAGAGATTGATGAACACGATAACTCGTTGTCGATTCATTATAACAGTACAATGTCCACAGATTCAAATCCGTGAGTGAACATTCTATTTCACCTTTTTTTGTGATCTTGATACAAAAATGGTCGTCGGACCCGACAAGATGCTCTTCGAAAATACTTGAAATTTGTAAATAACGATGCATTTTGAAAGGAATATGAACGTTTTTCCTTCTCGAGTGTTGACTCCATCCACTGCGTCTACTAGATGCACATGTTTGCAATAATTGAATTGGTTTAAGGTTTAGTACCCTTAATGAACTTTGGGATCATGAAATGTTTGATTTCGAAAACGAATTCCTGAAAATTGTCCGAATAATATTAATAATCTGATTTCTTGAAACATACTGAAATCTTTGGTGAGAATATTGCAAGCGCTTTGGATACAGAAAGTTGGAAAAAACATCATCGTGTGTTATCGGTGGTTTTTTCGAACGGAAATTGATGAGAATGTGAACTATTACTTTTCAAACCAGGGAATATGAGAGTGAGAGTCTCAAGAAGCATGTCCAAATAAATTGTCGTTCAGTGAATGTTAGTTTTCTAAATCATATTGATCTTCAAGATTGGAGAAGAGTTGTTGCACATTCTTGTAAATATCATTAATTCCTTTACGACGATTCGTTCTCCATACTTAGGATCAATAAAAGTTTGACGGACCATTTGGTCCAAAACGTCTCCAATTGCTAACTTGAATTCATTCCATGGTATTTCACTGTGTCGATCAAGAAATTGTTGAGATAGTTCATAAAATTTGATAACATTTCTCAACATGAGAATGGACAAGATTCATCGTAGGACGTATACCTATTTTGTTGTAAAACATCTAGCCGCAGTAGTTCTGAAATTTTCAAAATCATCCTTTCCTTCTTTGAAAGCGAATCCATGCCAAAGCATCTAATCTTATCAAATCTAAAACTGGTTCCTTCTTTAAAATATCATTCAATGCCATGGAATGTATTCTAGAAAATGAAGGATCCAAGCGAAATATTTCGTCACAGAAAGAATTGACATGTTCAATATAGTGGGAATATGATGATGTCCAACTCACACAAGGCTCGAGTGAATTATACTTTGAATGAAGCAGGTTTTGTGCATGAATTTTTTTCTCAGATTTGTAGTAGTCGTAGAAGGGCGGTGATGGTTCTGGCCACTCCTCCATATTTCCAACAAACATATTCACATCTGAATTGGAATGCTGTTAAAGTGAGTTAATAATTAAGCCCAGTGCATGACCTCTAGCATTTCCTGAGAGTACACGTTACCTCCTTTCATTAACGGGATAAACGAATCCAAGAATCGTAACCCAGTGATGAAAGGTTTAGTTCATTCCAATTTTTCAAGGACGGGCTTGGTTTTCGAATTCTGGTGCAATATATGTAATTTCACCACCGATTTCTCTTGGCAAAGATGAGACAGAGGTCGACCATGAATCCATCATGGTTGGAGGAAGAAGTATTTTGTGGCAATTCAATCCGCTTGACTCTTCTACGTATCCCAATACCCCTCCAATGAAAATCCGATCCCCTGCTGTTCCATTATAGTTTAGGGGTCGTTGAATTCCATAAAACACTGAGCACAAAATACTTTCAAACTCACGTTAGAAGCATCATCAAAGATTTGTATGATCACAATCGGAATGAATGGCAATAACTTCTCCAATGCTTCGAGCTGTTCTGCTTCCACGATCGTGGATCCATGAAGGGAGGAACAAGGCCTGTTTCACGTTGAGCATCCTTGAGCATTTTTATTTGAAATGTGAGAATTCTTATTGTTGCGCAAACTGATCTTTAAAAACAATAAAAACGTGAACAAGAAGTGTTGAAAAGTTGGAATCACTGTTGTATGAACTGATTGAACGTGAAAGTTCTTGCATGGTTGGAGGCCACTAAAGTGACTAAACTCTTTGCAAACAAGCACTTGGATTATTAGAATCACACAGGATCAGTGCTGGTCGGCACGTCACGGCCAAGATTGAAAATGAAATTCATTTCATTTGTTTTCCATTTTTGAAACAAAAAGCCGTTTTGTCTATTAAAATCTTCTCTGTCTCTCGCAAGCCACAATTTTTGAAAATTATTCTGTGGTCTGACCAACAATAATACTTCAATCATCAACAATATTATTGACTTTACATAATTTATGAGTATTATTGTTAACAATAATAATCAAACTTCGGACGATGCTGTAGGCACCATTGACCATTCTCTTAATTTGTCATCACCTACAACGTCAATCATGAACGAAGAAGCTTCGAACAAAACAACTACCATCACAACACAATGCATTGATATACACCTCCATGGTGAAGATCATTCTTTGCAATTCATTCATTCATCCGAGCAAAATGTTGTGTATAATAATAATAATCATATTATTCATAATAATAATCCTCTCGCTCCAACATCAAGCACAGAATTTGATATGACTACCAATAATAATAATAATAATCCTATCAATAATTTTGATAATAACTCCACGTCTCATCCTGGCATTGAATTAGACAATAATGACAACGATGATCGTTATTCTCCTCTCCAACAACAATACACCACTCAAACAAACAAAAGTCCATCCACAAAAACAACTCCTCTTCCAACATTGAAACTCATTGTGATTTTCATTATTTTCATATGTGATGTTTTTGCCTTTTCCACGGTCGTCAGTTATGTTCCTTTCATGGTGCAAGATTTTGGTATTACCGAGAACAAGACTGAATACGGTTACTATGCTGGATTGATTGCTTCAAGTTATTCGGCTGCTTCTCTTCTTTCAAGTATTGCCCTCGGTTGGTTATCCGATCGTGTGTTGGGCAGAAGGAAGGTGATATTGATGGGAACGTTATGTTCATGTATTACGAGTTTGTTATTCGGTTTGAGGTAAGTTCATCGCTATTGTTGTTGTTGTTAGTGTTTGATATATATTCGGTATGTTACCTCATCATTACCTCTGAACAATCATCACCTGGTTATTGTGTTGCTGATGTTGTTGGCTGATGGAATTTCTGAACGAACAAACCACATGGTTTTTTTTTCTTCTATGTTTTTGCCATTTCTCACTCATGATTTCTCACTTGAAAATTTCCGGGTGAGAATTCGTCTGACCACTTGAAAAAATGAATTCTCAATAACAATGATGCTGAACGATCATGACGTTAACGCAATAGCATCAACTTCCCGATGGCCATCACAGTTCGGATTGTCTTTGGACTGGTGAATGGTAATATTGGAACCATCAAAACATATCTTGGAGAGATTACTGATAAAACCAATCAAGCAAGAGCCTTCTCGTTCGTTGGTATTTCATTTGCCATCGGATCAATACTGGGTCCATTGATTGGTTTATTGGCACGACCCAACATTCAATATCCTAACATGATGAGCATGACTCCACAATTCGTTCAGAATTTTCTCAACCTTTTCCCTTACTTTTTACCGAATTTGTTTGTTGCCACTTGCTCATTCATTGGTTTTTTAATTGCTTACTTTAAATTGGAGGAGACTAATCCAAGATTTACTTGCAAGGACCAACATTTAAAGAGTCAATCGACCATAACAGCACGATCTGAGGATCAGGGAGTCAATCACACCAGTAACAGTGAGGAGAGGGCAAACCACCGAGCAGATGTACACAATGCCTCCCCCAAGAGTCCTTCTCCGAGCGAAACAAGCCCAACCACCACTTCTTCCACTGCCACTTCATCTACTCTGTCGGATCTAATATTTGATGAAAAGTACAGACACGACCCTAACCATAGGTCTCGTCACGAGTTGGAAACGATCCAATTAGATGCTCGCCAAGTCATGTCCCATGAACATCCCACAACGACGTGCTCTCCTCGAACATGTAGCACCACCACACTTTCCATTAATACTCAAACCACCTCCAAGAAACATCAACATTTGCATCATGCATCCCATCCTTCACTTTCCCTTAAGCTCAGAATTAGAAAATTATTCAAGAGTGAAATATTTCAGACCTATTTACCATTATTCACTTCTGCTTTGAATCTCATGATTGGATTCGCCTCTTCAGCGTTTGATGAGGTGAGTCCACTCTTTTCATTACTACCTCCAGAGTAAGTAGTAACACCATATTCATTGAATTTCCTTATTCAATATTCTAATGAAAAAACATCACTTGACTAAAATACCTGTATTGTTCCAACATTGATAATACATATTCCATTCATATAATTCAATGATACACTCAAAATAGAAATGGAGGTCTTGGATGGACCAATTTTGAAATTGGAATTCAAGGAGCTGTGAATGGAGTCGGTATTTTGGTAGGCCAACTCTTTATCACTCCAATCATTGCCAAAAAGCTGGGCAGTGTTTGGTGTTTTCGATTAGGAAATATGCTCATCCTGCCTACAGTCATTCTCTTTCCAGAACTCTCCTGGATTTCGAAATGGAAATCTCAACATACAACTGCCATTTCTCCTGACATTCTCATGTGGACCTTTTCTATTGTGATCACACTATTGAGAACCTTCTCTCTGAATCTCATCTTCACCTCCTTATTGATTTTGATTAATAATTCCGTTCATACTTCTTCTCGTGGTTTACTCAATGGAATTGTACAGAGTTTTGTAGCATTTGCTCGAATGATGGGTCCCGTAGTGTCCTCGAGTGTATTCGCCTTCACAGCAAGTCATTCCTTCTTCTTTCCTTTCGATTTTAGATTTGTATTTATTCTCATAACGTTGTGTCATGTGGTCATGATTATTGGCTCCATGTTTTTAAAGAAGGAATTGAATGCACCTAAGGAAGATGCCTATCCATTGGAGGAAGAAGAGGAAGCCGTTGTGAGTCACGATCGTGAGAACCATGATGATGAACAACAAGAATTGATTGCTTACAAGCATGACCATGGGGAGGATCTTGAATCAGGACAAGAGCTTACAGTCGTGTATTATGAAAAGAGAGTAGAACCATTGAAGACCATAGAAATGTCTGCCATTCTTGCTCATTCTCCAACCATCACTACCATGGATGATGAATGCTCTTCAAGCCATGACGATGATTCAACCAAACTCAAGCCTTAAGACTCATCATGACATTTACTGTCACCGCGAGAAAAGTTCTCGCTGAAAATGTAGGCGAGTTTTGTTTTCCCGCCGAAAATTTCGGCAAGCACCTTCGACAAACGATTTCTCCTTGAACATAGAGGTGTAGCCTGTACAAACACAACCAATACTCCAAAACATGCATCTCCACAAGTACCTACTATTGTTTGATTGTAGTTTCTTGTTTCAGTAGAGTAGTAACAATCTTTTGGTGGCCTATACGAGCAGCTGAAGTTTTGGAGAGCAACTTTGAGCACATGGACTTGGCAACAACTTCTCTTTCATTTGTAAGAAATTAATTTGTATTGTAAAAAGAGAAGTTTACAAATTAATTTCTTACAAATGAAAAAAAAATTGATGACCTCGGCCTAAACCATGAGCACACAAGAATATCGCCCAAGCAACAACCTTACTCAAAGGTATTTAAGGGAAGCATTGTTTTTTGGAGAGAAAGCCTTGGCGTTGGAGAGGAGTAGAGTTTCGGATGATCAAGGAACAATCATGGCTTCTTCCTCGTCGGTTGAAGAGTATTACATGAAAGCCTCAAATGCTATTCGTTGTGCCCTAAGTTTTGAAGAGAATGAGAATTTAAAGACCCTGTACGAAATGTTGAATACTACGTATGAATGCAAAATCGCTCAGTTGAGGGGAGTGGTGAACCAGGAGGCATCAACCGAAGAAAACATGTCCGCTCTTGAACATGATAGTACTGGAAGAAAAAAGTCTACAGGTCATCATGGTAAGAAAAGATCAAGCACAGAAACCATTCAAGAAATAGAGAATCATGACGAGGATCAAGATGAGGATACGGATGGCTCTTCCTCCTACTCGTTGGATGTTTCTCGAACAATAAGCCATGATGAAAAGTCGCTAATTGGAGATTTTGAACGTTGCTCAAAGAAAAGAAAGGAATCAGCCAGTGAAAATTCAGAGATTGAATCATTTATCATTAATAACGGAAATCAAGCCCATGAGGAATGTGAATGGGAAAAAGTTGTGGGTTTGGAACATGTTCTGCAATGTTTGAGAGAGGCAACCATTCTACCTCAACGATTTCCTCAATTGTTCTCTGGAGAGAGAAGGCCGTGGAGAGCCGTTTTATTGTATGGTCCGCCTGGAACAGGTAAGTCATTGTTTAATAAGAGCATGAACGAATGTCTTAATTGAATCACGTGACATTTCAAATGAACCATATCGTTCAGGAAAGACAATGCTTGCGTCGACCTTGGCCAAAGAATCACTCGCAACCTTTTTCAGCGTTTCTAGTGCTGACATTCTCTCGAAATGGGTTGGACAAAGTGAAAGAAAAATCAAACAATTGTTCGATTATGCATCAAAAAGAAAACCATCTGTAATTTTCATTGACGAAGTCGACAGTTTATGTTCAGTACGAAACGACAATGAAAGTGAAACCTCACGAAGAATCAAAACAGAATTCTTGGTTCAAATGCAAGGTGTCTCATCGAAAAACGGTGTCACTGTCGTTGGTGCAACTAACTTACCATGGGAGATTGATATCGCTATTCGAAGACGATTCGAGAAACGAATCTATGTACCGCTCCCTGACAAAAAAGCAAGAAAAGAGATTATTGTAAAGCATATCGGCAAAACTCCAAATAGCCTTTCAGAGGAACATATCGATGTGATTGCCTCAAAAACTGAAGGTTATTCAGGGTCAGATATTTCTGTACTGATTCGTCAAGCGTTACTTGAACCAATTAGAAAGTGTCAACAAGCTACTCACTTTCGAAAAGTGAATGGATTTTCACCTATTACCTCCCAATACTGTGAAGATCTTTTGGAACCTACTCATGAACAAGATGATCTGGCGCTGCAAATTTCATTGTACGATATTGATTCGGAAAAGCTGCTTCCTCCACTTGTCACCATGCAAGATTTTGAGTTTTCATTAAGCACCATCAAACCAACACTCACTCCAGAAGATCTTGAAAAGTACGAGCAATTCTCCAAGATGTTTTAACTTGAACAAGATCATCAACTGCTGCATCGAAGTGATTTTCAAGTCACAACCAATTTAACAAGACGGTTTGCTTTTTAACTCTTAGATTAAAAACGCTTTGAAGATAATATTGATTAAACGAAATTATTGTAGAATCTTTTAGACTTAACCTTGAGTTTACAGATTCCAAGTGGTTATTAGGAATCATTTATTCGTCCAACTCAGAGAGCTTGGCCTTTGCTCCAACAGCCTCCGAAACATTCTTATAACCTCTCTCTTTAAGTAGTTGCGAGAGCTCTCTCTTAATTCTTCCTATCACTGCTGGACCTTGAGCAGTAAAAGAAGTATATACTTGTACCAATGAAGCTCCTGCTTCAATCTTTTGTAATGCATCATGGCCATCCCAAACCCCACCCACACCAATCAAGGTGACTTTCCCATCGGTTAGTTTATACATGTTTTTAAGAACTGTTGTTGATTTGGAAAAGAGAGGCCTTCCACTCACTTCTATCATATTCAAATCTGGATTTAAAACAGATTCTGGTAAATGTGCTTGTGAAACAAAAGACCTCTCTATTCTTGTCGTATTAGAAACTATAATTCCATCAATTTTGTGTTTTAATACAAGAGTGGCTAACTCTTGTTGTTGATTCAGGGTCAAGTCAGGAGTAATTTTCACGAGGAGTGGAATTTGTCGTGAGCATGACAAGGACTGTTGACGAATCTCTGCAGAAGCTTTTTCCAATAATTCCTCCATAGAATTTTCATCTTGATACCACTGGTCCATAGGAGAGTTCACATGAATGACCATATAATCGGCATATTTCGATAGTTTCTTAATTCCATTCACATAATCGTCAACACTTTGCATGGATGATGATGGAGAGGTGCCTACATTCGTTCCACCCAAATTCACACCCACCCTAAAATAACCATTGGAATACTTGTTTCGTTTTTCTCGATATGCGTGTAATTGATCATGAATGTAGTCCATTCCTTTGCTATTCCCTCTTCCACTGTGTGTTTGAATTAAAGTATCAAATACTGGCCGGTTCGAGTTGTTTCCTTGAGAGTGCGTTCTAAACGTTTTTGAATAGTGAGCTCGTTGAGGTAATGGAAACACACTCCCAACTTCCATAAATCCAAATCCTAACTGTTCCACTGCTTCCATACATTCAGCGTCCCGATCAAATCCAGCAGCTAACCCAATCGGACTATCAAAAGGATAGCCCAATACTTGTGTCAGTAAATTTAACTGAGAGGAAACAAGATCAGGAGCATTGGGATTTGATCCATCATATAAATCTGGTTTTGCTTTCGGACCAAGTCCCCATTTCAACATGAATTTCATCAAATTTTGAGCATTTTCAGCATCCAATTTATGAATAAGAGGCATGACAACCTTGGAATAGAGTGGAGATTCTACGTTTTTTTCCGAATAGTACCACAGAGTAGAAACATAGGAAGAAACAAAAATCGTTACAAGGTGCCAGCTTTTCTTGAGCATTTTTCAACGTTTTTTTCTTGTGGAGAGGCTTGTTGAGTATTCAATGGAGACCCTTTGTTGAACATGGATGCCGTCCGTATCGTGATGCAACACGTGATCTCTCAAAGAAATCCGCGGGTATTCATTTTCTTTATTAATTTTTTCATCACCCTACCGCGAGCAGGCGGTTCAAGATGATTCATTGGTCGTTGATGAGCCTATTTTTTTCCTTAATTAAAAGAGTAAAATTTATTTCGTTATTTACAAGTTGTGGATCAGATCACGAATTGTTCATATACGATTGTACAAGTCCAAAAATTCACAATTATACTCCTCATGCTCCTCCACGTAATCTCAACACGAGATGAATGGTTGAATCTTTTTGCAAGTTATAATCAGAAACGGTTCTTCCATCTTCCAGTTGTTTTCCTGCGTAGATTAATCGTTGTTGATCTGCTGGAATGCCTTCCTTATCACAAATCTTGGACTTGACGTTCTCAATCGAGTCATTAGACTCGACTTCCAATGTGATTGTCTTTCCTGTCAAGGTTTTGACAAATAACTGCATACCACCTCTCAACCGAAGATCCAAATGAAGAGAAGAATGTTTTTGAATACTGTAGTCTGAGAGAGTTCTTCCGTCTTCTAATTGTTTTCCTGCGTAGATTAATCGTTGTAGATCCGCAGGAATGCCTTCCGTATCTGTGATTTTGCTCTTGACATTTTCAATCGAGTCGTTGGACTCGACTTCTAATGTGATGGTTTTACCAGTGAGTGTCTTGACGAATAATTGCATGTTTTTTTCTTCTTGTTGTTGATGTGCATTAGGATGAGAGTGAATGGTTTTTAAAGAAAAGTTAACCACATGAATGAACCTTAGTAAGACTAAAAATAACACCTGGTTCAACCTTCTCGTATACGAGAAGGAAAGAACTATCTGGTTCATGTCCATGTGTTAGGTTTATTCAGTGGATAATTGCTGTACATTATTGACAATACACAAAAGAAGCTGAATCATACATGAACGAATAATTAATTGAAATCCATTTTGAAAAATATTCTTTTGAGTTTTACCATCATGTGACATCTTAATTTTGATGTGAGAAATAATTCGTTCAACAACACGGACAATTATTAATTTTTAAATGGTATTCATCACTAATAATTATAATTCAATAATACTCATATCATTTAAAAAATGTCTGAAAATAAGACTCTCTATGAATTTCATTCCGTGCGACCATTGCAAAAGGATGATCAACTCGACACGGAAACCTCCCGAGATCAAGCCAGTACCGAAAGGACCATGCACAAATTTTATAATCCCTACATTCAAAATCAACAATTGTTTTTTGATTCGTTATTATTATTTGTGGATGAACATAGCAAGTTTTGTAAGAAGGGTCTCCGAACATTGCCATCCGCGTATGATTCTTTGGATGCCTCACGTCCATGGTTTTGTTTTTGGTGTTGTAATGCACTTAGTATGATTCCGAATTTAGGAGAGGACAATGTATTATATCCTTCTCAATTGGATTTAGTCAAAAAGCAAGATACAACACTTGTTTCTGATTTCAGCGAGTTTTTGGCTGGTAAATGCCAAGATTTGGAACATGGTGGCTTTGGAGGTGGACCCAAGCAATTGTCTCATGTGGCACCAACCTTTTCCGGAACGATTGCTTTGTGTGCTCTCAAAGCAACCGATGGCTTGAATCGAATTGATCGAGAAAAAATGTATTCATTCTTGTATTCGTTAAAGGATCCTGTTTCAAAAGGATTCAGAATGCATGTGGATGGAGAGGTTGACACAAGAGGCTGTTTTTGTGCACTCATTGTTGCCACAGTGTTAAATATTTTGGACGACAAATTAATGGAAGGAGTCGATGAATATTTAATCAATTGTCAAACCTATGAAGGTGGAATTTGTGCCTTTCCAGGATCAGAGGCACATGGAGGTTATACCTATTGTGGATTGGCTTCAATGATGCTCATGAAAAAAGCTCACCTTCTTGACCTTGATGCTCTCTTTCATTGGTTATGTCGAAGACAAATGTCCTACGAAGGAGGTTTTCAGGGAAGAACCAATAAGCTTGTGGATGCATGTTATTCCTTTTGGGTCGGAGCATGCTTCCCGTTGATTGAGGCTGCATTTATTTCACTGAAAGATCCAAAAGATCGAACCGAACATGATCAATGTGTTCTCGATTATTTGCAGTGGATTCCTCCAGAATTGGATCAAGAGACTCGATTGAAATATACACCAAAGAGTTTTAGTCTGCAGAATTTTGACATTAAGGAACACAAGACATGTTGCAGCCACCATTCTGGCACTTTGGAGGACGCCTCTTGCCAAATCGAAGAACTCGATGAAAAGACGCCATACATTGAACTCGATGACACTGAATGGCTATTTAATCAAACGGCGCTTCAAGAATACCTTTTATTGTGCTGTCAACAGGAGACTGGTGGATTGCGTGACAAGCCTATCAAGCATCCTGATTTCTATCATACATGTTATGCATTGTTTGGCTTGACCATTGCTCAACATAATCCAAGTGGTAGCTTGTCCGTGTTAGGTGACTGTAAGAATTTACTGAGATCTATTAATCCTCTCTTCCAAATGTGTAATGACAGTGTTTCGTTTGTGTTGCAACATTTTGGTGGAAGAACCAAAATTTGATTCAATTCGGTGAACCAGCAAGGTTGTTACATCAGCCTTGTTGATTTATCTTGACATATTATAAATCAACAATTTATTGACAAACAACTTTTGCCGCCAAAATCAACCGTTACTTGTTTCAAATAATAAACATAAAAAAATGTCGACACTCATGATGACCGCCAATAATCAAAACCACCACTCTCAAGATGGTACAGCATCGCTCCAACAAGCCTTCAACAACATGCAACCCTTCGGAACCAATCAACAACAAGAATTTGATGCCAATGAAATCATCAAACAAGCCATGGAAAAGTGTAATCGACTCTTCATGGATATGGAAAACTTTGAACAAAATTTACGGGCATGGTCCAATAACAAGATGAATGGTTTTCAAAAGGCCGTGAGTGCACAAACGCAAATGTTTCAAAATTGTCAAAATACGATTCAAAACTTGCGAGGTAAAATTGAGAAGGCCAATGAAAAGAGACAAGTCGTGGAAGAGAATTTGAAACAAAATTATGAAATTGTGGGACAATTGGAACAACAGTTGGAAGAACGAACTCAATACAATGAAGAATTACCTGAGATTTTGAAAAATCGATTAGCAGAATTGGAACGATACAAACAAGCAGCCGAACAACAGCAAGAGAAGAATAGAAACCTCAAAAAACTCTATGACGAACACAGTGAATTGTTGGCCATGAGGTTACAAAATTCGTACTTTAGCGAAAATCTTGGAATATTCTTTGAGAGATGTGAACGCAATGGTGTTCCTAGTTTGATTGTTTCGTTCAAAATTCAAGGTATGGAACGACTTGGCCTCGAACAGTGTTACTTTGTTTTGAGCGTGACTGACGGTATTTATTCAGTGCAAGAATGTGCTCCATCGGTACCGAGTGATGACCTCATCGATACGTTGAATCAAACCAATCAATTTGGACGATTTATTGTGTGCTTTAGAAAACGTTTCAAGACCTACATTGTTTCGAAACATAACCATCATTAACCTTTTTCCTGCCTTGTGTATTTAAATCCCTTAATCCACGCCCTAGATATGAATTCTTGTGTGTACAATACATGACACGTGAGAAAACAATGATTTCGAAAATCAAAATTGTAAACCAGAAAAAGATCAAGTTTCAATTTCCATCCTTACCTCCAATCTCCATGTTGATCTCGTTTCAAAGCACTACACAGAGATTAAAAAAATACTCGACAACATGCATGGCTTGCAAGTTTCTTCTCATCATCATCATGCGACAACACTAGGCACTCATCCTTTCGAAGAAAACATCTCATCTAAACAAGAAGAAGAAGAAGAAACATTCATATATTCACATTTACCTTCGGAAATTATTCGACACATCTTGTCCTTTGTTTCTCTCGTTTTTCCAAATGATTTTCTCTCGAAAGAAATGATGCAATGGTTGGATCGAACCATGTCGACATGCTGCTCATCTTGTCCAAGGAATACCGAGGATGAAACATTTCATCATGATGAATTATTCACACAAACACTCGAGATTGAAATGAAATCTCTCCTCCGAATCAACAATTATTTCGGAAGATTTAAATCATGTCATCTTCCACATGTGGAGAAGGATGACGATTCGGAATGGAACAATTCTGCCTTTCTTGTTTTTCCTTCTCTAATTTTCAACGCCAATTTGACATTTTGGAAGCATCCAATCTTGTTGAGTAGTTCAACCACCTCCATTCTCTCGTCGTCTTCGGACATGAATTATTCCATGATTTTCTTTCCACGAGTCTTGTCATGTTTTCACACATTAATTTTTCACACAGCCATTCCGTTTGAAGATGTGTTGATACAATTTGATGAAGATTCAGATATGGCATTTCAAATGTGGCATGACATGATGTGGAAAGCAAGTTGTGAACATTATGATTTGAATTCATTATTCCTCCATAAAGAAATTGAATCAACAAGAAGATATTCTCCCAAATTAAGACTGAAATTACACTTTACCAACAAGTATTTACAACGTTCCGTGATGGATCATGTTTTAGAAAAATTACTCGATTCGAGTAGGAATCAATTCTTACTTTCAAATGGATGTTTATTGAAATCTTTAAAGTTACCGACATGTAGTCGATTTCGAGAAGGAATGATTGAAGAATATAGAAATTATTTTCTTGACACGGTCGATGAAGAAGATTCTCGAGATGCATTAATGAGTGGAAGGAGAATTTTCTTTATTGATTTGTTGAATACTTTTGTGGGATTGGAGACTTTAAAAATTGACAAAATTGTTGACGATGCAGATATAGAGAGTGGTCTACATTCTGAAACGTCTCGATCTACACAAGTTCTTTCACATGAATCGATTCGAATGACTCAATATTTTAAAATGTATCCTTTCAAATCGAATCGAGAAATTTCTGAAATTCGACTCGTACTCACCGAAGATGAACAAGAAATGAAACGACAAGAACAAGAACTCAAACAAGAACGTCGTGAAATGGTTTTACAGAAATTGCAACTCGATCGAAAGAAGTCTTACCAATTGCATACCTGTCTCTGTGATGGTTTGAAGGATCATGAAATTTCACAACTCTTGCAAAATTATTCGTGTCAATCCTCATTGAAAACACTTCTCATGACTCATACCTTACTGGATGGCCATCTGGCAGAACTATTTTCACACTCCTCTATTGAGACTTTATATTTAAATGATTGTCTTTTTGAGGGAAGCAAATTCTTGGAGGAAATTCTCTTGCATTCTCATGTGAAAGTTCTCTCATTACAGAATGTGACATTTCGAAAAACAACAACCTCGAGTCAAGGTCAAGTTATTTCGAAAGTATCCTCACCAAAAACTCAAACCATATTTAGCGAGCAAGAAGGTGAACTTTTTAAAAAGAACAAGACACTGGTGAGATTGGAAATTCACTCATGTCCCTCTCTATTCGATTCTCGTTTTATGGAACAATTAAGTGAAAATTCAAATATTCGATTTTTAACGATTCGAAATTGTAAACTATCCGATGACAAATTGAGGCCCATTCTCAGAAATAACAAGAACATTGAAGAATTGGATATTTGTAATAATAAGGGCGGATCTCTTACGTTAGCACGTCTCATTGCCTTCCATTGTTATCGAGATGCACAACGTATGAAAATTATTTCCGATTATTTATTGTAACAAGTGTACTTTTTGAATAAAGTGAAATTTATGAAATTTTCCAGAGCCATCAAAGCGGAGCCTTAAAAAAAATATCACAACACTTTGAATAAGGGTGAATTGAATCCGGCAACGATCATCAGGGACGATCATTATTAATTTCATGACAAAGATGAAAAAGTTACCCTCTATTGGATTGTGTTTGTTAGGATCGGGTGCTGTTGGGAAGAGTTGTTTGGTAAGTGTTTTTCGAGGGGTTCGTAGAGAGGTGGATTCACCTGAATAATGGACCGTACTTTGTTTTCATGACTGATCACTCCGATAAGGCTGTTCAATATCATCATGGTATATTTGAGGAGCATGATTATGATCCAACTATTCAAGATGTTCATCGTAAAAATGTAAGGCTTAATGATAAACGGGAATATTGTTTGGAAATTCAAGACACAGCAGGTGAGCCTGAACTACGAGGATGTAAGTGTTGGTGTTGCCTTAGAAGTGGTGTGTTTTGGAATCACTTGTTAACAACTGTAATTCAATCTCTTGCCAAATCAACATGTTTTTCGATGGATCCTCCCGAATCAACCTCGATCAGTACTGGAAGAAATTATTGAAACAAGTGAAGGATTCATGATTGTGTATAGTGTTTTGGACAAACGATCCTTTGAAGAAGTAACATTATTTCTCGATATGATTTGGAAAGTTCGTGGAAAAGAAGTACCAATCATGCTTGTCGCAAACAAAATTGATACACTCTCGACAGAACAAGCCCGAGTAATATCCAAAGAAGATGCACAACGTTTGGCACATATCCATCAACTCATGTATCAAGAAACCTCAGCAAAAACTGGAGAAAATGTCAAGACGAGTTTTGTGGCGTTGGCAGAGAAGGCAAGAGACAATATGATTCTCACAGGAAAGCTCAAGAAACCGAGTGGATGCCAAATAGCTTAATTTGTAACACATCATGTAAATACACAAAAATTTCTATCATTACAATTCACACCTTCACAATATTCGACATGTATCTCACAAATGATTATAGTACTGTCACATGGTTAGAGACGCAAAATACCTTTCACCGCCTTGAATGTTTCTGGAAGGGAGTTGGAAGAGGAGCTTGCTGTTGAAATGATAGAACAGAGGGCTTGATACAATTGACCAACTGTCACTCCCTTCTTTCTCATGGAATTGACCAAATTTGCCAAATGATCATCGAGTGCTTGCGTTTTAAATGTGTAGTAAATGAGATCTTTTCTTGCTTGTGCGGCTGCAACGGTTTGAATGAGGCTTTTCAATTCTTTATCTCCCAAGAAAGCTCCACACCCTAATTATTAATGGTGAATCATAAGAATCAAGTTATTGGTGGTTGTTGTTATCGAAAAAAACTTACCCTACACAATGTCACACAGGTATCACACAAGTATACAAATAAGTACATTAAGTTATTAATTTCAGTTCATGGTCAAATAACCAGCTTTTTACATACCCAATTACCTGTTGAAATCTTTTGCCTACTGGAGTGGCAAAAACCAGCATATGCCTTAATAATTTCACGATCGATATTGGATTTTTGCCATTGAGAATGTGCAGTGATACGATTGAAAACAAGTGCGTCGATGGCACTAGTTTCTTTAAGACTATTTCCATTCGAGTCCTTATTCGTGTCCATGTAATTTCCTCCATAATCGAGTGTAAATGCATATCCCTTGTGAGATGAAAATTGTTCAGCTCCAGTAATGAGAATGGATTCATTGTCTTGCATGACTTGGCATATCAAACGTGCCACATTCATTTCTGGACACAAGGAAAATTCAATCTCTTCTTGAACTATTGATATAGGTAAAAATTTCCCAATTTTAAATAGATTCATTGGATTGGGGTAAAAACACAACATCAAACTCAACATCATCATACGTACCACATCCAAAAGAAATTGACGCGCCTCCAATGTATTTGTTCGCAAAGTCCATTTGAAGAGCATCTTTAGAATCAGAGATGGATCCTTCACTATGTACTTCTATTTCTGTCAATGGTAGAGAGCTGTTTGCAAAATCAGGTATATCGTTCACACTGAGACACACTCTCGAAAATTTAATCTTTAGATTTGGATTTTGGCAGATGAGGGCAAAACTTTCATGAATTCTGGCGAAATAATTCAACAACATGAGACATTTGGCAAGTTGTGGTCTATTTTGTTTTTGCAATCATTCCACCAGTCCATTCATTGAAAATGGATTGCATATATTTCGCCAGTGCATTCAAATATAAAATCATAATTAATTAAGGAATCCAAAAGGTTCAAAGGTATTGCCACAACAAGTCGCATACTCACCTATAATTTGGATGTTCACAAAACATTTCATCATAATTAATCGAAGGAAAAACTTCCCAAAGAGCGTCATTTGAAATTCTTTTCCAAGTACAAAAGAAAGAATTAGCCAATAGACAAGCAGCTCCAACTTTTGACACTTCCACAGTATCCATCATTCCCATCTTCAAGTACTTTAACGATTTTGAAGGAACATATTTTTCCGTGTCCAATACAAGATTTGCAACAAATGGAATGACTGTCCGAATAAAACTCTTCTCCGAATTGTAATCATCAGGATAATATTGCTCTTCAAATAAATCCAAAGCATGCGATAGACACAATACAGAGCTTGAATTTTCTGAAAATTGATCCAGGCTTGTCGTCGTGGCTCCCGAAAGATCATTCTTGCGCTCTGAAAGAATTGCTCCGATCGCTAAAAGTACTTGTTTCTTGGATGGAGTTCCATTCACCAACGGAGTGAGTGTGGATTTAATAAAATCCCAATGTGAGTATTCAAAGGGCATTTCAACCAAGTCGGCTTGAGCCTCTTGTTGCTGAACTCGGAGAGGACGTGAAATCATTTTTTTTGTAACGAGTTCAGACGCGAAAAATAACTGCTCTTGAATTCAAACCCAAAATCCGATCTACTTAAATTTCCTCAATGCGTTCGGTTGACCTCAACTGTAAGCTGCTTGATGCAGATATTGTTGAACGAAAATCCACTGTTGGCATCGAGACAACAAAACGTAGTTTATGGGTTGGTCATCTTTTGAATCTTGGCTAACGCCAGAACTTGTACGGGGAGCAAAACGACAATTGCAATTCAAAACGTCTTCTGTCACGTAGTCATCTCACAAAAAAATTCTGAACTTGAAAATTCATTTGGAACGTTATAACTTTTCATCATCACACGAGCACTAAAACCATCATCATCCTTTAATTTCCAACACAGGTCCTCATCATGATCCAATCGTCTTTATCATCCTCTTCCATTCTACTTTTCTTTATTGTCGTCCTCTCCCTTTATTGGTTGACAAGTTCCACACCACTAGTAAATGCCAAATGTCCAAATCTTCCTTCCTGTAAAACCCATCGAGCTGGTTTTAAACCTCGTTTCAATGGTTGTGGACCTCGTCATTCAGAAATTATGCGTCTTCTCGGAAGTATTCTTTTCGATTCCTTCACTCCTTGTTGTAATGAACATGACAAGTGTTATGAAACTTGTGGAAATTCGAGAGAAACATGTGATCAAATCATGTACAAGTGTATGGTCAATACTTGTAACAAATTGTATTCGAGTTCATTTGCCAAGCGATCTTGGTGTAAATTGAAAGCAGAAGGTATCAAGATGGGTTTGAAACCAGATTCGGATGTGACTTGTACGGCATTTGCTTCAGCTCAACAGAGAGCTTGTGATTGTTCTGAGGACGATGAAGGAGAGGATGAAGAATAAATGCTTTCTAGTAGTATTCCAGTTGTTGTAAAACGTATTGAGAGTGAAAAACAAATTTATTAAAAAAATGGCTTCACGACGACCGTTTGATGATGAGATGGATTTGAGTGATGAAGAAGAGGACTACGATTATAATAACAACCATATGGATCAAGGTGGAATTACGTTGGCAGATTTAGAAGATGACGACGACGATGAAGAAGAACAAGATGCGTTTCCGATGATTCGAGATCCAATACCACTGTTTTTAAATCAATTTGTTCCTAATACGTATTTGAACAATAATAACATTGCAATGAGTGATGATCATGCTTCACGTTCAAAGAATAATAATTTTAATTATTTCTTGTATCGATGCGGAAGTATTGATTTATTTCAAAAGAAAACTGCTCAGCTAGGATTTCCTTTGAGAATTATTCTATCCTCCATTGATCAGAAAAATTCAGCAACATACCAAACGATTATTAACAACAACAATCCATTTACCAACAAAACATTGGATACTACCATGATCACCAATGACTTGGATTCTCCAATGACTCCAAACACGGCCAATCTTAGAAAAAGTTTTGAACAATTACCCTCGGTGTTACTTGAAACATACATGCTTCATTTGATGCCTAACGGAGTGCAAGATTTGGATTACGATAATATGATAAAAGGGGCATTATTGGGAATTGCTGAAAAGCTCGATGAACGCGAGAGACGATTTTCAAATCTTCTCATTCCGATTGTACATTATTTTTCGGTTGAAGGCGCAGGACCTGTTTACTTTGGATGGCAACAATCGACATCACACGAATATGAGCATTGCGCAAAGAACACACCAAATTCTCAACAACAACAACACGATCCTAGTTTTACAGAAGCACCAACTTTTAATTTTACTCCAAACATATCAACATTGACAGTTGCGAATGTGACAGAACAAAAAGAGCCCACGTTAGAAAATATTCCCTCGGTTCTTCGCATCGAAAAGCCAACCAACACAAGGCCAATCGAATACTACTTTAATAAGCGCATTTGCATTCAATTACACCCTTATTTATGCTTACAAATCATACCCTCTGAGCTCCGAAGAAAATCAAATTATAACATCAGTCAGAGCAAATCAAGCAAGTATGAAGGTTATTACTTTTATTGTGAATATACAGTGTTGGATTCTGGTTATTCGAATATGTATGGAAGTGATGGAGTGTGCGAGATTGGTTGTGGTAAGTGTATTTATGAGACCTATTATTATTTGAATTTTTGTAATATTGGTGTTTCACCATTCCATCATTCGTTGGCAACAGGAATGGCTCCATTCGAATACAGTGAAGGTATGGTTGGATGGTATCGAAAGAGTGTCGGTTATCATTGTGATTGTGGTCGAGTATATGATAACATGCCCGAGAATACAGATAATAATTTTGCAGGCAAAGGAAATGTTGGAGGTAAGTACTTTTTTCACAAGATAGTTATGTGTTCTTTATTCTTTTTCCATTTCGTTTTCATCACAATTACTTTGCACCACAACAATATACAGACACACTTGGCGTTGCATGGTCCCTTAAAACTGGTGAAATTACATTTGTAAAGAATGGAGTTGTTGTCGAAACACGAAAACGTCAACAAGTATGGAAGAAAGATTTTTGGGAGGATGATTTTAGACGATTTTGTCCGACTATTTCCTTTGATTACAACAAGAGAAAACTCTATGTGAACGTTGGTTTGAACCGTGCGCTCTATCCATTCAAATATTATCTATTTAATACGTATGAAGAGCAAGAAATTATGTTTTCCTATTTGGATGTTGAAAGTGATTCTGCTGAAGGACAATATTTTGTTGATATTTCATTCAAGACCTTTTGCTGAAGGTAAAAAAATGTACAAAATGAAGGACTAAATATAACTTGTTCAAGACGTTTGATTCGAACGTGTCACTTATCAAGAACAAAAAATATGCATTCATCCAGCTCTGCATCATCCAACAACGATTGGTCCTCTTCCAACGACCACCAATCTGTACCAACATCACTAACTGCTGACAAATCTCCTCTGAGTGATACCACCACAACCTCCGAACTTTCAAAACAAGATCTCTACAGCCCTGCTCTCACAATGTCTTCTTCCTCTTCCGACACTTATATTCATCAACTCAAAGAAAAGAATCGCAAACTCCAACTCTTGCTTTGTCATTCCTTACAAATGTTACAACTCAGTAATCATCAATTATCCAAAGACATTCAACAAGTGAAACATCATCTTTTTCATGATTTAAAATTATTGGAACGTCATGATTCAATCAGTGGCAGTAGTGACGACGAAGATGATGATGATGATGACGTGCTGACTTCTCAACAAGATGAAGCATTCCGAACGGTTTTTGAGAGAGAACGAACCATGTATTCGGAAAATCAATTTTGGAGTGCCACTCTCAAGACACGATTGAATCGAGAATTTTCACAAATTTCAAGGCTTGGATCTGGTAGTTTTGGAAGTGTGGTAAAGGCAAGAAATCAACTCGATTCCAAATTTTATGCCATTAAAATGATACGAATTCCAGAAAAAGAATTCGCAAATTCAGAAAGCCTTGACTCGAGAAGTGTCGTTATGAAAGAAGTGGAATTTCTTTCGACTCTTCATCATGATCATATTATTAGATATTACAATGTTTGGAAAGAACATGTGCCCGATTCGAGGTTATATATCCAGATGGAATTTTGCGAGTCGACACTGAGAGAATTTATCAACTCGAGGGATACAAGTCGAGCGATGGTATGGACGTATTTTGAGCAAATTTTGAGAGCTTTGGCGTTTTTGAGTGAACAAAACATTACTCATTCAGATTTGGTACGTCTTGATAAGATTTGGTTGTCGAATAACACAAAATGAACTTGTTAAAAATGATGATATTTCTGGGAAAATTTAATTTCAAAGAAACCTGAAAATATTCTAATCAGCAATGATGTGATCAAACTTGGAGATTTTGGACTTTCTTACAATCATAAACATGAAACAGCACATCAAAGTAGAGGAACCTCCTTATATATTAATAAGGAACCCCGAGAAAATAATCCAAAATTTGACATTTTCTCTCTTGGAATTATCTTTTTTGAAATGTATGTTGTAATTATTATATTCCAAAGTAGTGTGAATATTGTAATTTCCATTTAATATCTAAACCTGAACGATTTTCTCTTCACGTATTCACACAGGCTAACATCCAATCACATTCCCACTGATCAACGCCATACCAATCTCAAACAACTAAAAGAGAATCCCAAAATCTTTCTCTCTAATTCTCCTCTCATTGACTTGTATGACATGGAAAAGGATCTCATTCAGAGAATGCTTGAACCCAATTACAGGGAACGACCCTCTGCCAAAGAGCTTCTTGATGAAATTTATCGAATGGCTTTCCAATGTCTAAAATGTCATTCCACCATGAAGGGCCTTGTACCTTGGATTATTCACCTCAATGGTCAACATCATAATAAGGATCAATACATGAAAGAACATTTGCAAAAGATGGAACCAGTGTCGAGATTGAATTGGTTTGTTTCGAAAAAGCTCGGAGGAATTGTTTCATTTTCATCCTTCAGCCAGGAAGGGCCACCACATTGTCCCATGTTTTCACAACGTGTTGAAATTCAAATACCTGGTTGTGAAAAAAGCCCAATAGTGGTGACAGGTCCTAAACGATCGAAAAAACAAGAGAGTAAGAATGCTGTATGTGAGAAGGCATTTCAAATGATTTGCAATTACCCGGAAATCCGTACTAACTTGGAATAAATATTTCACATGGCTTTTGTGAAATTTAATATGTTCACCTTGTCATCCTTATCTTTCAACCACCTGTTACGCTTAAATACACGTTGCGTGCAAATGTCGCAAATATCTTCTCCTTTGTATCAACTTTTCAATGATTGAAGTAAGTTGGAACTCTCTTTCTGAGATGTGGTTGTGAACATACAGTTGAATTTTAATATTCTCGAAGATCATCCTTTCATACTGTTCTTGAAGTTTGTTAATCTGTGAGAATTGTCTTTGAGTAATCTTATTCTGGCAATGAAGTTGCTTCGATAGATTTTGAATAACAGAGGTGTAGTGCTTTGTATCTAATGCTTGCTGTGTACTGGCAGTTTGTAACCTGTCCCTTTCGGTGCCTTGTTGTTGGCAGTTTGCAACTTTTCCGTCATTTTCTGATTAACCACAACTTCTTGAATGTTTGACATGGTGAGATTAATAACATCGCCAGCCTTTGAAATGGAAAAAAGTGGCAACAATGATTCCGCTTCCTCATTGCTAATAGCAGTAAACTTTCTTACCCGTTCTTTCAAAATTCTGTTAATGATGGTACTGCAAATAGGTGTAAGAGCTTGTTTACTAACTTCCGTTTCCCACTTCATTGTGATAGTGCCTTGAAAATCCGTATCAATCAATGCTTTGACCTCTGGAGAAGGTGTTTCACGAATAGTAGTACTTGATCGAATCATGGTAAGGATTTTTTTGAGGAACCTTCATTTGCCGCCACTCGCAATTTACAGTGTTATTTTTAAACCTAAACCAACAAAAAAAAACAGATACTTGATCATGATGAACAAACAACGAATGATGTCTCTCTCTCACGATGTCTACAAAATGGATAGGAAGAAGGCCGTGGAGGGCACCAATACATCCAATGTAGGAGCGTGTTTGATTGACCAAGACATGAATCCAGTGGGTCCCCAACTCGGAACCTCCGATCTCAATGCTGGAAAATTCGGTAATGGATTTCGCAGAAGACAACAAGATACCATTCAACAAGATAAGGAACGAAGAGAAAATGAAGCAGTGCTTCAACAGAGAAAGGAAAACAGAAGGGAGTACAGAAAAGCATTTTTGGAACAAACCAAGTTTCAGACCAAAATCAACATTATTACAGGTGAGAATTTGCCAGATGATACACCAAAATATTCTAAAAAAGTGTTTGAGCATCACAACAAGGACGAGATTACAAAACCACTCGTCGAAAAGAGAAATCAGTTCAAAGAAAAATTAATAGCAAACGATGGGCTTCGAAAACCCAAAGAATACAGCGTGAAACAATATTTTCAGGATTATTCATCGTATGAAACAAATAAGCGAGAGTGATAGCGCAATAACAATGCAATCGTCCTTCTAACCAACATCACCATGAAATTATTTTCGTTTATTATTATGTGATAGTAATACATTGAGGAGGGAGCGTGTTCATTAATTGATATTGATGGATGGCACATTGTCATTGTCACTTCTCTTTGAGAAGGCAGTTGTGACACGCTGACGAGCTTGAAGTGATAGCTGAGGTGGTGAACCTAATTTACCAACAATACTCCTAAGTTGTTCATAGCTCTCTACTAATTGTGTGGCATTTTCGCTGCTCAACTCAAAGTAAGCAAGAGTTCCTGTTGTATTCTTCTTTTTAACCTCCTGTAATAATGGATAAATAGTGGAATCATTGTCATAAAATAGAACATGAATATTGTAGAGTGACCACAGCAATCGATCATTATTCTCTTCACTCAGAGTATTATCAGTGCTGTCTCGTAAATTCATGTCATCTCCATTCACATCACAAACTTCATCCAAAAAGGCTCTCAAATTTGATTTTTGCTCTCTCACAAAATCATTGGCAGGCACCATGAAAGCTTCCTTCTTTTCACTGAATTCAATTTCATTGGCCGTTTGTTGTAAAATTTTGGAAACCAGCATGAGAGTACGTTGGGCATTCTTTTGAGGCGTCGTACTCACAAGTTGAAACAAGTGAGGAGCAGTAATGCACGGAGTGATGAAACGTAGAAAGAGTAATGAAGAGGCAGCAATAGTGCCCATACTGGTACTATCTAGTTGTGTTGAGACATGTTCTCCTGGAATGTCATGTGTCACTGAAGCTACATTCTCATACTTTTTGAATACTTGTTCACGGAGGTGTGATGTGATTTGTCGAATATCTTTTGGCATGACGCTCACAGATTGTCTAATGGCTTGCATGTATTGTTTGGCATATTCAATAATTTCATTCATATTTTCTTTGGCCTTCACTTGCGGATCGATTGAAATGGAACCTTCACTTTCCTTTCGAATGGTATCAGGCGAGCATTCTAAATACTTGTTCTCTTCACAAATCTTTTGTGTAAGATCTTGAAGAGTTTTCTTGAGATAGACCTGACCGAATATTTTCAAATACATGCCAACTAATTTTGTGCTTATGGAATTGGATCTAAGAAGTTGTGAAATTCTCAGAGTTTTTTCAACTTCTAAACGAATAATATATTTCATGACTGAGACATTGAATTCCTCTGTACCCTGTGGATTGGTCTCTCCATAGGTTGTCAAATAGATGAGAGATTTGTAAATCTTGTCATCCACATTCAACTTGTTATTGTCGAATAATCCAATGAATGAAGATGGCTTGAGAGAAAGTAAGAATTGTTTCAGTGGTGTATAGAAACCAAGATTGGTAATCTTTTTCAAATATCCCATACTTCCACTTTCAGAACTTGTAAAAGTACATTGCAAGTGAATTCGACCTGCAAAAGAATCCTTTGAATTTTTCAAATCCAGCCAAAAGTCATGTTTTTCTTCATCGGCCAATTCTTGACAATTGAAATCAGCACTACCAATAAGCTCAGCCTTACTGAGTCTATTTTCATCAAATACTGAAACATGAAGTATGCTCGATATGTTTTTCACTATTACAAATTTGTAGATGAAAGTGTCAATTGCCAATTTCGTACAAAAAAATTATTCACTTACCAATAAATGTGAAACGAGCATTCCATTTGGGATTTAACTCTTTCCAAATGACGTCGGTTCTCACTTCTTGATTTTCAAATTTGAGAACTGTAAATCCATCCGAAGTGTCACCCATGTCTTTGGCTTCCAAATTCGAGGCTTCAATCACTTCGACCACAAGTGTTGAGATTTTGTTTGGTTCCACCGTATAGATGGTCTTTTCACTGTGCTCGCTATCGATCGATCCTCCATTGCCATACGAGGATTGAGATCCACCGAGTGCACTGAGTCCTTGTCCAGCAGAGGATCCATTCGAAGAGTCACCTGTGGTCATGACAGAAGCAGATCTTCTTCGAATGAGATTGAAATCTTCAGCTCGAAGTGAATCATTACGTTTGTGACCATGTCTCTTTTTTTGTTTATCATCGGAGGATGTTGAATGATCATTGTTGCCACTACTACTACTTGCACTGCCAGAACTGTTGTTGGAAGATTGACTTGCAGAGGATGTTGAACTGTTGTTCTGATCTGATGAAGTATCCTTCTTCTTGTGTTTCTTTTTGCTTTTAAGGTAACTTTCAACATCAATTCCAGTAGATCTATTTCAAAAGACAGAAAATTTCAAAATATTGAACACAATATCAAGATCGATCATTCCATATATAATCAAAACATGATACAAATTGGATGGAAATTGAAACCTCCATTCTTGCATTTGCTAGAATTCAACTCTCTACTTACTGTTCAATCCACGAAACCATTGGTTCCAATTCCTTCTCATTTAACAATCTAAATTCCATAGCAAAAAACAAAAAATGTTTAAATGCAAATAAAAAGTTGGTCTCCATCTTTCTCTCTTTCACTTCATTATAATGTTGATGAAAGACATGTGCATAAACTCGGAAAATCTTTTTTGACATGTCCTTGACAATTTTACGAAAATCTTTTGGAAAATCTCCATTCGTAGAAAAGATATTCGTGTCGTTCAGTAAATTTTCAATCTTGTCAATCGAGAGTGCAATATATTCTGGAGCTGAAACTTCGGTGGCTTTTTTATACTTTTTAGAAGTTGGATCTCGCCACAAGTACATGTAGCCAGGACTGGACATCATTTTGGGACACGATTCATCGGTGCAACATTCTTGCATTTGACCAAATATGGCATTAATTTTGTTGTACTGTTGTTGTTGTTATTGTTGTTGTTATTGAGGATGATGTTGTTGAGGATATTGTTGAGGATGATGATTTCATCGATCGAGAGAGAACAAATGTGAGATGGTCATGTGAAACAATAATTCATCAATAATTCATTAATAATAATACATGTTAAAAAAGTTTAAACCATATTCACCAATGTCACCAATGTCAGTATATTCCAAAGGACATACGTCAAAAATACCTACAAAATCAATCATGTGAAAGGAAATCCATTCATTCACACTCTCTCCAGGTGGTAATTTCACACTTTCTTGAACTACCAAATCCGTATACGAATCCTGATTGAGTGTAGATTCTAATTTTTTAGAAAGTTCTAAATGATGTGAAGATTGAACATTTTTCACAGGTTTAAATGTTTTGTTTCTATCAAACGCGCTACTGTTGAAAGTGATGATTCAATTGATGGAATATATGAAAATGGTGAATATGTTGAACAGAATGGAGTGTCCGTGTGTGAGTGGTAATGATGATCCGTTGAATGTTGTTTCCAGTTGAAAGAGGTTGTTGTATGAAATGCGGATCCGAATGAGAGAGTGTTGTGGGACGATGAGTGTCAAATGTCATCATGTTATTGATCATCGTCCAAAATGATAAGAAGTGAGAGACAACACATCATTTGATACAAAGTCCGTCAGCACACACATGTATATGATGAGCAACAATGAAATATCAATGTTCCAACCGAGAGAGATCACAAAGGAAGTTAATCACACATGACCAAACGAGCAACACATGATACCTACAAGATGCTTGGCATTTTTTTTTCTTTTGGCATGTCAAGTATCAACGAATGATTGCTTGTCGACAAATCGATACAACCGCAATTTTGCTTCATTCCAACGGGTCGAAGAGTTGGAGCGAGGAAAAGGCAACCTCTTGTGACCATGAAAGAATGGTAACAATGAACCAAAAGTAAAGAGATACAACACTGAATAATTAAGGGTGTGTGTATTGTGTCAACACATTGTTGTGGGATAGAGTTGCGTGTTTCAAAATGAGTGACAATCATCAAAATCGCTTAGGTTCTTATTTAGGTAGAGGCATTACATATTTAAAACTGACTTTTCGAAGTGGTGTCTTTCCGTCTTCTTCGTCATCCTCAAATTTCAAATAATAATTCTTAGAATTCTTTGTTGGTGCAGTGTCAACAATTGCAGGATAAAACGTGGTAGTATCAGGAAAGACGGCAAACACCTGTTCTCCCTTCTTAAAGGGCTTGTGTTGTGAAAAATCTGTCGGTAACTGTACAATATGATTCTTGTTAAGCTTGTAGGTTTTACGCTCTGAGGTCGAGGACTCATCATCGCTATTATCCTCGTCAATGACATCATAGCGATTCTTATCGGGATAATATTTGAGAATTGAAGCCAAAATCCAAAAACCAGAATCTCCACTCTCCTCACTTGCACCACTAATTCTAGCAGCGACTTTGGATTTGACTGGGATCCCTTCATCGAGCTGTAAGTATTTATCAGTTGTGATGGGTTGAGCCTCTGTCTTTGTTCGTTCAGACGCAGGCTCTTTTGTTGATTTTGTACCTTTTGTTTGTCTCTTCTTTGTGGTTCTTGTTGTTGTTTTGCCAGCTGGTTGTTTTTCCGAATCGGAAATGTTTGCTGTTGCACTGCTGCCACTAGGTGCTGTAGCCATTTCTTCATCCTCCTCGTCAACTTGCATGGCATCAGTTGAAACGGCTGTGGCTTGTGGAGTTGTTGGTTGTTGTGGTTGTGATGGAACGGCCACATTGGATGCACCCTCTGCAGCCAATGAATCAGCTTGAGGTGTTGTATCGGTTGCTATTGCTTGTTGTGTGAATACTCCGCTTTCTTTCTGTTTTTCCTCTGCCTTCTCTACCAACAAAGAAAGTTGTGCTAAAATTACAATGATTAAACTTTGATCATTTGATGAAAATATGTCAAAGTATTGAATTTAGGATTTTCCAAGATGATTTCGTTTGTTCACAGGACACGGAAGAAAATGTTGTGAATTGTTGATGTCATATAAATATAGGCGAAAATTGTTGAAAAGTACATGTCCGATGTTGTGTGGGTTTTAGAGAAGATGATATTGTATGAACAATGTAAAAATATAAAATGTAAAAAAACATTATCAAAGTAGATCATGATGATAATTTAGGCATTGATGCTTGCACGTTACTTACTCTTGTTCCTTCTTTGTATTTTCAAAGAATTCGGCATAAATTTGTCGTAATTCTTCATTCACTTCCAATTTCTCTTCTCCAGAACGTATTTTCGAATGTTTCTCATTGATCTTTTGTTGTAATTCAGTGAGCCTTTTTCTTGTTCCTTTGAACGTGCTCATATCATTGCATATCTTCTTGGTCAAACGAACAGATTTGTACGGAAGCGAAGACTCAACCACATTGGATTGGGAGCCAGATTTTGATGAAGCTTCCTTCATTGAAACTCTTTCCAAATGATGATGATGATTGGATGATAAATATTTATATGATATGCAAAGGCTTGTGATAATAATGCCTGTGAGTGATAGGAAGGCCACGTCGGATCTGGTTGGGTGTTGATTACGATTTTGGTATTTTTTTTAAAAAAATGCAAAAAAAAATAAGCTGGTATGATGATCAAATTCATTGTAGTACTACTTTCATTGAAATCGGAAATATCATGTGGGTAGAGCTTCTTTAAAAGAACGGTTCATGGATGTTGAAATTGCATTCTTGAACTCAAGCAAAAAATTCAATATCATCTTTGAATTTTACACTTCGCCATTGTTGATCATTCATTTCAAGAATTGAATCCAAAGATTGGTGGCAGAACAATTTCTCTCGAAAATTCTCAACTCGTTGTAAAATACGTTGGAAGATCAAGTTGAAGATCAAATCTCTCCCATCCAACCGTCTTGTGCCTCCAAGCCTTGAGAGAGAATTGGAACAAGGAAACACACGTGCTCTCTCAGAAGAGAATTCACGAACCAGAGAATTTCCATAAATAGCCTCAGCCAACAGGTTCAATTTTCAAAACCACACACAAAAAAACAACATTACATTTCAAACACTCTCCCATACCTTGTACACAACAACGCTACACTCACAAAATGACTGATCCAAACAACAAACCCTATCCTCAAGAATTTTATTGTCCCATCACACAGGAAGTCATGATCGATCCTGTCATTGGAAAAGATGGCCATACCTATGAACGTGAAGCTATTGAGAAATGGTTGAAGGATCACAACGTATCGCCCATGACTCGTGAACCCATGAGTGTGGATCACTTGGTTCCTAATATTGCTCTCAGAAATACCATTGAACAAATTGTGAATGAGAACGAGAATGCTATTAATACTGGTGCTAGAGTTCTCGGATCATTGCCAAGTAGCAGCACTGTTTCACCATCTTCACCTCACCATGTGGCCAATGTCGACTTGACTGTCAAATCTCATCTCAGAAATGACGGTCGTCGTGTGCATGTTCGAGTTCAACCACCGATTCAAGGTGCCGAACGTCAACCATGCAATTTGGTTTGCATTATTGACATTTCAGGATCGATGGGTTCTGATGCTGAGGAAGCCTCAACAAATGCCACTGAAAATGCTGGATTTTCTCGTTTGGATTTGGTCAAGCACTCGGTGCGAACCTTTATTGAAGTGTTGAATGATAAGGATTGTCTCTCATTGATTCCTTTCAGTGACAAGGCAAGAATTGATCTCTCACTCACCAAAATGTCAGCATACGGTAAGAAGAAAGCCATTGACAAGTTGGAAAAGATGCAACCTGAGGGATCGACCAATGTTTGGGATGGTTTACGATGTGCCTTAGAAATGTGTAAAGATTCTCCTCTCTGTACTCAAACCAACACTTGTGTCATTTTGTTTACTGATGGAGAAAGTAATATTAATCCACCACGTGGAATTATTCCTTCCTTAGAAAAGCATATTAAGGATAATCCATTGAATGCCACCATTCACTCGTTTGGATTTGGCTACAGTTTGGATTCCAAATTATTGACTGACATTGCGTTACATGGCTCTGGATTTTATTCATACATTCCTGATTGTACCATGGTGGGTACTGTTTTTGTGAACTTGTTGAGCAATGTACTCTCAACCATTATTAGAAGAGCCGATTTGATATTGACTCCTTTGAACGGTGCTACCATCAAGCATGTGTATGGTAGCTCGCTCAATGCTCATGGTAATGCAAAGAATGATTCTGAATCCATTGTCATTTCCATGGGTGGAATTCAATATGAACAAACTCGAGACTATATTGTCGATGTGGTTCCACAAGATCCCAATGCTCCATGTCTCAAGGCAGAACTTAAATTTAACTCTCAAAGTATTGAAAAGATGGATTCTCCTACAGAGGTCTTGTCTCTCCAAGATTTGAACGAACTCAATGTTCAATATTCAAGATTATTATTCATTGATAGTGTGGAGAAGGGCATGGGATTGGCTAACAAGGGTTCAGTGGATGGTGCTACCAAGGTCATGAAAGAATTTTTGAAACAAGTTCAAAAATTACCATCTCATACCGATGAACGAATCAAGTCCCTCATGCGTGATGTTGAAAGTGACAACCAAAATGAAGGACAAGTGTCACAAGCATTCTCAAGATCTGATTGGTATCAAAAATGGGGTCGTCACTATTTGCCAAGTTTGTTACGGGCAAACTGGATGCAAACTTGTCACAACTTTAAGGATCCTAGTGTTCAAGTGTTTGGAGGAGATCTCTTCAAGTCTTTGCAGAACGTGGCTGATGATATTTTCTGTAAACTTCCGCCACCAAAGGCATCCAATAAGGAGCGATATGATCGTTATACTGGTACCTATACCTCATCCACTTACACACCTGTCAACATGAGCGCTTATTACAATGCTGGTGGAAGTTGCTTTGATGGAGATTCACAAGTCCTTTTGGCAGATCACTCTCTCAAGAAGGTCAGAGACATTCAAAAGGGTGACAAGCTCAAGAACATGAATGGCAGCGATCATGCCACCGTGTTGTGTGTTCTGAAATCAAAAACACCATCTTCTCAAGTCAAATTGTGTGACTTGAATGGTATGAAAATCACTCCATACCATCCTGTTCGAGTGAATGGTGAATGGAAATTCCCAATTGATATTGCCACTCCTAAAAATGTTACATGTGATTATGTGTATAATTTAGTTGTGGATCAAGGACATGTGGTCAGCATTAATGGAGTAGAATGTATTACATTGGGACATGGATTTTCAGACAACTCGGTCATTAGTCATCCTTACTTTGGTACCAGTAAAATTGTGGAGGATTTGAGAACCATGAAAGGTTTTAATGAAGGTCTTGTGGAAATGACCAAGTATAAGATTATGAGAGATCCAAATTCTGGAAAAATCTCATCATTGTCTCTTGTGGAGTAAATTATTGATGTACATTAAATTCACTACATACATAAATTAATTTATATTCAACAATATTTTTCCACAAAGAGCACAAACTTTGAAAGATTCATGGATTGACAAATTTGACAATTCTTCTTATTTGCTACTTTCAAGTACACACTGCTCCAAACTTTGGGACAAATTCACCAACCTTCGCGAAAACATGAGTACATCTAACTTGACCACAACAACCTCCTCAACATTAGTTGATCCCAACACTCATAAAATTGTTCGCACTGCTCATTGTCGTTGCGGAAAACTCTCCTTCTCTGTCGAAGGTAATAATCGAGTGTTTGGTCATTACTGTCATTGTCGTAATTGTCGAAAAGGAACCTTTGCTCCTTTCACTTTATTAATTGCAGTTCCGTTTTATCAATTTAAATGGACTACTAGCATCAAGTCGGAAGAATTAAGACAGAAGAATTCCAATTCGTTCGAATCATTCACCAACTGTCCACAACATGAGGCAGAAAATGATATCCCACAAGATTGTCGAGATTTACCATCTATAGTAAAAACTGTGGAATTGTCTCCTGGAATTATTGGATTTTATTGTTCCGAATGTGGAGCCATGATTGCCCAAAAGCCAACGAATGCAGATTTCATTTCCACATTGGCTTGTTGTTACGACGAAATGCAACAAGCTTTTTGTCCGCTGACAGATGTCATTGAGAAAGAACAATTGAATCATGCTTGTTTTTTCACACCAGAAAATCATGTGAATTATGAAAATAGAGTGTGTGACGTGAAAGATGACTTGCCAAAATTTATGGACTTTCCACAGCCAAGAGGAAGTGGAAGAATGTATGAACCGGTTGGGAAATGAGTTTGCAGCACACAATAATGAGCAGTTTTTGCAAAAACTACAAAATTTCAGTCTGAAGATCATCATTAAGAATGTTCTTAGAGATGAGTTGAGGAATTGGGTGGTTGTACAGGACATTACGAATCATTACAACACTTGCAAGGTTGCTTTTCACCATCTTCTTTGAAAATCCAGAAATCTCATTCCGCAGTAATTCCAATTTTATCATTATTGCGATCCACAAAAGTTTCCAAATTTCATTAATTTGTGAGAAAATTTGAAACCTTATCAAATCCAATCGTTAAAAAAAAATCTCAATCCCACAAACTGTCAGCTGCCACCTCTTCCAACCACACGACGATGGATCGCTGCAACGTAAAACGTGTAAACAATTGGAAAGAACCGTTGATTCAACCCTTTGGAAAACAATTCGTGATGGTCACTGAAGAAATGACGAATTTCAAAACCTTCTTTTCCATCTATGATCTCTCTGATCTTGGTGATATTCAAAGATATCCAATATCTGAGATCCACAACAAAAAGTCTCTTCCAAATCATCAAGATCACTCGACAGGTACTTCAACCACAACTCTTGGAGTTTCTGTTGAATTGAAACACTTGATTTTAGATTGGGAAACTCCATTACTAGCTTCTCGACAGCCACAACTTGCAACAGAAGAAAACTTTCGAGCTTTTGCCAGGATGATAAAAACTCTTTCTGCTCGAAGAAGATCTGGAGAGAAGTATGTGTTTGAAGATTTTCCAAAATTGAAATCCATGGAGGAACCTTATGAAAAAACAAGCGTTGATGATGAGTTGACGTGTTTTGTTGGGGGACGTGCTCTCTTTATTGAAGCTCACTTGAGGTATTCAATTCCTAAAATAGAAGTTGTTATTGATGTGAAAAAGACTTCTAAAAACAATGATTTGGAGCAGAAGAATGAAATGCAGATTCAACCACTGAATGGTTTTCAAATTCCACAATCGTTTCATCCCAACGATGATGGAACTCGTTCGACACGATTTGAAACCTGTCATTCTGTCATTCTTCCATGTGAAAATATTCAAGAAACAAACTTTGCATTGAATGCAATCCTTTTCGGAGGTTTATTGTATCGTTATGAATTGACAAGAGGAGAATTCGATCCTTCCACTCCAATTACCTTCAAAGATGAAACCTGGACCAAATGTTTTAACTTGAAACAAGATTTCCCTAACAAAGGACCTCAATGGATTCCATATTTGGAAAATGGAAAAAGATTGAGAAGTTTTATAGTACAGGACGGAAAGCTGTTTGAATTCATTTGGAAAGATCAAAACAAATCCATTTCAGTAGTGCAACATTTGGAATGGTTGTCCACGGACATTACTCTTGTGAAACGATGTGACCATTTTGGTTTACTCATTCGTTGTTCTGAACAATGTCTGTTCTACATTCCAGAAGCGTGTTCTCCAACTCTTGCCTTTTCCAAGTCTTTGGGAAGAGTGTATTCATTGAATCATCTGCTGGATGTGTTGAAAACTTATCCCTTGTTTTGGAGTGATGCCTCCAAATGCCTTTGCACCTTAAAAACGGAATTGCCATTGAATACCAATCTTGCTGATGATCAACCAATGTTTGTACCTCTTCTCACGCAAAGCGAAATTGAAAAGCAACCCTTCCAACTCGTCAAGGACTTGTTTCATGAAGAAGAATTCAAAAAAGAATTTGAATATTGTTCCTACGATCAACAACAGAAATTTGAAGTGAAATGGGAACGATTGGAAAAAGTGAGCGATTTGGAAGAAAAGTTTAAAACTCGTGTCAGAATTCCTTTTGGATATCAGTGCCCTGTGAAAAAATATAATGATATGGAAATTATTGCTGGTATTGGGTAAGTATGTTTGATTGGGAAAATCCTCAAATGTGAAATGATGAAATATATTCATTTTCAGATGTTTGAATTTTAAGGATCAATTAGGCGAGGCCTTGAGTTCAAATTACATGGAATTGGAACCGCACGAGTTTAGTCAATTTTTGGGAGCACCTATCATGTTCAATGAAGAACGACGATCATTGAGTTATCGTTATTTCATTTTGGATATGAAAAATTGTAGAAAATCTTCAGGTGTGATTGAAATTGCCAATGCTGAAAAGAATAGTTATGGAACCTCAGGGATTGATTTGAATCGAATTCGTGAAAAGAAGAAACGATTTGTTGGAATTCTTGCTCCCAAAAAGGAAATTGTACAAGATGACCTCGATACGGCAGCCAATGAAGAATTATTGAAAGAATTAGCTCTCGCTCAGAAACGCCATGAAGAATTTGAAAAATTATCTTGTCAACAACTATTTCAAGTCGAAAGTCATTCGCTACGAGTGTGTGATCCATTCGTTGATCCCTCTGGAGTGTTGATTGAAAATGTCAAACCAGGTTTATGGAAATGGATTCAATATTCACCAAATTCAGAAGTTCCTCCAGCAGAAAGGAATGAACAACAAGACCACATGGATGAAACGGAAAATCAAAATCCATCCCATAACGAAAACGAAGAAGAGAACCAAGACTCCAATGACATGTCCTTTTCAGAATCTCCTTTCGCTCATCAGTCATGTATTCATCAATTAGCAGTTATTCATCAAGATTTCACAGAACAATTACTTCATTCGAATCCAGAACAATTCTGGAAGGTTCCAAAAGAGATTTACCAACATGCTGAAAATAATGATGATTCAGATGATTCTGACAATGAGGACAATGAACAAACACTTCCCCGTGATTTTCGTCCACAAGCATACGAAGGAGGTTGGTTTGTAATGACATGTGGCATTGGTGTCGATGTAGGATTGGCCGGTATATTCGATTCTGCTTGTTATAACAATTCGAACATTGTGAAAGAATACAACTTGATACGACCTCACAAATTATCCACTTTGGAACAACATTTCAATATGGACAGAATGACCGATTGGCAACGTTTTATTATGGAATATTTGGAGAAGCATGAAGGAGTGAATCGAGTTCCAGTACCATTTGGAATTATTTCAAGTTCAGGATATGGAGATGGTTGTTATGCTTGTTTGTTTAAGAGAGATTTGGAATCGAAACAAGTCGTTGCAGTTCGTGTGATTTTTATTGATGAACAGTTCGAACAACATGAAGAAGAAGAAGGAGAATTGGATGAAATGGAATCATTGGAGCAATCAGACTCTCACGAAGAACAGGATGATTTTTCAGAATAATAGATTCATTTATTAAAAAGTTAAATTAAACTATTGTAAAGAATCTGAAATAAATTTCCCAAAACCATGTGAATCTGAAAGACAATCTCTTTCAATTTTATACAGTTGTGCGTTATTTTGAATGGGAGCAGTAATAATACAGCCCCGTTCATCCGTTTCTCCTCAGGAGACAATTTGTTTTTTGGTAGCATGTGATTTAATAAGGTCAAAAAACTGTCAACACCATTTAAAGAAGGTGCCAAATGCCATTCGCATTTCACAAAATTTCAATCAAAAAAAAATTCCCGTCCCATGCATCAAACGACCACGAACCCTCTCTCATCCGATCCATCCTTCTTCTCGTCGGAAGACGATGAGTACAACAACGACCACTCACTTCCTTCCCTTTCGGGATATTTACAACAAAAAGCAGGATTTTTTGGAAGATGGAAAAAGTATGTCATTGTTGGTATTGAAATTTGTTTCATTCATATTTGTATGAATATGGAAATTCATCTTGTTCTTTATATTTTTCATATATTGATTGGAATACAATGAATATCGCATCATTCCATACTATTTATGGACAATTTTTGAATCAACAAATTCTCTTGTCGGAATGAAACCATTTGACTGTTGTACATTACATTTGGAACACTGAATTTCTTCTGCACACCCGTATTGTCACAACCAATCGCTAGATTCTGGTTTGTCCTTTCGAATGGAATTCTTTATAAATTCAAATCCAACAAAGATACACAACCCATTGAAGAATATGACATTTCAGGAACAACATCTAGCTCTGTTTCATCTCAACCACAACAACAACCGCAACGAATTTTACACAATGGAAAACATGTGTGTGGAAAAGAACATTCCATTGCCCTCTTCTTTCAAGAAGGTTCCGAAACTTTAATTTTATTAGCCAATGATGCTCAAGAACATGTGCAATGGATGGACGCACTGAATCGATCACTTCCGAAACATTTGAGATTATCCATGAGTACAGCTGTGATGAGTCAAGATTCTTCTTCGAACTCGTCTGGATCGAATTCGTCACTCAATGGAGGACTAAGCATGTTAAACATTAATAATGGTAACTCGGGAATTTCGAATACTTCAAAATCTTTGGCAGCATCGACGTCGTCACATCATGCATTCTCTCCTTACACTCCACAATCAAGAATGGAATCCATGTTACAAGTTTTGGAAGCAGTTTTGGATCCAACAGTCATTTCTGATTGTGATGGAAAAATTGTTGGATTTAATAAGGCAGCTGAGGAATTGTTTGGATGGAGAAAGGATGAAGTATTGTCGAAAAATGTGTCCATTTTGATGCCAACCATGTATGCTCAACATCACGATGGATACATGATGAGATTTAAGAAATGGCAAGATAAGAGATTGATTGGAAAACCAAGACGTAAGTGAGAATGTTTTTCACACACTTTTCAACAATGATCATTTTGCGATGTCTCAATTAACACATTATTAATGATCAAAATATTATGAAAATAATATGGACATTTTATAACATTTGCAAAATTCATACATGTTCGCATCCCTATAGGATTACTTGCCAAACACAAACAAGGTCACAACATTCCCATTGAAATTTCTTTGGGAGAAATCCCTCACGAAGAAGGATCGAATGACAATATGGCCTTTGTTGCCGTATTTAGACCCTCGATTGAGGACCCTTCTCATTTCAGTAATTCTCATCATGAATCCATGTCGTCTGAATCTCCTAATTATCCCTATAGTTCGAGTGCCAATTCATCGTTGGAATCGAGTCCCTTATCCTCCGACTCTAAAGAAGATTCATTTTTATATGGAGTTCCTTCTTCGTCGTCACCCTTTGGAACAAAGAAGGCAGAGAGTGTCACAACCACCACGACATCTTCCTTCTCGTTGGATCAAGATGTCGAGAGGGATTTACATGGCAATCGAGAAAAACTCGATCAGCGTCTTTCAGCATTTGTGACAAGTATGAAAAGTGCTGTCGATTCAGAATATACAATTTTGGAAAAGAAATTTCAATTGTTACAACAACAAGTGAATATTGTAGAGCAAGAAAACGAAAGATTATTTCAACAAACTGAAAAACAACATGAACATATCAAATTACTAGAAGAAGAATTAGGTGTTTTACAGAGAAATTCAGAAAAATTCAGTCTCGTTCAACTACTGAAAAACGAATCAACCTTTAAGGTTTTCCTCGAGTATTGTCACAAAAATAACACTTCGGATTTGGTCATGTTTTACAAGGAGGCTGATGAATTTCGAAACAAGTATTCACAAATTGATGGCGTCATTGGTACTATGGAAGACGAAGCGAAAAGAATTTACGAAAATTATCTAAGCGACAATTCTGGCAAAGTCATTAACATTCCATTCGATTCGAAAAGTAATGTGAAATATCATCTCTCCACTCCAACCTGTGACATGTTTGATTTGGCCATTAATGACACGCTGGCAATTTTAAAAGAAATTTCGTTTGACAAGTTTTGTGAAAGTGGATCAGGAAAGGCAACTCTTCAACAATTATTATTGTAAAGGGAACAACAACAACAACCATCATTATAACACGGCTGAGTCATGGCTCAGTTGTTCTGATTTTTTGAGAGTAATTTGATATGAGATTTTTTTGTACAATTTTGTGAGGTATTAAGCGCATAATACTTTGAATACTTACTGATTTATTGGAATGAAACACCAACATTGTTAACATTTGTTATTCGTCTCAAATTTGTACTTCAGAATCTCTTTGCAAAAAATGAAAATCCATTTTGAGAATTTGTGGTGCGAAAGTCTTGTTCCCGCCAAACGGTTAAATTCCATTTACTGCTATTTTTATCGGACGACACCTTAAAAAAAATTCCACAACGTCTTTCTGAAACAATCCTCCGCTTGTTCAACCACTGAACATCATCATCATCATCAACGGACACACGTCGAACGAGCATTCACAACGAATAACGGTTATTATTCAGTTGAAGAGTGTGTTTCTACATGTTGATTTGCAACACAAGATCCACTCACCATACACCTTAAATTATCATCAACACGTTGTTCAACTAACGATTCATTATCATCATCATCATATCGGCTCATCCTATGATGACCAACTGTCCTAACTTATCCTCAACAACAACAACAACAACATTCATGGACTCCTCATTGGACGAATTGCCCGACACGATTCATTTATCTTCGGGGCTAACTTCTTGTTTTTCAAGCAAGATTTCCAAACAACTCAATACGACTGGAAATCTCAACACAAACACACAGTATCAGTTCATACCTAAAAGGAGGAAACGAGGAGCCAACATGAAAGGAAACTCTTCTCATCTCAATAATTATTCTCAACGAACGCCATCACCACTCTCGCCTTCCCTTGACGACGATGATGATCATGAGGATGATGCTTCAACAACATCGATCGATTTGTCCCCAGGTACCTCCTCGCCACCACCACTCCTCCTTCGTCATGATCATGAAGACTCCCAATGTATCAGTAACTTGTTGTTAGACTCACCATCAGCATCACTTGTGAATACAATATCCTCCTCTTCCCATCCTCAACAACCTACTAGTGCTCTCAGTAACCTAAATACTTATCCTCCTTCTTCCTCCTCGAATATTCTCTCTACTAAGCGACTTGCAAATAACGCAAACAATGCTGCTGGATACACACAGCAGAACACTAACAAACAAGAAACGACAGAGTGGGATCAACTCCATGTCACGATTCATGGTGAGGATGCACCAGACCAGTCTTCTGAGAAGAAAATCAAATATCCAAGCATCTTTCGATTTGTCAAAACGACCCCTTTCGAAGAAAGTGAAAATGTATCAAGCTCATTGCCTTCCACGTTAATAACCTCTTACAATTTGCATTCACATAATCACCAATCTCCAATGTTCAACGCTGAGGAAGATGTTGCACTGACAAGAAACGATTCTGCTCTGCACACTCATCGAAAAGAGGTGCTTGCAAGGAAGAGAGCTTCTTTGGATTGTCCTGGTGCCGCTGTTCCTGCCTCAACAACACCGATACAGGAAGATCCCCACCTCGTAAAGATTAAGGATGAGATTCATATGCGGCGAAGCAACAAGAGAGCTCAGCAACAGGTAGCTCTTGAGAATAGTGCAGAACATCGCAGCAGTCCAATACCACACAGCGAGCATTCAATGATAATTGAATTCCGAAAGAATAAGCTCGAACGACAACTAAGTAATAATCAAGTCGTGGGATGTAAAAATTAAAAATCATCGTTCGTGTTCTTATACCTTGTCATGTTCAATTACAGATAGTTGAATTAAATTACTAACGTGTTTATAAGTTACTCGCTCAAATATTAATACATTCTCTTCTTTCCAGCGCTGAGGGACATGTACTTATCTACAACATTGTTGAATTGATTGACACCCTTTGTCATGGTAGCAAGGTAAGTAATGATTAAACTTTCATTGACATCATTGACATAGTCAGAATTAAACTTGTCAGAAACAACGGCTGGTAAACGGTGAGAAAGAGAAGAAATTTCACGCAATTTCTTGTGATCTGGTTCAATTTTTCCTTGTTTCACTTGCTCCAAGTAATTAATCAAAACTTCAGCTCGCTCAATCAACATGTTAACAGCGTTGGAGAGAGTGACATATTGAGGAACGAGTGATGATGAAGATCCATCTCTCTTGTCCATACGGTTGACTTGATCGACCACAATTCTTTCACTTTCCTCAGTTTCAATCTTGTAATTGAGTGTAGCCCATGAAACGGTGCCGCTTGATGCATTAATATTGCTCTCGTAGACATAGAGAGGAAGTTCCTTTTGAACTGATCCGAAAGCAACACCAACAAGAATCATCAATGGAGATTCGTTGTATCTTGCAATCTCTTCATGAATTTGCTTGTATTCAGGTCTAATTTCAGTACCAGTAGAGTACCATCCCAATACATCATAATTCTTAAAGACTTGCTTGTCTATTGTTGTTGTTCATATATCGTCATGAGCGTCAAGTGTAATTTGTTGTCATGATGATATCATGGGTCAATATGAAATAAAATCGTTTGATGAAATGTTACAAGGAAGGATAAACATGTAATGACAATCGCATCGGGATGTAAATGATAATGACATTATTGATAATGTCAAATTTGATGATATTGCGAAAATGATACCATGATGATAGTATTATTGTTGAAATAACAATACCCGATCAAACATTAAATACCACAATAACAATTCACAAACAACATACATTGCTCGATCTTTTCTTGCAAATAAGTATGATCAATATTCACAACTCCTGACTTGTCCACAGTAAAGATCAATTCAAAAGAAGTTCTAACTTCAACTCGTCTACCATCTTGAGTACCAAACAAAATACCAAGAACTTTGGAATCAAGAGAGGTATCCACTGGAGTTGATCCTTGCTTTAATTGATACTTTTTTCTAGTAAAGTGATCTGAAATATTAATAATGATCAGTGGGTGAATATAGACATCAATAGCAGAAGTGGATTCTTCCACTTTCTTGGAATCTTGAGAGGTGGTAGCTGTGGACATGTTGATGAACTCGGATGATGATGATTAATTTTCTCAAAGAAATCGTGAGCAAAAGGCTTTGGAAAATTTTTTGATGGTTTTGTGTGTTCATTTCCTTTACAAAATCTATTAATAAAAAATGAATGGCTGTCCAGTAACCATACACGATATGGACTTCCACTAAGGATTTCCTTATTCAAATATTTAGAGAGATTGTGCCCTGAGTCTGCTCTCAGAAAACAACAATTCATTTGCTTGGATGTCCTCTCAAAGCTTCGGACAAACTCCTTGTCGAGATGATGATGGTGGTTCCAAATTGCACACGGAAAAACTTGGATCTTTAAAAAAACGAGAGAATGATCATTTCATCAGAAAGCACCAACACATTACCACAATCACAACCAGTTGTTAGCATTCTTTTAAAAAGCACAACCCAAGAAATTGAAGCGTGTTTTTCCACTTTCAAAGAGCTCCGAACTCATCTCACAACACCACAAGCATTTGTAGAGCAAGTATTGGAACAACAAAAGGAAGGCTATCAAATTCATGCCATTGAGAATGAAAACCATCAAGTCGTTGCTTGTGTTGGATTCCGAAAGATGACCACAACAGCGTGGGGTAAAATTGTTTACATTGATGATTTGATTACTTCCGAGAGCTGCAGAGGAAGAGGATATGGAACTTTGTTGTTGAATCATGTGCTCAACTTTGCAAAAGAAAATGGCTGCTCTCAAATTCATTTAGATTCGGGATATAATAGAAATACAGCTCATCGTGTGTACCTGAAATTTGGATTTGAATTGGGAGCTCATCATTTCTGGATGAAAGTGAACAAGTAATAATTGGCATGACGTATGTTTCAATCACTCACTCAACGTTATCGATGATTAAACTTGGACAATTTAATTTATTTATGATAATATTAATATTCATGTGCAACAACAATGGTTAATGCACTAGAACTGACATGATTATGTCCTTTCTCGCTGCGAGGTGTCACACCAATATTATGGAGGGACATTTGTGATATTGCTTCCTTTCATATGAATCTGGCATGACACTCAACATGGACAGTTCCAACAGTTGACTTGTTAACTCCTCATCATTTTGACCCAATACTCTATTCTTTACCTACCAATGGACCATCTCATCCATCACGTTAAATCAACATGTAAAGCTCTTATTGCCACCAACTCTCAATGACCACTTTTCCACATTGGTTTTTCTTTCCGTATTTGTGGACTTACTTTTATTGTTGTGTTTCATTTGAAACTCGTCCTTGAGTGTGACGGAATCCAATTTAGAAAAACAAAAGGACAAACGATTAATTACGCAACAAGATTATTATTCATTGGACACAAACCAACATCATTAGTTTATACTTTCAGTTTTGAACAACAACATTTAAGTTTTTGGAAAATACTTTTTAACGAACCAATTTTTAAGAGCAAGCCATTTGAATTGTGTGCAATGAATCCAATCGAAGGTAGTTGTTGCCATGCAACGACTTCAACAACATCATCAAGAGAGAACAAACCCATCAAGAATGTAGTATCATTTCAAAATTCTCAACAACACTCGAGTCACATCAAGCTTTCATCACTTCATCAAGACTCCTTAGAAGAAATTTATTCGTGTGGTTTGCATTCATCGGGTCAAACGGGTCTTCAAATTTCGACAACGACAAGTTCTTCGTCTGCACCCTCCTCAACACGAAATTCGCAAAACTTGACCTCTTCAAGCTCCTCCTCATCTCATCGATCCAGATCAAACTATTCATCGAATTATCATGTTCCGACAAATTGTAGTTATTCATCAGCCACAAGCGCCATGCCCAACACGTCGCCCATGATGAGACCTCTAAGAATTCCACACTTGTACAATGTCATGTTTGATAGCAGTGCGGAGAGTTCATGTTGCCAAAATGACACTGGAGCTGGTTCGAGAATTCTCGATTCATCTTCCTCTTCGAATTCTTCCACTCCTGATTTGGATGAAGTTTTTTCTACTCAGAATTTAAATGCATCGGAGGACATGGGTGAGTTCAATAGTAGGGAGGAATTGTCGAGTTCAGAAGAAGAGCAAGTCATTGAGAATTCAATGAATTCCAAACACTCTGGTTCAAAGCGACTGCAATCTAAATCAACCACACACTCATCTTCGACAGCTCTCATTAAGAGTGTTCATTGTGGATGGTATCATTCATTGATTTTAACCATGTCTGGTAAAATATTAAGCTGTGGAGCCAATTATTCACATCAAGCAGGTGAGTTTTTTGAAAAGTTTTTGTGACACTTTTAAATAATAATCTATCCAATCATTGTTAATCAACAACTTGATTTTATGACCATCACGATCACACCAGGCCAATCATGTACCAGTAATGTTCAAACTTTCAAGCCCATTCTTTCCATTAAGCATCCCATTCAAATGGCCAGTTGTGGAGGCCATCATTCCATTGCTGTGACTCTTACTGGAGACGTATACTTGTGGGGCGAATGCCGTGAGGGACAACTTGGAGTTTCAGGTCTGGAAAAACTCTCCTCCACACCACCCACCTTTGTGGAACATGAAAAATTTTTCCAACCATTGGCCTTGGAGAAGAATGCATTACGAAAGAATGCCATTGCATCCATGAACACGTCACCATCGAGTGCATCTTTAAATGTACATTCTCAAAGAACGAATAGTAGCCCGTTCAAATCAAGTCCAGTTGGAATTCCACCCATTGTGAAAGTTTGTTGTGGAGGTTATCACTCGATCATGATTCTTGCCGATCATACTGTGTGTGCATTTGGAAAGAATACCTATGGACAATGTGGAGTTTGGGAAAAATTGGATATTCAAGCGTCACAAGCTTCATTAGATGAATTTCGAGTACTCACTCCCACTCTCATCAAACACTTTCTAGTTCCCAAGAAGAATCTAAGCCAGTACATTCATACAGAGCTCTTGAGTAAGAGAAGCTTATCCGAACAAGCTGCATTCTATCGAGAGACGACGTCCTCTCACAATCATTCGAATTCGATTCAATATTCTTGGCAAGACGTGGATATTGTGGATTGTGCTGCTGGTGCATGGCATACCTTGTTACTTACAAAGCAAGGACGTGTGTTCGGTCTGGGAGACACACAATACGGGCAATTGGGACTCGAGAATAGACAGGATGACAATTCCACAAATCCTTCCACATCCTCGACGCGATATCCTCTTCCGTTTTTAATCTCGTCATTGCAACATGAAAGAATTGCTGCCGTTTCATGTGGATATTTTCACTCTGTATTTTTAACACGAGATGGACGTGTCTATACCGTTGGTTGGAATGCTTACGGTCAGTTATTAGTTGGAAACACAAAAACTCATCGACAAGTGACCTTAGTGAAATCGCTGATTGGAATTCCCATTGTAAAAGTGAGTTGTGGATGGAATCATGGTGTATTACTCTCGCGTGAAGGACATTGTTACGTTGGAGGAGAAGGCAAGCATGGACAACTCGGTTATGATCATCATGCCCTCACAGAAAAGTGTTTGAAACACCTCACCGATTGTTATTGCCACAAAAATGTCGAAGAAACGTCATGTTTGGAAAAATCTTCTTCAAATACTAGTAGCAGCAGCAGTAACAGTGGCTGTTCCAACTCGAATGAAGAACAAAATTGTTTTGTGTGTTTACCATTGCGAGTGGGTTTCTTCCATTCCTCTAAAATTTTAGATGTGGCATGTGGAAGAGGACATACCTTATTTTTGAGCCGAGGACATATTCCATGCTCGAAAACCATGTTGAACGGAGATGTGAATGCACCTCGTCATTATTATTATTATAGTTGTTCACAAAATGTGTCACCTCATGAGGTGCTGCCATTGGGTAAGGCGTTGAATCATGAGGATTTTGGAGATGTCATTTTGAGTGTTCGATCGGTTGTACCAACTTTTTCACCTTCCATTCCAAATGTGCACCACCAGAACAAGACAGAAAAGCAACCATCGCACTCGAATCACCAGTATCATGCAAGTTCAACTCCATAATAACCCTAATTCCTTTATCTATTTCTTCATAAAGATGAAAATTAAAAATCAAACGATTAAATAACCTCACCATTTTTGGTATTATTGATTTTGAAAACCAACTTCATTCCTATCAGAATGACGACAATGCGGGAGTCTCTGAACTTGGAAGAACTGCTCGTGTTGTTTACATTACAAAAAAAATGTGTCGAGGAAATTTGTTCGATAACGCATCCGACGACGACAATGAACAAGATCAGCACCAAGATCATGATCCAAACACCGATGCTGAAGGAGATCGCCATCCTATTTGTAAACTTCACTACAGACATGTTTTGAAATGTCCAATTTATTATCCCGTTTTTCAAAAAAGCAAATCTACAAGACGAAATTTCGATGATGCTGCTGAAGAACCTACAGATCTCGATGAAGATGGACAACCGAGAGCTGTATTTGCTCATACCACTCAATTCATTCCCGAACTGAGTTTGATTTATTCATGGGGTGGACGAAATAATCCATCGGTTGCTTTCCAACGTTATGACACCAAACAAAAGAAGTGGATCCGAAGTGAAGGAGGACCTTCTGATTCAAGTGGTACCATGCCACAGGAGTCTCTTTATTATCATTCTCTGACCTATGTCTCGAGTAATCACTCATTGTACATTATTGGAGGCATTAGCGATTCGTCATCCACAGAGAGCGCTGTAGACATGTATCAATATTCTCTTAAAAAGAAACAATGGAATACTTTTGCTTTTCCAACGAATGGTAAAGCACCAGAAACAGGATTGTATGGACATGTTTGTGTGTATAGAACTGTGGATGATTCGTTAGTAATTTTTGGAGGATTTACTCGTTCTTGGAAGGTATGGAATTATTTCGAGATTGCTTGAATTAATTTTCATTGGCACACGTGAACGATCATTATTGCAATTACATATTGAAAATTTAATTAATTACTTTTCATTTGCTTTCAACACATGATTGGCGTTGTGACCACCGTTTAAATTGATGGGCATGCAAATTGGTGAAAAAAATTTACTTGCTTATTGGAAATTGAACATTCTTCTGTGACAATAATTATTGCTGCCATTGATTCTGAAGAGTGACGACTTGTTCGTCTATAATTGTGCATCAGGCAAGTGGAAAAAGGTTAAACCAAATAATGCTTTTCATTCACGAGCCTTTTCCACGGCTGTCTACAATGAAACCAATGACACCATGATTGTCTATGCTGGAGAGATTAATTCTGATACACCTGAATTGACTTGTGAATTGGGAATATTTCATTTCAAAACGCTAACATGGGAGGTCGTTGAGTTCGAGCGTTGGACACTTGGTGTGAATCCAGAACCAATTTATGGCCATACATTATGCTTGTTAGACGATCGATTTTTACTTTCTCATGGCGGCTGTGCACAGAATGATCGAATTCCAAGAAACGATTGCTTTGTGTTCGATCTTGTGAGGCGTGAATGGTCCAGTTGTCCCGAGTTGGGAGAACAAGCAGGTTGTTTACTTTGTTCCACTCTCTCTCACGAACCAAAGAGTCACTCTCTTTATTTCTTTGGAGGAAATTCTGATCAGGGTTCAATTTCTGAGATTGTGTATGTGAGCTATCGATTTTCTGAGGGAGACTTTTTCTTTATGGAAAAATTACACACAGCTGTAAATTCGAATCAATTGAGTGATATCAACGTTTATGCTCTAGGAAACAGTATTTTGGATGAATATTAGAAGAGGAATTCATTGTTTATAAACAACATGATGTTCTCTCATGTCCAAATCAACAGCAGCACGAAAACAAAAAATAACTTTGATAAACGTTGGGCTCTCGTTGACCACCTCATCAGCAGCAGCACACGCGAAACCAACAACGGTGGTCTTGTATTGGTAGACTATTAATTATTTATTTCAAAAACAAAATTCCTTCAACAAGAAGATACACAACTTTCAACAACAATAATTCATTTGGAAATGATGGAATCTTCCAGTGCTTCTCCCTTTGAACAAGAACGGGATCAAATTGATGCAACATTGGGATCTTTCCGTTCCAAACGTTATCATTCTCTTCGGAAGGAATTACGAGCCGTTAAGAAATCAAAAGCCTCTACCAATCATCATCATCATTCTCACTCCCATCATGAGTTTAAAAGACAATCAACGGCAAATTCCACCTATTTAGAATGGAGAAGGTTTTTATTGGAACAAAAAGGACAAACCTTTGCATCGGCATTGTCCAATCCTTCCATGAAACTCACTCCACAAGATGTATTAATGGTATTTGATGCCAAGAAACAACAAGACCAAATGAAGCCTCCTCAATTCTTGTTTTTATCGGGAGGTTCTACCAACATTCCGAAATCATCATCAGCCTCTCATCGTAGAAGTCAGAGCAATCGTTTATCGGAACATGATAGTTGTGCCTCATACCAATTGGATTCTCAGTTGGATTCAAGTCAAATTATGAGTGGACATGAGGATTCTATTTCGGATGAGGTCGTGGAGGATTCTGAATCTCATTCTCCATCTGTTCCTAGAACTAAAATGTCTGAAGTTTATGAATTTGTTGGCATGCATCACATCTTTGAACTTGGAAATGGATATGATGGAATTGAAGTGACTGTCATCAAGTTTGCCAATGATAATAGAGATTTATTGGCTTTTGCAGCCAATGATGGCACGTTGGCAATTGCAAGTGCATGGAAAACACCAGAAATTATACATCGTCTGAAAGGTCACAAAGATGCCATTCTGGATTTTGATTGGTCACTGAGTAATGAATACATTTTAACAGTTTCCAAAGATGCAACCATTCGTATTTGGAATACATCGAATGGAAAGTGTATTAGAATCATTGACAAGCAGGGCGCTTGCCGAGCCGTAAAATTCTTTCCACTCAATCCAAACTTCTTTTGTGTTGGATTTGAAGGAGGAATTGTCGGATTGTACAATTTGAGTACAGGAAAACTTGTAGAAAAGTTGAAAATTAACAAATTATCTGTGGGGATGGGAAGTTTTGTGAATATTAACATGTCACTTGGATCGAACAATCATGTAACATGTCTCATGTTCTCCACACTGGGTAACAGAATTTTCATTGGAGACGTGATGGGATATTTGTGGATTTATGAATTTGATGCTTCTAAAATTGGATTTGGAAAACTCTTGCAAAAAACTAAGGCGTCCCTCAATGGAAAGAGTATCTCATCCATTGATTATCAAATGTGGACAGGAAATTCTTCAAAAGCTAGTCCTAGAATTTTAGTGAGTGCCATGGACAGTTATGTACATTTGTATCAGTATAGCCAGACGGCTGGTCAATTTATTGAATCCATCCGATTTCCAGTCTCCCAGAAAAACCACCCTGTTAGGAGTCATTTCTGTCCACTTGTTCCCTATATGGCCAGCTCGTGCTTTGTTACAGGAAGCGAATCGACAGAAATTTTGTTTTACAGTACCAAGTTTGGCTCCTCTCATGCGATCAATCGTTTAATGGGTCACTCTTCACCAGTGCTGGACGTGTCGTGGTCATATGACGAGACGTTATTGGCAAGCTGTGACAGCTCTGGAGTTGTTATTTTGTGGAAACGAAGGCCACTCGAAGATAAGGATGCTTAGATAAATCAGTAATTTTCTTGAGTTTTCACAATCATGAAGTTTTATGTCTCACTATCATGAAATAATACGATTATAATGTTATAATAATTCTTAAGATAAATGATCTCATCCTATTACACCTCCTCAAAGCCTATTAATTGTCGTTCTACAAGAGCCTTATACTTGCCATTTTCATGTACAATTAATTGTTCGTGTGAGCCCTCTTCCACGACACTTCCATTCTCAATCACACAAACCACATCAGCATTCTTGACCGTCGATAATCGATGAGCAATAATCAACACCGTTCGACCTTCCATGAGACGATTCAGAGCTTCTTGTAATTCATGGTCAGTATTTGCGTCAAGTGACGACGAATGTTCATCCACAATGAGAATTTTTGGATCCTTTAACATGGCTCTCGCAATGGCAATTCGTTGTTTTTGACTGCTCGTTAAGGTCGTGGCACCTACAAGAGTATCATATCCATCTTCCAGTGCCGAAACAAATTCATTCACATTGGCCTTCTTTGCAACATCCATTAGTTGTTTTTCTGTGGGTACTGCATTCTCTGCATCCTTCCATCCATAACAAATATTGTCACGAATACTTTGAGTGGGAAAGAGAGTAGGCTCTTGACTCACGACACCAATATTTCGACGCAACCACATTGGATCAATTTGCGTGAGAGGAACACCATCGAGTGTAATTTGTCCTTCTGTGGGATCGTAGAAACGTTGCAACAATGATGCAATCGTTGTCTTGCCGTGACCTGATTTTCCAACAAGTGCCATTACAGTCGAAGGAGACAATTCGAGATTTAAATGATTGAGAACTTGAATTTCTTTTCGTGATGGATATGCAAAGCCAACATCATGGAAAACAAGGTGACCGTTGAGTGTTGGTAATTCTCGAGTGTCATTCTCCTTTTGAGATGGATTTCTTCTCTCAATTTCAGGAATTCGTTGTAATAATTCGTGAATGCGCACCGTAGCTCCTAATGCCTTGACAAGATCGATCAATAATCCGCTCAAAACACCAAAGCTAGCTGCCACTAAAATTGTGTAAACAATAAATGCAAGGAGAGATCCAATAGAAAGTTCTTCGTCCAATACGAGTGAACCTCCATACCACAAGACAAGTATAATGGCAGCATTACCACAAAATGTCATACCGCCAGTGAATACACCATTGATAATGGATAATTTTCTTGCAATGGTTAATGTGAGATCAATGGCTGTTCCATACAAATTTGCATGTTTTTCTTCCATGGTGAAACTGCGGACAGTTCGTAAATTGGAAAGTGTCTCCTCTGCAACATCAGTCGAATTGGCCAATGCATCTTGCATTTGTTTTGAAACATTCTTATTGTATTTAGAATAAATTAGAGCCACAACTACAAGGGCAGGAATGACTGCAAGCATGACTAGTGTTAATTTCCACGAAATGATGAATAAGAATATGACTCCTCCAATCATTTGAATGGAATAACGTAGGAACATGGAAAAGTTGACAGTGATGGCATTTTCCAAAGTTTTAGTATCCGAACTTAATCTATTAATTAATTCTCCAGTTTTTGTCACATCAAAAAATCCAAGCTCTTGTACGATTATTGAAGTGAATAAATTTTTTCTGAGACGAGCCACAGCACGTTCTCCAGCAAACGTAAAGCTGTGAGTAAAATTTTCCAAAATGAATGGAAGACAAGATTAATTCGCGTCATGTTTGCATACAATCAACGTACCAAAAGTTTCGAATTGCAGTAGTTGCTCCAATAGCTGCCACAATTCCAAACAGAACGAGTGCCATTTCATTCAAGAATGTCTTGCCTTGTGCTTGCGATGGAATTTGGTCAATGATCTTTCCTGCATAAATCGGTAAAGCAAGCCCGAGCCCAGTACTAATCAATAGAAAGAGTGTACCAGCAGTGGCAAGCCAAAATTCATGAAAAGACATTTTCACAAGCCACATCAACTGTGAGATATTGATTCTTGGAAATTGAGAGACAATCTTCAGTAATACATTTTTAGAGTTGCTCGTTTCCTCTTCCATCGCTTGAGGTTTCAAGTAGTCGGCATATGGATCGTCGATATGGCTATCGGAGTATAGGAGCGATTCTTCATATTCGTTTCTTCGAAATATTGGTAGATGGGGAGATGATTTCTTTTCACTTTGTTTCGAAGAGGGTATTTTGGTTGTTCCTGTAATTTCAATTTCCACGTCGTCATCCAGTCCTACATTTTGCATATCGTCGTGTTCATTGTTGAGAGAAATCTTAATGTCACTTTTTCTCTTCATATCATCGTCATCATCTTCATCATCTGACCCTCTCGGAGATGATAAATGTGGAGGCAATAAATGATCATTCGATGATGTTGCCACTGCTGGAGAAGCATCATGATGTTTTGAAACAAGGATTTGCTTTCGTTGTTGAGGTGGTGTCTCTAAATCTTGTGCTTCTTCTTCCTTGTTAATATTTTCAAATCGGACTCTCAATTTAGAACGATCGTCTTTAAAAGCAGGAGTTTTTTCAAGCTCTGAATGTGGTTCATCATATTCATCGTCATTGGTATGTTTGAGTTTTGATGTGATACTCGTTGTAGTTCCACCTGCAGCACTACTACTTGTATTCATGACGGGAGATGATTGTTCTTCATCATTTTCTTTCGGATGAGTTTTCTCTAAACCCGATGATGAGGATGAGGACAGAATCACATCATCCAATTCCTCTACCAAGTCTTCCTCTTCTTCCAATAGTTGAGAACCCTTGTGTTTTTTAAATAAAGGCATTTTTTTGGATCTGATGAAGAACGTTGATGGAATTGGAAATGGGATGGTGTTGCAACGGTTTTTGACCATTCTCGGAAAGTTTTCTTGACACGGATAAGACATTGAGTGTGCTCACAGGAGAGTGGTTTAACAACCCACTAGGTGTCTACTGTTCAATCCTTACTGTTACCAATACTTTCCTTAACCCTTTCTGAGGTTACCAAATCGTCTTATCAAAATGAACGTAAAGTCAGATTCAGGTTTAAATTCATGAGTTGGCTATTGCTCGTATCACACTGCCTTCCCTTTATTGAACTTGCTAGTGTTTCGCATGTTTCAAATAGTCTGAATGCTTACAATGACGACCGCATCGTTATTTTCTCAACACGAAATTGTTAATTCTCGTCATCGTCGTCGCTTGATGCATCATCGCAAGACCATTCATATGGATCGTCTACTTGGGTAATTTCTTTACGTTTGGAAAGCATGTACCATCCGTATAAAGACCTATCCATCATTGGTTTGTCTCCTTTAAGGTTCTTGTAATAGGCCAAATCTTCTCTACACTTGTTCAATTCCATTGTTTTTTCTTCGATAAACTCGAGTAGTTTCGTCATTGCTTGTTTCATTCTCTCTTTGTTATCTATATCTGAGGTTTCTTCAATGTCTTTCACCTTTTTTTCGACAGCTTGCTTAATTTCTTTGTAACGAGTTGAAACCAAAGAAATAAATAACACAAAGAAGCGCTCATTGAAATTGTTCATGCATGTTGGTGATGGGTTGGATGGATGTAGGATGAGCTCAATAAAATTGGTTATGGCATAATCATAAGCTTCTACATTGAATATTAGATGACTCTCTAAAATTCGACATCCCTTAGTGAAAGAAAGATTGTCCATAACATTCCTCGTTAGAATATCATGAAAGTTATGGATGCAATTGCAAAGAAGAATAAGTCGCTCATTGAAATCCAATTCAAATCCCTGTTCTAAAGCGGTGCGATCAATTTTTGACAATTTGTAACCTCTAGTAAAGTATGATTTTGCCGAGTTGTCATTGTATACCGAATGCAATGCCTTGTAAATACATTGTTGCTCTCCCTTTTCAAATCTCATCAAATCTTCTTCAAACGGTTGTTTCAAAACACATTTAAGTTCCTCAGCAAATTTCTTCAATCCAATGTTGTTGCAAGAGGTGGTAATTCTTCTACCAACAAATTCTAGAAACTCCAAGTAACCCTCTGCATGATGCAAATCTGAATACATTTCAAACAACTTATTACCAACAGCACCGATCATTCGTTCGTTCTCAAGTAGTGGAGTTACTAACAGGGTGTTTGAAATTATAATAAAGGCGTCTCTTAGAAAAGGAAAATTTTTTCGTTTCCATCCTACTTCATACAAAACTAAGGCAATGTAAAGAAAATCGTTTGGGCACAATGTGGGTGACGAGTCGTTCAAAATGCTGTTGCATGAATGGATTAATGATTCGTAGTCTAACGTTGTACAACAACATAAAGAAATAATGAAATAGCCTGTTTTTACAACCTCAACAGGGTTGTTTCTTGTTGATGAAATCTCTTTCAGTTGTTCAATGTCTCTCAGAAGCGTATCTTTCGATGCTAGAGTCAATACATGAAGAAGTGAAAGAGCAATAGCTTTTTGATTCTCGTCTTGATGATTGAGAGGGAAGGAGAGATTATGGATTACCTTGTTCCGTAATTGCTTCAAATCATCACGATTCATGGTGAAAACATGTAGTTCCATGTACTTTTGTTGAAACGCAATAGCTAATCCCAAAGAAACGCTAAACGGAAGCTCCTTCAAGTAGGTGTTTCGTACAGCTTCTTCAAATTCTTGCACATCTAACTTGGATCGGACAAGTATATCGTGAATCTTTGAGCATCTTTGCGTATCTGAGGTATTAAGGTCGAACATTTTTTCATTCTTGCAATGTTCAATCTTCTGTTATGCAATAAGGCAGAATTTATGTAACAATAAACATTTAAGAATCTTCTCCTCACCACGAAGACAAACGCAAAATAATTGAATAAATATCAAATGAATGTATTGCAAGAATTTCCATCACCACTCAGGAAGGGCCTGAGACATGTGTCACATGCTCAGCTGCATTATTGTTGTTTCTTCTTTTGCTCAATTCGTTGATCCACATCTTCCAAATCAAACACGGAGAAAATTTCAACTTGAGAAAATATTGGATCTGCCAACTTTTGTTTTTCAGGAGGTAAATCTTTACGATCCTGACTTCGATCGACCAAATAGAGAGCTGCCTTAATTTCAATATTGTAATCATTCTTTAACATGTTGATACCTTCTAACAGCGATGTTCCTGTGGAGAGAGCATCATCCACCCAAACTCCATAAATCACAGGTGAATCGGGAGTTCTTGATGTGAATTTTTGTTCTCCTTCTAATTGTTGACAAGTTCCTGTGGATTTTCTACTTTTTCTAACATATAAAAAGTCATAGGCCTCATAAACAGTTTTTGAACCTTGCTTCTCATGCAAAGTCGATGCAACGGCAGCAAATTGACTCACCAGCATGCCACCAGCGAGTTCCATTCCAACCAAAACCAGTGGTTGTTTGGAAAGGTCTTTTTGAGAATCTGGTAAATTTTCAGGCTTAAAACATGGTAATGTTTGTTGGAGATGAATGAGATAGTGACCTAAAATTTCCACAATCTTTGGAGCTACTTTCTTATCCATGAAATTTGTACTTGCATTTAAATAGTCTATCATCATGATGAATTTCCAGACAAGGGAAATGGTTCATATATGATATGATGGGTCATCATCAGGTCCAATTCATTCAGTGAATAATATATTGATCCGATCATAACGGTTCATCCAATGATACATATCATAATAATATTAATATTTCATATTGAAAATTCAGATCCGATCGGATCGGAAGAACACCATGACGATGATCACACGTCCATAACTAACCGAAAACAATTCATACTTACAAGGCAAATCAATCCCACTAGTAGCTTTAAAAGGACCCATCTTTACATTTCTTACAACACCTTCTAACACTTCATCGTAGAGTGATTGGGTTACTTCTACATTGGTGGTTACTTGACTCAACGTAAGCTTTTTTGATTTTCTTGCTTGCTCTAGTAATTGTTGATCTTGTGAAGACATTTTTCTGTGTTGATTATTAAAAATCAATTTATCCGATGCATTCCGTGCTTGGATTTTTCGAGAGGGAATGTCCCAAAACCCATTTTACTTGGTCATCATGATGATCCAAATGAAATTCGTGAAGAATTAATTTAAAAAAAATGAAACTATTTGCAATCGGAGAAGGATGTCATGTCCTCACATTTAAAAACACAACCATCATGTTGGATTGTGCTTTGGATTGGGGATCATCGAGTGCGATTTGGGATTTTCTAGAGAGAAATATTTTACCAGGAATGACAAGTGGAGGAAATCCTTCGGATCAAACATTGGGAGAATTTTCAACCATCACTCCTACAAAAACAATGCTCAATCTGTTGAATCGAACACATCGTATTTCTCCATTTACAACCAATAGTAGTAATTTGAAACAAAATTACGGTCCGACTGCAAATGCGTCGATCATATTCAAAACACCTAATTTTCACAAAATTGACTGCAAACAAATTGATCTAATTCTCATTACAAATCCTCATAATTTACTTGCATTACCTTTTCTTTATCAACATTTAAAACAACAGGCAGCTTTTAGAAAAGACCCAAACCCAGTAAAGATGCCTCCAATTTATGCCACAGAACCAACAGTGCAGTTAGGAAAGAAAATGATGCAAGAATTGGTTGCCTATGTGAGACAGAGCGAGCATTTAGAATTGTCTAGTATTGATCAAATTGTCAAAATCACTACCAAGCAACAAGAGTCCGATTCTGGTTTGGTTCCACTCTTGAGTGAAAAGTACATTTATTCTGATGAGGATATCTTGAAGGTTGTTGAGAGCATGAAGAGTGTGAGTTATCAAGAACGTATTGCAGTATTTGGAGGAGTTTTTCAAATCGCAGCTCTTAGCAGTGGCTACAGTTTGGGGTACTGCAATTGGGTCATTCAAACAGAGTATGAGAAAATATTTTACATGAGTCATAGTAGTCGTTCGGGTGCTCAAGTTCGTCACCCATCCGAATTAGATTTGTCCTTAGTGTCTCCACAATTTACTTCAACGACAGGATCCTCAAACGGAAGTGTATCCTCAGTCGTGCAGACCACATCAGGCAGTGGATCCATGATGAATCTCGTAATGATTGTTTCCAATGTGTGTCCAAAAAGCGAGAAGAATTTGTACTACTTTGAACAATCCTATCAACAGCTTGCAGCAACTATAGGTGGAGGTACTCCCACGACCAGTAAGAGTCAATACGCGATCGATACTGAAAATATCAAAATTGTGAAACCAATCTGTCACTACTTCCCTGAGGCTACCCTCAACGACTTTTGCAGAATTATTGGAAAAACAATAGAATCTGGAGGAGATGTTTTGATTCCATGTCACACGACGGGTCTCGTCTATGATTTGATTGACTTTTTGTCAACCTATTTCAACTCTGTACATTTAGGAAATACTCTAATCTATCTCGTTTCTCCAGTAGCAGATCATTCGATACAATACGCCAATATTAGTGCAGAGTGGTTGTGTGATTCCAAGATGGACAAGACCATTTCTGCAGAATCTCCCTTCTTGCACACGAATTTACTTCAAAACAAATCACTCATGATCTTTGACAGTGTCAATGCGAAATTCATGCAAGTCTATCAACAAAACAGAAGTTCTCATCCATGTGTCATATTTGCAGGCCATCCATCGCTACGAATGGGAGACATTTTGCAACTCATTCCCATCTTTCAACGAAATACCAACAATGCACTCATGTACATTGAACCAGAGTATTCCTTCTTTGACGCCATAAGACCATTCATCCCTAAATCCCCAAATCAGCCATCCATGAAATTTATTCATTGCCCTATTGATTTAAGATTGAAGAATAATGACTTGGTTCATATTGTGAAACAACTTGTTCCACAACATCTCATCTTGACCAACGTAGCAATAGATATTGAACCACAGCAAATCCAAAAGAACGTCTCTCCCAACACTGAACTTATCGGAGCTCTAAATGGTTATCAAACATTGAGCACATTACTGAACTGTTTGGATATACGAATAATTTCCAAATTTGTGACCGAGAAGATCCATATCATCTCCACACCAGGAAGCTCTGCAAAATTTGATATTGATGGAGATGACATTCTCTCCATTAAGAAACATCACATGAAACGAAAGTATGAGTTGGCTACCATTTCCTCAGAATTAGCCAAAACCATCTTTCCAAAATCTGTGAAAGGCGTGTACGTTTCTCGTGTTTCTGCCAGTCTTACCTCAAAGAATGGTAAACACTTGTTAGATGTGCCACCTACAGAAGACCTTTCAGATTCAACCACAGAAGAATCCAGCAAAAAGAAACGAAAACAAGAAAATACAGACCTCATGGTATTTGGAGATGTGAGCGTGGAGAAAATTGTGAAACACTTACAAATGGAAGGTTTTGACAAAATTTCAGTCCACTCTGACCCATCAGAATATGGAACTTACACGATTGAGATTCCTCAACTGGACTCTAAGATTATTTTCAACGCTGAAGATACTACCATTGAAACACCAGATGAAACTTCTCGACATTATCTCAAAGAACTTCTCATGCAAAATTTATACATGTTGTAATATGAAGTTCGAGGTCGTTTGGAATTTGTAAGAACACATGCATGAAAATACTGTCCTGACTAGATGTAAATAAACCCCTTAGTAAGTGATGACCAATTTGTCGAAATGCATTTAGTGTCGACTAATCGGTGGGACACCCAACAACATTAGATTTTTTGCAAACCCGAAAAAAATGTCCTTTACAGCCTACTTCAGTTACCAAGCGAATTTAAAACCTGCTTGGAAAACATTCTACATTTCGTATCCGGAGCTGAAGAACGCGCTGCATCATATTCGGGATGAAATGACATTGATGAAGGAAGAGCAAAAGAAGAATAGGAGGCTGAGGAAAATGCGTGGAAGTGGAATTTTAGAACAACATCATCATCATTCGTCGAGCACTCTCGGCGGTTCCGCAACGGGAACGGAAGGAGCAGCTGCCGATGATCACGGAATTGAAGAAGCGGATGAAACTCGAGGATTGTTGAGTCATCAAAATGACCATACACTTCCCAATACCCAAAACCTTGGGAATAATGCTCCGGAACAACAACAACACGATGACTCTCAACCAGTGATTATGGATGATTACTTTTTCAGACTAGAAATTGGAGAAAGTTTAAACATGGATATTGAAAACTTCAAAGCCATGTTTAAGAAGGATATTGAAACAGTTTTTAGCAAATATAATTCAGAGCTCAAGCTCATTAATGAGAAAATTTTGAGAACACAGAAAGAGCTAGCAGAGGCCAGGATGAGGCCATTCTTTAACAGCGAGTCAGGTCCAAAACTCAAGGAAAAGTTTGTTGCCATCTACAGAGAATTGGAGTTTTTATACAGTTTTTTGCATGTAAATAGAATTGCGAGTAATAATTTATTAATGAAATTCGAATTTTGCGGAGAGCATTCACAAGAATTGTACCAATGGTACAATGACCAACCAAATGCAGATTTCAACACCAACGAGTTGAAGCATACGATGGAAAGCGTGGAACAAATTTTTGCAAAATATTTCACATCATCAGATCAAACCAAGGCCCTTTCATTTCTCAGAGAACCATCGACCAATCACACGCACGGAGACACTTTTAAATTGGCTCTCTTCATTGGAATGGTTATTCCCATGTTTATCATTTTGGTTGCCATGTGGTTTTTCAAGGATCCTAACTATGACCAAATTCCTGGATTTTTCGATGTTTTACCCATTTTCCGTTCGATTGGTCTCTACATATTATATGGATGGCTTTATGGAATTAATTTATTTGTGTGGGAAAGATATAAGGTGAATTTTGCTTACTTGTTCGAGTTTGATCCTGTGAATCATTTGAAATCGATCAAGATTTGGAAAACTGCTAGTGTTTTGACAGTCTTTTGGTTTGTGTTCTTCTTCCTCTACTTGTCCACAGTGAAGGGCTATTTAACCATTCTAGATGCAAAATGGTATCCTCTCATCATGGGTTTAATGATGATATTTATTGCAGTGTTGCCAATGCATTTTGTTCACCTTAGTGCTCGATATACTCTCCTGAAAGTATTAGGAAAGTTATTAATTACACCATTTGGTCACATTCGATTCAGAGAGTTCTTTGTGGCTGACGTGTTAACCAGCATGGTCATTCCAATTACTGACACAGCTTACATGTTGTGTTATTATTTTTCAAATTCTTGGAATGGAGGTGAAAACAAGTGTCACGATTTCAACAAATTCCTTGCTCCATGTCTGACCTTCCTTCCTTTCCTTTGGAGAATGTTACAATGCTGTAGAAGATTTTATGACGACCACACACAAAGAAGTCAATTATTGAATGCTCTCAAATATGTTGCTGCACTGGTGGTCATTCTTTTCAACACATTACATGCCAATTTGGAAGAAAACGACTCGTGGGGTCCATTCCGATACATTTGGATCTTGGTGATACCTGTCAGTACATTCTACGCTTTCAGTTGGGACATTCTCATGGATTGGGGATTATTCCGAGTGAAGAAAGTAAAACCAGAAGAACGAGCCCGCACCCAGTTAGAAGCCCTTAAAAAGTTTTTCACAGAACAAACGATTTGTGGCTATCGATTTGCAATGCGAGGAAGAAGACTCTATGGAAGATCCAAAGTGGTCTATCGTATTGCCATTATTTTCAATTTATTTGCAAGATTTGCATGGGCTGGAACCATTTCTACCTTCTTCAAGAACAATAAGGAGTCATTGGCCATCTTGTTCGGAAGTATTGAACTCATGAGAAGATGTAGTTGGAGTATCTTTCGTTTGGAATGGGCTGCCATTGCCAACGATGAAGGATGGCGTAAACATAACTTTGTTCCTGGCATACCCATTTACAACATGTATAAACAACAGTAACAATGAATGCAACAAGAAGAGAATCTCTGCAACTATGAATTTTGATCAACAACAATTCAACGACCACATCCACCAATCATGTTAAGGCAAACGAGGAGAGAACGTTCGCTCGCATCAACCCTTGCCTTAAGAGGCCACCACGGCAAATTAATTCATGACCCATCTGTCAGTAACACACGTTGCCAAGAGCCAAACACCATTGAACGTCACAAATCATTTGAACGATTCATACTCGCCCTAAAAAATTCACACTCGACCTTTGCCTCTCAACCACCAAAAAGTCAAACCACAAGACATGGTGTGTCACACTCCCAACCTCGCTCCTTCTTTGCATAGAATGACTCGACATCATCATGTCCTGTTGTACCTTGTATTCATTCTATGTTGTTGTTGTTTCTCGACACTCTCATCATTCACACTCGCTCAAAATTTCACAAATTGCTATCAAGCCAATTCCAATGCTGTGAAATTTAAAATCGAATGGACCATTGATGAACCAAAGAATCAATTCAGAGCCCTCGTAACGATTCCTAATGGAAAGGGATGGGGAGCTTTTGGACTGAAACAATTTACAGGTACTTCAGGAATGAAAGGAGCGAGTATTACGATGGGTTATAGTTCGAACAAGATCAATGAGGTGAGTATAATAGCATTCATTGCTGACAAGTTTTGAAGAAGTTTATTGTTGTTGATGATCAAATTGAAATCTTGTGGCTGTTGTGAACGCAAAATGATGACATTTGACGGGCCCTGTGGATTGGCTATTTCATATTGCATGTCCGCTCGTTCATTCTTGCTCAAAATTTTTCACCATCCCACTCCTTCAGTACATTGCCTCAACCAATGGACTACCAGCCATTCGATCGAAAAACTTTTTCATTACTGCTGCCTCCAATGTCACTGTCGCCGGTGTGAACTACTTGTATGTGATCCGAAATTTAACACGACCAATAGGAGCACCCAGCGATTATTTCGCCTTCTCGAAAAATATTACCATCGATTTATTATTTGCTGGAAATCCGAATCAAGTGCCAACGAGTCCAACAAGTTTCCTTTCTCATGGCACTGGTAATTATTTGTACTTGTCGAATTTTGCATTTTACACGTCACGACCTTACAATGCAAATTGCACAAAAACTCCAAGCAATTTAATACCAGTTCCTACTCCTCCAGCACCTCCAGCTCCTTCTCCGAGTGTCAAGCCAAAACCATCGTTATCGAATGTGCAACCAAAACCTTCGAGTGTGAAACCTGGAAATTCGACAGTGGTTAGAAATGTCACAGCAAGTAGTGAAGCATGGAATGAAAAGAGTGGAAATTTATGGACCTTAATGATGGCACTTGTGTGTGGATTGTTTGTTTTTGGCATGATTGGAATGACTCCAATGCCTTGATGGTTTTCTTTTGTTGTATTCTATTATTTTGACTCGAGAAAAATGCAGAGTTGGTAATCCAACCAATAATGAAAATTTTGAACTAGTTACAAAATGGCTCTTAAATAATTTATTGTACAGTACATTTGGAAAGTCTCTTCTCCGAGTTTGTTGTTGTTGAGCAAGTCAGAGGTTTTTTCTTCTTGGAATCTTGGGATGCAGTTGGAATTCTTTTAGCAATTTCTTGCAATTCTCGAATTTTCTTGCAATACTTGTCGTCAATATTGGACATGCTTTGAAATAATCTTCTCTGTTTCACTAAAAATTCGTGCTGAATGCTATGCTCTGACGTCACAATAAATTTAAATGTGATCCAGTAAGAGAATGCCACCGCTCCAAGAATCATGAACAGAAAATTCAGCTCTTCAACTTGAAATAATACAAAACTGATCACAGCGATCACAATATTCAACATCATGAGCTGCTGTTTCTTGAATCTCATCTGAAAACTCGTATTCACTGCTAACAACACTCCCACAACAGCAGCACTGAATAGGAAGTAGGCAATGAGGAAGAAGAACATTCTCGAAATGCTGAAACATATGAGAATGAGTGAAATAATACCTGTCACAGCTAGGCCAGCAGTGTGTCTTTGCTGTAAAGCTTGTTTCTTCTCCTCCTTTAACTTATTCTGCTCTTGAATATACGTTCCCTTTTCATTCTCTCCTTCTCGTCTCAATTTGGTCATCTTGTATTCCATTAATTCTTTACAATATGCATAAATGACATCAAGACATTCAATGTCACCATTCTCTGATTCCTCTTTTTTAAATCCCAACTTTCTGATTTTTCTATTTTCAATTTCATTTCGCCACAGATATGGATCTCTAAATGCTTTATATGATTCTCGACATACTCTTGATAGATGGATCATATCGAAAATGTCATCCAGAAATGCATACACACTAAAGAAAACATCACTTGTCCACATGGGCTTTGCATTTGCATTCCACAATCGAATGGATGGATCTAAAACACTTGTATGACGTTGCTCCACATGATGATGATGGATCATTTGTGTTGTTGTTGTACTTGTTGGTTGTGCAATGGCAAAATCATCATCCATCCATGGATCATTATTTTCTTCATCACTACTTGTATTCCAACCATCATTGAAATCATCATTATATTTATCCTTTACAAGTTGCCCCAATTTCTTCTTATGGAATTCATCTTGCAAATTCTTTTGTTGTTGAGGTAAATAGGTCATGGTAATTTCATCATCATTCTCCAAATGTTGTACTTGATTCACGATACTATGATTCTCTTTGAAAGGAATGGTTGCGGTCATTGTATTCAGATCATCATTTTCATCAATAAATATTCGTTTCCTCCGAGAAAAGTTGGAAACGGTCGGTTGATCTTCCACCTCTCGGAATAGAACTTCGTAATTATTATGTTCATCTTGATGGATTTGATGATCATCTTCCGTTGGAACTGGAATGGATGCCCAATCATCATCATTTATTTCCATTTTCGGAATTATTTCAGGCTTTTGCCGTTCATCATGATTCATAATCTTGTCCTTTCTTTCATGATCTTGTTTACTAAAGGATGATGAGCCCAACTTGTTACGTAATTTGTTGAACATTTTTTTTAAATATTTGATTCTTTAAGGGTGTTTGACATTTGAATTTGGTTAGTTTTATTTGACAGATGTGGAACTGGATTTGGACGGCTACAGTTCCAAGTGCATTCCATGTGTTGAATTCGAATTTTGAAACAAGTTAGTGTTTTTACAATTCTTGACGCTTTTCATGTCAAGGTGGTGTGAAATACAAGCTTGACAATTAGAGTTCTAGTCTACAATTGTGTTTTGTGTATTTTCTCTCAAACACACAATATCATACATTATATAATGACATATATTACAAATTGGTCTGCTTATTTCATAATTATTATTTAAAAACAATTCTGAACGAGTGAAATATCCCAAAATGGAACTAGTGTACAATCGAACGTGTTATGGTTCAATGAAGTAAAGCAGAGTATATTTACAAGGTTAGGAAATAAGGTTTGTACATGAGAGAATGCTTTTTTGTACATGAAAAAGTATGAACTTCCACACACTACTTCATCAATATTGTCGTCAATGTAACAAGGTTCAAATGTTGAAATTTTGTCAACTTCTGAACGAGAGCCATTTCTAGTAATGACTTGTTTAAGGAATAGTTGAGAGTGTCTGTTCAAGTAATTGTTTCAAACACATGGTAAGTTTTCACACCACTCTCGATCATTATGGATACATACCTATTGGAACCTGTTCGATAGAATAATCCATTATTGGTTTGAATCATGGTAAAATCTTCTCCACAGGCTACTTGTCGAATAGGAAAAGAGAAGGGAATTCTTGTGAAAAAGTTAATTCTTTCAAAAGTACCAGAAATTTGTCCACTTGATGAATTTCCACACGCATACAAAACATTGCCTTCAACCAATACAAACGTAAAATCGTATCCACAAGAAACTGATTCAATTCTCTTTCCAATGAATGGAATGTTTTTTGGTTTTACAAAATTTGTTTGTTTTCCACTCGAACTTTGAAAGCCTGTCAAATTAATGCATCAATAACATTTGTTTATCAAGAATCAAGTGAACAACACTCATACCTACCTAATTGATAATGAATGTTACTTCCAGAGCTTGTAAAATGTTAAAAAACAATTCATTCTTAACATAATGACCTACCAGTAAAATTCATTTCTTTCAGTCACAATAATGGTGTGTTGTCCTCCCATGGCAACAATCTTGATCTTACTTCTTTCATTGCCAGGAAGTGTCACTCGATGAAATCTTCGATGACTATCCGAGTTGCCACCTGTAGAAATTCCAAGCATTCCATAATTAAAAGAATGTTGTGATCCACTCACATAAATTTTTCCCTCCGTCGAGACAATGATAAAACAACTCGTGAAACAACTTGCCACAAATTTGTCAATGCGTTCTCCAATTTGTTGCCATGGCTTAAATAATTGAAATTGTACGGAATTTGATAATGATGAATGGGCAGTTGCTGTATTTGAATTATCCTTTCCTCCAAATGTGAAAATTTCATCATCCTTGGAAATGACAAACACTTGATCACTTGACGCTGCTACCATTCGTATCTTTTTTCCAAAATTTAATTTTCTAAAATCTTTATGGACCATGGCATCAGTCCGATCACTACTAGTATATATACCATTCAATGTTTCGTGAGTAGTAGTAGAAGTTGTAGCATGCTGAGAATGGTCATGATCATTGACCATTGTTGAATGACAAGATCTTGATCCGCATAATGATGATGATGAGGAGGCTTGGTAATACAATTCATTTCTCTCCGTTAATACTATACAATGATTGGATCCGCATGCAATTTGAGCAATTGGTAGCGTATCTAGTAATGTATTGGAATAAATATGACTGTTTTTGTTGGTTCCGAATATAGAATCAAGGAGAGGAGGAACCCGAACGTTTCTTAAATGCCAATGTTCTGAAATCAAAAAGCACAAATCCACAAATTAACGAATCGGTTATTCAGGAACACAATGTGTCAAATCAACGGAATTTGTATGATACTGAAGATAGAGTACCTACCAATTCCCCCTCCACAGTAATTGTTTGGCATTTTTATTTGAAGTTGTGTGATGAGGAAAAAAGGAATGATGGTTGACAGCATACATACAACGTTCATATTAATGCTTCTTTCGAAAATTCTCGTGTGTTGCTGAATATGTGGTTAAGCTTAATCCCAATGTAGACGTTTCTTCCTCAATAATATTATTTAAAGCAAGCAACCTTAAAGTTAAAATTATTGACCCATGAAGGAGCCACTGAGACGACTTTGACATTGGCCCATTCAACTCCATCAATCACCACCTTGGCTGTTGATTTCTTCTTTTCCACTTTGCAAATAATTTTTGTTAAATTAGACTTTCGTTCTACTTCATCTGTGACAGGTTTCTTCTTCTTTTTAGGTCGTGTTGTCACTAAGGTAAATGTGCCTGTTTTTGGTTGAAAATCATCTGGTAGGTCCGTACTGGGTAATTTGTAAATTTCAACGTGAGAAAATGAATTCTTTGTGGAACTCTTGCTCTTTTCCTCGTTTGAGGCGTCCCAATAATCAATTTTCATTTCCAAGAGCGAAGTCTTTTCTTGCTTGCTCTCTTCCCCTTCGTCAGAGCTGTCTTCATCTTCAACGACGGGATTCTCTGAGCTTGGTCGTTTCTGAAAGACATTTCCCATTGAAGACATTTGCGGGCTTGTTGCAAGAGAAACCGTGCTTGGAGCCAATGATTTTTCAGTAGTGCTTACTTTGTGAGCGGTCTTTTCTTTGGTATCTTTGTCAAGGTTTTGCACAAGTTTGAGGAGTATATTGGGTTTCTTCTGCTCGTGATAATCTCCATTCACAATGTGAACATTGTTGATTAATGGTACAATGCATTGCTGCGAAACAGATTCAAAATTTTGTGAGGCCGTTGCAATGGACGTTCCATTTGGAGAACCTGTTTCCGTTTGATTTTCTTGTTGATATCTTGCGCTGGTATGAGGGAGAGGATAAACATTTTGTTGTGCCAAATCACTCACAAGAATAATTTGTGAAATTTCAATGCTCACTTGCTTTCTGGCATTTTCTAAATATTCAAAAATTATTTGCTCCACACAATCTTCGACCTCCAATGGATATGATAAAGATCTTTTCCATTCGTCGGCAGAGAATAATTGGGCATAGATTGGACATCGTGCGTTCAGATATGCAGAAATTTCATTTCTTGATCTGTGAATGGCCTCCTCTCCTTTCTTTGAAGGAATTGGCACAATATAAAATAGAAATTGGTCCCATTGTTTTTCTTCTGTGGTCTGAGCTAGACATGCTCTCAACACGTCGTTCACATAGGCATCGTTACCAATGATTACGATTTTAGTCTCATTCAGTTCTTGCTCACTCACATATTTCTTTTCGGTATTGTTTTGAATGATAGTTGTGAGAGCCATATGAACATCTTCACATGAAAATGTACAAAGAACATCCTTAGCATAGAGTCCTCCAGATCTCTTTAGAAAACTCCAAATCCTTTGTCCTCTCCTGAATGAACCATTAATTAAAATAATTTTTTTCACAAGTGTCTTGTTGTGGAGCAAATCTTTGACTTGATCCTGTATTGGTATCTTTTCAATTTTCACACTTGTTGTTGTTGTTTGAAAGGGGTTATTTTCAATGCTATTGGAAACACTTCCTTTTGGAGATGGTAAATCGTGCTCAAAGTCTGAAAAGTGTTGACCACCTTGCCCTTTCTTTTTAAAGCTCTTAAAACGTTTCATAATATTGTCCTTAATTCCAATAACGGCCTTAAGAGTCTTATCTTCTTTTACATTCTTTTCTCCAGTAGCGGATGCTAATGTTGTAATGGCCATTGATGTTGCCAAAGCTACTGGAGAGGCAATATTGGTCTCATTCAGGTTATTTTCTTCAAAATCAATGTCACTATCTTCATCTGTCTCCTCGTCTTCATCAGTGAAATCGCCCTCGTAAGGATCACCAGGATGTATTGCGTTCATGGCATGAGAATCTTCTTTTTTACCTAGAAATGTGAACTTTCTCTTTTTCTTTCTCAATTCTGTTAAAGAAATGGGAACTGTCTGTATGGAAACTTTAAGTTTTGCAACACAATCTGCTGTTGAGGAGGTAGGCACTTGTTGATGGTGTTGATATCGTTCCTTCTCATCATCTTCGTCATCGCTAGACAAATAGTGCAGTATGGCACTATTGACATTATATGATACAATAGGAGATCCTGAATTTAGCATGTGGTTGGTTTGTGCCGTATTTGTAGATTCAGTTTCTTCCTTACTCTTCTTCTTCTTTTTTTTCACAAGAAATGATATGTTTTCATCAAATGGCCGCTGCAGTACATGTAATAAATTAATTGATACAATTGACATGGTTTTAAATGAGTCTCCTTTCTTTTTAGAGTATTGTAGAGAAATTCGTAAAACGTCAATTTTTTTCTTAAAGTGATGTGAATATTTGAGTTTGAATGAAATGTTGTTGAGAGGTACTTGAACACTCTCTCCTGGGTTTGAGGACGTATGCCTGAGATTTGGAACGTCAATAATTGATGATCTGAGTGTTTTTCGTCGTTTGTAAACTCGCTCCTTAATGTATACGCAAATTCGCAATTTTCTTTCTTTCAATTTTTCAGAAATAACTTCCAAATTTTGGCATGTGACAATAGCTCTCCTAGGAGCACAATATGCATGTTTTGATGTATCAGCTCCTGGAGCAGCTCCAGACACAGTATTGTGCATCACATCTTCGAGCTCATCCAATTCCTGATCAGCATTGGGAGTAACGACAGCATCTGTTTTTTTTGCTCGTGCTGTCATTAGCAGTGATGGCGTAGCACCATCTTTTATAATATCCTTGTTGTTGAGATCTTTTGTACTCGCACCACGAATGAGAAAATGTGGAGGAGGTTGTCGGTCTATAATACCCTCACTCGGAGAGAGGGCATGGGTGTAATTGATAGCTTCCGACGAAGGTGGTTCAGTCATTCTCGTTGTGTTGTTGTTGTTTTGTATCTTGATGATGATTGAGCTGATGATGAAATATTTGTCTCTCTCTTGATTATTATTAATTGACTGAAAATTCAAAAATTATTGTTATTAATTTTGATGATCGAGTGAGAAATGTGTGTTAGCACAAGTTTGTTGGTATTGTCGTTAATCGAGTACAGTAATTAAAACAAATGATCAATGTTTCAACCCGATGAACAATCAACAAAATCAAAAAAATTAATGTTGCCGACAAAGTGATTTGTTGGAAACCAATAAATAATAACACGAGTTCGTTCAAACCACGAACAAATTGTTGTTGAAAAGCCGAATGTTGGTTATTTTTTTGTTTGGGGGTTTTGTTTTAAAATGGAAAAACAAAATCCGCTCATCGACTCATTGTTGTCTTGTTGCTTTGAACTGTTGGAAATGATGAATGATGGGGTGACTCGACTGCTTCGAGCTTTGACCTTTCCTCACTCGTTCCATCTACAGTTTCTCATTTCAACAACCTGACCCACTCAAAAAGGACTTGACTGTAGTGATTCTCTTTTACACGCCGAATATTCTTTGCGTCAACAACAATTTCGTGACACCACTGAACCAAATCGCTTATCGGAATTAACATTCAAAAAGTAACTGAGACTCCCTCTCTCAAAATGGCATATCACACAATATTAGGCCTTCAACGGATCGATGCACCATGGACTTGAGAATCCCTGGAAGCAAAACCTCGCATTGGATAACAAAAAAACAAAATCATTTTCCCCAGTTCCGCTGCCAGTTGTCGATTGGTCTCAAACATTCAAGTCGAAAAGGATCCTCTCTCAGAAAGTTCTCTCTTTCTCGATTGCTGCTCGAAACAACTCCTCATCATCATCAACGTTACATCGTTTCTCAACTCACACGAGCGAGTCATTCAGAGAGGGAAGATCTATTTTCTGTAATTCATACCAGAATTCTCTCCGTTCTGAAACAAGTAATTACTCGTGTTAAAAAACCTTTACGAAAAAGAGAGAGATTCTCTCATCAACACCTGTTAACCCGATACTCAAGCCTCAGCATTGATTTCAGTTTTGGACCAAAACAGGACTTTTAGAATCCACAATTCTCAATATTAACAATTGCATCAAAAACAACATTTTATAAAAACAACATGAGCAATAACAACAACAATAATAGTAATAATAACGAGATTAATAATAATAATAACAATCAAGCAGACACGAGCATGCAACAACTTCACATGTTGCAACAATTTATGAATCAACTTTCCAACAAGAATGATTCAAATAATAATAATAACAACAACAACAACAACAACAATTCAATAACGTTACAGCAACAACAACAAATGTATAACGCCATGATGCAACTTGTTTCATCCAACCAGAACAACAACAATAGCCCAAACCTTTCGACTCAACCATCGCCCTCAAATTCAAGTCCGTTCTTCTTTTCTGTGAACATGCCTGCAAATAATAATAGTACTAATAATGCTAACAACAACAACAACAATAGTAGTAGTAGTACAGGAATCTATTCAACGAATAGCAGCTTTTCATCTCTTCCTCAACAACAACAACAAGCAAATAAGACCACTTCTTTAACCATAAATGAAAAATCGGACTCGATCACGAATAGTACAAGCACGAGTGGTAGTGCGAATAATACTAATAACAACCAATTCATGACTAACATGATGATGAACATGCTCATGATGATGTTGAATAATAACAATAACAATAACGGAGGATCTTCTCTACCTATGGAACAACTTCAAGTGTTGAACAATACATTCATGAACATGATGGCAACTTCGAATAATCCTCAATCATTGCAATTACAACAACCTCAGCAAACAATAGCCAATGCTAGTAATAATAATACCATGTGGAGTATGGCCATTGATTCTTTGCAGAAACAACAACAACAACGATCTCAGCAATCGACTTCCACACAAAATCAACAACCTCCAACACCACTCTCCGCTACGTCTTCCATGACCTATGGCAGTACGAGTACAACAACCACAGCAGCCACTCCGAGTGCATCTTCCAACTCTTCAATAGCAACACCCAATCAACAACAAACTCCAACTCCACTCTTGAACTATTCCCATAGCTCGACAAGTTTGAAAAGTAATCAGACGACTAGTAGTAGTAACAACACGAGTGGTATGAATCAACAATCATCGTCCCTTCCAACCAATTTAAATTCGACCATGACTCCTTCTTCTCTCTCCTCCAAAGAATTGGAACAATTAATGTTATTGCGAACGTTGTTGGTAACGGAAAGTGAAAAAATGAAACACCATCAACAACATTTACAACAACAGCAACAACAACAAGGCTTTCCAGGTGGTTCGGGTCATCACGCTGCTGCTCTGCTTCAACCACCTTCCATGCATCATCATCATCATCAACAATCACAGCAACATTTAATGAATCCGTTTGGTTCCACGACGGGTTATGGAAAGAGTATGCTGTTTAGTCCTACGAGCACAAATATGAATCAAAATAGTAATATAACTTCGTTATCTATGAATAATGGACCAATGATACAGAATTCTAGTGGAAATGCAAGTACGGGCAGCTCGGGTAGCACACCTGCATCATCCTCTTCATCTCCGTCCAATGCTTCATCATCATCTGGAATTTCCTCATTACAGAACCAGTCCCATGTGATGAGTAATGGTACAACCACTAATACTACTACAACGACCAGCACAAACAATTTTTATTTTCCACCACCAATGTCATCAACCAATCCTACACCATCATCCTCTCCACAAAATACTTTTAATTCTGCCATGCGTGGTAATTTAATAATAACGAACAAGGTCATGTCATCCAAGAAAAAAGAAGACGACAAACTTTCAGATGTGTTGGCAACAATTCTTGAGAGACAACGAAATAATCATCAGCTTGTCAACCCTCTTGGAAGTGACAATCCGTTTGGTCAATTACTTCCTCTCTATGAACACTCTTTAAAATTTGGCCAAACAGATGTGCCCATGACGCTTCAACACCAACTCATGTCAGAACTAATGCGACCACAACAACCAACACAACACCACCACCAACCCAACACTCCTTTGCAACAGCAATCATCTTCTGCCTCTCACACATTGGCACCGTCTGCTTCGTTTTCTTCCTTTACTGCCGGAAATTTCTCAGAGGAAAATCTCATGTTTTTCAATTCTTCGTTAGAAGATTTTCTACAAGAACCAACTCAAGATAATACTAGTACTCTATTTCCATTTTATGACAATTAACTCCCTTGTATCGACAATTTTCCAATCAACAATTAACGGAAGCAAAAATTCAGTTGGTGACAATACGATAATTTAATTTATTTCCCGTTCACAATGTGGACACTGATTATTGAACTGATTTTAACCATCATTTTGTTGCATTCAGAACGCCAATTCATGTGCAATTCTGCACCTGTAGAACTGAACAGTCAAGTCAATATTCATGATTTGACCATTGGACATTCAATGAATTTGATGGCAATTCAATTGTTTGATAAAGAATGCAATTGAATTTGAAAATGTGTTTCTTTTGACTCTTATATTTATCCATAAAAGTACTTCTCGACAATCGAGCCAATTCGAGGTCAAATAATAATGACAATAACTTTAAAAAAAATGCAATCCAACAACAATAACAACCTGATCACAACACCTCCTTCTCAACCTCCATTCATCCGTAAGACTCACATTCAAGATCAATCCGATCAAGGCAAATTTATTCAACAACTCATTCAATCAGGAATTCATCAACAACAAGGTGATCTTTCCTTGCTGCTTGATCCAATTACCAATGTTCTGTCCGAGAGAGATTCCGATGGACATTCACTCCTCCATGCTGCAGCCTTTATCGGATCTGCAACTCTTGTAGACAAACTCTTTGAAAAGTTACAATTCAATCCCGAGAAGATGAAAGAATTTTGTAATTTAACGACCGCCCAGGATAAAAAGACAGCTTTAATGATTGCATGTGAGCGAGGACATTTGGATGTAGTCAAGAAGCTCTATGACTATACGGATAAGAATGGAAAAGAAACCTTGTTTGCTCCCATTCATGTAGCTGCTATTAATGGACAAAATAAGGTATTGGAATATCTCGTGAAAGAAAAGGGTGAAAATGTAGATAGTCAACAAGATGTTTATGGATACACTCCATTGCATTTGGCTGCTCAATACGGACACGCAGAAACAGTTGCCTATTTAATTGATGAATTGAATGCAAATAAGAATATTCAATGTACAACTGAGAGAATGCTTCCCATTCATACAGCTATTTTGAACAATAACTTGGAAGTGTTGAAAGCACTCGTTCACAGACATTCACAAGATGTCAAGACAAGTAATGCCAAATTTTATGAAACGCTCTCTAATGATCATATTCATATTAACCCTCTGTTGCTAGCTATTGCAAATTCACACGCTGAAGACGACAAGAATGTAACACATTCAGAGACCTTAAAAGCATCTGCCGAAATGGTTAAATTTTTGGTCAATGAGTTGAATGCTGACTATAGCCTTTCTGGAAATAATGGAATCTCGGCTCTTCACATGGCTGCTGAGACAGGAAATTGTGAGTTGATCAAATTCTTTGTCACGGAAAAACATGAAAATGTGAATCAATTGACTGACATCACAAAGGATACTCCACTCTATCTGGCCGTGATTAACAATCACTTAGAGGCAACGAAATTGTTATTGGAGCTGGGAGCTGATAAGGACATTGAGAATTGGAGAGGCAACACACCGTTATCTGTCGTGAAGAATTTGGCATCTAAAAATGATGACTACCAACCTCTTTATGAATTTTTACAGTCCCAATAAGTGTTGCTATCCGGTTCCTGTTACCATGAATACGTCACATGTGTATTTTTCATGAACACTTAACTGGATTGAAACATGATCATACGATTACTAAACAATAATAATTTATGTAACAAGTCGTTCGTTCATGACATTAATATTTTGGATATCCAATCTTTTTCAAAACTCCTCCTGATTGATGTTTCCATTGCTCAATCTTGGCCTTTGAAATCTTTGTTTTTTGTAATAGCAACGAGTCGAGACTTGTAATACACAGTGGAAGGAGCTTATCAAGCGCTGAATCATCTAAGCGTCGACATCTCATGAGGTGAACTTCCTTCAGTTTGTTAAGGGAGCAGTTGGCAGGGGACACCTCAAATGAATCCGAAGTCAATAATGAGCATCCAGACAACAACAGTGAGGTCAAATTTGGAGCATTCTGAAGAATATTGCTCACACTTTGCGCTGATTGGAAGTTTCTCATTCCCAGGCACAGCTTTTTCAGATGAGGTAATAATGGATTTGGGGCATTCCGTTCTTTTAAAAGCATTGCATGCTCAATTTTTGCACCTGAGATGACTGTCAACTGCTCTAAGCGAGGAAGTTCTCCAAGAATATTATCCATTCCTGCATCAGCCATTTCAACATTCCATGACAAGTCTAATTTTCTTAATTGTTTAAGATGTTTCTTAATCAACAGGACTGTAGCATCGCTCAAATTGCAATCTGATAACGATAATTCTTCAAGCTGAGGACAATTCTCAACAAATTTCATGTACGACTCTTCAAACATGATGGTTACTTTGGTTCCTGTGAGATCAATTGCTTTCAAATTAGGAAGTGAAGAAAGTTTGATAAGGTCTTCATCCTTAATTTTTGTTCCAACAACAACCAGAGATCGTAAATTGTGCACGGATGAAATCAATCCAAACCCAGCTGAGCCAATAGAGACGCAGTTGGCAACGCTTAGTTTTTCAATGTTCGGGAAGGATCTACAAATCGACTCTATCGTTAAATCATCGACGCCAATGTTCCATTCCAACATCAGTTCAGCCACACGCTCGCAGAATTCACGGTTCTCAGACATTGTATCAAAAGTGTCTTTTGAAACATATCTACACCTCGAAATAAATAATGAAATGGAATTTGGTTTTAAATTACAGTTTCTATCCTGTTCTTGATCCTCAATGCTCACAACTCGAATGCGACTAATTTGCCCAAGCATTTCAAACACTACAGTCTCAATATGTTTCGTTGAGATTTCAATGGTAATTTCTCTTCCGTTTCCATCTTCGGAGGGCTGAGCGAACCAATTATATCCATCCTTTCCAAGTTCTGAATCAATATCTCGTAAGATCATTTGATTTGCTGCACTTTTTTGAACTGGAGATGTCAAACAATTGGATATTCTGAAATACCGTAATCGTTTACATGATGAATTCATAGCTTCTCTCAACTCCTTCAAGACGTGTTGGCAATTTCCCTCTCTGTCATGCAATTCTAATCCACTCAAATTCAAAAACCTCAAATCTATAAAGCGATCTTTCAGTACTTGCAATGCACCTTCACTATTTCTACATTTTCTTAAAAACACTGTTGGATAGGTTCTCAAACACTCATACCAATGACGATTCAAAACAAACAACGAACGAAATAATTGATCCGAATGTAAATGTCTGCAAATATAATGAATCATTTCCATTGGCAAATTTCCGAGATTGTTTGTGTGTTCAATTACTCTCATATGACCATTCATCATCTCTTCTTCATCATCGGTTCGGAAATGAAATGGAATTTCAGCTCTGCTCTTGCTACTACAACTTTTCATATATTCCATCTCACGACATTGGATGGTGTTACCCTCATCCAAATACATGGTCGAGCTATTGGCTTCCATGATATTCAATCTTACACGCTAAATCAATCAATAATTTCGCTCACGGGATAATGGTTGTATGTGAAGAAGTATAGTGCTCTTCTTCAGTAAGCTCGCGGGTAAAATTTTACGAATTTTTTTTTGAGATGTTCGTGTTTCTAAGGTGTTCCAAGTTCAACACTCTCAGGGCCCTTGATAATGTGTTTCGTAAAAGCTAGGTCCGTTCTGGCTGAAGGATTGTTCGGATTTGAAGGAAACCTCATGGTTTGTTCTTCTTTGAGTCTCTTGGCAATGTGTTGGAATCAATATTCGCAACATCACGGCCTCTTTTGAGATGAGAATATTGTTCTTCTTCTGATAGCTCATCCTTTGTAAGCTCTAATTCTCCGTCGTTCTCTAGTTGTATCAAGTGTTCATTCGGCTCGCTGTAAGGTGTTTCTGGTTCGCCAAACAAGTCCCAAAAGTTGCTGGTCAACTCAGTTTTTGCTTTTTTTCTCCCCTCTTGTTCTAAATTTCCCCACACTTTTCCAAGTGAATGAATGATAGTGGTTGCACTTGGGCGTTGTTGCTTCTTTGGATGAATCATTAGTTCCAAAACTTTCAACATGTTTTTCATTTCACCCTTTCCTACTTCTATCAATGCTTCTTTGACCTCCTTTTCTGTTCTTATATGGTTTCCAAGTATAATTTCAAGGCATACAATACCCAACGAGTAAATGTCTGATTTTGGTGTTAAGGAATGGGCAATATCTATTTTATCATCTTCAGTGTCGCTGACAGCTAGTTTTTCTGGAGGAAAGTAGCCTGGTGTTCCTGATCCAGAAAACAATACTGCATCACCAATGGAATAACAGACTTCTTGATCCGTATCGTATTTTCTAAATCGCTTAGAGCACTCAAAATCAATAAGTTTTGCATACTGAACCTCTCGCTCTGCCTCATAAAGAACAATATTGTCCAACTTGATGTCGTTGTGAATAATTCTCTGAGAGTGTATGTACTCCAGCTCACAAAGAATATCCATGATCACTCTTTTCTTATGATCTATTGAAAGAAAATCAATATGCGAAAGACTTGTTCCACACAATGACACTTCAATATTGTTAAATATTCCAAGTTGTTGGTTATTACGATAAATAATACAAGAAGCTGCATTATTGATATAAAGAGAAAAACATTGAGGTCTATCAACTTTGATTGGAATATGGTGAATTTTGAGATAGAATAATTGATTAGAGTGTGAGATTCCTTTTACTAAAAGCACATGCTTTTCCTGTTCCGAAACAGAGATGTGTGTAATCACCCCCTCAACATGATGCATCACTGTTTCATAAATGATTACTGTATCTCCAGTCATAATTTCACTTGTTTCATTGATTTTGCCAGTTGAAAACAGTATCCTCTGCAAATCGGTGAAAAGGGTCAGTGCTAACCGATCTTTCTTTGGTTTTGTCATTTTTTTTTAAGTGTGAATCCATAAAAAAAGCGGGAACCTTAGCATGGAAGTGGTAAATAAATAATTTATGGCACAGGTGACGATGAACGAGTTAAATATCTCAGTAAAATGGAGAGGAATTTTTTATGATTTTTTTTTGCCAAGGTTCAACATTACATAGTGAAAAAAAGTTCAATACCTTAATGTTTGATCATTGGAGTTCACTTGTAGAATTCCGTAAATCCACTCTTTACGGTTCTATTAAAAATCTTATGAGAAATGGGTACTTGCACGTTCGTGGACACGTGCTATGCCTTATAATGGATAATCATTCGAAATAGTGGAGCCGCGCAATTGCATGATCTTCATGTATTTAAAAAAATGCTGGCATTTCCAAATTGGAGAATTAAATAAGAGCTAAATAATACTTAGATTGACATGTTTATTGTTTAAATACATGCACAATTTGTGTGGAACTGAATTGTTTGACACAAGTGGTTTTAATGCTGTTTCTGCTGTTGAGCATGAGGGTTGGTTGATCCAAACGACTAGTAGTTGAACGTCCATGATGGTGCATTCAAAGCGTAGTAAGAATATACTCAAAAGTTATTCTTCTCAGAGTTGCATTGTTATTCACAATTGTTGTGAAGCAAATTTGTTCACAAAGTGGAGAGACTGCACTTATTGTTCGGCAGCATCCTTGTTGCTTTCATTATTATTGGTTGACAAGGAGAGGGTTGGAGTTGTAATGGTTGTGGTGGTGGTTGCATCTGTTGAAGTGGTGGCAGGATTGGCAGTCGTAGCAGTGGTCTTGTTAGAGTCATCGACGTGTCCCTTTTCAATAGCTTCAAACAAGTGTGATGTTGGTGACCAAGAATTCCATCCGTGAAGGTTAATTAAATCTTTGGCATGATCAACTTCAAACCAATTCAATGTGAAAAAGTTAATTTGCTTTCGATCATCAACACCACAATAATTCAAAACAACTCTAACATCTGCCAACATTCTCCAAGCAAATAATCTTCCTGGATAACCAGCACACAATTCTGAACAGTAGGCGAATGGAATTTGTAAGACCCATCTCCAACTTCTGAATTTTCCAAACATGGCAAATCCTTGTCCAATGGAAGTAAATGGTAAATCTTTTCCAAGGAACATGATTGGAGGCAAATAATCAGCACAATGGCCCAATACTCTGAAAATTACATTGTAAGCGATGAAAATATTCAACCAGAAAATATCACTGGTTTGAGCGATGGTAGGCAATTGATCGAAAATAAATTGAGGGCAAAAGAATTTAACCATGACAGTTGGCGCTGGGAGTAACATTTGCAACACAATGTACCAAAATGTGAATCCACAAAACACGACCAAGAATTGAGTAAAATAAAATTCTCTGTACAATTCTCTCATCATGTCTCTGAAAGAGAATGGTTCTTCTTGTTGAGGTGTCTCTTGAGTGGTTGCAACAGTGGTAGTGGTTCCATTATTGACTGTGGAGACACTAGAAGTATCATGATTGCCTTGTGGTTGCAATTGCTGAGGAGGAATGAGCAAGGACTGAGCTGGATCTCTCAAATTCGAAGTAGAACTATCAGGAGCACTACTCGCACTGGTCACAGGTTTTGGAAGAGAGGTGGCAGGATTTAAATTGTCACTTGCAGCCACTTCTTGCTGTGGTAAGGTACTCTGAGGTCTAAAGCACACAGTAATCAGTTGCATCACACAAATAGCATAATGAGTATACATGAGAATGCTATCACCAAACCACATTTCACTGTAGTAATTCAAGTAGAGAGCCCACCATGTCAAATCAAATGGGAAGGTCAAAACATGCGACCAAGTATTAAAAGGCACTTGATGATAGACATATCCAGTGACTGATTGCATTACAAAGTTATCACTACCAAAATTTGCAACGGGATTCGATGTGTAGGCATCAGATTGCCACAAGGTTATTTCATTTGGGAGTAAGATGGTCATCATGATAAAGATCCAATTCAATATCCACATCCAGGGTAAACTTGCCATAAACGTCCACACGACTTGAGTGCTGTGGAGAGTTGTGGATATATTGGACCAGAATTGAATGAAGGCAGCAAGCGTGCTTGTGCTATTCATGAAGGAGGAATTGATAAGAGTATTCATCATCATGAGGGTTGAGTTGTTGTTGTTGTTGGCACTTGAAGAAGTGATGATGGTACTCGAGAAGTTCATCGAGAAGAGGTTATGAATAAGTGATGATCAGACAATGAGGTGTTCAAAAAGGTGGTTATTGAAGAAGGCGAAGGCTACTTGCTTCTATCAAGAACTATAGATCTTGGGGGTTATAGGGATAGATCTATCTCAATGTATGGCTATGAGAAAAAGCTTGTGGTGGTTGGTTTCAGTTCTCTTTTTTCTATTATTATAATTAAATGTTATGAATAATATTTGGAAATCCGTTGATTGGGTGTACAGTTTGAACTGGAAATATTAATACTATTCAATATTTGATGATGATGATGCAGTTGAGTAGCGACAGACAGTACACTTGTTTCGACTCTTTCCTTGTTCAGATTTTGTTGTAGAAATGGAAAGATGAAGAAAATTGCCGCTGGTTGTGTTCTCTAAAGATCGGGTGATGGTTATGCTGCTGTTAGAGACAAACCTGTAGGACGATGGACCTTCTGTTTGAATTCTTTTGATGGAGCTTGTATGACACTTCTTCTGCAAGAAGGAGACTGATTTTCAAAGAGGCTGAAAGACTTTCTTGTGAGAGCAGCAGTTGACCATAAAAAAATGTATTATACAAGTTGAGTAAAGCATGGATTTAAAAGGAGAGAGTGAAACGGAAAAGTTATTTCGGAAAGAACACAACAACGAGCGGAAGGCAGATGGGGATTTAAGTCCATTCATACAAGCGTGAACGTGATGAATCATGAACACGTTGTGTTTGGAAGAGATACCACATATTCAAGTGGAAGGAAATAAAGAGCAACAAAATTCAGTCGTATATTGTGTTGTTGTTGTTGTTATTATTGTGGTTGAACAACACACATATCGAGAGGAGAGATGATCATCATTGTATCATATGAGCACAGAGTTCAGATTCAATGAGATTCAAATTGGTGAGATGAGGACAGATTGATATGAAAATGGCATGTAACCCCAAGAGTCAAAATTTCATGGTTGTGTGCGTGATCATGAAATAGAATTGGTCGTGGTATATATTTTGATGTGTTGTTGTAGAATGTATATCCAAAACCATCGCGATTAACATGGAACAAACATATAGAGGTTATGTCATCATGATGATGAAATTTCATTAATAATGAGAATGATTACTAGAAAGATGATGGTTCACTTACCAAGATTAATTGATTCGTAGAGTAATGTACAATCAACTGTGTGGATTCAGTATGATTGAGCGAAACAGAGTTGTTATTGTTGCAACAAGAAACGTGCAGAAAAGAGGGCAAAGGCGCCAATGGAGAATTCACACACACGAAATTGTTGTGAACACACTTGTGGAAGTCCCTGGTACTGTGTTTAGTAGCGAACGTGCACAAGATTTTGACTGTTGCAGCTGTTTTTTTTTTTCAAAGTGGCAGCTGTCAAAAGTAACTTAATTGCAGAAAAATGTAGCTAGCGGAAAGCTTTTTGGGTTAAAAACTCGTGGCGCAAGTTGCGTCGCACCAACTTTACATGGAAAGCCATAATAATACGGCCGGGGTAATGTTTTCGCCTGTGGACACCTGATAACACACTCTTCATAATCCAACAAAAGCATTCAGAAAGGTAATTTGATTTAGGGAGAGGGTTAGAACTGTCGAGTCAAGCTAACTGTCGATCTGGTTGTGTAATTCAAAACACAACGAATTGAAGGTCGAGTCATGCATGGTTGACTTGCAAAAATCTTCTAAATATGAACAAAAATTCAATAACCCAGGAGAAGGTTTCCCTGAATAATTCTCAAACCGAGAGCATGTAATCTTTAATCACGGTTGTATTCACACCAATTCAAAAAAGGTTAATATTCAGAACCTTCCTAAAGAGATCTTTTGGCAACTCACACAATAATTAGATGAACCACCAATTGATCTTCTCCGGTGTTACAACAAAATAGTCAACCCAACGAGCCCTCTTATTCAGAAAAGGCCAGTGGCAGCTTATATGACAAGATGAGAAATATTCCATCATTCCGATGTATCAATGAATATGTCTTGACTCTATTCAGTAAGCTATCCTGTTATTGACAATTTCAAAGATGACTAGGGTTGACAATGAGTGTGTGAGAAATAGCCTTTTTTAAATTGTTATTGTGACATATCAAATTGCTCTATGGCAGTGTTAGATTAATGTCGTTTAGTGAGTTTACAAAAGCTGTAAATACAACCATGATCAAAATGACATTTTTCAATCAACGACCTTTTCTGCTTTGAATAAGAGTTTTGGCATTACTGAACCCTTTAATACCTTCCTTGTTTGTTCAATGAAACGTTTCACAAGTTGCTCTCGACATCTCTCTTCCTTATTTGCATAAAATCTCCCAAGCGAATTCACTCATACGAAATTTTACAGTTTTGGCCGAGATTTGAAATCTGAAAACCAAAAAACTAAGATTTTTATGATGATCAAGATTCACACATGTGGTGAAATGAAACTCCTCGGAGCTCCCTTGGTAACAGAATGTGCCCATAAAAAATGGATGATTATGCTGCAACCTCTGCCGCCACTTCATTTCCAAAAGAATCTAGGACCTACAGTAGTGATATATCACGAGGATGGAAAATAGGTTCATGGTTATTGTGTCCGAATGTTGATGTTGAAATTTCAAATGATGAAAATAATTCTTCATCATCCTTCGGAACATATCAAAATTCTACTCGGAACCGTGCTGTAATTTTCTCTCCTACAGCATTGAGAATTATTTCAATACTTGTAACTCTGATTTGGTTATTGATATTTGGATTACTTTTAATATTGCTCCTTGTTTGTGGTGTGGACATTAATTTTGGAAGTGCAATTTCATCATGTGGAAGAAATGGACATTGGTTACGGCCGTTTTTTGTTGCAACTTTTGCTATCTATTGGGTGATCATGAGCTTGTTGTTTTTTAGTAGAGCTTTTATGCTTCATGCCAAATCGTTTGGTTTGGCAAATGCTCGCAGCAAATGTTGGAGAATGATTTTTTGTGGATTAACCATTCCGAGACGAGGCGTCGAGTTGAAATCTGTCACTTTTTGGCTTATTTGGATTCAATTATTGATTGGACTGATTAGTAATATTCTATTGTTGTTAATGGCAATCTTTCCAGATCAGAAAGAAACCAAGTCCTTTCATTTTGTGACTGCATTTCTTGGATTGACTCTTTTACTAATCTATTCAGCATGTTCTGTAGTCCTTCACATTGGTCGAGTCATTAAGGTCATGAAAAAACAATCTCCACCTTTTGAATTATTCAGAAAAATTGATTCAAAACAGATTCCTTCGCAACGAACTTGGTTATGTTTATCTGTCACTGCTCATGTCTTTGTCATTGTGTGGCAATTGATTTTTGTTTTGGCTGGATCGGGATTTGTTCCTGCCTATGTAAGCACTGTAATTCCAGTTTATGAATGGCTTGGAGTGAGTTGTATCTTGCTCGCTCTCTTTCCTCACACTTTTGATACCATGATGACGGATGTGAGGTCCAGTTCGACCATGACCACTAGCACGGAACTTTCAAACTCTTCACACCATACTGAAGAAGATGAAACCAATACTTTAATTCTCAAATGATGTGAATGAGCTGTGGAATAACATTTTAGATTTTTAACTTGGCCTCACATCTTTACAAAATTATAAATATATTTCGAAAACTCCACTCCTAACGAGTTTTTTGTTTCCAAGTTCCTAGAAAAACCAACAAAAAAAATGACCGAGTCTGTGTTTCTTGATGAAGAGGATACTGTTCCCGATGACTCTGATACATCACTTGATCTTGTTTTTAATTATGAAAAACTTGTTCAAGATCGTAGCAAAATGCATAAACTGAATGGATATTATATTGGAGCATCGAATAATTTTGTAAGAGTCTTTACATTGAACGGTAGAAAATACTGGATCTCTCAAGCCTTGTGCAATCATCGAGCGCCAGATTATAAAGTTCACTTCTCCGTAGTGCCTCAGGACGTTCCTAGAGCTTTTAATTTAATTTCTAAACATTTCTATCAACGAAAATTGAAATTTGGAATGAAGGCCATCATGATTGATAAAGAAACAGAAAGTAAAAGCATGAGTGATGAGTCATTCAAATGGAATACTCACACTGGTAATGATAAGTCATTTACGTTGGAATGGCCTCAATCTATGAGAGGTAGAGAGATTACATTGTATATTTATAGATACTATGAAATTGAAAAATTGAAAAACATCAGAGAGTATTTGTGTGTTGGCGGTGATCATGATGGAGCTTTAAATTTGGAAAATGTCACTACTGACAACACTATGGAAACATGTCAACAACAACAAGACACATTGAAAAATGAAATTACTGTGAAGGACTATTCCATTTATGACGAAACGAATGTCAAATATCATTATTCCAATTTTATGGAATTTACGTCACATCCATTCAAACAATTTGAGTTGACAAAACAGGATGAGGAATCGTTGAGTTTTTTACGAAAATGGGTGTTTGAAGTTGAACAAATTTTGGAAAGAGAGAACATTCAAAGTAATGGGTGTGCAGACGGTGACTTGTCACTTGGCTTAAAATACGCCTCATTCAGAAATGAATCATTTATTCCAGTTATTGATGCTCAAACCCACAGTGCTGACAAACATGCCTTGTCATCGAATGAAGTGAACGAATTATTTAGATATCCTCCAAATTATTCAGGTTGGAATGCTGCAAATTATGAAGAGGCAACGACAATTGCAGAGAACTTTAAGAATTCGACCATGAATACTTTCAATGCCATGTTGTGTGACTATGCACCTTTAATTTTGTTCTTTCTAATTCCAATAACCATTGGCGTGATCATGAAGCATGGAATGTAATGCCTTTGTGATCGTTTCATTGTTGGTACAGTACAACTGTTCAATTTCACACCACGGATAATCCCCTCAAAACCTCCAAAGATCAACACCAGTTCAAAAACGCAAATAAATATTCACAAAATTCACACAACAAATGGTTATTGCATATTTATGGAGTAACTCTGTTTGGATCTCTTGGGAACATGGAGGTCTTTCTCACGTTACCCAAACCAAGATATAACATGACAATTCTTTCCAAACCAACACCGCAACCAGCATGAGGCCAAGCACCATATTTGAAAGCATCGACGTATGCTTGGATAGGAGTCATATCAACACCCTTCTCCTTTGCGTTTTGTTGCAACAATTCAGCATCGTGAACACGTTGAGCTCCGGAAGAAATTTCTTCACCTCTCAAATAAATATCATACGAGTTGGACAAGGTTGGATCCTCTGGGCAAGGCATGGTGTAGAATGGACGTAATTTCAGTGGGAACTTGTCAACAATGAAAAAGTCAGTATTGTACTTTTCATGAATGATTTCTCCCAACATTCTTTCTTGAGTAGAGTTGATATCTTCGTCGAGGGCAAGTCCCAAGTTGTGCTTTTCATTCAACAAGGTGATGGCTTGAGAGTATGGAATTCGCAAGTTCTTTTCTTGGTTGTAAATGATTGGTTCGAATGGATATTGAGCTCTAATAATTTCCAATTCTCTAGCAAAATCCTTCTCAATACGATTGAAAATATAGATAAACATCTTGTCAATCACTTCCAAAGCCTCAGTATAGTGAGATTTGATGGCCATTTCAATATCCAAACCAACAAACTCTGTCAAGTGACGGTGAGTGAAACTCTTTTCAGCTCTGAATACAGGGCCAATCTCAAAGACCTTCATCAAGTCACCAACAACAGCCATTTGTTTGTACAATTGTGGTGATTGAGCCAAATAGGCAAATCGATCAAAGTAATGAACCTTGAAAACTTCAGCACCTCCTTCAGAAGCAGTAGCAATCAATTTTGGTGTGTGAATTTCAGTAAAGTCCAAACCATACAAGAATTCTCTAAAGAATCTTCCCATGGCAGATTGAATCTTGAAAATTGCCAATTGAGCAGGGGCTCTCATATCAATCACACGATTGTCCAAACGGAGCTTTTGACCAACAGCCTTTGGGCCAGTTCCTTCCTCTTCTGCCTTTGCTTCCTCCAATTCAGCAAGGTTGGCTTTCATTTGTTCTTCCTTGGTTTCTACCTTCATGCAATCTTCAATTTGAATGGGCAAGGCCATGGCCGCGGAAATGCAGTAAATCTTGTGAATTTGCACTTCAACGTCCTTTTGTGTGGCAGAAGTAATTTCTTGTTCAACTTTCACTACTTTACCGACCACTTGAATGACGGATTCCTTGCTAAGTTTTTGGGCATATTTAGCCATTGCCTTTCCTTCTTCATCTTGAGCGAAGAGTGTGGCCTGAATCGAGAAGCATCCTTCTCTCATCAAGATGAAACAAGATTTACCTTGTCCTCTCACCGTATGAATTCTTGATCTGAGAGTTACAATCTTGTCATGATACGAAGCATCAATATCCTTCACTTGATCAAATTTCTGTTCCGTTTGATAGGTAGAACGGACGATTGGGATATGACCAAACGATTTAGATTGGTTGATATATTCCTCTTCCGTAATTCTAACAATTTGAGCCTCTAGAGCAGCTTTTTGTTGTAGTTCTCTCTCCAATTGTCTTTGCTTCTTCTTCTCCTCACTCTCCTTCTTTCGTTGTTCTCTGAGAGCCTTCTTTTCTTCAGGAGTAAGCTTGGTTTCGTCGGTGCTGCTGGAGGGTTGTCCTTGTTGTTGTTCGCTCATTTTTTTTCAAATTTTCATCATGATGATGATTATTAATAAAAGAGAAGAATGGATTTTGAAGAATCGACTACGCATGTTGAAAGTGCATGAGACGCCTGTTCCAATCAGAATTGAGGTAGTCATCATGCCAAGAACAGTTTCCTTATTTTGAAGTCGTACCAAATACACGATCAACGCGCATTTCCAGAGTAAACTGAATAAAAAACCCAGCATTTCATCATCCATTCTTCTGAGAGAGTTTTTATTTCCCTGAATCACGAGACCTCAGTTAACTCTTCATCAATGCTCCAACCACCAATGAAACAACAATCATCAAAAAATTTGAATCCAACAGTGTTGTGTTGTTCGAAAAAAAAATGGCTCCCTCCTCCAAAACAATTTCTCTCTCAAAGCCTCTCACGACACAACAACTCCACCGAGAACAAATTAAACAGGCTCTTCAAGGAGCTACGGAAGAGGAGAAGAAAAATTTGTTTCAAAAAAAGAAGGATCATATTTCCAAGTACCATACAGAGGTTTTGGACAGAATCAAACCATTCAAAAGACCTTTTAATCAAAAAGTACAAGTACCTTTGGTTCCGAAGAAGGATGACTTGGAAAAATTGCAAGATGAAGAATTGGATTTTGATCAAGTGATGAGAGATTACATTTTAAGTGAATGCACTTTTGATGAGGAAAACAAGGCTGGATTCTTTCTTGACGATGCTGATCCAGACTATAAAAGAGCTGTCACTGGAATTGAAAATGTAGAAGTGGATCCATCCTATGACTATGACCAAGAACCAATTGAAGAAGAAGTATATTCTGCAAAACCGCTCTCAAAATTACAAGCTATCAAAGCATTTACTGGAAAGGATGAAAAATTATTTGCCAAACAATTTAAATTCGTGTCTACTGGATACTACAAGACTGCTATTGGTAAGTGAGCATTGAAGGGTTCATTGTTAATTTGTTCATATTAATTGTTCTCACTATTCTTGTGGTCATTCCTCTGAATGGTAATGTGTGTCATAATTTTGACACGAATACATGATTGCCACTCTTTGTGAATTTAAAAATTAAACTCAATAGCTGAGGCCATGAGTGCATCCAAGGTCAGCCACATTCAATTGGAAAAGAGTGAAGTCATGGAAACTATCAAACAACTCAAATCCTACGACCAAGCAATCACACAACCAGGAGAAGGTCTTTTATTCTCTGAACAAGATCCTAGTCTTGTATTCTTTATTTCTGTCTACTTGAAGAATCCATATTTACATTCCATCTCGGCACCTGTTGACGTGCCATTGTTAAAACCCATTCTAAGTTTTTCAAAGGAACAACTTCCATTCTCATCTCTCCAAATGTTACTTCTCGTTCAAGACGACCAATATGATTCCTACACTCAAGCTTTGAAGGACTGTGACTTTATTAGAAAATTGAAAATTATGAAACTCTCAGACTTGATGATTGAAATTGGAACGACCTATCTCAAAGGAAATACATTTGAAAATACCAGATATAGCAGATTCAACGAAAAGAAGCATTTCTTGAACCAATACGATTTACTATTTTGTGATGCTACTCTTTCGAGAAGAGTTTCCGCTCTTTTCAACTCTTATAAAAAGAGAAAGCAAGGAGTGAGACCAGTTACACTTGACAATGTTTTGGATTGGATCAACAATGACCTCACTCACTCCAAAGCATTTGTAGTGCAGGGTAACTCACACTTTACCATCCGAATTGCTCGTACTGAATGGAATGATAAGGATATTTTTGCAAACATTTCACACGTTTTGGAGAATAAGACTAGTAATGCAGAAGTTAAGAACGCATTTGCTCAATTGGTTCAAAGTGACATTAGAATGGTCATGTTACACACGAATCGTTCTGTTTATGTGAAAATTTATGAAAATGTTGATGTTGATATAGACAAGGTCAAGACATTCAAAGCTGAAAAGCAATGGAGAAATCGAGGAAAGAAGGCAGACGAGGCACCAATGACAGCAGCAGCAACACAAAAGCACTCTATTGGTAATTCTTCGCAACAGGTTACCACTACACCAAAGAAATCAACGGTTGAATCAACTCCAAAGAAACAGACAAGTTCAGAGAGTGCCGCAAAGAATAGTACCGAAGAAGCAACTGTCACAACAACTCCAAAGAAGAAGAAGGAGAATGACCAACCAACTTCAACTAAAAAACATGTCAATTTAAGGAACGACCAACAAGCTACAACATCCACAGCGAGCACCCCAAAGAAAACAGATCCAAACACGACCACAGCTACACCAAGGAAGCAGCAAGCGAATACAGAGGCTGAATCAGCCCAAGTTCCATCATCTGCTAAAAAGAAAATTGCTGCTTCTGGACAAAATACACCAAGGAAGCAAGAAATATCTCAAGCAGCAACTCCAAAGCGGTCCATTAGCGACTTGAAGTCCAAACTCAATAGCTTACAACCAAAGAAGTCGGAATAAACAAGGCTTTTTGCTATACAAAATCATATTTATTAACCGTTAATGGTGATTGTAAAATCATATGCACCAGCTCCACCAGCGGTATCATCAACGTAGACCTTGGTTTGCCATCCGTTCTGGGCTGTTGGCATCTGGGTTATGCTGACTGTACCTGCTCTGTTCGTTGGTGCTGTTTTTGTCACGCTAACTCTGCTAATTCCATCAGTGTTGAACCCCAAATTTTTGCTTGAGGTGTAGGTAAAGGCAACGCCATCAATGGTAATAGCTGTTGGTGCTCCATATGCTCCATGTTGCCATGTCAACACGCCTCCTTTTATGATTATTGTGTCCGAGCCGTCAATGGTTGCCTTAATACGAATTGTTGGCATAAAGTAGGTCTCGCAATTGCTACCCACGTATCCAGCACCACATATACATGTATCTGGTTTAACACATGCACCGTTTCCACTGCAAACACTGTAGTCATCTCCAGACACACCATAACAAATGGCAATTTCACATCTCGTTCCTCGGTACCCTGCATTGCAATCACAAGTGTTAGGACTAATACAGGTTCCGTTGCCATTGTTGCACACAGACAAGGCATTGGTTGACAGAACACCATCACATTTGTGAATGTTACAATTTGGTCCTCCCCAAAGCGATGCCTGAGTGCAATTGCAAGTATCTGGGCCAACACATGCTCCTCTACCACTACAAACACCAGGTTCCCATTGTGGAATCCCGAAACATATTGGAATGGAACAATTTAAACCAGTCCATTGACTGTGACAAAGACAGCTTCCTCGTACGCAATTTCCATGAGAAGAACAAAACTGATTTGAGTTTGTCGACAGCACATTAACAGTTGTATCTGTTCTGTTCATTTGCATTCCCAACAAAAAAACTGAGCCGCATCCAATCGAATAGTATCTAGACCCTACAGAAGGGATTTTGGTCATGGAATCTTCCCAATACATTGGGTTGTCCAATTTTGCTTTCACAATATTGGGATAGTATTTCTCATTGGTTGCATAATACCCTCCAAACATGTAAATATTTTTCGAGTCATACAGCACAGGTCCATCAACAATGGGATATGGAAGAATCATGTAAGTGTTTGACCATGTCATGTTGACCAAGGGAGACCTCAAGATGTCTGCGTTCGGTTCTTGGTCAAACCTTCTTCCACCAAATATGTAAATATAATCTCCAATGATTTCTGTATGGCCGGCGTATATTGGTGACGGCAAAGTCATCTTTGTAACTTCCCAACTCAGGATATCCCTCAAAGGAGCTCTGATAATCTTGTTTAAGGGAATCAAATTTCCTATGTTATCTGTAGTCATTCCTCCAAAAATATAAAAATAATCTTCCACAAGAGCATACATTCCACTTGCCACAGGATACGGAAGAGTCCTGTTGTGTAAAGTCCATGCCCCATAAACAGAATCAGTACTGTAAATTTTGTTTGACATGGTGTGATTGATCATTCCTCCAAAGAAAAAAACTGTGGTGTTGATGGTGAGTATGTGTGTGTTAAAGAACGAATAAGCAAACATCTTTCTCTTTTCATCACGGCCCATTGTAGTAATTCCTTGATTGGGTGCAGTTTGAGATGTGACTCCAACTCCCAATACCGATACGATATTAAGGTTGTTTTTTGATGTGCCCATATAATGATCTTCTCTGAAATAAACCGTTTGATTATCAACAGTAGTAAAGAAAGGATAATTTCTTTGAAGTGGAGACCAGAACTGCATTTTCACTTGCTGAATATTTTTGAAAGCGTACCGTGGTACTATTCTTGCACCCAGTCTATTGTCTTCTGATTTTCCTGCTCCCGCATAATACAACTTATTTCCATCAGCATAGATCATGGCAGACGAGGAGGACATTAAGGCAAATTCATAGTAATAAGGGTTTTTAGCTTTTGGAAAAGCCGTAATAAGGCGGGGTATTGGCACATCATAACACCAGTATCCACTCCACCATCTATAATAATCATATCTTCCTGTGCCAAGTTGGCAATGATAATTGCTTCCCCAAGCCCAAACTGTTCCATCATCACACACTGCGAATGCAGACTGTTTTTTGTGAAATAGTTTCACAATTTTACGAGAGGTACCTAAATTGGTGGTAGTAATCTGTGTCAATACGGACTTTGAAGCTGATCCTGTTATTCCTAGTCTACCGTTTGCCCCTTCGCCAAACCCAAACACAGTTCCTAATGAGGTTAGGAATAGCGTGGATCGATCACCACACACAAAGTCTAAATGGTTTTTTGTCGGATAGTCATTAGGACTTACTCCAAGATCCACAGGCCTTGCAAAATATTGATAAACAGGACTGTAGTAGGGTCCTGCAATAGGAAAGTCTTTACCCTGTTCTCATCAAAAAAAGATTAAGCTCATACATATAAGCGTATTCGACTTACCCAGTAAGAAAAGCTTCCATTGATAAATCTAACAACCACATGAGTCAAACCCGCGCAAACATGAGTCACTGCTGGACTTCCTGCAAATGATACAAGCGTTGGTAGCTTAATTGAGGATGGAGCGATTGTTCGGTCCGTTCCCAAACCTAATATTGTAGAGTGTGACTTTGAGAATGCAAAAACGGAATACAAACCCAATACTTACCAAGCTGATATTCATTATTTCTTCCCCAAGCGAACAACTCTCCTGCTGTATTAATATAAAAAGAATTTTCAGTACCAGCAGCAATAAATACAATGCTTTCAGAATGAGTGAGAATTTCCATAGGCAGCTGTCTGGTTGTTGTTGTTCCATCTCCAAGTTGGCCCCAAGTATTTGATCCCTGTAAGTAGATAGTAGTGTGAGATATGGTGTCGGAAACGAAACTTACCCAAGCGTACAGTTTTAAATTTGTTAGAAGCAGTACATGCGAGTCACCTGCAACAATCTGCCAAATCTCTTCGTTTTCAGGCAACTTGAAATCAACTGGAAGCACCGAACGATCTTTTTTTGTCCTACCCAATGCATAGGATTTGGTTCCGAACGAGTACAATGTGCCATGACCCGTCATAAATATTCCAAACCCTTCGCCTGTGACTAGCCTTGCTCGTTCACTGAATGGGCCTCTCGAAAAGTATGTGGTGCTAAGAGTAGTGAATGTTGTACCATTAAGCTTCTCAAAATAATTCGGATCAATGGGTGTCGTTATATTAATATTGGCTTCTTCTTCCTGATCATTGAAACAATTGTTGTGTAAGGCGAGAAAAAATTGAGCATATACGTACGTAAATTCTATTGGTGATGTTCAGTAATTCGTATCGATGAACCACCTTAGTGATGTTCAATATGAGCTGAGTGTCTTGGTGGGTCGCCTCATAGTATTGATATCGTTTTGCATATTTTGCAAGAAGATCATTGTAGGCTGCCTTAGTTACATTTAATTGGCTGTAGGATCTGGCTGCAAAGGTGAGAGCCTTCTTTTGATAATGTGCTCGTTTTGATTGAACTTTCATTTCATCTGCAAACTGGTTCATGCTCACCAGCTCGGAGGCCTGCCTTTCACGTATCAATCTTCTCTCCTCAAACAAATCAAATAATTTCTGGCCTTCAACGCCATGATGATGAGCGAGCATTATTAAGGCGGTTAGATTGAACAAAAGGATTACTAAAATAAGCGTTCCAACACTCATCCAAGTAACCACCGTTTTCTGTGCTCCTTGGATACGATCTTCTGGATGTGATGGTTGATGCTGTTGGCCATGATGATGATGAACGTGCTGTCGAGATGGTGTATGGAGCACTCCCATTTTTTATTGGGACCATAAGGCTTGCTGTAAATGCTGTAATATCATCGATTATGGTTGTTTTCATTCTTTTGTATCGTCATCATCTTTCATTAATCTGGAGGTTGTTGTATCGTCATCATCTTTCATTAAATCAAACAGTGCAGTAAAATAACAACCTCCACTATCAAATTGTGCTGCATGCAAGGTAAACGGCTCATTCAATGGAATGGTATGCTGCTCTGTATTATTCTCATCTCCGATTGAATATTTAATGTAACATGTACCTTTCACTTGGAACGGAAGGGAAGACTCGAGTGAAAAGGTCCACCAATACGCAGAACTTCGTTCTCCACATTCAGAAATAAGTGAAAGCTGTTCATTGAACAGAGAAAATTCTTCTCCTTCGCCATCACTTGCATATAAACTTCCTTCAATGGCTTGGCAAAACCTGAATTTTTGTTTGGTCTCATTGTTAGGAATTCCCATAGCAACGAGTAAGGGATGTAACGATTCATCTGTAACATCGCTCATGATTGTGTTGTAGTCAGCCTTAATATACTCAATTGTGTTTGCATAGGGTTGTAGAATTTTGGCATTGAAAGTTTTTACACGCCCATGTATACTTTCAATGTGACGTTTCACAAGTACAAGTTTCTGTTGTAATGGAATGATCTTCTGTTTTGCAATGAACTCGACAAAATTCATGGTCACAGCTGATAAATCTTCGTTATTGTGGCGTTTACATAATTCAAATGCAAAATCAATGATAGCACTCTCTGATATAGGTATCTCTAATTGGAATGGAATGTATAATTTAAATGTTCCAGTTAATTTTGACAAAATTTGTTCTTCCATTTGTTTTAAATCAAAATATCGAGCCAAATGAACTTGATCCAAAATGCTATTAATGCTTTTCTCTTGATCTTCCTTGGACTCTTTTAGACGACATGGAATATAACAATATACGGAATCTGTGTAAAGATATCTAAAAACATCACAAAATATCTCTTCACTGATCGTTTCACCATTCGCAGTGTTAATGTTCTTCTCGACTTGTCTCAAATCTGCAACCATTTTACCATTCTCCATTTCAGCATGTTGGTTCCAATGCTCTGAATTCAATAATGTTCGGAAAAAACTCGATCGATATAACATCAATCGATGCAAATGAAAATCTTTGGTACTAGTTCGAACAATGACGTCAGAAAGATCCACGGGCGAAAACAAGCTCATACTCTCTTTGTTATCTGCTTTCATGTCATCACATCCTAATTCAAATATACTTTGCATGTATTGATTAAATGATGGATATAGAGCGGATTTACAAGAAGAAGATGCTTCATTATCTTGAAAACTGTCATCTTCTTCCGAAGAGGAATTGTCATGATGACCCTCTTCCTCTCGTGCACGTTTGACGGCTGGGTTTTTTGGCATGAGAATGTTTTTTTTTGTGTGAGTGTTGAGTTTACAAAACAAGTGTCACCAGAGTATTGTGCAGCACGGTGTATCCATCATGAATTTATTTCACATGAAAGGAGGGAAAAGATCCTTCTTGATGAACGTTTTTCAAAACTTTCAGAGCATGAGCATGAACCTGAACACGTGTTCGCGATTTGACATAATTCTCACTGATGGCTTTCCAATTCTGTCCACACGCTCGATATCCTTCCATAAATCTTTCATGTTCTTCCTGAGACCAAGGTCCATCATTCACAAAATTCTTAATCTTCTTTTTGGGAGGAGGAGGTGCTTGTTGATACAAACTCGAACCACTGGACAAGGTCATGGGTAAATTTGATAGATCTAGAATAATGGGTGATCCTAACTCCTCAGGTTGATTTACGGAAGCTTTCGTGGGAGTGGTTATTGTGGCTTCTGTGGGAGTGGTTATTGTTGCCCGATTTTCAACAACATGAGTAGTATCTGAAGTAATAAGGCTTTGTATATTACTATGTGGAGAAGATGAGGAAGATCTTTGATGCTGAGATATAGAACTCTTTTCTTGCTGAAAACTCACTCGAAAATTATGATCGTTCCAATGACTAGTATTATTATTGCTACTACTGATACCTGTGGGTATCACAGGAGGGTGAGAGTGATGAGAAGGAGTGTTTTCCGATATGACATTGGAATCAATGGAAGCACGAGAAGATGAAGTTTGGTTTCCCATCACTCTTTCCTGAGAAGATGCAGTTTGAGAGTAGAGCTCCTCTTGTAATAAGAGTAAGGCTGCACTCTTCGGAACGTTATTGGGTGATATGGGATCATAGTGCTGTTGTTTAGGGAATGATTGAATCTTAGTTGAAGATGGATGAAGACAGTTTTTTGTTGATTGTAAAGGCTTGGAAGAAGAGTTTGAAGAAAAAATTAAGGCTTGACGGGAGGTTGGAATTGATGAAATGCTGGGAACGCTCCCGTACGAATCTTCATGATGGATTAGTAAGGGCGAGTCTCTGATGAAAGGAGTAGAATTACGACCTAGAGCATGAACATGTAATGGACTTTGCATGCTTGAAATTTCCAGAGGTTTAAATGATGCTGGTGTTTCTGTATTTGCCTCGGAGGATGTGAGGTTTTGCGAATCCTTGCTCTCGTTAAGCTGATGCAGTTCCGATTTTACTTGACGATGATCGTTATTAATACCAAAAGAAGCAAACGAAGAATTATTACTATCACCAAATGCATGCATAAATCCTTGAGAGAATGCATTTGGCCTCCTAATTGATGAAGATGATATAAATGCATGATCAGGTTGATATCTAGTATTTCTTCTCTCCGACTGTGTGAATGCAGATGGAAATATATTTTGCACATTAATTTGAGGTCCTAAATCTAATTCAATCGAAGGCTCCATTACTACTATTTGTGATTGAGCATGTTGTAGAGTATGATCATACGTTTCATTGCATGGTACAGCGTTCATGTATTCCTCTCCTTCCATACCACATGTAGGAGAGTATTTTCTCTTTTGTGATGTTGTATTTCCTTTTTGAATGAAAGTCATGGATGTTGATGGTAGTTGAAGCGTGGAATGCCCTGAAGAACGTTGCTGATGCATGATGGTGTTCTCTGGGATATGATGTTCAAGTAGTGGTGGTAAGAGCTGAAGTGTACATGCATCTCGACCATGTCCCATCCCAAGTACATGATGACCACCAACTGATTCAAATCGTTGAGAAGGGACTGTGCTTGATTGATTCTGCTCAAGATTAGGATAGAACGAAGAAGATGGATGTTGTTGTTGAGGTTCAAGTGGTACAGGGCCTGAATTCCACAAACGAACCTGATTAGAGGCATGTAAATGATCTTGCCTCACAAATTGTTCCCTGCTTCCATGTTGATGCTGAAGAGATAGGCCATGTCTAAGAGGCGGCAATTGTGTTTCATCGTCATCACATGTATTTCTACGCTTTTGCATCTAACTGACGTTGCGTAATAATTGCGAGTAATAACAAGGTGAAACGAATGTTTGAAGTTGTTTTTTCAATTTTAACTGCTTGGGAAAGTGTGTTGTTTTCAACGTAGTTATGTTTTAGGACTGGCAAAATCTGCCATGGCTCTGCACAAGAGAGAAATGTGTTGGGATTTGATTAGAAGCGGTCTCTGAGAGCACCGGTGCTGTGTGTGAAATTTCAAACAGTTGATTTTTCAAAAAGGCTATTTGTTGAAAATGTTGAAGTTAATTCGTGTAATCCGGCATGTGATGCGCATAATCTCCCAAATTACCTACCAACTTAATTCTTAAAAAGGATGAGTGCTTTCGTGTAGAATTGAGTCTGGTAGCCCATAGGCACCTCTAATTTGGAGTTTTGTACAAAGAAAGAGTAGTGTAGGAATAAAGTGAAAACTTGCAAGCTTTTTACCTTTCTGTGCAGAGAGGTTTTGGATGGTGGGTGAGAGAGTCAGTTTTTGCACTTGATGAAATATTGCATGAACCAAACAAGTTGCTTAGTTTTTTTAGCCACCAAGTGCCGAAGAAGATGTGCAACGTCACCCGAGCTATGTCGATCTTACGTCGCACAATCCTGAACGGGTAACATTTATGACGGCATAATGGGAATGTGTTGCCCGAGATAAACTCAACAATTCACCAGTCACTCCTCTTCCAGCTTCTGTGCAACTCTCAGTTTGCTTTTCTGCATTTACGATAACAATATAACACAGCAGAAAAGTCTTTGTTGTTGGGGAAATGTAAAGCGTTGTGGTTTTTTGTAAGTTAAATAAAGATCAATAAAAAGAAATGTAATCGGGTGTGGTATAGTGGTAGCATTCCAGACTGTCACTCTGGCGACCCGGGTTCAATTCCCGGCACTCGAGTAAAATTTTTTTGCCTTATCTCAACAGCTGTGATTGTTATCAAGCTGGTTGGATTGTTTTAGAGTGTCGTGAACTTTGTTTGTGAAAGTTACATTGTTTTTTACTACACCAATTACTTTTATTGTTAACTTGTTCTTACACAACTTAACGAAGGTACAAAGCAGATGGCGAAAGAGGATTGCCTGATGATCGAGCTCCGGACAACTTTCTATTGGTCGAATTCTTTTCAGAGCTTGTAGGTGTGGAGAGTGCATTGTTGCTTTGTTTTCGATTGACACCCAGCACTTGTTGCGTGATGTCTTTGAGAGGATTTCTTTGGAGGTGAGGATTATTTGAAGATTTACTCTTCACAGAATGAAGTGGTTGTAGTACAGGATAGACTCGACCAGTCATGGGATCAATATTTTCCTTATTGTCTCCAAAGGAGAGAAGCGAGGAATGTACATTCAAATCAATAAAACCGAAAGTGGCTTCTTGTTTTGTATGGGATGTGTTCAATAAATGGTGGGATTTGGAAGAAACGGAAATGTTTGTTGGCATCATCTTGTTGTTGCCAGAAGCAGAGGAAGAAGAAAACCGAGAGGAAGAACCATAGAGAATGGTTTTTTGATGAAAATGACGATACGATTCAGGATGGACAGGCTCATCATCCACATTGCAATCCATATGATGAACACATGAGGATGGATCTAGAGTAGCAACATTGCTTGCTCCATCGTTCAAATCTTCATAAATGGAATAGGAAGGCATATCCGAAGAGCTGCTCTGTTGTGTGTGGGAAGAAAGGTTTTTTTTGATTTTAGTGTTGTTGGGGACTGACACCCGCGCTAAAGGACCGTTACATATTTTTGAATTGGCAGGTTGTTTAAGGACTTGTAACATCTTTGAACTTGTACAGATTGACTGAGAAGATGCAACAAGAATGGAGGTGAAAGATATTTGCTACAGCGTTCAAGGTGAAAGGCTAGTTTTTTTTTCTCTTTAACATCTCTCTATAAATCAACACCTGTTTCAGTTGTGCTTACAGTGGGGATTTGACAATATTGACCGTTTGTCTCTCTTGATTGTTGTGTTCTCATGTAACTACAAAAGTAGATCCAAAGCGGTTTTTGTTCATTTTGTTACAACCGTTTCAAAAGACAATGTTTCTTATGGTTGGAGAGAAATTTGGCGAGATGGATCGAGAATGGATGAGTGGAAAACCATTCTCTCAATACAATGGTTCAAAACGACATAGGTTTTTTGTTCCAAGTTTTCAACTCTGAGAGAGATCGTTAAAAACATGGCGTTGATCTGCCAGAACATTTGCTTCTTCATTCACCCATCTTAAATTATTGAACATACTTGCAAACCTCAATAAAAGTAATCTCATCAAGCTAAATGTCTCTATCGTTTTGAACCAAGCTTCTCAGAGCCGTCTGAATGGCAATTCTTTTATCTTCATTTGATAAAACAGCTGAGAAATAAACCAGTTCTTTCAACTTGTTGGCAAAGTCGTCAAGAGTAGCAGTTTGAGGCGAAGAGGCCATTTCCATTTGCTGTTGACTCAATGTTTGCAACTTTTCTCTCTTTCTATCGATTAGTCTCTGTAACTTTTTACGTTTCTTACTCTCAATCATTCTTTGTGAATTCTTTCGACGAGCGGATGTTGTAAATGGAGCACTGTGAATAATGCAAAAAGGTCGATCGTTTGAGTGGTCGTCGTTACGCATTGGTGGATAATCCTCTGGAAAGTAATATCTTAATTGAAGACAAAATGGTCTATGCTTGTAATGAAAGGAAACAACATCCACATTGAATTTGGTTCTATTTTCCATGACTGAGTCTGTATCTTCTCGTTGAGAAATGGGCTTTATCAACTCGAGCCCTTTAGTGTCTCCAGAAATCACCTCTTTTGATGAACCTCCTTGTTTTTCTGGTATCAAGTTTGCAGGGATTGGTTTCTGATTCACTTCTGGAATGGGAATAATTTTCACAACCTCTTCTCCCGTGTCGTGAAATGCTAACTTGACATCGGCAATAACTTTCTCATACTTTTTGCGAATGTTCTCATGAAATAACACAGATTGATAGAATTGATAGACCAATGATGTATATAAATGATCGGGAACATAGGGAGTTGGATCATCACTTCGTGTCTGTAAGATGTAAGTAAATTCTAGTATTGGCGATTCATCAGAGTCAAGTAATTCTGATAGTTTTTCATGCTTTGTCATTCCAATAAATATATTATGATGATCATCCTCATTCGTCATTGGTTGATGGTCGTGTACAATAATTGGCTGTTCATGATCATGATTTTGTTCCTTGTTAAAGGCATTTGTATTTACATTATTTGGCGAGGTGGTAGGAATTTTTGATGAATCCATATTATTTCCATGAATATAAGTTGATGATTCTGGTATCGGTTGTGGTTTTTTAGGAACTGATGGATAAACAATTTTCCATTCTCGAAGATCAATATTATCTTCTTTTAATTCTTCTTCATATTCTTCATCTTCCTCTTCATCGGATGCATCTTCCTCATCTCCAACTTCTTCATTGTCCGATACAGTACTGCTTTGAGAGTTTTCATCTCCTCCATCACTGCATTGATTATTCCCAATATCGGGATACAAATGACGATAGTGATGCAAAGATGAATCATTAGGAAAGCGATCATCATTAAAATTAAAATGATCCAGAGAAGATGGAGCAACATGGTGCATGATCAACCTTGCCAATCCTCCCTCTCCAATTTCCACAACTTCGTCATCCTGCTGCGAGCAAGCTGTTGAATCTTGGTTTCCTACGGAATTGGACATTTTTTGTGAAGTTTCCCCAGGGTTCCCCACATTCTTTTGGGATGGTTATTACATTGGCTAGGTAGTGATCTTTCTATTTGTGTGTTCTGTATAAAGTAACTGTTTATTAATTAATAGGAAGCATTGAAGCTACACCACAACTTGGCAGATATGCCAAAATTTCTAAACCAAGATATTTTACAATTTAAGGAGCCCACAACAATAAACAACAAACATCAAGAGAAGATATTCCATGCTGTGGAATAATTTCTACTGCTCCCAATGAAACATTTGTGAATACGCATGGGAAAGCAATATTACAAATTTCGAGTTGATATATGAGTTTCCAAGAGTGATCGAAATAATTTCAAATGCAGTGGGGATGGTGTTTGGTGCGATTAATTATTTGCGGAGTAAGGGTAGTTGAAACCCTATTTTTGCCTCGATTCACTCGTCGAAGTTGCGTCACAAACGATCCTTCGATCTGACTCATATCCACACAAACAAGTCGAAGATAAATCGATTTCTCAAAATTCCTACATAGTGCGCAGTTGGCATGATAGTGTTCAAGATTTTTGTTTGCTGGAGCAGCTTATAACGTGCTTCATTCAATACCAACCTCACTCTGGATATAGTAGTCTTCTATTCCTGACGTCAACACTGTTGTTCCTTTTAGAGTTTTGGACTTAAACATTGTATTTGGTTGTCAGATCTGCCAGTTTGTGGGGAACCCTGAGTTTCCCCTCGGTGTGTGATGAATGTTTCCAAAGTTTATCGCAAACGGTCACATGCCGAGTTACCATTGGGTTGCTATCTTGGGATAGTGGCTTACGCCACATACTTCCCGGGGTGCCGTGCGAGGGAGTTTAAGGAGGTGATCCAGAGGGTGATTGAGACGGCCAGCAAGGAAGGGAGAGTAAGGGATTCACATGGACTGATGAGGGCTGTTATTTCTCAGGGTGAGAATTCCTAATCTTGCGATGATGTGGCTTAATGCAGCAATCGAAAAGCTCGTTGAGCTCTATCCACACCAACTTGCTACCTGTTCCATTGGGACTAACCAGAGATCTGGTGTCTAAATAAAGCTCGATGTGAATGGTTTAATGTTAACACAGCTCAACACTTCTTGCTATGGAATAGTTTACACAACAATTTCTTCACACAACCAGCATAATTAGAGTCCTCCTTTTGCAGATACTACGCCTTGAAACGATTGTTCAAAGACATAGGTTGACTTTATGAACAAATGATGATGATGACCGTCATTTCTAAGGACATACGACCTCCTTAAAATCGGTATCGGCTTTCTTTGGCTCATCACTCTCAAATCCTTTCCTCGGTACCGCTGAAGGAACACGGAGCGGAAATCGGTACTGAGCTACCGTCCAATTCCTCCGTGAATGCCAAGGCAAATATAAATATAATTCTGAATCGCTTGTTGCTTCAATGAATTGAAAAACAAAATAGCACAATTTCAATATTGACACAACTCGTTTTAAAATCAACATGTCTACCACCACAACATCTACTACCACTTCACCTGTTACAGCCATTGGTATTGATCTCGGTACCACTTATTCGTGTGTAGGAATCTATCAAGGAGATGGAGTTGAAATCATTCCAAACGAGCAAGGTAACAGAACCACTCCATCCTATGTGGCCTTTACTGAAGAAGAGCGTTTGATTGGAGATTCAGCAAAGAACCAAGTAGCCATGAATCCACATAACACAGTTTTCGATGCCAAGCGTTTGATAGGTCGAAGTATGGATGATCCTGCCGTGCAGCAAGATATACAACACTGGCCTTTCAAAGTTGTTTCCAAAGGATCAGATCACAAACCTCATGTTCAAGTTGATTTCAAAGGAGCAACCCATGTCTTTTCACCTGAGCAAATTTCAAGCATGGTATTGTCTAAACTTCGTGCCAATGCTGAGAGTTATATGGGAAAAACCATTACCAAAGCTGTTGTGACTGTACCAGCGTACTTTAACGATGCCCAACGTCAAGCCACCAAAGATGCTGGTACTATTGCAGGTCTTGAGGTGTTAAGAATTTTGAATGAACCAACTGCTGCAGCTCTTGCTTATGGACTCAATAAGAAGGGAGAACGAAATGTACTCATTTTCGATTTGGGAGGTGGTACTTTTGATGTTTCCATCCTGAATATTGATGATGGTGTTTTTGACGTCTTGTCAACATCTGGAGATACACATTTGGGCGGAGAAGACTTTGATTCGCGACTTGTGGACTATTGTTGTGAACAATTCATGAGAAAGCACAAGAAGGATATCAAAGAAAATCCAAGAGCTTTGAGAAGATTGAGGACAGCATGTGAAAGAGCAAAGAGATGTCTATCTGCTTCTGAAAACGCCAATGTCAATGTTGATGCCATCATGGAAGGTATTGATTTGGACTTGACTCTCACTCGTGCCAAATTTGAGCAATTGAATATGGATCTCTTCAGAAAGTGTTTCGAACCCTTAAAGAAAGTCATTCAAGATTCTGGTTTGGACAAGTCCAAAATTGATGATATTGTTTTGGTTGGAGGTTCCACTCGAATTCCAAAAGTTCAAGAAATGCTACGAGAATTCTTCAATGGAAAGGAATTGTGTCGATCCATTAATCCAGATGAAGCCGTTGCATATGGAGCTGCCATTCAAGCTGCTGCCATTACTGGTATGGACACCAAGCACGTTCTCATTGATGTCGCTCCGTTAAGTCTTGGAATTGAAACTGCTGGTGGAGTCATGACCAAGATCATTGATAGAAATTCCAAGATTCCATGTAAAAAGAGTGATACATTCACAACCTATGCCGATAACCAAACAGCAGTCACCATTAAGGTCTTTGAAGGAGAAAGAGCCATGACCAGTGACAACCACTTGTTGGGTGTGTTCAACCTCGAAGGAATTCCACCAGCATTGCGTGGCACTCCAAAGATTGAAGTGAACTTTGAAGTGAATGTTGATGGAATCTTGACTGTTTCTGCTCGAGACATAGCACGTGGAGAATCAAAAAGTATTACCATTAATCAGGATAAAGGTCGTCTGAGTGCTGAAGAAATCTTGGAAAATATTCGTCTCTCAGAGGAAATGAAACAGCACGATGAAATGATTAAGCAAAGGGTTGAGGCCAAGAACCAATTGGAAACTTATGTCTATCAATTGAGATCGACCATACATGATCCGAATATTTCTGCCAAATTGAGTAGTACTGATAAGGACACAATCTCAAAAGCATGCCAGCAAGTGGATGAATGGATGGATCACCATGCCAATGCCACCAAGGAAGAATTGGAGACAAAGAGACAAGAACTGGAGAGAAATTGTGCTCCAATTCTTTCCAAGTTGTATGCTCAACAACCGCAACAAACCAATGGTGGCGGCTTTTCTCCATCAGGTCACGACAGTTCGGCTAATGTAAAACCTACCTTTGAAGATGTTGATATTGATGAGTAAAATTAATCAAAATGGATACACTATGCGCGATTTCCATGTAAATACATTCCAATAAAAAGTGAATAAAAGAGCAAGTTGATTGGTTTTGCATCAGTCGTCACTTCCCATCATAAAGGAACATGTTCTCATAATAGCTTGCAATTTTGTAAATTTAGAATAATAATTTGTTCGCTTACTCACAAATCAGCAGCAAGAAAATGACTTCAATCAAACACCAAGTGATTCTTCTGAACGGTGAGATGGCGTCAGGCAAAAGCACTACCTTGCAGTTCCTTGTCAGAGAATTGCAACCACATTCAAGCAGTGGTGATGCCATGAAAACTAAAACGATCATTGATGTGGTCGGATTCATTCAACCTGCTGTTTTTGCTTGGGACAAGAAGGAAACAGCAACCACTGGTTCCGATCAAAGTACTACTCCAACGTCGTCTCTTGTGATGAATGAAACTCATAGAAAAGCCATTGAAATTCATTTCATTAATTCAACCACTAGTGAAGGCTCACAAATATTCACATTGGCCACACTCAATCCAGAATTCAACTCTCTTGATCAACAACCTTCATCGAGCATGATTAAAGTGATGGAAGAAAATATTAAATCCAAACGTCCCCAGCAACCAAGATGGTTGTTTAAAGTAAGTGTATAGATTTTTAAAACTTCATATGATAACCATGATTCATGACTCTTGATGCTACAATTGTATTAAATTAGAATGAGGTATTTGAAAAGATAAAAACTCTAATGTTGTCGAGTATGGAACATTTGACAAATCAAAATGATGAGAGAAAGATCGTGGTCATTATTGACGAATTGGGATGGCTAGAAATGGAAGGAAAAGGGTAAGTGAAAAAAACTATTTCATCATTGTTGAAATGTTTTGAAAATATTTGAATTTTGATGATTCTTAATGTCATTTCATGCATACTCAAAAAAGACATTGGCCAACTGTGGAGTCTATCCTCTCTCAATTTGGAAAATTAAAGGATATTATTTGGATCTTTACAGTGAGAAGCACTTTGCGAGATGACCACACCCTACGCATGAAGGAAACATTCCGTCAATGTGCCAACATTTCCGATAATGAGCTGGACTTGCACATCTTGGAATTGAAAAAATCAAATCCAACTCAAGAAAAGGCAGATAATTTCGATCAAGTGTTAGAGCAAATATTGGAATGCATCAAGAGAGAGTAAACAAACAACCGGAAAGCCAAACAATTTTTTTTTGTAAAGTCTGAAAAAATATTAGTCAACAATGCGCGCCTGGCCAAGTGTAGGTTGAGAGTGAACGCTCGTTTTTCTGATGATGATTGTTTGCGATGATGATTCCAATGACGATTCAAACATACGCTTTTCCTTTGATGACATTACGCTTTCGGGTTTGCTGTTATTTATCGTGTATTTATTCTAGTTCTTTTTAGCTACCATGTTCCTTGCTGGAGTCGTCCACGGAAAGGACAAGCAAGCTTCCTTGTATAGATTAGCAAATGCAAGAGCCAAGCAAGAAGAGGAATTAGTTGAATCTTATGTGAAGCAATTGATTGAAGAAGATGAAAAGAAGGCTGCTGCTGGTATGTTTATGATGATGGTGATGATATCGCTGCAACGGACCATTACTATGATTACATTATGAAATTAATACCATCCCTACTTTGCTTTAATTATCGTAATAATGACTTCAATTAATCATTTTAATATTCTCGGCTCTCATTCATTGGAATTCATCAAAACCCGACTTTCGAAATTGTGATTGGATACTATTTTATTGTGTGGATAATTCTTGTTGGTTCATGTTGAAACAATAATCAAACATCCTCTGTCAACAATTATAACAACAACACACTATACTCGATTGTTTGTGTGATACCCAATTTGATTTTATATTTATTTGATGAACAACACCTACCTTTACAGAAAGGGGAGAAGATGTGTCATTATACAATGTTCCACCAGGATTGCGTCAAATTGCCAAGACAATCAAGCAACAAAGATCCAAGAATGCTCCAGCTCAACATTAAGCAGATATTACTTGATTGGATCGTGTTTTGTTGTGGGATTTTGTACATAGGACTCCTTTCAACATTAAAAACGTTTAATTATTACAATAACAGTATTGGCCTATTTCAATAAACTTTGGTGGTATTATTCACAAAAAAGTTTGTCACCTTACTAGAGGCAAGCACAGGTTTGACATGTATGCAAACCAAGCTTGGATGTGCTGTTGGTAAATAACTTAAAAACATTATTTGATACCTCAATTATTATAACTCAATGGACAACCATTGGCATCTTTCATGGCTCCTGTCATTATCGTGATCAAATCGAATAGCCACAGGCTTAGCTGAATGCAACTCGTGAAAACAACCAAAGTGTTGAAAATTAGCCACCAAATTTTCCTTCTAGTTGGTAATTTTTGTGGGTCAACTAATTGCAACGAATAGCATGATCGCCAAACGGTCATTACCATCACTACTAATCCAATAAATAATTTTACAACTCCACTCAATGCATATCCCAGATACATTCGATCAATTCCGAATCCTCCAAGGGCCAGAGAAAGAATACTCGCCACAATCCATGATAATTGTTTTCCAGCACAAAATTCCGGTATTGGAGCAGGAATACTGGTTGAAGAGGTTAATAGATCGGAAGGATCCCCATAGAAATAATTGATAATTTCTTCCTGTTGACCATCATTCGTAGTTACTAATATCGCTGAATTTAATTGATTATTGGCATTACTAGAGGAGTGGGCCCATACAATGGAATTTAAAAATTGAATATATAATGTCATGCTGATGACCACGATTGATGAAACCATCATCCAATTCCGAAAGGTAAATACTCTCTTTCTTGATTGCAACATTTTTTTATTTGATGAACCCAAATTTAGAAAGCTAAAAGAAAGTGAAAGGCAACAAATAAATAAAGTAATCCTTAAAGTTTGGACCAGTATTTCCATTCCATTAACAAAAGTTTTATTGATGAAAAAAGGAATTGGTATGAAGGCCAATGGAAATGAAAGGGATGCACGACAACAAGCAAAAAGTCGTAATTGAACTTCATCGATGCGAGGTTGTAAGTTCAATTAAACACTTTCTACGATGCAAGACCTTAAAAAGACCTCTCAGCGCACGTGTTGGAAGGAATCAAAAAAAAAGACTTCAAAAACCATTCATTCATTGGTGAACAAACTCCAAGTGGGAATCTCTCCAAATAAACAGAGATTAATGACTCATAAAGAATCATTCTTGGAAAGGTGTGCACAGTACATTCTCTCTCCGGTTGAATCTATTGATCGTTTACCAAGCTTTAATATCAACTCTACCATCGGAAAGGTTATAATTCTCGTTTCTATTTCCATTGGATCACTCTCCTTAATTTCTAAATTATACATTCCTATTATGAGTTATTTCATGAACCGAAAAACCAAAAGAAAGGAAGTGCAACCCGAATCAAGCTCAAGCATGAACTCACCCTTCAAAAACAAACCATCCGAGTGTCTTTCTCAATTGAATATGAGAGAGTTTTGGTATCCTGTATGCTTTTCGGAACAAGTCTCCCTCAAAGATCCAAAACCCTACTCTTTCAAACTACTAGGAGAACCTTTGATACTGTTTCGAGTGGAGGACGGTTCGGTGGAATGTTGCTTGGATTTATGTCCACATCGATCAGCGAAACTCTCCACTGGAGTTGTCAATGAATTTGAGGGAAAGCGTTCTGTTGAATGTGCCTATCATGGATGGCGTTTTGGTAAGAATGGAGAATGCCATCGAATTTCCTCTGTCGAATCATCTCGCATGCAAGGAGTATGTAGCACAGTGAAAGCACAAACAAGGAGCACGTATGAATTTGCTGGAATGATATGGGTATGGCCAAGCACAGTTTCAAAAGCAAATCCTGACTTGATTCCAAGAGAGCTATTTCGTGAAGAGTTTTTGGAAGGAAGCGAGAAACCCTATGTCATGCTTCAACGAAACAGGGATATTCCTTGTCACTATTCACTCGTGATTGACAATTTATTGGATATGTGTCATCTGGATTTTACGCATGATGGATCTCTAGGTAATCGGACGAAGGCAACTCAGATTAAGGCAGAATTAGTGGTGTCCCATCAGGTTCCAATGCAAGATGCCAAACGAGGTAATCTTCCTTCTGAAATGAATTGGGATCGAACCATTCACGAAGGTTCGTTCATGTATCGTGTCACAAAACCAGAGTTTCAACAAGTGGGATTGAAGAAAGATTTTGCCAATTTAACAAGTTTCATTCCACCATGTTTTGTTCGGCTCGACAACACTGACTATGTTGGTAGCATTAATTCTTCGAACCATACTGGAGAGAAGAGTAGGGAAGGACCTAAACTCACTCAAGTGTTTTGCATGATTCCGACCGAGGAGAACAAACATCGAGTGCTCATTCGATTTTATTCCACAATTCCAGTCTTGAACTACCTGAACAAAATTCCATTCGTTTATAATAGGCTTGTTAAAAAGGCAGATCAAATATTGGATGAGGATTTAGAGTTGTTGTTTGGTATTCAGGAAAACATCACCAAGCATGGAGCCAAGATCTACAATCGAATTATGAATGCTGACAGTTGCATCAAATCCTATCGAGACTGGGAAAAGAAGATGCTTCATCATAACGAGAACATGTGGTTTCAGGGGTTTGATCAAATAGACATGGAGGATTTGGCCTAAAGGCACTTGTCACAGTTTGTTTGTGGTTGATGTTTCCAAAGCCGTGCATCTAATTATCAATTAGATTGGACATCAACGCTCTTTTGTCGCACTTTTGAAAAGTCTCCTGTTGAGCCAAGCTCTAACGTTTTGCAGTAAAATATTCAAATTAAAAATGTTGTTTTCAAGAAGTGATAACTCACTCGTCCATGATGTCCAGTCCGAGAATCAACTGAACGCCACATTGCCGATGAAAGCTACGACTGATTTTGATCATCAGGAAATCAATAACGTTAATGATTCTATGAATGCTAGTATTGCTGCAACGGGAGTTGACTTTCATCCGATTGCTTGTCTTCAATGTGAGTAGATGCGGGATGATGAAATAATTTAGAAATTATAAACATGATGATCATATAATTTTTATGAAATGTCGAATGATGAAATCGAATATCTCGTACAAACATCAAATTATGATGAACATGTTTATAAAGGCCGACAATTACACAAGAAGGTAAGCCCCAAAGAGAGGATAATTACGTTTTTAATTTTAAAATTCATTGCAAATTATTGTCATCGTTAGTGTGATAAACAAATGCCAGCGTGTAGTACCTGTATCCGAAAAGGATTGGAATGTACAGTATGTATTTCCTAAACAGATATTATTTATTCCCACTTCAACATTTTTCATGATTCTATCTGTCATGATCTATTTGCTCGTGTGTGTCATCAACGATGGTATGGCTTCAATTCTCATTGTCACACATATCACAGTATAATATACCTAAAAAACGAGGAAAAGGTTCCGAAGCTTACCCCACCAAAACGAATCAAGAAAAACGAACAAAAAAGAGAAAAGAAAACAATAATGCGGATGTGACAACAACAGCTAGTACCATACAGCCCATTCAAAATAATGCGTCCTCTACTCCCGTCTCTGCTAAAAATTCAATAAGCAACAGCACTCCTAGTTCTTTACTTAAAGTTGGACAAATTTCACAACAAGAAAACTCTCCATTACAGGTCATTGATTATTATTTCTGCTTTCTTTGTCAAGGACATCCTTTAATACCCAAGGCTCAGATTCAGCAATTTGTACGAAACGTGTTACCAGAACTTGAAAAATCAATGCAACGAAAACCACTCGAATTTGAACAAATTCATCCCAAAGATGAAGAAAAAAGATGTCTCTATGCATTTTATTTAGCCACACTTACATGTTATTATCAATTCACAGCTCAGCTTTCTCTATCCGATGAAACATCAAAAAGAGCGGAAAGAGAAATTGCCAAGTTATCAATTGATTTCTACAGAAATTTTCTTTTTGCTGGAGCATGTCATCAAATGTCAATTTACTACACAGGAGAGGGAAACATGCACCGAGCTAGATATTTCCTAAGTCTAACGAATTATTATCTTTCGGAAAATAAGAAGCGAGAATTAACTCCTCTTGAAAGAAATTTGAAAAAACATCGAGTATTCATTTCATCCGATGTTGACAGCTCAAGTATGGATACTGTGGGAAGCTTTGGATTTTTCCTTGAAAAGATGCCTTATTTGTTTGAACTTTCGTCAGACAAAAAGTTGGAAGATGCATTACCTCCAGGTGCTCTCGAATACGTTAAAGAAGAAAATGTCACGTCCGATAATTACTTAATCTACATGCAAATTATTGAACTTGTTTTTAATGCAATCAAATCCTATAAGGTTGAATTAATTCGTAACATGGTGGATTGCCATTCAGAGCAGTTCTTTAAAGGCCAACATTTACATGGAGCATTGATTGTCGAAGGAATCAAATTTGTATTCCTTTCGAAAATTCCAGAAATTGCTAAAAATTTAATGGAAGAAATAGCTCTCAAAATATCACTCATGTCTGAACATGAACTCTTTCAGTAAGTAATTAATATATGCAATGATTTACATTTCTCATTTCTTTTTAATATGAATCATCATTCAACCATCTATTCTTCAACCATATCATTTGTCATGATTTTCTCGTAAAATCCAATTCATCCAATGTAATTAATACCATCCATATCATTGACACAAATGATGAAAAATGACATCAAATATTCCTCTTTCACACAGATTTGCAAATCTAGGAGTCTCTGGAAGTATCATGAACGTTTCAGCCTATCATTTAGAAATTTGCAAACTCATCGAAAGTGGTCGACGTCCAAGAAAATCCACTCTCACCACAACCTCTCAAAAAACACTCCTTCTCGACTACTTTGCCATTCTCAAAAAAGATTACAAGGCATTATCCTTATTGACACGAAAATATCGACGTCTTTCTACCAAATGTCAACCTCTCTTAGAAGAAATGGAACACTTTTTATTGAACTATGATCTCAATGATGAATCTCAATCCACCACTTCTTCATCTAGTTCAACCACGACCAATCCTTCCACATCAACCACGAGTAGTAATAGTAATAGTCATAATAATAGTAGCAGCAGTGGTTCTTCATCTTTTGCTTTTTCAACAGCAGCTAATGCTTTTTCAACACCAATGAATACAAATAATAATAATACTACTACCACAACGAATACTATTGCTACGAATGATACTACTCCGTATTCCTATCCTTATCGTGTCATGATGGCCAATCCTTCCATGAATCATTCATCATCCTATCATCACGACATGATGAAATCTTCAAGCATGGAAAGTCGATACTATGATGCATCTCCTCCACCTGTATATATGGAACCAACGACCATTACAGCTCATACTTTGGGAGTACCTTCTCAGAATAATGTGATTCTTAGTGCCTTATTACAATATGTGGAAAATATTGCAAAGAGCGTACGAGAGAATGCTCAAATAGCTAATGAAACGCCAATTGTCATTGATGCATCGGGAGTTATGAGCAGCAACACTCCACAAAGTGATGATAGCAGTCAAATGGATTCTTTCTCTGACTTTATGTTTTAAAAAGCTGTAAATGGTTCAACATGACATTTATTTTTACTTTTGAAATATGTATTGATTTATTGAAAAAAATATTTGTTGATCTTGACATAAACTCTTTCGAAAATGTTATTTGGTTTTGTCCTATCACGTAGTCTTTCGAATTTGATCGGAGCATTGTATCCTGCTTTTAAATCATTTCAAGCTTTAAAAAGTGCTGGTGAAGATGATGACAAACAATGGGTGAGTTTTGATGACGATCTATCATATTGACAGATGAATGATGATGATGCCGACAATTTATGGCGTGATGATGAAATATTGAAAATATTTGTTTGAATCTCATTCAATATCGAATAATAATAATTTTTCAATAATGACCAATGTGTAATGATGGATCATTTGAAATGAAATATATGAACCTGCTCATATTTTGGTCACACTCAACAGCTCACTTATTGGAGTGTCTATGCTTTTGTCATTACTTTTGAATGCTTTTTTGAATGGTTGATTTATTGGATTCCTTTCTATTTTGAAGCCAAGATTATTTTCTTGGTGTGGTTGATTTTCAATGTCAATACAAAATTCGGTAAGTGAGTTGTGGGAATCAGAATAATTTTTTGTGACAAAAAGGATGTCGAATGGTCACTGGAAATGAACAATAGGAGGAGCTCACTTTGTTTATTCGTGCTATATTGAACCATTCCTTGAAAGTAGAGAAAAAGTTATTGATGAAATTTTGAATCAAATGGGTCTATCGTTTTTGGATTTGTCATCAAAAAAGGTGACAACAACCGAGCAAACAACAGAATCAAATAAGGACAAGTAAAAAAGACACGAATTTTTGACTTGTGGCCACAAGTATTTTACCATTTCGTAATCTGAAAATTTCACAACAGTAAAACACAGACACAGTTTTAACCCAAACAATCGTTATCATTGTTTAATTGTAAATGGTTGCTTCAAGGAGAATGGGTTACAACTTGTAAAAATTAGAAGAGGCAGGACTTTTCACCTTGATAATACAGTCTTCATTAATCTCTTCCCAATTTTTCTGTGCCTGAACTGAAATTTTTGTTTGTAAAAACTCTCTTAAATGTGGGTTCTTATCAAATGGATTGGATGCATCAACGTGTGTAACGAGAAGATTCTTGAGTTCAAGTGCTAAATTCTTGTCTTGTTCTGACAGCATGGACATTTTGTCGATATTAATTTCCAAAATTCGAATATTTCCACGTCTTTTTGTGTGAACTTTGATGAAAACAATTCCATCGTTAAGAAGAGAAGAAATTTCTGGAGTCATGTTAATACTGGATGGAATGTGTGGTATGGAGGGAGTTGATGATTTTTTGTTGCTATTTGGTGGAGATGTATCATTAAGAGATTTCAAATTAGGAGAAGAGAGAGACGCAGTTGGGTTTGTGCTAAGTTTGGTTGAATCATTAGCGTTGGTGGCGCCGTTAGGATGTGACTTCTTTCCTAAAATCCAATTCTTAAATTTGTTGAGAGATTGAGAGTGGGCTTGCGTTGGTTGAGGCTTGAAAGGAGATTGGTCAAAGCTTAAATCACTTTCCACATCGGCTGCAGTTCCTACTGAGCTCTGTTGTGCAAAAAGAGCCGTGAATGATTTCTTCTTTTTCGAATTTCGTTCGTTCATGGAAGAGTTGTCGAAAGGATCCGAAGTTGATGATGGGAATGATGCTTTCACAGTAGGCTGCTTGTTGGGCGTCGGTGGTGGTGGCTGTTTTTTGTTGCTTGCATTGCCTCCAATCGCTACAGTTGCTCCATTAACAATAATGTTATCTTTTGCATTTTCTGGAATGTAAAAACCAAGCATTCGTTGAACCTTGTTTTTTCCTCTCAGATTCGAAACAGTATTTTCCTGTACGTGTTTTCGTAGAAGATAATTTTCAAACGAAGAGCTTTCCAAAAAGAGAGGAATAATGTGGTTCTTCAAACTAATATTCACTTCTGTAGTGACAATTTCGAAAATATTTGAAGAAATCCATTCTGACAATTGAAGTCGTCCATTCACACCCTTATTTCTTTCACAGGGCGTCAATAATGATTCCATTCTTTGTTGCATGTTATTTCTTGTCTCACTACTCAAGTTCAACTCTTGAATTGAACCAACCTTGATGTATTTCTCAAAAATTTTAGATGCTTTTTGAAGAGCAGTCTCGTACTCCATCAACAAGCTTGGAACATCATTCACAACAGCATTGATACATCCAAGTCTAAAGGATTCCTCCTCCTGTAGAAAGGTTACCAATTCTGTGTTGTGTATTTCAGTAAGAAATTGAAAGAATATTTCTTTAAGCTGCTCGTCAGCCATAATTGATGTAACAGTGTATGAAATTGCTTTTGACTTTCTTCTACCACCAGCGATTGATCGTTGTGAAGGCCTTCTCATTAGGAGAGGAGACCCAACTCCTCGTGGTGACTTGCCTGGACTCGAAACCAGACTTGCAGCATGTAGTGGGGAAAGAGCTAAATTCGTTGTGGTTGTTGAAGTACTGTTATTAGGGGACAAGTGAGAGACCAATTCTGACAACTCTTGTTTTGAATGAATTTCTGATAAAATTCGGCAAGTATCCTCAGAGGGAGCAGAACATGAACCAGATCTAGCACGTGAGAAGGATAATTTTAGCTCTGGGTTATTCCTCGTACTCACTCGCCTTCTTCTTTCGAGTATTTCATCCCCAAATTGAAGGTCTTCTTGTTCGCTGTGCTGCATAATGACGAGCGGTGACGTTGGACGATCATCGAGTGAAACCACAGTCCTCACAAAAGTAGGTTTAGAATCGTCATCATACTCTTCAAAATCTCCATACACGCATTCATCATCCTCGTCATCATATTCCTCAAAATCATGGAATGGGTCGTCATCATAGTCCTCTTCCTCATTCTCGTCCACTACTGCAACATCCGAAGCAGCATAGTCAGAGGAAGATGGCGAAGCATATGCATCACCGTTCAACAGTTTGTCAAAATTTCGTTGAATGGGACGCTGAGGGAACATGGCATCTCCATGACGATGAATAGCAACGATGGGAGAGTAGCAGGATGACGACGTAGAGAACTCGCTGTCATAGTCACACGAGTCATACAAACTCGAGGTGTGGTTGTTGATGTTGGCCATTCTTTTTTCTTGCGTGTCAATTTTCGCTGATCTCAAACACTTTTGGGTGTTGTCGGATGAATCGCTTGGAGGAGTCAAAGTCTCTTGCCTTACTGGATAACATCGAGAAGCATTGGCTGGTTGGTCTGAAATGCTACTTGACTGAGAAATTGCCCTAAAGTGTTCATCAAGCTGTGAAAAGTCAAACGTCTCATTTGGGTTTTCAGCATTGCTGCGAAAGATGGCTCTGGATCGTCTTTTGTCAAACATGGCCTTTTTCTTTTCTTCTGGGTCTAGCTCACTTTTGTTATTGCTTGCCATCCGTTCCTCTTCTTGTTTTAATAATTGAATGATCTTGTTGTTGTTTCTACCCAGTGTGTTGCTCTTGTGGTTTGGGATGTTATTGGAGTGTTCAACGTGTTCGCTGGAACTGTCTTGAGTGTTGTTGTTGGTTGAATTTAGAGTACATAAATTTGTTGAAAGAGACCGTGAGGTAGTATTAGTGGTGTTGTTACTACTAGCGGTCATGGAAGAAGGCAGTATTGGAGTTTGGGAAGTGAAATGTTGAGGAAGAGGAGGTCTAGAAAGGGATTTTGATTTGGAAACTTTTTGAACCAGTGGAATTTCTGAGGAGTTGCTGATACTTCGTATTCGGGTTGGTGGTGGTGAGGTGGTATTTGGAGAGGAAGGAGTGGTGATCACACCTTGTTGTTGTGGTGGTGTTTGGGATAAATTTGTAATGGATGAGCTTGTTAGAGTGGGTGATGTGGTGGTTGTATTGGAAATTTGATCATGATTGAACAAGTAGAAGTGATGGTTCATATTATGCGAGGAAGGCGATTGTGGTGATGTTGTTGTTGGAGAGGAGACTTGATGATGAATGACTTTGAATCGAGTCGTGCCAGTTCTGGATGAGAGAGTGGAAAACTTTCGTTGTTGAAGGCTAATAGATCCCGACTCGTGCGTTTTGTTAAGAATGGTTGAATGAGAGGATGGAGAAGATGATGCCGAGTCCAAGCCTGGAACCCTCTCGGAGGAAGATGGGGATGCTGCGGAAGCCACACATGTCGTGATCATCCTATATTAACTTATTCTTCTTTGATGAAAACAAAGAGAAATGATAGAACAATTTCAAGAAAGGAGAAGCAGCAGTCGTAGTAGAACACAAGAGAGAGCGTGTGCGTGCAACACTCTTTTCAAAAAGGTTTTTCAGAGGTGCGTATGTGTGGTCGATGATACACTGCTTGAAAGAGCTCTCAGTATAATGGGTCGTGGGTTTTTTTCTCTAGAAAAGTAAGGGTTTTAGCTGCGAAAAGAAATTGATGTGCTTGATGAAAAGTAATGTGTGCACAAGTATCTCTGGAGAAACATCGACAGATTTGGATCTAAATGAGAACCAAGTCGCCTGATTTTTCATTGCCATAATATAATATTCCCTCTTTTCTAATAGACTCCTTTCATTGTTCTCATCTCAAAATTGATCAATGCCAATAAATACCCAAAGAAAGCATTTACTATGTTATTAGTGCTTGTTGAAATTGAAAAGTTGAAAAAAAAATTTCCTTTTCCAATCAAGGGACATGAAATTGAGCATGTAAGCAATCAACAGGATTCGTTTCCTGTTGATTTTGAATGTGAACAGAATGAATAATAATAATATCGTATCAACTTCTATTGATACAACATGTCATTGAAACAACTCTCGCATTCGAATTGATTGAATTTTCATTTGGAAAAAATGTTTGAAGCAATCATGAAAGGATTGAATTCTGACCTGCACACACAGAAGGATCATCCCCATCATGAAGGAGCATTCCGAACCAATGCAGTGTTAGATATTTATGTTACCGTGGAATGTTCATTGAAGGAATTATATACGGGATGTATCAAGAGAAAAACATTTATTCGGAAAACGTTTGTAAATCATCAGAGTTTGGGAATGGTTGTTGAGAAGTGGGTAGAGATTCCGAGAGGAACAAAACATCATGCTCGGATAGTTTTTAAAGGAGAAGGAGAGTTTGATGATCGATGGTCTGAAAGTGGAGATTTGATTTTTGTGGTAGAGCAAAAGGTGAGCCCGAATGATGTGTTGGAGAGAGTTGGATTTGATCAGGAACATTTGAAAATGGTTCATAGAATTAGTTTAAAGGATAGTCTTACGTTGGAAGAGGTGAATATTGTTGTGGATATATTCGGCTTAAAGAAGTTAAATGTCAAAGTGGATAATAGAAATAATGTTATTTCACCACAGTATTATCATGTGTAAGTGTTTGAGAGCGTAAATTTATTCCGACGTTGAATTCAACAAATATTTAATATTTAATTGTAAAATATTAATACCTTGGTTTAAAAATTTGAATATTCATGACATGATGACAAAATTAACAACAATGATTTCATAAATTATTTAAACCTTCAAGCATTCACAATGAAGGAATGCCCATGGAAGATGGAACTTTTGGAGATTTAGTAATTTCTTTTAAAATTGAATTTCCTAAACTATCATCTGAGCAATGGCAACAAGTGATATCAATTTTGTCAAATGATGATAGTGTAGAAAATTCAGAACATCCTGCTGGCAAGAGCATGAACAGCAATTTATTCTCACACAACTCAAAGAAATCATGGAGTCAATATTTATTCAGCAAGAATTTATCCAGAGCTCAACAATATTTTTCATTCAAACATGACAGAAAGAGTAGCGATGAAAAATAATCAAAAGAAATGCCATCCTGAAAAACTATGCTCAAGTCCAACCCTGATTACTTGGATAATGAATAGATGAAATGTCAGAATGGAAAAAGAACCTACCATCAGTAGAAATTTTCATTGAGATTCAGCTCTCAAAAAATTTGTTCTATGAAAAAAGTTATGGTTTATTCAATATCATACAGGGAGAGGGGGGCGATTTTTGAAAGAGGTTCCTTGATTTCATCCAACTTGACAATCTTTAACAGCTTGTCATTGGACATGATTGCCTCAAACCCCTGCTTTCCAAAATTATTGTCGAGAAGAGACAATTCGAAAAGTGTAATCTTCTCAACTCTAGACAGCATAATTGCTCCTTCAATTCCTATATAATTGGCATTCAATTGCAATACTTCCAATCCAGAGCACAATAAACGACTATTACAAAAATGTTCCATTCCCTTATTGGAAATCTTATTGCTATTCATTTTAAGCGACTTCAAGTAGGGCATGTTAAATTTAGAAATAGCACTCGCTCCAACAACTCCAATTCTGCAATTAGAAATATCCAAATGCTTGAGTGAATGAAGAGATGGACTCTTGGTCATTAATTGAATACCAGCATCTCCAATTTCTGTACTCGAAATGTCCAATCTCTCTAAATAATCCCACTTGGGTATTGCTTGAAAAATATTTTGTGTGAACCTGTTCATGGACAAGATCAACGTTTTCAAATGAATAAGGTTCTGACTTGACGAAAACATTTTTTCATATTCTTTGGATTCATAGGACGGAGTTTGTGAGAAGCATGAAGACATGTCAAGATGTGTTAATTGTGTCAGGTATGGACTCGATGCCAAATATGAAAGAACTATAGCATGTGGGCCAAGATCAATACGTCTCAAACTAAGATGTGTTAAATTTTTACATTTTTCACTGGCACACATTGCCTTAATGCCTTCATTGCCAACTCCACTTGCATCCAGTACCAACCTTTTCAATTGATCCAAACATGACTTGTCTGAAAATAAAATCCTCACTCCTGTGTCCATAATAAACGTTTGTTCAAAATTTAAACTTGTAATATTCTTCATGGATGCACTCGTGATCAAATCCTCCATATTTGTTGTTTCATTCGAGGTGATACCATAGGAATGGAATTTAAATTCCAATTCCTGTAATTCGGTCAGTACGGAACTCTTTCCAATTATTGACAATGCCAATGAATCGGTTCGGAAAAAACCAGAACGTCCTCCATTCATGACTAACCGTCTCAACCGTTTCATGTTGGGACAATGGACAATGCACTTTACATCTTCATCTTTACCAATGATCCAAAACGGAAGTTGAATGTCTACAAATCGATCGGCATAACGATTTTCTAAACATCTCTTGTTGTTGAATGTACGGTTTGCATCACCCGACCAAAACAATGAAAAATCTACTCCGTAGAGATCAATATCTTTCAATGATCTTCTAAATTGTTTACAAATCAGGGAACACACTTGAATGTTGAAAAAAGGAGGTAAATATTCTAAAATATGACCAATAATTTCGGACGGGAGCCATGTCCAAGTTTGTTCCGAAAGATCTTCCGAATCCAAATAATCTAATGAATGATCAATAGCTGATGATTTGCTAGTACGGGATGATGATTCTGAAAATAGTGATTTCAATGTTTTCAAAATCATTTTCCTAAAACATGACGTAACAATCTCTCCTCGTCCAAACGATGAAGAAGTGTGCAATCAAATTGAAGGCGTGTGGGCAAGTTCAGAGTTCTCGCTGACAAATTTTTTTCACTCAAAATTTCGAATCAATTGTACGAACTATTTAAATATTTGAATGAGAAAGTTGGCGCAATCCACAACATAGAGCAAACCAGTCCTCTCATCCAGACACAATCCAGTGGGTGATGCATGCCTTTTAACGTCTTTTCCTTTCACATCCACTCTTTTCACAAATTCTCCTTTTTCAGTAAAAACAACAAGAATACAACCCTTAGCTTGTTGTTGTTGTTCACATACCAAAACATGTCTTGACACCGAGTCAAATACCATTCCATCTGGATGCGTTAAATACTCTCCTCCAAATTCACGTATGAGTTGCCAATCGTCTTGGTGATTGTTGTGAGCGATTCGATGAAAGTTGTAAATACGTTTCGACTTGGTAGCAGAAACAAACAGTTCAGTATCTGTATCGTTCACATCAATGTCAGAAAAACATACGGGAGTATGTTCAAAATAATATCCTGTCGTATTTTCAAAATGTTGGATTCGATAGAGAACTTCTCCAGTCAATGATTTTAAAGCACTGATACAAGTATCATACGAGCATACATATAAAACATTTTTTGAGAGGACATCATTATGCGGAGAGCAGACCATTCCCATCGAATGAATTTCAGGTTGATTCCAAATATTATTTAAATCTTCTCCGTTCATTATTTTGTTTAAATCATATTTAAAAACACCTCGATCACCACCGTAGATTAATGCATCACTTCCTTTGCCATCATAATTTTCTTCAATATCAAAATAAAATGCAAAAGCAGCTGGAAAAGAGTGAACTTTTCGATGAGAATTCAAATCAAAGCATATAAATTCAGTTACATTGAGAGCTACAATACAATTACAAGCATGAGATATTCGTGTTTCAAAAACATTTGGCACCTCAATAACAGCAACGGGATCAAAATTCATTGAGAAGGAAATCTTTGTTTTGAATTTTCGCATCTTGTTTTTGAACGCATTCATGATAACAGCATCGTAACTCTCTGATCCGATACGAATGAAATCATGAAGAGTGATCTGTGTATTACACAGAGGCTCTTCATCCAACAATTTTACTGCTTCAAGTTGCATCATTTTTTTTGTTAAAATCCAGACAACAAAGAATTGGAATGATATTGGTTGAGAAAATTGTACTATTATTATGTATTTACAAATGTTACCAATTCTTGTTGTGTTTAGAAAATTCTTCAATAGATGTGAAAAATGAAATAATGGATGGTAATTGTGAACTCATGAACATGTATGAGCTTTGAGTCTGAGCAATTTGTAAATAATACAAATCATCAAGACCTTCTTCATATTTCAAATTTTCAACCATCTTGGAAATTCCTTGTAATTGGGATTGAGCTTGTTTCAGAGAGGTCACATGATTTCCATTGTTGGCCAATAATTCACTCACGCTCTGCAATACTGGACAAATGTTCAATAAATTTGATAACATTTCCAACTTGACAAGTGCCTTCATGGATTGAGAAATGTGAATCGATCGTACTTCTTTTAAGAGTGAACTGTCTTTGGATGTCTCTAATTGTACAATGGTTTTTTTGAGAACGTTCACATGATGAGCACAGAGTTGCGAATAGGTACAAGTTGAATTTGGAACGATGGTGTTGGCGAGTGAAGCAAGACCGTTAGTTTTCCATTGTGATTCCACAGTTTGGATGAATTGATTGGCCACTTGTTGTGCATGCGTAATTGGAGACAATTGTTGATAGAATGGTTGAACAATTTGAACAATGTTAAGCAATAACTTGAAACTGTCAGTAATGAGTTTTTGAAATTCCTCTTTTCGTGTTTTAACATCCAGTGATAAGGGATGAAATTCATTCATAAATAATCGATAAGTTTGCAGAGAAGAAGCAATATCCTTATGATCAACCTTGCTCAACTCGTTCAAAAATTCCAAATTTGGAGTTGCATTTCCACTCTCAATCGAATAAGAGTGTTGCAATAATGACATCCATGTCACATTGGAATTTTTAAAGTTGAAATTATGTTGATCCAATTCAGCGACAGATCGAACATGATGGTCCAAAGTATCACATAATATTTGAATTTTTCGAATGGCTTCTTTTCGTTCTTGTCTTAGAGTTGGAACAAGTGACAAATCTAAGGAATCTAATTCTTCAATTCGTTTAAATAAATTTTCACTCATGACACGAATTTCTTGTATAGATTTGAAACCAGTATTTGACATTTTCTGATTTGCTTCCGATAAGGTTCGTTGAGCCTTCTCGGAATATTCAAAAAATTTCTTTTCCATTTTGAAATGGTTGTGTGTTGTTGGATGATGCTGATGAATAAAATCGCAAGATCAAATTAATTCGATCCGTGTCAAGTGAGAGATGAGTATTCTTAGTATTTTTTTTAAATCTTTAAATAGATATAGTTCGTTCTTGCGTGAAAGTTTAAAATTCGAAATAACATTCGGAAAGGAAAACCGAGGAAATGGGAAGTTGAAAATTATTTATAATGAACAAGGAAGGACAATTTGCAATAACTTGTTATTCAATTTTCAAGGTGTACTATTTAAAAAATAGACATTGTCTTGCGATTATAGATGATTCGTGACAATTTTGAATCAATTCAGACGCATGAAAGAACCCAAATATGTCCCTGTCACTATTCAAAAACTAATCTCTGACCAAAAAAACAATCACAAAAAATTGAAACATTTTCCACCATGATTCGTCATCTCCAAAACATCAATTGGAAACGGTTTTTATTGGGAACCTATGACAAGGCCAATATTGTCCCAGGTTTTCTCAACTTGCTCACTTTGTGTATGATTGTATTAATTCTCACAGCCATTTCAACAGCATTTACAAGCGAACATCAATATTCAATTCCGATATGGTTGATGGTCGTGAGTGGTGTGAGTTTTGTGTGTGCACAATATTCTCTCGTTTCACATGCTTTGGCTTTTTTGATTGTTTTCATGTTATTGAATGCTGCTTGTTTGGGATTTATTTGTTATCAAATGTATGTGATCAATTCGACCACGTTGGGTGTGTTGTTTAGTTTTTTGGGAATAGGTCAATTGAAGGCGATTGAAATTTGGGGATTATTTTGGTTGGAGATGAAACAAGAGAGACAACAATCGGGTACCAATGATGAAATTCATGAAGTGGATCCTCAAGATCAACACCAAATATTGGAGGATGAAGAGGAGAGAATTTAAATGTCATTGTGCCATGGATAGGAGCAAGGTTGTTGTTCTATCTGTTGTTAATATTCACACAAATTTCTAAATATTATTGCATGGTTCATATGCTCGTTGTGTATATATATATATATATTTAATTATCCAATAATTATTCCTAACAATCGTGAGAGGATATTGGAAGCAAGTGTCCCTAAAAAGGATGCATTAATCCTCAATTTCATCGTCTTCCTCTTGTTCGATCGATCCTTCTTGAGAAGTAGAGTCATTCTTTCTTGACTCTGCAATACTCATCTTGTATGTTCTGTTTTTGCCAATGCTTAATTCGTTTTCATGCAAAAATTTCAAGTTATTGTCGGTCTTGGCATATTGTACAACATTGTATTTGAGTAATTCGTTGAATATCAACGGAGCAATGATGAATCTTGCTCGTTTCCATAATGCAATAACGGCAACTGCTTCAAAAATTCGAATTGAGGCATACATAATGTTGAACGATGTGGGTGTGAAATCAATAATGCTTTTCCAAAAACTTTGTTGTTGCAAATCTTGGGTCACGTAGAAATTTTCAATTTTACGAGAATATTGTTGTGTATGCAAGATGGAAATCATGATATCTGCAATCGTGGGAATTGCTCCAGCAAGACCTGCCCACCATCGAACATGACTCAAAAAGATCTATTTGTTTCATCGTGAAAATCATGCACAATTTTAAGAGATTGGTCAACAAGAACACAAGTGTCTACTTACGGCTGGAGCATTAGCTCTCTTTTTCCATGAGTTTGTACAGTAAAATACGGATGATAATATTGCCACTGGAAGCATTCCTAAATTTGCTTCAATGTCACTAGACCTTATATTGGTCTCTGATAGCTTCAACTTGGTTACAGAGGTCTTGCTTTTCTTTAAATTTTCAATATAATTCTGAATGTTAGAAATATCAACACCACTTTTAGCTGAGAATGTCTTTAGATAGTCGTCTATTTTAACCTCATCTCCTTCAAAGAAGTTAAACATTATTTTGGACCCAATTTCTTGAAAATTGTCACTACTATCAGTCAATAAAACGTCAAGCGCGTTCAATACATTCTGAGGACACTCCTCTCTGAGAATTCTTTTTCCTGAAGGAGATGATAAGATTTTCTCAAATATTACTTGGCTCATTTCTTTAGTGAGAGGCGTCTTAATGGAAGCAGCAACCAATGATAAAAAATCTCTATTCCATGCGAAACGATTAATAAAATGTTCAAAATTCATGAGACTTATAACCGTGGCGAGTGTATCTTTTTTGATTTCAATATTCATGTCATCACAATTGAGTTTGTCCACGAGCTGATCGGTTTTAACATTCTTCAATGATGGAAAGGCACCAAAATTGTCAGAATAAACTTGCATCACTCGTAGAGTGGCAATTGCAGATTTCTGTGTCATTGTCTCTTGCTCAAATAATTTTCCCACATGTTGTTTAAAATATAATCCATAGCGAACGTATAGCACTGCAATAATAGACACAATGGCAGCAAATGCAGCCCAATAATAATTTTTTGGTTTCTTCATCATTTCATTCAAAAAGTAGGGAGTTAGTTGGACGGATGTTTTCGGAAAGTATGCAAGTGTCTTTTCCTCTAAAACTTCTATTTTGTTTTTCAAATTGTACACTTGTGTGATGAACGATGATGATGCAGAGGAAGGTATCTGAGAAGCCTCGCTATTACTTTTCGATGCCAGGTGATCTTGTTTTGCAATGTTGTTATTTTCCGATGACTCATTCATATTCTCATTCATATTCTTGCTTGTAAATCTCTTCATCATTGTGATGGATATGGCTACATGATTATTTCCAGTACAATTCATCATCGGGAAGGTTGTCCTCATCAATTTACATTCATGATTGAATTTGAGAGGGAACCGATAACGAAGCATTTTTTCGTTTTTTAAAACTATTGAAAGCAAGCTTCTCCTGTAAGATTTGTATTACATTTTAATAGTTCAATATAACGGACAAAACAATCCTTGTTTGATCAGAACTTCTTCTACCTTGGACTTACAAGGCAGGTTTATTATTCCATGTCTTTTACAAAGCGAGGTTCACATATGTGAAATTTCAAAACCAACCAAAACGAACAAATTTATCCGATCTCTTGAGAAACAAAATCCATCAAAAAAATGTGGCCTGGAATTTCACATCAACAACAAAGCATGCCAAAAGCTGCTTTTGTCAGACCACCCTCTTTTCTTGTCTGTTGCAGCCTTGTAGTGTTTGCTTTCCTTTCAATCATCATACAATGTCTTGAATTACAAATCCCGAAAGATGCCAATAACAAACATGCTTTCAATCTTACGCAACAACAACAACAATTGTTGAACTTTTCCATTCCGGTAACTCCTCCAGCCAATCTTTTCACTGTTGTGAAATTTCCAGAATTTAATCTGAATGGAAAGACCAAACTAGATCTCGTTCTTGAAAAGACTCCATACGGAACAAAAACTCTCTCACTCGAAGAAACTGTGTTCACAAATGCACAATTTGCGTATGCAGGTCAAGATAATCGAGGATGCCATCAATCGAGTGGTAATTACTCCATTTGGAGAACGGAAACGATTGATACTCAACAAACCATTGAATTTTTAATGACGGAATTACAAGATCGATTGTCAGGCAAAGTGTTTAGTTATGGAGCGAGTGCCGATGCCATTAGTGCCTATTTTCAACCTCGTGTGAAATCTCCATATTTGGCTGGTCAATGTTTGGTCGTAGGGACTGCCAATGTTCACAAATTTGTCTATCAAAATGGAGCCTTTCGTCAGCAAGACATTTCCATGTGGTTACAACATTTAGCTCGTCAACCACAAAGTTTGCCCATCATTATGGAGCATGAAGGAATGAGTGAGTTTTGGGAGAGTAATACTTTACGAAGGTCAGTAAGTGATTGTCAATTGTCATAAGGCAATAATAACCCATTGATTGATCATTTAAAATATATATCTAACTTCAGTGGTGAGAATGTTACCTTTCCATCACTGCACATGGGTGGATGGAATGATTTGTTCTTAGATGGAACTATGAATGCCTTTAGTAAGTATTTGAAAATCTTGTACAAAATTCTTATCCAACTGTAATCAATCATGAATGGATGAATGCACACTTACACATACACTAGAAATGTACAGAGCCAATCGTCCCCATGACACCTATCTCATCATTGTTCCTACGGGTCATTGTCAAAAATCAGAAATTTCATACCCTGAACAAGAACTCATGCTTCATCCAGAAGTGTTTTGTCCCTATCTTTTCAAATATTCCTCTCTGCCATTTCTCGACAAGGTCACTCTGTATATCATGGGACCCAATAGTCTTCCATCTTCGTATGAACATGGTAATTATTATGTTACCTTGCCAGATTTTCCAGAAACTGAACCTTTGCACTTGTATCTCACTCCGAGTGGACAGTTATCGCGAGACCAACCACCTCCCTCAATGTCTTCCAATCTGACCTATTTGTACAATCCTACCAATCCAACACCAACCTTGGGTGGAAATAACCTATTCGTTGCAACGTGTGGTCCCTATGATCAGAGACCGAATGAGGCTCGTCCCGATAATCTCATCTTTACCTCTGAGTTGTTTGAACAAAATACTTTGCTGATGGGAAGTATGACTCTTTCATTAAGGTTCTCCTCGAATTGTACCGATACAGATGTTGTGGTACGAGTCTCGGATGTGTATCCAGAGCCAGACTCACGATCCATGTTATTGAGTGATTCCATTGTGAGGATGCGATGGCGTCATGGCGGCTCTGAGAAGAAGCTTCTCATTCCCAATGAAGTGTATGAATTGAATATTGAATTGTGGCCAACAGCGTACCTGGTTCTTGCCAAGCATCGACTTCGGGTGGCCATTACGAGTTCGAATTATCCACGATTTTCAGTCAATCCCAATAATGGAATGGATTTGAGGCATGATCGAGTGTCGTCGTGGTCGTCGTCGAGTGTTCATGGAACGATGAGGAATAGAAATTTACAAGAGACCACTTCTCCCAATGAGAAGGAATGGCCCTTAATTAATGCTTTGAATACTGTGCATCTGGATGGTAGTCATCCCTCTGTATTGACTCTCCCTCGAGTGAAGGACATGAATATGATACAACAAGCTCGACAACGATTTGAGACTTTTCATAAGCAAAAACTCGAGCAATTAGTTACCTCCATGAAGCTCCAGAAATAATGTAAGGGTGTTTCATGGTCGAGAGGTTTGTAACCTCGATCTTTTTATGACGGAATGGAGCACTCTCTCCCAAAAAGTCAATGTTATGAATTCTTCCTTTTATGATGTCCATTTGATATCGATTAAAACATTCAAAAATTTAGAGACACTTTGCTGGTGGTGATCACGAACGTTTTGTCCTTCTATCCGATTATCATTGTTGCAATCTCGATTCCTGTCCGGATCTATATTTCCCAATCATCATTAAATTATTATAACAAGTTTTAATCATCATCAGCACACACACCAAGAAATGGAATCGACATCATCCACACCATCCGCAGCAGTGCTCGATCAACCATCCAATTTAAAACCAATCATCCGAGAGAAGGGACTAGGTATCTTGTCGGTCATTCCCGATAGTGGAATTATTGAATTGATCATTCCGTACTTGAGCAAGTCAGAAATTTGTCAAGTGGCACTCGTATCAAAAACTTTTCTTGTACTGAGTGAAGATGACAAGCTATGGAGACAATTGGTGTTAAACGAATTTGAGGGCAATTTTTGGTATCAATTTTGTTGGAAATATACCTATATCCACACGTGGTATGCAAAGCATCGACCCAATGTAGAATGTCCCTACAAGGGATACACTTCCACACTTTATACCCGATGGTCTAGAAGTGGTTATGAAATGAATCAATTTGAAATTCCCTTTTCACACATTCAAAGAATTTCTGCCGATAGCATTACCTACGAAGAATTTTTGGAACGATATGCCAAATTTCAAGTACCTGTCATCATTACTGGAGCTCTCAACACATGGAAAGCAATGGAAAATTGGAAGTTTGATAAATTCTTGGATAAGTATGGAGAGGTAGAATTCAAGACCGATCAAGCAGTTTCACACTTGTATCCTCATTATTCTGAACTGTATCAACAATATTTGCAAGACAAGAAAGAAGGAAAAGATCTCAGCAAATATGACAATGAAAGACGACAGGGAAATATTAAGATCAAATTCAGAAATTATTATCATTACATGCATAACAATAAGGACGAAAATCCAATTTATATTTTTGACTCCAAGTTTGGAGAGAGAGATAGTAGACTCGTCGACGAGTATGAGGTTCCACAATTTTTCAAAGAGGATTTCTTTGAGCAGTGTCTGGATGCAGAGGAACGACCACTCTTCAGATGGATTGTGATTGGTCCTGCAAGAAGTGGGTACGTAGCTGAAAGTACTTGTTTTAAATTTTTAATGGTTTTTGCATTTGATAATGACACCTCTATATTATTTATGGAACACCTTTATGATAGAACTCAATTTCACATGGATCCATATTTGACATCAGCATGGAACGCATTGATTTGTGGAAGAAAACGATGGCTCTTTTATCCATTAAATCATGTAAGCGAAGATTTGGAAGAGGCCATCGAAGAGATGAAACACGCAGAACAAGAAATGATCAAAGAGAGATTGATGTTCGAGAAGCAAGTCAAAACTCAATTACTTCATGAAGGAAAAATTGGCAAAATTTATGAGGATGAGTTTGAAATTAAGGACTCTAACAAACCTATTCCTAGCTATGTACCATGCTCTGAACCTTTGGAATGGCTCACCGATGAGTACTATACTGCAATCAATCAAGGAAGAAGACCTTGGGAATGTATTCAATATCCAGGTGATCTCATCTTTGTTCCAAGTGGATGGTGGCATATGGTATTGAATTTAGATGATACCATGGCAGGTAAGTAATATTTGGTTCGTCATGCAACAACATTATTAATAATTACATTGGATCGCTCGTTATTCCTTCGCAAAAAATCTGTACTTTAAACACATTTTCAAATTCTTGACAGTCACTCAAAACTTTTGTGACACTTCCAATGTTCATTTGGTCTATGCCGACGTGATTAAGAGAAATCCAAGAATGGCTAAACTATTGAGAAGAGGTTTGGCACGAATTGGTAAAATTGATCTCATCAAGCCATACATTTCAGAGGAGGAATATCAAGATGCCATCACCAAAGCCCATGAAAAGGATCCCATGAAGTAGTAAACCTCAAGTGATTTCATTCAGGGGCTATCAATAATACCACTGTTCGATATGCATTACCATATCATTTAAAAAGACAATCATCGTTCTAATGAGTTCTTTACAGGGCCTCGTTTCTCATCCCAAAAATAAGCATCAACTGCTCTCCTCAAAAATGCCCTCCTCACAACATGCATCACCCATATTGAGGTTTCACCTCAAACATCACAGCATGTCCATCATTAATAATATATATTTGATTGTGTTGATTATAATACTTGTTGCTATGAAGTCAAGTATGGCTCAAAGTAGAACATACACTGTAGCAAATTATACGGATGAAGAAAATTTGAAAGGTTATCCGGATCAGTTGGGATACTCGTTAGCCTGTAATCAAGATGGTTACATTTTGGCAGCATCAGCCCATGGAAGAGATTCATTTTCGGGAAGTGTTTTTATTTACGACAAACTATTGAATATCTACAAAATGAACTGGAGACCAGAAAGCAGTGATAAAAGCTCTCAGGATGAATTTGGACAATCACTGGGCATGTCTTTGGACACACGTTACCTTGTGGTAGGAGCCGATTCGAATACGGTATCGGGAAAGACCAACGCAGGCTCAGCCTATGTCTTTTATCGAGGTGCTATCAATGCCCGTTTCGATCAACAAGCCCAATTACAGGCTAATGATTTTCAAGCTGAGGATTACTTTGGCTTTTCAACTGCCATCTCTGGCGACGGTAATACTGTTGCAGTCGGAGCTGTGGCTACCACACATCCAAGTACTAAGGCAACAGAGGCAGGGTCTGTCTATATTTTCACAAGATCAGGAAGTGCCTGGTCACAACAAGCCAAGCTCATGTTACCTGATGCTAAAGAATACGACTACTTTGGATGGACTGTTGCCATATCACATGACGGCAACACATTGGTTGTGGGAGCTCAAGGAGTCACCTATGACGGTGTCAGATTCAGAGATGAAAACAATACTGATCCATCCGCTCCTGTTCTCAACAATGCAGGAGCTGTATTTGTATACACAAGAAGTGGTTCTCAGTGGACTCTGTTGCAAACGCTTTTAGCTTCAGATGCTGCCGCGTGGGATCAATTCGGACGAACAGTTTTCATTTCCAGTGATGCAAGACTGCTCATGGTTGGAGTAATGTACAAGCAAGTGAATGGAGCAAAGAACGCTGGTCAAGTTTATGTTTATGAGAAGAATCAGGAATCTGGAGTGTATGAGGAAAAAATCAAGCTCACAGCTTCTGACCCTGCAGAGTATGACTACTTTGGCCATTCTGTATCTTATTCCATTAAGAATGACACCATTGTTGTCGGCGCCTTTAGAAAGACAAGTGAAGACGGAACCAAACCATATGCAGGAGCAGTGTATGTGTTCACAAACCCTGATTCCAATGGATGGACACAAAAAGCTAAATTGGTTGCTGCCAATGCACAAGCTCACGATGACTTTGGTTATGCAGTTGCCTTATCTTCTAATGCTTACACACTCTTTATCGGTGCGCCAGGAAAAACATTGGGCGGAGTTGGAAACACCGGTGTAGTATATTTCATGGACCTGACCTCAATCGTGCAAGAGTGGGAATCGATGAACTAATGTTAATGTACTTGTGAAAATCCCATTGATACAATGGAAATACTCAAACTACATTAAATTTCGATCGATTCTTTCTCTCAATATTAATAGCAGATGGATACATTTGTGACATTGGTGATCAATGATCATCTGGTTCATAAGAACAAGTGACTCAGATGTAATATTCCACCTCTATGCGTTCAATTTTGTTAGATGAATTGTTTAACGTCATCTTCCACCTCAATGAGTTCAATTGCGCACTTCAAGTATTCAACATGATGAAACATGTGTTCCTCCACTGACAGGAATTCAAAGTTAAATACAACAACAAGCATTACTTGAAAAAACAACATTGCATCCCAACACCAATCATCATGAGAATTGGCTATCCTTGTATGTGTAAAACCCTCCAATTGACCACTTCCAACACTACTCGCCTCAAATCCCTCACTCCCGAAAAAGTCAAAACAAAATTACAACAAAACCTGAATCATTTAAAGCAAATATTGAAATTCAATGCCGAGCAACGATTATTATTCTTCCGAATGGGGAGTGAATTTGTTCCATTTGCTTCACATGCTCAGGTCCGAGATCCCACCTTTCAACAATCCTTCCATTGGAAAGAACACTTTAAAAACGAATTGGCTGAAATTGGTCAATTAGTTAAAACCTATGGCATCCGATTGAGTATGCACCCTGATCAATTTGTCTTGCTCAATTCTCCTGATTTGGAAATCTTTGAAAAATCCGTACAAGAATTGCAATACCATGCAGATTTAATGGATGCCATGCAACTCGACTCGACCCATAAATTTCAAATTCATCTCGGAGGTCGTTACGATGATAAGAAGAAGAGTATGCAACGTTTCGTGGATCGGTACCTTACATTAAGCGAGTCCATTAAGGCGCGTTTAGTGTTAGAGAATGATGATCGTTTGTTCAGTTTGGAAGATGTTTTATGGGTTCATGAACAATGCGGAATACCCATTCTCTTTGATACGTTGCATCATGAATGTTTGAATACGAATGGAGAGAGTTTGGAAGAGGCTTTCCTAAAAGCAGCTGAAACTTGGGATCCCGAACGAGATGGTCCTCCCATGATTGATTATTCGGATCAGGAACCGAAGGCACGAGTGGGTAAACATCGATCGTCCATTCAGGTGAAACATTTTAAAAAGATGATTTGTGATCGTTTGATGAAATGTAAATGGAAGAAGAATCATGAGGAGAGTTTTATTGATTTTGATGTCATGTTGGAAATTAAGGATAAGGATTTGAGTGCAAAGAAGGTACTTGAGGTATTTGAGAAGGGTGTTGCAGAAAGGGAAAATAGTAGTGGTGAGCCAATTGAAGAAGGTGATGAGAATGACGGGGAGAACAAAGAAGATATGGAACAACAAGACATAACACCAAGAAAGGAAAAACAATCTAAACAGTCGCAAAAGAAGAGAAAAGAATCAACCTCAACAAGAGTTTCCAAGAGAAGAAAATGAACAGTATTTGTATAAATAGTCAAGCTCTCTACTGGTTGAATGAAACGAAAACCAAGGTTGCCCAGCGCACTTTTTGTTTTTTACTCCAAGAACTGAAATTATTATTCGTTTAATTGTGACTCCAACCAATTACTTCTTTGCCGCGGCATCATCCACACCTCGATAGACATAAATTTGATTCCAACCTCTCTCTGCCACCAATTTATAACCATGTTTAGCCATTCCTTCAATTTTCAAACCAGTTCCATGCAAACCTTCATAAATTAAATACAATGGTCGATAACCACTTCTCATCATTTCTAATAAAATGTTGAGATCTTGTCCTTCTGCATCAATTGACAAGGCTGTGAATTTTTTAGGAAGATTATATTGAGCTGCAAAGGTAGAAAAGGTCATGGTCTTGACCAGAATTCCGTTATTGGTACTGTCACTGGTCACATCCAAATGTTTTTCATCTTGTTGAGTGGCAGCATTTACAGGACCAGCAATAGCTCCTGATTTCTTATTGTCAACAAAAAATTGCATTCCCCAAGCATCCGTATCATCTCTATTTCCCAACACAGACATTCCATCCTGTGAAGTAATGGCTGCCTCAACAAATTCAATTCTCTGTTTCATTCTAACAGCTCCCTTATCTCCAACAAATGATTTTCTGGCTCTCTCTAAATTATATTTACATAATTTCATATTATTTGGAAAAGGTTCCACTAAAATGGCATCAAATCCCATTTTGATGAAATTAAAAGAATTGGAACCACTGAGACAATCATGAGCTCCAATATCAACAATGGTGTGAGTATTTCGAATTTCAGAATTCTTTCCATTATTATTATTATTACTAGTTTCATAATGATAAAAATCTTCATTATTCAACATGTGTCGAACGAGTGCTGTAAATTCTCCATCGTGTGAAGTATCCATTCCTAAAAAGAGTTTTGGTTCATTCTTTTCGAGATCGTATAAATAGACTCGATCAATGACTTGATGTAATAAATGTTTTAAATTTCCCTTTCGAACGAGTTGTGTGATTAGTAAATCAGGAGCCGAGTTCATGAGCCAATTTCTGGCCATGACAAATGTCAAGTAGCCAAATATGGTAAATGCAATAAAAAAACCAATAATTGTGATACAAAGTATTTTACAAAATGGAAAATTTGAATCCATTCCATTCCTTTCACTACCCGATTTGTTTGAATCGAGTGATTTGGACCATCCATATTTTGACAAGATTCTTCGTGCCACCAATTTCAATCGTTGCAAATACGAAGTGCCACCCAATGTGACATTTGGCATGATGGGTTCTTTATCATAATTACAAGCAACATCCGAGAGACGACTCTCCTCATCATCCACTTGTTGATGGACACCCAATTTTGTATTCAATGATGGAGATGACGAATGGGTAGGATACGATCCGTTCGTCGTGGCATTTCTCTGAGTGAGCATTTTGTAAATTTGTCAAAACGATTTAACGAAAAAGTTTTTTGGGAGTTTTTTTTTGTGATACAAAGTTTGTATTGGCTGCTGTACATCATGACGAAGAGTTTAAAGAAAGTTTTGGACAAGTTTGGAAATATAATGACTATTCAAGAACTGTATAAAAGAAGAATGGAGATACGAGAGAGAATTATGATCATTTAATGATCATTAACAACATCTTAATATTCAGAACGTTATCATTAGATCCATCTCGCAGGAATTGTAAAAAAAAATGTTGTTCCTTCCTGTTGGATTCATCCTTTTCCTTGTAGTGATCGTGATTTATTTTTTGATACGGATCTATATCATTCAAGGACCCACTACGAATGCTCTTTCTGAATCATTGAGGAACCCTTCTCACAGATTATATAATATTCTCATTACTGGTTGTTCCGATGGTATTGGAAGATTTTGTGCGGAAGAATTCTATCGGCATGGAATGAGAGTTTTTATGGCGTGTCGGAATGAAGAAAAAACTCGACGAGTCATGCAAGAAATTGTCAATCATTGTGAAAATTTTGATTTGAAAGGAGAATTACATTTTTTGAAATTAAATCTTGATGAAATGGAGAGTGTCAAGCAAATTGCTGACGAATTTTTGAAGAGTGGATATGTGTTGGATGTTCTAATTAATAATGCTGGAAGTTTATTGAGTGAAATTAGCTTTACATCGAGGAAGCAGCCACATGTGGAAACAATGTTTCAGAGAAATGTTCTTGGTCATCACTTGTTGACAGAATTATTATGGAATAATTTGGAGAGTAATGTGAATGGAGCACGAGTGGTGAATGTGGCTTCGAATGCTCATCAGTTTGTGAGCGAGAGAGATTTCATTGTTGTGTCGCAAAGAAGCAACTCATCACCCAAACAACAACTTTCATTGTCTCAATATGTGAAAGAGCCAAGAACAAGATTTCTTCCCAACATCCTTTCTACATTTGAAGTGAACAAGCAATATGGATTGACTAAATTGTGCAATATTTATCAAACACATTATTTTCATGAGGAGAAAATTAAGAATAATCCAAAGAGTAAGGTCACCATTAATTGCTGTCATCCTGGAGCAATTAAAAGTGCCTTCTCAACACAATTTGCTGGAGCCTTGCCGTTTATATTGTCCAAAGTCTTCTCGCTGATTGAATATTTGTTTTTTAAGGACACAAAACAAGGATCACAAAATACCATTCATTTGGCATTTTCGAAACAAGTGGCGGGCATATCAGGTCAGTATTTCGATGATTTGAAAATTGCCAGACCATCTTCTGCTGCCCTCAACAACACTCTCTACGCGGATTATGTGAAAATTTGTAATGAAATGTGCCAACCATTTCTTTATTAAATATCTGTTAGAGTCGTCTCTTGGCTGATCTTCTCTAGGTTGTGGAAGTAACACATTGCAGCATGCTCCACTAGTTGTGTCAATTATGATATTCGTAGGATCATCTTGTTGTTTCATTGGTCCGCATCTCGGTCATGGATTTATTCATTGTCCTCAATTTCAACATCGTCATCTTGTTGATGTTTCTTCTTCTTGGATTTCGAGGAGGATGTGTTTTGTAATTTCATTTCATTCTCCATCATGACATCTTGGTTAGCCTTGAGTTCTTGCATCTCTGCAAATCGTTTAGCAGAAACAGGAGCATAAATTAAATCAATATTAGTCTTCAACTCTCTAGCCACTTGCATCTTTCTGACCTTGAGAGAAGGAACCATTCTCTTAAAGTAGTAGGCACGTTGTCGTTGTTCTTGCACTTCGGAGACTCTCTTGATGGCATGGATCGTCTTGGCATACAATTCTCTGTCGTATTTGAGTGGAACATTTCTCTTCTTTTCAAATTCAAAGGTACTATCCACTGATAATTCCTTTCCGTTCTTTCTACGGTAGGCTTTGGTCCATCGCAGTCGGTTTGGATTCACTCGTCGTTCAAAGAGTCTACGAGCCTTCTTGGAAGAAAATCTAAATACTTTGCCATCATTTCTAACAAAGGTGATACCATGTCCTGGGTACATTGGAGCACCCGATACTGAGCATGTTTCAATACGCATTGTGTGATGATGATTTTATGATGATGATGAGGTGTCAAGTAGGTTAAGAGGAGGTGATGAATTTTTTTCAAAATCAAAAAATAAAAAACTTCAAATAATTTGTTGCCCTTGTTTGTGATTTGTCAGCGTAAAAAACAAGGTTTGCCATAAGGACTTATGTCGTTTTCAGTACCAATAACCAAGCTTGATGATTCTTGTGTTCAGATATGAATGTTGATAATACCGCAACATGTTGTGAAAAACAAAAGGCCTCCTCATGAGTCTTCAAAGACAGAAATCACAAGACAGTCGTAACAATTTTTGCAGTACTTCCTTTTTGTTAGCTCCAATCGCAACCCTCTCTCGATTGCAATCAATGGACTCATCACTTGCATGTCATGTTCAGGTTTGAGCCACATGAAAGCCACAATTTTCGATTGTCATCAGGATGAGAAGGAGTGAAACATTTAGCAACATATCTATAGAATTGATCTAAGGTCACAATATCGTTCATTCTCAATTCTATGGCCAATTTCAGAAATTCATAGCTGTTGCAAGTGGACTTTTCAATAACACTTGATGCCCGTGGTAATGCATGATCATTACATTTTTCAATCATAGCTCCATATTTTCCAATGTCATCTTTTGGCATGTTTTCATATTTCACAAGAGAGGCCACTAATTGAATGAAGGAATCATCTTCACATTTCGAGGATGCAACGAGTTTTGTAATGGTTGATGGGAGTTTTTTCTTTTTTTTCATCATTTCGTTTTTTTCATCTGAAGATCCTGTTACCATGGCTTCAGTATCAGTATCGCCATTTTCATCTTCGTCAAAGAGTGTTGAGTCCGTTGATTTCTCATTGGTTGCATTCGATTGAATAAGGTCCACTTTCACAACCGAAAGATCGTCATAATCGAGATACATTTTGTATAAATCTCGTCCTTTAAACGACTCGGCATGATTGGTCGAGGTGTGATCCAATATTTCATGTAACGGATAACTCTTATTTGCTTTAAATACCTTGTCCAATCCCTTTAAAACAAAATTCTTTCCACTCACTTTTGCATGATACTTTTTCAAACGATCACTCGTTGTCCAATCGTCCACATGTGTTTTAATAATTCGTAATAAATCCTCTCTATTGCTCGGAAAATATAATTCAGTACCAAAGGTAATTCCTGGATAAAAGTCATCGGTTCCAACGGCCCAATAAATCCGCAATTGTTTGATGAGTTGTTTAAAATTTTGAGTCTTTTTAGGCACTCGAGTTTTCATTTCAAATCGATAATACTCTGAAGAATCACTCACTGCTACAGCAATTTGTTCTCGATTACTACGCTCCGCTTTCTTATTACAAGCATCCTGGACCAAATGACTCGACGGCACATGATAACATTCTAACGTTATGAACGATCCAGGAGCAAAGATATTTCTCCAGAGAGGATCATCACTCTCTGTTGTGCAAGGTGGTGGTTCTTTTCGTTTCTTGTGGCCAGACACTGGCACAACTGCAGGTAACATGTTACGCTCAGTTGCAATTTTTTTTGAAAGCACTAACTTTTTTAAAGTCGTGACTCGAGTGAAGATCCTTTCCGTGATGACGTTCCATCCATGATTTAGAAATCAGGGATCTTTTATTTTGTAATTGGGATTGCTTCCATAGAGCTCACGATGCATATTCAAGAATCGATAAATAATAGTGGGATCTGTATCGAGAGCATAGTCGTATGACTTTCGAAGATAATGTTGCCATCCTTTAAGCCATGACAACAAGCCACGTTCCATAAGTTCTCCCATCAAGGAGAGGAAATCCTTGTCCATGCTGTCACACGATTCAATCAAGCCTTCCAATGAAGTTGATGAAGAAATCGAAGAATTCTTTTCAACAAGCTCCTCCAACGTCGCAAGGTTATTGTTTTTACAATAGGTTAAAACGCATGTTTCTGAAATGTGTCCATGTTGATAGAGATAGACAATTAATCGTTGCAGGTCAGAATCGCTCGAATGTGAAGCACTCACAATTTCATTCAGCTTATCTTCCACAAGTACTAATGAAGGATTAGATTTTGACTTTTTCTTGCGTGGCTCTGATATCGTCAATGCATTATCTTGTGACGCCATGATTGCTGGCGGGGAATGTGGATGAGAAAAGTCACTCATGACCAATTCATTACTCATCTCTGAATCGTCATCATCACTACTTTCTGTACTGCTGGTGTGTAGTGCGCGGTTGCCTTGTTTTTTCCTTGTGGTGGTTGATGAAGATGGTTGACCATCATCACCTATATTTCCACTAATTGTGTTTCGTTCTCTCTTCTTTTGTAAATTCTGTTTGCTCTTCTCTTCCTGTTGAATCTTTTGTTGCAATTTAATCGCTCGTGGATCATTCTCATCACACAATCGAGGATTATACGTCGGCGGTGATAACAGTATTAACTTTCGTTCTCTATTCTTAAAAGAATCGTGATAATTTGTAGATGAGTTTTTGATAAGTACAATCAACGAGACCACGTCTTGTTTGGAATACTTGACTCCATTCAATTTAAATCCCTTTCCATTCACATTGACATGATATATTTGATTATTTTCATCTTCAATATCTGGTGCAATCTTTTTCAGTATCTCGATGAGTTGATTCTTATCCACAGGAAAGAATAAATCTCCATCCCGAGTGGAAATCCCTGGATACAAGTAACCACTCTCGACATGCAAGTATAGTCGTAAATTCTTGAGTAGAAATGATCCATTCTTGAGTTGCTTGGAAACTCGTGTTTTCATTTGGAATACATCCTTGTATTGTTCGTTTTCAATTTCCTTCATGGTTTTACGTCCGGGTTTTTGATTGTACTTATCTTGCAAGATATGTTCCGATGGTACATGATAGCACTCCAATTCTATGGCACCATCTTCTTGATTGGTTTGTGATTGAGATCTTGCATGAGTGGTTGTTGTTGTTGAAGATGAAGCGTTCGATGATGATTGTTGTGCGTTGTTTGTTACTTGAGCCTCGAGTGCTTTGGTTAACAGTTCGAGGCCAAGGGGTATCATTGCAAGTGATCCTGAACAAATTTTTTTGCATCATTAAACAGCCATCTAAAAAGTTTTTTGTAGTTTTTTACAATTTCATCTAGCGTAATGAAATGAAAATAAGACATGAAAAAACATATCAAGGTTATTTTTAGATGTGGAATCCACACTGCTCTTAGACACGTTGTTCACACGCACTGACTGCTTTTAAATGACCCTCTTTCATGCCTTGCTTTCGTTTGTGGATTGTCAGCCATTTGAACTCAAAAGGTATCGCGACAACAATGAGCTCGAGTTGTTTCAACGAAATGATCATTGTTTATTCTTTCAAGACAGTCTCTGTCATGAATTCCATGACCTGATCAAAGCAATGAGAACATTCATCTTCTCCTGGAGACATTGATCTGGGACTCTTTGAGGTTAGACATTGTGAAAAGTCAATCACAGAGAGTTGATTCCATGCCTCATCGTCCTCCAGCCCATCAATAATAAAAGAAGGAACTTTCTTTTCCAAGCATTGGTTGAGAGAACGTTTACAGAAATGTGTGGTGAGAGCATGAGAATAAATAATGGCCTCTCCCAAGCATGAATGTCCTCCTGGATGTATCTGAGCATCTGATTTGTTGATACAACTGTCGAGGATTGCACGCTCTTTTGATGCATGTTTCTGTGAAATTTCGTGCAACAATTTCGAGTTGAGATCTGACGTGTTGCCAGTATTAAATTGTGGTTGACTGACTGAATCATGCGTCGTATGGTCATCATTGGTCTTTTTTCTTAATTCGTTCACAATGTTTGGGAATAATTGCTGAAATGATCCTTTTTGAGTTAACAACCTTTTGTGAGCAGTTAACTTGTTAAACATTTCAGCAAGTGCATTGTCCTGATGAAAACAATAAACTACTCGATCATAATCGATATTTAACGATGGTAAGTTAGAATACGATGCAAATTGTTCTTCCTCTGAATCTCCTCTTTGATTAGCTGGAGTATCATCAGTGTTCCTCCTCATTAAGCTCCAATCCACTAATTCATCTCCCATGCACGCTCGTAATCTATGTTCGCTTTGAGACTCGTCAGGCCTGCCAGCAAAAACTTGGCACATGACACACGCATTTTCTAAAATCATATCCTTGAGAGATTGATACTTGTTCTCATGCTTTCGTTTCTCTTCCGATGATAAATTATTCGCTTTTCGATTATGGTAGTCTTGATAGGGATCTTTTCCTGATACATGTTCGGAATCCACATGTTCTCTCAGATCAATCAATTTGTTCAATGCTTTGTATTGTCTAACTTTTTCAGCACAATTGGCATGAGCCTGGAAATTCCGATAATAAAATAATTGTTCATCGGATTGCAAAACTGTTTCAACCCGAGGCGCCGAAGAGTGTGAAGATGTCCATTGTCCCATTTTTTTTTGTAAAGTCCATGAATCTCTTTGCGAAATTAAGAGTGACACAGAGCGCGTTTAACTCCAGCTAAAATTTGCAGGCCATGTGTCATTTTAATTTTGTAAAGATCTGACAATAATATCTTTTCGAAATTAAGAGTGCCACACAAGGTACGAGACACGCAACCAACCCACCAACAAACTTTGGCTCGAGTTAAACCACCGTGAGTCATTTAAGATTTAATGTTAAATTTACTCTCTACACGAAATTATCCATGTTTTTCAAGCCATATATTTCAATGGCAACGTGTATTTTACAATGTATTTACATGCTATTTTCTCTCAATGCAGATCTAAAGTATAACAATTCCATAATAGGGAAGCACAACAAGTATCCAAACCACAACAATACGTTTCCGAAACGTGTTCCCTTAAGCTTCTCAGTAAAGTAGAAGAGTGGTACTTGAGCAATAACCATTGTGAAAAAGTAAGGTCTAAAAACTCTAAACGTCATGATTAACACATATTCATGAAGAACTGCAGTAACAAAGAATGTGGAAAGTGCTGCCCAAACTTTGTTAAATCCTTTCACTCTTCTCATAGATTCGACATAAATATGACGTGACATGAACTAAGGAAAGCGTTGTTAATTGTTAGCATTATTATTATTGTTAGCATGAAATACATTGTTGTCACGAACAACCTACCTTCAATACTGGTCTATTCCATAATCTCCAATATTGAGAAACACTTGTTGCGTTCCACCACTGTAGTCATACCATGATCATTATTTCATTGTTGGAAAGTTAAAAAAAACAATTCATACTTTGATCAAACTCAAGTCATTGATGGACTTACCTCAAGATAAAATTCACGATCTGCATATCTTACGAGTTCAGCAGTGGCATTCAAGAAGCAATGAAAGACACAATAAAAGAGTAACATCCAAATAGCCATCGAGGGAATTGCCAAATTAATGATAAGATCGTACCAGTCATAGGATTCTATTTCTCCCAACAATGGAGCCATATATTTTTGCATGATGAAATACATAAAGAGACAAATCACCAAACCACCTCCATATTCTCTAATCACAAAGACGTATGAAATATGGGGCGTTCTAGGAAAGTTGATTTCGTATACTAAACTTGGAATTCTGATATAATCCACATAATCACAGGCCAATAAATACAATTGTCTCCAGGTTGATAACTTTGGATCGAGTCTAATTTTCTCGTAACGAATGTTAAGAATGGGTTTGAATCTATTCTCCTGATACTTTCCAGAATAAAACATTTCTTCTCTAAAGTATCGATTGGTAATGAAATAACTATGCATCTTGAAACTATTCACAACAATTTGACATGCGAGTGCAGTTCTACACATGGCACTTAGACGATGAGAAGTGAATGCTAGATAGGATGGAACTCCAAACAAAATGGCTTGAGCCAATACATAAATTGTACAATTCACAAACTCCATGAGTGGGGAAAGCCTCTTCTTTTGAGCGTACTTGATGAGAAGAAATTCACTCGTCACCGAATACACAAAGTTAAACGCAACGATGGCACCCCATAACAGCATTAAATATTCAATACCTTGCAACAAGTGAGTAAGAAGTGTAAAATCAATGAGATAACCCTCACTCCTCCAATTATTGTACATGATATTTCCTGACCAAGTGACCAGCAGTAAGCCAAATAAATTTAAAAACCCCTCACTGCTCTTAGCGTGGAATATGGATTGACGTGGCTGCGGAGGATGCGGAAATTGTCCAACACGTAGTTCTGGTTTATCTGAAGGTTCCGAACCTTCAGAAGAAAGTGACGATACTTCTTCCGTTTCCTCGCAATGTGTTTTTCCAGTAGGGTTCAGTATGGAAGGAAGTTCAGGTTGGGCGTGATGAGTGGTTTTGGTTGATGTTGTTGTTTTGGAGGATTGACTGGGTAGGTCATTCTCATCTTTGGTATGAACTGTTAATATCGGAGTATGGTTGGTTGCTTCAGTAGAGGATGTAGGAGTTGATGTCTTATCAATGGGAGGTGTTGAAGAAGAGTTGACCTTCTTGGTACCCTTGTTTTTCATTTTCAAATTGTTATTATTGTTTTCAATGGCCAACAGCTGTTTGAGTTTTGATTGGACTGTTGGAGATGGGTTATACAACGAGTGGCTTGTGCTGCTTGTAAGATGGCTATGAGAAAGGTTGCAACCACTTCGGGCTTTTTTTGTTATTATTAAACTTGAGGTAACAAGTGATGTTTACACCAATTAACACAATATCCATTTCGGGGCGTCAAGTAGTAGAGGAACCAACAAAGTCTGAACGTGTGCTTGATAATCCGAAAGAGTTTAAGGAAGCTAACAACAGGTTGAAAGAGAGAAAGTGGAATGAACCGGTGACTTCATTTTCCAAATAGCTTTTGAGCAATCCGACACCAGTGGACTTCAATTTTGTGAGAGAGAAGGACGACCACTGTTTGTTTTGTGGGAGAATATTGTTATTGAGGCCTCTATTATACGCGCCAAGGGGACTATTCGAACTTTTCCCCGCTAAAACTAGACGTTACACCGTTATGCTCAACAATTCAAACATTCCCTCCCTTCAAAAATTCACAACTCAAAAAAAAGCTAAACACTTCACTGTGCAAGCACCTAGTAGTAGTTGAAGCAGCGCTCCGTCAATTGGTACATCCATTGCTGTCATCATTTTCCAATCTACCTTTCCTTTCCATAGGTAGGATTTATTCATCTAGATTGTCATAGTTTGTGTGATTCCATTTCAACACACCCGCAACCTGTTCGATTATTGTCATCATACTCCGTCCGTAGTATTACTTTACATTCATTGCCAGTTCAATCATAAGACTCGCCGTCTATTAACCAGTTAGAACCATGTCATCCGACTCTTCCAATATTTTGGTCGTGAAACGAAGCCAAGAACGAGAGCCCTTCTCCAATGAGAAGATTAGAATTAGACTCCAAGACCATGTGAAAGGTCTCGAGCATATTAATATGGACTCGATTGTGGAAAAATTGAGATCCGAAATCCACAATGATATTACCACAGAGAAACTCGACAACCTTCTCGCAGAATGTATTGCCTATATGGCTTATAGCCATCCTGATTATTTGAGACTTGCTGGACGAGTGAAGATTTCATCTCTCCACAAGAAGACAAAGGCCACCTTCTCTGAAGTAATTTCCGATTTACGTAATTTCATTCATCCAAGAACTGGATTGCCATCTCCATTGATTTCCGAAGAGGTTTTCAATGTTGTTCAGCAACACAGCGAAACTCTCAATGCTGCTGTCAAGACTGAGAGAGATTATCAATTTGACTACTTTGGCTTTAAGACTCTTGAAAGAAGCTACTTGCTGAAACTAGGAGATGTCATTGCCGAACGTCCTCAACACATGTTCATGCGTGTGAGTTTGGGTATTCATGGCTCCGATGTTGAGAAGGCTATTGAAACCTATGAATTACTCAGCACTGGTATGTTCATTCATGCCTCTCCAACTCTCTTCAATGCAGGTACTCCAACTCCTCAAATGAGTTCTTGCTTTTTGGTGGCCATGAAGGACGATTCCATCTCGGGAATTTATGATACCCTCAAGACTTGTGCTTTAATTTCCAAGAGTGCTGGAGGTATTGGTCTCTCTGTTCACAACATTCGTGCCTCAGGCTCTTACATTAGAGGTACCAACGGAACTTCTAATGGACTCATTCCCATGCTTCGTGTTTTCAATGATACTGCCCGATATGTCGATCAAGGAGGTGGCAAACGAAAGGGAGCCTTTGCCGTTTATTTGGAGCCTTGGCATTCCGATATTTTTGATTTTTTAGATTTGAGAAAGAATACAGGCAAGGAGGAAATTCGAGCTCGAGATTTGTTTTTGGGTTTGTGGGTCAATGACTTGTTCATGGAACGTGTTAAGGAGGATGGAAATTGGTCTCTCTTTTGCCCAAATGAAGCTCCAGGACTTGCCGATACCTGGGGTGAGGAATTTAATCAATTATACACTCGTTATGAGAATGAAGGTCGTGCTCGTCGTGTGATTCGTGCCCAAGAGCTCTGGTTTGCTATTATTGAAGCACAAATTGAGACTGGTGTTCCTTACATGCTTTATAAGGATTCTTGCAATAGAAAATCGAATCAGCAAAATCTTGGTACCATCAAGTCTTCGAATTTGTGTACAGAGATTATTGAATATACAGCTCCTGATGAAGTCGCGGTGTGTAACTTGGCCAGTATTGCTCTTCCAAAATATGTCAATGAGACGACTCGAACCTACGACCATCAACGATTGTTTGAAATTGTCAAGATTGCTACCAAGAATTTGAACAAGATCATTGACAAGAATTATTATCCAGTTGAGGAAGCCAAAAAGAGCAATATGAGACATCGTCCTATTGGTTTGGGAGTTCAAGGATTGGCTGATGCCTTTATCAAGATGCGTCTCCCATTTGAAAGTGAAGAAGCCAAGGTATTGAATCGAGAAATTTTCGAAACGATTTATTTTGCTGCATTGACTGCAAGTTGTGAAGTTGCCATGGCTGAGGGACCTTACGAGACGTATGCAGGAAGTCCAATGAGTAGAGGTATTTTCCAACATGAATTTTGGACCTCTCAAGGTGAGCCTTTCGAAGGAAAAACCATCACAAGTGGAAGATGGGACTGGGAAGGTTTAAGACAACAAATTCTCAAGTTCGGAGTTCGTAACAGTTTGTTGGTGGCGCCAATGCCAACCGCTTCCACCAGTCAAATTTTGGGCAATAACGAATGTTTTGAACCATATACTTCGAATGTGTATACGAGACGTGTTCTGAGTGGTGAATATCCAGTGATTAATAGACATTTAGTGTCTGATTTGATTCAATTGGGAATGTGGAATCCAACGACTGTGAATCAAATTATTGCCAATAGAGGTTCTATTCAAAACATTGATGGAATTCCTGACGACATTAAGGAATTGTACAAGACTGTTTGGGAAATCAAACAAAAGAGTTTGTTAGATCTTGCTATTGAGAGAGCTCCATTCATTGATCAATCTCAATCACTCAATGTCTTTATTGCAACTCCATCCATCTCGAAAATGTCTTCCATGCACTTTTATGCTTGGAGTAAGGGTTTAAAGACTGGCATGTATTATTTGAGAACACAACCAGCTGCAGATGCCATTCAATTCACAGTGGATCCAGCCATGATGAAGCAAAACAGTAGTGTCTCGACTGCTGCTGATCAAGAGCAAGAAAAGCCAGCATCCTCCACTCAAGAACAAGTTATTGTGTGCCGAAGAAAGAGAGGACAACCAACCACTGGTGATGAAGAAGAATGTTTGGTGTGTGGTGCTTAATCGTTCAATTGGATTATTGGATCATTGGATGAATCGATAGGCTCACTAAATGGACCGTCTCAACCAACAGATCTCAATTTTTATCAGCTTGTGTACATTTAGCTCACATTTACACTTTAAGTAGTGCATGGTGTGAGTGAAATAACTCTCTAAATTATTATCAGTAAATTTATATATATTTCCTTAGAATTGATTTGTTTGAGTTCGTTCCTTCACCCTGTCCACATGTTTGAAAATTAAAGGCAATTTTTCTTTCGTTAATTGGGCCAAACAAGAGAAGGTTTCTTTCATGGACTTTTCCATCGGGAATTGAGATGTCAAATCCAGCAATAAACAATTCTCATTCGGCACAGTCTCCTTCTTCTTTTGACCACAACAAATAATGCATGCCTTATTGTACTGTTGACAAAGTTTGGAAACCCATGAAACCACTTTTCCTCCTTCCGATTGATCGTCGTAACATCCCTCACCTGTGAACACAATATCAGCATCCGTGATATGTTTCTCTAATTGACAACTCATTCCAATCATTTCAATTCCTTTTTTCAATTCTACTTTTCCGTGAAGAATTGAATAAAATCCACCACTGTATTGAGTGTCAAAGTCCCAAATGAATGATTATGTTATGTTCGCCAAGTACCAAGTATGTTACAGATGGTTAATCATTCAAAATATTTCACAACAAAAAGCCTTACCTTATTCCACCTGCTGCACCAGCTCCAGGCATGTCCGCAATCTCGACCCCAGTCTTGTCTCTCACTAATTGTGCAAATCGAATCATTCCCTTCTCAAGTATTTCACGATCTTGTGGAGATTTGACTCCTTTCTGCTTACTAAATGTAAATGTTGCTCCTCTCTCGCCTACCAACGGATTATTGACATCACATGCAATATCAATGGTTAAATCTCTGTAGCGATAAGGTAATGCATTACGATCGAGTGTGAAATCTGCGAGATGAACTAAATGTTTTCCATAAAAAACAAACGAATTTTCGAGATTATCTTGAAAATCAGTGTTGTTGTTGTCGTTCGAATTGTAATTATCAAGAAAAACAAAATCTTTGATACACCCAAGAGCACTCAAACATCCAATTCCTGCATCATTGGTACACGAGCCACCAATTCCAAGTAAAATGTGAATATTATCATTTTCATTGTGTTTCAATAAAATGTGTTTGATTAAGAGCCCTTTTTGTGTGAAGAACAATTTCCAAATAAATTTGCAAAATGTCAAAACATTGTGTCACACCGTTCATTACTGAGCTCTACCTACCTAATGGATATGTGGTTGTTTCAAAGGGATTTCTTTCTTCCGTTCGTAATTGTTCCAATCCACACACAGTAGCCATTTCCAATACATAGATGTGTTCTTGGGTATTCAATTCATTATCATGAATATGTTTTTTATAGTAATAAGGGGCTGGAACTAGCTCATGTCTTCGAGAATGCAACGGATGCCGAACAGGAAAGAATTCCAATTGATAGTCATTGGGATGATTTTGCTTGATCGATTCTAAAAAACTAATAAAATTATTTTTCAGATCATCAATATTATTAAAATATATAAATAAAATCATTGTGGAATTGTATATTCCAATAATTTTGAAATCATTGGGAAATGGTGCGATCAATTCGAGAAAATATTATTCCATCACACCAATTGACATAATAATTAATAATAAATTATTTAAAAAATGCAACAATCATCATCTCTAACAAAATATTCTTACCCTTCTCCTCCATCGGAAAGTGGAATATTCATGAATTGCGATTGAAATTGCTGTGATTGAGCTGCTCCTTGAAAAGCCAGAGCAATGGCTTCTCCACATTCTCTACTTTTTAGACTGTCTTTGAATTTATCAAAACACGTGAGAACTTTAAAACATCGGTGTTGCATTGTATATTCAATTTTTTAACTATTTTTCCATTTAAAAAATATGCGCCAAAAGTGCAACGATCGTTGCTTCTCTCCTTTTTCTTTTATTAAGGATATTGAGACAAAGGAATATCTCTCTTTGGACCAAAAAATTGATCTTATTATTGAGACTCTAAGCAAGAATTACGAAAAGGAAAATTCTAACCACAAAATATCATACCCGACGTGGGTTAGAAAGGATAAAACCAAGATCCTTCTTAATGCTCTTAATATTTCTCCTTCTGAATCGTTGGAACTTTTTCCTGATTTTGAGGAACTGGAACGATTTCAGTCTTGCTTGGGATATTTATGTAGTAGTTTTGAGAGAAATGATATTCAAGCATTAACTTTAAATTTACAGAATGCGGTACAGATGATGCAACAATATTCGTTAGAGTGGAATGCATCGTCTGTTTTGTCATTAATTTCTTCCTTATGCCAAACAAAAAACATTCTAGCCTGTAATGGCGAAATTATGATAACAGGGATTTATAACTCGTTATTCAACATGCTCTTTACGAAAAAGAAAGATCTTGTTCCTCATGGGTAAGTTGAAAGATATTTAAACCTTTGCTGATTCTGAAATGAAACATTTACAGAGGCAAAGTACTAGAGATACATTTAGAAAATGAATTGCCGTATTTTAAAGTGAAATGTGATTCTTTCATTACAGACAAAACTGCAACTGTTGTGTATCACATTAGAGAGGATAAAGATAGTGTTGACACGGAATGGGAAACTCTGTCTTCAGATGGATGGAAGTTGATACTCACAATGCGAGGACTGTTGAACAGAAACATTCGACAATACAAGATGAGTAGAGATCAATTGAAAAAGCATAGTTTCGTATTAGGAATGATTACAAACAAGAAAATTATTCACTGCTTTGTGTTGCAAGCGAAATTTGATGAAAACATGAATATTTCCTATCATTTAAGCAAGTATACGTTTGGTGTGGATACTTGTGATGATTTAATTCCATTAGTAATGTTTCTTTGCCAATATATCCGAGACTACATTCCTGTGCGTACATGGCTGTCCAAAGAAAACGTGGAAGTGGGTCATACTTCGCTCAAGAGCCCTCAAAAGCTTGTGTCAGTTGCTTCTACTGTATTTAGCTCTACTTCTCGACACGCCTATCAATTAATACATGGAAAACCTGTCAGGAGAGTGCACGACTCAGGCAATGGCAAGTTATTAATTGCCAAAACAATCAGTGTATGGAAATTAACGGATTCCACAGAAAATTATATCTACCAAACCTTACTTCGAACAAATTACTGTCAATACCTTCCAAGTATTTTATCTTATCACAGTGACGCTGTTGAATTGGAACATTTGAGAGAAATTAATACTCACACATCTTGGGAAGAAAGTTCTATTCTTGCATTACTGTCAGATGTGACAAGTGCATTGAGATTTCTTCATGAACACAATATTTTACACAGAGATGTAAAACCTACCAACATTTTACTTAGGGAAGGAGAAGGTGAATTTTTCTGCTTTGTACTTGCAGATTTCAATCTCTCATGCCATTTTCAAAGAATTCAACACCAAAACAAAGAGGTCTTGCTTGATTTGAACAGTAACAAAATTATTAATGAGAAATGTGGAACTGGAGCGTTTTGGGCACCTGAAGTTGAGAATGGAGAGAGTTACAATGAAAAGATTGACATCTATTCTTTGGCTCTCACTGTCCTCTATTTGTTAAATCCTTCACTATTTCATGAAACAAGGCTGTTAACCAAAGATTACCATGGCATGCTTAACACTCTACAAATGAATATTGGGCTGCAACTTCTCTTAGGCGAAATGCTTGAGACAGAGCCTTCTAAGCGACCCTCTGCACATGAAATTGAGACTAGATTGTCCAGCCTCATGTCAGTGAACGATGAGTGAGTTTTTTTCACCATCATTCGAACGATTGTAATCATCACTGGTATCTTTTCACCTTGGTTAATGTCGCTACCATTAGATTCTCGTGAAGTAAGACTTGTTCTTGTGACTTGAATGTGCTCCATCACGAACAATTCATGGAAGATGGAAAAAATATGCATAAGAGACAACGACCACATTTTCAGGACCTCTCTTCTCCTTTTTCCTTTATTAAGGCCATTGAGGATAAGGAATTGCTTTCTATGGACCAAAAAATTGGTCTTATCATCGATACACTGAGTCAGAGCTTTGATAAGTCCAATTTACCCAACATTTCATATCCTTCATGGGTAAAGAAAGATAAAACCAAGACTCTTCTTTACTCTTTGAATATCATTCCTTCGGGATCGTTGGAATTTCTTCCAAAGACGGAGGAGATGAGGAGATATCAAACAAGAATCATGGATTTATGCACCTATTATGAAAGCAACGACATTAAGAAATTAATGATGGAATTACCTGAAGCAGTGAACTTGTTTCAAGAATATTCACGAGTTTGGAACGAAACATCTATTTTATCATTAATATCTGCCTTATGCCAAACCAAAAACGTACTTGCATGTAACGGTGAAATTGTGATTACTGGGACATACAACTCGTTATTCAATACGTTGTTTAAAAAGAAAAATCTTGTTCCCCATGGGTAAGCTATTCTTCAATAATGGAGCATTTCACTAATCTGTTATTTAATCAAAAGAGACAAGATATTGGATATTCGTCTAGCAGCGGAGTTCCCTTACTTTAAGGTAAAATGTGATTCGTTCATGACAGACAACATAGAATCTGTTGTTTATCACATCAGAGAAGACAAAGACAGTGACGAAAGTGATTGGGAATCGACCTCTTCTGATGGATACAAGGTGATCGTAACAATGAGAGGGCTGTTAAGTGAAAACATTCGACAGTTCAGGATGAACAAAGATCAATTGCAGCGTTATTGCAAGATGACAGGCATGATAACAAACAAAAAATTCATTCACTGCTTTGTTTTGGAAGCAAAATTTGATGAACACATGAATGTTTCTTACCATTTATTCAAATATGCGTTTGCTGTTAACTTACCTGATTTAATTAGATTGGTCATGTTTCTTTGTCTATATATCCGAGACTTCATTCCAGAGAGTGAAATTATGTCCACTTCTGATTACGTTGAAGTGGAAATGTCACCATTCAAAGATCCACAAAGGATTATGGAAGTGGCATCCACCGTCCTTAGCTCTAAATCTCAAGAAGTGTACAAAATGATACACGGAAAACCTGTAATGAGGATGCTTGACTCCAAACATAGCCAACTGTTTGTTATGAAAACTACAAGCGTTTACAAATTAACCGATTCTACAGAAAATTATATCTATGAAACCTTACTTCGAACAAATTACTGTCAATACCTTCCAAGGGTTTTAACTTTCCATCATGACGCTGTCGAATTGGAGCATTTGAGAGAAATTAATACTGTCACATCTTGGGAAGAAAGTTCTGTTCTTGCATTACTCTCAGATGTGACATGTGCATTGAGATTTCTTCATGAACACAATATTTTACACAGAGATGTAAAACCTACCAACATTTTTCTGCGAGATGGAGAAGGTGAATTTTTCTGCTTTGTGCTTGCAGACTTCAATCTCTCATGCCATTTTCAAAGAATTCAACACCAAAACAAAGAGGTCTTGCTTGATTTGAACAGTAACAAAATTATTAATGAGAAATGTGGAACTAAAGCGTTTTGGGCACCTGAGGTTGAGAATGAAGAGAATTATAATGAAAAGATTGACATCTATTCATTGGCTCTCACTGTCCTCTATCTGTTAAATCCTTCCCTTTTTAAAACTTGCTTGTTTACCAAAGATTGGCTTGGAATGAGCACGAGCTTGAACATTAGTGCTGGACTGCAAGGTCTCTTAAGTGAAATGCTTGCCATCCAACCTTCTAAGCGACCCCCTGCACATGAAATCGAGAACAGATTGTCCAACCTCATGTCCGAGAGCAATGAATGAGACTCAAAATTCGAGCTTAATTAAATCCAAATACACTAGTGCTGTTTATTAGTGTTATAATCAGTCTTTTCCAATATTAATAATTATTAGTGTGTCATGAAAAATTATTGAGCCAAATCCTTTTCAATACTCTTGTACAAATCCTTGTCATCATTGATTCTCTCAGGAGTGTCATTAGTTTCATAACGTTTCCTTCTTCTTTGGACGTAGAGCTTTCTCTTTCTCACTAAATCATCTGTGACTGCTCCATGAATTCCATTGTAAACTTGGAAGCAAGTACCAGTTGTCAGCATAGTAGCAATCAAAAACCATGGTCCTGCATTGTGTATAATAAGAAGTCATAGCGATGCATGATAACATTTGGAACCAATAAAATCCGAACAATACAAATTAATTATGGTCATCATTCACGTTGAAAGTAATAAATCCATCACAAGATTTTCATCAGCCGGAGCACACCATCATCATTCAATATCATCATCCAATTTTGAAAATTTCAATTAATGACAATCATCGTTCAAATTCATGATCCAACACAATCATCATCAACAGTACATTATAATTTCGTTTCAATGATTCATTTCAATAATTGATTCAATGAATTATTACCATCATCATTGCAATAAAATATATCATCATCACAATAAATTCGCAAACTCTCTCCTATTCTCGCACACATCAACTACTTACTTCTAGTAAAATGAACACGTTGAGCACGAGCAGCGAGAGCATAACCAGCAAATCCAAAAGCACTTCCCACCAAGAAGGAATTGCCAATTTCAAATTTAAAGTCCAATGGCATTTTTTCTTTTTTCTTCTCTCTTCGTCTCCATGAAGCAATCTATATTGGGGACCCTTAACTGACTGATTTTAAATATCATGAGAATTTTATTGATACTGGGTCGTTATGAAGTTCTGGCCAAGAATTGAGAGTTTTATGGTTCGAAAAAGAGGATACTTTCATCGTTACTCCTTCAAAATGCCAATTCTTGACGCACTTTTAAATTGATTGGTTCGTTGTTTCAACAAGGTTTTGCAAATCAAACAAAAAACATTCACCACGAACACTTTCTCTCTCGGAAAATGTCGTCCTCCTCTCAAGTAACAACCTATCAGGACCACAACAATAAACGCACTGCTCAGGAAAATCAAGATTTGATGGATTTGGTCAAGAAAACCAACACAAAAGAAGAAACTAAATTACAAAAGTTACATAAAGCAGCAGGTGCTTCCGATGTGAGCAAATGTCCCTATCATCGAACCATGAATTTTGGTAAGGATCCATCCATTCACTGTTTGATCATTGTTTTGAATTAATAACATCAATTGATGTATCATCATGTGCTTGATAACATTGATACTTTTTGAAAATCTGTTTTATTTGAAAATAGTGAAGGGTGCTTTCGGAATGGGACCAAAGAAGACAAAGGAAGAAGAAACAGATCCCAACAAGAAGAAGGAAGAAAAGAAAGAAGAAGAAGAAAAGGGATGGTGTCTCGTCATGTAAATAAAGCATCATGTCTAAATTTGTGCACAACCACACCTCGTACTATTCTTGTTGGGTTTTGGAATTAGAGCATGATGATCGGGTGTAACATCACAGAAGGGATCTTTCAAGAAATGCATCACAATCATCTGAAATGCAAAGTCAATTTAATAATGTTTACAAATTTTCACAAGCAGCAACGAATGGATCACAGAAATGGACAATAAATCACTCAATAATTATGCATTTGAATTGAATAGATCATCATCCTCAACGTCTCGCCTACTTCTAAAGAATGAGGTTTTCTTTTTGTCAGATTGAAGATTTGAGTTTGATTTGTTCTTGCTAGTGTTCAATAATTCTTTTTGTTTCCTATATCTCAAAATCTGTTTAATTAAATCCTCAATCACTGCAGACACATTCTTTCCAGTTTTAGCACTTGTTTCAAAATAAGGAGCATTGGCAGTGTCACTAAATTTCATTGCAGTGGCCAATGGAACCTCTGTGAAAGCATTAAAAAAAATTTAAAATATTCAGAGAGTATTCGAGGAAAATGATCATTGATGATTCGTGAAAATCAGTGATGTGATTTCATGTGGTTGTTGAAAATCAGGACCCATTATATTGAGTTCATCATGAAAATTCATTCACAATTTTAACACTACATGAAAACCTCTCTCACTTACCTCTTACAATTTCAGCAGTATCACACTTATTTCCAATACAAATACATGGCTTCAATAATCCATAAGTGTTTTTTTCTTCTTTTTGTAGCACATCAAATGACCTGTGAAAAACTTGCATTTGTGTGAAACTATTCATCTCATCCACTGCATAGAATAGAATGAACGCATCAATGTCATACCATGGTATATCCTACGTTTGTGTACGAAGATAATGTTGAAATCATCACCCAATGTAAAATAGTCATGATTCAAGTATGGAAGTGATGAGACACATGATAATTTCAAGAAACATGATCATTATGGCAACCATCATGATGAATCACCATAGTGACATTCATTGGAATGATATCAAACAATCATGATTATTGAAACAAGCATCGAGAATTCAATATGTATACACACCACAAACACACACAAAAAACACATACTTCTGGTTGAACATCTTCAAAGGATGATCCGGCTGATGGTTGTATGTACAAAAACTCAATATCCAAACATTCATTAGAAATTGTATATCTATTGGAATTTTCTTCCTTCTTGTCCATAATTTCGCGTTGATGGAAAGTGGTACCCTATAATGATAAAGAGTGTCATGATGGGTCGTCATTGTCAATGATGAGAAAGATCATAGATGATGACAAATTTCGAAACGTTGTGATTGGTTGTTGTCAAGAGTTTGACAAGTCGAAATGTCATTTGATGAAAATGTATACGTGATGAGAATGTTCATGTGTCGTGCAAATATACATAAAAGAGTATCCAAATGATCCATGGTCATTGAAATTTGTGTTCATTCCAATCGTAATAGTTGACGGCCGTGCGTTTACGAAGAATAAATGATGGCCATCATTCAATTTGTATTGTTTTCAATATCACACAGAATTATCATCATGACGGTCGTTGAATCATTGTGCCGAAAAACTTACAAATGTCTTTTTACCAGTATTTGGATTGCCACAAATTGCAATTTTGATGTGAGTAACAGATTTTGGTTTGACCATGATTTTAGTGTTGTTGTTGTTATTATATAGGATTCAAATAAAGTTGGCAGAAGCGCAGCAACTAGTTGTACGTCAATGATGAAGATTACAGGAGAGGTGGGAGTGATGATGAGAATGGTTCTTTGCTTTCAAATTTTTTAATTTTATCAACGACGTCTGTCTGATGACAAGAGACATGTTTTGCTCTGTGAAGGATTTTACCAACAGATACAAAAGGAAGCTTTGGTAAATTCTTGAAGGAGCTTTCTTGGCTTATTGGATTTTTGTTATCATCGTGTCAATGTGTGGTGCTCCCACAAATCAAATTTCTTCAACACTAATTACTTTCTTTGAATAACAACCATCATGATTCAAAGGGCTCGTGCCATCAAATCTCAAATATTGTTCGCTTTGATTCTTCAGTATAAATTCATTCCGTATCATTATTAAATTGAAAATGCAGATCTTCCTCCCTTGCTTTGAGCTTTACCCATTTCCGCATAGGCTTTCAATCGTTCCAATCCTCCCTTCGCTTCTCCAATTTTCATTTCAATTTTCTTCGGATCCTTCTCGTTTTTATAAGCTCGGAATTCTTCTCGTATGGCCTGAGTCATGCCATCTTTCCGTACACTTGGATAGTACTTCATGTGTCTGAGCAGATTTCGATACAGAGAAAGAATTGTTTGTTTGGAAGTACTAGACATTTTTTTCTTTTTTAATTCGAAAAATATAATAACTTAAGGATTAAGTTTGATTCATGAATCAAAAGAAAATCACAAGTACATCCGTGAGAAGACGAACTGCTGCTAAATTTTGACGATACGAGATCACAATCATTTGCTTTTAAAAAATGACGCAAAAGATATTAGCCCGTCCTGAAAATGGTGTGGTGGTGGTAATTTTAATTTCTTTTCTTCAGTGTGGTAGACTTCATGAAGCTCCGAGAGAAGTGGAATTATTGAAAAAGAAATTCTCATTGCAACAATTGGGAAAGAAGAAGTGGCTTGAAAACCGAGAATTAGAATATTCAAAATCCTTTCCAGTGGAGTTTATGAATGATATGAAATTTGTGCTGAGTCACATTAAGAAATATGGACATGGGCTAGCATATGCATCAACTTGTTTCAAAGAAGACAGAGATTTTGTGTTGAAAGCAGTTCAATATCAGGGATTAGAATTACAATTCGCAAATGTAAATATGCACAAAGATCAAGAAATAATATTGGCCTCCTTAAACCGAAATCCGTATGGATTTAGATTTGCCTCAAACGAACTTCTAAAAAACAAAGAATTTGTGTTGAACACAGTTAGAAAGAACGGGCACGCTTTACTCTATGTTGACGATGTATTTTTGCAAGACAGAGAAATAATTTTAGCTGCTGTGCAGCAAAACGGTGAAGCATTAAGGTACAATCAAGCCTTAGAATTGAAAGACGATAGGGAGATTATTTTTGAAGCAATCAAACAAACGAAGAAGGCGTTTCAATGGATATCAACGAGCTTACTTAGAAATACTCATTTCATGTTGCAAGCTTTAAAATTTGTGGGTGCTGAAATTTATATATTTGACTATTCCAACAAAGAAATAATGCTCAAAGCTGTTCAAGATTTGGGATTTTTACTCGAATTCTCATCTGATGAACTCAAGAAAGATCGAGACATTATTTTGACTGCAGTTCGAAAAGCTATCAAGTTAGGATGTAAAAACGTTCTGGAGTATGCTTCACAAGAGGTTGCTACTGACAAAGAATTTGTGTTAAAAGCGCTCAAATTTAACAGTCTTGAAGTAATAGAATCCTTAAATTCAAACTTTAAAGCTGAAAAAGAAATCATTTTAGAAGCAGTGAAGAATGATGGACGCTCGTTATTTTATGCTAGCAAAGAGTTGCAGAAAGATCCAGAGCTTGATATGGAAGCTCTTAAATGCAATGGCTATGTGTTAGAGTATCAAGCCAGAATAGAACATTGCTATTTCGGAGCATATTTGGGCATAACCGAACGTTGATGAATTTCGAACCTTTAATAGAAGTGTCTTTTCAATTCCATTTCCAAAGGGTAGATGAACGATCATTAGATGTTTTTGAATGGACAATCCATTTCTATGCAGTATCCAATAACTGACACAATCTACTACAAATTGAATTTCATCTTTAGGCAGGTATGAGCCTTGAAACAGTGGAAACAAAAGTTGAAGTAGCATTCATGTTTAGGTATGTCTACGCTTATTTGATTGAGGTAGATGAGCACTTACAAAAGTTCATCATTGTGGCTCATGTGTGCTGTTCTCTAAGTGAGGTGTGGCTTGTTGCAACATATCTTGAATCACTAACAGAATCTTTGAATGAGAGCTTTCGATTTGATTCAACAATTCTGATTGGCCGTTTGAAATTCCACCACGTTCAAAACTTTCTTTCATCAGTTCAATGCTTCCCACACATGACATGCACGCTGTTCTGAAATCATGACTTAACCTCTTCATCTTGTCCTCTCTCAATTGAAGGCATTGTTTTAATTGAGAGTTGGTATTTTTCAATAGGGTATACTTGTTTTTAAAATAATAGTCAAATATGGCTATACTCAAGAATGACAAGGGAAGAGCCAGCAAATTGTTGTCGAACGTGAAATGGACAACCACTAATGCACAAGCGAGTATCATACATAACAACACAGTATGAAGATAAGGACAAGGTGAGAATAACGTGTGACGTGCGATCACTAAGAAATTCCCCAATTGATGCATCATGTTGGTTCTATGAGCATTTTGTTCTCCCTGGACAACATGCTCTAGAGAAAGTTCAGAGAACGGAAACGATGCATTCTCATCATCATCGTCATGAAGAAAATGCTCTAAATTAGATATTGATAAGGAAGAACACAAAATATCTCTCCATACGTCACTAATACAAGGGGATCGACGAGTCATTGTAGGAGCGAATGGCTACACTCAAGAAGAGGCTGAGAAACAAAGGTACACTTAGTGGTCTTTTCTTGATTGTTGTTTTTTCACATCTCGTTCCCATGTTCTCTAGAGGAGGAGTAATGGAGTGTTCTGTTTTGGAGAGCTTCTCACGGCTGAGAACGTTAGGAGCTTCGGCTCTTGCCGTTCTTTGGTGCTTTTTCACTTTTAACAGTAGGTGGAAAACGACAAATGCAGTTAATCACCATAACTGGTCGTCTCGGCATGGAATCATCCTTGTAGTAAATGGTTTTAAGAAACGTTACCATGATCATACTTCTGAAAAAGGAGCTATCCACAATGGTGTGAAGCCAAGTTCAAGTCCCAAGTCGCGTTCAACTTACACCTATTTTGTAAAGATTCTCGATATTGTGGACGATGACGCGAATTGCTTGGTTGATTTCCCTTTCTTGGTATATTTAAAGAAACAAATTACAAGATGAGTTTAGAAATTTAATGAGGTTGTAGTGGATATTGATGTTGTTCATGCATGCATTAGGAAAACACCAAATGCAATTATTCGTTACATCCTTTGCGCAAGAATGGTGTTTAAATAAGATAACGCCATTCTTTTCCTTTACACTCTCAAGACAGCAATACAAATTGGATCAGGAAAAACATGAGTTACCAATTTAACATTTCCATTTACAAATCAATCCTCAATCAACAAAACTTCAGATACCATCTCTCTCTAATATCCATTTCTTTCCCACTATCTTCAAGTCCTCATGAAGATTGTCATTGAAATTCCTCTAAATCAAGCATGCTTCCGTCATACTCATTTCAAATTCTCTCATGTCGTCAATCATCAAACTGTCAACGACATTAAGAAAAAAAAATCAGATCTCCTTTACACTCATTAACACACACAACATGCCTCCACCAAAGAAGACTTCTGAAGCCTCGTCTTCATTCTCATCCTCATCATCAGTGAAGAAACCTATTTTGTCTGCAACAAACGATGACGTCTCAGGTCCAGGTATGTACCAGAAGAATTATGAAAGTTATGTGAACGATTTTAACATTCGAATGAAACCTAACATTACCAACATACTTGATCCGATTGGTTTATGTTGTTACTATTGTTGTTTGATTTTCTATAGTTATTGTCATTGATCTTGGAGCATATGTAAGTATACAAGTTTGTGTCTTGATTTGTTCATTAAATCGTAATATTATGAATATGATTATATTTCACCATTGATATATAACATCCACTTGAATTCCACACACACACTTCTATCCTTTTCGATTGATCTTTTCTTCATTTCATCCTTTCATCATGATGAATAATATTTTCACTTGTCAATCATTCCACACACATTTCCAAAAACAAAAACTTTGAAAACTCTTCATCACTGAAATCATCATCATTCATCGATCATCACTACTTTATCGAACAACAATTCACACATGACCACTTTTCTGTTTCACAATGAATCTTTCAATGAACAATCGTCACCAACAGGAAACTAAAGTGACACTTTCTGACAAGACCGATCAAATCGTCACATTCCCAACTGTTGTTGCTTGTCCTCTCAGCTCTACTTCCTCTTCTCCTTCTGACATTATTGTTGGAGATCAAGCCATTAAGAAGTGTCGTAAAAGTGCAAAAAAAGGAAGCTCAGATTCTGATTCGTATGTTCTCAGATATCCAATACAAAGAGGATTAATTATGGATTGGCTTCAAATTGAAGCAATCTTATCGTTTGCATTTGAATCCATCGGAGTGAAAGATCCATCTGTTTATCCTGTTTTGATTGGATTGCCAGGAACCATGATGCCAAATGATCACATTGAAAGTATTGCTGAACTCTTGTTTGAAATTTTCAGAGTCAAGCATGTATATTTTGAATTGCCAAATGTCATGTCATTTAAGGGAGCTTCTCCAAAAAATTCATTTGGTTTAGCTGTTGAATCTGGAAGTGCATTGACCTATGTCACACCAATTGTTGATGGAAAGCCACAATATGGATTGACACGTAAATTCACATTGGCAGGTCAAGATGCTACCAAATATGCAATTTATGTCATGTCAAAAACAGGATTTGCTGTTGACCCAGCTGATGAATACCGTGTTGCTCAACACATCAAGACAAATATGGCTTACACTTGTAAGAATCTAAAGACTGAATTTGAATTGTTTGCTAAAAATCCAGCAGAATTTAAACAAGAATTAGAAATGAGTGGTGAAAAGATGACACTTGACAAGGAATGTTTCTTGATTCCAGAAATCATGTTCGAACCTGGTCTTGCTGGAATTACTCAAGCTGAAGTTTCAAGTTTACCATTCACCATTTTCGAAGCTGCCAAATTAGCTGCTGACAATGATTTGAATTTATTGGGTAAATTACTTTCAAATATTGTTGTGGGTGGTGGTAATTTATTGTTCAATGGAATGGCAGAAAGAATTGAAACTGAAGTCAAGTCACTTGTCACAAAGAGCAAACTTAAGGCAAATGTTAAGGTCGTTCCAAGTCGTACTGAGGATGCTCTTGGAGCTGTGATTGGAGGTGCTACATGGTCTGATAAAGCTGTGAATGATATGGATTGGTTGACTAGAAACGAATACAAACAAAGTGGTGTTTCTAAATTCTTTAAATAAAACAAGACAGAAGAAGGAGATGAATTTCTGAATGAATTTCTCAAATGAATGAATGAATACATTGATTACTCTTCTATGGGTTCACTCTCTTCCAAATTAAAGATCTGAAGTTCTGAACCTTCAATTCCCAATCGAACTTTTCAATCTTGCTTTGATTAACAAAAAATGTCGCAACAACATGATCACACTATATCATCAGAATGGATGGATCATTCACTCACTACTCCATTATTGGTCCAACTCCCACATGAAATGATGGAATTAATCTTTGATTATTTGAACATTTCCGAGGGTTGTAATACGATGAGACTCTTGAACCGAACCATTTCTTCTCAATTTTTACATTATTTCCGACGAATACTGAGAGAGAGATGGGAAGATGAGAATATGGTGAGTCTTTATCCTTTGAATGAACCTCCAGTCTCTCCCGAGATGATTTCTCAAACCGAGAAGAAATTTAAAATCATCATTCCGTTCGTGTTGAAGGAATTATTAATGATCACGAACGGAAGTAGAAAGCCAAATAGATTCCATCTATTACCGATTGAGAATTGGTATGAAAGAGGTTATGGAGTGGTATTTGCTAAGGACTATGTCATTGTATCGGATGGAACTTCAAGTCATATCTTGGTTCATGACTATGATGAGTTTTATTCATGGACCAATTTTTGGAATGTGTTGTTTCATTCAGATCTGAGTACGAGCTCGGTGGATGTTAAAAAGCTGCCTGAAAAGAAGTATTTTGAATATAATGGCTTTGATTGGTATGACATGCGGGAAGTTCATTTGAAAACGATACCCAAGTTTTACTTGAATTTCTTGCAATGTATGGTAGATCCAAAACGTAGTGAACTGAGATATAATGCTCAAACAGTCATTGATTGTTTGAATTCTGAATTTTTACAAGATGAAAAATTTGCATGTCGGGTCGCTTCACTTTACTACAAACTGGTTCGACATTTTCCTTCACACTTGTTGGATGATAAAAGTTATTGCAAAAAATTGGTCACTGTACAAGGAAAAGTCCTCAAGTATTGTCCAAAGTTTGCAATCGACAGAGAAATTGTATTGGCTGCTGTGAAAAGCAACGGATTTGCACTGAAATATGCACCTACATTTCAAAGCGATTCAGAAATAGTGTCTGTTGCGCTCAACACAAGCCCTCATGTTTTGCATCACGTCTCCAAATTGACACCAAACTACAAGCAATATGTTTTGGAGGCTTTGAGGAAGAACAAATTCGACACGGTACCAAAATTTTTCACTGAACCAATGGCACAAAGTAAGGACTATGTGGAAGCACTCTTAGAAAAAAGTCCTAAATTGTTGAAGTTAATGCCAAAGGTTTGGTTTAACACTCAATTTTTTCTTAAATTGATGAAAAAGAATTCAAAATGTTGTAAATATATTTTGCAACAAACAACATCGCTCGATAAGAGAGTAATTAAGGCTGCACTACAATTGGAACCTGGTTCATTTATTTACCTTTCTGAGAAGCACCAACGTGATAGGGAGTTATTGAACTTGGCGTTTGGATGTAATATTAGTATGAATTCAGAAAATAACACCATTTCAAAGGAAGGTTTGAAACAAATTTTGAAAGCTATTGAGAAAGCGCCGAAATTACTAAGAGTGGTCTGTTTCAAGCATGACTACTTGCCACTGCCCATGGAGGATCAAGAGCTAGTGATGGATTTCTTGCAACAAGCTTGTCAAAAGTCTCTTTCACAAAATGGTTCACTGTTGCGCCACTGTCTTGGACATGACTCCTTATTAGACACAAACCAACAATTGCAATTGCTTGCAGCTGAGACAGCTTGTAGACAAAATCCGGAGTGTCTGCAACATGTTTATTGCGAATACACGGAGCTTTTTCCTCAGTTATTGGAACTTGAATCTACTGCACATTGCAAAGATGCACCCTACTTTGGGTACCACTACGAACCAAAAGACAAGGCAGCTTTAATGAAAAACATACGAGCCACCCAAATAGCCATAATCAAGAGAAATAATCCATAAGGGAAAAGCTTGTGAAAATAATTTACTTTCTGTGTCTTGTTCCAAACAATTTCGATAAAACAGATGGATGTTTGGCACTACAAATTTCAGAATAGAATTTGCGGAATTCTGGGGGTTGCATTAACTGTGAGACATCACCAATGGCCACAAGTCCAGGTTGCTTTCCTCTGTAAAACAATCGATCAATCAAGTCTAAAATATCCTGCTTTGTGACCGAGTCAATCTTGTTCACAAGAAAATCTACGCCGAAATACTTGTTGTTCCACATAAGATCATTGACTGCATTCAACACCAGTGCACTATTGTCCTCTAAGCTGTGCAATACTTGAGACTTGTATTGTTGTTTGGCTTGATCCAAGATTTCATTTGTGATATATTCTGGCATCTTGGAGAGGAGTGTAAGAATTGCAATAGGAAGTTGGCCTGGATTCATTTCTTCGTGATTCAAGCTAGCATGGAAAGAGAAAATACCAGTATCAGAATATGCATAATGTTGGGCAATCATGTTGCTGAATTGGAATGCTGGAAGATAGTGCTTGTTAATGACAGAATAAATACCCTTTCCTGGACCACCGCTCGAGAAGGAATCTCCTCCTCCCAAGATTGTTTCCAAGATGTTTACAGCGAAAAGATCGTCAACATTCTTATATCCAACTCCTTCAAAGGAAGCAACAAAGGATGTACTTGGTGGAATATTTTGTAAAAAGGCTGACTGAGGTCTCTCCAAAAATTCAATATATAGTTCACCAGGTTTCCATACGGGTTTAACGTATGGCTCCTGCATAGAATTGTTTTGTAGAGCCTGAGGTGAAAAGTCCATATATTTGTTCACTAGTTCTAACATTTTGTCTTGTTCAATACCAATAGCTGAAACTGTGCATCGACTTGGAACATGGAATCGATCATAAAATGCATGGAGAATTTCAGGAGTAGCATCTTCTTTGATGGCAAGGGAAGGATTTCCCAATCCACCCTCAGGTGTGGCACCAAAACATGATTTTAGAATGGAATCCGTCATCACTGTTGAACTTGAAGGAATGGACATTTCTGTTTCTAAATTAAATTTGAGTAATTGAATTGCAGCGTCAATCTCGGTTTGGTAAAACTTTGGATGTAACATGGTGTCGGAGAGAAATTCAAAAGCAATGTCAACCTTGTCTTTTGGACAAGTAATGAAGAAGGAATGACTTTCATACTCTGATGTTGACTCATAAAGCACTTTGTCTTCGAGATATTCCTTCACAAAATCTTCGGTAAACTTTCGAGAATGAGCAAATGTTAATCTGTTGATAATTGTGGAAATTCCGGCTTCATGAGGCTTTTCATATCGCGGTCCAGCACGAAATGCAACGCAAATACACACCAAATTTGAGTGTTTCGAAAAAGTAGAAACAGTTAAGCCATTCTCTAACTTTGTAACTTGTAAATCTTTTGCATTGAAATGAATTCCGGGAACAATGTATTGAATGTTACTACTATCAAAGAGAGGTTGAGTAAGATTTGGTAATTTGGGTTTTGATGATATTGTTCTCGTGGCATCGGGTTCTTCTGGAATTTTCAAATTATTTCGGAGTGCTTTTGGATTTGCACTTTTCAATAATTGTTTCAATTTTTCCTTATCAACATTCTGTGCTGTTTCCAATACAGGATTGCCTTCTGGAAAGGAATTCTTTAATTCATAACCCACTTCTGGAGTGAAAACTACTGTAGGAGAGGACGCTTCCTCTCGTTCTCTCATCACTCTCTGACTCGTATGATAATGATGGAAATTAAATGATGTTGTATTGGATCCAATGCTTCCCAAATTTACATTCTTGCTAACAGCTTGAGCCAATGTTGATTTTCCATAAAGTCCGAAAGCACCTATTTGCTGTTGTTGAAGCGCACGCAAGACGGGCTGACTGTTGTTTCCGAGCGCACGCTGTGTGGAACGAAGAAGGCTTTTACTCATTTTTTTAAGGCACGGGCTCCACACGAATCAAAAACGCTGCGTCTAATCATCAAGCGTTCTGAGAAGTTAGTAGTGGGAATGCTAGTATTACTACTTTCAAAAGAACAAGTTGTGAACTCGAGAAGAAGTGCGTTTAGAAAAAATTGACTCGATTGATCATCATCTGCAGAAAATATTTTTCACCAAGATGTCTTCGCATCATCATGATGAACCAGAAGCATCGGAAATACGTTGGAAAGAATTTATGAACTTGGTAGGATTGGACGCTTTTTCAATTTATTCTCTCCTTCCTTCCTCCCATTCCGTTTTTATTCAAATTACAACAAGTCAGTAAACATTGGCAATTATTATGTTTGGAATGTATGAAAGAAGATTGTACAGAACTGTATTGGGATCGTTCTGCAATTGTGAGCAAGGGTAAAACCAATCCGTTGGAGTTGTTTTTCAAAATTCTTAATCCTTTTAAAAAGTTAAAGGTCATTGTACTGAAGAATGAAACTGTAGATATTGCCTTTCTGAAAACCATTCTCGTGGATTGGAAAGGAGAGGTTAAACATTTAAAATTCATTAATTGTATGATGAGCGTTTTTCATCAATTACCCATTCAGTGCAAGTTCATGACCTCCGATAGTAGTGTTGAGAGATCTTTTTCGGGATATGTTCCTCTCCAACAATTTTTTGGGGGCAAGGTTTTGGAGTGCCAATTTATAACTGAAAAGATGAAAGCAAAAACTGTTCGACGAAATTATGGATATTTGAATGGGATGGATGAAAGTGAAAGTCAAGAAATGTCTGTTGGATGTCAGCGGTCGTGTGTGGAGGAAATTACCATTATTTCAACTCAGACACACATGTTGAGCCATGAACATTTGTTATGCTGCTTTTGCCTCTTAAAAGAATTTCCAAAATTGAGGTTAGTATTACTTAAATATTTATAGTGACAGGATGTAGTGAATTCTAATGATAAAATTGGTAGACTGGTTGAGCTTTCATTCATGTCGGCCAATGTCTTGGATTCTGTAATTGAGTCCATGGGAGGAAAAGAGCTTTTTCCCAATGTCGAATTTAAGAAGAATATTCATTCAACCGCAAACCAAATCTTAATGGACACTCAAGATTTTGAAAAGGTAAGATCTATGATCACATTTGAAAATTGTGAGCACATATCACGTCACAACAAAGGCTATCGATTATTACATGAGTCGATTTGAAAAGGACTTTCATTTTAGAAAAAACAGGCTTGAAGCATTTAGGAAGAAGTATTTGACATCCCGATCTTCTTTTGACACTTTTCACAACAATGCATGTAAAATCATTGATTTTTTTTCGTATCATTCACCTTTTGGTATGGACTCCAAGTTAAAAGATATGAATGGATACAATATTATTCAATTAGCCATTATTTTCTCTTCCCATGCCACTGTGGAATTTATTTTGCGATACTTGACTGCATTAGAAAATGAGTCGGTAGACATAATTCAAATTCACAACGAGTTACAGGAATTATTTTGGTCCAATAATGGCATTGATGGAAAAAACGCTGTTTTTTCGAGCATTCCAAGCAAAGATTGTGACGATTTACTGCGAACTATGATGCAGTATAACATTTCATTTAATGCACCCTCTTCTGATGGGTCCACTATAGCTCATTATTTGTGCCACGTTGGAAAATTAGAACAACTCAAGAACATTTGGTTTTCACTCTTTAAAGATTTACCACTGGAAAGAAAACTATATTTTCTTGATCTGAATTCTAAAAATCACATGAACGAATATCCTATTGAGGTTTGTAAAAAGCTCAAAATGAACAACATGATGAATTATTTGAAAGAGAATTCACAACAGTTTGGAATTTCATATTTACCAAACTTGGAGGTGGAAAAACCAACGAGTAGCCAAGTCACACATAAACCGTTACCAGTGCAACCTCCTGCACCAAGTCGACAAAATACCCAATGTCAAATTTTGTAATGAAATTCATTCATAAACACAAGTGTTATCTTTGTTGGTCTTATTTTGTTGTGGAATGTTGGCATAGTTGACGCTTCATTGATACAGTGGTTCATCCACACAAAGAAGAAAATTACACAAGTTTTGATTGTTGTTAATATATTTAGTATTTATGAACATCATCACAATATTATCTATTCACAATTTTGGTGACAGTTGGACTTTGAGACTTGCTCTTGTTTTCAATTTCATTTTGCTCCTTGATGCTCATCAGAATTTCTTCCTTGTTTGTTTCCAAAACCAATCCTCCGATAGTAATTTCATCCAAAATATAGTGTACTTTATCGGAATGGAAAATCAAATCCAACTCACAAACGTTTTCAAAACATTTATCCAACGTTTCAACAAACACTTGGATAAGATCGAGTATTCCTAATTCGCTTTCATTTTGATCCACTGCAAAGATAAAGTACAAGGTAGCATAATGTCTGTAGATGAGCTTGGTGTCTTTTCCCCAAATTGCTCCTCCTTCTAAAAAGTTACAAACGGAATCAGATCTTCTCACTACTAATTGATAACATTCTCGGACTGCTTGTTGTTGTTTTTCAAAAGGTACTTGTTCATAGAATCTCGTGAGACGAGGCTTTCCGTGATTGTTCACAACAATAATTCCTTTAATCATTTTTCGTTTGATGATGATGGTTAAATATTTTTTTAGAGATTTTTTTAATTGCAACGATTCTGTTAGCCAAAGGATGATACCTCTCCTTTCAAAACAGGGGTGAATTAAAAAAGAGTTTTTTGGAGTCAAATAAATCTCCAGAAAATTAACTTCGATCGATTACAAATATATAGCTCTCTCCAATGAATCATTTAACCTGAATCATGTGAATGGTGTTGGGGGATTGATTTCGGAAGACGAAAACAAAAAAAATATTTCATTCCTCACAACATGGATCCATCATCGTCGGATCAGCAGCAATTATTAGAGGCACTTGAAAATAATACTCTCGACATTATTGATAATTTAAATCAATTATCCATCATGATAGAAATATATGACCCGAAAGAAACAAAACCTCATTGGTTTGAAAAGATTGAAAAATTGGATCAACAATACACAGACTTGTTGTCTTTGTGTCATTCCAATGCCACCATGCCTCTCATGCAAGAACAATATCCATACGAGGTATTGCAAGTAATTGATAAGAATGAATCACCAGATCAATATCTTCAAACTGTAAAGAAAAAGTCACAACAGAGAATCGAGTTTGCAAATGGTAAAAAATCTGCTGTTGACCAATTGCGAAATGTTTTGCGAACAGAATTAGAAAAACATTTTCCTGAGACCACTGAGAATGTGGTCAAAAAGGAATAATATTTGCTATCATTAATAATTGGATATTTATCGTCTCACAATGTTTGATTCATTTAGTGAAAGTATTTACCTAGAGCAGTGTCATTAGCGTTACCTCCTCGTAGTAATCTTTGAAGATTTTCTGATACTTGTCTTTTGTTGTGAGGGAAGTACTGGTTTGCTAGTTGTTAATGTATCTTCGACAATTTTTGGTTTGGATGAATGTTTCGAAATGAGTATTGGCTTTGGACTGAGAGTGGATGGTTTTTTTGCAAATGAAGGCTTCTTATCACTGCGTGTTACACCTTTGGAAGAAATTCTCTCAGTTGTCGAAATAAAGTCAGACAATTTAACAGATATGGTTTTTGAGGGTGAATAGTCGAGATCATTTTTGAGTATCTTTGACGTATCCTGGAGAGCACTGGTAAGGATGACACTGAGTGATTCTCGAGGTGTAGTGTTGAGCTGAGACTGAGATGAAGACCCAGGTGTATTTGAGCTGATTATCCTAGGTGAAGGCTTAGGAGATCCAAACGAGCCTGATGCACTCTTTCCAGTTTTCGACTTCTTTGGTACTGTAGCCACAGGTATTGGGGAAAGTATGGACGCGTCTTCAGCACTCATAAATATTACATCAGGCTCATATTCTTTTGGTTGGGACAGAAATTCCAAGGAAGAAATGTTGTTTGGGTTGGAAGGTATGTTCGTGCTCAATATTGTCGTTGTCTCACTTGTGTGTTCTGTTTTACCATCGATCTTAACCTCAGGCATGGAATGATCTTTTTCAATTGGCGAACCCAAGTTAAATGATCGAAGATTAGCCTTTTGTTTAAGAAGGTGATGAAAGTGGATTGTGTCCGCTTCTGAAAACGATTGCTCTTTTTGTAATGGAGGTGTTGACGTATAGTTTGAAATAAATTTGTCGACTTCATCTTGGATTTCTTGGTCAGAAAGGGTGGTGTGAACGTTTGTTACTGTTGTAATGTTCACAATTGGCTGCGTTTGCACTTCATCCTGTTTGCCTTCTTCATGCATTATTTCCTTGACATCAGTAACTTGCTCATTCTTACGCGGTGGTTCATGGTTTGTTTTCACTGATGGGCTTGGTGGAAGCGATTTCTTAATGGATTCATCAACGGTAATTCGCATGGTTCGGATCGTTGCGTTTTTTAAAGGTAGAAATGCTGTCTAGTTTAGGGTTTAAATGTATGCATCCTGCCACCAAAACATTATGATAATTCTTACCTCCATTATCGAAGACGGCTTAATGTCAATCCATTCTGCATTTCTTATCATTTTGTCAATATCAAAAGGAAGCTTGATATTGAGCTCTCCTATTGTTTTCAAATCTTTCACTTCTTGCAGTTTCTTAGTTGGAGTGTAAAAAGATGGTTGTTTGTTCTCTTTCAGCTCAAGCTGAGAAGGGGATCTTGCGACGATGTTACTTTTCCCAGATGCATTTGCTGTAGTTCCTGTGCTGTTGTTATGTACAAATGAACTAGATTCATTACGTAAATGCTTTTCTTCAACACTTGCAAAGCAAGTAACAGTTTGGTGAACGAGGTCAGCAAAGTAAGAAAGAGTTTTTTCAAAAATAACAAAGAGAGGGTCAGTTTTGGGCTCAAACTGATTTCGTTTTGTTTTGTCTGCATAAGACGACTTTGAGAATGCATACAGCAAGTGTATGGCGCCAGATTTCTCAAGCGAAAAATTGTTGATAAGGAACTTTTGAAGTAACGCTTCGTTAATAAGGAAGTTTTCAACGTTAGATGAAACTAAACCTCCGTTAATTAAGAGTTAAAACTGAATGAAAAAACGTACAATGATCGTAGCTTTCTCCGTTTGAAAAAAACCCTTTTGTTTCTTCAACAGCTTCTCGCCACAGTAAAGGAATGATCAACTGATGACAGTCATGATTGGTACCTGTTTGTGTTTGTTTAAAGATGCGCATAGTGTTATTCTTCCACTTACTTTTGCTTATCAAATTCAAATCAGCAACATCTCGTTCAATGAGTACCACTGATGATTCTATTATTTCTTTTTCCATGCAATTTTTATGAAAATACTCTTTGAATCTTCGGAGAGTAATAAAACCTGTGAAAGCGTTGCACTCCCTCATAATTTCGAACGTATGTTTCAGCAAATGTTCAGCATGGCTGAGTTGGTGATCTTCAGAGTCGCTGGAAATTACAATCAATAAAATCAAAATTTCTTCTACAGACAATAGAGTTTTGTTCTCAGTGTCAAGCAAGAAGAATAAATGCTCAACCGATTTAATCCACTGATCAGATACATTCCATGCTGCCATCAATTCATTGTTTTGAATTTTTACAAATAATCCTAACAATACATCCAGCTGATATTCCGAATATGGTGCAATAGCCTTCATCCATTCCTGCTCGGTTAATGTTGATTTTGGTTTTTGTGTGGTTCCCAAATTAATGATTTGATTCACCCATTGCTGCATTAACGTTTGAAACTCGTCTTCGTTGACCACTCCGTTCAAAAGCCATTCAAATATTGATTGAAACGATTGAAGATCCTCCGAAGATGATATTAAACCCTTTGTCATATCCAATACGACTTCTACGTAAAGAGCTTTTGCGTAACATTCTCGTCTGCTGATAGACAAGCTCATTTTTTGGAAGGTCCATGAACGAGTTTTAAGGTCGAACTGTAAAGTAACGTTGGCGGTAAAAAAAAATGAAAAGAGTTTTCAAAGGGCTAATTCGTTGTTGTACTCGCTTGTCTTCACTGCAGTTCATGCATTCTCGATTGTTAACTGAACGATATTTCAACACATGGCAATCTTTGTCCCGAAAGAAAAAAATTAGAACACATGAAGACTGGGAAAAAGATATCATTCACCCACAAGGTTTTTACGATTTCGGAAGAAAGGAGACAACGCATGATAAAATATGGAGGGAGAGGAATGAGAAGGATTTACAACAAGCAATGGTAGAACTGGATAAATATCCTGAAGAAGTTGAAAAAATTTCAAAAGAAATAGAAAAACATTTGAAAAGAAATTTGGGTCTTATTGGTGACAGAGATCTAACAGCGTTACTGTATTTAACGCTGCCGTTTATGAAGAGTTTTGTGGAGGAGACTCTTGGTTTGGTTGACCCTTACCCAATTTTTTACTGTTTGGAAAAAAAGGAATTTATAACAATAATTGATATGGAGGAAGAGGGAAATGTAATACTGTTAAATAGTCACGAATTCGAACAGCCACATCTAGAAAAATTTGAAGTGGATGACCCTTCCAGGAAAATGATAGTATTCACAACCGCTGCATCGTGCTCCAAATGGATGGATCGCTTATTATCGAACAACAGAAAACACATATGTATTGACATTATGTGGAACCACAACGACCCCTTTTACGAACGTGCAAGACTGGTTGTGCTTTACAACGGATGGCTCATGTTAATTCTAAGGGTTCCCAAAACAAAAGGTCCAGACCAAAAACTGTACGAGTTGATTATGGACCCCAAAATAATGAAGTTTGGGTTTGATGCACCGGCAAAGGCCGGAAAATTGTCACAATGGTTTGAATCATGCAACCTGAAAGGTATACAAGATGAAAGGAAACACTTTATCGTTGATGCAGACGAGTATAATTGGAAAAACTTTAGACTACTTACATTTGGGGTGCCACTACACAGACGAGTGGACTGTTTTTTGAAGGAGCAGCCAGATTCCTTCTATCATTTTGGCAACCTTGACCCTAACACCAAGCAAGGTAGAACTCGTTTGGAGTATGCTTCACACGGTGTGTTTACATGTTGGTACTTTGCAGAATACATGGATACAAGTGAAGAAAATAAGGACATTCACACTTGGGCAACCTCTCATCATCCAGAAGGAAAAACCCCAATTCTTCTTGAAGAACCTTCAGATGAAGAGTTTGAAAAATGTGAAAAGCTTGCAAAAAAGTATGACCGTGTAAAATTGTCGCTTGGCCCTCAATTGTTTTACAAACCTTCTGTAGTGAATGTCAAATACAAGGAAACAAAAAGGGAGGACTTTACGAAACTGATCATGGAATGGATTCAGAGTAAATTTTAGAGTGTATCATACTACCACCCTCAATTTCACAATCCAGAACACTTGTAGGAGAGAAAGCAATTCCATATAGAGAATAAGGTGAGTTTCATTTCATTTCCCAATGTCACGTGTCAGCTACAATCCTCAAGTGAAAAAAATGTTTTCTCACTCCATCTCTGCTTCCTCTCCTTCATCATTCCATGAGGCAACAGCACGAGTTCTGCCCAACGAAAAAGCTCCAGTGATAGACAATGCTGATTGGATCCATGCTCAACCTCTCATCGGATCGTATGGACATCGTTCCAAACATACCTCCGTCTCATTCACAAATGCCAGAAATGAGCCATGTATTCTCATCTTTGGGGGACAATCCGATTCCACTCATTCGTCATCATCAACCAGTACCACTTCAAATTCCAGTAATCATCATCTCTCTGGAAGCAACAACAACCATCATCATTCAGTGGGAGGTGGTGACGTATTCATGTATGTGATCAAACGATTGCAAGACAATGGTGAATGGCACTGCTACTCTCCACCAGTGAAAAATCCTACCAATGCACCACCTCGAGTGAGAGGTCATTCGGCCGTTTACTTTGAAGGAAGAATGATTGTGTTTGGAGGAAAGAATAATTTCAGATATTTTGATCAACTTTTCGTAAGTAGTTGACGTCGACGACGAGTGAAAAAGTTTTTGTGTGAATATTGGTCTCATTGGTGATGATTATGGCACGCATCTTCTTCGTCGCATTTGATCATTATAATGATGGACACGGCACCTGATCATGGTGGCCACATTGAATTTTCCATCGGGATAATTCTTTTGAAATTGTGTGAAATTGTGATGGAATTGGCCACTGACAATAATCCAATATCTAACACTCTTATTGATGTCCATTCCACCACTCGATGATGATCATCTCGAATGTTTTACTGTATGTGCCATCCACATGAACGATTCCATATTTGGAATAGTCTCTAAACTGTTCCACTTGGGAATGGAGTCACATCATTTCTCTTCAACGATTCAGTACGACACGATTCATCACGAATGGACAAAGTAATAAGAAAAATCGCTCAGCATCCTCCTCTCTTCACAACAACAGTACCACTCCACAGAATTCTTCGTCCTCCTCCTCTGTCGTAGGTCGTACCATTCGTGAACAAATTAGTTTCGAGTCCATGATCAAACTTCCATGTAAGAGAAGTAACCATACAGCAGTGGTCCTTCCAAAATATCGTAAAATGATTGTCTATGGAGGACGATCGTATGGAGAGACACTTGGAGATTTGTGGGCCTTTGATTTGGAGGAATATCAATGGGATAATATTCAAATGGATCCTCATAAATCGCTCATTCCCTCTGAACGTCATTCACACAGTGCCACAGCGTTGCAGGAAAATCCCAATGTCATGATCATTTATGGAGGTAATAATGGTAGTTCACAATTGAATGATTTGTGGATGTTTGATTATTCGGCAACTGTTTTTACACCCATTACCATGTGGAATAGTGTATTAAGCAATCCTTCATTGTCATTCAAAACGAGCGATCCAGGTGCAACAAATGCCATTCAAGTTGCAAATTCAATACTCCTTGGAAAGAAGGCCTCCAATTCAGATTCGAAGAATTTATTGATACCCACTCCAAGAGAAAGTCATCAATTAATTTCTTTAGGAAAAGGTTACTTAATGGTTCATGGAGGTTATTCCAAGAAGAGGTTCATTAAGGATTTTAATATTATTGATCTTCAACGAATGGAATATATTGACTGCACTTCTATTCCAAGAAAGAAGATTCCATGTTCAAGAAAATGTCACACTCTCAATAACATTTCAGAGGAGTATATTAGCATGGTAGGAGGAGTCTCTAGAAAAAGAGGAAAACTCGATGATTTTAATTTAATTGACAAGGAAATGTTGAAAAGTTTCATTCTCACCGATGGAGACGCTTCTTTAGTTGAAGAATTGAAAACTGTTCTCGAAAAGAAGTATAACATTCATCTCGAATCTTCACCTGATGCTTCATCCATTAGAAACTCCATTTCAATCACCCATTTAGAAAGCAACAATCATGACAAACGAAAATCAGTCAGAATTTCTCAAAGTCTCAGCAAAGACTCTCTTTTAGAAATTGGTTCCATCTTGTTAACATTGAGAGAATACCACAAAGCCATATCCTATTTCACACTAGTTCTTCAAATCGATCCCAACAACAAGATGGCTTTCGAAAAGAGAGGAATTTGTCACTTCATGACCGAAGACATTTTGGCGAGTATTCAAGATTTTTCTGAATGCAACTCACCTGAATCACAAATTTTAAAGGCCTACGCTTTCTTACGAATTGGAAAATATCGAGAGGCCTCCAATGTCATGCACATGCTCAAAAATAGCTATTCAGGCTCACAATTACCAGTACTCGTTGAAGTGATCAAACAATTATTGGACTCGTATGAAAGTTCAATAGAGAGCAAAAACAAGAGCTCTACGCAACGTGAGTTACGTGCCTCTCGAGCTTATTTTGCTACCAATATTGATGATTATGTTTTTGAGCCTCAATCGGGCCGATATGTGGACCTTGAAAGTGAAAACAAGCCTAGCGAAGAGGGTCATGTGAATTTCTCGATTGCAGAGCCTTATTCTTTACTATTTATTGGACAGCATGAGTGCGGAATGACTTCATATTTGCAACAAATTAGGTCCATGTTCCGACAAAGTATTAGCATCAAGGAAGCGAAAGTATTCAAACCGAAAATTCAAAATTATACCATTGGTTTGTATCATCAATGGATGAGTTTTAAAAAAGTTTTGGAAGCATTTGATAAGGACGCATGTCCCATTCAAGTATCACAAGATTTGGAAAAACTTTCGAACCAAGTTTTTGACTATTTGGAAATGAACAAATCCGACAAGGATGGATTATCCATTTATCCAATTGCAAAAGTTCAAAAATTAGTCATGCAATTGGGTTCCAATCGAGAATTTCAAAAGATTTGCTCCAACTTTGCATCTCTGTACGAAATATTGAAAACCAAATATTACTTTTGTTCACTCCAAGAAGAAATTCACAAACTCTTCCACAATGCCAATGTACCATAGTAAGTAGCACCATGATTCAAAATTGTGTGACATTTCAATAATTTTTCACATTTTCCATTTCAATAACAGCTTCTTCAAGGAAACGAACAGAATTCTCTCCACAGACTATCTACCCACAGATATGGATATTATTTCTTTCCCAATCAAGTATCACTTTTGTCCTCTTAATCTCATTGCATGTGAAAAAAAGAGTTATGAAGAATCATTGGATTTGAATGCAACAAATTCTCCTCTCCCAGCAATGAATCATTCCGAAGAAAATTTAGTATCAACAGCAAGTAGCCCTTCTCCAACTCGTCTTGAAATGAATGACACCACCACCATCAACACTAATGGTCACCCAACGAGAGATTTGATTTCATTCGATGACGACAAGATTCTCCCTTCCACTCAAAATGTGAAACAAGTCATTGGAGATTTCACAAAGACAATCTTTTCGAATATCATTGAACAACATCAAGACAATAACGATAACAACAGCGATAAGGATCGTAGTACTCATGTTCATCATGATCATACAATTCAACCATTGGATCAAATGAGAGGAAGTGTCGTTGAAAGAAATGATCATTTCTTGGACTCGCACCAAGACATTCCATCTTGTTTCAAACCTCCATACAGTGATGACATGTTTATAGGAGATATTTCCATCTATAAGGATAGTATGGATAGTTTAGATTTAAATGTTGAACAATCTCCTCTTGAATTTATCTTTAAAAGAACACCTTATACTATCTTTTCAACGACAGCTTGCAGTGATGAAGAAAAAGTCACGAGTGCCATTCGAGAGTTGAGTATTGATTCCATTGCTGTCATCACCTCATTACATGATGTGGATCGAAAAGTACAAAGCTCTCATCAGCAAATTCCGGTTTATTCCTTTATGAATGGTCAGGTGATGGCCGATGGAAAATCAGCCTCTTCTATTGTGAACACTCTACGAATGTGTGAAAAGTTACTGAATCAAGAAGCATTTGGAGACACACAAATTATTTTCATATTCACTCATCATGATGTATTTGTAAGTTTTTTTAATGATTTTTACATTTTTTTTTAATCAACCCTTATTCAATAATTGTGACATGAATGATTGGATGAAAAAACACATCTATTTTCATATGATAGGTTCGAAAGGCTGCACAAGATCCAAATCTTCTCAAAAACGTGTTCCCTACTTATCAAGCAAGTACCAAAAAGTCACCTCAAAAGTACCTTGAGGAAATGTTCGAAATATTCAATGACAAGTATCGAAAGAGAAGAAGATTTCACTTCTCATTCGTGAACACCCTTGATAAGGATGATGTCAAACGTTCATTTAAAACCATTCACGAAATTGTTCATAGTGTTGAATTGAAGAGACAATTAGAAACATACAAGATGTTGTAATCAAACACGATACACGTTATTGGTTTTTCAATTCAAGTTTGTTTCCTTAGATTAAATTTCGATGTAGAAAAAATTTAATTACTCGAAGCTTTTTTCAATAAAATTCAGTTCGCTTGCATTAGGGTTGAATAAAGAGATGCACAAATAGTATTATTTCAGAGGTTCAAAATTGTTTATTCAACGAAATGCGTACTATTTACAATGGTCAACTTGTTTAAAAAGACTCAAAAATACTATTTACATTAGCTCCATCATCAATATCATCCATACATGGAGAGGAGGTGTTCTCAACGAGCAAATTCTCAAAATTAGCACCTCCTCCAACGACAACATTCATCATCAAGAGAGAATTCTGGAGGAGATTCATTTGGATTGGATTAAGGTGGAAGTGTTGCTGTTGCTGATCCGAATGAGGCAAATGGAGAGCAGGAGGTATGTACAAGGCAGGGGTGGTGGTGGAACAATAAAAGTTGGAAGCAGCAGAAGAGGCAAATGGAGAAGGAAGAATGGTACAAAATTGTTGTGTTGAGGCTTGATGATTTGGAATAAAAACACCATCAGCATCATCGTGGTTGGTAAAATCCGAAATTAATTGGGTCATCTTCTCGTCATCAGCATCATCAGCACTCAATGATGGAGAGAATTCATCGGCAGACGAATCAGACTCGGACAAGCCACTGGTACACGTGCTGGGACTCACACAATAACCTGCTGCCGTATTGGAAAAGACAACATAATCATCATGAGCCTCATGATGTTGTGGAGGAGATGGAATGACCACGAACATTCCTTGTTCAAAGGCTGTATGGAAGGGATGAGCAGGAAGGACAACCGTTGAGGTCGATGTTGTTGTTGAGTGATTATTATTGCATCCATTAGTGGTCATTTCATAGTTCAGTATTTCTTGTTGCGACTCGGCAACGACTTCTTGTGAGGAAGAGTATGGAGAAGATAGATTGGAAGAAGACAAAGAAGCAGGAGAAAACGCATCAGAATTACCCACTACAGATGGATCCATTGTGGACGTACTCATTGAACATCCACCACTATTGGACAACAAATCTGAAAAGTTGGTAAAGAGTGAGGTCAAGAAGAGCAAGTGATGATTATTCGCCATACTGCTACTACTCGTCGTCGAGCTCTCTTGCTTCTCACTCGACAACAAATTGGTGGCGTTGTGAATCACGGTTCGGATCAAGTTTCGTTCCTTCTCTGAAAAGTTCTTGACAGCTGCTGAACGATCCTTTTCATCATTGTTGGCACTCGCTGTCACTAACAAGTGAATGAGTCGAATGGTCTCTGAAACATCATGGTGTGAAATGAGCTTTTCAAAGAATTCATTCGGTATTTTCTTGAGGTTGGATACAATTTGATCGTTTGATAAGGCATTGTAAATTTCATTGGTTTTTCTAAAGATGAATTCACGAATTGACACAAATGAATATTAAAGACGCACACAAAAACTATTAAGACTTACTTGGAAGGATAAGGTTTCAAACTCTTTCTCTTTGCTCTGGGTTTTGGAAACTCTTCACCATTCTTCTTCATCTTTTCAAAGTGCTTTTGAGCGTGTGACCGAATTTGCTTTCTCGTTTTCGTTCCAATGAAATCTTCAACCTTCTTCCAATCTCTGCCATGAATACGAATAGCTTCGAGGAACTTTTCGTGCTCGTCATCGCTCCATTTCTCTCTCTTTTGTTGAATGGTATATTCTTTTCGTTGCTTTGGAAGGACTTGAGAGAGAGTGGCCTCAAGAGGTTGTGTGAGAGTGATGGAAGGAGGTGGAGAAGAGGGTGAGGATGAATTCTTTTTTGTAATCTTCTTGATAGTGGCACCATCACACGAAGAGCCCGTATTAGACTTTCTCCTCGCAGATCCAGCAGTAGTGGTTGACGATGAGACCATAATTTGTGTGTTACTTGTGATTCGATGAGGTGAGTTGAGTGATGATTGGCAATAATATATTTACACAGTGAGCTCTTATGAAGATGCTCTCAGAGTTTAGGACGACAGAATTGGAGTTGTTGTGATGGAGAAGTCGGGTCGGCTCGGGACTCTGAGGAGATGAGGGTGTGGTTGTTGTGGTTTCTTTTTTACTGGTAGTGATGCTGTGGTAGGACCAACGTAATCACCAAACGCTCCAAATTTCAAAGTTCGGAGTTTCAACTCCGTGACTCGTGAGGTTTGCATTTGTTCGAATCGCCTTCTAAAAACTCAAATTTAGTTTTATTCAAGGTTACCAAGTGTTAATTGCAATAGAACCTTCTTGACGAGTAATTCCTTATGATGTGGTGTTTTGGAATGAACGATTGATATTTCACATGTGATTCGTTGTTGTTTCACTTGAGCATGCTCGCAAAAATCTCATTTCGGGGAACCTCAAGTTGCCTCTCCGCGGCAGCACAATCTTTTGTAATAATCTCATCAAGAAATATACGAGCAAGAAGATTCTCTTTTGAACCTGTTTCTTTCTTTGAGTGCGTTCCTTTACAGAAACAAAAAAATGTGTTTGGCTTTCTGAGCAGTGAAAATTTTGTCTTTCGGAAATCAAAGCATTGAATGTTCTTATGAAAATAGAGAAAAAGAACAGGTCCCTACCACCAATTTTTGTTTTTTACGTATTTATTATCTGATCTAATATATATATACTTTTATTGAACAGACATTGCAAAAGAGAGCAAGGAATTTTTTCGCGGATTCGTGTAAATATTAACGAGAGAGAGAGAAACGATGGGAAATACAGTGCAAAATAATATAAAGGAGCCTAGAATTGAATCATCATTGCCTTCAATTAATGGCGGTACACAACATTATCTAGAAACATTTCCGAATCATCTACATAAAACAGATGAGACGGACTCAATTTTTACTCGTTCATCATCATCTTCATCACATACTCATCGATTGATTGATCAAATTCAATTTGGGTCAATTCCCGATAAATTCTGTAGTGTCCGTATTCTGCTCATGCAAAGTGGCATGACTGGAAATATCACTCTCTATGACACTCACAATGACGAAGCATTTAAACAAATTAGAGCCAAATTACATCTCAATATTAAAGAATTGAATGAAAAGTTTAGAAAAGAGAGGCTTTTAAAGCGATCAACTCCAAGCTTCCTGGCAAAAAGTGCTCCTTCTGTGAAACCGCTTCTCGTGAGCATGCTAGGTGGAGAAAAATCTAAAAGCAACCGTACCATAAAGCAAGAGCAGCCAACACAAAAGAACGATAAGCAAAATGTGAAACAACCAGTTGGTCTTAATGATATTAGTATTTTAGGAGAAATGTTATTTGGGTCAATTCCCATACAAATTGTGGGACAAAACACCAAAATTCATTCCGTTCCACAACACAAGCAGACCTGTCTCAGTAAGGTATTCCGAGTTGGCCTTCCGGTGAGCTCTGTAATTAGCAAGAAGGAACAAGAGCAAAATTTAAAGGAGCATCATTCCATGTTTTCTAAAATTCCAGAACATACCATGAGCGAGAACAACCATTCTACACAACAGCATACTGATGCGTCTCCATCATCGAGCTCATCTTCCATTAGAGGTCGATCTGGAAGTATTGTACATAGTCCTAGCAATGCCAGTAATATGCCCTCTAATGGTGCTGGAGGTAGAGTAAGAAGCTTGTCAACATCAGTTGCTGAGTCTGCAACAAAAGAGTTCATTGACAGCTTTGATCATGACAATAAGCAGCAAAAAGCCAAGAAAGAAAAGAGAAAGAAAGTTCAAAAAGATCAAGAAGTCTACATGTGCAAGTCCTCCTTCGGTATTTCTGTACTTCTCGTTTTTCATGACAGTGGCGAAGATAAGGATGACCTTCAAAATCCAAACCAATTGCAACGTTTAATTTTTTCACATTTTCCACTTTTTGAGCATCGATTAAGGAAACTTCTCAACACGTGCAAACAAGCATTGCAAAAATATTTAAAGAAAATTGTTGAAGATGCAAAGGAAGCTGGACGATTGGAGGAAATGTTCAGCGGTTTCACATTTAACATTCGATCATTTCATGGATGTTTGCAAGAGAGCGAGGAAATTTCAAAGGCTTCCATTGACTTTCATAGATTTATCATTTCATTTCTGCACGCGCCTCGTTTTCATGTAAGTTAGTTCGATTTTTTAATCGTGTGGTACAATAACGTGATTGATGTGTCATCATTAAGTCTCCAATTTGGCAGTCTCATTCACTCATGCCATTCAAAAAGGGTAATGATTTTTCATCATTTCTCAATGATTTGTTACTTCTCACGAATGAAGATCCTCAAAACAAAGGGTATGTTGTCTCTTTGAGTTGCATCCATTCTATGTTCACACAACACATTAGTTTCATGACACAAATCATTTCCACAATTCTTGCAAATCATCTTTCATGGATTGCACATTTCACAAAATCATCTGAAACAGAAGAAACTTCTCCTTCACACTTACTGGTCAAGTATTTAAGGTCTCTGTATGGAGCTGGTTATATTGGGGATGATGAGGGCTATGAAGGCGACACTTCAGATAGTTTATCAACCTCTTCGTGTGAACCAAAGAAGCATAGACTTGGCCTAAAAAAGTTTTGTAAGATTATTGTGGTTGGAAGTTCAAACAGGCAAATACGATATTGCATTTCCCTGATCACATATCTTTTGAAATCTGTGCTTCTTCTGGAAAAAGAATTTTCGGTAGACAAAAAACTACCTGGAGCCGTTCAAAATGTCAACCCCTCTGAGCCAAACATGAGAGAGCCTCTTGTCACTCTTACACCAATGCAATTTCTTGAAATGGCTCCACCATTAGAATCGAAGAAAAGCCCAAAATTATTTCAAAAACCATTCGTTGGTGATTTCCTACCAGCTTCAGGTCAATCGGATGACGACAATGAGGCCAGTATTAAGCCAGTCACTTTAGTTCCACAACCAGACTGTTCCGTGACACCATACACTGAGGAAGTTGAACAACTGAATTTAAAAAACAAATTCAACAAGTTTGGAAATGCATTATTTGGTGATGTGTGTACCTGGTATTGTGGAGGATTTGTAATTTCGGGATTGCCAAGATATGTCACTTTCCAACAAGAGCTTATTGAGGACTTGGAATTTGTTCAAACAGAGAGTATAGATGGAGATACAAGACTACCTGACACAGCTAGTTGTGTTATTGTTGATATCGAGGGAAGGTATGTATTTGAAAGTTTAAGTGTGCAATTTTTTAATTCGAAAATTACACATTTTTAACAGATCATGCAATGTTATTGTATCTCATCAGAGTCGCGTTAAATTTGAAGAGGGACATGCATCTGACATGATATCTAACATGCTCTCAGAAATTTTATGCCTTAAAACTCTCAATGATAGCCCAGAGACCAATGCTGTCTGTGAACAATTGTTTCAAGATACTCTTTACAGTTTGGTTCTGAAAGCAAAACTACTGCTCACACTTTCCGACTCGCTCAATATCGAGCAACCATCCAAGAATTCTATTCAAGCTGCACCCTCTTTACTATCCTGGAGATCCCAAAAAAAGCAAAATAGCAAAGGTTTGGCAGATGTCATCAAAAAGAAGTTCAATAATAATGAGAAATCGAAAAAACAAAATCCAGAACCTATAAGTTACGGCCAAATAGCTGGTCTCCTTGGTGTATCAACTTCAGACATGCCATTACTCATATCCATAGCAAGTGCTTACCGAGCAGACATTGTTAAAAAGGTTGTTCCTCAAATCAAATCTACATCAAAAAAGAAGAAACGATAGGAAGTACATGGTTTTTCTCTTCAAACCTATGAGCTATAGAAGACCTTCGCGTCAAAACAGGAAACCATTTTACCAACTTGAGCTCGCTGTGGGAAAGGCTTTTCAAATTCTAACCTCAAAAGAAAAAGTTGGAAACTCCATCCTGTATGTTGGTATTATTTGCTCAAGCAAAAGTGTTCGCAAATCGAACATTTGAAAACTCCTTGATCATCATGTTTCTGAATTCTACTAACCACGTTTTCACTCTCTTTTCGTGTGTATCACTGAAATCAATGGCAGATCTTGAGTAAACTAGCATACTGAATTTTGTCACATTGGTCATAGTGCTGATCGACGATGAATTGGCTTTGGGAGAGTTAGTAGGGGCGGTTGATTTTCTGATGCTGTAACGCCTCAAAATGTCCACAACATCATCACCAAAACTTGGAGGGGTAATATCACTAAGATTATCTGCATCCCGTTCATCTTGATTTGCTATTTCTTGTTCATTTACAGCAGGAGATGATTTTTCATCAATCGTTGCGGGAGAGGGCATTGTTTGCTTATCTTGAACAAATTGCACCGTAATATAATCATAAATTAACGATGTTGCTTGTCGATACGTGAAGAGATAAAATTCTGTATTGCTGTCCAACAATTCAACCTTCTCTTGTTTGGAAATAAATATTTCCCATGTGGTCAGGAGTTGTTCAATCGAAACTCCTTGGAAAATGGGTGAAATAAACTCAGTCCTTCTATCAAATGTTTTGTTGAATCGTTCAAATCCGTTAGGGGCAGAAAAGAACCAATTATTCCTTATTTTTGGTGCTTTGTGAAGCATCCAATCCACATTTCGGTGTTGATTTTTTGTTGGGTTACTTGTCGATAACACGACAGGTTTGTCCAGAAAGAAGTGTGACACTAGTTTTTGTAATTTCGTGTTTGACCTAATTTCTATATCAAGTATTTGAACCATCTTTTCAAAATATTCATTCAATTGTGATACTCTCTTTTCAATATTTTCTTTTTTCAAATTTCCCATGATTAACTTTTTCGGAAAGAAGGGTTTCAATTCTCGTGCAAAATCTGGAGATAATTCAATAAATCGTTGATGAAATTCCAATATTTCGCTATATCGTTTTGCTATGATACAATCTCCACTGTCCAAATGTCTATAAAACGAAGCTATTGAATTCATTGAAGATGAGGCAGTAATATTGCCATGGTTACTACTGTTGAAACTCTCCGAGCCAGATTCAATTAAAGCAGCAAAAGTATGTCCATTACTTTGATTTTCATTCAATGATGACGATGATGAAGATGACGCAGGTGTTGAGGCTGTATTCGTCATGTTATCATCATCAAATTCCTCAAAATGTGAGTACTGATATTCCCGATCAAAGGGAGTTGCCAGTGTTCCCTTCTTCTTGGAAGTTACTGTTACTTCGTTATGCTGACCCGAAGACATGTTGATGATTTCAAGATGATCTTTGTTACTAGCACTTGTATTACAATCATCATTAGGAGCATGAACGGAAGGAATAAGAGCTTCTTCTGATGAATGAACCATCATTATTAAATTCTGCACATCATGATTCTTATTCACGAGGGCGGCTGGTTTATCGGAAAACTCCTTGGCCTGATGGTTGGAAAATACTTGAATCGTGTAGAGCACAAACGGTTTTTTATCCCCACTCTGACTACCATCCACGACTTGATACTGAATGATTTTAATGAACATGGTCCTCGGCAATGATGATGACTCGGAGCGGCTCGTTTCCTCAACTCTTCGACTTTGTGTTTACGAAAACTGAATTTTTTTCAAGTGTCGATTCACACTTTAAAAAAATTCATTCACACAAAGAGTTCATGGCTGTTCGTGGACTACGTGAAGGAAAAAAGTAGCTCAACAAAAGAAAATCTCAGTAACAACGTGTACTTCATTGTTCCACTACGTATTATATGGCTGCTTTATGAAAGTTTTAATTGTTGTCATCATAATGGAGATAATTTGCAAATAGTTCAGTTTCACCTTTGGGGCTGTTCAAGTCACATAAAGCAATTAGTAAAATAGATTTGGTGAGTAATTGTGAATCGTCTTCAGAAAGTGGTTTGTATGAGAGATTTGGAATGTATTGTCGAAGATGAAGTGGCCATTCATGTAACTTGAAATTATATTCATAGTACATGACATTACTTTCAAAGTGGAGATTTTGATGATCGTTGTGGTTGGATGTTTCCTCATTGATGACAGGTGAGTTAATGTAATGTCCAATATTTAGATGATTTTTGATTGAGTATTGCTTTCGTATTTTCCAATAGGCAGTATCATCGCTGTAAGCATTGCCAACCATATCTTCATAGGCATGATCATGCACATAACGAAAATTAAGCCATGAATCATCACATTGCTTAATGACTTGGCCATTGGTTAAAATAATATCATCGCGTGTTGAATATGATTGAAAGAATAATTTAGAAATGAATCTGTCATTGCCATCCACACGACAACATGGACTTCTTTGGTTGATAAAATGATTTCCTAATATTTGGTCATCAGTATTGATCCAAATATCAAAAATTGAAAAAGAAGGAGAATGTCATAAAACAATGGTTGAAAGAATGCCACGCACCTATTGATTGAAAGAAAATGGGGTCATTACTATCATAAACCATTCCAGGATAAAGACAAACTACTTGGCCTTTTTTCACATGCCCTTTCAAAAAAACTCCGTCTCCATTCACGTTTGGAAGTAATGTTCTCTTTTTCAACAACAGAAAATCCGTGTTACTCAAACCACTGGATTTGTCACAGTTGGTATTAATATTCGATTGATTCATATTGATTTGATGAATAATTTCAAAATATTCCAATAATTGTCGTGTTAAAACTTCATGAGAAAGACAATGTTTATAGGCTTCATCCTTCGTCAATAATTCATTTCGGAATGCATTTTCCTTGATTTGTATCGATGTAAGTTTTTTAACATTCGATTGTTTTCTATTTCCGAACAAGGAGAATGAAAAATTTTGTGTCATGGCTCCACCGCTGATCCACTGATTATTTGAAATTATTTTCGAAAATGATGATGAGTGGTTATGGGTGGTTATTGGATGGAAATGGTTTTTCGAAAAAACACATTTGTATAATAGAGTCGTGGTTATCTGCCGACGACTTTGTGAGAAGGCATTTTTGCTCATTTTCTTTTATCTGAATGCAATGGATCTTAACGATGGGACGTCATGCGAACAGAGGATTGCTCCAATAGATCTAGTTTAGGTTGAATAAAGCTGTTGTAGCTGTTAAGAGCTGTCTGAATCGTGGTACCATTGTTCACGAGTTGTTGGTAGGACTCTCTAATATGATGCACATTTTCAATGAACTGGTAAATGTTCTCGCTGGTAAAACCCTTTTACAAAATATGTCTAAATACTTACATTCTCTAAATGTGTCAAGCTGTCTGTAATTTTCAGTGTCACATTCTCCAATGGAGACAACTCTTCTTGAGGTTTGTTGTTAATGACCCATTGAGCAAATTCTTCCTTAAACACTCTAATAAAATCATCAACAAGTGTAGAAAATTGTTGAACTGCCTCTCCAACTTGCTTAATCTTTTCTAAATGTTCCTGAGATAGATTTGACATGCAAAAATAGTTTCCATCCCAAGGATTCTGATTCATATCGACGTGAATGCCTTTGTTTTGCTCATTAATTCTGGATTGCAGGTCTTCAATGATTTCTTGATATCTAGTAATATGAGTATTAGCTTTTTCTACATCTTTTTGGAAAGATTGTATGTCTGGAAGTTTCTTTTTCTTGAACTTGGATGTCATGTCATTGGAGAATAACTTGACATCGTTTACGAGTACTGCATTCATGTTGTGACAAACATGATTAATAAAATTGAAATCATTTGCAAATTGTTGCTTGGTTTCTTCAGGGCTATGAGTGCACAGAATATTTGGTTACAAACTTAAAAATTACGCTTGAATGAGCTTGAACTTACCGATATTCCTTCACAGTCTCTACTAGTTCCAATAAATCATTAATGAACTTAATATTTCTCTCTCGAGTACAGCACTCACTCCCTCTCACCAAATTCAAATCACAACCTTCAACAATTCCGAGCCAAGAACATGCTTGTAGAATTGCTAATCGTTTAGACAGAATATTCATAAATTAAATCGTATCATCATCAGAATGAAACATCATACCTTGTTCTTTGTGGTCATTGCTATCTAACGGAAGTCGCAGCATGTGATTGATATCATCGGAGAAATATCCAGCAGGAAGGAAGTATCTATTTAACAAGTACATCAGTACATCATATCTAATTTCTCCAGCTTTCAAAATGTAGTCGTTATCAATCACAAGACGAGCAACAGGATGATTGCGAGCTTGTGGATCATTGTGAAGCAAGGTTTTAATTTTGAAATTCAAATTTTCGACCGTTGTCATTTTTTTGGCGGATTAGATAACTCCAACACTTCAATCCAACAATTAATATTCAAAAAAAAATGAACGCACTCTACCAAAGAAGCCACAATCAAACAGTTTATGTTCTTCTTCGGATGGTCGTCCGAGCCTTTTATGAAGATGTTCATGTAGTGGTGATGGACGCATTATTACATTATCAGACAAATCAGATCGATGAAATCCGAGAGGGCGATTTGGTGAAAAAAGTGAATTTACAACCTCATGTTGTTAAAAAGGCACTCTTGGATTTGTATAATGACTCAATAGTAGTGAAGGAAGAAAAGGCTACGGAAAGAAAAAAGGGACAAAAGAAATATCCATTTAAATCGGAATGTTTTTGGCGAATTGATTATGAGCAATGTATCAATTCTATTCGATATAAATTGTATCTAGTTTCACAGGAAGTCAAAAAGAAAGTGCAAGCAAATCCGACATATGTCTGCTCGGGATGTTACGAAGAATTTGAATCATATGATACGGCCAAGTTACTTGATTATTCTACAGGTCTTTTAATTTGTAATTTATGTGGGTCCGAAGTGAATGAGTCTGCTGACTCCATGGAAAAACATGAGGAAACAGTATCAGGATCGGATTCGCTCGAAGTTCGATTTAATACGCAGTTAGCACCGATCAAAGATCGATTAGATCAATGCAAAGATTATGTTGTTCCAAAAGACTACAGATGGAATTACAAAAGTATTGTCACAAAAGAAGAAGCAGACAAACGAATCGAAGAACAACGTAAACAAATTGACAGAGACAAGAGCATGGGAACTCACAAGCAGGTACATGTCCAAAGGCATCATCAACACAACACTCTCGGTGCCACTGCACACGTTGCCAAAGCAGCTGGAAGGTCTACAAACTCATTCCAGCTTGATCCCTCAGCAAACATTATTATTGATTTTGCTGAAAGTAATAGCACAGCAGAGACTGAGAAGGAAACCACTCCAGTGGCAAAGAAACCAGAAAATCCATTCTTCTTGAAACAAACAGTCTCCTCAAAAGAGTATGCCGATTATAGTGATGTAAATGAAACTGTAGAGGAGGAAGATGGTGGTGTGTCACTTAACGACAGAGAGATTAATACTGAAGTGTATCATCAACTGTTGGAAAGAGAACATGAAGAACAACGAAAAGCCAATGCTATGGATGATGAGTTTGAAGATAACAACATGATTGATGAATTTGTGAATGTCACCGATGGCCTCGGGCAGCCTCAACAACAAGAAGCAGCACAAGATTCTTCAGAAACTTTTGTCTATGTTCAAGGTGTTGCCGTTCCATACTCTATGGCCAAAGATAACCCTTCATATTTAGACAAAATGACACCACAAGAATACGAAAATTACATGAGTATTTATAAGCAAGAAGAAGACATTTATGAATTTTAGAATGGCATAGGCAGAACTCTAATAATAATTGTAAACTTGTTCATGGCTGTTAACAGAACTATAAAAAAAAATAAACACAGCAGCACCTATCATGATTGCAACACCACCCTCTGTAGAGCCCAGTACAGTGATCATCACCAGCTCAGGATCATCGAACGGTGATCATCAGTCGGAAAATGCAAATGATATGGAACAAAGACGATATGACCGTCAAATGAGAGCCATCGGAAAGGAGGCTATGAGCCAGATTGGATCAGCACGAATTTTGCTTCTCGGGTGTGGTGGTCTCGGTGTTGAAATGATCAAGAATTTAATGTTGATGGGATTCAAATCAATTACATTGTTCGATGACAAATCAACATCGTATTTGGATTTGAACAGTCAATTTTATTTGAGCGAACAGGATGTCGGAAGGAATAGACTTGATGCATCTTTTGACAAGCTCTATGAACTGAACCCGTACTGTAAATTGGAAAAACTGAGCCAGGAAACTGTCATTGACGAGGAACTCATCACCAAATTTAATATTGTGATCTGTACTGATGACATTGTTGTTTCAGACAAAGTTGTTCAAATTAATCAGATCTGTCACGAAAACAGCATCAAATTTATTGCTGGATACACTTGTGGATTATTCGCTTCCTGCTTTGTTGATTTCGGAAAAGAGTTTACAGTTAAAGATCCTGATGGTGAACCTCCATCTCATGGTATTGTTTCTGGAATTGAGATTGTTGAAAGAAATGGTGTTAAAGTTGCAATTGTCAACACCAAGGATGAAACTCAACCTGAACCTCACAATCTTTCAAACGATGATGTTGTAAAATTCCACTCTATTGAAGGAATTTCTCATCTCAATGACAAAGAAATACGAATTAAGGTTGTTGACGTTTATAGATTTGAGCTTGTTGATGTAGACGTGTCATCTTGTGGAAACTATACTCAAGGAGGTTACTACAGACAAATCAAACAACAGAAAGAGTTGCAATTTAAGAGTTTAAAACAATCCATGGCAGATATTCATGCAGGTTTACATGATGATATTTGCTCAACTTTCCTTTTGTACAACTTTGCAGTTATGGACTATCCTCTCAAGTTACATTACTTTTTACTTGCACTTAACGCATTCATTTCTCAAAAGGGAAGACAGCCAAGAAATTACGACTCTGAAGATGCAAGAGAATTAATTTCTATTGCTAAAAAGATTTTGCAAAGCTCCAACGAAAGACAAGGCTGTGAGCACTTAATCGATGAAGGATTATTTTCTCTTCTGTGCTTTACTACCACTGGTCCACTCAACCCAATGTGTACAATGTTAGGTGGCTTACTTGCTCAGGAAGCTCAAAAAGCATGTACTGGAAAGTTTTCACCTCTATTCCAATGGTGTAACTTTGAGTCCATTCGTTCTATTCCCGATTCTATTCGTGTACCTATTTTACAAAATCCAAGTGCAAATGTCTCTGAGCTTCTTAATAGTTTAGATATGGACGTTAGGGCCAAGAACAACAGATATGACGCACAAAACATGTTGTTCGGTGCCGACTATCAACAAGCTCTTACCAACCAACAAACTTTCCTTGTCGGAGCTGGAGCCTTGGGATGCGAATATATCAAGAACTTTGCTTGTATTGGATTAGGTGCTGGCCCAAGAGGAAAGCTCACCGTCACAGATATGGACAGTATTGAAGTATCAAATTTGAGTAGACAATTTCTTTTCAGAGAAGAGCACGTGGGCAAAATGAAGAGCGAGTGTGCCGCCAAGGCAGCTCAAAAGATGAACCCTTCCCTCAATTTACTTGCCATGTGTGACAGAGTGGGAAAAGAAACAGAAAATGTGTTCGATGCTGGCTTTTGGAGTGATTTAAATCTAGTTGTAAATGCTCTGGATAACTTGGAGGCTAGATTGTATGTTGACTCAAAATGCGTCTATTACAGAAAGCCGCTGCTAGAAAGTGGAACTCTTGGAACAAAGGCAAACAGTGAAATTATCATACCGTATATTACCAATAACTATGGAAAACACAAAGATCCACCTCAAAAGCAATATCCAGAATGTACGATTCATAGATACCCAAATATGATTCAACACACCATTTCATGGGCAAAGGCTTTCTTCCAGTCTTCTTTCACCAAATCTATTGAAGAAGCAAAACTTTTCTTGAAAAATCCACAAAATTTCTTTGCGGAAAAAGGAAATAATATTGTCACATTAGAATCTGTTTCACTTTATCTGTGTCAACGTCCGAGAAGCTTTGAAGATTGTTTGAGCTGGAGCAGAATCAAATTTGAGGAATTATTTAATCATGCCATGAAGAACATTTTGTTGACCTATCCTGAAGACTTTGTTACAAAATCTGGAGCAAGATTTTGGAGTGGCTCCAAGAAGTGTCCACATCCTTTAGAATTTTCAGTTGATGATGAGACTCACATGAAATTTGTGTATTATGGAGCTCTTCTTTATTCATCACTATTTAACATTCCAGCTCCTGGAGACGCACGCGCCAACCATTTACAATTTTTCAACATGAATAAGCAGTACATTAGAGAAATTTTGACTCGAACCGTGTTGCCTAAATATATTCCAAACCCAATCAGTAGAGACGATGACGACGCAAAGGATTCCCATAATACAACTCAAAAACCACCTGAATTAACAGAAGAAGAGCTTAAAAAACAACAACAAGATATTGAGTTTTACGTAAAGAGAATGCGAGACGACTTGACATATATTGCAGAGAAAATTGACAGCGATCGTGCTTTGGCCGAGACAGAGTTTTTCCTCAGTGACGTTGACTTTGAAAAAGATGACGACTTGCACATGGAATTTGTGACCAGTGCCAGCAATTTGAGAGCAAGATGTTACAACATTCCAGAAGTTGATGTCTATGAAACAAAAGGTATTGCTGGAAGCATTATTCCTGCCATGATCACTACTACAGCTCTCATTACTGGTTTAGTTGGATTGGAACTGTACAAAATCCTTGATATTAACATTCCAAACTTGAAAGGAACTCTTCCTACTGAACAAGAAAAGGAAAAGTTCCTTGAACGATTCAGTAACTCATACGTCAACATTGGCATACCATTCATCACACAGTCAGACCCAATGCCATGTAGAAAAGATGTTGCCAATAATAAGTATGATATTTGGGAAACCATTGACGTTTCTAAACAACAAGACAATGTAGAAACTTTGAATGACTTGATTTCACATCTACAAACGGTTACAAGTCTCAATGTGACAAGTATCACCTATGAAGGAGCCATTCTCTACACTTGCTTCATGTCTGAGGAAACCAAACAAAAAAGAATGACCTTACCACTCGACAAGCTACTGAATAGTATATTTAAGGCTGAAAAAGCAAAATCTGTTTTCAATTTGGGAGTACTTGCTATGGATTTGAAATCTACCGATTCAGATATCATTGCCCTACCGACTGTTGTTTATTCTGCAGAGAAGGCTCGTGTTTCTGATGAAGAAAAACGAAAGCTCTTGTTGGAAAAGAAGAAACAATTGCTCAAGCAAAAGCAACAACAACAACCTTCCTCTGAGTAGTGAGAACCAACCACCATCCATGAACTGGCATTGAATAAACCGTAAGATCTGTTATTGTATCTATCTTCACTGTTTGAATTCATACAACACACTCGAGAGAACTTACCACTCATCAATTGTCCACCAATACTATCAAAACCTTTTGAAAGAAGGCTTTACCAAAACCAAAGAATTTCTGCAACGACAACAGACAAGAATTCAAAAAAAAAACAACGCAAAACAATTTTCAGCGTAGAGAGCCTTTGCGAATCAAAATGGGCCAATTGTTTACCAACATCTTCCAAAAATCGAATATCACACAATCTCGGATACTACTGCTGGGTCTCGACAATAGCGGGAAAACGAGTCTTCTCATGAAGATGGGACTTGTAACGAGTAGCTCCAACGATAAGAAATCATCAAAATCATCACAAAATAATTTGGAAGATGATGAATTAACTGCAACTCCGACAATAGGATATAATGTAAAAGAATTTTCTTATAAAGGAGTTGTATTTAATTGTTGGGATTTAGGAGGACAAAAGAACATTAGAAGTCTGTGGAGTAAGTGTTTTACAATATTATTACCAATGAGAAATTACAATGATGATTATCAATACTTGATCATACTGACGGACTGCAATAACATTGGATATCGGATCTGACTCTATCACAATAATGTACAAATTCTGTTATTATCATAATTATGGACACTCCGATTCGGACTGAATCATTTTCTTCATCATGATGAACGAATGACAATAATTGTTGCTCTTGATCCATATAAACATCTTTACAACAACACATTACTCAGAGCATTACTATAGAGGATCAAATGGAATAATTTTCATTGTGGACAGTGCTGATCATGGAAGGCTGAAAGAGTCCAAACAAGAATTGTATCACTTGTTAGAAGACCCTGATTTAAAAAACCTTCCCGTGTTAATATTTGCAAACAAGAGAGATAAAGAAGGAGCAGTCTCAGCAACAGAACTCATAGCTCAGTTTGAACTTGAAGATTCCATTCAATTAGTGAATGGTAAACATGATTGGTATGTGGAAAGTGTCAGCACGATAACAGGAGAAGGAATTGAAAGTGGTTTGAAATGGCTTGTTTCAAAACTGAAACAAAAACCTGGCAAGGAATAATTGATGAAACACAAAAATTGTTTTGGATCGTGAAATTCCATGACTCTTGTTGGAACCATGCAATTTCATTCCCTAAATTGAACTCTTTCATCATCCTGTGTACATAAGCATATTCGTTCCACTTACTTCTGACCACAATCAGTTTGTTTGTAAAATACCAGTGTGTATTTGAATTTTAAATTGACAAAACATTTTTATTTTCTTTCTGACAGATCATGATTCTTGAATTTCTCTATTTCTCTCATCCAATGTGTGAACAACGAAAAACTGCCACTCTCTGCACCTTTCCTATCACTTTTGTTCGAGTGAAGAAAAAATTTGAAGAAAAAATGGAAACACGAGACGTCAAGTTTATGTTCAATTATGTTTCGAAGGTTGCCAAGCATTTAAACTTGAGACCTGAGATTGTGGCATCCCGAGGGATTAAATTTGATAAAATACCAGCAATGGTTGAGCAGCTACAATCCCGAGAGGAAAATATCGAAGATGCAAAGCATTTGAATTATTTAAAAGAAAGTTTGTTCATCTATGAACTTCCGATATTCAATCATGAGGATATTTTGGCTGGAAAACACAAGAATATTGCACCAGTGGAAGAGAGTAATGAAGAAGAGGTGGAAGAGGCTTCTCATTCCAACAACGAAGATGAAGCCAACCAACATGATAATTCTAATGAGGACGATGTGAATGAATCGGAGACAACAGAAACGTCGGAACCTACTGAAGAACCTCCATCAGAGAAACAACAATCACAAGTGGAAAAAATTAAATCGAAAGACAAAAAGTCAAAAAAGAAGAATAGAGATGGTGAAGATGATGTATTGTCGTCGAAAAAAAAGGAAAAATCGAAAGGCATTCAAAAACCTGAGAAAATGAAGGAAAAGCTTCACAAAAAGAAATAAAAGAAATAAGGCTCAAATCATTTTGAAATAAATAACTCTTGTCTATTTATTGTTGGTGATGTGATGCTGGATTATGCATCATGAAATGGTGGTGAGGCTGAGATAAATGGTGAATATCTGATGAAGGAAGAGAAGTGTTGTTGAGTATTGTTCTGTTGTGTTGTGACATTGCTGCAAAATTAGGAGTCAAATTTGGTGGATGCAAGCCATGGTGCCCACTCTCGTAGGATCCTCCTGTATTGGGGAAATCTCCAAATCCTCCCTCTTCGAGAACAATCTCAGAGGTATTTGCTTTTTTAGGTTCAGATTGTGAATAGGGATAGCGTGACATATCTGAGTTAGAATTGTCAAGTGGTGGAGGTCCATGATGCGTCCGAACTTGGAATGGAGTAAGAACTTCGTTGGAGGTGAGGTTAATATCATTGACAACATGGTGATGAGCGTTTGTTGAAAATCCAGCTTGATTGGAAAGAGTTCTCATAATCATTCCAGAATGATGATCTCCATCTGAGGAAGAAGCAGGTTGAAAGCTATTGCTAGGTGTTGGTGTTGCTTTCATGTAAGATGGAATGGTGGCTTGGGTGTGGTCTAATGAATGACCAAGTGGATGAGATCTTGGAAATTGAGAATGTTCTTCTTGTTGATATGGCATGTAGGGAGGAGATGGTGCATTGTTTGGATGGACGCCATGGTGGATTGAGGATGGGGTTGAACCTTGTGACGATGATGATGATTGATGAGATTGTAATAAATCTTGAAGTGATGGTATATACTGTCCAGTGGCGTTGCTATCGTGTTGTTGTTGTTGTTGACAACTAATTGTCGCCAGTACATCCATATATCCACCGCTGCTGCTGGTTGTTGGGGAAGGTGTGGAAACAGAATTCTTTTGAGATTTTTTTGAGGTTCTCCTTAGTTGTGAATTGTTGCTAACTTGTAACGAAGAGGAAAGAGATCTTGGTGGTTTGGTACTCGTGAGAGGGCTTTGCTCAATATCATCAAATGGAGATCCTTTCTCCTGCACATCGCAAGCTAACACGGACAGCGTGAAAAGATCTGGGGTAGCAACTTCAGGGTTAGTCTCCACATAAGGAATTGGTCTTCTTTTCTTCTTACGTCTTTTGGTTGGCAAAGTAAGACCTAACTTAATCTTGTAATTGAGGAATAAGCTTCTGATTTGAGTCTCTGTTTTAGTAGGAATTAACTCGGCTAATTTTTTCCAATCTCGTCCATATTCTCTGAAATATTCGAGAAATGCGTCTCTTTCGCTCACTGTCCAAATGGAAACAACTTTCAAAATTTTCTTTGTCTTGTTAGGTTTGGTAATTGCTGCAGGTGATGGAGGTAATAAGGGGGTAGTATCTCTCTTTTCTGCAACCATCGATTCCTTTGTTGGCTTTCTTACTGTAGGAGAAGCAGTAGGTGTGGATGTTGTAGATGCAACTTTTTTCTTTTTCTCTTTGGGAGCTGGAAGTACAAATTTGTATTTGGCTTTGTTTTCCTCGAAAAATTGCCTACATTGTTCCTCGTCTTTGGTTTTGAGCTTTTGAGCAATTTTCTCAAAGTTTGAACCAACCTTGGTTATCAAGTTTTTGAACTTATTAATTTCCACTTGGGACCATTCGTTTGCGCTTTCTTCTTCTTCCTTTTTTTTGGACCTAGAGCTGGTTGTTGATTTAGTTTCTACAACTTGAGTTTCTGTGACAAATATTGGCTCTGATGGTGTCATGGGGGAGACAGGCTCACGATCTTTGGTATCTTTTCTTTTACCCTCATCCACAAATCTCTTTCTGTACTTGTTGTTCAATTTCAGTTCATGCTTCATCTTTTTAAAATCCTCAGTTAGCTTATAATTATAATAGAATGTCACAACATCTCCTGTAGTCCTATTTGGTAAAAGTCCAGCAATTGTTCTCATTTCCTTAGGGTGCTTTGTGAATTTTTCGGCAAAAATTTTCTTCTCTTCTTCAGTCCATGTCACTTCAAGAGCTCTCTTCTCTTGATATTCTCTCAGAACTTGCTCACTTGTCATAAAACCATTTCGTGACACAAATGCATTTCGTCTTTCTTCCTCGTTCAACATTGGAGGAATTTTGGCCAGCTGGTCCTGAAACCGTATATTTTCGTTTCTTACATCGTCAAGGGTTATCTTATTTTTTTTCCACCATTCATATCTTAGCCGCTTGTATTTGGCGCCTTCTTCTCTTGCCTTTCGCTCTATATTGTGAAGTCTTTCTTGAATTATAGTGGTCAATTCAGGTATCAGTTCTGTGTACGCTCTCTCATTAACTTCATAACATTCGTAATCCGTTGGATTCCTAGGTTTCTTTTCTAATTTATCGTCATCTTTGTACAGTAAAAAGTCTAACTTTGTCTCCGCATTCATTCCCGATATCATGTTACAATAGTACAGTTCTTGTACTTTGGTTTTAGGAGCGAAATGAACGCAGTCTGTCATTTCGACATCACCATCAGCAATGGGGCTTGGTTCATTGTCGAGCTGGTGAAGACGTTCTTCGCTTCTCTTTACAAGCTCCTCTAGCTTTTCAATTTCTCTAGTAATTTCCTCTGGTGTTGGTTGCGATCCATTGAACAGGGTTTGAATTGGATCATCATCCTGCTTGATCTTTGAATCAGCAGTTCGCTTGGATCCTCTTGATTCTGTTTGTTTCGTAGACCGTTTCTTTTGTTGGTTTGGTGATGTGCTGCTTGATGAGGTGTTTTGCCGAGCATCCCCGCTAGAACTACATGACGGAAATAACAAAATGACGATGATCATCAAGTGAATTTTGTAAATTTGATGATAGACAATCATCGGGCCAAGATGTTAATTGTATCCCAACAACAACAACAACAAATTGAACATAAATCATACTTCGTTAATTTTGCAATCATTGTCTGGTCAAAACTTACCCTTTTCGTTTTGTAGAATTGGTGCTCATCGATACGAGTTAAAAATTGATGGAAGAATATTTCTGTTACAATGGTGATTACAATAGGTGTATGCCTTGTTGTTAATTATAATTAATTGGTAGTGATGAAAGGAAGATGTTGTTGTAATTAATGGTTTCTCAGCCGAGAAACAAGCTGACTCAAAAATCTCAAAAATTAACTTTATAATTCTCCACTAGTTCACCTGAAATCATGCAATATTTAAAACTGTTTGTATCCGGAGAGAGAGCAAATGATTCCTTGATGATGCGAATGGGAGGCTTGGATACAACGGCGCGATGAATTTTTTTCTCTTTTTGATTTGCAATAAAAAAATCGAATGCATTATTTTCTCTGGAAGGGTCAATGGGTGATCGCGAAACTACTCGATTCCGAAACCATGCTGATGAATACATGTAGTGATCTCCCAATTGGTATGGCTAACTTGTAAACACCAATTCGTTGCACATTTCCGCTTTGAAATGATGATCATTCGTACAGAAATCATTTTTCTCAATAGCAGTATACCTGATGATCTTTTTGAGAAGAATATCGTTAAAGATAATTTCCAAGAAAAGAAAAGACCGCTGTGAGTGAGAAGTTTCTACAATTCAATCAAGTGTTGTTGTTACTTGATAACAACAAATAGAAGGATGCAACAATAGTACTCACTCGCGGATTGCCTCTAAAATTAACATCAAATATTATGTTATTTAAACATTCTTCATGCATTCCTGCTCAACTAAAAAACCACAAACAACAAACCAAACTCTTCATGCCTGATCTAAATCCAAACAATCAAAAGAGGCTTCTTCACACTCAGCACGTGCTGAATCATCCTCACAGCACAGGTTCATTACAAACGTTACATGACGAGCATTCAGAGGTTCATAAACCCTACTTTTCTTTTTCCGTTCATCATCCCCAAAAGCGCCCTGAACACTTGCAACAAGGGCATCAAGCAAACAGTTCCAACTTGAATTATGAGCCTCCAACCTTGATCATCACACCCCCTTCTTCTGAGGCCGCAACACAAGAAGCCACAAACAATAGCACGGCTTCAGTAGCCAACAACACCAAACCGAATTGGATTGTCAGTTCCCTCAAGAACTTGCAATCTCGGCTTCTTTCTCATCCTTTGCGCAAATCCACGAGTATGTTCAAGTTTCCTTCCAATGAGATATTTTCAGAAGAAGAGGAAGATAAACAGAACCAACAAGGAAAAAAGAAACAACTCGCAACCACCCCTAATACAACCAACTCGAAAACAAAACAAGATTCAGGTAACAACCCGACTAAACTCTCTTCAAAATTCGTCTCTCATCATCGCAACCTCACTCCAACAACAAAAAACACCCATTTAAAAATGAGCTCGCCATCACAGCCAACTTCTGAATTTGCCAATCAGACAAACTCGGAGGAAGACTCCGCTACCATTCAACAACAAGGAGTTTTGGAACCAAGCAATATGATTCAGATCAACAATGTTCTTGGTACAGGTAGTGATGGTAATGTTGCAAAAGCCAACATAAACGGAAGTGAGGATGACATGACGCAATTAGATGATCAAATGATGCAAAAATTAATGATGAAAGATGAAACCATGCCACAACAATTTGTAGATAGTTTTTTTATTGACAAGGATAAGAAATTGTCCTCCAAGTTTTCCGTAGATGATGAAAGTGAAGAGCTATTGAAAGATAAAATGAATAAGATTTCTGAAGTCGATGATATGTATGGCCTTGACATTTATTATCACAATAGTGAGTTGTGTAAAATTGAAGGACCAGAAGATCGATTCACTCTCATTGACATTGCATTGGAAAGCGCAATGACCATCCAAAAATTATTTCAAAATGAGGCAAAACGTTACGAAAACAATGTTTCCAACGGAAAAATTTATCTATTCCTCAAATTACTCTTAGAAGTGTCAAAAGATTTGGAGACCAATTTAAAAAATTTGAAAAGTAGAATAGTTCAGATAGAACTTAAACTGGCTGAAAAATTTCCAAATCAATTCAAGTTTGAAAACCAAACATGTATATCACATAACTACAAGATGGCCTCATTTGATTTGAGTTTTCTTGACACATCTTTCCACTTTAGAGGATGTTTGTTAATTTTTATTCATACTTTGAATGAGTGCAAAACCTCAATCAACAAAGTGATACAGAGCAGAAATTCCTTCTTTTTGTTCACTACGAGCGACGCAAAATATGAGAAAAAACTTGACGTTTTTCAACAGAAGTTTTTAGTGCTCAAAACAATGTTTAACGTTTCCAACATGTTACTTCAGGAAAGATTGGACAATATTGACTCCAATAATCCATCATATTTTCCATTTTCACAATCTCTTAAAATTAGTGACATGGATATTTTAAAGGATGTGAATCCTATTGCATTTTGGCAACATTTAGGTAGCTTTTACGACTCTGAGATTGCTTGGTTCCTTTCTCTCATTGTCAAGACAACGGCATCTTTTGGACATACTCAAGAAGTGCCAAGTAAGCTCAAAAAAGATTTGATTTTTTATGCTGCAAGCGCCTACTACCTGATCAATCCAAAAGGTGCTGCAGAAAATTGTGCTACTTTATTTACCAATAATCCAATTGCAAGCAGCGAATTTTGGAACATCCAAGATGAAAACAACATCATCAAGACATTTACATATCTGGGCTATCCATTTGTTGAGACTTCACGCAAGTTTAAAATACCATTTCCAGGCAGAAAAATTGTCGATTCTGTTGGACTGAACATTGATGGTGAAGAATTTGAGTTTGTATCAGTTTCAAGAGAGGCTCCAGAGGATTCATCAATTATATTGTTTAATAACAACGAGCAAAGCGAAAAAACCAACTCTGTGGTATATTATTCCGAAGATGATGACGATGATGGAGAGGATGAATCTGTTGACCAAAACGCAACACCTGTGGAATATCGAGCAGGAAGTAGCATGATCTACCCACAACTTGACAATCTTGAGGAGGTGAAAGAAGGATCCTCGTCTCTTGAGGTAAACTTGGCTGAGATTGAAAAAACGATGAAAAATCATGAATATCATGATATTGCACTACGAATTATTTCAACTAAACCTCTTACCGAAGTGCCTGACTATATTGCTCACAATCCACAAGATTTCCCTTATTTGTCACAGATCCTAAAGGCCATTAATTCAATCAAACTCAAACAAGTTCAACACGATACAACATTTGACGGCAAAATAATTTTACACATCCACGGTGGAGGCTTCATTGCAATGCAATCATTTAGGTATGTTAAAAGCATTCTCTTTATTCAACTCATTTATTGACACGATGTTAGTCATGAGGTGTATTTAAGAAAATGGTGCTCTGCAACCAATATGCCTATTATTTCAGTGGACTATAGAAGGTTTGTAGCTTTATTTTTAGTGGTTTCAAGCTGTGAACGTTTTTAATTCCCATTTTTAGATCACCTCAATATAAATTTCCAACGCAAGTCGAGGAATGTTACTCAGCATACAAGTGGTTGTTAAGTAATTGTGAAAAACTATTAGGAGCTCCACTGAAGAAGCTTGTGATTGCCGGTGATTCTGCCGGTGGTAACTTAGCCCTCGCTACTATTTACAGAGCCATAAGAGATGATATTCAATTGCCAGATGCAGTAGTTTTAAGTTATCCTGCAACGTACCTTGATTTTAATCCATCACCCAGTCGTCAAATTTCTGTTATTGATCCCCTTGTAAATATTAACTTTTTGAGGTTGTGTGGAGAGTTGTACTGTGTAGAGAGTGACAATGCTAGCTGCAATCCATTCGTTTCTCCGGCTACCATTGAAGATGGTTATTTGAAACGTTTTCCACCAACTTACTTTAACTTGGGAACTTTGGACCCACTTTTCGATGATGCTGTATACATGGCCAAGAAAATTGCCAGAAATAATGGTGGACGAGTGAAAATTAGGCTCTATGACTCTCTTGGTCATGGCTACTTGAATATGGTCGATGTGTCCGGACTTGCCAGATTAGCCTCTGCTCACATCTGTGAGTGGATCACCGCTCAAGTTGAAAAATGAGCTCATTCCAACAACGACTCTCTTGTGTATGTACATACAAATATTGTGACAACTCCTTTGTGTATGAAACGAACTCCTTAGCCAAATGAATCATAATAACAGCTAACCATTTGGATTTCATCAAATTGTTTTTCATTATTCATGAATGGTGTGCATGAACAAGATTGCATTTTTCAGTTCAAAAAAAATGATCAGCCAAGAAGAAACCACCAACAACAACAACAACACGGAGGAAGAAATTTCCAACAACAAGCACACCTTTAATGATCCATGCGATGAATTTGCACCATTCAGCGACTCTGAACTGAAACAATTGTTGCAAAATGATGAAATTCCAGTGAGTAAACGGTCCCGAATGTTATATGCCTTGAAACAATGGACGGAATCGGAAGACAAGATTTCAAGAGCTATTGATATTCTATCAGTTGGATTCAAAAGTAAAAGTGCTCTATTGAGACATGAAATTGCCTATGTGATGGGACAAATGCGTTCTGAAGTTGCCATCCCAATTCTTGAGAATATTTTGAGTAATATGAGTGAAGACTCGATGGTACGACATGAAGCTGGTGAAGCCTTGGGTGCCATCGGAAGCCCTTCTGCACTTCCAACTCTTGAGAAATTTGTGAATGATGAATATAGAGAAGTTAGAGAAACTTGTGAATTAGCTATTTTGAATATTCAATATCAACAAGAAAAGGCCAAGAACCCACAAAATAATCAAGATTCCATCTTTTCACCATTCTCGAGTGTTGATCCTGCACCAGCATGCTCCGATGACAAGAAGCTCAAATTTGATGACATTAAGAACACTTTCCTCGATCTTAGCAAACCATTATTTGAAAGATATAAGGCCATGTTTACTTTGAGAAATATTGCTTCCCAATATCTAGAATTGGACAAGCATGATTACATGTTGTGTTACAAGAGAAAGGCGCAAGCCATTGAAGTTCTATGTCAAGGGTTGTTGAACCCAGAAGAAGGAGCACTTTTCAAACATGAAGTTGCTTTTGTGTTGGGTCAAATTCAAGAACAGTCAGCTGCTGATGCTCTCGAGTCAACCTTGCGTGACAAGAATCAACATGCCATGGTACGTCATGAAGCAGCAGAAGCATTGGGTTCCATTTCTGATCCAGAATCACTGAAACTTTTAGAAGAATTCCAAGCAGATGAAGTTGAAGCTGTGAAGGACTCATGCGTTGTTGCTATTGACATGCACAACTATTGGTCTGCCTTTTTGTCATTACACAAGAATGACGAAGATGGAGAGCAACAATAAAATTTTGGAGTATTTTCAATAGTTCAGCGTTGAACACGTGACAAAATTAAGAAAATACCACTGAGTAAAGATTGGTGCATGAATTTTAAATTGCAATCACATTTTACAATAAATATAAATGCTTTATTCTAACGTCTGCGGAGCTTCAAATTGTTTCTTACAAGCGCAGCATGACAAGATGAAAAATACAACCATTCCTATAATGGCAATGACCAATACCGAGCCCACAACTGTGTAAGTGACCCACAAGAATTGAATAGCAAAGTCCTTAACCTCAGAATAACAGGTTCCTCCATCTCTCAATTCAAACAAGTGCCCTGTCACACACATTAAATAATAGGTATAATTTTCAATATTTGGGTAGTAAGGTTTCAAAGCTTCTACAAGACTTGACGTGTTGTAGTATGAGCTATTTGTCAAGTTGTCCAACACTTTCACCTTAATCGTACTAATGTATTTTCTGTCACTGTACTCTTTTGCCACAAGCTCATATGTAACCTTTTCTCGGGCTCCGTGAATAATAATATCTGTGACTTTAACACCTGGATGAACTCTAATAAAGAATGTTTGATCAAAAGCATCTTTTTTGGCACTAGGTTTAAAGTAATTTGTAGAAAGGACGAGGGTAAAATTAGTCTCAGTTGGTCCAATCAGCTCAATATCGATTGGATTTATCTTTTCTCTTGGAGAATACAAACGTTCAGCATGATGGAATGCAATAATAAAGATCTTGTTGGTTGGCTCCCAATCTTCATACCATTTGGCACCCACACTATTCATTCTATCCTGTACTTCTTTTCCTCGTACACCAAAGAATGAACAATTCGAAGCAGTCACACAAGGAGGTTGTATAGTTGTTTGAGATAATCCAGCTACAGTTGAAAATGGTCTATAATAACATTCGGCACACAGTGACACGTTTTTGTACAATCGAATACCTGTTTTCTGGTCTTCAATGGTCACCGCTGTTGAAACATTTGGAACATTATAGGGTATAGAATTCACTAGAGAAGACAACGTAGAAGCTAATGAAAATTCTCCAAATTCTACATGCTCCGTAATGGGCAACCAAGATGACCATTGATGTATGGACGCTCTCCACAATACAACAGAACTCACTCCAATCACTAAACTCAAGAAAATGAAAAATGTAAAAACACCAGTCTTGATATTCCTAGAGATACAACAAATTTCATCATGATGATAGCGGCTGTTCTTTTTCAGTTTCCCGAAAGTATTTGAGCTCACATGTTCCGTTGTTGTTGTGAGCTGGTTATGATTTTCTGAAATGATCTTGGAATGATCGCCCGAGGATGATGATGATATCGTCATCCGTGAATTTGAACTCCACCATGTTGATGATTCATTGGTTTCATCGTGATCGCCCGAAACAAAATTAGGCTCATCATCATCACCCTGCGTTTTGGATGAAATCATTTTTTTTTCCTTGTATCGTCCAATTCACTTCTGTGTATCTCAAGAAACAACGAGCTGTTCCAAGAGAGAAGAAGCCATGGCCTGATCTTTCAAAGCTAAGAATTGTTCAATATAGCTTCGGTTTTGTTTTCAATTCTTCTCAACGATTTCAAATCACGAAGAAATTTTAAATTAATAACAAAAAATGTTCAAATCACTTTCATCGATTCTCTTGTTGTCGTGTTTGATGGTCTTGTTAGTGGCTACCTCCACTCTGGCCGATGAAGTTGAATTGGAGAATGATAAGCCAATCAACTATAGAAATAGAATGTTGGTTGTTTTGGAATCCGCACAACTCAAGACAAGTCATTCTAAATTCTTTGAAGGATTGAAGAAGGCTGGCTTTTCTCTTGAATTTAAATTGGCTTTTGATTCTATTTCTTTGATGAGATATGGAGAGAATTTGTATGATCATTTACTCATTATGGCACCAAAGGCAAAGAGTAAGTTTTAATGATGATGAAAGAAGGCTTTCAAATGATGATGAATATGACCATTGTAAAAAGAGCTCGGAGGTGATTTGGAAGATGCCAACAAGATTCTCAACTTTATCGATCGTGGACACAATGTATTCATTGCTGCTCATGCTGATGGTCTCTCCCAAACTCTCAGAAAGGTTGCTACTGAAAGTGGAATTGATTTGGATGATGAAGGAACCAATGTTATTGATCATTTCAATTATGATGTTAAGCTTGACTCGGACAAGCACACAACAATTGTTATTGGAAATGAAAAGCAATTCCCATCAAAGAAGGTTAACATTTTGGGAGATGCCAAATTCTCACAACAACCAGTTCTCTATCGTGGTCTTGGCATGCTCTTAAAACCAACAAACAAGTTGCTCGTTCCAATTCTTAGCGGAGCTTCCACTAGCTATTCATATAGCACTTCTGACGAGAGAGTTCAATCTGAACCACTAGTGAAAGGAAGAGACACTGTTTTGGTGGGTGCTAATCAAGCTCGTAATGGAGCTAGATTGACTATTTGCGGCTCAATGGATTTACTTTCGAATGATTTCTTTGATGCTTCTGTCACCCAATTCAGTTTAGATGGAAATCACAAGTCCTTTGCTCATTCTGGAAATGAATTATTTGCTATTGAGCTTGCTAAGTGGGCTTTCCAAGGAAGAGGATTGCTGAGACACACTAAGGTACATCATTATTTGGCTGATGACTCAACTAAAACTCAACCTTCAGCCTATCGAGTTGGACAAGATTTGACCTATACTGTTGCCATTGAGGAATGGAATGGAAAAGAGTGGACTCCATTTATTGCTGATGACATTCAAGTAGATTTTGTGATGCTTCACCCATATCAAAGACAATTCTTAAAGTACGATCCTGCCACTCAAAAATACACCAGCACATTTAAAGCTCCTGATACGTATGGTGTTTACAAGTTTGTAGTTGACTACAGAAGACAAGGTTACAACCAGTTAATATTTGCTGATCAAGTCACAGTTAGACCAATGCACATCAACGAATTTGAACGTTTCGTGCCAGCAGCTTATCCATATTACACAGCTGTCTTTGTTATGATGGGAGGATTCTTCGTTTTTGTCATTCTTTTGACCTTCACCGAAGAGAAGCGAAAGGAAGAGTAATTTTGTAAGGAAGCATAATTTTACATAAATAATTTATATTTGCAAATTATGCTCTTTCCTTCTTTGTGAAAAATCATTTCCCTTACTTCCAATTTATGGCTGTCGAATCAGCTATTGCTTGCCATCCGTTGCTTGGGTTTGTTTGGTAATGTCAATCCAATGCGAAAATACATTGGGATACAACAGCAAGTCTTTTACAACTTTGTGAACGAGCTCCTTAATAAAGTTAGAAATTTCTGTCTTGTCCTCAAGAATTTTGTCTTCACCAGGAAGAGGTAGTTGTTCTCGAGAGAGAGATGATCCCACTCGTACAGTAATATTGAATTCTTTCAACGGTGAATACTCTCCAGATGATTTGACAATATAGTTAGCCATTAGCTTTTGATCAGAAAATTGCGGAAATTTTGTTTCATCCATTTCAAATGATGGTAGAACTGGGTTTTCAAAATAAATCAATACTTTGTCTTGGGGAGAATTTTGTTTCAAATTTGAGGATGGATTGTGATAGTACATGATTGTCAAGTCACCATCAAACACAAATTTTGAAATCTCAATCTCAATTGGAATTGTAACAAATCCAGGGATTGGCATATTGATTCTAAGTTCTGACACAATCTTGATGGATGCATTTCCACTGTATGAAAAATGTCCTGTAAATTTAATACCTCCACCCTTTCCATTTCTCTTACCGGTCAGCAAAAATCCAGGATCTAATAAATGTTGCTTGACAAAGTTTTCATCATTCAAATCAATTGGAGAGATAGAAAGCTTATCTGATCCATTATTTAGGATTTGTACTGGAGGAATGAAATTATTCACATCTTTCTTATTTTCCAAATTTTGCAATCGCTCCTTCCACCAGCTAGCCCTTCTCTTTGTTTGAGCGATCAGGTCTCTTCTTTGTTTGTTTTCATTGGTTGCAACTTTGTAAACAGTTCCTATTGAACATATATGTGTTTTTTGTGGAGCTTTTCTAAGGCTGCTTAGATTAGTTGTTCCAGGAGTGTATCTGGTACTAGTGTTATCAATGGTAGTTTGTGAAAAGACATCGCTCATCGTTGCACTTATTGGGCTTGGATAATAATAGTGACCAGAAGCCACCATGAGAGTATTATGGGCTAATGGAGAATACATGGGATGACCTGAGGAAGAACCTAACAAATTCTTTCTTTGTATAGAAGAGAGAAATCCTGGCGATGGCATTAAAAATCCAGATGTAGCGACTGAAGAAACACTCACATTATCATCATGAGTTGTTGTAATGAGTGGATTTTGTTGTACTGGTGTGGACGGTGGTGTAGAATATGATTTTGATAAATCCACATTTGGCTTATGATCCTGTGTTGTTCGTTGTTGTTTTTGAGCAGGATACAATCTACTATAAATTTTGTTTTCATAATATTTAGCTCGTTGCATGAATGATTTCTCATCGGGAGCTTGTTGGATATCTTTGATTTGAATATTGGGTGCTGTTGTTCCCAAATCAAGACTATCAATAATTAAATAACTCAATGATTGAGTGGGTGATATTTCCAATCCATTCCGATTGGATTTGAGCGTTGAAGATGGCTCTTGTTGATTCATCATCATGACATCCAAATTATTCTCTTCATCTCGGACACTTTCATTCAAACTACTGGCACTACTACTTTGAGCATATTTCTTTCTTGAAAATACCAAATCCTCCAATGTTGCATTCAGTTGATCCTTTAGCTTTTTATTCACTTCAGGAGTCAATAACTTCCAATCAAATTGCAAAGACATTTTTTTCAGTTTGTGTGTTTCCACTCAATTTAACTTCTATCAAAAAGACTTGTGGTAAGATCTAATGCAATCAAGATACATGGAAGTCTCTTCTCAGTTCAATCTATATTTGAGTTGAAAAAGGAAGATGTTTGCATTTTCACTGAGCCGAAGCACTCTTTCTGAAATGGACATGGTTTTTCATCATCCAAAAAAAAGTTTCAACATTCTTTGCTTGCACACACAAAAACGTTACAGCACCTCTTCTTCCTATTGATTCCGCTCTTCTCAGAACAACCACCATTAGAATTGTGAGATCATACGTGTGCGAGTGTAAATCATTAATTTCTTTATATTCCGTTCATTTTGTGTCATCTTGTCAAATAGAGGTCAACTCTCCACTCAACCGACCAACCTTCTGAATGTTGAATTGATACTACTCTTGCTATCATCCTATTAACTATCCGTGAGCTCCGTATACAGTGATAGTTTTTCTTCTTCCTCTCTTCACTCATTATCAAAATTGTAACAACAATTTTCAAAATCTTCTTTTCATAATGATGAACAGTAATAGTAGTAATAATAACATGAACAACAATACTAATTCTTCTTCCATTCCAACGATCATTCCAACCACAACAACCACCACAACTTCAACTTCCAATGAATCTCCGTTTGTAGCCTTTCAGCAACAACAATTCTTGAATAGCTTGTTGCTGCACAATCATAACAATAATAATACCAATAACCAGAACAATAACAACCACATGATACTCACGAATTTAAACACTGGTAATCCTAGTAGCAGTAATTCTCTCACTAGTACCCATACTGCTCCGCATCATCATCCTATCCATAATAACATGAATCATGATAATATGATGATGATGAATTTAATGATTCATCAATGGAATGTCCTATCTCCCCAACAACAAGAACAATTATTAATGTTATTTCATGCCAATTCCCAACATCAACAACAACAACAATCATTACCGATGAATGTAATCAATAATCATCATCCTCTCATGATGCTCATGAATAATCATGCCATGATGATGCCAACAACAACAAGTCTTTCTGGAATTGATAATAATAATCATAATAATAACAACAGCACCACCAACTCATCCACCAATGTATTGAACCATCTCCTTTTGGCATCTCAACAACCTCTTCTCATGATGAATCCTAATAATACCACAAGCACATCATCCACTCATCCCTTTTTTACGACTTCCAATCCTTTGAATTGTAATCCTCAAACTTCTAACCTTACTTCTCCTTCGATCACATCGCCACAAGATTTCAACATGTTACAACAGTTTTTACTTGGAATGAATGTTATTGATAACACGAGTGTTCATAACAATCATCATCCATTGACTACAACAACGCCTATTACAACAAATTCTGATTTTACACTCTTCAATGATACCGTCAGTACGAGTGGTGATGGTAGTGGCAGTGGTAATAATAATCATAATATGGATGAAAATTCATTTCTTGTCACCGATCAACAAATTCAAACAAATTTTGAAGAATTGTTTCAACAACAACAACAACCATTCCATCAACACACGACATCTCCATTTCCAACGGATTTATCCCTCAATTTGTCAAATATTCAGCATCACCAACATGAAATGTCATCCTCGTCGTCGTCGGTAACTAGTACTCTTTCACAACCTTCGACTCCTCGTGTCGAAGGAGTGTTATTAATCGATCAACAATTTGATACCAACACACTCACAGATTTTGGACTTGAAACATTTTCCGACATGTCACCTTTTGATAATGTTCATGCCATTGTTGAACAAAATTTAAAGAGAAAATTGGATGTTTTTTTGGAGCCAACAACTGCAACCATGAATAGTGGCACAAGTGGAGGGTATAGCTCTCCATCCAGTAGTGGAGAAGTGCACGTTCGGCATCTGCGTCCTCTTCAAGTTTGAAACAATCCACGAGTCCATTGGCCAATGGTCTTCCAAATAATACTCCATCTGTTCCAGTCTCTTCTGGTTTTTCCATTCTTGATAAATTACCTCCACATCAACAACGAGAATATTTCAAACGTGTGAAAATGATGTTAACAGAGGATGACGACGATGCCAATGCTATGGCAACTGGTGGCAATTCTGCTTCATTCATAATGGATCAAATTTTCAATGATAGTACAAGTGGAGGAAGTGGAGGTTCTGATGAACGATCCTTTCATAACTTTCTTGATTTTGAGGAAGATCCTACAGCAAGTATCTTTTCAAAAGTCACACTGTCCAAACAATCTCCTCTTAATATTGATGAAGATGATGAATCAAGTGAAACCACTGTATTGGGAGCTGAATTTGAAATTAATCCAATGATTTATACTTCACCTTTGGAAGAACACAAATCACCTACTGCTTCACATGACGAATCATTGAATGAAAATTACTACTCGTCACAACAAGCCAAGAAATCAAGATCGTCAAGTCCTGTGGATTCCACTAGTCGACGTGTGATTAATAGTCAAACGCCAACAGTCATGGGTGCAACTTCTACGAATTATATTTGGAACAATATGATATTACCTGTGTCTAGTGTGTCAGCACCAACGAGTGCTTCTTCAACTCCATTCATTATTGCAAATTCTGACGCACTTCCCAAAAGAAAATCCAGTGGTGCTGTAAAATCACCAAACAGTACTCTCACTTCGTCACCCTTAATGCAAACGTCATCCTCTTCTTCTGCTTCCTCGCCAACTACTAATCAATCCATTTCTCGAACTTCTCAACCGCTGAGCACAAGCACGAGTAACAGTACTTCAAAATCGAGACCAAGTCATCGCAAATTCCCAACCAATTACTTTTTAAATATGGTTAGAGCTCCACCCAATAGCCCGATGGGATCCAAATCAAATTCTAGAGCTAGTTCATTGGCTAGTTCTGCAAATAATTCGAGAACCAATTCAAGAACGAATTCTCGATCCAATTCACCGACTACTAGTACTCCACCCAATTTTTATACTTGTTCTTCCAATAATAACATGCAAATGACGGATGCAGTATCATCCGATCAACAACAAATGTTTGCCAATTCGGATTTCATGCTCAAATTACAAAAGAGTTTATCATCCTTGTCACAAGTCAGTAATAATCCATTTTCTATGAGTAATAATAATTCTGTGAATCATGCATCGAGAATTTTAGTGACACCAACACCAGAACATCATTTTGTCAATATTCCAGGAGCAACAACATCAACAGGACAAGCCATTGTAGTTCCACAAAATCATTATCTCACTAATATGAAACCAATGACGGATCAACAACAATCAATCAGCAGCAGCAGCATTGGTGGTGGTAGAGGTAGTCACAACAAATCAAGTTCAGATGAAAAGAAGGACAATTCTCTGAACATGATGACGACACATGACAGTAGTGGAGATTTTTCTGGTGACCTGTCCAAACAACGAAAACATTTTCTGCCTACGGATGCGACTGAAGTGTTGAAGGATTGGTTTTTGGAACATATTCAACATCCGTATCCGAGTGGACAGGAAAAACAAGCCTTGTCACAACAGACAGGACTTTCCTATGTTCAAGTTTCGAATTGGTTTACCAATACGAGAAAACGAAGTTGGCAAGTGATGAAGAAAGAATACGAGAAGAGAAATGGAACGAAATCTGCCGAGTCATCTGCAACAACACCTCCTACAGAAGGGTCATCGGAAGCTGCCATTCCAGGTATCTTGGAGGATGCCAATAATAAATAACAATTTTCATTGTGTGTGAATATTTATAATATTTATTATTGTTTACAATCAAGGTCTTAAACATTGGCTCCCTTAAAGAAGAGTGAGGGTCTCAAATCTTGAACCTTATTCACATTCGATTTGGCAATAACGTTGTAGTCTTCAAAGAGCAGTTCACCGCAATTTCAAAACCACGTATCGAAATGCCACTAGGTGACAACAAATCAGTACTTGCAGGAGAAACAGCAATATTTTCCTTACTTCGATGTCTTCGAAGAGGTTGTGAGGCAGACTTGTCACCTTGGTTGCCGCTACTATTACTACTCTTTTCAGCTGATGGTGGAGATCCTACGTCCTTATCTTTTGTAGCAAACATCATATATCCACAATATTTACATTTGTGTACCTTCCAAATTGGTTCAATATATTCTCCAATTGGAATATTATCTGGAATGACCTCAGAATGTTGCAACACTTCAAATGGTTCCAAAAGTACCTTGTCATGAGTTGTGAAACCCATATTCACCACATTGGCATTGTAAAAGTAGAGTAATTTCATTTCTTGAAGGAATGAAGGCCAAGTACGCAAAGGACTGTGATCATGTGTGATATTTCCAGAGTGAAAACCATGAACTGAGAAGGGTGACATTAAACCAACCACACATGCTCCACAAATACATCTAAACCAATGAACAGTTTCTTCTTGTTTTTGTTTCTTTGGTTGAGTAGTGGTTGTGGTTGCATGATTGGTTGTTGAGGATGAGTGTTTGTTGTTATTCGTGTGAGTTCCAGTAGCAGCAGCAGTATTATTATTATGACTACTACTACTACTACCCTTCGTTCGTTGCTGTTCCTCTTCCAATTGCTTATCTTTCAACTTTTTCATTTCCAACATTTTTGAAATACTTTGATGAATCTTATTGAGCTTCTTGTGAGTATGTTGAGGTGGAGATTGAAGAAGTGATTGAACACTTGAATGTCTATTCTTGAAAAGTGTACCTGAGGAAGATAATGTTTTGAGTTCTGAAAGTGCCTTCTTCTTTTGTGACTCGACGGATTGCATTTGTTTGACTTTGAGAAGGAAATGCAAAAAGTGTGTTAAAATTTCAGGTCGTAAGGCTGGTCTTCGACTTTTCACAAACAAGTAAGATTCATAACTTGACAAGTTATAGGTATCCATCAAGAAGAGAACGACAAAGAGACCACTTCTACTGAGACCTTTTCCACTGTAAACGAGAACTCTTCCTCTTTTCTTGATTGCATCTCTGACAAATTCAAATGCCTTAATGTATTCGCTGTAGGCTTTTAAGGAACTTTCTGATAAATGCTCTTTGAGATTAAAGTAGAAGAAATTGTCAGGGAATTGAGACTTGGAAGTAGTGACACAACAGTTCACAATGTGAGTAATTCCGAGTTTGTTAAGAATAGACTTGTTGTAAGCTAAATCATCAGAAACTAAATACAGACGATTCTTCATAACAAATGTGGCCTTCTTAATGTAAAAATCAACATCATCTTTGGTCCAATTGTAGGGTGACAAATAATTATGTGCTGTTGTTTCTTGCTGAGTATTTCTACTGTTCTTAATCGAATCAGAATTGTCTTTGGGAATAACTCCAGGAAGTGCTGGTCGATTGGAAGATTTGGAGGTGTGAGGAGTTTCTAGAGGATGCAACAAGAAATCATCAACATGATGATGATGATGAACAAGCTTGGGAGGAGGAGTAATGCCTCTACTGGTCAAAGTACTTCTTGCGCTATTAAATTCATTTTCAATGTCTTCAGGAGTCATTTCTTTTAGCTTTTGCCATGATGGCATGACGTGCACAAAGTAGGAAAATCGTTGCAATAAATCATTGATGGATGGTCTTCGCAAAGGATCTCTGACAAGAATGTAGCTCAAAATGTCCATTAAAAAGTGATTGTAGTGAATCTTGAGGAATCTCTCTTGAGAAATAAGTGTCTTCTTATTATCAGTCAGCAAAACAAAGAAGGATGTGAAATCAGAAGCATCGAAAAGGAATTCACCAGAGAGTAATTCATAAAATAAACATCCCAATGACCAAATATCACTTGCACTGTTGGCTCCAACTTTTCTTCTTCTGTCATAATTCTTACTTTTTGTGTCCATCATTTCAATCTTGAGCATTTCAGGACTCTTGATACATTCTGTACCTCTATGACGAGTGGTATAGCCATCTTCTTCATCATTTGAATAAATAAAGCTTTCACCAAAGTCACCGATAACCATCTCAAAGTGAGGCATATCCGATTGATGATTGAAAAACTTGCCATCATCAACACCATCAAATGGTTCCAAGAAAATATTGTCACACTTCAAGTCAAAGTGGTTAATATTGTTATCGTACAAGAATTTGTAAGATTCTAAAATTCTCTTGAAGATGTTCATATAGAGTGGAATGTTTTGTAAAAAGTGGGTGGTTTGTTTGAGTCTCCATGTCTTCAAGCTGGTCTTATACTCTTTCATCACAATATAGTAATTGTCTTTGGTGACACCATAATCATACATTCTACAAATTCGTGGATCAGCTTTGAACTTTTCCATGATTAAAATCTCGTTGAAAATTGTGTATAAAATGCATGCCTCGTCAATGAGTTTAGGAACTTTTAGCAATTTTACAGCCACTGTCTTGACTGAGGAGTGTGTAAATTTGAGTTTACATCTCCAAACGTCACCGAATGCACCAACGCCTAAACGTTCCTCTTTCACGCTATACAAGTTTGGTTCAAACAACTTTTCACACAACAATCTCAAGAGGATGTTCAATCCAATAAGATTATCGTTCATACTACAATATGATACGATAGTGTCATGAAGAAGTGGAATAATATGCTCATTGTATGGATCGTTGATGTGGAAATGAAGCATGAAAGGAACGTTTGGAAGGTTCTTATTGAGAGGGAATTGGTCACAATATCTAGAATCTAAGGTAGAGTTAGAAGTAATCAAGAGTGACATCAATAAGGTGAGAATGGCCACATGCAACTCATCATTTCTATAGAGCTTTCTATTTTTCCTTTCTGTTTCATAGAATTGTACTTCATCAGATTCCATCATGGCTTCGTGTCTTTCCACAAATTGAACAGTGGACTCGATCAAGCTTGAAAGAACTTCTTCATCGCTTAGATCATCCTCATATAATAAATCATTCTCTGAAGATCTTGTTGAAGCGAGTGTTGTTAAGGCATCTCGTTTTGCTGACTTTAAAGATGAAATCTTTAACTTTTCCAAAATTCCCTTTGAGCTACTGCTGTGAGGAGTCTCAGAGTTATTTGCAGCTGGTTCAGGAGGTGATTGTTGATTTTTAGCTTTCAATGCTCCCAAATTTAATCCCAATGAGAGCATAGATCCTGTTGGCTTGCTGTTGGTGTTGCCATTTGTAGTAGTAGTGGTATTATTTGTTGCAGCAACATCTGTATTGGAGTTCGTTGCAGCAACATTTGTTTGCTTGGTTTCATAATTTGAGCCACCCAATGAGAAATTTAGTTTTGGAATTGAAGTGTGAGATTTTGGAGCTGACGGAGTGTTGATAAAATCAGCATCGTCGTCATCATCAGAATTGTCTTCGTCATGATTATCAGTAGGTTTGGTTTGTTTACCTTCATCTTTAGTGTTTCGAATGGAAGTAGTAGGTTTCGAGAAGGACAATGGAGGAATGGAAGGTTTGGCTCCATTTTCTAATGCTGCATTGGTAGACGTGGCATTCTCTGTACCTCCAGTTTTGTTTCCAAATGCCAGCTTGGGCACAATGGAAATGGGAGGAACAACTGGGGAGGATTGAGAGGTAGTGTTGTTGTTGTTGCTGTTGTTGACTTGTGGATTCGTAGATGACGAGAGTGTTGTATTTGAGGTCGGTATGGTTCCAAGTTTTAAGCCTAATGATGGAATGACTGGTTTGACTTGCTGAGTGTTGTTCGTGACCACAGGTGACTCTGTCTCAGATTCTGAATCTGATGTCAAATCAGAAGTGTCTGTTGCAGGTGTGCTCTCTGATTTCTCTTTTGTAGCCACTGATTGAGTGTTTGTGTTAATAAGAGAAGGAATTTTAGGAAGGGACAATGTTTGTTTTGGTTCTGGTGGTGAGTTGGTCTTGTTGGTTTGTGGAGTCAAATTCAAACCAGGAATGAGATTCACTGGAGGTTTTGAGACTGTTCTATTTGGAGAATCAAAATCGCTATCGTCTTCCTCTTCTTCTGAAATGTCCTCTTCTCCAGAATTGGCAGCACTGTCGTCATCGGATGTGTAGGTATCTGTGGTTTGATCGTTGGTTTCATTATTATTGTTGTTGTTGAGGTCTTTCACCGTTTGTGCCAACTTGGCAGCAGACTCTTCCATTTTCTTTTGATTTTGATGTCGTTTTTCATGAATTTTGTGTTCAAGGTTAATTTCTCTCGACAAAAATCGTACTACTTTCATGGTGAAAAATCGATTGATGATTTGTGTTGTCTTATTCATGGAGAATGCAATAAGTACGTTGAGGTGAAGCTTACATGCTTCTAAAGTAATATCATCATATGCCTCTTCAATGTACAATCTCACAAAGTTCAAATAGTGATATCTGATATAGGTGTTGACATAGGATTCAATTCTAAGGAAAGGCAGGTATGGAAGTCTGAACATCTTTTCCAACAAGGTCAACATTTGCTTTTTCACAGTATAGTTTTCAGTGATAGGTCCTTTGGTTAAAAAGCTCAAAACTAATCCATCAACAGGATTGACCAAGAAATCAAATTGTTTCATAACTCCACTTTCATCTTCAAGGAATGTCTCCTCTCCATTGGATGAATTCATAGCACCGCCAGACACACCACTTGTTTCGTTCATCATCATGTAATTAAGTAAATTCTTTTGCTTGACGTTGTGAGTATTTTCTTCTTTTTTCGAAAAGAATTCTTCTCCTAAATCTTGGAATAAATCCATCAACACTTGATAATGCTTCAACACTCGAACTCGTCGATCCTCCAACGTGATTGGGAATGATTTGGTATGAATATTAGTATAGCTATCTTCTCTCAGTGTGAAAATTGCATAATCTCTTAGCCATGCAAATGTGTCCACATTTTCAATGAGATTAAAGTAAAAGAATTCCATCAACAATGGATGTCTTTCAGGACTACCACAGATAAAATCAAATATTTCAAGCAATAGGTGAATGATATTGACAATCACTGGGTTTTTTTCGGCCAATCCCTTAAACTCATATCTGCCATGAATGTCTCTGCTCTTTCTTCTGCATGCTACTTGGATTTTGAGCAATGTTTCCAAACAAACGGCTGTACACTGTGAAGCCTGAACTCGTGAGACACAAGAGTACAAGTATTTGGACAGTACCTGAAGTTGATAATGTGTTTCTTCCCAGTCATCGTTTTCAATGGCTTGTTCAGTGATTCCTGTCCATCTCCAGAGGAAAATGTCAAACTTTTTTAAAGTTCTATCTCGCGTTGGATCATTACTCTTGTTAGCATTGTTCATTCTCCAAAGTCTAAAATATTTTGCTTCTACATCTGCTGCGTACTGCGAAAGAATGTCATAAATGATACAAATGTTATTCTTTTCGACATCAATCACAAAATCTTCGTTTTCAACAAGGTTAATCTTATAGCTCAACGTGTTCAAATCATGCATGAACATATTTACAGGATTTCTTGCAAACTTTCTAATCACTTGGAATTTTGAAACTGCTTGAAGAATTTTGAGAATAAAGTGTCTATGTACAGAAATATCGTTGGAAAATTTGGAGAAGATTATTTCTTCGAGTGTGAGAGGTTTTTTCAGATCGGTCTTTTTTCTTTTAACCTCTTCCACAACTGTACCATTCTCTTGTTTAGGTTCCTCGTTTTTAGATATTTGCATGTCAAGATCTCGTTTAATAGGTATGAGATACGTCAAGTCATATGCAATATCTAAATATTGACAGTTGATGTTCAATAAATAAATGCTATCATTGATACTTACATAATTCTCCCAATTTTGCTGCAAGGGAGTCAAAATGTTCAATGCTCGATTTAGTTTTTTGTTCAGCTTGCACGTTTTCAGTATTGTTATTTCCCTGTGATTGTGTTCGAAGTGTATCAATACTCAGTCTCAAACCTTCTAAATTCACCAAGTTAGGATCCAGTCTTCTTCGTATTCTCGTTGCTGTATTAGACTGGTTTTTGGATGGTAACTTTAGAGGTGGTACTTTAAATAACCCAGTAATTGCGTCTCTGGGAGTGGAGTTGTTTGAGCCCTTATCTCTATCATCGGAAGTGTTACTTCTGTCAGATTGAGGTGGGCTTTGTAAGCTAATGTTTAACAAATTGTTTTCACTTGTAGTGGGAGAGGTGTATACGGATCCAAAGTCTGTGACAGCCTTATCTTTACGGTTTTTCAAATTCTTTTCAATCTCTGCATTAATACTATTGTTGAAAGAGGCGGTATATAATTTTGGTGGTTTTATCAAGGAGGTAGATGCACTTTTTCTGGGAGTGGGAGTAGTTGAAAGTCTAGGAGATTTGATAAAGTGCTGAGTGACATTTTGTTTTAACATTGGCTTTCTTGCATGACTGTATTTTTGATGTTCAATGTCTTTGATCAGCCTCTTTCGATAAATGTCCAATAACAAGTTTCCTCCCGATCGATTAATAAATAACTAGAATATATTCACACATGATCATTTGAAACTGTTAAAAAACAAACGTTCACGTCACTCAAGCAGATACATACTTGCATAAAAGTGTCGTCCTTCGTAAATAGTATTCTATACAAAAGATATAATAAATTTGTAATGTTGCTCTCTTCATACACAAAATCGTTAAAAACATCGAAAAATAATGCAAAGTTTTGTGGTTCAGCCAAATTCGTTGACAAAACTACTTTCTGTACAATTTTGATTGTCTCAATGCTGATTCGTTGTCCACTACACAAGTACTGAAATAGACAAGGATATAGACCTAATTCTAACCATTCACTTTCACACTTTTCTGTTTCAATACTCTGAAGAATGGAATCCAGTGCCTGTCATGATGATTCGGTTTTGAATTGGCAATAGGTTCCAAACATGGTATTTTTGACAAGTCAATGTTGTTATGCAGATAGTGTCGTGGTCGTAGTAGCAGTAGTTACATGTAAATATACAACCACGTTGAACTCTCTAAAACTCTTACCTTCAATTGTTTCTCTGTGTGATAAGAAGCATCAAATCTCGAGCTATTATCACAAAGTAAAGAGAGTATTTGTAATTTTTTGCTTCTACGTGCCATCTCCTCTTTTGTGAGTATGACATGATCCGATACTATGGGTGATGAAACGAGAGAAGAAACCACAACGACATTGTTCGTATCGATGGCGAGATCATCATTGGATGGGCGTTGCGGTTGTTGTTGTTGTGGGTCATGGGATTCTTCGGAGACTATGGATTTGTTGTTGGTTGGAGAGGATGTTGTTGTGGTTGGGTTGGATGTTGTTGTGGTTGCTGTTGTCATTGTCTATGATGTGTTGTAGGTACGGAATTTTTATACTTCTCAACTGATGATGATGACAATCATAAGAGTCGTCGTTGATAATATCAAAAGAGAGAGGAGAGGAGGCTCAAAACGCAATGGTGTTATTGAATGAGGAATTGGCGATTTTAAACAATCAGTGATGCGCAAAATGACAAGTATATTGGAAATGAGAATGGGATGATGATGGGTATTGAGATACTGATGATAAAGTGTAATATGTTATTACAAAGTACTTCCACAACTCCGGAAATGATGAAAATAAAAAAGGAAGAAGAAGGGATGGAGTTCTCGATAGCGTTGTTGAAAGGAAATACTCTCTCTGAATCAGCAACAAATCAATGATGAAAGTGTGTCCGTGCACTGAATTTCAATTATTTTTTGTGGGTGATGTTTTCAAAAGTGGTTGTGGAGAAAAATTGAAACGGTTTTATGAACATTTGACGTTTGACGCTGCTGAAAAAAAGATGAACGACAATCCTTTTTAGCTCTCTCCAGGGGTTGTTTCACAGGCATTCATCTAAAAAACTACTCAATAAGCTCACCTTCTCACAAAGAGCCGACTACAGGTCTTGGCACCAATGTCTAATGTCAAAGGCTCTGGATCTTTCATTGGGCTGACATTTAAGCATTTGTAATACCAAATCAAACAGGTAATCGTCATATTGAGGCCTAGCCTGCTTCATATTGTTCTTGATCCTCTCGTGAGCAGCTTGCTCGAGTAAAACGTTAGGCACTCCATCCTTAATAAACCAGGAGGATAGTTGTGTTTTCTAAAGTTTAGATATAAAAACAAACGTGAGCAATATAGAAATTGGTGTGAGTACTTGCTTACAACAACACATTTCAATTACTTACAAAGTCACCCGTAATAATCTGATAAACTGTACATCCAAATGACCAGATATCACTCGCATGAGAAAGATCTCCTTTTCCACAAATAATCTCTGGAGCCAAATACACCAAGGTACCCTTCATTGTTGGAGCATTCGATTGTGTTCGGAAATGAAGTAACGAAGTTGGAGAATATTTAGTAGATTCACCAAAATCACCAATAGCAACATGTACCCATTCTCTCGTTCGATCAATTTCATCGAGGAAAATATTACTGGGCTTGAGATCATTGTGAATGATAGATTTCACTTCATGCAAATAAAACAGAGCATTCGATAATTGTTGAATAATGCTCACCATGATTTTTTTGGTAAAAACAAAGTCAGGGTTTCTTTCAATAAATGTCTTAAGGTCACCAAATTTGTAATAGTGCATGACAAAGCAAACTGACTGAAGAATCGTGCAAGGGAACACGTCTGTTATGGTAATAATGTGAGGGTGCATGCATTCGGTCAACCTCAACCCTTCCTCTCTCACAGACCCTACAAGATTTTCATCTCTATAGTCGTCAATGTGAATAGATTTTACAGCAACATGAAGATTTGTTTTTTCGTCCAAAGCAAGATACACGGTTGCAAAGGATCCACGGCCAAGTAATTTTTCTATCATCATTATGATTCATGGGCATTAGTGTCAACTATAAATGAGAGGTCTCACTAGAATAACTGTACTTACCAACATGATATCTATCCTTCAATCTATTTTCATTATAAAACCTCCCATTGCCTGTATCGTTGTTGCTATCATTTGTATCATCAATAGATCCTCGAGTTCCCAAGTTGTAATCAGACGCAGATTTGTAAGTATCAATGTTAGTTGGAACTATATAGTCGAGCCCCACTTCACTATCACGTCTTATTCTTTCCACATAGAACATGTCAGAATTAGAAGCCACTGACAACCTCATACCGTCTGTGGGAGTGTCACCTGGTGTCAGATATGTTGGATTTGGCTTGAGTTTAGGCGAAGATTTCACTGAGGACAGTCGAGTGGAAGATCTAAGTGACTTTTGCAAAAAGCTCGATTTCAGCGAAATGATCTTATCTTCAATATGAGGACTAATATTCGTGGATTTCCAATGCTGGTTGTTCATTGGCTGGGTAGCCATGCCATTTTGTTGCTGATCTTTCAAATCTCCATCCTCACTAACAGTTTGGAACGAAATCGCATTATTGCTAGATATAGCTCCAACAGCATCACTTTCAACCACTACTGGTGAGTATTTTGCTGTTTCTTTCACGGATGGAGCAGGGATATGCTTAAGATTCTCTTTCTTTGGATGAGATGAATCTTTGGTAATGTAACATGCATAGAGAATTAACATCATCACTATACCGACACATGTTCCAATTAAGCATACACCAATACACACCATTCCAACAGCAAGGCCAGTGGTATCAAAAGCGCTCTTTCTCGAAGTTCTTACAATTTGCAGGGAATAAGAACAAACTCCAGTGCAGCCGCTCATCACAACAGAAACATAAATGGACGCAAGAGGATAATTTGCATTATCAAGAGGAATTGTTGACGTTGTCGACTCAGGCTTAAATGTCACTCGTCGTTGTAAATCATAGTTTCCATTTGGTGATGCTTTCTTATTGACACCAATGAATGCATCAAGATACTGTAAAGTTCCTCCTGGTTGTGCACTAATCACTAACCCAAAACTATCAGTATTGAAATCAATAGAAGAATCTGAAGAAAGACAATTAGGGCAAAAGTAGTAATCTGTTAACAAGCTAGGAGTAGAATATGATTTTGGTTGGTTAAAAGTCATGAGTCTGTACAGTTGGAGAATTGAAAGCTTGGTAAACTCAACAGGCCTATCCAAAGGGTTAAATAACACAAAAGAATAGGCTGTATCATAGAGTCCAAACATGTAGTCTGTTTTTGTGTAATCGGTCGTTCCAACATCAATCACTGAAAGCATTGCTTGATTTTTGGTCGAGTTAAATAGAGGAAGGTTGCTTGTAGGAAGATAGGAAATAACATAGCCTGGTACGCTTGTTTGAAATTCAAACTTCCAATAGCCATAGGTGAAAGGAAAGGAGAAGTAATTCTTTGATGAGAGTCCATAAATAGTATTCTGTGCAAAGGTTTCAACTTTTGCTGTGCTCCTGAATTTAAAATTGCTGTTAGTGCTTCGTGATGCAACCACAAGTTGATGATTATTTGTATTGGATCTATTAGGGTCTACATTGACCGGTTGGTCCTGTTGTTGTTGTTGATAGAAATACAGCTCCAGCAGAAAGAATTTGCAAAGAACGACCAGAGCAACAATAAAGACTACTGGTAGCCACCTCGACATGATTCAGTTTTTTCTTTTTGATGTTGTGGCTCTTATCCAAATGAGCTGGGCTACCAAAAATGCAAAATTTTCTTTTGTCATTACATTTTTGACGATCGAGCTAATTTGGGAATGGTACAATCAAACATTTGAAACAATATTTCTTCTGTAGTTCTAGTCTTCTTTGTCCGGTATGGTGACATATTTCATGCTTCTAACATATAGAATCAAATTTAACAATGTTCCAATAATAAGCCCAACTGTTGTACAAATTGGAAAATATTGCCAGTCTTTTTCCCAGTCAAGAGGAATGACAAATCCACTAATCCAAATACAGACAATATGAACAATTACGAATTTTCTCAACAATGCCACTGCTTGAAGGTCAAGTTTTAGGTTGGTCAATCGTGTGGTTTTTTCCAACGCTACTAATTTCACAGTATCCACAATGTCTGTCCATTGGGAGAGGCTACATAACGGTTGGACAAAAATGATTAAACTAGAGATTAGACACCACAACAGGCATCTAACAATTTCTCCAATCGAGAAAGCATAACATTTGGACATGAATGCAAACACGACAATATCGTGAGAGTTGATCATGGAGCTGGGAACAAGCTTTGTGCATATCCAATTTTCATCAGCATTCTCTGTTGTGGTTGATGTAACAATTTCGCTTCTAGCTGATTGAAAAGTTGCAGAGTTTGACGAGTTAATTCGTATAAAAGGTGAGAATCCAAACAAAATTACGACAGCCAGTAAAAGACATGATCCCAGAACAAGGGTACCAAAATATTTAGCGATGTGTTGTAAAAGTAAGTCTGACGGAGTCATTTTGCTGTTGAGTGGAGTTTTTCTTGTTGCGAATATGCCAATCAGAGTAATAAACATGTAAATAGGTATGAGAACAACTACAAAACCTGTTATTGTTTCCGAATAGTATTCTTTCAACAAGAACGATTCCACTCTCCATGCACCATCATCATCAGGATTTTCCGAAGATGAATGGTTCCATGATTGCGTCATCCGAAGAGCAAAATAAATCATAAATATTAAACTCGTAATAATTTGAGTCATTAGAAATTTGTAGTATGGACTCATGGTCAATAGTAGACGAAGAGGATTTTGCTGTGGTTGAGTCTTGGTGTTTCGAGAGGATGGTCTCTCTTGGCCGTCTTTTATCATTTTTAAATTTTGAAACAAAAATTCACCACGTTCACTTCGAGTGCTTGCAGGAATGATTCACTCAACCAAACTGCTATGTAATAATATGAATCCATATTATTTTATCAATAATTTGGTTACTACACCATTAATTCGTGTTTCTCTGCTTCGGAATGGCAACTATATCAGTAATCGAAGGGATGATTCAAAACGATCGTTCGGTCATTGTCTCGGAAATGTTTGTCTCGACGAGAAAAAGAACGACCTTTCCAAAAAGAAGCCAATGAGAACCGAGAAAGAAGTATTCAGCTTGTTTTCATATGTAAAGCAGCAAGAAACGAATAGGAATGATGAAGAAAATCGAAAACAGCAAATTATATTCGAGCAACAAGTTAAGGCTTTAAAGGAGCATATTGAAACAAGCACTGCAGAATCTGTTGATAAAGATAACAACAACGATGTAGACTGGAATGAGATGACAGCCAATGAATTTCAGCGCTACACGCTTGAATTGTTTAAGAAATGCATTCACAGCATTAATGAAAAGAATCATGATTTAAAATTGACGTTAAAAGCAGAGCCATCAGAGCCATTAACTGATGATGAAAAGAATTTTATACGTGACAAGTTTAGATACTTGATTGACACAACCGCTGTACAGTTTTTTGACAAGATCACAAAAACAAATATTGTTCGACCTGATTTTCTTGTCATGGCTCACGACAGAAAATTTATTTTCGATGCCAAACATTACAACTCTAAAAGTGTGAGAAATAAGGACTCTCCACTCATTGGCAAGCAACTGATTTTTACAGCCAATCCAAGTCGTAACAGCACATCGAAAGGAGAAGTTAACATTTATGAAATTGTAAAATTATACAGAGATATTCATGCATTTAAGGCAACGGGTGGAGGTCTTATATTAAGTCCAAATACGAAACTGACTCCTAGTGCACAACATTTGGCCGTTACTCTCAATTTAATCATCATCAAGCTGAAAAAGAAAGGAAAATTGAAGACAAGTTTTCAAAAGATTTTCAAGCATACCTTGATCTTTATAATATTACTTCTTAATATTTTACAATCGCCACCTTTATTGATTTGTACATTTTGTTGTAAATAATATATTTTCATTTAACATTTTCGGAATGAATTACACAGTTACAAGCCCAACGCTCAAAGCAATTCCCAAAACATAATTCAATACTGCTCCCAGTCTTCGGAACGGACTTACTTTAGCAAGACTATTGGGTGACAAGAGACCACAAGTGATTGATAATCTCGCAAGCACATAGGCAATCATGCAAGCTCGCATCACTACCATTGCTCTCGTACCTGTATGACCACCAGGACTCTTGATCAATTGTTTGGCTTCCATGAATAACATCAACGAAATAGCAGTTGGAGTATACTCGGCATGATTGCCATGAGCACGAACGGCCTTGGTCAAGGGACTATTCAAATCTTGATCATCCACACCAATGGATTTGTTGGTACTCATTCGGAGCCGACTCACATTCAAACCAAGAAGAAAGTTACTGGCTGAGAGAATTCCAGCAGCGTAAATACCAATAGGTTGATCGGAGAGGAGAGACAACGACATTGTGGTCAACGACTGAATGAGATTTTTGTTATGTATGAATTGAACCTTGCTGTCCGTTGATCATGGGAGGATTTTGATATGTTCTTGAAAAGGCAAAGGGAGGACTTACAACTTTATTTGAAATTACAGGACTGTACCGAATGAAAGCATTAATTGTGGAATAGCTCATTGGTTAGCGTTTCAAACAGTTATTTCGTCGACAAGCCAAAAGTTAATTGGTAATATCAAATGTACCTTGATATTCTCCCAACGTTCTGTCTTTAATTTGAATGGATCTTGTGGTAGTATCGATCACTACCTGACCGCTTCCTTGAGCGTATTTGAAAGTGAGTTGACTTCCGTCGCGAGAGTCCAATTTGGCGATGATGAACTGATTGTTGTTGAGTCCTTGAAGCTGTAAATGTTCGTCGTTGAGATTTACTTGTCCTCGATATGTTCTTACTTGATTGGGATTGGATTGAGAGGAAAGAGAACATTCGAGTTGAAAGACGTTGTTGCTTGCCATTCGTTTTGTGTTGGTTGGAGAAGACTTATATTCTCTTTTCTGCTTTCTTGGAGTAACTTGTCAAATGGATTTCCAAATTTAATATATTTACATATAATCCTAATCATGGCTTGAATAAAGATTTCTATGTAATAAATTCCATAAGCTAATTTTTCGGAATCTTCGTGGTGCTAATTGTTAATTCCAGTTAATCCAGATTTAATTAACGACGTAACGGTTAATATTGCAAAAAAATTGAGATATCAAGTTGTCTGAACCTGTTGAATTTCTTGTTTGGATCTGATTGTTTTGAAAGATATCTTGTGATAATAACCCTCTCTATTTATTTTGATCCCAAAGGAGTTTAGGTATGTCGATTTTAAACTATTGGATGTCATCATTTATTGATGATGGTTTTCATTGTTTATGAAATTCTTTTTCAAACCATCAACTGGTGTAGTTCTCCGAGATTGTACTAAATAATTTATTTCATCCTATCATCATGCCTTCTACTCCCGAGGAATTATTTCTTCCAAAAGCTAATGATAGTAACGAAAATGAAATGGACGTTTCCATAGGAGAAGTTTCCGACCGTTCTTCTACTTCTTCATTCACGCTCTTTGATATTGGATTGATTAAACTCGCTGAAGAAGTTGCATCCTTTGTTCTTGCTCATGGAAAGGCAAAATCCACCAAAGTAATCTTTAAATTATTTCAAAGCATTCAGAATAAGAGCGATCAGGAACAATTAGCAAATACTTTTATTCAAATTCAACAACAAACGAAACATGAGACGGTGGTCAGTAGCAGCACGAGAGACGTGTTTGCTCATCCTTCCACACCGTCGTCGTCATCATCAGTAACATCTTTGCAAAATTCGACAAACCTAAAGAAAAAATCACAACCATCACCATGTATTAATAAGAGAAAACAAACAAGTTCCAGTCGTAGGTCTGATGACGAAGAGTCAGACTTTTTTGAAGGTGGAACTGAAGAAGGAGAAGAAGACGATAATGCAACTCCCTCAAAAAAGCAAAAAGATCAACTCGTCAAACGAAATCTAAGACGCTAAAACGAAATGACAAACGGTCCACAATTGAAGATGCGACTGATGATGAATCAATCGAAGGAAACGATGAAGATGGAAAGAAAAAACGAGCTGGAAAACGAGCACCTCCTCAAAAAACGAACGAAGATAAGGAGAAGTATTGGTCGACACATTTTCAAACCATGTACACCAAATCTTTACCAGAAAATTTCACATTAGAACAATTCAAAGAATCACTCTCAGAAAAGAATTCAGAACCGGCTTTTGTGACCTATGGGTTCCTAACCAAGAGCCAAACAGAAGCTGTGAAAAAATCCACGTTTAAATTCTTTCACCACTACCCAAGGCTGTTTTATTTGATGAGTTACACACCCCTCATTCAGTATGGAGCAGCTGTGGCTTCCGAATGGCTCGAGAGTCATCCAGCCTACAAGGCACACTTTGTAAACTTGCCCTCTCAATACTTGACTATCGACAAGCTATTTCCAGCAATGGTGGAAAAGTATCTTGATTAAACGGAATAGACTCTAAGTTTCATAGCATCTAAGTTGGTTCTTTCAACATGAGAGTGTACTTAAGTATACTTTATTGAGAGCTCACATCAGCACAAAAAGATATTTGTTAGCCCTCCTGTGATCGGAGTAATCAAAACAACAAAAAATGAATCATCACCACATGTCGGTTTCATCATCTTCAGCTCATTCCTTCGGTTCACACTCTCCGACCATGATGGATCACTCGAATCACACCATGAACCACACGATGGGTGGTATGCCCATGTATTTTGTGAACTCGTATCAAGTTTCCCATTTATTGTTTGAACCTGTGGTCATTGAATTATGGTGGCATTATTTGTTAGCGATTTTAATTTGCTTTGGCCTGTCAATATTTAATCAATTCTTGGTGTTTTTGGTGAAAAGAAAGGTTACCATTCCGAAAATAAATGAAGAAGATGAATACAGAAATTTGGAAACTAATAAGAAGAAGAGAAAAAAGAAAGTGATTGCTTACACGTGGTTCATTTTGAAGCCATTGATTTATTTGGTACAAAACACATTGGGCTATCTCTTGATGTTAGTTACAATGACCTATAACATGGGATTGTTTTTGGCTGTTGTTGCAGGTAATACTGTCGGATGGACTATTTTCTCAATGAGCAGTAACATTGTTCCCGAGGATTGTTGTTCTAATTAACACTCCACCCTTGTGAAAATATCTTTTCCCCTTTAACAAAAATCACCACGACAACATGATACACAAATTAAAGCAAACAAAATAACATTTTTACAAGGTTGCTTAATTACTACTTTAGTGGTTGTCATCATCGAATGGATCTTCCACACGAGTAGAGGTCAATACTAACAAGTCATGAAGATTATTCTTCAACTCTTGTGTCTTTTTCTCGTCCAATGTCATATCTTTGCCATAAATACCAGAAAATTGGTAAATTCTTGGCAAGAGATGGCCACGTCTCCATTTGGTGGTTCCGAACATTCTGCATCTCGGATGATTACATGATTTAAGATCAATGACATCCTCAAAAAACCAATCAACAGGTTGATTTTCGTAGGAGCCAATCTTGTCCATCATAAAGTAAGAGAGCTGATAGGTAAAGTCGCAAAACTTGTCATAGTCAACAATGATTTCGTGGAAGTATAATCTGTATCCAGACTTGAACCTTGCTGACTTGGTATTCTTATCGTTCCAATTACTGTGACACTCCGTCACAACCACTGTAATATCCTCCTTGCCCTTAAAATAATCGTTTGTAAATTGTTGAATGAGTTTGATCCAGCCGTTGCTTACAATATCATAAGGTGAATTTGGTTTTGTAATTTTGATATCAATGTCTACGTAGAGCCTAAAGGCATGTTTTGTTCTCATTTCTTCAACATAAAACTTTTGCTTCTTTTCAATCGTGCTCTTCCAAGCTGCAATATATTCTTCATACTTCTTTCTCGTGTCAAATATGATATGATAATGACCTCCTCTCTGAGAAATGTGGGTAGGAAATTGTAGCACTAAATCTTCATTTTCTTCATTGTGTTCCAATAACCACATTTCCAAATCATCATCAGGAATGTACTCTTGTTGAACTTTGCGAGTCTTATTCTTGGAAAATAATACTTTTTTGAGCTTCTTGTTGCTACGATATTGAGCTACATAATTTTCTAAAATTTGTTCGTTCGTTAAACTAGTCGTGACGTCACTCGTCAATTCTCCATCGATTTCTTCAGATTCTTCTGAATCATTATCTTCACTCAAGTTATTTTCATCTTCCTCACTGGAATCATTGGATTTTTCTGGAATTATTGGAGATGACGAAGAGCTCTCGTGTGATGAAGAAGATGCAACTACTTGTTGATGATGTTTCTTCTTATTTTTCTTTTGTTTGCTCTCAAGCTCCATTTGTTTCTTAATTCTCAACTCCTCTTGGTGCTTTTTCACAAAATAGTCCTCAATAATTTGTTCCAATTTTCCCTTAGATACATTATCAATTCTCTTCTCTCGATCCCAAATAATAATTCCATTAAAATACAGATACCAAATTCTATGAAAAGGAATTTCATCAGATTCCTCAAAGTCTTTGATGGTGGTTGTCTTTAAACCTTCAAATCTATCTAAATATCCAATTGTAAAATCATCCAAAAAGGTTGAAAATCTCTCATCCCATTTAATTCTAGAAATGATGGATTGAGAGGTAATAAAGCCTTTATCCTTTTCTTTCTCTTCAGTAGATGGGTCCGAATTGGATTGTTTCTTGTTTTCCTTGTTATTTGTTTTGCTTGAAGCCTTTTTAGAGGATGAATTTTCTTGATTCTTCTTTTCCTCTTGTTTGTTGGAAGAGGATGAGGGCAACATGTTGAAATGGATCAATAAATCTCGGAATGAATCAGGTTGTTTTTTGGAATTTTTTTTTGATTGTGTTATTTTAAGAGTGAATAGTTTTCTTCAACTTTTTCTCTTTGTGAATTTTTCTTCAAAACCGAACTTGAATTTCAATTTGAAGGTCTCACAGAAATGGATTGTAACATTCGGCAGTTTTTGAGAACTTGTTTGTTCACGTGGCCATTTCAAACTCTGATTTCGATCATTTCAATTGGATCTCAAAAAATGTTTCAATGGTGGTCAAAGCTGCTCGGATCGGATGTTGGTTCGGAACAACATCTTCAGCAAGATTTGGCGGATGAGTCCTATCAAGAAGAACAATTTCAAGATTTTATTTCATCAGAATCATCAATTCATCAAGTGATTAATCATAATTCTTTTCATGAAAATTTCAAAGATAATGATCATCACGAACTTTCTCAATCAAACAACAACAAGAAGCAGAAATTACGAATATGTATGGTTTCCGATTTCTTCTATCCAGGTTTTGGAGGTGTAGAATCCCATATTTATTGCATCGGAACTGGTTTAATCAAACGAGGACATAAAGTCATTGTCATCACTACTTCATACGGCAACAGAAAAGGCATCCGCTATCTTTCAAATGGTCTTAAAGTTTATCATATACCCATCTTTAAAATTGAAACTGCTGCAGGAAGTGCTACTCTTCCATTTCTTCTTTCCTTAGGTCCACTGATACGAAATATTCTCATTCGGGAACGTATTGATCTTGTTCATGGACATCAATGTACCTCCAATATGTGCAACAATGCATTGTATCATGCAAAAACAATGGGCCTGAAAACCTTCTTCACGGATCATTCTCTCTTCGGATTTGGAGATCATGGAGGCATGCATATCAATAAGGTTTCGAGATTGGTCTTGTCTGAAGTGGATCATGTCATTTGTGTCTCACATACATTGAAAGAGAATTTGACATTACGAGCTTCCATGAATCCATTCAAAATGACTGTAATTCCTCATGCCGTGGATACAGGTGTCTTTCAGCCAAAGAGAAGAACCCTCGTGGATCCACATGAGCGTTTGAAAATTGTCTCTGTCTCTCGATTAGTGTATCGAAAAGGTGCAGATATTCTCATTGCCATGATTCCCATTATTTGTCAAAAGTATCCCATGGTGGATTTTATCATAGCAGGAGATGGCCCAAAACTCATTGAAATGCATGAAATGATTGAAAAGTATGAATTGTTTGATCGAGTGGAATTATTGGGAGCGAAACCATACAGTGAGGTTCCTCAAGTGTTGCAACGAGGACACTTGTTCATTAATACGAGTCTTACCGAAGCATTCTGTATGGCCATTCTGGAAGCAGCAAGTTGTGGACTCTTTGTAGTGAGTACCAACGTGGGAGGAGTGAGAGAAGTCTTGCCCGATCGTGACATGGTTCTATTGGCAGATCCAACACCTGTGGCCATGTGTGAAGCGATTGACGTGGCCATTAAGGACTATGTCTACAAGTGTGATCCATTGAAAACTCATGCACGTGTCCGTGAAATGTATCACTGGGAACAAGTGGTGGAGTGTACCGAGCAAGTGTATTACAATGCCGTTCAGAATAACGAAGAAGAAAATGAAAATAGTTCTGGAAAGTTACTGGATCGCCTCTTGTCGTATCACTCGGCAGGAACCTATCATGGAAAGATTAGTGCCTTAATCATGTTATTGGATCATTTGTTATTCAAAGCATTGGATTGGATCTATCCGAGAGAATCGATTGATGTGTGCCCCGATCTTGCTCCTTTCTACATTAAATCTTCAAGTAGTCACGAGAATGAAGTTGTCGCAAAGAAAAACCAATAATGACCATCAAGTATAATCATGCATTGGATTTACAATCATAGATCTACCAAGAAGAAGAAGAAGAAACTGAGGAAGTGGCAACAGTTAGCAAAGAAGAAACGCATTGCCATGATGAGTAATGTTGTTGTTCAACTGCACAATGATTGCCAACCACGCCAATGATGAGAAACTCCATTCTTGTGTGCCAAACTGATTGCACTTGTGCTGTGGCTGACTATTATGTTGTCTGCAAAAAGTTTCGCCGAAATAGATTTTCGCCACAAATTGCCTTTGGGAGACGAGCGGGTAGTGCCAGAAAGAGACATTGGCCAACAACGACAAGGTCGAGACAACAAACTCCAAGAAAATGTCGTCTTCCATGATGCTGAATTTTTCAATGAATCCCCAGCAACAACAACAACAACTAGCCAATATTACGATGACACCTACAACTCCGCTCAACAATAGTAACAACAATTTAATAAACGGTCAAGGATGGTTGTTTGGAGATTCCATGTTTAATGATTATGGTGTTTCTTCCGGTTTTAATATTAATAATAATAACAATAATAACATGAATATGATGAATCATAACAATTTAAACACCAGCAGCATGCTTTCTCCCATTCCAATGACCCCATCCGAAATCATGGATGGAAGATTATTGATGAATAATTGCGGAATGGACCAAGATGGCGGCATGGCCTCACCATCGGCTTGCTTTGACGTGGAAGCAGATGCATTAACAATCAATCATCATGCAAATCATGGAATCAATACAACTAACAACACCTCCTCTCCCACAAACAACAGCAACAATATGAGTTCAACTCAAGGAAAGTCCAACACGACAAGTAATAATAAGGAAAAGAAAAAGCCTAAAATTGCATGTGTTTATTGCAACAAGCTTCACAGTAAGTACAACAGTTAAGAGTGCAACAAAGCCATATGATGAACACTTTGATCATTATGATTGACTTGCTTCTCTGCAGAAAAGTGCGGTAAGTAGCAACCCATAGATTTCAGTTCCCAATTTGTAACCGTGATGGCCTAATAATTTCCTCATTTGAAACCAACTCCTTTCCAATCGCGTGTGTTATCAACAACAGATGGAGAAGCACCCAATGCATGTACCCGATGTAAAAAGAAGGGCATTCCATGTGTATATTTACCTCCTCAAAAGAGAGGACCAAAATCAAAGAAACGAAAGAACGATGGAGCTGTAGATGAAGAAGATTATTCCTTTGATCCACTCACTTGTGCTGCAGGATTGTGCAGTTCTTCTCAACAACAAACTCAACAACAAGGAAACGTTACTATTGGAAATCAACAATTCCAACAAGGACCTTACTATTACAATCAACAACAAGCATCACAGCAATTACTTTCTACCTCCCAACAACAACAAACGATTCAACATCAACCACCTAAAGCTGCCTCTAGCACTGATCTAAATGTCTACATTAACGAGTTATCGAAATCAAACAATCCTAATGCTTCTTCTTCGACGCAACTTGCAATTCCAACAAATAATTGGAATAATTATCAACCTTCAGCTCCAAGTCCACTCAGTGGTCTTCAATTTATTGTAAATGTACATACGAGAACATTGGTTGACCAGTTTTTAGAGTAAGTGTTCGTACTTGTTTCATTTGTGTAACATTGTGCTCTTATACAATATACAGCTCGGTAACCTGTCATTCCTTAGTAGATCGATCCATGCTTGACAATGCCCTTAATAAGGCTGTTGCCTTCTCTTCAGAACCCAGTGGCTCCCAGCTCTTGACCAATATTGTCTGTGCCATGGGAGCTCAACGCTTGGAAGACCGAAAGAATTGTATAGACTTCTTCAATCGAGCGAGAAACCAAGCAAGTTACTTGTTTGATCGACCTTCGAGAGAGACTTCATGTGCTCTCAGTCTTATGGGAATTTATGCATGTTCAGAAGGTGAACGAATTAAGGGTCACATGTATAATAAGGTTGCTCTAGATATGGCTTCTGATCTCTGTGGATATCAACTTGAAACGGACAAGTTTTGGCAAAGTTTGTTTGCCCTCACTTTTGCAACTACATTTTCCAAGTGGTTGTTTGAACTCAATATTCTCAAAGTAGAAGACAATTCCATTGATATTTTAGCCAAACATGGTTCCAATCCAAATCATCCTCAAATACCTGCCATTCGAGATTTGGTAAATACTATCAAGAATTATATCAATTCGCCACGATGTGCTAGAGAGGTTGAAGGACTCGAGGGAAAAGTCAGTGAACAATCATTGGTGAAAGGAAGTGAAGAAATTACTTTCACTGCTTTGCTCGTGTATTATTTGTTAATTTCAAGACTTGCATCTCTCGCAAGCAATCAGGTGGAATATATTAGTATTCTGAGAAAATTGGAAATATTGGAACGATATATTGAATCTGAAAACTTTAATAGAGATGATCTTCAAAAGAATGTACATCGCTTCTGTCTATACTCTTTAAGAGCAGATATTTTGGTGAAGTGTGGTCTCGATAAGATGGGTATGCATTGTGCAACGAAAGCTACTGGACTAGCTGCCAAGCCAACCTTCTGGAAGTCTGCACCAGTGATCATTCTGTTTTTCCCAACCCTTATTAGAGTGAATTTGAATGTCAATGACAGCAGTATGTCTGTTGAAAATTATAAGGCATTGAAGGTCATTAGTTCAAAGTTTGTGGTTCTCAAATATACCTTGTTTGACATGATTAATGCCATGAATAAGAGACCAGAGTTTAAAGACTTGCTAGAGAGTGAAAGACAGCACATTCCTCAAGGTTTTTCCAATTCTTCTGGATTTATTTCAGTTGCTGAGTCGCCTCAGTGTGATTCTGCACCAGCTCAAGATTGGTCTAACTCTTTCACAGCAGCACTGGTCGATAATAGCAACAGCACAAATAACTGTAACACAGGAGGTTCATGTTTTCCAAATGACTTGACAGATTTGCTGCAACAACTTGGCCAATCTGTTGACCATCAAGATTATCAGAACAAACTTGAATATCTATGGCAATCAACCCAAAACTGAGCGTGTACGGCAAGAAAAAACAGTTTAAATATTATTTACATTTCTTATTCCATTAACCGCAAACACATTCGTTTGAGCAATCGTGCCTCTTGAGATACTGTCCTGTCTTCTTCCCGCTTATCGTCAATATCGAGGATGGAAGAGTTCACGTTAGTGGCGTCGCTTGCTCCTGCAGCACCTGGGTTTAGGGTTGTCTTAATTTCCTTACCAAACATGGCTGCAGCGTCTAAAAAGTTTAAGATGTCTGTGTATGTCTGATCCTTTAGAACAATCATATTCTTGGATAAAGTTTCAAATAGAGACAAGAAGCATCGTTTTGCATAGAACCATGTGTCTGTCATGATTTTCTTGTTGTAAGGAATTAAACTTTTCATGACTCGAGAAATGCCGAACTCGTAATGACCTTTTGAGCAATACAAAGTTCCAATGACGAGATTAACAATACATAAATGCAAAGACTGCTTGTTGGGGTTTTGTCTATGCAGTCGTTGTTCCTCATTCTCAATCTTTTTCATCCATTCTTCAGCGTCTTCGTTTTCGCTGACCATAATGCATGACACACATAGGTTAGCCAATATCATAGCATGGACATCCAACAAGTTGTTTTTCTTCTTTTTTACAATAGCGAAATAAAACTTGATGGCTTCGTTGAATTTGTTTGCTTGCATGAAATATGTGTTAGCCATATTGAGCTTCCAAACGTCGCGCTCTGAACAAAACTCAGCACTTTGCAACAATATTTCTTCAACTCTGGGGTAATTTTCAATATCCCAATAAATTTTCGCCATTCCCATCAGGACAGGCATGTAATCATCAAGCGCCTCATCAAACTCTCTTAGGGACTTGGTCATTCCTTCACTATCTTTTTTCATTCTTGCATCCTGCAGTTGTTTGGTTAATTTTCTCAATTTGTCGATATGCTTGGTTGCTAGATCGTCAAAGCTTCTAAACGCTTCTTCTGGACTAGTTTGCGCCATAATCAAAGCTTCTAAAAAGTCGTAAATATCTTGAGAGAGATAACTAAATGATAAATGACTATTTTCAGCTAGAATATCTGCTGCAAGCAAATAATGTTGATGTTTGCAATAGAGCAGCAGCAAGTTTCCAAATGTTTCTGGAGGGAATGGGGGATGTTGAATGAGATGCTTGAGCTTTTTAAACCCGGCATTGGGATCGGTCTCCATTTGTAGAAGACCTTGGTTATGAAGTGTCACAGGATCTAGCTCTTCTTCCGTTCTTGGAGGCATATCTCTTAATGCTTCGCTAGCCTCCTCGTAGTTTGTCATCTGATATTGAATTGCAAATTTCAAATTGAACGCCTCAATTAAGGCAGTGTTTCGTAAAGTCTGACTGTTTCCAACACTTCGGACTTCAAAGCCATCAGTATTACTTCCAACACTTAATTCAGGATGTTCTCGTATTCCTCTTTCAATAATATCCTGCATGTATTTTAATGCTGGAGTATATTGTTTCATTCTGAAGTAACACAATGCAATATTGTATGCAATATGTGGTTGATACTCAACAATATTAAGCGCATCTTGGAAATTCTTTCTTGCTTCATCGTATTTTTCTTCCTTGTACAAAATACATCCTTGCATCACCAAAGTATCTGGATCATCCTGAATACACTTCTCGGCATGTGACTTTGTGGTTGCTAAATCATCGAGCTCATACTGACATGCTGCTAATAATTTTTGAACCTGTGAGGATCATCACCAGTTCACGACCGTCGTTCAAACATGGCGATCTTACTAGTACTTACTTTTTCTGCTAAAACTTCGGATTCAATAGTTGCACAAGCTTTTACAGCTTCGGGATACATTCCGGCCTTATACAAGGACTGAGCTTGATACAACTTGTATTGATCCACCGTTGGATAGAGTTTGACCAGTTTTTCATAGGTCTGAGCAGACTCGGCATAATTTTGTAAAATGTAATCACAATAGGCCAACAATGACAATGCGGCTCTACTCTCCGAAAAGAACTCTAATTGATGTTGTAGTATTTGTTTTGCATCTTCATATTTCTTCTCCACAATTAACGTATAAATCACTTTGGTATACTCTCCTTCTTGAACCCGAACAACACTTGGTCGTCCACCATTCAGAGTGGTTCCAGGTCGTTGGCCCCAAAAACCCGTAGTGGGCAAGGAAGTCATCAATCTACCTCCGGCAGCTGTTGAAATTCTGTTCATGTGTTGATGAAATCTTTTTAATGGTTGAAAAACAGTACAAAGTTGTAGTTTTGGCGCCAAATTAATGCCTCCAGAACATCAACATTATATTTGCTTGCAGCAGATCGCCAAAACAACAACTTTGTACTGTTTTTCAACCATTCCAATATCAAGTGACATTCCTCATGTCCATTTTATTGAGAAATACTCTTTTCAAATTGATAGAGAGCCTCTCTTTCATGAGGTAAAAGAGTGGGAATTGGAGAGAAATAGTAATTGAATGGATAGTACAATAGCAACACCATGTCACTGCAATACAAGTCTGCATATCGTTGCACCTGTGTACAAAAGTAGGACTCTCTTGTACCACTTCTAAAGGCGCTACCAAAGTAAGGATTAAAGTGTGCATTCAAATTTTCTTGGGCCTTCTTGATCTGATACTTGATTGGGAAATTTCCATCTTCTTCGTCTTCGTCTTCAGATTTGATTTTGGTTTTTTCGACTGGTTGTGAAGAGTCTTGATCCTTGAAACTCTGTGCTCTAATATATTCTAGAGTGTTAAGTTGACTCCAAATGTCAGCAGATCTATTTGTCATCCAATGTTTGGTCTCCTCTTCAACCTCTCTTACAATCAAGAGTGTTCTCCAAAGACATCGGTTTTGTTTGGTCACAATAATATCATGGAAAATATTATCTCCAACGTACATCACTTCTGAACCCTTGGTCTTGGTGAATTTTTTGAAAAGTGAGAAAGAACCACCACAGTAAACACTGCCCTTCTTGAATCCTTGCACTGCTGACAATTTGAGACGTCCAGTAGCTTGGTCAACTTCTCTAAGGGTAGTACCTTCGCTGCTGAAGAACTTGGGTTTTTGTCCATTGGTGATGACAATATCAAAGAAATCGGTCCATCTATCATATCCATCGATGGATTTGTCCAATAAGTAACCCATTACAGCATTGGTGTAGAAATATTCAGAATTTGTTAATAAGAAAATCTTTTTTCCTGCCTGTCTCATTCTGTGGAAAAGAAGTGGAAGTCTCTCATCTTTCTTCACGTATTTTGGAAGGTCTGCCATTATGGTATTTTTAAGGGTGTTGTCACTATGGATCGAGTGGAATGTTTCTCTGATGTCATCAAACAGTGACCAGTAACTTAGTTTTGCTTCATTGCCATTTTGAGGTGATTCAATATCTTCGTCCGAGGTTGTTGGACTACCACCTCCTGCCTCGCTCTTTGATAAAAAGTTGGTTTGTTCGAAATAATCTACCAAGGAAGCATAAAGACTGGCTTCAGGAATGCCAAACAAAGTGTCATAGCAAAAGTATCTTCTTCCCATTTCCTCATCAGGGTGAATGAGATGATCAGGATACATCTTTTCAAACTCAGCCTTTTTAATGATCTTTTTGCCGTGAACGCATTGAAGGACAAAGCCGAAATGATCAACTTTGAGAATGTTACCCTCTCGCTTGTCAAGAAAAGTTCCACGCACAGCAAAGGAAGGATCATAGTTGATTTGAAGAATCTCTGATGGGTAACCTTTGCTTTCAACAAGTCTTTGGAGGATGAGTTTTGTACAGGTGGATTCGTACACTGGAGAAATATAATTCTTTTGTGAACGAAATGGCATATTAATTTGTAATTGCATGATGAAGACAGTAGAGAACAAATTGGAATTATATCAAATAAAAATTCATGCATTCCACTTACAGCACTAATATTGATTATTATCCAGCAAGTAAATTTAGAATTAAAAAATGTTCGTAAAACTTGCCGAAGAGTATTCTACTACCTACACTGTATAGTCCATATCAAATCCATAATATTCAATATGATCTAGATTGACACTACGATTAACAAAAATTCTGTGTTCTACTGGTCTTCTATACTTTTCCGGCAGCTCGTAATTTGCCAAAGTGTCGATCTTTTTAAAATCCGAGCTTGTTGGTGGAAAGTTAATGGATGGAAATGGTGTTTTTGGAGTGAATGGCATTTCTTCAATTATTTTACAAGAATTGATAGTTGCAGATGATGAATGAAAAGACTGTTGAGGCTTGTGGTCGCTACGTGAATGTTGTTGAGATGATGAATACGAGCAGTGATGATAATTTTTTTGGTTTGAAAATTGGCCACGTAAGCCTGCCGCTGAGTTTGTCAAGAGAGCGATCCTGTTGATTCGGACAAGGTGAAATTGATTGAGTGGGTTGCAAAGAAAAGAACGTTTCATTTTTTTAATGAGATGACAATCCAGATGATGTTCCAATAAAGAAATACATGAGGTCATAATATTTTGAGATCATGATAGTAATACGCAAGAAGAGGTTTCGAGTCATCATCAATAAACAGCAGGTTCAAAAAAAATTCAATTTTTTGTGAGCTGCTCCACACAACATGACGATCAAGAGGAAAAAAGAAGAGACAGAATTATCATCGGATGATGATGCATCATCATCCCTGTCGAGCGAGGAATCATCGGACGATGAAGCAACCACTGAGTTGTTGAAAAGATATATCTCGTCGGGGCAACGCATGTTGGATGAGGCTTCAAAAGCTACACTTTTTGCAAGCGTTCCCAATAACACAACAAATGCAGTATCTTCATCTTCATCATCAAATAGTAATGGATTATTGTCATTACTGCACGAAAATGAAAATATTATAGGTAACGGACAAAGTCAGCATGAACCAAATGCGCCATTAACACCAATCCATCATGATCATCTTTCATCGGAACTAAATTCAGATATTCATAATAATAACAATTATGATGTTATAAATCCATCACCTATAGTAACAACTAACACAACAATCAACGATGCATCAACGCCGAATGATCATCACGTGACAAGTGTTCAAACTCCATACACCAACACTGTTGTAACTCCTATGCATAATTTTCAATCCACCATGGACAATACACGAATGATTGATGAAGAAGAGGATGTTGCCAGCAGTGTACAATCCAGATTATTCATGTTAAAAAACGGGTTACGGCTTAATTCTGAATATAGAGAATTAATTCAAGCTGAGCTTGAGAAGATTGAGCAAGCACAACGAAATGTTGGAGATTTGCAGAGAGAGCTAAGAACAGAGTTTTTGCAGCGTCAAAAAGGTCCTCCAATGTCACTCTATCCTGCACGCAAGAATTTAGCACAAGCAACTGGTAAAATTTCTAAGAAATTAGCTTGTGAATATTTTGTGACCTTGGCACAAAGCAAACTAAAAGCAGCTGGATCTAATGCAATTATTGTGGACAAGTTCAACACGACTCTGGTAAAATCAGAGGCATTAGCATCGAAGAATAGTATCGATAAACCTAAGAAACCAAAGAAAAACCAGAAAAAGAAAAAAAGAAATACTGAGGACGAAGAATACATTAGTGAATCCGAATTTGTATATTCAGATGAAGAGAATGTGGTGGACGATGAAATGGAAATAGACACATCAATTCCACAAGAAAAAGACAATGATGTAACAGTAATAGAAGGTCCAAAACCAAACGATGATGCAATTAAGAGGCACAGCTTAATTGATAAAACAGTTATCGTTGACACCAGAAAATGGACCACCAACGAGATTAAGAATTTACGGTATGCCATTAGACTACAATCACAAGAGTTGAAATGTGCATTTATCCTCGAAAACTACAAAGGAAATAGCGCTCTCATCAAAAAAGAATTTGAGAATATTTCTAAAATGCCAGGTGAAGAATTGGAAAATATTGAAACTTCTAAAATAGATTGGGAAAAGGTGGCCATGTATCATGTAAAAACTAGAAAGCCTGAAGAATGTAGAAAATATTGGGAAATTGAGCTTGCCAAAGACATCAAAAAAGAAAATTGGACAAAAGAAGAAGATTTAAAATTACTTCGTGTTGCCGAGGATTATAAGGGCCACGATTGGGAAAAAATTGCAGAAAAGATGTACGAGAATCAGGAGCTCACAAGAAGACCAATTCACTGTTTCAGAAGATATCAAAGAAGTTTAAATACAAACATGATGAGAAGTAAATGGACTCCAGAAGAAGATGACAAATTAATGGAAGCTGTCAAATTATTTGGAGAAAAGAATTGGCAGCAAATTGCAAATCAACTCGACGAAAGAACAGGCCAACAATGTCTACACCGTTGGATGAAAACTTTAAATCCAGCAATCAAGAGGGGAAGATGGACCGTCGAGGAAGATAAACGATTGTATTTAGCGGTTCATGCTTATCCACCGAACAATTGGGTGCTTGTAAATAGACATACTCCAGGCAGAACAGATGTACAGTGTAGAGAACGGTGGTGCAACATTTTGAATCCTGATTTAAAGGTTGGTCCTTGGACAAAAGAAGAGGATGAAAGTTTAAAGAAGGCAATCAAAGAGCTAGGTGCAGGCAATTGGTCTAAAATTGCCGAAGTCATGTATCCCAGAACAGATAATCAATGTTGGAGACGATGGAGACTAATCAGTTCTGAAGAAGTTCCAGATTATAGAAAAAAGATTTTGAAACGAGAAAAGGCGCTTGTAAAAAACTTTGTCGGTAGAGAGAAAGAAAGACCAGACATCACTGCTGACGATCTTGAAATACCTCATCCAGAAGAAGAAGATGACAGTATTGGCTATCACATTAAGGAATTTGTTAACGACACTAGGACCATATTTTTTGCTTCCAATAGAAGCAATAACTTGTTGTCACAATCCATATGCTTGGAGGCGTTGTCCACTCTTGAAAAGTCTCTTTCCATTCCCAAGCTGAAGAATATTTTAGAAATTGAATGGCAACGGATGGAGCAAATTCGATATCTCGTTGAAAAAACACCTTACTTTATCGGAGTGCCACCTTCTAATTTTGTGAAGAGAATATTTCATCTCTTGAGTGCATATCGACTTCCAACAGAGTTGAACAGCTGTCACGATACTCAGGATTTACCTACAACTCACCCATCCTCCAACCACCTAGATATGACTCCTCAACAGCAACGAATTTCACACTTCAAGCAATCCATTCCTCCAGTACAAGCAAACACTCCAATATTTACCACACCATGTATCATTCCAACGAATCTCTTTCCCTCTCTTCCATGTATTCCTGCAAGTGCTGTATCCCTTAATGCTTTGGCAACACTTCACGAAATTTTGAACAAGCAAGGTAAATCAACCTCTCAAAAAACAACAACAACTGTGAACGTTGAAGTAATAGATGAGAATAACCAACATTTGGAATCACAATCAATACTTTTAAAGAGTGTGAAAATGCCAACATTTGAATCTCAGATTAAGGATGCACCCTATGATCCTCCAGTACTCATTCACAATGACCCCACCGTTCTCAAATCAAACGAATTCAAAACTCTGACGAGTGTATTTAATTCTCTCTTTCAAAGACCTTTACAACAAACCATGGGAAGAATTGCTGAGAGATTACCTTTTTTATTGAGACGTGTTCCAAACATTGACACTTTAAATGATTATGTAGAAGAATGTCAAACCACCTATCAACATGAATGTCAAAACTCTACGGACCCTATTCTCATTGAGAAGTCACAATGGAACACGGATACTTCTTTGAATGAACCTCCAACATTTCCTTCTCTATTTTCATTGTATCAGCATTTACCGAATGATCAATTTTTCGAAAAGGAACCTGCTACAGCTCCTGCGACACCGATCGTTGTGACGAAACCTAAGGGGGTGCGTGGACGGCCAAAAGGCTCAAAGAATAAGAAGACGCTAGAACGAGCACGAGGAGAGGTTGGAAATTCTGGTTCTGTTGGTGGTGTGGCTAATGCTAATGGAGAAGCTTCTTCGTCTTCCACCATACTAAACACTCAGCAATCTGAAACGTCACAACAACAAGGCGTTGTCGTTCAGAAAAGAGGAAGGGGAAGACCCAAAGGTTCCAAGAACAAGCCAAAAACGTTGGAACAGCTCACCGAACAAAAGAAAAAGCAATTGAACAAGCCAGTGGTTAGAAAAGTGTCTAAAAATTCATCTGGATCCTCAAAGAAGAGAAAAACCTCAGAGAATATCACAAATGTTGATGAAGCGGAGGATCATGAAAATTAACCAAATTAATTTAATTAGAAATCAGTCCTAAATTCAAACAGAGAAGTGGTCTCTGATAAGTAGCTGTAATCATTTTGAAGATCATAAATGTTTTCAATGTGCTCTGAAACTGTTTTCACAACTTCTGCGAATATCAAAGCATTCCTCCAGAAAAAGTGACCTCTATCGCTGACGGTGTGCAAATTAACATTGGTGTATCTAAAATTATTCAGATTTGAGTTATTATCTTCAGGCGTTTTTCGTGTATCGATTGTGAAAGAAGTTGTCATGGTTTCAATAGTATCTGAAGAACCTACTCGTGTGAGAGTAGAAGAGTATGCCGACGTTGATGATCGCTCTTTCTCACTTTTTCTAGATGATTTCTGTTTTGATTTCAACTTGACGTCAGTAATTTTGTGTTCTGTATATCTGTCACTAATCAAACTAGGTATCGCTGAGCGGAGTAAGCTTAAAGGAATAATTTGTGAGGTTTCTCCATGCCAAACATGTACCGGTATTGTAATGTCTTTCAACGAGAAACCCCAATCTTCTCTTTCCATTTTCAGCTCTCGAAGAACCTCAGTAATACCATATGCATTCATACCCTCACGCAAGCTTAGCACACAATTGGCACAAAAATTTTGTAAATCCTCAATATTCTCTTTTGAGTAGTAGGCGCTTTGACGAATATAAGTTGTGAATTTTTCAGGTTCAGTAAAAATCGTACCTGATGCTGCAATTTTTAGCAACAGTTTAAATACCGGTACAGGCACGTAATTAACAAGCAAGAATACATCTTTCAGAAATCTAGATAATTGGGCATGTGGAAGGAGTGAGTATGGCAGCTCTCCACTAAGTATATTACACGAAACAACCTTGTTATCAATATTCAAGTACGCACAAGCGTAAGCATAGCATGATCCTGTAGAAGCACCCATCACAGAGTATTGCTCAATTTCAAGAATGTTCGAGAGCTGGGCAATATCTTTGGCAAAGGATAAAAAACTTCTTGCTTTTTGTTGACTTGATTGTCCGTAACCAGGTCGGTCTACATGAATAAATCTTACATTAAATTGTTTGGCAATGCTATCATGTTCATTACAAGGTATCTCCAATCGTGATTGACCAATGGAGTGAAAAAAGAAAATCACTCTGGTTCTACTCGATGTGTTTCCATATTCTTCGTATGAAAGCCATCTTCCAGAGGGAAGCATGACACCTTTCACACCATTAATATTTCGTTCCGAAAGTAAATAATTTGGAGAAGGAGGTAGTAAAATGTCTGATGTTGTCTGTACAGATTTTGAGTCATCAAAATTAGTTGAACCTGTGGTTGTTTCATTCTTTTCATCGTCAGATTCTGCAAGCTGGTCTTGACTTGGTGATCTTGAATTTCTTCTCCACAGTTTTTTTAAAGAAATCCTATACTTGTTATTTGGATTGGAAATGTCTTTGGATTTGTCTCTAAAGTAATGATATTTTACATAACTTATTAGCTTGTATATACAATAAATTAGAATGGTTGTCAGTGGTATCCCATATTTTAAAACTTGTCCCAATGTAAGACTTGCATTAAATTGTAAATGAAACCGAATTTGATTACTCGATCGTTTGATGCTCTTCATCCACTGTGCCACTCGTTCCGAAACTGAAACGATCTGTCTCCGAGCACCTACAATACTTCCATCATTGGACAAGAATAATTTTACGCCTCGAAGCGATGACGCATCTGTTGTTGCTGTTGCAATATCGTGATTATGATCCACATTGAAGAGATGATTGGATTTGTTATCATCATTTCCATCCTCATGCAGTAATAAATAGTGTTGTGGGTGTTTGGGGTTGGAAGTTTGAAAACGTCGTTCGCTTTCAAATCCGCCTGCGTGTTGTTCCAATGCAGCCATAATCATGGAACGACTCACTTCGTCCGGTGATGACAAGAAAGCTTGATTACTCGTTGTTTCCGCCGTTGCAGCTGCAGCTCGTGGTGTGGTGCGAGGAGGATTCTGAACAACGGAGGTGCTCATATTTTTTTATTTGATGTTCTTTCGTCTTCGTGCATGAAAATTCAATTAGAGAATTTCTAGTTTCGGAAAATTAATGGCAAAAGCAATAGTCATTGGTTCATGTAATGCATTCCTCATGGAATACTTCTTATTGTTGTGGTAGATGTAGAGCATCAGCTAAGCAATTCATACAAAGCTTGTTGCCAATCATTTGATGTAAGGCCTCCTGGAGACGTTCTTGATTTTCAATGTCTTGCCGAAGATCATTGTTGAAGGATTCGAATGCTGTTAACTCGTTCTGTAGAGTCTTGATTTCTTTTTGAAATTCGGAAATCATGGACTCTGCTTTGGAAGTGTCAATAACACTCTTGTTGTGAGGAGGTTGTTGGGACATTTTGATGGAAAGCTCTTGAAGATCGTGCTTTGTCTTTTCAATGGTGTTCAACAGGGATGCTGACAAGTGAACCATTTCAGAGTGCTGTTCTTTGAGCATTCTAATCTCATGTTCTATGGAAGTATTTCGTTGAGCTTTCTCTTCGAGTTGACTTTCATCATGTCTAAGCTCTTGAATGAAGCAAGAGAATAACCCTCGAAAGGTTATATATTTAAATTTATATTCCTATACAACTTACTTGCTTCAAGTTCTTCGACTTGTTTCTTTAAACTCTCAACTCCTTTCAAATTTGGACAGCAGTTCCACATCTCAAGAGCCTTGGTATAATTCTTTTCGGCCTCATCGAGTTGAGCTTTTAGTTCAGTGCTATTCGGTAAATGAAAGTAGTATTCATTGTTGTTGATCAAAAGGCTCGTTACACTTACATCTTTAACTCAACAGTGGTTCGGTAAGAAGCAACATGCTTTTCAAAGACCTCTTCTTCTTGTTTGCAATACTTGACTGAATTTTTCAATTGCTCGTGAATTTTGCTTTCATTTCTTGTTTCGGATTCAAGATGAGTAATTTTCTCCTTGAGCAAAGCTTCAGATGAGAACATCTTCTCCAACTTCAAATTGACTGTTACAACAAGCATGGTCAAAACATGATACTCATAAGAACATTCTACTTACGTTCTTCTAAATCTTTCAAAGTCTTTGCATGGCGAGTCCGTTCCTCCACGAGCTTGCATTCTTGAAGTCTTCTTGAATTTTCCAGCTCATTGATTTGATCGAGCAGAGGCTTGTAGTGAGGGTTGATCATGTCGTTGAGGTACTGAGAACCTGACGCGCTGTTTTTTTTACGTACTTAAAAATGTTGTCTCTCATGTCAGGTTCGTTTTTCTGTGGTGATGATTAAGGCTCATCCGTTGTGATCATTTCATAACTGTTACACATTCTCCTGCCTCATAGCACTGCCTATTTCCAATGGAAATATTGCAAAGATGATATTGAATTCTCTACAGGCAAAATTGCAGCTCATTCCGAATTTTGGAAAGTACTTGTTCTTGCTCGGAATCATTGTAGCCTTAGGTAGGTCTGAAACTGAAATGATATTCGTCATGATCCTCTTCAAAAGTAAATATTGTGTGCGGAAGCATTGCAGTTTCAAAAGTGATAACTCCAGATTTTTGGTATATTGGAATATATTGTATTGTAATTGGAGTAGTATTGGCGATATTTGAACTGCCATTCACATGCTATCGAAGCATACCTTTAATATGTACAATATGGACCAATTATTTGGTTAGAGGCGGAATATATTTCATTTCAGCGATACCTTGTTATTTAGTTGGTATTGATATACTTGGAGGTATTCTCTTTTCACTATTGAGCTTGTTATATGTGTTCGTTGGAATTAAGGGAGAGAGCGCAGAAGAACCAGAAGACACACTAGGATACACACAAATGCTAGATGCATATAGAAAGCTGAAAGGAGAAGAATCAGAATCGGAAGATAGCGATGACGAAGATTAATCAAATTCTTTCAAGAGATCCTTCACAAGAAGTGGGCTTAACACTATAGAATGAGGATACCTTTCGTCATCAACGGTTAATTTAACCTGAACACTATCCAAATTATCTCTTAAATATTGAATTTGTTCTTTTGAAAATGGAACTGAGAAGAAATGAACTGCACTTGTCATGCCATCATTTGTTGTTCTTCCGTCCTCCGTAGGCTTGCAAGGCAAAGAGGTGATGAGCTCGCCTGTTCCTTTCTTACAAATTTGAAGTTTAAAATTATATTCAATTCTACCGAGCTTTTTGAGAGTTGCTTTTCTAATTGGCTCGTTATCAATTTCAAACATGAAGGTTATTGCTATATTATTTCCTTTTGGAACAAGAGGATCATAAGCTCTTCCTTCTTCAGCAAATTGTTCATTAGTTCCTTTTTCTACGAGAACCATTTCGTGACACTGTCTACACAAGTGGTTCACAGCACAATTAATGATACACATGTAAAATCATCCACACCACTTACATCCTATCATGATTATTGGAGAAGAGTTAGGATCAATTTCAAGTCAACTTACCAATTGATATCGTAATTTTCAAAAGTTGCTGATGCAAATGGACCTAAATCCACTCTTCTCAACTTTTTAATTTCTTTTCTCCAATTCAAGGCAGCTTTTCTCAAGTGATCCTTGTAAAAGTTGCTATTCACATTCTTTTCATTGACTGCAATCATGTCTTCGACAAGTAATTCTCTCTTGTTCTTAACCACATCCGATGGCAAGACATGAACGAAATCAATCTTTTTCAATCCTTCCGTTTTTCCTTCAAATGGATTAAACGCTTCTTGTTCCTGTTGCAATTGAATCATGTTCGTATAATAATTCGCATGTGTTTGAATTGAAGAATGATACCTAAGCATGGAATGTTGTGAAGAAAAGCCACCACAACACAATGATGATGGTTTAAATGTTGTAACAAGGCGTCGGAATGAAGGAGGATGTGAAAACATTTTTTTTGGTTGGGAAAAGAATGCCACAACACTCACCAAGGATCAATTTCAATCGATTGCAGTGGAGTTTTTATAATACTGCTCGAGAACGGGCGCACAGAATCAACGGCACCACGTGTGATAGATTTTGAATGACATCCTTTGTTAGGGTTTCGAACCTGAATTAACCATTCGTTCGTGCAAGATGCTTCCTTTTATCTTAATGGTCCCATTTCCAAGTCACTGCAATCAGAATCTGAGGATTCTTTTGGATCGCTTTGAGTGGAGGTTGTTTCTATTTGATTTGGATTTCTGGATCGATATCTGTCCTTAATTTTACCCCAAATACGCTCTATCAAGTTGAATAATATTCTGTTATGTCTGTTTCTATAATCGTACACATAGTACAGCAAACATCCAATCACAAACGCTCCTCCAATAATGTTGCCTATGGTTGCAGGAAGCAGATTACCAATGAACAATTGATATTGAGTCACATTGGCACCGTACTATTAGGATTACAGAAATGAATAATATTGATAATAATGTTATGTTGAATAACATGGTATTGGAATTCACAACGACACGATGTGGCAATGAATAACTTACCAACATGCCTAATGGAATGAAAAACGCATTAGCCACACAATGTTCGAATCCAATAGCCACAAAAGTCATGATTGGAAACCAAATTCCAAGAATCTTTCCTTCCATCGTTGTTGCAGCATGTGAATTATAGGTGGCCATAGTAACCAACATGTTACAAACAATTCCTGAAGCCAAACAAGCTCCAAACGATTTCGAAGTTTTAACTTCTGCCAAATGTTTCACATATTCAATCCAATGAGCCGTACAACATGGTTGTATGAGATACACAAAGAAATATGCCATCATGAAAGCACCTAACATGTTAAACACATAACTCAACAACAAATTCTTTGAAAATTGAGCGAATTGAATGATGAATTTCTTGGCACGCCATTTTCGGGAGAACAATCCCACCAATACGACTAACACATTGGCAGTAAAGAGTTCTGCTCCCGTTGCTGAAATTAAAATTAATCCAATTGGAAAGACACTGAGAGAAAATAAGTATGAGACAACTCTGCGGCATTCTTGATTGCGAAACTTACGCTCCAAAAAAGAATTTTTGTAATCCAGGATATTCTTCTTCCATCTTTTGTGAATTTCCTGCTGTTAACAAGGATAACGTACAAGCTATCAAATATATAATATTTCAATCATCAAAGCAAACATTGAATGGAACACTTACCGACTCCTTTGAAAATTCCAGCAAATAAGGAAAGAACAATCATTTGATCCACTGTGAGTTTTGACTTTCGAACACCTTCAATTTTCATCTTTTCCATGACTTGAAAAGGTGTGTTAAATAGAACGATGGATGGATACGAAGATGTTGTTGGATGTGTGGTGGTTGGAATGGAGGTTGTTGTTGTTGGCTTTTCATTAGATTGGGAGTTCTTCTTTTCACAAATTTCTGGTTGAGAGTTATGGTTAAAATGATGATAATGGTGGTGAATAATAGGTTGTGGTTGTTCTGATTGTGTGGTTGGTAAAGCAACGGGAGTATTGAATTGAAGTGACTTGTCAGTAATCACATTGTGAAGAATAGCAGGAGGTTTGTAATGAATTTCCACATGTTGATCATATTCGAGAACGACCTCGTTCTTTGCATCTCCTTGTAACATGCTCTGATCAGAAGAAGGTGCATTGTCCAAGATAACAGAATTCATTTTTGTAATCATCTTTGTGTCCGTGGTTGGAATCTCTTCATCGAGTTGAGAAGCTTGAGATTGTTGTTGCACGATCGTGTCCAACACAGAACCATTAGAAGTTGAATGGTCCTGCTGTGGTTGTTGTGGAGGGCGCATCATGTTTTTTTATAAAATGGTGTTTTCGATTGGAAAAATCTGTGGAGTTGAGGAACGTGGAATACTTGTGGTCAGGACTCCAATTCGAGACATGAGACTAAATTAAGACTTCTTATCAGGATGGCGGGTATTTAAATCATGTATCTCTGTTATCTGCAAATTTATAATACCTGTGTGCCATTCATCACTTTGCCTCAAGACACGGCAGGGGTCTGTTTTGGTGTGTCATTATATTGGACAGATTCCTTCCGCTTATGCCTCTATTTAAAAAATAATTGTTTGGCAATTTTGTCGTGGCACTCTAGTGTCAAAGTGTTGCGGAGACCAGTTTTATCTAGCAAATAAACAAACATTTTACCTGATAAAGAACACACAAATAGATAGATCATTGCCTTGTCCATTTCATTTAGCGCCACCTAAAAAGAACATGGGAACGCCTGCCTCAAGAGACGACTACACAAAGAGCAAGACTTTTCGCTCCACCATGTTTACAAGCAAAGGCTTTGAATATTTCGGCAAAGTATTTGAAAAAATTGACCTTATCAACATGCCCGATTTGAAGCGAAAGAAAGAGAGTCCTTGTACACCTGTAATAAAGTCCAAGGCTTCCCCAGGTTCCTATACCGCAACCCCTCCTTCATCTAGACCTAACTATGAGCGTGAAACCATTTCATCGGCCTCTAAGAAGGTTGTTCCAAAAGGAGGTTCTTCGGAAAAACGTCCAAAGAAGAGAGTTGCTCGTCAAAGAAAGAAAATACCTCTGGTTCAACTTGAGCTTAGAGGGTCCCGTAATCAATCAATATTTGGACGACGAAGGAGAGAAGATCTCAATGTTTGAATGTATGGAACATACTTTGAATGACGACATGGTTACAATTATAATGCCTAAGTACAATGAAAGGAGTATTCCAGACTCGTATAATCAAGAACAAAAAGATGTTGCCCTTTTGATTCTTGACGCTTTTGACTGGAAACGAATGGGGTTGCCTTTTAGATTTAGTTCAAATGTCTTTACTGAACTAGAACAAGCTTACAAGGAGGTTCATATTGACACTGATGTTAGAGAAGTGATGAATGCTGCCCAAAACAACCAGAAGAATTGTGAGTATGACATGAGTGCAGGACTGAGTTACTTGGATTTTGTGTTTAAAACGGGAAGAAATACGAAGACGTACCTTACTGAAATGGATCTCAATGTAATGAAAATAGGATGGATTCCGATGATTCTCCATGATTTTGGATTTCAATACACCTTAGACAAATTGGTTATTGTGTATGAGGCAACTTGCATGAGAACTCACCCAGACATCAGTTGTAAAGAGGCAGCTGTTGTTGGAGAACACAAAAAGTTGGACATTTTGAAACATCGGAACGATATTCTCAAAGTTGTGCTGCTGTCCTTACAGTTTGCAAAACTGTCAGCGAAAGAGGGAAAAGGCTTCGCTTTGGGTTACCTGATAGATCAGGACAAAGCCTACCTTATTTTGGTATCACACCAATCGACAGACGATCAGCTCAACATTAACTCTCAGTTACAGGTGTTTAAGACTTTTGACATGACTCAACGCGAAGAAGTTTATCAATTGTTCAGTGTGCTTTATACTTTCGTTAGATATAAAAAATTAACTAAGGTCTAGGTACTGTCGCTCATTGTTGTTCGCTACTGAGATTGTTCTTCTTTCTCGTTTAGCTCATGATATCTACGTCTGACTGCCTTATTGTACATGGCGTTGACCCCTTTCTTTCCAAGTTTTTCAAGAAGCGGTTCAATGGTCAACAAATATCTAACAGGGATGTCTTGATCAACGTCTTTAACAATTTTTTCATTGCGTGGTGTCCGATTAGCCAAACCAAGCAGCGTTCCGAAGAGAAAACAAAGGTCTGGAACGAAATTAGACTTCAACTGTTCATACAGATACAACGTTCCATCATTCAAACGACATATCACAAAGATATCCTCTTCATCCATCAACACTCCATCAGGATTTTTAGTCTCTGATGAGAAACATAAAGCATAAACCATTTGTTGCATAGCTTGAATGTTGTTCTTGATGTTAGGTGCAACCATTACAATCAAACGCTTGGAAAAAAAGGCTGGATAGATTTCGCAGTTCACACTTGGTATTTCCACCTTGGCGTTCATCGTAAAAGGGAGACCCACGACTTCCTGATACATAGTTGGTAACCATGCCAAGCGTTCTTGAAAGAGGCGACTATAATCTCTCTTTCTGTCTTTTCTTTTAGGAACTTTAAAATTTTGATCAATCACCAAATCCAAACAGCAGTTTCTAAATTGCTTCCATGATTCTGGATACAAGTGAGACCTGAGTTTATGTTCTTCTTTGAAACGTTTTTCATCAGCAATGCAAAGATAATACAAGTATTTTTTGCAATAGAGTACGTTTTTAAAGTACCGCTGATGTATAGTTTTAAAAGGTAGCTCATCTTGAGGAAACGCTTTCAAGAAGGCATTCACCAAATCTCTACTTTCTTTAGGAGGAGAGGGCTCAGATTTTTTAAGGTTTGGATACGAGGGAAGTGAAGTGTTGTTGTTACACATTTTTTTTTGAGAATGGTTGCCTCAACAGTTTTTGGAGGGAAAATGCTTGAAGAATCCAAGTTGAGCCAGATAAAAATTTATGGAGGTTAAATAACTTGGATATCAGGCCAGTTGTTTTCAACAACAGAAAAGTTCCTTATTGCATCTCAGTGGAGGCCGAGGAATGGACATTGAAAACGGGCGGGACAGTATAGGTAAGCTTCGACACTGAAAGATAAAAGCAATGACGACTCGTTTGCCCTCTCTTCACGCAATGACTGATGAAGGTAGTAGTAAGGCTAGTATTTTGGAAGAGGTAGCAGTAAAAATCCGGACCACCAAGCCACAGTCACTTTCACCCCCCTTGATACTTTGGGCCCGTGATTGGGTTGTAACAACTACACACTTTATTCTTCTTCAAAACTTTTAAGGTGTTTCCAATTTTTGTAATTGCTTAATCAATTCCTCCTTCTGTTTCTCATGATAACACATTTGTTTGGTATGATACAAGATTTGTTGATTCAATTGATCGACCAATAGTGTTTTAAAAACATCAATTTTTGTCTCGACTGCAGATACTACCTTGGTCGCAACAGCTGCATTTATATCATGGTCATCTTCATTCATCTTGTGACTCTTTTCATTGCTTGTTGTTGAAGTCAAGTTCATGGGAATGGCCACAATACATCTCTGCAATAAATGGAATGTTGTTTGTAACTCCAATGGAGATTGAAAGACCAATCCAATGAATTGAATTCTCTCCGTTCTCTTGTCCACATATTTAATGACCAAATAATTGTTATTATTTGGATCTGATGGATGATTGGTGGTCGTTTGGTTATTGTTGTTGTTGTTTACCTCTGAAATGGCTTTCAATACTTGAAATTGAACATTTTCATTCAACTTTAAAAACAAATACAAATCAAAACCTCTTCTCTTTCGTGACTCTTTCCAGAGAGCCAATTCAGTTGGAATGACCAAAGTATCCTTGTTCTTTTCTTGTTGTTGTGAATATAAACATAAAATTGAAGAATTTGAAATCATTCTCCAGGAATCTTTGTTTGGTTTTACGACTGACACTTCGATAGTTAATATTGGATTCACTTGATCATTTTCATTTCGTTGTTGTTGATCTTCATCACTTGCATCATCATCACTGTGCGGATCCGCATTCGTTGTTGTTGACACATTCATCACTGGAGAAAATGATCGTCGACCTCTTCGTTTTTCTTGTTTGTCATTGGATAGAGAAGGAGAAGAGGAGGTTGATGAAGTCGTACTGCTTGTTGTTGTTGATGTCATGGTGGTAATCTTTTCTTGTGAGAGAACCTGTTGCTTGGGTGATGTCGGTTGTGAAATTACCGAAATTGATGACGTTTGACTGTTGGAGGTTTGGTTTTGATGAGTTTGATCCGCAGTTGGAATATTTGAGTTTTGAACAACAACACTCGTGTGGTTGGGTGGTTCTTTGGTAGAGTTGTCATCATGGTCAACCACACTGGTACCTTCAGATTTCTCTTCCAAAGATGACAAACTGATTTTTGTAAATTCATTGATCTTGTTCTTTTCATCCGTAGTAGATTCACTAGGAGGAGTCGATCCATTACTTGTACTAGTTGTGGTATTTGTAGTAGTTGCATTCGTAGTTGTTGTTGTTATTGTAGTAGCAGATGAATTGCTATCCATACTAGTTGTAGTAGAATTGTTTGATTTGTTGTTGTTGTTGTTATTACATTCAGATTTCATTTCTTCAACTCTAGTAGTTGATGATGAGTTTATGGATCGAGGAGAAGTATTCAACATCACCGATGATTTGATTGGAGGTGTCAACGATGCTGCCTTCTTTTCTGAATCGGCTGCTAGGAATGGATTGGATGACACTGGTCTCGAAGTAGAAGTATCAATGACAGAAGGACGTTGAGGAAGAGGATGAGGAGATCGTTTAAATGTTGTTGTTGTTGATGATGATGGTGTATTGCTAGTTGAAGAATTTGTTGTTATTGTTGACGATTTTGTTGGAGTGGAAACTTGTGTCGTGTTCGTTGTTGTTGTTGATGTTGTAGTGGAAGGACTACTAGTAGAAGAGGTTGTGTTGTTGTTGTTCACAGGGGTTGTTGTTGGTTGACCTCCGAGTAATGCTTGGAGAGAGGAAGTCGAGACAGCAGTTTTGGTTGCAGTGGTCGGCAACGAGTAGGGATTGAAATTCATTTTTTGATTTGGAAAATGACAAGTGAATGCATTTAGAAAACGCGGATCGGAGGTTGTCAAGTCTTTTTTTTGAAAATATTAAGGGAAAACTTTTTGGATTAGTACAGCCAAATTTGCTGGTATCAAGTCAAAATTCACTCCTTACTGAAGAATACGGAAGAAGATGTGGAGAATCTTGAGCAAATGATGTTGATACTTGTCATTTTCTCGGTGTGGCCGTTTTCTCTTTGTTCAGTTCTGCGTGGAAGCTCGTACGCTTGAAATTTGAATTAAATTGTTTATTACCGAACTCAGAGGGAGATACTGTGCTCAATTAACTCGGAACGGAGTTTTGAGATCGGTCTTCCTTAATGAAATTGAATGAGGTGGTGGGAATTGGGAGATGGTACCATTTTTTTTGGAACGTTCCAGTGAAACGATTTTGTTTCAAAAGTTTTCTGCCTTAATCATTAGGCCTTCCAACCGTTTTTTAAAGTTAACAATCTCACAACCATTCCGTCAATCCAAGAACTTGTGAGAACAGTACAAGGACTTGCAGCTTCAACGAACCAAACCCTTCCAGTAACAAGGTAACATCCAGCCACCGGTGATGATCAACTGTTGAATGGCAATTGTTACAATTAAAAAAAATGTTGCAACAAGAAGAAAAAGGCTTCTCCCAGCTACCATCCGAAATTTGGATGCACATCTTTATGTTTTTAGATCCATTGGGTGAGTGTATGGAAGAACCGACACACGAGGAAATTTCTCGGAATGGTTCCAATCCTATGGATCAAAAAGAAGTCATTGTTGAGAAGAGTCGGAATCTTTATCTCAATAATTTGAGAGTTTGGAATGAGATGAGAGCAAGGAATAGAATTATATTTGATGCATTCAAATTCACTTGTAGAGAATTGGATTTGCATCTGCTCTTTGAGAACGACATGAGATTAATTCAACAAGCGATTGAATACGTAAATCCTTTTGAAATAAAGAAATCAGCCAATGCCGATTGGAAATTTCTGAATAGCGATGGAGCTGATGATGATTATAAATTAATGAATAGCGATGATAACGATGATGAAACCATGGTTCAAAACATTTCTAAAATTCTGCACAAACAAGACATTATTTGTAAACGATATTTAGTGAATGGAATTGGAAATGGATTTTCAGCTCTCCAAAAGTTGACATTGGATCATTTGTACCGATTACAAGATGATCAATTAGAGGAACTATGCCAAAGGCTCCCAAATTTAACCTATTTGTCGATTGTAAATTGCAATCATCTCAAAAAGTTTGATATGAACAAGTGTGCAAAATTAGAACATATTGTCATTCATGTGTATCAACTCGAGCTACGTATAGAGTTGATGAGGCAAAAGTATCAACCAGAACGTATGAATCGTGTTAGAGATATTCATATTGATGTTGTTGGAGGTTTAAACTTGTGGCTAACCCCTACGAGTACTACTTCAGGAGATTCATCACCCAAATACTCGGCACCATTCTGTTACAAATACCGAGTCGGTGATATGAAACGAATTTATCAATACATGTTTGGAAAGGACATTTCACAGATGCAATTCATATGGGCTGGTAAAGAATTAATGAATGAGCGATATTTGTTGGATTATTGTGTGATGAAGGAGAGTAACATTTGGGTGTGCTTTGTGGACAGTCACAAGTAAAGTATAATGAATATCATCATTTACTTTGAGAATCGATTCTTGAAGAATCCATTGAAATAAGGTGAATTTTTGAGTGCATCAAAAGTGTCTTCCGACCAAAGATTCAAACAAAACGTAAATTGGACCTCCAATTTGATAGCCACACCTTCAACAACATGAGCAGCATGTTTGCAGTGAGGTAGCTGGAATTAACAAAATTCAAAATTCGATGATTATCTTCTGTAGTTGAAGAAGGCTGGCGAATCATCCGCAATTGATCATGACCATGTCACTTTTTGCCCCAGTGAATGCCAAATGCCCACAAATATTTTCAATTTTTGGTACTACGGAATCCGTAGCTGTCGTTTTTCTGCAGTGACAAGATGAACCAGTGACAATGTGTCAACGCCAACGGTCAGCAACTGGCACACTAACTTTGATTCAAATGAACCAAGGATTCACGACGATCCAAAAAGGACAAGATCACCAAAGAACAAATTCGAGTCCTTATGCATGTGTGGCAAGTGTGTTCGCTCATTCTCCACAAGTATTTGTGATACCAAATACAATGTACTCCATCGTTTGCAAAAAGATTCTCGCTCCTCATGAGGTCGTCGTGGTTTTAAACCTGAACTTGTTTACCAAAAGCTCAATAAATACCAACCCATGAGAGTGCAAGCAAAAGTATAATTTCAACAAAAAATCCCAACAACTAGTGTATCCTTGACAAGATGCATCCTCTTCGTTCATCCATTCTTTTGGCAGTGATTGGTGCCATCATGATGTTTGTCATGTCCCAGGTTCAAGCTCAATACCAACTCAATCAAGTCTTTGCTGGACTCACTTGTGGAGGAAAGGCTGTCGTTTCAGTCTACACGACAAGCTCATCCTGCAAGAATGTCACTTGCAGCACAGATGTCTCTGCCTACGTTGGAAGTTTCAGCTCAACCACTGCTTGCTCCTCAACCATGCGTACCAAACCAGTGGTCGGTGAATACATGATGACTTTCTTTAGAGACAGTGCTTGTTCTGGTACTCCTTCAAGTTCTTCTATCATCTCATTGGATACATGTATTCCAGCTGCTAATCAAACCTATGGTTCAGTCATGTATAAGGGCTGTAAAAATATTGTGACCTACACGGATAGAAATTGTCAAACTGAACAAATGACTGCTCCTATTGCCAACATTGATTGCATGTCAGGAATTCAAGTGCAATGCAGTGGTGCTGCCCAATTGTTTTTACACAAGGCTAGTAGTATTTTCATGATGATGATGATTGCCGTTTTGATGGTCTTGTTCATGTAATTCAAAACTATCATTGTCATCATCCAGTGAGCATCTTTTTACGAGATGAATCACACTCATAATGAACCCTTTCAAGTTCGTTTTTGATGCTAATTAAAAAAACAACACATTTAATGTCTTTTTCACATGGAATATTCATTGTTGAATAATATAACCATCACATTCGTGAATTCACAAATCTTACAAATTGGATTGCAATTGCAAGACCACAGTCTTCAATGAAGTCCATGCCTTAATTCCTTCTTCACCTCCCTCTCGACCAAATCCTGATTGTTTCATTCCTCCAAATTCAGCCACATGGAACACATTATGATAATTATTAATCCAGACCACTCCTGCCTTGATTCGATCACTCAATAGAAACATGTGATCGACATTTTTGGTAAAGATGGCAGCAGCTAGTCCAAATTCAGTGTGATTACATCTTTGAATGACTTCATCGAAGGAAGACCATTTGAGAATGGATTGAACAGGACCAAAGATCTCTTCAGAAGCAATTCTCATTGTGTCCTTGACCTATCAATATTCATAAATATAAATATATATATATGGATGGATGAAATTGTAAAAATTGTCATTTGAGAGAGTAAAAATAAAACAATGAATTTTAACATATATAACTAATAATAATCCATTGGAAAAAGAAAAACGTACATCATAGAAAATGGTTGGTTTCACAAAATATCCCTTATTTGGAAGGTCATTGTGATGTAGTCCTCCCAATAATAATTTAGCTCCTTCTTTCTGACCAATTTCAATATAACTCTTCACTCTTTCATATTGTTCTTTATCCACGAGAGGACCAATATTCACTTGTTCATCCAAATTATTTCCTAAAATATTAATAAATATGGAAATTAACATATCATCCCAACAAATGGCAAGAAAATGAGCTCAAACTCTTCGAATCAATACCTACCAATTTTAAAACTTTCCACATGTTCCTTCAATTTTCTAATAAATTCATCATAAATATCTGCATGAACAAACGTTCTCGATCCAGCCGTGCATGCCTCTCCATTATTATTAAAAATACTAAACGCAGCAACTTTGACAGCTTCATCTACATTCACGTCATTGCAAATGACTACAGGTGATTTTCCTCCAAGCTCGAGTTGAACTTGTTTCAAATTACTTTCTGCAGCTGTTTTCATGATAATTCTTCCAACTTCGGTGGAACCAGTGAAGGCAATTTTTGAAATTTTTGAATGACGAACGAGAACAGCACCAACGTTGGGACCATCTCCCATGACGACTTGAAATGCTCCTTTTGGAAAACCAATTTTTTGGCAAATGTCAGCTAATTTGAGAGCTGTGAGAGGAGTTTGTTCTGCAGGCTGTGTGAAAAATTATATGAATGGATGGTTGTGAAAAGATACAAAGGTGATGTGAAAATCATAAATGTACATACCTTCAAAATGACACAATTTCCCATGGCGAGAGCTGGTGCTACATTGACAAGACTGCACCACATTGGAAAATTCCATGGAGAAATACTATTGAAAATGATGAAGATGATCAAGTAAGTCAATATCAAATTAAAGAATCTAGTTACGGTCCATTTAAAAATCTTGATAACTTACACTCCAACAATTCCAATAGGTTCTCTCTTTGTGTAGACATGAAATTTTTTATCTGTTACACATACTCTTCCTCCTAATTTATCAATCCATGAGGCACTATATCTCCAAGTATCCGTGAGACCCTTAAAAGATTTGGAAATTGTGAAAAGAACATTGAATTTTTTGGATTTTGAAATTAAAAAATTATGTACAAATAATATAAATATATAATCATTAATAATATCAAAGTAAATGATAGAAATGCTCGAAACTTTTACATTCCCATCTAACACCTACCTTGATGACATATCGACATACTCCAATGGGTGTTCCATTATTCAAAGCTTCTAATTGAGCCAATTCTTCAACATTCTTATCCCATTCATCAGCCAATTTATATAATAAATCCTGTCTTTGTTTTGGATCCAATTGTCCCCATTCTGCAGAATTCATGGCTTCCTCTGCAGCTTTCACTGCTAATTCAACATCTTCTTTTTGTCCATCACTGACATGACAAAGAATTTGTTCCGTTGCAGGACAAATAAGTGGTAATTGTTTCTTGCTTTGACTTGGAGTGAATTCTCCATTGATAAAGTGTGATAGTTGTGAAGGTCGGACTTTTTGAAAGATTTCATCGAGTTGAGCGTGTGAAACGAAGAAGGATTGTTGATGCATTTTTTTGTTGCATTCGAATTTTTAAAAATTTAAAAAATGTATTGAATAATAATAAAATAATTCTACGTTTGAGGGTGTCGTTATTAAGAGTTAGGATCTGTTTTTATCAGAATTAATGACGATCAAGAAAGAGAAATATCCTTGGGACTCGAGACAGACTGTCACTTGTCTTTTTGAATTTTTTTAATAAAAAAAAATGACAGAAGAGTGGTCCGAGTTTATTCAACGAGAAATTATTCAAAACGGCAATGCCACACATGGAGCTCTGATCAGCACCTCGGACGGTGGAATCTGGGCAAAAACCTTCTCTCCTCAAGATGATCCAAATCTCAGCGGAGAAGAATGTCCCAAACAATGGCTTTCAAACGTTCTCAATGGCTTTTCAAATCCTTCCGAATTCATCAATACTAATTCACAGGATATTTCAAAAGGATGTATCCAATTACTCAACAAACAATTTATTGTAACAAATATCATGAAAGATCGAGTCATGTGTGCCAAGAATGGAGTTGATGGATGTTATCTTTTTAAAACTCAGCAAGCTTTGTTATTGGTCATGTATGGAATTAGTAATGAGCCAGGTGAATGTTATTTGGATTGTGAAAATTTTGCAAGATATCTCATTAGTCAGGGATTGTGAAAAGTTACTTTCATGAAAGAAGATGATATATACATCATCGTCAAGTCAAATTTGAAATTACTCGTGTAATTGATGTCATTAATGACTAAAACTTGTAAATTGTCAATATTATATTTTCGAATCGTCACCTTGACTAAGGTAGACTGATCTCTCTCCAAAATTTTCCATATTTCTTCTGACATGACAAATATTATTTTCACCAATGACAGATGGTCTTCTTTATTGGTTTTTCGTCAATGAATGTAGTCCTTTAAAGGGCTGTCAAAACTTCAATGTGTTGACATGTGGATAAACTCATCGACTGAGCTTTTCTAGCATCACTGGAAACTAGATTCAAATCACTCTTTCATTATTTGATGAATGCCTTCTCAAAAACAGTCAATACATTCCCTATTATTCAAGCAGAGTGGATGCCGATGGTATGACTTCTCCTCGTACTGCGTTATAAAGTGGTGGAGGAATCATTGGTGTGGCTTGATAGTATTGTTGTTGAGGTTGACCAATTGGAGTACTCGAATTCGGAAATGCATTGGCCGTATTAAATCCAGACATGGCTGTTGTTGGTGTTTGAACATTTCCGTATTGTCTTGCTCGGGACTCTGCAATTAATTTATGTTGCTCGCTGATGAGTTCTTCTTGAGTTTTTCCAGAATTTTTCAACTTGTCTGAGTGTTTAGAATGTCTGGCACTCTCTGTTTTAAATTGGGCGTGAGCCTCATTCACTGATTGTATGTATTCTCCATATCCTAGTTTTTGTAATGCTTCAATTACGTGTTCTCCGGCAATTGTTTTTCTTTCTTGTTGTTCGCAAATTGTATTTGCTTCTGCTGCGATCATTTGTACAAATTCAACACAGCACTCGACAATTAAATCCCGAGTGTCGGTTGCACATCGAATGGAGTCTCCGAGGTGTTCTTTGATTAGCTTTTGAATGGTAGCTTTTGGGAGAGTAAAATCGTCAGCATTTGAACTCATTTTTTTGTGTTTGTTTTTTGTTGTTATTGATAAACTTTATTAAAGGGTTGATTTATTGAAATAATTTTATTAGTAAGCATTAATACACCAATCCCCTTCAAACTCAATTCACTTCCAACCATCGCACTAAGGTCCTTGTTGAGGTCTTGACTAAACTCTCGTTATGCACCACTCAAAGAACACCTCGAAGCCGTTGTTGGGGTGTGCTGTAATTTTTTTGAAAGTTTTCCTCACTTTTTCAGTCAACAAGACTTGAGGCTGTCCTTACTATTAATTAATTATTATTTATTAACGCTTTGGTTTTTTCATATCTCTTCCACCATTACCACCTCCTCTAGAGTCATAGGAACCACCACGACCACCACCTCTGCCTCCTCTGTCACTGCCCCCTCTGTCACTGTACTGATAATTATCTTTTCCAGAGCTGCTTGGAGGCTTCGAATCTCCTCTGCTGTCTCCTCGGCTTGCTGATGCTCCAGAACTGGATGAGTCTCTTCTCGAGTCACTAATTGCAGAATTAGGACGTTTTTTGTCGTTGTAGTCATCTCTAGGTGGTGATTTTTTAGAAAGTGAAGATGGTGAATCCATTGGTCTTGGTGCTCTTCCTCGGTCATCTCTTGGAGGAGGTAATCTATCATCACCCCTGCCTCCTCGGTCGTCTCTTCTTCCATAACCTCCTCGATCGTCACTTCTACCTCCACGATCGTCTCTTCTATAATCTCTGTCATCTCTTCTGTCGTCTCGTCTTTCCATGGGAGGATACCGTCTATCTTCTCGGTCACTACTATTGCTGGTTGTACTAGCTGGAGAAAGAGGAGGTCTTGAATCGGAAGGTGGTCTTCTCATCATACTACTATCATCCTTAGGCCTGTTTGAACCAGCCATTCTAATATTTTGATCCCTCTTCGCCTCCGCGTCAAGTGCAGAATTAAGACCTCTTAATTCTCGTTGCTTTTTACAATATAAATCCCACGTTTCCTCATTAAATCCATAATTAAAGTAATCTGTTATATCTGCACCTGGTTTTCTCCAAGGCTTATCTTCATAATTTTGAATGTCCATCGTAAAGACTTGTTGATTCATCTTCAATTCAAAAAGAGGTACAAAATTACTTCCTTTGAATTGTTCATCCCCATTCATTGCGTTTTCGTCCACAGCCTTGTTTGTTTGAGCTTTGGCGGCAGTTGCGTTTTTGGAAGCACCGATAGCAATGTGAGTGGAATCGGATGCTGCCTTTGTTGATGATGTGGCATTTTGGGCAGATGTGGTTGTTGTTGTTGCTGTTGAAGATGTAGCAGGAGTTGCACTAGTCGATGAATTAACAACAAAAGTAACGTCGTCCTCTTCGTCTTCTACATCGGAGAGGTCATCATCGTCATCCATATTATTGTTATGGGCTGATTGATCGTGAGATTTTTCAAATAATCCTCTATCATCATTGTCTATGATTGAATAAACGCTATTGGTTGCCTCTAATTGTGTAGTATCTTCTTCCGTTGAAGCAGCGGATTCAATGGGATCAGAGGCAGACATTTTTTTTAAATTTTTAAATTTTCCTTCCATTAAAGATTTGGTTTTATTTCTTGGTGAATCTTTTGAGTGTTGAAATAGTTTAATTATTTTTCAAAAGTATCATCACAATACTTACAATAGATGAAAATTGAATCCAATCAAGAGAGGAATGAATGTCTTTTTCAAGTTGTGGATCTTGGTCGAGAGTCCACATTGTGAACTCTTTGAATCTATGTACACAAATTTTGTCTTCGTTGATAATATAACCAGTCACATCTAATGAGTCTTGATTCTTTAATTCTTCATCAAAATTGAGTTGTTTTCCTTGGAGAGGTCTACCCCTAAATGACCCTTCAAAGATGACTGAGTTGTTATTCATCGGTTCCGATGAAGATGATGCTCCGTTTTGTTGTTGACCATCTCCGTTATTAACTGCTCCTTTTTCCTTTATATTGGCCTCAAAATATTTATCAACTTGTGCTTGACCGTTGTGATCAATTTTGCATGGGAGATGATGAATACGAAGGGTGTCATCTTCGCTTGCATTCAATAATTTAATTTCGAGTGTTTCATTCATTTTTTCAATCGCGGTTGAAAGCATTCCAATTTCTGAGGTTTATTCGAATTTATCTTTTCTATTGAATGAACGAAAAAGTTTTAGGCTAGCACAATTCCCATAACACGGTTAAAGTTATTTTCCTTGATTTTTGCTCTTCTTGTCAATTTTGCAAATCTCTTTTGCTCAACAGGGGTTAGTTGCTCTCCTTTGGCAGTTTTTTCTTTGAGTTGTTCAAGAGTTGGGTCCGGTTTGTAACTAACATCAAATAGCCATTGTGGATATTTATCTGGTGATTTAATTACAGGGTTCTTTGCTTCCTTCAGGATATTGATTGGAAGTTCGTGTCCTTCCAGGCCCCATCCTTTGGCACCTTTTGGTGTATCAGGACCATATTTTTTAATTAATTCTTGGAGTTCTGTCTTTGATAAACTGCTCACTTTCACCCATTTACTGTCGTGTCTTAGTTGAATATTGCATGTTGAAATTTGAAGAACACTCTTTCGGCAATTGAGAGAATGTACCGATGATGAAGTTGATGATGATGGCAATACAGCGAAAACTCGTTTCATCATTTTTATTCAAATGATTGAATTTTAAAAATTTTCAATGCCTCTCATCATTCGCTCACCCATTCATCTCTACCGAGTCTTGTTAAAACAAGTTTCACCCTCTTCCAAAACATACAGCAATGAGAAGGTGAGAAATTATTTGTACAACAAGATTCGAGAAAGCTTTAGGGATCCTAGAAATTCAGATATATCTTTCCAACAACTCCAATACCAAAGAGCGATACAATTTCTCGAAATTTCTCGGTAATAATATATTAAATCCTCGTAAAAGTATTTCAAATACAGCACCATCATGCATAATTATGATATTCTCTCGTAATGATATTTCGTTGATTCATTCACATTTGAACACATTCCGAATTGTTTCTCTTGGTCAATGATGGAATAAAAATTCATCATCATCGTTTTAGGCTATTATTATTGCCATCGTTGTTGATGATACTGATGATACCACTACAAGTTCTCTGAGAAAGTCTATGATAAGAAGAGTTGAGTTTTAGAGTCGATTTCATTTGCTCTTCACAACGAAATGTAACAGAATTTGGCGGGCTTGGGGTTGTATGCAAGTGGCGCGTTGTATGATGTTGAGTTTTGCAACCTCAATTAAAAATGACGAACGAAGAACACACTGAATTAGATGACGGGACAACTAGAGAACAAGATCCAGCATCAGAATGGGTCTTTGACAAAGTGCAGCAAATGGTCAAGATCAACAAAACGAAATGGAACGAATTTAAGAATAATGAAGAAGTGAGGTAAGTCAATTCCGATGCTTGTTTTGAAGCAGGGTAATGTTTGCGATATACAGAGTCAAAATACAAAAATTCCTCACTGTAGAATCTGAGATGATTCTCTTTTTCATCAAAAACAGTTTAAAAGAAGATATAATAGTATCTGCGGAGCCAACAGTTGCTGGAAACAGAAAGGGTCTCGTATTTATGAAGCACAACCCTGTTAAAATTAACAATGACAACTATGTGGAGTCACTATTCTATGAGGATTTATTCGGAGATCCACTTGTAAATTTACAACGTATTGTTGAGGGCGTTTATCTTCCACTGTTACAATCTCCAAAGAATCAAAAGGGATGGCCTAACGTTGTTGCCCAAGATCTAATTCGACAATTTCACAGATTTACTGGAATGCTAGATTTATTTATTGGACATACTAAGGGAGAAGTAATTTTGCCAATGCCACCAACAGAAGGTATAGACGCCACTTCACTCGATCGATCTCTTGTGCACACATTCGAAACATCAGTGATAGACTGGAGTAAGGAGGCAAAAAAGATTATAGAAATGGGTTCAGACAAAATTCTAGATGAAATGGAAGCGAGCGACAAGTATCAAGGCCCGTTATTTGAACTTGATTTCTGGGAAACAAAAAAAACAAAACTGAGAAATCTTGTAGATCAATTGAGCAACGAGAAGGTAAAACTTGTTGTATCAACCCTAGAGAAAACACAGAGTTCCTACGTAACAGGATTTAAAAAGATGATAGACGAGTTACATTTTTCTTTGAAGGAGGCTGAAGAAATATCTCGATATTTAGAACCTCTAAGAAAGTATTTTGACATGATTAACGATGCAACTATTTATATTGGCGATTTGACAGAAGTGTTGAAGCCTACTCTTTATCTAATAGCTTTGGTTTGGCAAAAGTGTGAATTCTTTACAATAGGAAATCTTTTTGTTCTTATCAGAGAACTTTGTAATGACATAATTTATAGATTATATAACTTTATAGAGCCTGCAGATCTTTGGGGAAATCCAACGAAACTCATTGCAGAAAAGTTGGAATTGTCGTACACAGTTTGTGAGCAATTCAAGATTTTATTTTTCCAATACAGAGATAATGTAAATAAGACAAACACTCAAAAACCTTGGAAATTTGAGGGCTCTAAGATTTTTAATCGACTCAACAGTTTCATTGAAAGATTGCATGATATTAGGACGATCGCTTTGTATGTTGACGATATGATGATGCTGGATAAGTTTGATGTTGGAGGAGTAAATGGAGGTGAAGCATCCAGTATGATTGCACAAGTATTTGAAGATTTTGTAGAACAGCAACAGAAAATCCAGAATGTGACATACGACATTTTAGATCTAAAACAAACACAGTTTGACAAAGACTTTTACAAGTTTTGTGAGTGCATCAATGACTTTGACAAGAGAATTTGCTTTGTCATTAACAAGAGTTTACAACTGAATCCAAATCTCAAATTTGCGTTTAAATTCCTTGAAACATTAGAGCCACAAACACGAAGAGAAAGAATAAGGCAGGAGGTTGAATCAAAAACAACAGGATTGGTTCACATCTACATGGAAGAGCTGTCCAAAGTGTCAACCATGTTCAACAGAAACAGAGAGGAGCCTCCAGTGCTTGACAACTTTCCCAAGGTGTCTGGAGCCATTGCATGGTGTAAGGCGTTGAGAGAACGAATTACATGGCCTCTAGATAGTCTTAAAGCCAAACCATTTTTATCAGGAACATCTCTGATGAACGAAGTGATGGATCGCTATAATAGACTTATTGTACAATTGGAAAAGTATGAAGAAGAAGTGTTCAATTGCTGGAAATATTTATTAGAAAAGAACACGCTATGTCACTTAAATGATAATGTTATCATTAGACTTAACGACTCCAGATTGCAGGTAAATTTCAATTCAGAGCTCGCATTTTGCATTCAGGAAGTTGAACAACTTGGCTCTTATTGCTCGGTAATTCCTACAGAGGCTTTGGAGCTTTTTTCAAAGGGTGATTCCTTCCGTCTGAAAATTTCCATTATGGATCTGATGGTCAGACAGTACAACACAGTTATTCAGACGCTATTAGAGGTTGAAAAGCCTTTATTGTCTGACAAGTTGAAGGAAGCAGACACACTCATAGAAGAAGCAACACACAATCTAACATGGAAGAGCGATATTGACAATTTTATTTCGAATTCACGAGAGGTGGTTAAAGATTTATATAACCGAACTAATTTCTTGAAAGGCAATGTCAAAACTATTGAAAAGATGGTGGATAGTTGGATGACTATTTCCTCCTTAATCATCACAGACAACTCTGCTCAAGATGATCTAAAGGAAAGAAAAAGTAGTAAGGTTCTCGATATGGTCTCATTCTGGAGAAAGAGTGACCCTCCTAGTGTAACGAACACAGTATTCGCTCAATGGAAGGCAAAAGTTTCTTCAAATATCAAAAGATTATCAGACGTTCCTATTCAAAGTGAAAGAATTCATCAAATAATAGCCAGTAGTTATGACAAGATATGCCCCACTGCTATTACACAAGAATGGGAAGGATATTGGAAAAATTATATTCTCTTTGTTAACAACATTGTAGAAAAAGGGCTGTTTAAGGCTATTAGAGAAGGATTAACCTTTTTGATCAACTCTTTTTCTTCCAAATCGGAGCTGCTGAGTCAAAATAATCCCAAAATTAACAGCAGTATTTTCATTACTGTCAAGTTAGAATTGCTCGGAAATGATGCTATTTTCACACCCAACCTTATTGAAAGTGCTACTAGTGTTCACAATAGCGTGAAAGTATGGGTAAGCAGAGTGTTAGGTCTTTCGACAATGGTTAAAAGATTAGATATGTCTTTAACCTTTGAAGAGGTTATTGCAAAGGATCCAAGCATTGAAGAGCTAAAACAAAAAGTTTTTGTGTTAATGAACTCCACCATCAAGGACATGGAAGCTCTTCGGGAAAAATTTTGTGAATACTCCATGCTATGGCAAGAAGATCCTAAAGATTATTTGAACAGATTCATTAAAAGTGGAGGAGACGACGTGAGGTTTAACAGCGACAGTGACATGTCTGATAGCGAAGAAGTTGCTGAGGTTGAAGGTGAAAATGTAATTGCATCCTTGGAGGAATTTGAAATGCAAATATTGAAATATGAAAAGATGGTTAATGAAATAACAGAATTACCTGACAAAGCCTCGTTTGGGTGGCTAACTGTGGACGCTTCTCCCATTAAGGCAGCTTTATCTAACTTGGCTAGCAAATGGAGATTCACTTTCTTAGATTACTTACTTTCTGATGTGAAGCAAACACTATCGGAGTTTAATGAGTTTGTTTTGGAGATAACAACAGGCCTTACTCAGCCAATACCAAAAGATGATTACCCTAAACTGGTTGAAATGATGAGATATATCGTAAGATTTAAGGAAAGACCTGAGCACAAACAAAAGGATGGGCTCTTTGAAAACTTGAGAGAAACAGTACAATTACTGAAGAAATATGGTATCATTGTTCCACAAGAGGTAGTTGTGGATTTGGATGACGCAAAAAATAAGTGGAACGATTTGTCCAAAGTCTACTTTGATGTTAAGGATAAGCTTTCAGTTGTGCAAGATGAAGAAATCAAAAAGATTTCAAAGGAAGAAGTGCAATTTAACCAACTATCCGAGGCTTTCAGAGAAGAATTTTTGCAGATGTCTCCTTTTGATTACAGTGTCGGTTTGGAAGAATGTTATGAACGAATTGATCGAGTTAATGAGAAGCTCATTGAAGTCGAAGACAGCATGAGAGAATTGAGAGACCGACAAAAACTATTTGGGTTAATGCAAAACCAAGGAAAAATAGTTAGAGAATCGCGAACAGAATTAAGACTTCTGAAAAGAATATGGGACTTGGCTTCTTTGGTGAAATGGCAAATTGATGAATGGAAACGAATTCCTTTCCTCAAGATTAACGACGACGAGCTTTCTGAAGAAACAAAGAAATTTATTTTGGAGTTGAAATCTGTTGATAAGAGAGTGAAGAGATGGGATGTATTTATTGGACTTCAAAATTTTGTTGACAACTTTATGATCACACTACCCATGATACAAAAGTTGAGAAATCCAGGAATGAGAAGCAGACATTGGAAACAATTAATGGAAAAGGCCAAGTTTGAATTTGATATTACAAATAACTTTACTCTTTCTGATCTTCTTTCATTGGAACTCCACAACTACCAGGAAGATGTTAATGAAATTGTCGACAGAGCAGAGAAGGAAATGAAAATGGAGAAACAATTGAAAGACCTTGAAGCTATTTGGAGTGATCTGTCATTTGATTTTACGCTCCACGTCAATGGAGTAGAAATAGTGAAAGTGTCAGAGGACGTTAGAGACAACCTTGAAGAGAATCAGCTTCAACTCCAAGCAAGTAGTGCAAGTAGATTTGTCGAGTTCTTTATCGAAGAGATTGAAGATTGGTTAAGAAAGCTAGGACGAGTAGATGCCGTAGTTACAGGTCTACTTGACGTACAAAGAAAATGGTTATACTTGGAAAACATCTTCATAGGTACTGACGATATTCGTCAGCAACTTCCAAATGATGCTAAAAACTTTGATGGCGTTGATAGAGAGCTAAGAAGTATTCTCATTACAGCAAAACAAGTCAAGAATATTGTTGCATTTTGCTCTCAACCAGGTCTAGAAGATACAATCACTGTTTTACAAAACAAACTCACGTCATGTGAGCATCAACTCAGCAAATATTTGGAAACAAAGAAAAAGGCATTCCCTAGATTTTACTTTACATCAGAATCAGATTTGTTGGACATATTAAGCAAAGGAGGTCAGTCACCTCACAAAATACTGAAGCATATGCCAAAGTTAATACAAGCTGTCAAAACTTTGAAATTCAAGACTGATGAGCAAGGTAATCAGTCGAATGAAGTCATTTCAATTATAAGTAGAGAAGATGAAGAGGTGAAATTAACAACTCCTTGCATATTACAAGGAAAGGTTGAAGATTATCTGAACGACTTGCTTAAGGCCATTTCTAAAACGTTGAGAGACATTTTGTCTGAAGCCATCACTACCTATTCAAGTAATAATAGAGAGGAATGGCTGACTGGATATCCGGCACAAGTCGTATTGGTGACTTCTCAGATTTTTTGGACAATGGAAGTGAATCAAGCTTTTGATGCTCTCGAAGAAAACAATGAAAGTGCAATGAAGAATTACTACAAGAAGCAAGTGAATCAGCTCAACAAACTCATTACAATGGTTCAAGGAGATTTGGAAAAAGGAGAAAGACAAAAGGTCATGAATCTAGTAACTTTAGACGTACATGCTAGAGACATTGTCGACAAATTAATAAGCGACAACATCACATCATCTCAAGATTTTGGATGGCAATGTCAGCTAAGACAGCGTTGGGATGCAGAACATCAAGATTGCATTATTGATATTTGTGACGCTACGTTTAAGTATGGATACGAGTATCTTGGTAATGGTCCTCGTCTTGTGATTACTCCTCTTACTGACCGTATTTATATTACTTTAACTCAGAGTTTACACTTAATTATGGGTGGTGCTCCAGCGGGCCCTGCAGGAACTGGTAAAACAGAAACAACTAAGGATTTAGGATCTCAGCTCGGAAAATCTGTATACGTATTCAACTGTTCAGATCAAATGAACAATGAAAGTTTAGCTGACATTTTTAAAGGATTGGCATCGAGCGGTGCTTGGGGATGTTTTGATGAATTTAACAGAATTGCTGTGGAAGTATTGTCTGTGGTTTCCACTCAATTCAAGAGCATCTTAAATGCCATCAGAGCCAAGAAAGATAGGTTCTTGTTTGAGGGAGAAGAAATTTCTCTTGACCCAACAAATGGAGTATTTATCACCATGAATCCAGGTTATCTGGGAAGAACTGAGTTACCAGAGTCTTTGAAAGCGCTTTTCAGACCTGTTACTGTCGTAGTACCAGACTTGGAGTTAATTTGTGAAAACATGCTAATGGCAGAAGGTTTCAAAGAGGCAAAACAATTAGCGAAAAAATTTATTACCCTGTACAGTTTAAACAAAGATTTACTTTCAAAGCAAGACCATTACGATTGGGGACTTCGTGCCATCAAATCTGTCTTGGTTGTTGCTGGTACCTTAAAAAGATCCGAACCGTCTATGCCTGAAACTCAAGTACTTATGAGAGCTCTCAGAGATTTCAATCTACCAAAGATTGTACAAGACGACTTGGAAGTCTTCACTGGTTTAATTAATGATTTATTCCCAGGAATCGACCCTCCTCGTAAGGTAGATAAGGAATTTGAGCAAATAGCTGCTGAACAAATTGCAGAAATGAAATTGCAACCTGAAGACAGCTTGGTGCTGAAAGTGGTTCAGTTAGCAGAATTGTTAGAAGTACGTCATAGCGTCTTTATTATTGGTCCTTCTGGCTCTGGAAAATCTGTTTGTTGGAAATCTCTTGCTGCAGCAAAACGAGCAAGACATGAAAAAGTTCTTGTGAGGTATCTCGACCCCAAGGCAATTACGTCTCATGAGCTTTACGGTTACAAGAATGATCAAACTGATGAATGGAGAGATGGATTGCTGAGTAGTATCATGAAAAATTTGGCAGAGAGAGAAGATACAGATCCAAAATGGATTATACTCGACGGTGACCTTGATACTGAATGGATTGAGTCAATGAACTCTGTCATGGACGACAATCGAATTCTAACTCTTGCAAACAATGATCGTATTCCATTGCTTTCACACATGAGGTTGATATTTGAGATTTCACACTTGAAATACGCAACGCCTGCCACAGTCTCGAGAGCCGGAGTACTATTCATTGGAGAAAAGGACATAGGATGGCAACCTTATGTAGCTTCATGGATCGACACTAGACCTCAGGTAGAACGTGCCCATTTAGTTATTCTGGTTGACAAGTACATACCTGAAACTCTAAAATTTATCAGAGCTAATTTCAAGCATTTAATTCCTCTTTCAGATTTTGACATGGTATCATCTCTTTTCCAAATTTTAGAAAGCTTGTTCGTAAAGTATCCAACCCATGGAGAGAAAGAAACAATAGAAAGCTTCTTTGCTTTTTCAACAATTTGGGCCTTCATGGGAGCTGTGGTTGACAATGAAAAACACACAAACAAAGGATTATTCGATAAGTGGTGGCGTACTACTTTTAAGACCGTCAAATTTAGTGATGAATATTCTGTTTTTGACTTCTACTACAATCCAACATCAAAATGTATGGAACCTTGGAAAGATATAATGCCAAGTTATGAATTTGATGTTGATATTCCAGTACCTCAAATTATGGTTCCAACAGAAGAGACAACATGCATTAGATATTTAATGGACCACGTTGTTGATTTTGGCAAGCCACTTATGTTGGTTGGAAATGCGGGAGTTGGTAAAACTCAAATCATTCAGGATAAGCTCAATAATTTGGATATTTTAAACTTTTCATCAACAACCATTAATTTCAACTACTATACCGACTCGGAGTCTCTTCAAAAGTTCTTGGAAAGCTCCTTAGAATCAAAGGGAGGAAAGAGACTTGGGCCACCAGGTAACAAAAAGATGATTTTCTTCATTGACGATTTCAACATGCCAAAAGTGGACGCCTACGGCACGCAAACACCAATTGCTTTACTCAGACAGCACTTGGATTATGGATGCTGGTATGAACGAGCAAAATGGAATTTGAAAGAAATCATTAAGGTTCAATATATTTGTGGTATGAACCCCACAGCTGGTAGTTTTGTTGTAAATCCTCGATTGCAACGTCATTTCATAACTTTGGGCATTAACTTCCCATCAAGAGCTAGTTTACAGAAAATTTATGGCGCAATCTTAAGTGGTCATCTGAAAAGATTCTCTTCAGATATCAGTAACTTGGTCAATAATATCATGAATTCAGTTATTGACGTTCACGAAAAGGTTGTGAATGTTTTCCCAAAGACTGCCCACAAATTCCATTATGAGTTCAATTTAAGACAGCTCTCAAGCTTGTTTGAAGGATTGTTACGAAGCGAGCCTTCCGAGTTCAAAGACCAAAAAGCTGGAGCATTTAAATTTGCAAGATTAGTCGCCCATGAAATTTGTCGTGTATATGGAGATAGATTGTCTTCGAGGACTGATGTGGCTCTCTTTGAAAAAGATATTAAGGGAATTTTGAACGACAAATTCCCAGAGTTTGGTGGTGAAGCTGTTACAAGAAAGCCATTAGTATTCTCTCACTTTGTTAATGGTGCAGATGGATCGTATGATGAGTTCACCAGCATGGACAGTATTAGAGCTGTCCTTGAGGAAGCGCTCGGCAGATATAACCAAACAAAGGCTTCCATGGATTTAGTCCTTTTCGAAGATGCTCTTGAACATATTTGCAGAATCAACAGAATCATTAAGGGAGCCAATGGTAATGCGTTATTGGTTGGTGTTGGAGGTAGTGGTAAACAAAGCTTATCAAGACTTGCTGCCTATATTGGAGATTTTGAGATTTATAAAATTGTTATCACGAAGGAATATGGAGTTAACAATCTAAAAGAAGATTTAAAGATAATGTACAAGAAAGCAGGGAAAGGACAAAAATTAGTTTTCCTGATTAATGATAACCAAATTATTGACGAAAGATTTTTAGTATATATCAACGATTTACTTTCAACTGGTAATATACCAGACTTGTTTGCAAGTGATGAGCGTGAAGAAATTGCAAACTCTCTAAGAACAGAAGTGAAATCTGCAGGTATTTTTGACATCTCGAAGGAAAGCTGTTGGAAGTTTTTCATTAACAAAGTGAGGAAAAATCTACACGTTGTTTTGTGTTTCTCACCAGTTGGTGACAATCTTAGAATAAGAAGCAGAAATTTCCCTGCCATCATTAACTGTACTCAGATCGACTTTTTCTTCCCATGGCCTCAGGAAGCTCTTCTAAGTGTTGCTGATAAGTTTTTGAGACCTGAACAAGCGATTACTGGAGAAAACCATCCTTCCATTGTAAAAGCAATGTCTTTTATGCATGAAAAAGTGAATGAATTCAGTGAAAAGTTTTTACAAGATTTAGGAAGACATACATATACCACTCCAAAGAGTTATTTGGAATTTATTAAGCTTTACAAGTCATTGCTTTTCAAGAAGAGAGAACATATTAAATCACTCATTGACAGACTAAGCCAAGGAATACAAAAGTTGAGGGATACCACACAAAATGTTACAAAGCTTCAAAAGCAATTAGAGATTCAAGAGAAAGAGGTTAAAGAAAGAGAAGCAGCTGCTGATGTTATTCTGGAGAAAGTTAAAAAAGAAAGAGCCATTGTTGAAGCTGAAAATAGAAAGGCATTAACCGAGGAGAAAAATGCTTCAGAAATAAGCCAACAAGTTGCGCAACAGACTCTTGAATGTGAGGAAGAAGTTGCTAAAGCGAAACCAATTTTGGAAAGTGCAGAACAAGCTCTAAAGACGTTGAACAGAAACGAATTGACAGAATTAAGATCGTTCAAGACTCCAAACAAAAATGTATTGCTTGTTTTCCAAGCAGTTCTTATTTTGCTAAGTCCAAAGAATGGAGTATCAAAAGATTTGAGTTGGTCTGCAGCTCAAAAAGCCATGGCTAAAGGAGCAGACAAGTTTTTATCGTTACTAGAAGCATACGATGCTAAAAACATTCACCCACACATACTTCCAGCTATCAAGCCCTTTATGGACAATCCAGACTTTACTGGAGAGCAAATCAAGAAGCATTCATCTGCATCTGCTGGTTTGTGTGATTGGGTGAGAAATACCATTGAGTACAATAGAGTGTTTGTGGATGTGAAACCTAAATTTGACAGTCTAGAAAAAGCCAAGATTGACAAAGCCAACGCCGAAGAAAAGTTGAATAAGGTGAGGAAGACAGTTTCCAAACTGCAAAAGCAGCTTAAAAAAATCGAAGCAGACTATCAAGCTGCTGAAGACGAGAAGAATGCAGCACTTGATATTGCAAGAAAAACACAAGAAAAACTTGACTTGGCTCAAAGATTCGTGAAAGCATTGTCTTCAGAAAATGCTCGTTGGGTAGAAGAAATTCAAAAATTACAAGCACTTAATAATGTTTTGATTGGAGATGTATTACTGGCTTCTGCTTTCATTTCGTATGCTGGTAGTTTCGATATGCATTTCAGAAACGATTTAGTGGAGTCTTGGAAGAAAGAAATGTTAGAGTTGAAGATACCAATTTCTGAAAACGTGAATATAGTTGATGTACTAACTAACGATGCTGAAATAGCCAAGTGGGGAAATCAAAAGCTTCCATCTGACAAAACCAGTATAGAAAATGGCTGTATTTTACTGAATTGCGAAAGATGGCCACTAGTGATTGATCCTCAATTACAAGCAATTACCTGGATCAAGAATCAGTTCACAGATATTGTGTTACTGAGACTTGAACAGCATGACTTAATTGAAAAGATGGAGAGAGCAATACAAAAAGGAAGTACGGTGTTGATAGAAAACATTAAGGAGTCAATTGACGCAATTCTATCTCCGGTAGTTGGAAGAAACATTATTCATAGTGGCTCTGGAAAGTACATCAAACTTGGCAAAAACGAAGTTGAGTATAATGAGAACTTTAGATTAATATTGCACACCAAGTTGAGTAACCCTCATTATAACCCTGAAATTCAAGCCGAAACAACATTAATCAATTTTTCAGTTACGGAGGAAGGTTTAGAAGAGCAACTTTTAGCGCTAGTTGTACAGAAAGAGCGTTCAGATTTGGAAGAGAAAAAATCAGAGTTGAACACCAAGAAGAACGAGTTTAAGATCAAGCTAAAAGAGCTAGAAGACAATCTTCTTGAAAACTTGAAGTACAAGGGTGACATTCTTGGAAATGTAGATCTCATATCAGGTTTAGAAAATACCAAGAAAACAAGCGAGGAAATCAAACTACAAGTTTTGGAGTCTATTGAAACAGAGAAGGATATTAACTCTGCAAGAGAAAATTATAGAAAAGTGGCTAAGAGAGGTTCCATGTTGTACTTCCTCTTAGATCAGCTTCAACTTGTTGAACACATGTACAAGTATTCTTTAGGAGCCTTTACTGTTGTTTTTAACAGAGCTATAACCAAAACGGAGAAGGTTGAAAATGAAGATCTTTTCGTCAGAATAGAAAAGTTGATTGATTCAATTACATTTTCATGCTATGAATATGTTGAACGCGGTTTATTCGAAAGACACAAGCTCATATTTATTACAAACTTATGCTTTGCAATTAATCATGACAAGTTTAAGCCAGACCATTTAGACTTTTTAATTAAATGCTCCCCTGATCCAAATACACCCAAAGAGAACCCATTTTCAGATTGGCTTTCAGATTTTAGTTGGAGAGCAATTTACAAGTTAAACCAATTGGAAGGTTTTGAAAAGTTATATGATGATATTGTGAATTCTGGAAAACGATGGAAGTTATGGTCCATGTTGGAAGCTCCAGAAAAAGAGAGTCTACCTCAAGAATGGAAGAAAAAGTCTGGCTTTGAAAAACTTCTCATCATTAGAGCGTTGAGACCTGATAGAATCACTCAAGCCTTGAAAGAATTTGTTGGAGAGATCATGGGCACCAAGTATGTCGATTCAATTCCATTCTCATTAGATAAGATATTTGCAGAGTCAAGACCAAATACCCCTCTCTTCTTTATTTTGTTCCCTGGTGCTGACCCTATCAAAACGATTGAGGCACTCGGAAAAAGACTTGGATTCTCTGAAGAGAATGAAAAGTTTGTGAACATTTCAATGGGTAAAGGCCAAGAAGAACATGCAGAAAGGCAACTTCAACGAGCCTATGAAATTGGTGGTTGGGTGGTTCTACAAAATATTCATCTCATGAAAAAGTGGTTACCAACATTGGAAAGAAAATTAGAAAAACTGTCAGAAGGCTCTCACAAAGATTTTCGTGTTTTCCTCACGGCAGAGCCAACACATCATCCTGTTATTCCTCAAAGTATTCTTCAAAACTCGATCAAAATTACAAACGAACCACCTCAAGATCTTTCAGCCAATTTACACAGAGCGCTTTCTAACTTTTCACAAGAGTTCTTTGAGTCCTCAATTAAGCAAAGCGAGTTCAAAACAATTCTCTTTGCACTTTGCTTTTTCCATGCTGTAGTATTGGGAAGAAGAAAGTTTGGCTTCCAAGGTTGGAGCAGAAGCTACAGTTTCAACAATGGAGATTTAACAATTAGCGCTGATGTGTTGTATAACTACTTGGAAACCAATGACTCGATTCCATGGGAAGATATTAGATATATATTTGGAGAAATTATGTATGGTGGTCATATCACGGATTACTGGGATCGTAGAACTTGCAGTACATACTTGAAATGTCTGTTAAGAGAACAATTATTTGATGAGATGGAATTGGGTCCTGGATTTAAGGCACCATCAAGCATGCAGTCTCTTGATGATTATCACGAGTTCATTAATGAAAAGTTACCATCCGAGTCACCTGCTCTGTTTGGGCTTCACCCTAATGCCGAGATTGACTTCCTGACCAACCAAGCTGAATCTCTATTTTCTTCAATCATTAGAATTAGAGGAGAGAGTGGTTCTTCCTCTCACGATGCTATTGATGATTCAACGGCACATCAAATTGAAGAATTGTACAATATGCTTCCTGACAATTTTGATTTGGATGAAATTGCAAGTCGAGCAGACAAAAAGATTCCTTTCGTAGCTGTTTGTTTGCAAGAATGTGAACGAATGAACATTCTGTTAACAGAAATCAAAACTTCACTCACAGAACTTCGAAAAGGTTTGAATGGAGAGTTAACCATTTCGGAACAAATGGACCATTTGAGAAAATCACTTTCCTATGATCAAGTTCCAGATCGATGGCATAAAGTTGCATATCCCTCTCGTAAACCTCTCAATCCATGGTTTGAAGATTTAATCAAGAGAGTACGACAACTCGAAGAATGGAGTTCTGAATTGACTCTTCCAAAAGTGGTATGGCTTTCAGGTTTGTTCAATCCAATGGCATTCCTCACAGCAATCATGCAAACATCTGCTCGTAAGAATGGATATCCATTAGATAAGATGTGTATTCAAACAGAAGTTCTCAAAAAGACTCGATCTGAAATTCCACCCACTCCTCCCAGAGAAGGTTGTTATGTGGATGGATTTATTCTAGAAGGAGCTGGATGGGACATGAAAACAGGTATTCTGAGAGAGAGTGATCTCAAAGTATTACATACTCCAATGCCAGTCATTCACATCAAAGCAGTTCCAATTGACAAGAAGGACGTGAAAAGTATTTATGAATGTCCTGTCTATATTACTCCACAACGAGGACCAACGTATATTTTCACAGCACAACTCAAAACGAAACATGATGTTTCCAAGTGGATTCTTGGTGGTGTTGCTTTACTACTTGGAAATTAACAGTACAATAAAACTCGATTTTAAAAGTTTCAGGTTCGCGAAAAAGTGGAATTTTTTTTAACCACCATCAAAAAAAATGATGCAACTCACACCCGAATTACAAAGTCTACTTTTCGGTTTTTCATCAACGGAGGAAGATACACAGCTGGAACAACATTTAGAGGAGCATCATAGACATGCACAATCATCAACTACTACTGATTATCAATCAACAAGAAGCTCGGATTTTAATCATCACAACGATTTGAACAAATTATTTGCCGAACACAAAGTTTATTCCGAGAATGCTCTAGCCTTTATGAAGCGAAAGAAAACAGATGCCATGCAGACAGGTATAGAACCTTTTGATTCTATTATTGGTGAGATGAAACTTGCAGGATCCATTATTGAATTATACGGAAATGAAGGTCAGGGAATGACACAAACTTGCTATACAAGTATTTGCCATATGGCCATGCCAACACATTTCAAAATATTACAATTTTCAGGAGATGAGAAAACAAAACCTAGGGAAGGATATCATGTATTATATTTTGATTTGGATGACAAATTCGATCAACACCGATTTATTGAAATTATTGAAATGTGTATTTTTAAATCGTATTTTGATTTGAAGAAAAAGAGAGGTGAACACATAAATTATGATGACATTACGGAAGAGAATGTAGTAGAAGAAGTTTTTGAATCTTCTGAAAGTAATTACAAATCATTCATCATGGAAGTTTTAAGTCGAGTACATATCTTTCGTATTGATAATTCATTTCAACTAGCACTCGCGTTCGAAGCTTTGTACAAACGCCATTTGGAAAGTAATAAGCTCAGAGACAAGTATATTTCACAAGATGTGGATGAAGACGAGAATTTTCTCACTCAACAACGAGTGTCTCTCAGATCTGTGGATAAAGGAGATAAGGACGCTCTTGAACAACTCAACTCTTACAAGGCCATTGTAGTGAATAGTTTAACACAATTCTACAAGACATACAATGAACATGACAGAAAGAATTGGGAGAGGGCTATAGAGTTGCTTGTACTTTTAACACATGGAAAGCAAATATTTACTCTCGCAACAGTATATGACCCTTTCAGCAAAACATCTCGCCAAAAGTACAATCAAAAGAGGAATACGAGCTTTTACCAAGGAGCCAACAGACAATTTAATGAAGATCGATTAGCATCTGAACTCATACAGTTACATCGTGACGTTTTGAAGTACCCAACATGGACGCAACAAGTGAATTATCGTTTGCTTTTTGGAGGTGATTATCCTGATGCTTCATTGATGCCAGCAGGGGTCAAGTATGCATATCTACAAACTCTTCATAGTGGCAACACTGCCTCTAGCAATTTCCAAATTCCACACGGATACAAGGATCTTTTTAAGATTCAAATATTGGATCACGGTACCTTGTTTTTCAAATAAACATGGCGAACACTTGTTGTCAATGTGTAATTGATGATCCTCTTGTCACAAATTAAATCAACCAAGAATTTATTGGTTTATTTTCGTGAATTGGTTAGTAATAATAAAGTTCCTTAAACTTTCTTCAAAATTGAACTGCACACCCGACAAGTCAGAAGAACCATTGGGCTGAGTTTGCTTAGGTGGTTGTTGCTGGATAACCTGCGAAGTTTGAGTTATATTACATGGTTGTGTGAACACAGATAAAACCTTATCAACATCTCCATTTGAAGGCATGAAAGCCTTAAGTTTTAGGGCAACCTGCAATAAAAGGTTACCCCATTGCTTTTCAACTCTTGGATATCGTTTGTTGATGGCAACAAGAATAGAGAACGAAGTCTGTAATAAATTGTACAGGTCGACAAGGTCATCTCTTGATCTTCGACCGCTCTCTGCATCTAAAATTGTTTCATAGTGAATTTCGGTGGCCTTCGCAACAAATGGAGCAATCACAGCGTGTAATAACAAGAAATAGTCCGGACAAGATATGACAGTAATATTTCTAGCATATTCCTCAACCAGTGGACCTTTGACGCCACTGTTGTGTAACAACCATGCTCTAACTCCATTGTTCACACAAAGTAGCAAAGCTGTGGCCAGTTTTGTTTGTAATTCAGAATAAGTACGCATTTGTTCATGACCAGTATAAGCATTTTCCATTTCGTTCAAAACAGATAAATATTCTGGAAGGGTATTCGAGTCGAGACGCTTTGTCAAAATTGTCAAGTCAGATTTCGATATTTTTCCAGTAAACAAAATTATACACTCTGCAATAAAAGCGCCAATTTCTTCCATGAACGTATAACCTTTCAAAGCAAAATATCCAGTTGTCAGTGGTGGCATAACACCCGATCCCAAGAAGCCAGAAATGCAAGCAACAAGTTTTAACTTCTCAACTTTAAACTCGTCTTCAGTAAGATATGCGTACATGGAGGGGCAATTTTCATCAACATCTCCAACAAATCTCAATGCGACATCATTAGAGACAATTCCAGCTCTTTCTTTTCTCCTATTGATTAAATAAATATCAGTAGATGTTATAAATTGATATGCAGTATCAGTATCTCCAATTCCTGCACAGTACAATGCTAAATTGCTATAAGCTCCAACTACTATAATATTGTTTCGATCTTTGATATCCTTGAGCTCCAATAAGCTTCTATGGTACGCTTGTTTGGCTTGCAAAGGTTCACAAAATCGTTGGCATGTTACGGCATAGATAGCGTAAATAAGAGCAAGTTGATCTGGGCTGTATTGACCTCGAACATAGTGTGGACTAAAAAGTGCATCCTCCATAATTTCTGTACTTATTAGAGGATAGCCCAAGCTTATAACTTCGTCATAAAAATCAATGGATTTCCTCTTGATCGCACTAATGTTCAAATTTTCATTGGAGGCCATGTAACTTTCCAAGCTATATGAATTGTTTACCAAATCTTTTACTCCGTTAGAATCAGCAGATCGCATCAGAGTGTCCAAAATTTGAAAGATATAGGCCTTGTCAGGGCTAGAGAGCAATATTGAAAGTAGCTGACAAAGAGTGTTTTGGGGCATATTGGGATTTGATAGAGCATTAAGTAAGGCCTTTGCGGACTCCATATCAATTGATTGGCCATTCACAAAATGGCTGGGGTTAATGTTATTTTGGCTCTCGTTGCCAGTGTTTGGCGCCGTAACAATCATGCTATTTTGATTGTCATAAACAATGTTAGTTGATTGGGACGAAGTGGCCACGGTTGTTGGTACAGGATGAATGGTTTCAACATTTGTCTGCATTTGCTCGTTTGTTAGTGAAGGACTGCTTTGATTATTAGGAGAAATTATGATATGTGTTGTGTCAGGCTTGAGCTGATTGGAGTCAGATATAACAGTTTCGAGATTTTGTTCAGTCTTGATTGTCTTCTTTTTTTTCTTTGCGTCTGTTTCTTCTGATTTCTTGCGTTTCTTTACGTTTGTAGTGTTTTCAAATGTCACATTAGTTGTAATCTTCATATTTGGAGAAGAGGAGCCTGAATTGCTGTTAGAATCAAGTTGTGATAAATCTATTTCACCGGCACTTTGAGGTATATATTTGATTTGATCAAGGGAAGTGTAGGGTTGAAATTGTTCTGAAGCATTCAAAGCTCTTCCTTTTTTTCTTGGTGTTCTGTATTGACATGGAATACCTTTGGAAGCGCAAGAACTGCATGACGGAAGAACTCTGTTGCATCTCTTGTGCCGCTGTCTGCATTGAACACAAGCAATTGGGAAAAGCTTAGCTCCACTACAAGCCAATGCAGATGAAACGTCGTCCAATTGGTTGTTCACAGAAATTTCCATTTTTGATTGTTGGGTTGTGATATCCTGATCGAATTTTGTGTTTTCCTTTTTGAGCTTTTTTTTCTTTGGTGCCTGTTGTTGATGGTTGCTCTTACTTGGTGATGTTGTTGTTGCATCACTTGGAGCATACATGTTGAATGTCATTTCTTGATGTGATGATCCTTGACTTGGTTGTTGTTGTTGAGGATTAAATTCTACGAACTTTCTGTCATATGAAATAGTGTTGGGATAATCATACGTCGATGTAAAAGTACGAGGGGAAGATTCTCGTGGTTGTACTACGCTGACATGCGACGATGGCATGACGTTGTCTACCACGTTGGAGATGCTATTGGTATTACTACTAGGAGTGTTGGTCATCATATTCGGAGAAGAGCGTTGAATTTGATAGTTCATCATGCTAGGATTATTGTGTTGTCTGTACTGGTGTTGTGTTTGTGAGTTGGCATACAATAGAGACGAAGAGAGGGATTGAGTATTTAATGAGGTGTTTTGTTGTTGTGGGATGTGCTGTTGATATGATGTGGACGGTATCCTATGTTGTTGATCGTATGAATGCAAATTACGGGTGGGTAATGTTGATGGTTGTTGTTGTTGGTGATAGTGATACAAGCCGTGGTGCGGCGATGATTGATATTGCATGTTTGTTGTTGATGATGATGGCATCACATTCATGCCCGACAAGGATGATGACGATGGCATTCGTTGTGGTGGAGTGTAGGGTTGTGGCTGAGAATACGACAAAGACGAACCGCTCAAGTGTTGCTGCTGCTGTTGCATCCTGTTACTACTATCCACAGGTAGACCTTTCGGCATAGAAGACGACAATGATTGTAATGGTGGTGGCATCGGAGATTGATTCATCATGCGTTGTTGTTGTTGTTGTTGTTGTTGTTGTTGTTGCTGATTATGAAATGGTGAAGAGTACATGTGAGGAGAGGAGTAGGATTCATGATGAGGGAGATGTTGTGGTTGCAATGAAGGAGTTATTAGAGGTGGTGTTGTCGCACCCTTTGAAGTATTGCCGGTAGTTGAAATGCCTGTGGTCGCAGAGAATGCATTGCTTCTCATTTTTAATAAATTATGCTGAATCAGCCTTTTGAAGCAATAGTGAGTTGTCCGAGTGAGTCAGAATTTGGCAATTAAAAGATATTAATTTGGTGAGTTTTTTTAAAAATTGATCATACAACCTAGGTGCTTACTCTTACAGAAATTGGTTGACCTGCGAATACTATTGCCGAAAAAAATCAATTGGTTGACCAAGTACAAATGCATCTAGCAGAAGAAATTTGTCGTGTTTGTATTTTCACAAGCTGAAAAACGGAGTCATTTCAAACTGGGAAGAGAGATAGACATCTCGTCGGTGTTATGAACCACAATGGCAAGCATGTACGAACGTTGTTTCTTCAACAGTTCTTGGTGTGAATTAATCGTCTCGACCCAAAGCAAAGCAAACGAAAAAAAAGCAGGCAACACATGCTACAACACTCAGAATTATCAATCCTAAACCATAAGCAATAGAAAAAACAGCAACAAAAGGAAATACTGTTTGTAAAATGAACGAATCTAGAACAGCACCAATTAAAGGAGCTACAATATAGATTGGGCTAACAATAAGGAATAAAACAAAACCAAATCCACATCCAGTTCCCAAACCAGCCCAAAATTCTTTGTTAATAATAAAAACTATCATTGGTACAAGTAAAAAGCCCAGTGGAAGACATCCTACAGCAGCATAGAGAGGAATAAATATTAAGGACCAAGGAATATTAAGGGCGTATTCAAGCCCGTCAATCTTACAATTGTTAAAAATTAATTGTCATTAGTATTAAAACAACAAGTGAAAAATTATTATGAACGTTTTGTTGTGAACAAGTAAATACTACCAACCTTGGCAAATAATAAAATAATAAACAACACAGAGAAGGCTAATAAGAAGCCGTACATTATTGTTGAAACGTAAAATCCTGCAATCTCTTTTGCAGACATTTGCAAACTACGTTCAATCAATGGGAAATTGAATTTTCAAAGCCAACATTTTGGTGAGCAAAAGTCATGTCCAAATTTCACAAACTCAACGCTTACCTTGATTTCAGAGAAGGAATGCCACACATATAAGATAACAAACACCATACATAGGCAGGAATAGCAATATAGCTCAAAATTGGTAAATCTGGAAAGATAGCATACTTCAATCCTCCAACAAGCCATATATAGGGAATCCACATCCATGTAGAGCTAAATAATATAAGAGTTTGTGTAGTATATTCAATACGAAAATCCCCCAACTGTTTTGAGGTCCAAGCAGGATAAAATTCATATAAATGTGAATGACGAGCAATCATCAAATAGAAATAGGGGACTGTAACAATTCCGATTGATAGCCATGAGAATAACCAGTAGTAGGTTCCAATATCATTAGGAATGTATTCATCCATGGAAAGCGGAATTAAGATTAATCCAATCACAGCTGAAACGATGGCAACGACGATAAATCCTATCCAAGCTCTAGTAATACTGTCCTGTTGTTCATAGTCTCTGTTAGAGATGTCATTTTGCTTATTTTGAATGATGTTATTTTCAATCTCCATCACTCGTTGTTGGACAAGTTGTTCCTTCTTGTATTTGGCGTATTTTGATTTGAAGGATGGTTGTATCATTTCTTCATCATTGTTTGTAATGGGTTGTTGGTCTTGTAGCTGCACAGTGGTCATATCTTGATTGATCTTGTCGAGTTTTTCTTGCATGAAAACTGGAACCTGATGAAGTTTTGTGTAAAACAAGTTGTCCATTCTTGCCAATTTCCATTTTCCGAAATAGGTATGGTTTTTAGTGAAGACATTATATTGATCGACCTCATAAGGTTCAATTAAACCATTTCGACCTTTTTGACCTTTGCTTGTCCAAAAGTAATCGGATGAGGCACACTTGTTGAAGTATTGATTCACAGCTGACATTTGTAGATTGTTTCTCTTATCCAAATATTCAAGGATCTATGATTGTGTTGAGTACGGTTTTGATTTGAAATTAATAGACCGTAGATTGTAGAGAAATAAAAATTGATGGAGTGGAGAATTAGTATACTTACATGTTCAAGAGAATCATTGGGCAATTGGTTAATGTTCACAATATTTCTACCTTCTTGCTTTAACTTTTCAATCTCCTCGACTGGTATTGGAATAGACGGATTTTTATCCCATGTTGTTGGAGCAACATAAAGTGCCTTTGGTGGAGGTGCTCCACCATTATCCAACAATGTACTTGCATCACATTCTTTCAAATAATCCACTGTTTGTTGCACATCATTATCGTTCAATTGTAACAAATTAAGTAAAGTACTATCTTCAACGTTTTGTATGTTCTTGGAATCTTTCAATTTCATTTTGACGCTTCTAATCTTGAGTTGCATATCTAAGGTAAGAGCAGAATGGCGTCTCTTGGTCTTATCTTCATTGTAAATCAAATTTAAAGGATCATCTACTGAAATATCACTGGAGCTCTCATCATCCAAATTATCATGGACATCATGTATCACAATTTTATCGGTATTTTGAACGTCTGTTCCACCATTACTACTTGATGCAACCACAGGATCATTAGTACCACCATTATTGTTTTTTGAAAGAATGAATTCTAGTGTGGTATTGACATCTTCATTGTGATCCTCTAACAATTCAGCCAATACATGGTCATCTTTCTTTTCGAATTGATTAGCCATTGGTGTCTCACGAAGTCTCAACCGTAGAGTTCGAACTTTCATTTGCATGGACAGCGGCAAGGCTTTCTTTGGTTGTGAAGGTGATTGTTCTTGGGTAGTGGTGTCGTCGTGTGGATTTGGCAGTGTGCTTGTGTTTCCATTACTGGATGATGCTTGTTTCCCATTGCCATTATTCGTGTCCTCGTCTTCTTCAATCATAATCTCCGAACTACTTAAATTCAAATTGTTTGTATTGACACGACCCGTGTTAACACTACTGGAACCAGTAGTGCTTTTAGATGACTTTTCCTTATAGTATTGATCCGTAATTTCAGAAATATTGACTTTGGATGGAGTGGGATCCCTCCCATGAACCATTGAAAAACTGGCCATCAAATCTCCTCCGTTCATTTCAATGAGCTGTTCAAGAGTGGATATATCCGATGATCCATACAGAGTGCTATTCTCTGCCATGAGCATTCGTTTCAGGATTTGAGCCAGATCCGAATAGGTCTGCTTCGAGGATGATGATGAAGATGATGCAGACATTTTTTGTTGTTCTTTTGGCGTGATCTTTGAACAAGGAACATTATAGTCGTTTACAAGGTTCCAGTTTCAAAGAATGGAAATAATGTGATGTCAGAAAAATGTTTCGTCAACCTTTCCGCAAAAGTTGGTCATTTCCTCTCCATCAGCGTTCTTCTCACTTTTTCATTCAAAAAATGATTCCAAATAATAACAACAACTACAACAACCTACCATCATCATCATATTACTCGACGACCACTAACCACTCGGATCCAAATTCAACAACCACAACCACAACAGCTATTACAGAAACAACCACTGCCTCTTTAAATTTTCAACATCCTTGGTCTTCTGATGATTTTAAAAATCATTTACAAACAACGGGAGAGTTCATTACTGAATATTATGAAAAATTAATTCATGCATCATCATCAAAGGATCAATCCTTTCCGGTATGCTCTCAAGTTCAACCAGGATATTTAGCCAAGTTGTTGCCATCAGAGGCACCTTTGAAAGGAGAACAATTTGAGGATATTTTGAAAGACATTTCGGAAAAGATTATTCCTGGAGTTACACATTGGCAACATCCAAATTTTTACTCGGTGTGTGTTATTGTTTGAATAATTTACATAATCTTAATTTTAATTAATTTAAATTATTTTAAAATGAATAATTGTTGATATAATTTTTAAATAATTATTTCTAAATTATTGACCTATATTTTCATATTACTCATCATTTACAACAGTTTTTTAGTGCCAACTTTTCTTACCCTGCTTTAATTGGTGACATGTTTTCTGGAATGTTCAATGTAATTGGCTTCTCTTGGATCACATCGCCTGCATGTACTGAGCTTGAAACTATTGTCATGGATTGGCTTGCAAAAGCGTTACATTTACCAAAATTTTATTTGAGTGAAACAACTGGAGTAAGTGATTTCTCATTTCACACGTGTGTGAAATTCCAAAAAACAATTATTAATATCAACTATACACATAGGGAGGATCCATTCAAGATACTGCTTCTTCAGCAGGAATTGTAGCTATTTTATCAGCTAAAGAGGCTAAACGTTCTCAACTCAAATCTCAATTAGGTCAAGATCAATTCAATGAGGCTGATTTTCAATCTAAACTCGTTTGTTATGTTTCAGATCAAACTCACAGTTCCATTCAAAAAGCATGTATGGTTACCGGTGTGCTACATCTTCGAAAAATTCCATCTTTTCCTTCAACATATGACATGAATTACAATGAACTAGAAAAAGCTATCGAACAAGATGAAAAGAATGGCCTTATTCCATTTTTTGTCTGTGGAACCATTGGAACTACATCCTCCACAGCCATTGATGATTTATCGAAAATTGGACCCATTTGTAAACAACATGGAATTTTCCTTCATGTGGATGCTGCCTTTTTAGGAGCGACATTGTTGTTGCCAGAATGCAGAAACAAATTTGTTGGAGATGAATGTGAAGCTTTGAAATACAGCGACTCATTCACATTCAATCCACACAAGTGGATGTTAACAAATTTTGATTGTTGTGCGTTTTGGATTAAGGGTATGTTGTGAAATTTTGTATTTTTTTGAATATATTTTCACCATGATGGATGTAAACGCTACAACATGAATTTATCATAACAGAAAGAAAACATTTAAAGAATGCTCTTTCGATTGATCCAGAATATCTCAAAAATAAGGCATCAGCTACTGGCCTTGTTACAGATTATAGGGATTGGCAAATACCATTGGGTAGAAGATTTAGATCGTTAAAGTTATGGTTTGTGATGCGAATTTATGGAATTGAAGGACTTCAAAGCTATTTGAGACATCACATTGAATTAGCAAAATATTTTGAAAATCATATCCAACAACAAGCGTCACGCTTCGAAATTGTTGCTCCTCGAGTTGCATCTCTAGTATGTTTTCATGCAAAATTGTCCACCGAACACGAAAAAGAATGGACGTTGCAAAAGGAAAATCGTTTGAACGAAATACTAGTAGAGAGAATTAATGCCAGTGGATTAATGTATCTTAGCCACACAGTGCTCAGTGGAAAATATAGCTTGCGAATGGCAATATGTGGCTCATTTACCAATTTTCAACATGTTCAATTTGCAATTTCCACAATCGAAGATCATTTGAGCAAGTTGTTGGAGTCTGTTAAAAACGGAAGTGTTGCATTGTGATCCACATAAATACTAGTGTGATTTATTCTTTCAAACTTTTTCAACAAACAACAAACTAGCATAATTGCTTAATGTATGAACCTTGGAAAACAAAATTGGACATTCCAAAGAAATACATTTTTCTTCAATCGATGGAAATTTAGAGTTTGGTAATAATCCATTTGTCATATCCAATTCATGGTTGCAATGTCGACATATTTCAGAAAGCATATTCTTATTCTTTTCCACACTTCTCAATCGAAGCAATAACACCAGTGGGTATTCCTTGCACTTGACGCACATTGGCTCTTCCGAAGTCTTTGTTCCTTCGTCATGGCTCAATGACTTGCAATCAATGATCGCTCCACAACTCACACAAGGCACACTAATGGGCTTGAAATATCGCTCAATAAAATTTTTGGATTTTCTAAATAATTGTTTTCTCCAATCGGCCATCAAATAAACATCACGTTTCGGTAAATTCATATACCAAACATTACAATTCACAAAACATAACGAAAATAATCGATCCAAAGAGGGTAACAATTGTCGTGTGATGTAATAATTATAATGAAGACGATATTTTTGACGAGTGTTATGAATTACTACTTGATGATGGCAGTATGACGTATTACTACTAGTTCCCATACGATCTGCAATATAATACTTCGGATGAATGACCATATCTGATAATTTTGCCTTAGATGGATGTAAGGGACTGAACACAACGACATAGGGAACTCGTTCATTAAATCTTGGCTCTGCTCTTGGATCACGTTGCATTTCTCGAATTGCTACTCTTGCAGAAGGAGGAAGATTCTTCTCAGATTTGTAATATCCAAGTTTGACCTTTTTCCAAAAAATAAAATCTTGTAACGAGCACTTTTCTGAGATGATTCTATAGAATTGTCTGGATAGATAGGATTTCACAAGAGAAAAATCAAGAGTTTCAAATAGAATTTCTAAACTCTTTTCCATTAAACTTCGTACCATTAAACAATTGTCTCTTCTTACGGCTTCAATGCCTTTGCAGAAAAGAGTACCTTTGGTTTGTGAAGGATTTTCAAAAGCTAGACCGACATATCTCTTCTTACTGACCAAAAAGCTAGGATGAAATATTCGTTCCATTTGTAAAGTGATTGGTTTTGGATTCGAGTTGGTCACAATTCGAACAATTTCTTTGCCAAGTTTGAATGCTTCTTCTCGTGAACAGTCAATACACTCGACAAATAGCGAGTCGGTATCTCCATATGCAACACGACACTTTCCTTTGAAGTGTTGATTGACAGTTTCAATTGCATTTTCAAGAGTTTGTCTTGCAAGTTGCACAATAGCATCTGCTAAATCAGAAAGTGGCATTCTTCCTGAGAAATTTGCTGATGTATAGCCATAGGTGACATTGGCAATAAGCTTTAAACCTAACTGACGAGCATTAAGAATTCGTTGAGTTTCAGTATCTTCCTTACTCGTTTCCTTCATTGCTTGCTTTACCATGACTCGAGTGTTGAGAATTTCTGTACACATTCGTGGAAGAATTCCTTGTCTTACACTTGGTTTTACAAAAAGACATTGATTGGGAGTTATCAGAATATCTTGTTCAATAGATTTTCCATCGTTTCTGTTTTTTAACAATTTTCGCAATTCACTATTTGGTTCATAACCATCCAATGTTCCAAGCTTACTCTTCTTTTGATCCACAAATGCCATCTTTCCTAAACATGTACTATAACATAAATTATATGCAATAATAATGGATGGATAAAGAGATTGAAAATCTAGAACAATGACTGGATTCGTATATAATTTGCTTTGTGGCTCCATGACTAATGGTAAACACTCGATTGCTGCTTGTTCCATCACCTGCTTTCGTGTGGGTGAAAGAGCGACATAATTATACAATCGTGCAAGTCGAAGCATCATACTTTCTACTCGATATTGAGAGCCTCGGTTAAGGACTGAGAAAAATTCAATACCAAACACTTTCGCTAATTCTCCAGTTCTGTTCAAAAAGTCCAAATAGTTCAACAACTCGAGTGTGATGCTTGCCTTGGTGTAATAGTATTGAAGAATAATTCGATATTCAAAGCTGTCTTTTCGATGATGGCAACTGTTTGATAGGTCGCTAAGTGTTTGGTATGAATATTGTGGAATTCGCTTTCCGAGAATGTTAAAGGCAACATTATTTAGCGTGTACATATCCAGTTTCATTTCTCCATTCATAAGTCGCCAAACATTGATCACCACTCTTCCCTTAATCATCACACCAGATTGTTTGTTTCTTGCGTATTCTTGTGCCTTTTTCAAGATTTTGTCCTGTCTCTTGTCCTTGTTGGCATTATTGGCTTTGTTTTCACTTTGATAGAAAATTGAACGTGACAAGTCATAACAAATGTTCTTCCCAAGTACAGTGAATCCCCTCTCGATTAAATATCCAAGACCTTCAGTTTGCATTTCATATCCCAATAAAATGTCAGGATCTTCCTTGCAAATAAAATCAATGAATCCATTCAACAGGTCTTGTTCCGTGTTGAATTCAAAGAATCGGTCAAAATTAAGTGGAATACATGTTAACTTGTGCTGTATGATGTCACTATCCTCTAAATCTCGATTGAGCAATAGGATACTCTCTGTACTGTTTGTAACATCTGCACAATTTTGAGAGCAAATTACAATGGCTTGAACTGGATCATAAATTGGATTTGGTAAAAAATCTGCTCTTGTCATGACATGACATTCAATCGACATGACATTAATATTTTGCTTGGAGACGAGCTCCTTCTTATTTGAAGAGTCATCTTTTTCGTGAGCGTCTAAATTAAAGGCAGCCTTTTTTCGCTGGCTAGTTACAGATAACTCCGATACAAGTGATTGAGGTGCTCTTCTTCGTCTCCGTGACGGTGTGTTAGGTGGAGTGGTGTTGAGTGAACACAAATTCTTAGGAGGGAGTGAAGAAGCAACATCCAAAATGGGTTCATCAAACTCTGGAGATGGAATTCTGTTTGTAAAACTTTCAGAGTCATCACTTGAAGATATCTTTGGGTCTCTATGAAGTTCATTCATAACCTGCTTTAGTGTTGGTGGTCTTGGTGCAAATTCTAGTATCGTTTTGGAGTGAATGGTACTTGCTTTCAACTCAAATTTTGTAAAATGCTTTTGAAATGCAAAAACATCAAGTTCATCCAAGTGCTTACTAATAGGCATTTCTCCCTTCACTCTTTTTTTACCAAATATTGAAGAAAATCGAATAATGGAGCTTCTCTTACTTTCCAAATAATCTGCATGATTGCTGAAAAAAGGTCTTCTTTCGAGACTCTTGACCATACCTCGATATTCCTTTGCTGATTCATGAAGATCGTCTAGTACCATGTCTAATGAGGGAGGAGAGTGTTTGTAATTCAGCGTGTACAAAGAAGCCTGGTCATCATTTTCACCATGTGATGTCCCGCTTAACGGTGGTGTACCAATATTGTCATCTCTACCATCTTGTTCGGTATTTTCATATTGTGCGTTGGGAATAATCAAAAGTGGAGGTGATAAACTGTCTCGAACTTGGACCTCATCCTCTGGTATGAGTTCGCTTTGGTGTTCATGTTGTAATTGTACTGAACTAGTTCCTAGTATTGGTGAAGATGGTTGGTTGCGGCTTTCTTCAGCAATAATTGCAGCTTCTCCAAACAAATCATTCCCTTCTTGAGGTGGTTCAATAGGATTTTGATCTTCACCACCAACACTCATAGGTTGATGTGAAACCTCTGCAAATAGAAATCGTTCAGGTCTGACATCAAGTGCTTGTTGAAATAGAGAAAAAGAAATTTCCTGAGAAGGAATATTTGAAGACCCTTCGTGAGTAGAAAGTATTGATTTTTCCTGGAATGGAAAAAAGTTATCAAGAAAGAATTGGTCGTGCTCATTTTCAATATTCTTCTTTGGTGTTGATGCTGATTCTTCTTGAAATGAAACTTTTCTCTTTTTGCTGGGAAGTAGATTGCTCTTGTTTCCTTCATGAGTAAAAATGTCCATTGACTTGTTGGAAAGCTTTCTAAAACTATTGTTTTTCACCGAGTATTCAAATCTACAAAAATATGTGTCTTTTGGTTGTTCAACAAATTCTTCGGGAAGTTTCTCTTCATTCAAGAAGCTATCAACAACAATGTTGGTAGGAAGGTCCTTAAAGTACTTATCCACAAGAAGTACGTTGCATTTTCCAATGACTGTATCAATTAAATTAGTGTCGCAATGAGAAATCAAAAACACTTCATTCTCTCCATTCCACTCTCTTCTTCCACCTTTTGTTTCTTGAGGTCTATAAAACCACCTCACTGTAACAGTTTTAGATTGGCTATTTTTGTCAACAACACATGCAATATATGGCTTACAATTTTTTGGAGCTCTCAAATAAACAAACTCTCCTATGGATACATCTTCAATGGTGAATTTGGTATTCTTGTCTTTTTTTCTTGTAGTCTTGTCAGAATAGCCATCATATTGAGGTATAAGTTCGTACATGTCACCGTCGCTGCTGTCAGATGAATAGGTTTCTTCAGCATCAGATAAATGGTCGTCATCGACCTCAAGAACATGAATTGACTCATCCATGTCAATGACCTCCTTCATGGAGTTTATAATCTCCTGCTCCTCGTTTTCTGTGATATCTTCCATCTCTTCATCTTCGTCATTTTGATCCTCAAACCCCAGGTTGTTATATTCATCCTCCTTCAGCTCAAAATCTTTTTCTCGCATCCAATTTAAGATGCTTTCGAGCGCTTCATCGCTTTGGGTTAATTGAATGTTGTAACTGCTGCCATTCTGGTTGTGACTTGCCTCATAAGAACTTCCTCGTTCTTTAATTTCTTCATACGTGAGGAAAGCACTTGGGTACTTGGATAACAAGTTATTCAGAGCTTCTTGAGATTGCTTAATCGTGGGTGTGTCATCTCGCAATCCGTTTGGTACTTGGCTGGCAAATATGATCTCATCTTCTTCTTCGTTTTTTTGGACCTTTGATATAATATCTACCAAATTATCGTACATGATATTTTCAAGCTCGTTTTTCACTGTTGGCTCTCTCTCAAATGGTGAAAAAGGGATCGGTGGCTGTGAAATTTCCATATTGATGGATCGTCTCCTCTTTCTCTCTTCTTCCCAAATAATGTTCAGAGATTGAAGAAGCTTTCTGTCTTTTCCAAACTGATTGTCTTTTTCTTTTTCAAGAGAAAGTTGAACATTAATAATCTCTTGTCTATTCAAAATATCCCTGGAGAAAATGTCCATTTCAATCTCACATTTAGATAGCCTCTTGACATTCTCTGGTAAAATTGTTCCATAATTTGTAGCGTTTTGGCTGCATATCTTGTCAGTACTTTCGCAATTCTCAGCCGTGTGAAACGGTAACCTGAAAAACAGTTTTTCAACATGCAAGTCTCCCATTCCATACACGTTGTAATCCATCATGAACTGTAAAGAAAAAGGAATGTGGGCCTCATACACAGAAAATTTATGACCCATCACACTACTATTTCCGAACATGGCTGCCATTTTACCAACGTGACTAGGATTGTACACATAGACTTTTAAGAATAATTGAGGATTAAACCAGTATCCGTAGAATGGTGTACCTGTCACAACAACAATATCATGAATAAATTGTCTTTGGTTTTTGAAAACAGATTGATCTTGTTTGAAATTTTGTTGCATGTTGTTCGGAAGTGGTGTTCCATAGAGTGATCTATGAAAGGTTTGTTCAATAGTATTTCCTAAAACATGAATGAAATCGTAAACCTTTTTCATATTCAAGTTTAGTAAATGATCAGTACTCTTTGAATTTTTCATCGTTTCACCTTCCTCGAGGAACAATTCGTATGGAAATGACAACATAAAATACGGATACAATTGATGAATGTGCAAACAAGCTTTTTGTTTTGTTTCCTGTATTGTTCCATAGATATGCATAATAGGAACCAAATCAATATTTCTTCCTCCAAAGAATGAGCACTTTCTATCATCAAACAAAGCCTGAGGCAAACAGAGAGAGTACTCCAAGGAAAGTACTTGAAGACGCATCTTGTAACATTTTTTTGGGTTGATCTTCGACAAAGCATTGGAATTAAAAACAAATAATCTTTTCCAAATTATCTTTAAATGTTTTGAAATTATCATAGAGCAATTTTGATGATGTTGTTGTTGGTATCTCATGGAAACTCTCCGATGATGATGAATTTGAGTGCTTGAACAGCGTTCATCCAACACGAATGAAAATTGCATTAAAAAAATTAAACGCAAAAAATGATGAAAAACTGCCGAAAGCTCCAACGTGTGGCTAACCAAGTCAAGAAGAGCGTTCTCTCATCATCATCTCCTTCGACTAAAAGTACTCCTTCTCTTCTCACTACAACAACAACAACAACTAACAATCTCCAAAATAGATGTTTCTCATCAAATATTAAAAATTTGGTGGTTTTAGGAAATAGCGCTGTTAGAGAAGGAACTATGAACGAAAAGGGTCCACAACTCTCTCAAGTATATCCAGTGATTGACCATACGTATGATGCCGTCATTGTTGGTGCTGGTGGTGCTGGTCTTGTGTGTGCAGCCAACTTGGCTAAAGCCGGATACAAGGTGGCCTGTATTTCCAAGCTTTTCCCAACAAGATCCCACACAGTCGCTGCCCAAGGAGGTATCAATGCTGCTCTTGGTAATATGACCGAGGACCACTGGACTTATCATGCCTACGATACAGTCAAGGGAAGTGATTGGCTTGGTGATCAAGATGCCATTCACTATATGTGTAAGGAAGCTCCACAAGCTGTTATTGAATTGGAACATATGGGTTTACCATTCTCTCGTACACCAGAAGGAAAGATTTATCAAAGAGCTTTCGGTGGTCAAAGTATTAAATTCGGTAAGGGAGGACAAGCTAAACGTTGTTGTGCTGCTGCTGACAGAACCGGACACGCTTTGTTGCACACCAACTATGGTATGGCATTGAAATATGATGTCCAATTCTTCATTGAATACTTTGCATTGGATTTGTTGATGGAGGGTGATGAATGTAGAGGAGTGATGACCTATAACCTTGAGGATTCAAGTTTGCATCGTTTCCGTGCTCACTACACTGTGCTAGCAACCGGAGGATATGGTAGAGCATATTCATCATGTACAAGCGCTCACACTTGCACTGGTGATGGTACAGCAATGGCTTCAAGAGCTGGCTTACCAAATCAAGATTTAGAATTTGTTCAATTCCACCCTACTGGTATTTATGGTGCAGGTTGTCTCATTACTGAAGGTGCTCGTGGTGAAGGTGGTTTCTTGAGAAATGCTGAAGGTGAACGTTTCATGGAAAGATATGCCCCAAGCGTAAAAGATTTGGCTTCAAGAGACGTTGTCAGTAGAGCCATGACAATGGAAATTTTAGAAGGAAGAGGTTGCGGACCAAAGAAAGATCATATTCACTTGCACTTGGATCACTTGCCAGCAGAATTGCTCCATGAAAGATTGCCAGGTATTACTGAGACTGCTAAAATCTTTGCAGGTGTTGACTTAACCAAGGAACCAATTCCTGTTGTTCCAACAGTTCACTACAATATGGGTGGTGTTCCTACTCTGTATACAGGTCAAGTAGTTTACAAGAAGAGTGAAGATCAACCCGATTACCCAGTTAAGGGATTGTTAGCAGCTGGTGAAGTTGCATGTGCTTCTGTACACGGTGCTAATCGTTTGGGAGCTAACTCACTTTTGGATCTTGTCGTTTTCGGACGTGCTTGTGCTTTATATGTCATGGAAAATTTACCAAAGGATACCAAGCATAAGCCTCTTCCTTCAGATGCTGGACTCAAATCAATCATGAATTTGGATAGAATTTTCAATAACCCTAATGGTAGCATTAAGTGTCACGAATTAAGAAAGGAAATGCAAAGCGTCATGCAAAATTATGCTGCTGTTTATCGTAAGCAAGATACTTTAGACATGGGTGTCAAGTTGATTAAGGAAGCATACTCAAAACTTCCATATGTTAAATTGGGAGACAAATCACCAGTTTACAACGTTAACCTTTATGAAATTCTTGAATTGCAAAATCTCTTGGCTAACGCAGTGCAAACAATGATTGCTGCTGAAAACAGAAAAGAATCTAGAGGTGCTCACGCTCGTGATGATTATCCAGAAAGAGATGACGTAAATTGGATGAAACACACGCTTACAACTATGGACACTGAAACTGGTGAAGTGAAGATTGACTATAGACCAGTCCATAACTATACTTTGGATGAAAAGGAATGGCAATACATTCCTCCATTTAAGAGAGTGTATTAATTAAGAAAAGCGCTTGAAAATTATTCTGTATAGTTGCCATTATCAATAATAATATCAATTTAATTACTGGGTCATCATGACGAGGGACCATGTAACTTGCCAATAAAACAATCATAAATATTTATTCTTTATTATTGACTTGTGCTTTGTGGCAACACAATTTCGGTAAACACTTGTGGCTTGTGCAACTAGCTTCGCGATGATATTCCAGCAAACAAAAGAAAAAATGTCTCGGGAGTATGCGGTTTTTCAATGTTATCAATGTTCTGCCTTCAGCGTCAATCAAATAACAAAGAATAGAAAATGGAAATGCAAGCTTTGTGGGTCCCAACAAAGTATTCGCAAAATGTATGCTACATCTCACCAACCTAAAGATCTTCGACCTATCGTTCAACAATATAATGAGAAAAGAGGAGAAATTGAACAAGAGTTGATACAAAACGAGATGGAGTCGTTAGATCATCATCGCCATGTTGAAGCAACAACAGAGAGGGCGGAAGTGATTTACAAACAATCCACCCAGAGTAAATGGGCCAAATATAATCCCGAAGCATCTTCATCAACAGCACTCCATCAGCAATTTTCGGACGATGAAGAGCAAGACTCTTCTGACGTGCAAGTGATCACATCGCTACCACAGAAGGAGAAGAAGAAACGGAACAACACTAGCAAGACTAACAGCTCATCAGCTAGTTCTAGAAGGAAACGAAAAACCAAGAACAATGATGAGGACTCGGAAAATGATGACAGAAATGATTTGGATGATGATTATTCATTCATCCCTGATGAAGATAAGGCTTATTTTGAACCCTCGCAAAAGAAGACCAAACAATCATCTCGCGCTTCAAAATTGAGTAATGAAGATGATGATGATGAAACCGTCCCATCCAAGCCACCCCCAAAACCAGCGATCAAAACAACATCATCCTCAAAGTGGTCCAAATACCTTTGATTGGCTTCAAATTCAAAACGAATGAAGACAAAAACAACGCAAACAAAAAATGAGCAATTTGTTAGTACCACCAATTTTACTTCATGATGACAATGATCATTCGGAATTACCAGACGATCATCAATACGAGGAAGCAGATAAAAATGGTACGATGGAAGAGTCATCAGATCGGAGGCAAGCCTCTTCGTTATCGTCATATCATCATCAATTAGCTTCCTTGATACCTCCATTCGCCCGAGATATTCGATTAATTTTGAATAAATTCGTGGAACTGAACACGGCATCTCTCCGAGAGTTTAAAACATTGTGGATGTCTCTCAAATTTTCGTACATTCACGGAGGAAAACCTGATGAGGTGAATTATGACACCTATATCCAAGAAGTGTACACAACTTGCATTGGATATTTAATGTTCTCGCAAGAAAAGTCTTCTAATCAAACTAATAATGCGGACCACAACAATGAAGGAGCATCATCTATCGATTTATCAGTTAACTTTAGATGTAGAGTTGGAGTTATTTATTTATTGTATTATCTTTATTGCACGCAACCGAAACGAAAAATTGGAGCCTTTCAACAAAAACGAGTTCAAATCAAAATATCCATTGAAGCATTTCAAGAAATGTTAAAATTGTTGGAAGAGTTTATAAAGCGAGATTTAACAGAGCCATTTATTGTGTGGCATAGATTGAAAAGTCTCTCTGCTTTTGAATATTGTGCCATGGTGTATGTGGATCCATTGATGAGCTCTCTACGGAATCCTTTTGACAATGTAGAGGAAGAAATGTTGTCAGATGAAAGAGCAAAAATTGCAAAAACAAATCATGCGCCAAATATTGACTATCAGGCTGTAAAAACAATTGATGATTCTTATCAATCAGTTAAAAGCGACATCATAAGTGCCACTGAAAGAGCTCGTGACAATATTACCCATCAATACAATCCAGTTGTTGGCACTATATCCGTCAAGCATGCTTTGAGTTTAACCAAGCCTAATTTTGTGGACGAATTGAACAATGCAACAGCTGAAATTAAGTTAACTCCAGAACAGAAAATAACTCAATTTTTGGACAAGTATGAAAATGATCCTGCTGGCACCTCTTTAATCAAGAAAAAACGAAGAAAGAAACGAGTGGTAAAGAAGAAGGAGGAAGAGCAAATTAGACCAAGACCTAGCATGAAGAAGACCCCTTCGAAAGCCTCTCTGGAGGTCAGCCGATCTGTCAACGACTTTATAACATCAAATATCAACGACGACATTGAAGAGGGAGGAAAAAAGAAGAAAAAGTCTAAAGATTCAACAGAAGAAGGTAAAAAGAAGAGAAAGAAAACTAAAGAAGAGAGCAATCATGATGAAACAAGTGAGGAGCCCAAAAAAAAGAAAAAGAAAGAGAGGAACAAGGAGGAAGCAACCAATCAAGATGAGGAGGAAGAAAAAAAGCAAAAGAAAACTAAAAAGACCAAAAAGAAGTCAAAGAAAACAGAGGAAGAGCAAGACAACAATGATGATCACAAGGAAGAGAAACCAAAGAAAAAGAAAGACAAAAAGAAAGAAGCGCCAGAGAAAAAAAAGAAAAAGAGCAAAAGCAAAGATGAAGAAAACAATGGAGACAGTTCAAGCAAAAAAGAGGAGTCAGCGGAACCCGAAAAGCCAGCCCCACGAAGGTCAACCAGAGTAATTAAGAAAAAGAAATATGACAGTGATACGGAGTAGCTATTCTTTATAAACATACAACGAGCAATGATCAGGAGACATCTTTCCAAAGAATGTACCCATGGAGTTATTCAAATAATCTAAACTCGTGATTGGAAGAAGGTTTTCTGAAGGTAGATGTTGAAAAACACGCCCAGAGTTGACATCGAATAAGGATACATTTTTGAGAGCAGTGTATGCCATCAGAGTGGTTCCATTGAAGAAAGCAAATGGAGAGGAGTGATTATTTGACTCTAAATCTATAGCACCCGAATTTGTTAAATTGAACAATGCCGTTGGAGACTTAAATTTTCCAATAGGAGTTGGATGGTGTTCCACTAAGACCGGATGATTAATGAATTAAGATTTCTTCATACACAAACCTACCTCTTTCAAAAATTGTAAATTGGTGAGATGGTGGCAGCATGACTGTTGGTTCTGATATTACAATGTTGCTTGGGTTAAACCTTCCATTCTCTTCGTTCATTATCTTTTGTTTTGGTTAAATGGCCAAGACATATTCTAACAAGAAACTTACACAATGGTCAATGTTTCGTTTTGACTCTCCAAAGGTCGAGTAAGAAATTATGGCTTTGTGTGAAAACGAGTCGTAGCAAATATTGAAAGGATGAGGAACGTTTGTTCTGTTGTTTGCCTTTAAGGTAGTGAGCTGATCTTGAAACCAAGCCAATTTTGTTCCTTCACTCTCAGAATTGGAATGATAATTGTTCTGTACATTTAACTTGGCATGAAACACTCCAGAGCCAAGAGTTGCAAAAATTAATGAATCATTACTTGGGACGTACTGCATAGAAAGAATGGAGTTAGCGTGACTAGTTCGTGGAGTGTTGGGAACATCAAATCTAAAAACTACCCTTCCTGGCATTCTTAAATCCATACCACAAATAGCCCCATTTTCAAGCCCTGCCAAAAGTAGGCTATCATGAGTGTCATCCGGAATTGCAAGACAGTTTGGCACGTCCTCCATTTCCATATCAAAGATAATTCCGTTTCTAGATTTTACATCAACTACTTTTACAAATTTGTTATCAGTAGCACAATATATCAGATTGTTTTTTCTTGAAAAATACATATCATTGATATCAAACGCTTCCACCACTTGTTGATTTTTGTCTAGTGATATCTCAGTGGTTGTGTATTTGACGGTAGAATAAACTACAAGGGAATGTTTTTTTCTAGAATCAAAGCAAAGATAAGAAGGGTCATCCAAAAATCTAAATATTTTGTGTTGTGAGTGAATATTAAGCTCCAATACTGAGGTAAAAATGTTATTTTGTCTCAAAGATGGATCTGCAGGCGTCGTGACAATTACATCTTGTTCGTTGTCAAATACATCTCGTTTTCTTTTTTTTGCAAACTCATTGTTGGTGTCAAATAGTTTGATCTCAAATGGACATTCCTCAATATCTGTTTGCAGTTCTCTCAAGAATGGAATGACAGAAGAAGGAGTACTCTCAGATGTAATTTCAATAATATCGTGATCATCATGTACTAGTTCATTATTTTCATGTTGTGAATCCAAGAGCTGATGATTTTCAATGGAGTTTAAATAATTTGTAATTTTCTTTCGTAATTCCAACAACCGTTTTTCAAACACTCTTCGTTTCTTTCTTTCCACTCTCAATTTTGATCGAATGTCTTGCTTTTCCTTCTCACTCATCTTCTTGACTTTATGAATGGCAAGCCTATTGGCACTTGACTCGCCCAAGAATATGGGTCGTAATTCATTCGGACGAGCAGGCTTCTTGCACATTGGGCAGTTGGGTTTTGTGGCTAACCATTGGCTGATGCAACTCTGGCCAAAGAGATGACCACATGCAAGTGCTACTACTTTGTGTTCTCCTTCTTCTTTCCATTCATCTTGGCAAATCAAGCAAATATTGTCCTTTTCAGATTCATCATCATCAGCATCTTCTTGTTCAATCACATCATCATCTTCATTCGTGTTTTGTTGTCCATTCATTCCGATAGAATTTGGAATTTGTTCACGAATGATTTTATTCGTTGATGATGATGAAGAGGAATGGCTACTATTATTAAAGATAGCTTTCCCAATGGGATTGGATGAATTCATTGTTGTTCCGAGAGTTTGTACTTCATCTTCTTCTTCGTCTAAATGAATTACATGTGTGCTAGATTGTGCTGGAACCATTTTTTTAGTTTACAACAGATTTACTTTCTTCGCTTTCCTTGTCGCAAAGTTCTTTGATTTTCCAAGGTTTAATGGGTTGAGGATTGAACCAATTCAAGCTCACATATTGTACACTCTGTGTTGAGGAATTCCATGAAGCAAAAAGGACAGTTTTATGGACGGTATTTCCTAATCTTCCGATACTGATGATGAGATGAGGCTCAATTGGCTTATCTATTTCTTGTACATAGATCATGAATTCTGCATGATGCAATACTGGATCTCCTCGATATGCAAGAAAGTCACAACCAAATTTGTCTCCACTACTTAAAAAGAATCCACTGTTGTGTAAATCTTTGAAAACTTTGTACTTTTCTTGTTGGAATGGTGTTTGTGGAAATGTCCACAATCGAGTAATATCTTTTGGTTCTTCATATATCCGCAAACTAGTTTGATTGGATGGTTCATATCCTATTTGGAATTTGAAGAATACTTGAGATATTCCAGAATTATGACCCGATGGAGCTGTAGTCGAATTCGATTTTGCTGCAGGATTTAACATTAAGTCTTGTAATCGGGTGATATTTGATGAATGCAAATCTTCAAAAACTCGAATAAATCCATATTCAATTCCTAATGTAACGCTCTCGGGTGTTATCAAGCAAGGTAAAGAGCTAAAATCGTTTTGTTGTGTATAATTCGGAAGTGATCCAAAGGGTATGGCCAATATCCGATACTGATTTCTCAAAATTTCAACGCCTGTGTTCCATACGGAAATATTTAAAATTCTTCACTTTTACTCGTGCTTCTCACTTACTCTTAGAATCATAAATTAAACACTTGTGATTGGAAACAGAATCTCCAACGACCGCCGTCGGCACGAGGTAAACTTTGATCACTTCCATTTGTTGCATTTTTTATAATTCCGAATTTTTACTTGAATTTTCAAGCAATATTGAAAATTACAAATAGGATCGTTTTACAACATTGTTTTGAATTGTACTAATTATGCTCATTGAATGCTTGCACGGAAGAGTGCTGCTGTGTTCTGGGGTCAACAGGCACTAATTTTGGAATCATGTCAAAAAAAAATACTCCTCACAATTCAATATTGTTCGGCGACCACACATTACGAAAACACGTGCTACGGAAAGTCATCATTTTGTATGGTCGAGTTTTATTGTTAAAAGAACATTTGAGTTGTTGAACAGTATTTTGCTTGTCTATATTTAAATTATTAGTATATTCCGAGAGGATTTTTAAATTGAACACACGGACTACTGCTTGGAAAAGAGAGATGAATAATTTGAGAGCCAAATCGGAACAACATTTTGAAACTTTCAATAGAAAGTACAAAAATCTTGGAGTTGTAGGAAAGGGTGCCTATGGTTCTGTGAGTTGTTACGAAGATAAAAGTAGAAAGAAAGTTGCTGTCAAACAATTCTTCATGAGGAGTGGTAAAGACGATGGTATTCCTATCACACTCTGCCGAGAAATCAATTTGTTGAGAGAATTGGAGCATGAAAACATTCTAAAAGTTCAAGATATTGTCATTAGTACGGACGGAAGCTTTAATATGATTTGTGATTTTTGCAAAATAGATTTAGAAAAGTTGCTCACGTATCATAAATCACAGATAAGAGCACATAACACCTCACCACCTCTCCCTTCAAAACTGGATGATCACATGATTCGATCAATTTTGTATCAAATTTTGAAAGGAATTCACTATTTGCACAGCAAATGGGTAAGTTACTCAATTTCATATGCTGTTAAACGATCTGGTTTTTCAACATATTGTACTAGGTGATACATCGTGATTTGAAACCCTCAAATATTCTCATTAATGACGTGGACGGTGCAGATAGAGGGTGTGTCAAGGTTGCAGATTTTGGTAAGTCTCAACAACAATTATAGTATGGCCTTTGAATTTCTAACATTACATGATTCAGGATTGGCACGTATTTTCAAAGCTCCCTTACGAAAGCTTGTGGACGATGGACCTGTTGTCACCATTTGGTACCGATCACCTGAGTTGCTTCTTGGGTCAAAACACTATACACCTGCGCTCGACATTTGGAGTATTGGATGTATCATGTATGAACTATATGAATTGAAACCTCTCTTTAAGGGTGAGGAGGTAAAACAAGGAAATAATCCAAATCCATTTCAAAAAGATCAACTCGATAAGATATTTCAAGTATTGGGCACTCCAACCGTTGACCAATGGCCTTCATTGAGCAGCCTTCCAGAATTCAAACAATTGAGTAATTTCACAAAATATGAAAATAAGCTGGAAGCTGAGTCTCACTTTAGCAAAGACTCCCCTGAATATGATTTGCTTAAACGATTATTGGAATACGATCCTTCCAAGAGAATTACTGCTAAGGAAGCACTTCAACATCCTTATTTCAATCCAAAGCCAAGTTCCAATTGCTTTGAACAACACAGATACATTTATCCTGAAATTAGACCAGTGTTACATCCTACGCCCAATGTGATGAGGCCTCATCCTCCACAAAATCAACCAAGTTATCCACACCCTAATCCTCATTCTTTACCACAGCCACAATACCCTCAACCCAGTTATCCACCTTCTCAACCACAGCCATCAATGAATCCCATGAATCCTTCAAGTAACAGTGCCAACCAAAATCAAAAGCCAGTCATCAACAACTCATCAGGCTCATCCTCCAATAAGAGGAAAAAGAAAGACGAGTCCAGCAAAATGTCGTCAAGTTCAAAGAAAAAAAAGCAGTAATATACCTACTTGTGGAAAATAGGTATATTTTACTCCTATCAATTGTGACTGTAAATAATTACGTTATTAAAACAATTTGGGTGGCTTCATACAGCTCAAAGAATTGTTTTTCCAAATTATCGTAATCATTGTCAGCACCCATGATTGTTAAGTAATGTTGAAGATCAATTGTCTCTTGCCAGTTCAGAATCCTTGCAGATAAATTCCACCTCTTCAGTTGAAATGTGATATTATCGCTCTCGTTTCTCTTGTATTGAGCAAGTAATAAAGGCAAAGTAGGTTTCTTCAACAATATCTTTAGCAGATAAACTGTAGAAAAGAAATTGTCGTACAACTTCTTGTCATACAGACAGTCAGTAGCAACAATAAGATCAATATTCTCTTCCATACTGGTTTTCAAAATACTAGTGAAATCATAACCCCATTCTAATGGTAGAATTCGAAATTGATTCTCAGAAATTTCATTTAATTTGCATTGTGTTAAACATCGCTCTTCAAAATCTGAAGTATTCAAATCGGTCATGATAGATCTATTTCTTGCATTGAGTTTACAGTTTAATATTGAGGGTAGCCCTAATCCACATCCTAATTCTAATATGGTGATAGGCTTTGTCTGAATGACAGGCAATTGAAATCCATCAAAGATTTCAGAATGATCCGTACGAGTCATCTCATGAAGAAAATAATTAGCCAATAAAACAGAACAATTCCACAAATGAGTTCCCGTGTGCTTGTTGTGTTCGGATATAAGCACTCGTAATTTAATTTGCAACTGTTGAAGACTCGGCTCGGCAATCGCACTCTCCCCCGAGTACAAAGGGTATGAAAATTGAAACCGCTGATCAAACGTAAAAGTGATTGTTTCATCTTCATCAATTAGATTAACTTCTTCATCATCATCATTACATTCTTCTTCCTCTGAATTACATTCCTCTTGATCGGAATGGCCAATCATTTTTCTTCAAAGAAAAAATGTTGAAAGGCGTTACGAAGAGTGTTTTGACCGTATCCCGAAAACATAAATTAAATACTAATTTATTGTTGAATCATTGTTGCAGTGGAAATGGCACCTTTAATTTTAGAGGATTCGATTATCCAGTGATGATGAATACTCTCAACCAATCATTCCCTAGAAAATTTCATCTTTATAGAAATAATTCCTCGATGAATGATCCGAAGGTGGATGATTCTCCGAAGATTAATACTCAAATCCCATCCAGTAATGTAAATATTAAATGGTGGAAGTGGGCACTTGCTGCTGGAGCGTTTTATCTAACCTATGAATTAATGTCTGAAGCGATTCTTCCAATAATAGAAAGAGAAACAACTCTTCACTTATCAGTTGAACAAGAGGATGAAGCTTATCATTGGTTAATGTCATATTTTGCTCAACATTCATACACACAAAATTGTAGACATTTGTCTGTTCTTTCTTCTGATAACAGAGCTATTTCAAATGTTTTGGGAGGCTTATTTGGAGTTTTTGGAGCTATTCTAGCTTCACAAAATGAGACTTCTCAACATGAAGAACATTCAGTTCTGTATGTTCCAGTACATGGGGAAAGGCACTTTTTCATGTATAAGGGTAAATTAATGTGGCTATTAATTCAAAAAATTGAACAAGGAGGAGAAAAACATAAACCCACAAGAGAATCTTTAAAGTTGACAATATTATCCAGAGACAAGAAATTACTTACTGACCTTGTTGAAGAAGCGAGACAATTGTTCAAGGAGCACAAAAAAGATAAGACAGTAATTTATTCTCCAAGCTTGGATTGTTACGATTGGGAAGAATTGACAAGAAAACCAAAACGACCACTTAATTCGTTAGTACTTCAAGGAAATGTGTTAGAGGAAATTACGTCAGATGTAAAGTCCTTTGTTGAGGGCTCTTCGTTCTATTACAACAGGGGAATTCCATACAGAAGGGGTATTTTGCTTCAGGGTATGTTTTACATGAAACGGATTTTGAATGTTTCTTACTCCTATCAACAACAACAAAAGGTCCTCCAGGAACAGGCAAATCAAGTACTGTCATGGCACTCGCAGGAGAATTAGGAATGGACATTTACATTCTCAACGTTAGCAGTAATCAACTCAATGACGAGAAATTATCTAGACTTCTTCATAAGGTTCCACAAAATTCTATTGTTCTAATGGAGGATGTTGACTCATGTCAATCTGCCGTGGATCAATCTTTGGATCAATCACAACGATATGACACCGAAGCTCACCGCATCTCAGTGAGTGGATTACTAAATTCTATTGATGGCCTTAGTGCTCAAGAAGGTCGAATATTGTTCCTCACGACCAATCATCCTGAGAAATTGAATCCAGCTCTGGTTCGACCTGGAAGAGTTGACAGAAAATTTTCTATCAGCTATGCTGACTCGACACAAGTGAGAAAGCTCTTTCAAAACTTTTATCAAGATGAAAAGGGATATGAAGAGAAGATGGCACAACATTTTGCAGATAAATTAACACGATTCAAACAGGAAAATATTACACCAGCCCAACTTCAAGGATACTTTATGAAATACAGAGGACAGCCTCAATGCGCAATAGAAAATATTCGTGAGCTATTCGAGCAAGAATGAGCAGTACTGCATACATGGTAATACACACTGTTGGCTTTTTCGTCAGAAAGAGAAATGATAGAACATTATTTTCAAATGAATGCGTATTCTGCACCTCATCGATACCTATAATGGGAAACAATTTTTGGTTTAGGGAGAGTGTTTGTTTTTACAATACCCATATGCTCACTTCGTTTCAAGTATTTTCTCACTAACTCTGGGTCTAGATCTTCTACCACTTTACGTTGTGGTTTCTTCATCAGAGCAGCAGTAGTAGTGATAGCATTTCGTGAGATGACACTTGCAGATGCTGGTCGTTTTGGAATTTTGCTACTATATTCTTCTTCCCATTGGTCCAACAACGATGTGGGCTTGTTGTTGTTTTGCTGGTCCATGATCAATTTTTGTTTTTTGTGAATTTTCTTATTATACACGACGGTGTTTGCAAAAGTACCACTTCCTCCCAGTTTCTTAAATAAATCAGTAGTGTCCTCTTTTTTTGAGTCTTTGCCTTGTGAATGGATATGTTGTGAATGAATGGGAGCGTATTCTCTGCGAGAGATGAATTCTGCAAGCCTGATTCGACTGTCTGTAGACGTAGGTTGGTAGGGAATGAATTCGTTCAAGCAAGAAGTGCTGTTGTTATTTGTGATGGAATTGTTCTTTTGGCCCGTATCGTAATGGTGGTTGTGGATTTTTGGCCTATAATGCAGCATGGGATTTTGAAGCATTCGTTTTCTTCTAGCTTGCTCGTCTTCCCAGTTTTCACTTGCTTGTCGAATTAACTGTTCACGTGAATAACAAATGTGTTATTATAATTTGGAAATCCTTAAATGAAAAGACATACCTTTTCAACAATTTGTTCATTTTCCTTTTTCTCTCTCACAAAGTGGAGTAAGAACGTTAGAAATCTTTGAATACGCGAGAAGAGCATATATTTTCGAAGCTTTTTTTGCTTTTCCATTTCAAAAAACTGAAGAAATCGTTGCAGAAATTGACAAAACGAAGAGCAATCACTGAAATTTGTTTTTTCAGTAAATACATGATCCTTGTGAGTAAGCTGAAGCTTTCTACAATATGAAGGTAATAAAGCTGAAAGAGTTGAAGGGCTTTTCTCGCCAATCATGCATAGGCCTTTAGCAGAAATCCGCTTCAAATGACTCAATAAATTGCTATTAATAAAAATTGTGAGATAATGCAACGCTATCATGTTCAAGTCCAAATTAAACCAAACATAATCTTTTGTTAAAATAGATGTCAGGGTTGTGAAGCACGTAATTCTTTGATAAAGATACGAGTTGTAATCTTCATTGCAACGCACCAAATTAAGGCATTTGTTGTAAAGAATATTCCAGAAATTGTGGATGGGTGAGTTGGCTATTCAAAGAAGTGAGCTAAAAACAATGAAGATATTGCAACACTTACAATGTTGAGAATAAGCAGATATTAGTTCAATAACTTTGGCAGAGAGCGAAAAATTTCGAGAGGTGATATTCTCAACCACCTTACATAATTTTTTCTCTGGTACCAGTTTGAGGTTGGCATTTCCAGAGCTCTCCTTATTTGCTGTTCACATATGTGTTATTAGTTAAATCGTAAAATATTTAGATCTAACAACCTACCACTGTTCACATAGGAAATGACAATTATTAAACATTGTATCATTTTCATGGGTACAGTATTTGGATCTTCTAAAATATCAAGTAACTTGTTAATTCCTCCCGATTGAACAAAATAAACTCTAAATTCTCTTGTTTCTGAAATGTTAGACAAGATAGAAAGTGTGCTAATGAAAATGAAATCCTCAACTGGATCTGTACTTTGGGGATGTGTCATTAAGAAACAGTTGACTGCAGGCCTTACAACTGAAAATTGCTTTACAAACTGAAGCGCAAATTCCTTGGATCGAATAATTCTCGCCAATGTTCTCACGCACCAATATTTCGAAATAACATCTTTGAAGGTGAGAGCAGGAATTAATATTTCTCCTCCTCGAGCATCCACAATTTCCTTCTTGAACCTGTCCATTCCTGAGAAATGATAAAGAGCTTCATCACACATTCTCTTCACACTAGTTGATATTGTTTCCTTGATCGTTTGAACGAGACTGGGTACGAACGTGGATGAAAACAAATGGCTTCTGTCAGCGCATATCCATTTCCGACTGATAAACAATTTTAACACCATAACTTGGATACGATCGCATCCATTTGATTTTATCATCCATTCGATGAAACCAACATCCATATTTTCCTCAATAATTTTCTGGACAGCTTCTTCCGAGTATTGGGTGATTGCATTGTCTAGAGTTTTTGCCAATGTATGCCTGATTAAAAAGTCTTTTTCTGAATGCCGTTGCATGATGAAAATTATAAATTCACGATTGAGCATCACTTGACCATTAATATTTTCATTGTTGATAATATTAAGGCATGTCTTTGCTGCTGCTCTCTTTGCAACAACTGAAACGCCATGTGATCCCAAAAGTATGTGCAACAGCTCAACCAAGCGTAATTTTTCAGTATTCATCATGCAAATTGCAATCTTGGGAAAGCTAGAAAAATTTGCAAACACTTCAGTCACGTGTGACACGACCGAGACGGCCTTTTCATGGTTGGCATGGATATACTGTTCGATAAGTTGACCCAGTTTCTCAAGTCCCCAAACTTCAACAATTCTAGCAGCACAATCACCTTTCATGATGTGTGAGTTATTGAGAAGAGGGTGAGGAGCAGTGCACAAACACCAAATACTAACCTCTCATTTGGGCTACCGAAAGAGCCTTACAAACCTCAATGATGAGATCTGTATCTTGTTCAGGTTTAAGTAAGAAAAGCATTGGTAGAAGCGCTCCATCTGTTGCAAAGGTTTTTCCGCAAGCAGGATGTCGAGCCAACAATCCCACACATTTGATGGCCAGTAATTGAATATTCATATTGTGATTGCATAATGTTCGTGCCAATCCCTTAAAACATGATGTATCTCGTATACTAGGAATATACTTTTTCTCTTTGCAAATATTAATAAAAGTCATCAGAGAATATTTTACAATTTCCGTATTATCCTCTGTTGTCATTAAGTGGATCAAGGCATCTACAGCTTCAACTAAGAGTCCTAATTTTGAGTCATCTATTTTGAATTTGTTATGATTGTTTCAATAGTTACGTGATGATATTATTGTTGTTGTTGGTTTTAAAAGCAATCGGATGATTCATTTTACGAAACTATTTTCAAACGTACTCTGTTCCGAAAATTTGAAAAACACTTTGGCACTTTCCAACTTGGCATCTTCAGCTCCTTGGAATGCCAACTTGATGTAATGCTCCAAAAGACTCATTGAAACAAATTTTTGGCGGTCGATTGCAGCTAACAGTAGAAGTGATGATCAGAGATAGAAATCCCGTTGCAAGCATTATTATGATAATAATGCTTGCAACGGGATTCGATTTTTCAATCCATCATTCCTCGTGTACTCAATATATTCAACTAAAAATATTGACAAGAAGGATGAGCGTTGGAAGAAAAAAAATACCTCTCGCCACCAAGCATGTACCCCTTCAAACAACCTTCGGAATTGATTCAAGCCTTATGCGATGGTAGCAACAATGACAGTAATAGCGGTATTTTGAATATTGGTAATGTTAGTGGAGTTACTAACAACAATATGGAGGATGAATCGATCATCAAAGTAACAATGAAGCAGTATCAACCATCATCGGGATACAAAGTTAATGCTTTGAAAAGTTTGAAAAATCTGGTGATTGGAAACCCCAAAAAGAAGCAACTAGTTGCTGAAATGGGTGTGTTACCAATGTATGTTTGTCATTCTAGTTTCTTTCTTGATTTACATCAATTCCGATCACGATCAATAATCAAGTCTTGTGAACATTCTACAAAACTCGAAAGACGAAGAGCTGCTTATTCAGAGCGCAGCTACCATCGGAAGTTTAGCTCATTGTAACGAATTAATTTTCCTTATCATTCAAACGGAGCCCACACTAAACTTCCTCACTCGCCACCTTATCCATTTTAATAACACTAATAAGCTCACAGAAACAGTTGCTCGAAGTGTATATAATATTTTCTCCAAAGATATTACGAGTATAATATCGTCTAATAATTTAGGGTTTCAGAATGCAGATTTTGAAATTACCAAGGTAGGTAATTTACATTCTTGAAGACTACAATTTTCTTCAACATGCTATGTTTTTTCACGATCAAAATCCACATTTTATTATAATTTCATGCCTCGTTACTCACCACTGTAAAGAATATGCCTCTTTTAATAGAACTATTGAGCTGTCCTAACCACACTGTAAATGAAATGGCAGCTGCTGTCATAAGATTTTGTTTTTCTTCAGAACAAAGAGCTCAACACTACTCTGCGTTTAGTGAAAAAATTTTGCCTCAGTTATTCAGATTGCTCTACACTAATTATTCCTCTCATGAGATAATTTTAGACTCTATTTGTAAAATACTTTTATTTTCTAAGAGCAAGGAAGTTGCTGATTTTATATGCAATGAAAATTCAAACCTTGAATTATTGACAGGATTTTGCTTTCATGATAAATTAGAAATCAAACTAAGCGCCATCGACTGTGTAGCACTACTACAGAAACTTAATTCAGCTGCAGGCAAAATTTCGCATCGAGATATTTCCACAAATATTGTACCAGAGTTTTCTAAGATATTGAACGACATTTATGACACGTCTGTTCTTTCAGTGCAGAGTGTTAAAAAGGTACTTCTATCGATGTGCCTTTGTATGGAATGTGATTTGGAAATCCAATCAGATTTTGTTTCTGCTAAATTTATTTCCAAATTGATTAACATTTCACAAAAGATGCTGGCAGATGCTGGTGGTGATTGCAAATTTGGAAATATAACTGCTAGTCTTGAGCTAATTTTGGCTATTGCCATGATGTGCTCCAGCAATGAAGAAGCACGTTCACAAATTATTGAGTCGTCTTTCTTTATCAAAAGCATATTAATTTCATGTTTGGACTTGGAAAAGAATCCTCAACTTTCAACGTCACTGGTAGAAGCTGCATTATCTTGCACCAAAGTCCTCTCGAGGGCACAGAAACCACTTCGATCAAGTTTAATATCATCTGCCGGAAATTTACTTTCTATTCTATGCAACTACATTGTTGATAGCTCTAACGAAATTAATATTCGGAAGTTAGCTATTCAGACCTTTCACAATTTAACTCTGGACTTGGAATCTGTGAAAGATTTTGTCCAAAACAATCAGAAATTGCTGGAAACAATATCAGACGTTTGCCAACAAGCATCCATCTCTTCACCAACAATTAGAATGAGCATGGTTACACTTGCAAGGAATATTCTCTACCGAGCTGAATTATCCTTGAAGAAGAAGTTCCTCGAACATTTTCCAGTTTCTAAAATGGTTGACCTTTTATCATCAAACGACAGTGAGTCGAACATTGAGTTTAAGATTGGAGTATTGAGCTGCATTAGAAATTTAATATTTGGAGAAACGAACGCAGTCGAACATGAAATTATGTCTTCGGAGGTGTGCCAACAGCTGGTTTTAACACTACTTGATCATCTCAAATCTAGTTCCGTTCTCGATCCAGCCTTCGTTTCGGAAATTTATTTTGTTTTTGCCAACATTGTTGCTACATGCAGGAATGAAATGAAGCGATACGTCTTACAAAAGGATATTTTAGATATGGCTTTTAAAGTGAAGCAAGAACATGTGACAAATGAGGAGGTTGTGAAATCTACCTTATTCTTTCTTAGCAATCTTGTTTGGGAAAGAAATGATCAGGCTTTCCAAAAGGAGTGTTATCAACAACTCAGAGCATATGTACAGGGAGACAAGCTGGTCAATGACACCACAAACGAGAGCTATGCTGTTCAGACTCTCGTGCAACAAGTGAATTCTCAATACAAGCAGTTGGAAGATCGTTGCAAATAAAGTGTCGTGTCATTTATGAAAATTCATTAGCAGGTTCTTTCCACAAATTTTGTTAAATATCAATAATTTCCTTACTTCCTCTCGTGATGTGGTGCTCATTTTCAAGTTCCTTCTCACCATTCAAAGTCTCTGAAACCACATCAATTTTATGCGATAACAATTCCCAAATATATTCATCCAAAGTGTTTCTAGCAATCAAATAGTGAATATCAACGGTACTCTTTTGTCCAATTCTGTGAGCTCTATCTTCACATTGCACCAATGATCCGCTGTTCCATGTCAATTCTCCAAACACCACTGTTTTACAAGGCACAAAATTCAATCCAACACCAGCCACTGCAATACTCAAAATTGCTACCTTTACATCAGGATCTTCTCTGAATTGTTGTGAAATGTCTTGTCGTTGATCGATTGGTGTTTCTCCATCAATTCTCACAAACTTGTAGGTTTTTCCTTCTCGAACCTTAATATCTTGAATTTCATCACGAATGTGCTCCTCGATGGTGTTCATCACAGATCTGTGATGAGCAAAAATTAAAAACTTTTCTCCTTTTCTCAAATACTTTCTTGCAAAGAGTCCAATAGATCTCTGTTTAGCCACAGCTGTGAGATTATATTTCTGTAACACTTCAGAGTCATTGGGATCGAGAATACTTCCTTTCTTTCTTTTTCTAAAACTTTCAAAAGTTAATCGGTGAGGTCCAATATCTTCTTCTGGTAGATTCAAATAGGTTAAAAATCGTCTCTTTGGAGGTAATTGAGACAATACATCTCGCTTCAATCTTCTTATCATTACAGATCGACTTAACAGAACATGTAATTCTGACAATCGTTTGCTTCCTCGGTAATCAGCTCCTGTAAAATAAGTGCTTTTCAAATCGCAATATCGTTCACCGAATTGAGTCTTTTTCAAAAGTGTTGCCTTTCCTTTTTGTGAAGATAAAAGTGCTTTCATTTGAGTGAACAGTTCAATTGGTCTGCTTGGAGAAGCTGTTCCAGATATCAAAATTACTCGCTTGGATGTTTTCAATAGAGGTAGAATGTTCTTGGCTCGTTTCGAATCATCGTTCTTAATCATGTGAGACTCGTCACCAATAATTAAAGAAAACTTAGATAACCATTCACTAATTTTGGTATCATTAGTGGAATTCTTGGATATTAGGTCGTAAGAAATGATAAAAGCTAAATATTTCTTTGGTTGAACGGATGTCTCGTCGATCAGTTTCATCAAATTTTGAGTACTATCCACAATGGCAATATATTGTTCTAAACTGTCTCCTTGAATGTTAAAAGTGTCACCAACTGTTTTCTTTACCCAATCCATGTCAATCCATGTCGTCAGCTCTTTTTTCCAATTATTATGAAGGCTACAAGGTCCAACAATAAGCATTGGCCAATCCTTGGTATAATAGCATGCAATTCCTAAAGCTTGCAATGTCTTTCCTAAACCCATTTCATCACTAATTACAGAATATATTCAGCAGCTTTTGTAACAATTTGAAACCATCTCACACTTACCATAGCATGACTCGTCCATCTCTAGATATTCCAAATTCGATGCCTTCTTTTTGAAAAGGTAAAATACTACTGAACATTTTAGCTGGAAGTCTTAATGAGAGATCGTATTCACTTTTGTTTCTTTTTTGTCGTGTCTTAAAAGCCTTTACCATCATATCATAATGATCCAAAACTTCAAACACAAAGTTTGGTATTGGCTCCAATAGAATGTCATCAAAATTTTCTGTGAAAAACTTTAGAATTTCGTCATAGTCAAAGTACGAAAAATATAGAACTGGTGGAATTTGAGACAAAGTAGGATTAGGACGATCTTGAATTACTTGTATCACTTGTTCTTCATTATCAATGACATTTTCTTCAGAGGTCGTGATGGATTGTTCTTCCGATTCTGATGAATGATGATTCAGATGTGAATGAGGTTGATAAACCTTTTCCACGTGAAAGGTGGATGTTAACGCATCTTTGACTCTGTTGTAAACATTCATACTTGGAAATATTAATTTAATACTCAATTTGTCAGTGATAGAATGAATCTCTAAGTGTTTCTTGTTTCTAAAAGTATCAACTTCAAATTGAATTCTTCTGCTCCTTTCTGTTTCTTCCTTTTTATGATCAGCCATTCGTTGAACAGCAGCTCTTTTTTTCCAATCCCAACCCAATGTCTTTCCGATCATGTTTGAAAATTCTCTTCTCATCATCACATCATTGTAAGATTTTACAATATAATTGGAATGAGATATTTTTGTGATGAATGGATCGGAATTGATGAGATGCATGTATGGTATACTTTCCTTTCGGCGGATGTGTGTCGGGATGATAGGCTGACCGATCATTGGTAGCAGTAAGGACGAGAATTGTGCACACCTAGAGGATGTATTTGTTCTTGCAAATGCTAGCATTTTTTTTGAAATTCAATCAATTCTCTTATGGACCATCCGTCTTGAAAGAATAATTAATTAATAATTTCATCAAGTTCAACCTGATACATTTTCGTTTTGATACAGTTGGAGTCCAACATCGGCAACATACCGACATCTCAATCATGGCTTGTTAGCTTGACATAATGTTGAGAGAAATGACGTTGGCGGGTGTCATTTACAACTTAGTAAATCGTTGAAAAAATGTCTCTCATCATGTCCTATGGCCTCGAACACTCTCAAACCGTGGGAGAGAGGTTATATGGTAATGATGTGTTTGAAAAGGTTAAGAATAGTCTTTCAAGCCTCCAACCATCAACAACAGAAAATATTTCTTCTCATCTCGAAAATCACGATTCAAACAAAATCCATACTGGTAGCAAGACAAAGACAGCCTACAAGAGTCAACAATCATCGGAGAGTCACACATTGACAGCTTCTACAAATTCAATATCTTCGACGGAGAGTTCAAAAAACAAGAGAATCTCTTCTTCGATCAAGTCATTGTCAATTACATTAGACACGAGCCATCAAAACTACAAAGGAAAGGCATTGGATCATCAAACAACCAATCAATGCATTTATCTCACCACATTACTAGGCATGTTGGATAATTTAAGAAAACTGTCCATAGCTTCTCAAGTTGCAATTGCGAACATCACGTCATTGAGTGACAAAACGTTTAAGAGAGTGTGCCTTGTGCATGACAAGTATCAAGAGTTGAGGGCCAAACTTGAGAGTATGGAATATGATCATTTACGTACCAAGGATGAAACGAAACCTGTGGTGAGATATCAAGAACCTGAGCAAGGACGTTTCAATCCAAGTACCATGAGTGACGGATGGTATGAACAATACTTGAAGTGTCCTGATAATCCCAATTTCAAACCACTCGAAGACTTGATTTTGAAACCTGGCTATGCCAATACAACCATTTCTCAAAATTATTCAAATCCAGACGGTATATTTTCTTCTTGGAAAGATAATTATGTTCGACAAATGAAGAATGAAATCAAAAACAATTCGGCTCTAGCGTCTTCAAGAAAATCCTTACAAATTGGAGATGTGGTTGTACCTGAGAAAAAAGTGAAAAGAATCAAACAGGCATGGAAACAGTTTGATAAAGATAATGGTCTCAAGCAACTAGTACAAAAACGAGAAGGAAGTTGCAGTAGTAGTACACAACTGTCAGAATCACAAAAGATTGTCATTACAGGTTGTCAACAAGCAGCCCCAACTAGGAAAACAAAGATTCATTCCGTCATGAGATCTGCAAGTCAAAAAACGATTCTGACTACAGCCACAAATGTTTCATCTCCACCTAAAGCAGATGTAAGGCGAAAACCATTACCATCAATACCGAAATCTAACAGTCAAGCCAGTGGTGAGTCAAATATTTCTGAATTATCACTGAACTTGAAAATATCATCACCTTCACACGAGTCTTCCCCAATTCCATCGTCGACAAGCGAAGAAGTTTCCCAACCAATCAGCTCAACAAACAGTTCAATATCAGAGAGCACTGCAACTGCATCAACCATCTTGTCACAACAAGATTGTTCTCACACAGACAGTTCTTCTATTGGAATGAATCATGAATCTAGAACTCTCATTCCTCCACCTCCATCAATACCAGCACAAAATTATATTCCACCTCCCCCGCCAATGTCATCAGCCCAGTCTGTACTCGTCACTTCTCCAACAATTCCTCCTCCACCTCCTCTTACTTCCATATCCCTTACCTCAAACGCCGTTGGTATTAAAATCTCTGAGTTGGCAGGTGTCAGCAGACAACAGAAACAATCAGTCTCACCAAGAGATCAAACGGTTAGAAATGATACTATGGCTGATTTGCTTGAGAGTATACGAAAAGGAATTAAGCTTTCTAAGGCCACAGAACGAGTCATTGCTCAAAAACCACCTCCTACAAAAGAAGCATTTGATGTGTTCAGTGTTCTCAAAGAAAAGTTCAAACTTGCAAGAGGTGGAGAATCATGTGATGAATCGTTTCGTCATAATTATGGAGAGTCAGCCTCTGAAGATTGGTAAATTATTATTCTTCGATCATGTTCAGAGAGGATCACGGTTGTTTTTGTCGACAACAACAAATAAAAATGAAAGACATTTCCTACTTTCAACATCATCCTTCACACTCCTCTCGATCCACACCATCATTAAACACCACACCCATTACTCGGAAATGGTACAATATCAACTTCCATTCACCCTACATTAAATACCTGTTACCTCTCTCTTTGTTAGGATTTATTATGTGCTATAATCAAGAGTATTTGAGATGGGAGTGGAATCAATTCCAAACTTCAAGAAGAAAACGACAACGCTTTCTTGCAAATAATGCATATTATCAAAAGTATCAAACGAGACCACCTGGTTATGCTGGGTCTCTTCAAGAATTGTTTGAACAGAGAGAGCCTGTGGGTTTTTTGAGGAGAGTTCTCTTCCAAATTAAACTATTCATTATGAAACATGAAAGTAAGCTAGATCCTTATCTCAACACGGGAAATGATATCGAGAACCGAATGAAGGCCTATGAATCATTGCTAAAGAAACGGCAATAGTAATTGGATTATATGTTGTTGTCCGATTGTGCTTCTTGTGGGTTGGTGGTAACATCATGATGGTTAGGAGACGATGAATTCGATTTCGGGTCCAAAGGAAATTGTTTGTTGATGATTGAAAATATCTTCAATCTCTCGCATTCACTAAATTCCAAATCTTCCACTTGTTGGAGAGTATCAGCAAATTGAAGAACATCTTTCACTTTCTCTTCCAATAAATTCATTTTACCCTTTAATTCATCCACTGTTTCGTTAATTGATTGTTCGAATTGTGAGGAATAGTCTCCCGATGAATTTGCAACTTGTTGTTGTTGTGGATGATGCATCGTTGGCCACAATAAAACTTTTTTTGTAAAATATTTGGAAATTTAAAAAAATGTTGAATAGACTTGCTACAAAAGTAGGTTAGGCCTTGTTGTTGTTGGATTGGGCATTCAATCATTTATTATTAATATCATTTGATGACACATCAATAATATATGGATATATTGGAAATCACGATGGAACACTACTATCTATCGTGATGAATTAATACCCGATGAAAATTGTTGTTCTTCAATCATCATCATTCTCTTCATATTTGCACAACAACAATAGAAATCATCAAAGATTATCTGTAACAACGCCACCACCAGATCATACGCTGTTGTTGCTCAAACTCCAAAGGCCTATGATACCAGCAAGGAAGTTTTCAAGGCTGCCTCTCCACTTCAATCTCTCTGGAGTATTGGTTCTTATGAGGACAGATTGATTTCTCTCTTGAGCGCTATTCGTCCATATAAAATCACCCCAGAATTTGTTAACGCTGCCAACGAAGTTCTCAACAAACAATATAAAACTGCAGACATCATTCCAAAGGAAAAGACACTCGATTTTGCAAAGTGTATCCAAGGAGTTGATACCATCGAATTGGACGAACACACTTTAACTGCTTACTATGGCGAGGACTACAAGGACATTTTACAAGAATTCTTTGAATTGAAGCCATCTCTTTCGCAAAGAGCAATGGACAGATATCTCCAATTGAATGCTGCCAAATACGAACAAATCAAGAAGGAACGAGCTGAGAGAATTTTGGCTTGGTGCAGAGAAACTGCCAAGAAGTTGTAAATTCATGAATTGAGTCATAAACAAATATTAGGGTTGTTTACTCTGTTTGATAAGAGGATTATCGTGCACTTTTTTGCTGTTCAAATTGACGTAATGTCTCCAACTTGTCTTGATAGGAAATTCTTTCAAAATTCAATCTGGCGAGCTCTCTATTCGAATAAAACTTTTCTCTGTTGAGAGCTCGTGTCTCCCTAACGTCTCTGGGTGGTTTGTCTGCATAAAGTGACAAATTAAAAAGAGAATAACTTGCTTCGTTTTGCATTGCTCGTTCTAGTTTTTTCTCGTTCCTTTCCAATAGTTTGGCTTGAAGCCAAATGTGAAATTCTAAAATCAAATAGGTTGGTAAAAACAGCACTAAAAAGTAGAACAAATAAAGGTGACCTCGTCCTTTTGCTTTTCTCAATTCTTGACGTTTTTTAATGGTCTCTGCTCCAATCCTGAGGCGTTCATTCCATTGTTGCAGACTGAGCGGATTTCCAGTTAATTTTTCAACAAATAGATGTGGCAATGATTTTAATTTATCTTCTAATTTGCGAATGTCCTCTTCAAGGCTAGATTCTTGATTGTTGTTGATATTGTTTTGTGCATCGTTATTTTCTTGAATTTGTGATGATGATGGGAAACGATTCATGTCGTGATTATCACCTTTATCTGAAAGTGCGGAAGATGTAAATCGTAGAGATGTATGATAAGTACGTTTCAAATTACAAATTGTTGGTCCAATAATTTCCGAAGTTTTTACAGCTGCTGCATGAAACCGCCGTCGAGTGATGGATGTAAATCCCCTGCAGTTTAACATCATTTTTATTTGTATCAAAATCTAGTCAATTCATGCTCAATGCTCCATGCTATCAGGCTGACATTAAAGGGCAATGTTGGGAACTTGTTTATTGCAAATTTATCGAACCTTTTGTTTTAATTTCTGAAGATTTTGAATGTCGTTAATCTTTCCATTACTTCTTCCTTCAAAACCAGCTCTCTTTCTTTCCGAATTTGTTGAATTTGTTTGTTGCTTTTTCTGTTTTTGTTTCCTTTTGGCAAGCTGTTCTTGTTTCTTTAATTTAGATTGCAAAACTCTCACATCATTATCATCTCTACCTTTAACAATTTTAGTCATGGCCGATTGCATCTTCTCTTCCTTTGCAATTTTATCACCATGTTTCATATGACTCAATTTCGATTGATGTTTAAGTTTTTCTGAAATGGCCTTCTTAATTTGTTTTTTAGAATTGCGGGATGAAGAGGGTTCATCACTTTCAGCACCATCATCAAAAACATCAACAACTTTGGAGAATTTCATCGCGTTTGAATCATTGTCATCTTTTCGTTTTCTCTTTTTAGAATTTTCAGAAGCATCATCATTAAATATTAAGTCTTCATCTTCAGAGTCATCTTCATCATCGGATTCAATTGCTAATTTGTTTTTGTATCGCTTTTTGGCCAGCTTGGACATTTTGGATTTTTCATACTTTTGTTTCTTGGCAGCAAAATGTTTGAGTATTTCATCATCCTCTTCATCGGATTCCACTTGAAGAGGAGTCTTGTTGGAGATGATCGATGAAGGAGAGAACATGGAATAAACTATGTATGTACATCAATTGGAATGATAAAAGGTTCGTTAGTAACAGCAATCATCATTATTTAAACAAATGATAATAATAATAATATTATTATTAACAACATTCAAAATGATTCGTTTAAAACAATAAAATACATACATTTTAAAAAGGTGTTTATATTTTGCGTTAATTCCTTTTGATCATCGACATTGTTTTCGTTGCTGTTGTTGTTCTGCTCCGATGGCGCTGCTGTTGAAGAATGAGAAGTCATTTGTTTTTTTTTTCATTCCAATCACAAACTCAAATTTATTGTTGAAAATGTTAATTTCAGTTTCTGACTAACAAGAAATCCAGAGTTGATCCTCTACGCAGATTTATAATTGAGATACAAAGGACCAATCACAAGAGTAATGGTGGCAAGAAGCTTTGCAAGCACGTGGAGAGAAGGACCCGTTGTGTCCTAAAGAAACAGCGATCATAACGTTCAATGACAATAAATAAACAACAATACTCCATGTTACATACCTTAAATGGATCTCCAATGGTGTCACCAATGACGGTTGCTTTATGTACGGAAGACCCTTTTCCACCCAAACTTTTATCCATCTCAGTCAACTTTTTAGCATTATCCCATGCACCTCCACTGTTATTGAAAAACTGTTGTTTTCAAACAAGGAATGACATTCATGATATAACAATAGCAACAAAATCGATTTGACTTACCAATGCCATTAAAATACATGCAATGGTTGCAACCATCAAAAATCCAGCTGATACTTCAGCTCCTAAATAGGGTTGACCAATAGCTTGTCCTATTAATCTAAAGAAGAATCCGACAATGGCAGGAGCAAGGAAAGCCAATAATCCAGGAAGAATCATTTGAATCAGAGAAGCACGAGTGACAATAGCAACACATCTCTCATAGTTGGGCTTTTGTCTAAAGTCCATAATTCCTGGAATTTCTCGGAATTGTCTTCTCACTTCTTCAATGACAGTTTGAGCTGTGTTTCCTACAGCCTTAATGGTGAGAGAGGAGAAGACAAAAACAAGACAAGCACCTAAAAGACCGCCAATGAATACTTCTGGAACGGCCAAATTCACAACTCTGAAACTAATTCCGATATATGCTTCAATAGTGTCCAGAAACGCAGAAAATAGTAAAAAGGCAGCAAGTGCAGCCGATCCTACAGAATAGCCTTTCGTGAGCGCTTTGGTTGTGTTACCAACCGCATCGAGACGATCTGTGATCATTCGAATATTTGGTGGTAATGACGACATTTCAGCAATACCTAAATCCAATTCAATACGATGTTTAAAATAGTGGAAGGATTATGATGAGCACATGACAAGATTGTCACATGTGTTGGATCGTACGAGCTCAAAGACTTACCTCCAGCATTGTCGACAATAGGACCAAGAGCATCCATAGCAAGGATGTAACTTGAACTTGAAAGCATACCAATGGTTGCAACTGCAGTTCCAAATAAACCTCCAATAGGAGATCCATATTCATCTAAAATTCCACTACTTCTTCCCAAATAGTACGACCCTAAAATTGCAATTGAAATGACAAGGACTGGTACAGCAGTAGACTCCAATCCAACAGCAATACCTGCAATGATATTTGTGGCAGGTCCTGTCTTGGATGCTTCAATAATGCTTTGAACTGGACGCCAATTGTAGTCTGTGTAATAAATGGTGATGCAAACAAATGCAAATGATGTTAAAATACCAATCAATCCACAAAACATAAACTTCCACCATGCATCAGGATATTGATCCGATCTCAGGAACCAATAGGAGCAAGCAACGAAAAGACATGTGGTAATCAACACACTAATCACATAGCCGATATTAAGGGCTTTCATTGGGTCATCTAAATGTTCTTGTTTGATCGCTGGTTCATTTTCTTCTTCATTGTCCTCAATTTGTGTCTCAGATACTTCAGTCTTCTCTGGAATTTCATTACGAATAAGGGAATAGCTCTCATCGCCGTGAGTCATTTCTGAAAGGTCACGTACTCGAACAAAGAACATTCCTACCCATGTACCAATCATACCACAAATATGAACAATTAAAGGATAAATGATAAATGAAATGGGTGTGGAAATTTGAGGAAATGCTTGAGTGGTTAGAGTACCTCCTAAAATCATCACACCAATATTTTCAGCAGATATGGATTCGAACAAGTCACTGCCACGCCTGTTAAGAGAGTGATATTATCAAAATGTTAGAAAGGTGATCAAATGATTCGAAATATCATGATGTATCACATACCCTGCGCAATCACCAACATTGTCTCCAACAAGATCTGCAATCACAGCTGGATTACGAATATCATCTTCAGGAATGTTTTGTTCCACTTTACCTACAAGATCAGCACCAACGTCAGCAGCCTTAGTGAAAATACCTCCACCCAGTTGAGCGAACAATGCCGATAAACTACAACCAAATGAAAAGCCAACAATCATACCAACAATTTGAGTTGGAGTAATGATTTCTTTTGGAATGGCAAGATAAAGGATCGAAAAGAGTACAATTACACCCAATATACTTCCTGATACGACCAAAAATCCAACAAATGCTCCTGATCTCATTGCAATGTTAAGGGCCTCTCGATAACTTCTAGTAGCAGCACTGGCCACTCTTGAATTGGCATTGACACTCACAAACATTCCAACAAATCCTGATAATGCGCTGAAAATCACACCCAATAGAAAACTAATTGTCACAAGTGTAGCAATAACTGCAATATGCAAGTCAGGATCAGTAGCACTCTTTGCTCGCAACATGTACAACCCGAATAATGCCAAAGCAACAGGAATTGTAATTCCTACACCACAAAAATTAAATACTACCTTGCATGTCATTACATACCTGCAATGGCCAAGTACTGTGTTTTTAAAAAACCTTGTGCTCCTTCCTTAATAGGATCTGCTACAGCAATCATTTCAGTTGTTCCTCTATTCTTTCTCAGTACGTGAGTGGCTAAAAAGAAGGCACCCACGATCGAAGCAATTGACAAGAATATAATTGTTGCAATTTGTCCCCATGCCTCTCCATATATTGGGCTGGTCACAACATATTCAAATCTGGCAAAGGAAGTTGTTGAGGGATTAAATGATTGTTTTGGAGTTGCTGTGACTGTAATGGAACCATTTCCTGGTGTATTTCCAGCATAAAAATCCACACTTGCACTTCCAGAGGCGTCAGTTTGTACTTGTCTTGGTGAAAAGTATGGTCTTAATTTTGAATGGACGCCAGGAGTTTCATAGAAATAAATCGTTACATTTTGGGCAGGACCTTTTGTGATTAAGCTGTTCACCGTTACTGTCAATCGTGATCCGTATTTTGTTGATGCTTCCAAAGTTACCTTGCTCAAGAAAGGCTGATTCAATGTGAAGGAATATGATTCAGCCTCTGTGATCGGAATCAATTCATGAATTGATTTGTTTTTGAATTTAAAATAAATGATTTAAAGAACGTTCGCAATGCACGAGTATTTGATCTATTATTGGCTGTGTAACTGCCTGTACTTACTGATCAAGGAGCAGCACAAAATTGTTGCCACGAGGAGAATCAGTGCATGCACAATCAGGCTTATTTTCATTTTTATGAATTGAAAAATTAAATTTAATTATTATGATTTTCAATTTTGTTGGAACTTCCAAATCATGAGTTCAAAGGAATAAAACTGTTTCTCCAGTCCGTACACTTTTGGTTGGACAGAGGTCAGAAGTAGAAATCATTGGACGACAGAAACCACAACAAGTGTTGTCATGACAGCAGCCATCAATTGTTCCGTAAATTTTAATAAGGACGTTACGCACGAGTAATTCCCAAAAACAATACTAAAAAAATTTCATAACGGCTAAGGGAAACCACCCAAGAGAGTTGTTTCCATCCATACTAAACACCATCTCATGAGGTCCTCTTTCACCTCTTCCTTGAACTCGAGTGTTCGCTTGACTCCGGTACGAGAGAGGGACGGACGACCACTCACGACAAAGGCTCGTAAGTATCAATGAATGAGGTCCGGAGTGACCAACCTCTACAATGATGATGATAACCTTAATGATAGAGACCGAAGTACCTGGGCCAGGAAATTACAACGTACGATCCAGCTTTGGTGAAGGTCTAAAGTTTTCTCTTTCTGGTCGTACAGGACAAAGTAATCGTAAGTAATTGAACCTCATCACTATTACATTGCAATTTATTTTGATCCGATGAATGATCTCTTCTCCGATACACAGTGGAGAGAAGACCTGGACCAGGGCCAGGAAGCTATACCGTACGAGGAGATTTTGAATTGGACTCAAATAGAAATAGAAAAGGATTCAGCCTTAGTAGTAGACACAAGGAAATTTCAGCCGGAGGGAATCCAGTCGGACCAGGTACCTACAATCTTAAATCTGATTTCGAGGCTTCGCCAAAGAAAGGCTTTAGTTTGTCTGGAAGAGCCAATTCGGCATCTGCATCAAGCAGGTCATCAGTGCCAGGTCCCGGATCCTATTATTGTGATAATCAATTCAAAGCTTCGTCGTCCCCAAGATATTCCTTATCTGGAAGAACGAGACAAGTAACTTCAGCTATCAATACAAACATTGGACCTGGCTCATACAAACTTAAATCAGATTTTGAAAGCTCAGGAAAAGGATTTTCAATATCAGGTAGAACAACATCTAATCATCATTCTGGAACAGCTCCAGGGCCAGGACAATATGATAGCAAAAGCGATTTTCGAAATGATGGAAAGAAAGGATTTTCACTGTCAACTCGTCACAAAGATCTAACTCCATCCAGTTCTTCTCCAGGACCTGGTACCTATAATGCGCCTAGTAGTTTCTCTGGAGTTCTAAGTGCATCGTTGAAAGGCAGGCCAAAAGATAACTCAATTTCATTTAGCCCAGGACCAGGTGCTTATCAACAACGGTCCGATTTTGAGTTGTCAACAAAGAGAGGTTTCTCATTGTCGGGTAGACCTAAGGAATCATCACCTCATTCTGCCTCTCCAGGACCAGGGACCTACAAGACAAGATCTGACTTTGACTCTAACAGCGGATTAAGGTATTCTATCTCTGGTAGGCCAAAAGATCTTTCTGCTTCAGTTAGCTCAGTCGGTCCCGGTTCTTACTCGCTAAAATCAGATTTTGATGAACACAAGAAAGGATTTTCTCTTTCTTCACGTCACAAGGAGCTTGCCTCTTCTATGGCAGTGCCAGGCCCCGGAACTTATAAACCTGTGTCAGATTTCGAAAACTCCAAATCAAAGGGGTTCAGTCTCTCCGGACGAACAAGCATTCTAAACAAGTCAATGGAAAGTGTTCCAGGACCAGGTACTTACTCCCTAACAAGCACCATTGGTAAAGGATCTGTTGCGCATGTATTTGGAACTGGTATGTAAAATATCTTGAACTAGGTAAATAAATAGGTTTCTACATACCATTTATTGTCTAAGAAGAGAGTTAATTTCGCTAATCTTCATCGGTAGCAATGTACACATTTGCTTTGCCAGATCCATCTCCGCTTGTACCCTCTCCAATATCTCCACGTTAGAGTTATAGAACTTGACACAAAACTCATACGCATGAAGACTTTTTCTCATGTAATCAATGGTTTGAAGAGGATCTGAGGAGATAAAGTTGTAGTACATTCTTCCTAGAAGAAGATGAGCTCTGAAAAACGCAGGCTTATTTTCAGGTTCCACATTCAAAACACCTTTATCTGTAAATAGGCCAATAAACTTGGTAAGGAAGGAAAGAGACTTGGTAATGCTAATATGTATTACAGATACAGATAGTAAATTGTAACAATACGCAAATTACTTACATGGAATTCAATTTTTTAAAGCTCACTTCTTTGTATAGATCTTTAAGCTTATTTTTCAAACTTAAAAGTTCGAAGATGGACACATATGTTTCTGCCACCTCAAAACAAAGCTGTTTCAGTAGGTCTCTATAGTACGCTACGTTCAGTTCTCCTGTGTTCTTTTCTAGAAGATCTAATCTCCTTTCATGCATTGCTCTAATACATGTAATTATGAATAACTTTTGATAAACACTTCTCAAACTTACACTTTTCTATCGAGGTTCTCCTCGAAAAATATTACACATCGGTAGAGTGAGCTCAAATCTTGGAGCAATGAGATGTGGTCAGAAACAAAGCCATCTATGACATAATATTCTAAGGCTTTTTCAAACGCCTTTTTACCATCTTTGAATACTTCAAGAGCTTCTGAAAAGGATCTGCACACATACGAATCTGTTTCATTGTGTTCAATAGGTATGTTATCAAAATAGAACGTGGAAAACCCAGTATTGGTTTTTTCAATTAATATCTTCTCACCACTATCAGAGGGAAGAGGTGTTAAAATTTGTCCATGTTGAATCCGAGATGGTTCATACTGTTCAACCCATTCCTTACTGTACTCAAGCTTGTCAAGAAAAAGTTTTCCTTTAGCCATACTAATTTTGGCCATTAATTCTTTTTCTTCTTCTGTTTCAGTAAATGTTTTCATTAGAATATATTCTGCTGCCTTGATGAAATGGATAGCGGTCTTGTAGTCAAGTTTCTCAAGAAAGAAAGAGCTTAGTTGGATGCTGTTTTCTATCCATTCGCTCTTACTATATTCAAGTCCGCTATTTAATTGGCGTTGTAATGTTAAAAAGCAATAACGAGATGCTTGATCTCCATCCTTTAAATGTGTATATACTTGGGCTAAGTAGTATGCTGTTAGGGTGTAATCATTTTCCAGATCTTGTTTCGTTGATGGGTCAACATTTGCTTCATTCAATTTGAAATAGTTATAAATTTCTTCAGATTTCATGAGATATTTAAGTGCCGTATGATATTCACTTCTATTTGTCCAAATAGCACCCAAATAATAATATGACTCATTCATGTAATGAATAAAGTTGATATCTTTTGGAATTATTGTATCATTTTTAATTCTGTCCTCAGATAAATCATCATTTTGTGATGAAGTTCCCTTTGTTTCATCTCCGAGAGTATTGATTGACTTGATGAAGAATCTTTCTGCGTTAGAGAACTCGTCAGTATCATAATAATTCACGCCTAATAAATGGAATACCTTCCCAAGAAGCATTTCATTGTCAAGACTGGTTTTTTCCTCGTGTTGCATCAATTCATTCATAACACTCTCCTAATCATCATTATTTCCTTGCCAATTGTAATTTCAGATCTGTTCATTCACTTACCAACACTTCTCTTGATTTATACAAATTTTTGTATGGTTTTTCTTCAAATTCCGATGGTGTCTTTCCAATCATCACAGCTTGTTGTATTCTCTCGGGAACACTTCCTTGCACAACAAGATTTTCCATACATGTTTGTGGGTGCTCTTCATGATGGGGTTCCATAGTAGGATCTTTGCTTTGAATACGCTCTAAAAAACTTTGAAATGATTCTTGAGGCATAATTGTATTTGGTTGTAAAGGTTTAGGCTTATTTTTTTCGGCTGAACTTTTCCAGCCTCTCTGAGGTTGTACGTACACCACTGTTAAGGACCAATCTATGATGTAGTTTGTATCTGTATTGCGGGCGATCCTAATCATTGAGGTTAAGAAAGATTAATTCGAGCGAGGAATGACCTCAGAGTTTGTCATTTCCCCATCAAATGTCATACACTAGCAAAAAAAATATGAAACTTGGTGCCTTGTCCAATCTCGTCAAACAGCAAAAGCTGCAACAAGCAGTAAAAACATTCCGACAAGAAGAAATCGAAGGATCATCTTCCAATGAAAACACCACAAAAAGTCTCCTTTTTGATATTGGTACCTTTTCATTGAGAGCTGGATTATTGTCAAGTAATAGTATTACTGAACCACAAATTCCAGATTTTCATTCTTGGGTGTATCGATATGACTTTACTCATGGATTTTCTAGAGGTCTCGATGAAAACAAACGATATTTTGGTTTTAAAAGCCATGAATCAGCATCCTTTGTTCCATATCCAATTTTCAAACAAGGTGGATGGTTGAGTAATTTGAATGATTTTTCACATTTAGTGTCCGAAGTTGTGAAAAATGTCGATCCATCCAAACTTCGATCCAGTACTGAGAGTTTACCATTTCTAATGACTGGATTTGAGTATTTGAATGGTCAGAAAATAGCATTGGGAAAATTAACACAAGTCGTCTTTGAAGAATTGAAAAGCTCAAAATTTGCCTTCCAGGAACAAACCAAATGTGGACTAGTTGCCTCAGGATTGACTACAGCCACCGTTATTAACATTGGATATGGTACTAATTATTCAATTTCTTATCAAGATGGTCAAGCACAAACACATGTAGAAAATCATGGTTTGAATGGAAATTATTTGACTGATGTTTTTGTCAAAATTATGACTGATCGAGAACAATATGTCGATACACGTTCCGAACGTATTCGAGTCGTGAAAGCAAAGGAAGGTGCTTCTTTTGTTTCTTTAGATTCAGAGAATGAAAATGTGCCTGCCATCGATTATCAATTGCCTGATGGAAAAACAATTCATTTGGAGAATGAGAGATTTGAAGCGTTTGAAAGGTAAGGAGAATGACAACAATGAATGTCAATATTCAATACGAAATGATGATGATGATCATACTTTGTGTTTTGATAAATCCATCTATGAAATGTATGGCCATGGAATTCAAAATGTCCAATTTGATGAACCTATCATTGAATGATATGTATACATATATATATATGAATATATTCAAAATGATAACAGCTTGTTTGATCCAACAAGAAATATTATTAATCCTTACAAGCCTATTGAAGAAAAATTTATGTCTCTTCAAAAGATGATTTCTACCAGTGCACCATCTGCACCATCTAGTAAAAAAGCCATGATTGAGAATATTCTCTTGATGGGAGGTGTATGTTGTGTAGAGAATTTACAAAAGAGACTCTTTATGGAATTGGATAAAGAATTCAACGACGATACCATGAATTGGAATATCAAACAGCCAAGAGATGTTAATTTAGCATATAAGGGTCTTTCCATGCTTGCTTCTCTTTCATCCTTTGAATCTTGTTACATTACTCGTCAAGAATATGAAGAGAGTGGAGAAGGTGTTTATGTCAGACGTTTCCCTCGTATCAAAGTGGTTCAGAATGAAGAAGTGGAAGAGAAGAGACGAATTCAAGAGGAGATTTATGAAAGAAATGAGGCATTGAAAACAAAAGAAGAAGCTGAACAAGAAGAAGAAGCAAAACACCAACCACCAAAAGAATCATCAGCAAGCGAACCATTGTCAGCAGGAACTACCTCAACAGCCAGCACAAAAACAGCAACTGCTGTGGAGAAACAGAACCCACCTCAAGAGAAAAAACCTGTTGCCCTCGACTTTGATGCTCAAATGGAGCAATTAAAGAAGCTCAAAGAGTTATTGGATTGTGGAATTCTAACCCAAGAAGAATTCAATGAAAAGAAAAAGAAGATTCTTGGACTATAAATATTGACTTGTTAAGGAAATAATATTACTTTTTAGCAGCTGCTTGCTCTTTTGCTCGTTCAACAAGTGGAAGAAGCTCTTTCTCTTCGGCCAAGACTTTTAACAAGTTGACAAGGAATGGCACATAGTTATGTCTTCTTCGTGCATTTTCTTGTCTCCAATTTGATAGTTTCTCCTCTTCCATTTGGATCTTCTCTTGCAAAATTGAAATCTTATCCATATTTTCTGGAGTTTGAGGAAGGCTATTTAATTCTTCCAAAAGCACATCTTTTCTATTTCTGACGACAGCCATCAAATTAAACTTAATCTCTGTTTGAGCATACTTGTTAATTCTATTTTGAATTTCTGGAACAACCTTTTCTAACCAATTTTCTTGAGTACATTCTCCAAGCAAAATAGGTCCTCCCTTCAGGCCATCCAGTTCATACAAATTTCCTTTGAAAGGTAAATAAGCAATAAAGTGGAAAACATCTTCGTCTTTCTTTGGTTTTTTGCTCTCTTCAATAATAAAAGGTTCAGGTCTTGCAAATGAATTGTGGGCCTCCTTGATCATTTCACTAGCTCCAATAGTTTCTCCGATTACATCAGCAGGTAGACCCAAGGAAAATGACTTGAATTGAGTCAATTCTTCTCCGAGATCAACTTTTTCTGTGGTTGTATCAATATTCATCAAAATTGACAAGATAGCTTGTGTAGCACATGCATTTGTAACGATTTGTTGAGCATAAAACATATTTTCTGGAGCTTGTTCAAGAGCAGGTCTTTCATCCTTTTCACCCACCCATTTAAATAGAAAGATTAAGCCATAAATTGGTCTGAATCGTTTTAAATAATAGAAATTGTAAATGATCATGAAAATAAATTCATCATGTTCCGATCAAATATTAAAATACATCATCAATCTTTGATCATAAGCTTAGAAAAACGTACTTCAATTCCGATAATGTTTCCGAGTCCAACGACCACAACTCCTCCACTTGCAACCCTTTGACTCCAAACTTTTCGATCAACTCGGTAAATACTCCTGGATCAGACTCGATGGTACTCCATGCACTAGAAGCAGACATTTTTTCTATTTTTATTGCTTGCTTCCTCTCTTCGTTTGAAAGAATCAACAGCGTTACAGCATGAATACCGAAGGCTTGAAATTTGTTATTGTTGTTGCAACTCAAAATACAATACAGAACAAAAAATGTCTTTAAATCTTCCCCCTTTGGACGAAGATATCAAATCCGAGATTGAAAAAAGGAAAGAAGAAATTCGAAAAAAGAGAGAACTACTGGAGCAATATAAAAACAAGAAGAATGCCAGTTTATCAACCCAAATTCGATTCAATAATTTAATATCTAGTAATACAAACCAACATCATAGCGAATTAATATCATCGGAGCCTCAAAAGAATACAACCAGCAAAGGAGCCTCCACTAATTCTTTGGTGGAACCTAAAGCTGCGTCATCCTTTCCACAAGCTGTATTAATGAATCAATTACAAGGAGGCAGTGCTGCTCTGGAAGTCAACAGACCTAGGGTTTTACAATTATATGCTAGGATAAATGAAATTGATGTGGCCCCGTTGGTAAGCGTCATCTTCTCAGTTTAAGTCTTACTGTTGATAGGTGCCCCTTAAATATTCTAAAGAAACACAATCAGACGAAAATTTTGCAAATTATAGCATAACAAGTATAGAAAAAGATCTTCTAAACGATGAAGGAATTAATATTGACATTATGGACGATGATGATTCAGATTATTTTTCATCACTTAATACATTAGAGATTTTGGACGTAAAAAACGTGGAAGAAAAGAAAAAGATGCCTTCCGAGGACACAGAGAAAAGGTATAAGGACATTATTTCCACAAGAGAGTTTCAAGAATTTTTCTTTAAGGCTTCACATTATGTGGAACGGTGTATAAAACAACCGTTTGATCCCCTTGTAGACTACACCGACGATCGATCATGTTCCTTTCAAGCCAACACTTCTGGTGCGGCCAAGATTGAGGCTGTATTTTTTGATTCAGAGCTATGCCAGCACAAGTCCGTGACTGATCTATCATGGTCACCAAAATTTGAAGACTTATTTCTTGTTGCATACAGCAGCACCGACGTTAGCCATGACCACGAAGGTCTTGTTCTGATTTGGTCACACCACTATCCAAAGCGCAAAGAAAATGCTCTTTTTTGTGACACATCAATAAGTGCAGCACAATTCTATCCCTACAATCCAAGCCTTGTCATTGGAGGAACATATACCGGACAAATCGTAATTTGGGATTTAAGAGAAAAAACATCATCCCCTGTTATTAGAACAGCCATAAGTTCGAGAACTCATACAGAGCCAATCTTTGGCATGGAGGTGGTTGGCAGCTCAGAAAATAGTCATAATCTTGTGACAATGAGCACCGACGGAAGAGTATGTACTTGGTCAATGAATAAGCTTGATTCTCCTCCCGAGGTGATTGACCTGTACATTAACGCAGTTAAGTCACAAGAACCAGAACAGATGGCTCCACTTTCACAGAATACTGACCTCAATCTTCAATCAAAAAGTTTCTACAGTCCAGTTACGTTATTGAGCCAAAGTATGACATTTCCCAAAGGAGAAGTTAATAGGTTTTATGTAGGCACTGAGAATGGTTCAATTTATTCAGCTCATCGCTTTGGAAGCAAAAAAGGAGCTAACAATGAAATTTATTCAGGTCATTTTGCTCCTATTACTTCATTAGTTTCTCATCCATCTCTTGAATTCTCAGAAATTATGTTATCATCAAGCATGGATTGGACATGTAAATTATGGAGTCATAAGAAGCACACACCTCTCCTGTCATTTGATGAGTTTGAGGATTATGTGTTTGATGTTAAATGGTCACCGTCAAATCCTTCATTATTTGCAGCTTCTGACGGGTCTGGGTGTTTGAGCTTGTGGAATATCAACCAGGACCAAGAAATGCCAGTTTTCAAAATTTCAACTGGGGCTTCTGCTCTGAACAAACTTCAGTGGTCAAATGACGGAAAAAGAATTGCGACTGGATCAATATCTGGAAATGTTACAATGTTAAAGATTGATGAGGAAACAGCAATTCCAAAGGCAAGAGATCTTGAATCTAAATTATTGGAATCCATTATTGTAGATCTACTCACGGAAAACTATTAAAATGTTTTCAAAATTATGATGTAAATTTATTCTTTTTCTTGCTCTGACTCCGAAGACAAGTTGTTTTGTGATGATTTCCGAACAACACAAACATTAGCATTGTCTTGGCTTTGCAAAATATACTTGGTAGAATCACATTCCACAACCACAACCGGGTTTGATTGACCGTTAGAAAGTGCCAAGCGATTTGCTCTTTTTAAAATTCCTCTAATATATCCTGATGTTGCCTCTGCATTATTTTCAAGATTCCCAAAAGAATTAATACAAAATCCATTGTTGTCTGCACAACAATATCCCAAAATTTCCTCTTCTTGTGATTGACTAATTTATCAAAATGGTTCCAATAATAAGTATGATATTTTCCACAATTAATGTATGATATTCCGAACATATTCTTCTCAAATGGATCATTCCGAGCCATCTTACCACTTACACCTGTTGATTCAACTGTTTCACAGATTCATCCATTTTTTATTTTAAACTTTTGCTCCAACAATCCTGTCAGGTTCATTAACGACACAAAAAATGATCACACACAACAATCCAACAAGCTCACAAACACTCGGGACAAGTCAGGATCTCGTTTCACAACTTATTCTTCCCTTTTTGCAGAATAGTCCTCGGTCAATTTCATGCATGTCGATCACTCTATCAAATAATTGCAAACAACAATATTTGGTTGGAAATTCTATGTGATCGTTTTGATGAAGTAAATCCATCCCTTGTGCATGATTATCATTCCAAGAAGACTGAATTACCATTCTCAAACGTTGAAAATCAGAAGAAAAATGGTCACTCTACTCCAACCCTCATGACCTTGTATTTTCGAATGAATTATTATTCAACACATCTCGATGAATTACCTGATAGCTTTTATGAGAAATCAACCATGTCCATGCAGCAACAAGCATCACGCCCAATTCTTTTAGCGGCCGCCTCTTCGGGTGGATTTCCCTATGCAGAGGAATTTGCATACTCCATTGCTGTTCAAACATCAGGTCATTGGGAACAAGATAAAAAAGTAGTGCAATTCGTTCGAGATTATATCAAGAAGAAGTTTAAATTGAGAACTTTTCATCTTGTACTGTGTGATTTAAATGCAAAGGATCAAGTGGAGGCAGTCGTAATCGATACATTGAAACTCGCACAAAAATTCCAAGTGGACATGATGAACCGTCTGTTCATCTATCTTTCCAATGATGAAAATCACATCAAACCATTGAATCATTCCAAAAGTTGTCTCACCATGTAATCTTAATTTCTTTGATTTCTGACCATGTCCTGTAAATGGAGAGGTCATTAGGAAGACTGAAGAACCTGGTTTTGGAACTGTAGCAAGCTTGTCTTGAATTACATACACCAGATGGTAGGGATTATTAACAAATGTAATCATCCATCAACAAGAAAAGATGCTGTCGTTCATGCTGAACGATATGCAGTTGCTGTTATGAAAATTGGAAAGCTTTATAAAACCAAAAGGAAGAGTTGGATCAGTTGGAGCTTGAGAAACCAATAATGGCGTTTCAAATGCATTGTGTGATCTTGTGGGCAGACTCACATTTACAGATAATAAGATTTGAATTCTGATATTTCAATGCTAGGATATAAAATTGGCAATGGACCGGTCGGTAATATTAAAGACCAGTATCATCATGAGGATATCAACTTGGATGCGCCTCTCTCCGTTATCCGTTCTGCATGATCTTTAACAAATCCAACAAGGCATTCCGATATTGTCCGTTCCAACAATCAGAAAAAAATGTGCGCAGGAGGTCTTGGTGAATTTACATCTCCTATTGCAATGATGCTAATGGCTTTGGGAGCTATTTTTTCTGCCATGTTTTATCATCATTTGGCAAGTTTAAGAACAGAGTCTTTTGCAAACACGATTCAACCTTCATCATCGTACTACAAAGATTTATACACACCAAAAATTTACAAGTCAGAACCGAACGAGTACAATTTTGTAATGATTGCAGATTTAGATAAGGATTCCAAGTATCCAAATGAATTCAAGTGGAGAAGCTATGTGCTTGTACGTTTGATTGTCTTTTTTACTTGTCAAATATTAATGTTTTTCATAGAGAGGATTAATCAAACGAAACATTTCAACAGGAAAATATTCAATTCAGTTTAATGAGACGGAGTCCAAATTTGAAATACAGTCACTCTTATCAAGAAAAAATAGAAGCATGGAATTAAGCACTTTATCACTGTGGAGAGGAACGTTCTATGCTACGTGTGATTTCACTGGAATTGTGTATGAAATTGATATGCAAAGGGAAAGAGCCTATCCCCGACATGTTTTATATTCTGGTGACGGACACACAAAAATACCCTTAAAAGCAGAATGGTCAACGGTTGGTCCTGATGATAGATTGTACATTGGATCAATAGGAAAGGAATGGGTAGCGCAAGGTCAAGCCTTAAATAGACATTGTGAGTGGGTCAAGGTAATTGATCGATCTTATTATCATCCTATTTCTGTGGATTGGGGAGATGTTTACGCAAAGTTGCGTCAAGCAGTCAATGCCACGGCACCAGGTTATCTTATTCATGAAGCTGTATTCTATGACAAATTTTTGAAAGAATGGATTTTCTTGCCAAGGCGTCATTCCGTTGGCACACCTTACAGTGAAGAGGCTGATGAATACTTGGGATCCAATTTAATGATTCGAATGGATATTGACCTGCAACAAGTTAAAAAAGTTGTAAAAATTGGAAAAAAGAGCCCCAATTCCGATGAAATGTATGAAAATTTTTTAGACACTCGATTTGGGTTTACTGATTTGGCCCGAATTACCAAAACAGGTTCTCGACATCACTACATTGCAACAAGAGTAATAGAAATGTCTCATCCTCAAAACTCGCAGCCTGCAGTAGCAACATACTTGACTATCTTTGACGAAGATGGTGTTATTTTGTTGGACAGTCCTACTGGCTTTGTTGAAATGCCTGACTCGCTCGCTCATGGAGAGAAGTATGAAGGAATTGAAGTTTTTGAGTAGAATTCTAACATTGTCAATCCTCACTTGATTTCATTCAACTATTTATTTGATGAGCTTGCAGAATCCATGGCCAAAAAAGATAAATACTCGTCGTGAATAAATGGATCTTCCATGTCATTCAAAAATTCTTCAATGTCTGGAGGAAGCAGAATGTCTCTAAACGTGGTCTTCTTATTTTTCCAAATGATCATTTGTTGTCTTTGTTTTTCAGACAAATATCCCAAATCTAAACCTCTAATGCAAAGCGATGGCTTTTCCTTCTTCGTTGATGCTTGTGTTTCCACAAAAGAAGGATATTTTTCGTCCTTAAATTGGTCCATGTCTTCATTGGGGGACAAGCTTTCAGTGCTTTTGGTATGTTCCCTTCCTTTAGCTGTTTTTGGCTTGATTTTTGTTAAATCAATGGTTGGTGTTCCAATTCGTTTTGTGTTTTTGAAACCTTTGGAACTCACGCTAATTGTAGTATGCGACGGAGATTGGCTGCTTGCTGAGTCTGTGATAGATGGATTATGCTCTTCATATCCTTCCACTATTATCTTGATGCCAGACACATGTTTTAGGACATATTGATTGTCTTCACTATCTTCTTGAGATGGAATAGATTTTGGCTGCTTTTTCTTTTTCTTTTCATGTGTCACTAACAGTTGTGAAATTGCTGAAGATGACTTGATCCAATCCGGTATGTATCTCTTATCTATTTTTACAGGTCCTTTCCATTGTTTTACAAAGTCAAAATCTTCGTCACTAAGTTCGGATGTATATCGAGAGAGCTCGTTTTTCATTGCTGTCTTACTCCAATTCTGTAATTTGCGGAAACACATCACCAATACGCTAGAAACTTGAGTTCCATCCAAGCAATGACAATAAATAGGATGATATTTTGAGTTTAAAAACATCTCAATGATTGTAGAAACCTCGCTGAATGAAAGAGACACTTGTTCCTTGTATTTTGGAGTTTGAAAATGATAAATTGTAATTTTTTCATAGTCGCAAAATTCTCGAAGATCCGTAATCGGTTTTTCTGGAATTAATGAAATTATTGTTTTCAATTTCAATCTTTTCAAGTATCGTAAATTTCTCAAGGTGGGATAAGCACCTACAAAAATCTGTGGAGCAATACATCTAAATCTAAATGGAGGGTGCAATTGATTTGAAAGCTGAATAAATGATTGTTGAACTCTATTCAATTCTCTGCTACCATTCATATCATCCGTTGTAGTAGTACAATTTGACGGAGCAGAATTAGTCTTGTTTGATGTCCTGACTTGTTGTTGTTCATTATTGACCATACGAAAAATTTCGGAATCATTAGCTCCTGTTGATAACGGGTTGGTCATTGATTTATTGTCAATAGTAGAATTATTTGATGATGATAAATGATGTTTTCCTAAAGAACCCATCATCCCCGAATTTCCAGGTGATGTTGAAAGGCTCACGGTGATCGATGGTGATCGTCTCATTTTTTTATTATATTTTCTTATTATTATTTAATGTGGATGATTCCCAAACTTAATGAATTAGATTGTTTGAACCAATCAATACAAGTTAAGTTGTAGATTCAACTCAACTCCACCTGTACAGGTTCAATTTATTTACGTTATCAAATTATTTGTAAAAAAATGTCTTCTTATCGGAGCACTCCCATCAACTACACACCAATAACGTCCCTTTTGACAGAAGCTAACGATCGCAACAATATTTCAAAAGATGGCAAAATCATACTGTCCGAAGAAGAATATATGTCGTATGCTGATTATATTATTAAACGAGATTATTATCCTGATTTATTAGCAATGGTTGGAACGGATCGGGAATTAAATTGCTCACTTGATGAGTTTTTGAGAAAATACACCAGTGAATATAATGCATCGTTTGATGAAATTATGGAAAAGTGGAAAATTAAAAACAAAACTATTATTGAGAAAATTTATGAAAAGAATGCAAAATGTAATGTGAGCAGAGTAATTCTACCTGCTCTTACTCATGACAATAATGAAATGAAGGCAATCACAAATGAAAGCTCTTCACTGTTAATGTTAGAGTCCAAAGTTGGATCAAGTAGTGATAATACTCAACTGATTACCTACGCCAAATCACAAGATCATGCAAAATTTAAATTAGATGAGGACTATGACATTGAAAAATACAAAAATAATTTGATGTTTTATCCATCTGGAATTTCAAAACTTGAAGCGACCAATGCAATAACATCAGAATCTATTATCAAACACTCTGGGACGAGAATTTCTGATACAGTGGTGAAAAAGAATGATAGTCTCACCAAATCGCAAAGCACAATTAAGCAATATGATTTAGATAATGCCACAGAAGATCCTCAGCAAACTTTGGAAAATATTAATAGAGAGTTAAATAGCTCTAGAGGTGAAACTCCTTCGATCAATGGGGTACAACTAGAAACAACTCCCATCATTCATCCAACAGAATCTACTGAAATAATGACATGGGGTACCATCGAATCATCTCCATTTAGAGTACCAGAAACACCAAAACGAGAAATTCTTTCACAACAACTTGCATCGAAAGCAAGCAAAAACATTAGACTGCGAGAAACTTCGACACCAAATCAAACTTACTCTTACAATAGAACTCCTTCACGATCATTTCAAAGTCCTTCCATGAGTCCACGTACTCCATCTTCCCCGTTGACCATGAAGCAACAATTTAATTCGCTTTCTAATGCTGCTCAACAGCTCGCAAGACGACATTTAAAAACAGCCAGCTCAAAACCATTGTCAAGTTCCTCTTTTAATTCACCCCTTAATGATTTGGAGATTTCTTCGAAAAAGCGAAAGACAGAACATCCTGAAACTGAGTGAAGCATGAAAACGTAGAAACAGTTGTTTCTCTTTGTTTTGAGCAATATCCTTGATTGTGAAACAGTTGATTCATTGCATGAAACACGAATTCACATGTAGTTCTTCCATTGGTATACCAGACACACAGATGTGTAAATTTGTAAAGCATCATCCGACCATAAGCGCGCATAAAAAAAATGTTTTCAAAACAAGGTGCTACTCGTTTGTTGGTGCTCCATCTTCAGAACAAGGCACAAAGAAAGAGCTTGCCAATGATTTTTCGTCATCATGATCACACCATCAGCCGATACTATCATTTGAATCATGGACTGTTCTCATCATCCGATTCGCATAGTCCTCCTTCATCATCCAATGACGCATCATCACACTCAACAACTACCCGATCAGGCTCAGCTCGGAAGAAACGTTTCATCTCCATGGTGAGTTCCGAAGAGGAATCCAATACAGTACTCAATTCCTCTACTCCATCAGTAGAAACCACAACAAGCACATCAGCAGAAACAGTAAGCTCATCCAGAAAAACAATCTCTACAAGGTCGTCTAAAACACAGACCTCTGCAACAACAGAGAATAATTTACACGCACCTGCTACAAGAAATGGAGTGTTCCGATATGCCATTCCTTGGCAAGATGCTGATTATTATAATGAACAAAAATTGGAGAATGAGATGAGAAGAATTTTCGAACTTTGTCATGGGTGTAGACGATGTTTTAACTTGTGTGATTCTTTTCCAACTCTTTTTGAATTAATTGACCAAGTTGAAGAATTGGAGAAAGTTCCTTCGAGTGAATTTAAAAAAGTTGTGGATAAGTGTACATTGTGTGACTTGTGTTATAATAACAAGTGTCCCTATGTGCCTCCTCATGAGTTCAATATTGATTTTCCTCATCTCTTACTTCGTTATAGAGCTGTTGAACAACGAAAAAAGAATGAAAAGCATGTTACTGCACAACCACCAATTCAACTCAAGGAGACTGTAGGCTTTTTAAATCAAGGAGTGCCACAGAAGAAAGAATTTGAAGCTCCTGTCCATGAGGGCATTGATCGAACATTGACTCTTAAAAAAGAGAGTGAATTTTCTCAACAACTATTGACTCATTTAGATCGAAATGGAACAATTTTGACAAGATTACCTACTTTTATTACAAACTTGATGATGAATAATTCAATAGTAAGGTGGTTCCTTGATACGATAGGACTCATCCACAAAAATGCATATTTACCATCTTTCACGTTTGGAACTCTTATGGAAAGGTTAAAGAAGAAAAGAAAATCCGTTGAGACAACACTCATTGAAAAAACCAGTGTTGTGACTGCAGATGAAAAGGTCATTCTATACACAACATGTTTGGGTAACTATAACAAACCAGAACTTGTAGACACAGCCAAATATGTTCTAAACAGAAACGGTGTGGAAGTTGTGGTCGATTACAAACAGTGTTGTGGAATGCCTTTCTTCGAACAAGGCGATTTAGCCTCTGTCAGCCATGCAGCTGAGACTGTTTCCGAATATTTAGTCTCAAATTATATTAGTAAGGGTTACAAGGTTGTCACGGTCGTACCCAGCTGCTCGCTCATGCTAAAGGCAGAGTGGGCAAATATTTTACCGAACAATGAAAATGTACAACTTGTAAAAAAGAACACCATGGATGTTAGTGAATTTGTTGTATATTTGGCCAAAAAGAATGGAGGTCAACTACCAACACAAGATCAAATTCAATCTGTACCATACAGTGTTACATTGCATCATGCTTGTCACGCTCGTGCACAAAATATGGGAAATAAGGGACATGAAATGTTGAAATTCATTCCAGGCATCAATGTCAATGTTATCCAAAAATGTAGTGGACACGGTGGAAGGTAAGTTTTTGTAATTTTGTAACTTTTGTTCACCTTACATTTTACTTTCAGTTTTGGAACAAAGAAAGAATATTTTGATACAGCTGTCAAGTATGGCAAGCCTGTAGCAAAGAAAATATTGCAAGATTCAGAGAAAAGCAACGAACATATTGTTGCCAGCGAGTGTCCTTTAGCGGCAGAACATTTGAGCCAAGTCGCATCCATGTCTAAGGAGGAAAAGGAAGGGCTTGTCACAACCATTTCTTCGAATGAGAAAGGGGATTTACATCACATTGCGAACAAGCATCCCATCGAAATACTTGCCCAGGCCTACGGATTTGTTCGAAAGTAAAATAAACTACCTGTATCACTTTTTCAGAGAATTGCTGCTTCCTACTTTGAAAATTAAATTTAATGTGTTAATTGTTGGCAATAATGTTGTTGAATGTAGAAATCCAGTCTGAAGCCGTTAATTGATAACCATTAAATACAGGCACATAATTGACAAAGAATGTTGGTGTACCAGAAACAGATCTAGATGTAGCCATCCTGAACATTGAGGCAGTCTTTACAAAATTCTCTTGCGAGCTCATTTCATTGATAAATTGAGTCAAGGACAATAAATTCAAAGGACGAACGTAAGTATTGTAAATCACAGTAAATATTTCAAGTTGGTTCAATTTTTGAAGTGATTGATTTTGAATTGGACCTTGATTGGTAAATACACTATCCAAAAATCGGTAAACAATATCTGCATTATAATTTGAATACTTGTTGACAATGATAAATGCAGTCGATGAATAATAACCAGCAATGTGCATTGGTAATTGCATCAAATGAACCATGAGTCTAACTTTAGGGTTGGTTTGAGTTGAATTATTGAAATAATACTTGATCAATGGTTTAAAAACATCAGTCCAATGTTGAGAACAATCTGGGCAACACAAATCAAAGAATACTTCACAATTGACCAAAGCATTATTAGCATCACCAATGGACCAGGAATTCAGCAATGAAGATGGAGAAGGACCAACAGGAGCCAATTTCAAAACATCGGAAGCCAAGGTTGAACTGGGCAAGACTAAAAGAATCAGTAAGAGAACCACACCACCAACAAAAAAGAGTGTTCTCATTTTTTTGAATTGTTGAAAGTCACTTTCAACTCCGGAGTCCTGAGTTTACAATGTAACACATGTCAATGCAACAATCGCATTGATCAATAGAGAACCTCAATGGCTAGATCGAATATTAAATATTGAGGTAATTTAATAGCCTGGATCGGACTGCTGTTTTTGAACTTTCTATCAGGCAATCCAGTCCGATCTATTTGCATTTCCTCAATGTAACCAATGTCTTTCATCAACTGAACATTCAAATTCATGAGACCATTGAGAATGTTTACATAGATCAGACGATAGAAAGATCAACAATCATAACTGAGCAATCGTTCTATCCAGGTTTTTAAATTCCTCATGGGAATTCATCATTCAGACAATACCCAAGCACGTTTAAACATGACGTTAATTTTTGTAAAGATTTGCCAAGTTCCATCGTTAACATACAACAATGCATTTTCAAATATCTGTACACCTTAAATGACTTGTGCAAATCCAAAATACCACTTGTTGCATCCACAGTATTTCATGTAGCCCTCGTGCTCGAATAACGTCTTCTCCAAAACCAAAAAAAAGAAGCATTCATCGTCTTCAACAACAGTTCTTGCAAGCTTTTCTGTGTGTTATGTCACAAACTCACCCTGTACAGGTTGGAACATTGAAAAAAGGCAGTTATGTAGTAGTTCAAGGAAGAGCTTGTAAAATCGACGATTACAGTACCAGCAAGCCTGGTAAGCACGGTAGTGCCAAGATGCACATTGTTGGTGTTGATATCTTTACTGGAAAAAAGTATGAAGCTATTGCACCAACAAGTGCTAACATGGATTGTCCTTTCGTTGTCAAGAAGGAATATCCATTGATGGATGTTAGTGATGACGGGTATTTGACCTTGCTCACTGAGACTGGAGATGAACGATGTGATATTCAAGTCCAAAATTCTGAATTGTTGAATAGAATTAAGAGTTCATTTGGAGAGGATCAGGATGTGAAAATTATTACCATCTCAGCCATGGGACAAGAGCAAGTGATGGATATGAAGATCGAATAGATATAATTGTGCTTATTGGCTGTGGTCATTCAAAGCATATAATAAAGAGCATGCGAGATTGACCAACATAATTCATTCTCTTGAATTTTTGTACGAGGACAAACAATGTACAGGTTGGTTGATGCAAAATATACTCAATGACCTCTTATTTTTCATCGAATGAATTAAGATCTTTTTTCGTTTGATATCTAAAGTTTTTGAATGGGTTGTCAGAGGATTCTTCTTCACCTTCCTTCATAGGTTCTTCTTCATCAATTTCGTCTTGGGGTATTTCCTTATATTGAGTAAAATAGGAAGTGTCTGTTTTAGATTTTAAAACTGGAATGATGGGAGGAACTTCGTTTCTTATGAGAGCCCAATTAATATCTTTAAAGAATGGATGTGCTTTGATATCGGCAATACCATGTGCGCTACCCAATCGTTTATCCTTATCTCTAATTAGTAATTGGGAAATTAGTTCTTTTGCTTGCTTGCTGATCGGATAGGTAGTCTTGGTTGGAAATGTGACAGTATTGTGTAAAATATTTTGAAATGTCTCTTGTTGTGTATTGCCCTTGAATGGGGTGGATCCAAAGAGCATTTCATAAAGTAAAACGCCTAACGTCCAATAATCCACACAGCAGTTATGGCCTGACCCCGAAAGAACTTCAGGTGATAAATATTCCTCGGTTCCTATAAATGAGTTTGATTCCTGAATTTGCTTCAATTCGACCTTACTTTGCTTTTCAGAAGAGAAAAAAGACTTGACTAATGTTGGTGTTACGGGTTGAACAGATTGCTTTGACAAATCAAAATCTGTCAGTCGAATGTGACCCGTATGATGAAGTAAAATGTTTTCTGGTTTTAAGTCTCTGTACATGAATCCTTTCAAATGCAAATATTCCAATGCTAAAACAACCTCAGCAGCGTAGAATCGTACAATATTTTCTGGAAGACATCTGTAAGGTTGTTTCTTTAACACTCGGAAAAATTCACCACCGGCACACCATTCCAATATAAAAACAAGTGATTCCTTCGTTTGAAAAGAGCAAAATATTTTGGTGATGAATGGATGATCGACTGTGGCTAATATTTCTCTCTCTGTGAGCACGCGCTTGACCTTATTTCTTTTGATCATTTCATCTTTTCGTAAAACTTTCATTGCAAAATATAGCTCAGTAGATTTGAGTCTACAAAGATATACTTTTCCAACATCTCCCTTTCCTATGAGTTTTAATTTTTCAAAAGATGAAGCTCCTAATTTAGAGTAATCAATTTTTGGACGCTCTGGTGGTTGTAGGGGTGATATCGAAGGAGATTTGTTGGCAAGTGGAGGTAGCACACCAATCCTATTCCGAATTTCAGGGGGAATATTTGCAATTGTTGTAGTTGTTAGGGGTTCCGAGGATGACAAACTGGAAGTGTTTTCTTGCTTCCCATCGTTAATGATATTTGTTGTACAGTAAATACTGTTGTTATGTACAATTTCAGTAGGCTTGCTATTATTGACAACCTGCTGATCACCAATAATGATTTGATTTTCATCATTCGTTTCTTCCGAAAATCTAATATTGTTCATATTTTGTGAAATCATTACTTCTGTCATTTTCTTCTCAAAACTGCTCCTTCTCGTGGAATACATGGCAACAGATTTGTTGGCATTTTCTTCCTCTTCTTCCTGATGATGAGGAGATGTTGGTGATGACAATATCGGGACAAAATCAGACGCGTCCGATTCCCTTTTGGACATTTTTTGACAACAACATGTTCAAGGAAGTGGCTTTTGCTTTTTTACTAACAACCACATGATGTTTTTTTGGTTAAACTCTCTTGCATGAATACTTTAGAACTGAGCTGAATGGTGCTACTTGATGATAATTGTTTGGAAATCATGATATTATAGGCTTTTCTAACAGCTTCAAAGAACGCCAGTTCCGTATTGCTATTCGAGAGGGAAGATGTTTCAAAAAACAGCGGAATGTTGTGGTCTTTGGCGAATGTTTCTCCCTCTTGATACGTAACTTTTCGAAGTGATACATCATCTGTTTTGTTCCCTATTAAAACGACTACAACATCTTCTCTATCTACAACTTTATACAGGGAATTTAACCATGTGTTGCAAGCCTCAAGCGAATTCTTTTTAGTGACATCGTAGACAATGAAGGCTATTTTGCTCCCTCGGTAATAGCTTTGAGTTAAAGACTCAAACTTTTCGGAACCAGCAGTATCAAAGAGAGATACTTTAATCGTTCGGTCATCTAACGTTATTTCTCGATATCTAAAATCCACGCCAATTGTTGCTGGTAAGGATGAGGAAATATCTTCCCCACACCATCGACGTACAAGACTTGATTTTCCAACACTACTATTTCCAATAGTAATAGCTACATGTTGAGTGAGAGCCATCCATATATTTCACCCTCAGTATGTTTCAGAAAATACGGCCGATCCGAATCATCAACATACCCTTAATAAATCGTTCCGATCCTCTAATATCACTCATTCTGTAAAAACGTTTGATTGAATTTTTTTCATGAAATTCGTGAGACATTTTCAATAGAAGGATGGGTCAGAGTCTGTGGTGGCTGTCACTGAGGAAAAGTACCCAGTTGAGGAGTGAAATTGGTCGTAAGCCGTCGTCAAAGTAGATGAACGTGTGGTCGAGGAGGTGTAGTCATGTTCCTTACAATAGTCTTTCAAATCTTCAAAGGTACTGTTTTGAGTAGATGAAAAATCTTGATCAACATCCAGTCCTCTGCTAGATTCTGATGTGTAAAAAGTAGAAATTGATGCTTCTTCTCTACTTGATTCAATAAATGAGTCTTCTGAAGATAGAAAGCTTGTGTCACTGTCATCAGAGTGGTATGGCTTCCTCACAGAAGGATATTCATGCTTCTTGACACCTAGTGATCTCTTTAGGAGTTGAAGTTTAAGCATTCTTTCAATATCATTTTCTGTGACCGATGCAAATAATTTAGTTTTGGGCAGTTTTGGAGCTTGGTTCTCTTCTTCTTCTGTCTCAGTAACATAGACATAGCTACTTGATGATTCTGTTTCTTCTTCGTATTGGGAAGTATTGGATGCGCTTGTTGAAGATTTGTTTATACTTGGCTGCAAAAATGAGGTCTGGACATTCTTGACATCTGGAATCTTTGGAGGAATTCCAATACCAAAATGTGGCTCAATAAGCAACTTTTTAGTATCCGTCTCTGTATGAACAGTTTGTGTGAATAACTTGTCAGTTTGTGCCTCTGATATGCTCCTTTTCAGTTCACTTGTTTGACAACACGATTCTTCTTTCTTTGTTTCAAAGAATGTTTGTGTTTCCATAGTTTGTGTCTCTAACTCAGTTTGAATAGATTGAGGAATGACGCTTTGGGGTTCAAAAGTGTCAGTTTGAGTCTCAATACCATATAGAATGACTTTTTTAACAGGCTCCAAAGGTACAACAGTGGGAGCCACTTTTGGAACAACAGGTTCCTTCTCTACTGAGGAAATGTCCTTGTATGCTTCTACACTTTGAGAAGCATGTTCTCTCTCCACATGTTTTTCCTTGTCATGGCGATTCGAAGTTGCGTAAGAAGTTAATAACCTTAAAACCAATTCACATATTGCTTCACGTTCCAAGGTTTCATTTGCATTACTTTTAGTATTGCTAACCACTTCCTCTTCTTTTTCACCATCATGACTCGTGAATATTGGAAACTTATTTTTAACAAAATCCCAAATTAATTCCTCAGTGGCTTTGTAAACTAATGCATCGTCGAACGGTATGCCATTCTCGATGCAGTACACAAATAATTCTGCACATAGAGCTCCTCCCTTGATTGAAGATAGTTGCTCATCATCGAATACGTTTCTATCCTCTTGATCTTCTTGATTATTCTTAATGCTTGATGTTTGTTGGAGAAACTCGCTCAATAATCCATGTGCAATATGTTTGATCGTTCTTTCCACGAGAGTGTTGGCATACTCTTCGAATAATATATCCAGTGGTCTTTTTTCTTGATTATATTCATTGGGCATCTTGAGACTATTGCGTTCCTCAGGTTTTTTAACCCTTTGTGGATAGTGGGAGGTAAAGGAAATTCCATCATAACCATCATCATTGGCTCCATCAAGTGGAGGAATTAAAACTTTGGTTTCTTTTGGCAATAGCTGCTTAATAATTTGCTCTTTTTCATAGGTGTTGATTTCTTTTGCGACCATGTGATCAATTTGATCCTGAAATAATTTACCTGAGTTATCTTTCTTGTTCCAACCAACATCACATGTTTCAATACGTGTTTCTATACTAGACGAGGGAATGTCTTTCGAAGGACTCAACCTCTCTTGGGATTCTTCACCGTGCGCCACACTAGGTGTTGGTGCTTCTTCTGTGTTGTCTGTCTGGATTTCAACTTCAAGTTTTATAACTTCAGGAGTATGCATGTCCTCTTTGCTTGATAAGGACTCTTGTGCTACATCTAAGGCTGGAGCTTCACATGGTGGGGGTACAACTGTTGTGTTGTTCTTAACAGACAACGTACTCTTCTTTTCCTCGTTCGAAAGAATGGAAAATTTAAGTAGATTTTTCGCAAAGTCAGGATAGAGTCGCTGAATCTCATCTGAGGAAATTTCTTGAGGGAGCAATAGTGGCATTGGTTTTAGGGATGGAGTTTGAATTTTGATTTTTGGAATATTCTTCTTCTCGTCTATTGTTATGCAGCTCTTGTTCAAAATTGAAGAGTCATCCTTTGTTACGACGTCTGATAATTGTTTCATTGCTGAAGAGTCAAATGATCCAACCAGCTCGTCAATAAGGTACTTTTGTTCAGCTTGATAAATCTCCAAAGTAGATAATTGGGAAATTTCGCTCCACTGTCATTGAATATAATATTTCTCAACGTAAACAAATTAGTTTCATTACTTACGTTTGGTGACTTGAATAGTGAAGGGTGTTTTTTCAACATGTCTGTGTGTATCTCCTCCATACTGAGCTCCTTGGTAGAGGTAACATCAAAAATTGATCTGTTCATTCTACTACTACTGATCGTCTTGCTTTCAAATTTAATGGGCTTCTGATCTTTGATTTGATTAGCTTTCTTTTCCATTAGTTCAATTTTTCTTCCAATGTCTTCAATTTGCTTCATTTGCTTATTAAGAAGAGTTTGCGATTTTTTTTGATCGTCAGACAACTGCTTTCCAAACTTGGTGGTAATTTCTGAAGTTACTCTCTGAAGCTTTTCAAATTGTTTGTAAAAAGTTCGAATATCTATCCCCATTTTCGACATTGAATTAGTAATGGTAGATGAAACTTGATTTGTTGTCTTGGATAATATATTTTCGTATTCCCTCTCCTTTTGCTCGAGTAATTTATCCAACATCTTTTGGAAGGTGGTGAGTTTTTGTTCGCTGTCTTTAATTGCGTTTTCCATATTTTTGAGAGCTCCTAAATTTGATGATCCAGTATTATTGGTTATAGTTGTTACCTTTTCAATTGATTTTTGTAATGTATTTCTATCAAGAGGCTCTTTTTGTTTTTCTGCTTTACCCATTCCACCACTACTTCTGGAATCTATTGTTGATGAAGAGTTGGCAACAATTGGAGGAGTAGAAGGTGTTACCTGAAGAACTTTTTCATCCATCCTCCTTCCTCGAATTTTTCTTGTATTATCATTGATTTCTAGTTTTGTTTCAACAGATTGTGACCTTGTTGGCTTGGATGGTATTTTTTCCAGATAATGTGGTCCTTCATCTTTTTCTGTTTTAACAGGAATTTCCTTCTTCGGAGGAGTATTGGGAGCAAGGTATGTGTAAAGAGCTTCAGGAATTTTCATTTCTTTTTTTTGATCCTCATCTTTTTTCTTCTTGTTTGACTCGGGAACAATTTCAAACTCTCTTTTTCTTTGCTGAAATTTTTTAAATTCCAAAAAATCCATGTGAGTAACGACTTTCGGAGGAGCAATTTCATATCCTCTCAAATGATTTGCTGTTGCTAATCCTTGCAAATTTGATTTCGGAATTGAATAAAGCTCTGGGCCCATAGTTTGTGATTTCGTGATTTCATCTGATAAAGAAAGAATTGGTGATGCATCATTTTTTTTGCGAGACGTTCCTGTAAGGTTTGAGTTCTTGGTGGTAGCGCTGTTGGAAAGTTTGTTTGGACTTGCTGGTGTACTTTTAACAATTATGGGTGTGGTTGATATTGAAGGTGACGTCATTGGGTTGTTATTAGTTATGTTGACAGATGTTAATTGATGCTGTTGAGGCTTGATCACCGTGACCTCTTTATATCCACCGGTGGCTCTTTTGAGGAAAGGCTTCACTGGTTTGCTGTTGATGTCTTCATCTTTGTCTGATCCCGAATCCATTGATGAAATCGGAGAAAAAACTGGTCGTTCAATCAACTTCTTCTTGGATATTGATTCCGATAAAGAATTTCTCAGTGAGCCTACACCGTGATGAGAAGATAAATCCGATATTGTCCAAGTATCATCTAAGGAAGTACTGTCATGCTGTTCTTGTTGCATTTTATTGTTTTTTGAAGGCGCGAAAAAATCTGTGTGAGCACTCTCATGAAATACAACATGGGCGTTGTCGAATGGTCATGAGAGAAGATTGGTTTTGAAGAAGAAACAAAAGATGGTCATCATTCCAATCTTCCAACAGTATTCCAACACACACACGTCTCAAAATTGAAGAGCTCGTGATTGTCACACCACAAAAAAATTGCGTGAGCTTCAAATAGTACATTTGCCTCGCTCGGACAGCTAGTCGCACATCATCATTACAATTTCTTCAAAGATTGTGCTCTGACTCTCTCAACAATGTTCACGAGTGGAAGCCAGTCATCCTCTCTCGCCAGTATGGGACTCTCTGAATACGAGACCATCTACGAGAAGGTTTCTAAATCATCAATCATGGGCCGATGGATACAGACACAAAAGAAGGAAGTGATTACAGAAAAAGATGATGAATTTGAAATTGTGGAAAACAATGATTCATACTACTCTAACTTGTCCAACTACATGTTATCAGAAATGTTCAGACATATGAGGAATATGTTTGAAGAATATTCGGAATCAACAAATTCGGGACAGTTTGTAGATATTGAATTATTGTTATTGGACGTTGATGATTATGGCCAATGGAAAATACTATTGCCCGACCAACCCATCGTGTCTAATTTTATTGAAACTGGTGTCATTAGCTCTTCAACCATGCTCTCACCTAATGAGATGCATGTAAATGGGCATTCCGTTTCAGAATCACTCAATGGAGGTGGTGTGAGACCTCTATCTGTACGAATTCCAGACAAGGAAGATTTACCTTCAATTTTGGATATCAGTAATTTCAATAGAGACACATTTCCCAATGTACGGTTGGCCGTGAAAATATTTGGATGTGTAATTTCGTTTTTTGAAGATTCACTCACTTATGTGATAGAAAAACAAAACGCCTTATCAATTATTCAAAATTTGAAATTAACAACTGCACTCAAGAAATTTAAAGTCCCTCTCTCCTCGAAAGATTCTCAAAAAGCTGCCTTTGACAAGGTAGTGAAATTAATTCAATATTATAACGCATCAGTCTATTTCGATTTGATTTCAGTTAACAGTATCAAGTTTGTGAAGGATTTATTCTCGATTTTTAATTCAAAGATTGTACAAAAAGAGTTTCCACCAATATTAACTCAGTTAGAAAAATTTTGGAACACGTATTACTATTACAGAAGCAAATATTTATCCTCATGCTTCAATGAAGATGATACCATACTGCAAAAAGAGAAAGAGGAGCAAAAACAAAAAAAGAAAAAAACTCACATTGATATTGATGAACTCAAACCTTGGGAAATTCCAATATTTGAATATACATTACCATCAGATATTTTCAAATTACTGAAAAAGGTTAAGGGTTGGAAATCAGATGTAGTATTGATCATGTCATACAAGCAGCTCCATTTACTGCTCAACTTGATTCTAGAGGTATTTCCGGAATTCAAAGAAAAATTTCCATTTGATTTCCAATTGCTTAAAAACTTTGATAGAACATGTTGGTTCCATCATTATTACCAATTAGAGTCCGATCCAATTGCTAAATATTCTCACCACATAATAACTCCTTCCAAAGATTGTAATTTCTCCGAACCAACTTACCTCAAGTCTAATCCCTATATTTCATTCTATTCCTCTTGCCTTCTTCAAAACCCTTTAACAGATTTTACTCAACTTCGAAACAGCAAACCAAAGTCAGAACCGATTCTTGTGCTGAGCTTAGATGGCGGAGGTATTAAAGGCTTGAACCTGATATCCATTTGTGAAGTAATAGAACAAAAACTTGGCAAGAAAATGTGTGAAATATTTGACTTGATTTGTGGTACATCAACAGGTGCCATCTTAGCCAAACTTTTCCAAATGGGCTATAGTTGTGAGCAATGTAAATCTGTTTATCATAGCTTAGGAAAGCAAATTTTCAAGCTGGAGGGAAATATTAATGTTACCAAAACCTTATTAACCATGCAGGGAAAGAGTTGGTATGACGAGAAAACACTTGAGGTCTTTTTCAGAAAATATGTTGGAAAAGATTACATCAATGCTGATCCAAACAAGAGACCTCTTTGGTTTGCTCTTTCAACACTAAACGCTCTAGATGAAGAATCTAAAAAACATATTACACGGTGCCACAATGGAACAGTGTTTAACAATTCTTATGAACAAGAGTTTTATGAAGATTTGATGATGCACGCCGAGTCCACTCCATTTATTTTTCGATCATACTCTGATCCTTTTCGATATGCAGATAATAAGAAACGGCATCCTGATTTCTATTTAGGAACTTTACATGGACGAGGCATTAAAAATTATCAAGCGCTCCGTTGTACATCTGCAGCTCCATTGTACTTTAAGGAAATGGTTATTGGTCAAAGAATCTTTGTTGATGGAGCAGTTGTTGGTAAGTTTTAGCTGTTTTCTCATGCTTGAGCACTTTTAACAACAATATTTCAATGAATTATGAATACCTTAACCAATAGCGAATAATCCATCAGTGGCTGCAGCATTTGAGTCGAAACAAATTTGGCCTGATCATGAAAAGTTTGTATTCATCTCTGTTGGAACTGGACTAAAGAAATCTCAAGAAAATACGAGCACTTCTCCGCAAGTAAATGATGAAGAAGAATTGAAATTTAAAACGGAGGCTCCTATCATGAAGAAGAGCTCTTCTGGACTTTTTGATAATGTGAAAAAAACTCTTTCATCAATTACAGATCTTCTGAATTTACAACTGAGCTCTGAAAAACAGCACAAGCTTATGCTTACTCAAGTTGAGCAAATGAGAGAAACAAAACAAGTTTCATATTTCAGATTCAACACTCCTAATTTGGGAGATTTTGATTTGGACATTGTAGACGATACTATTTTAAAAGAATGGGAGCAACAATGTAAAAAATACATTGGAGACTTGAAGGAAATGGACGAAGCGTGTGAAGTACTGAAAGCAGCAACAAACCTCAACGAATGAAGAGATTTTCAAGCAGATGCACAAAATTTGTAACGGTTTTTTTGAGAGTCATAAAAAAAATGGTACAAAAATCTCCAAGAAAACAATCTTCGTCGTCATCCTCTGTTACTCAGCCCCCACCTACAACATCGGGAAATGGCTCTAGCGGTACTGCAGCAAATAAGGCATCGGAAATTGCAGATAGAATACTGGAGAAGAGAAATACAGAGAAGGTTGCAAAAATCGCCAAGATGGTATGTGTCATGATAATATTCGAATATTTAATTATTCTTGTGAAATCAACAAATTTGTCGAACTACCGCCACGATGGTGTGTCAACTCGATCTGATTCATTCACACCAAATCACATTGTTATTCATCGATCTCATAACAACAACCAACAACAACAGAACCAACTCAAACAAAAGATAAAACAAAAGAAGGACAAGAAAACGATTAGGAAAGAACGTATCCGACAAAGTTATCTTCTCGCTCAGAAGGATCTCGAGCAACGAGAGGCTCGGAAACAACATGCAATGACTCTGGACGAGCAACTCCGTAAAAGAGTCAAAGCTCAACGCTTACTCAAACAAATACAACATCCAATGATTCATCCAGCTCTTTTAACCAATCTCGTACCAGCAGTCCCTTCAACCAACAAAACTCCAAATAACACCACTCCTAATCGTTCCTCCTCCACTCCTAAACAATCATCACAGAGCCGACAACCTTCAAAACCAGAGAATCTAGCCGTCTCCAATCACAAGCCTTCCTCATCTTCGCCTGCCATCAAGAACGTTAGAAAATCCCCAGCGTCCAATAACTCGTCCAACAACACAACCACTTCCACCAATTCATCTTCCACAACAAACAACACCTCCACCAACTCTAAATAAACAAGTACATATTTCATAATCGACCAGTAGTGGTTTGATTGGAAAGTCATCCACTGATTAAACAGTTCTCTCCGAGTTGAGCCAAAACATTCTTTGAAGGTGGGGTATTGTCGAAAAAAATGCAAGAACCAATTCCGAACCATCCAGATGATTGGAAAAAGAGATTAACGCTTCGGATGGAACAAGCTGAAAAGATGTTTCAATTTGAGCCTTCTGCAACAAAAGTTGACAATCTATTTTCGGGATGTGTGGATCCGTTATCAATTAAATTGAAAATGAATAATTACATGATTGATCGTCCGTTGAGTCAAACAAACCAAGGATTGAAAACCAATATGAAAGTGAGACAAATAATTAAAGATGCCCAACCCACAAAAGAGGAAACTGTTCTGTCTAAACGAAAATTGGATCAAGTTTCTTCTAGCTCCTCTGCTGTTGGATCATCCTCGACTGCTTTGCAATTATTTGATGACAAAAAAGATCAAGCTACGACATCAATTGTTTTACACACCCCACAACGCGTTGAGGACACCCAAAAAGCCATGGTTGCCTTTGACAATTCTTATTATTCATTGGATGGAAAAGATGAATTGACACGATCGTTAATTTTGCAAGAAAAACGAAGAAGAAAAGAAATTGAACAAAAACCAAAGTGGCACCCACCTTGGAAGCTAATGAGGGTTATCAGTGGTCATACTGGATGGGTGCGAGCCATCAGTGTCGACATCAGCAATGAATGGTTTGCTACTGGATCCAATGACAGAACAATCAAGATATGGGATTTAGCCTCAGGTGAACTTAAATTAACTCTTCCTGGTCACACCTCAACTGTTAGAGATCTTGTTGTGTCAGATCGATCTCCTTATTTATTCTCAGTTGGAGAAGATAAAAGCGTTAGATGTTGGGATTTAGAAACAAACAAATGTATAAGACAGTATCGAGGTCATTTAAGTGGAGTGTATTGTTGTGCATTACATCCATCACTAGACCTGTTGGCTACTGGAGCAAGAGATAGTAGTTGTAGAATTTGGGATATTAGAACAAAAAAAGAAGTATTTCTGTTAACAGGACATGAGTCGACAGTTGCATCAGTATTGTCTCAAGAGCATGAACCTCAAGTCATTACTGGATCAATGGATTCTACAATAAGGCTATGGGATTTAAAAACAGGAACCACCCGTACTACCCTTACTCACCACAAAAAATCTGTAAGAACAATGACCCTTCATCCAACTGAATATACTTTTGGAAGCGCTTCTGCAGACTCAATTAAGAAGTGGAAATGCCCAGAAGGAAAATTCATGCTTTCTTATGAAGGAACAAATGAGGATGTCATTATTCATGCCATGACAGTAAATAATGATGGAGTATTGGTGTGTGCAGCAGACGACGGTACTTTAGACTTTTGGGATTGGAAAACTGGACACCATTTTAGCTCTACCAAAAACATTCCTCAACCAGGCTCGTTAGATTCTGAATCCGCTGTGTTGGCATGTAAATTTGATAGAAGTGGAGCTCGATTAATCACTGGAGGTGCTGATAAATCTATTAAGATTTATCGTCCCGATGACACGGTAATGCCACCTACAGAAGAGGAAAACGAGCAAAAGTTTTACATTTCTAATTTATTTGGAAAGAAAAAATACTAGGTCAATAAATATATTAAATGTGTCATTCAAGTGAATTTGTATTACTCTTGATATAAATAATTAAACTCAAACTTGCTGGAAACTTGGGGTAAGGAACTGATAATAGGACCAAACTTTTTTGAATTTTCATAAAGATCAAACAATGGCACTGGTATAAACTCATAATTTTTGGGATAGGCTATGGTACCTATTTAAAGTAGAATATTTTCACAAAGACATTATGAAAGATTACACTTACATCCTGCAGGAATTGTCACTAGATAAATTAGCTTTCTTTCTTTTGGTTTTGTGATGTGAGCTGGGCAATATGGATACTATTATATCATATGTGGTTTTCAGAGTTTTAGTTAATTTAATACAACTTTGTGTACATACTAATAATGTTTCAAAATTTGGTCTATACCACACCGAAATAACTCCATGTACAATCCATTCTGGCATTGGTTCGTTAGAATCTTCAGGTGCAAGACGCTTGGTTAATTTTCGTTTCAGGCATTCTTCTTCAGTTTCACCACGACGACACCGTCCTCCAGGTAATTTGTAGAAGCCTTTTTGATTATTTCCAATTCTTAGCAACATTATATGAGGATGTCCATGGATATTAACAGCAATCGCAGCTTCAACAGTTCTTTTCATTCCGTGCTGATGATAATTTGCTTCCATTCTTTTCATTCGTTCGGGCACTGACTTATCTTTCTCCACTTGCGAATTTTTCTTGATGAGTTTAATACTTTTAAAATCATACAGGTCCACCATTTTCAACTCTTCCATGCTCCGATCATACTTTTCGGATGATTTGGCTTTAGCAATCAGAGATGATGAAGTCATGCCGGAGGGAGTGGCAGCAGATCGGTTCTGCAGCATTTTTTTTGTGATGATGAACAACAATCATTAAAATTCTTTACAAACACACCAAGATGTTCTTTTCAAATCGTTTCCCCTGATATATTACAAGCAAATATGTACATTAAATGTCTTCATCCCAGATTGTATGAATCAATAGATTTATGGCGGCGCAATTGGTACTAGAAACCTGTCAGATATTCGTCAATCCCACGTCAGCTGATTTGAGTAAACTCCAAAGGAATCAAAAATAAAATGAGTGAGTCTCTTCCTGATTGGTTTGCAAGGGTTTGAAGAACCGAAGCAACTTGGGTTCTTACTGCAACAACAGACAAACTGAAACGAAATATAGAGGCCATAGGACGTTACACCATTATTCGCTTCAGCTGAAGCTTGTAAAACAACAGCGTGCCAACGAACAGCTCACGGAAGACAGATCCTTGCTAGCACCCTAAACCAGAACTATTACCAATTCTACTGCATGACATTCAACGAATAAATTTTTTTATGCTTTCATATTCATTTTTGACTTGACGAATATCTGACAGGTTTTTAGTGCGCTTCAACGTCGGATGCGCCGCCATAAAATGGGTCAAGAACCATCCAAAGGCTCACTTCCCGAGTCATCAGAATCAACGAGTAGCTTTCCACGTGCGAATACAGGATCACCATCATCATCATCACCAACTTATCAAATTCCGTATACATCATTTTCTGTTCCAAAAATCCAAGGAGCTTCTTCGAATGCTCTCCGAAAATTATCATTGTTGACGAATCGAGTAACAACACCTGTGGATCAGCAGAAAAAGGAACAACAATTATCTACACCAACTAAAAAATCTGGAGATGATATCATTTCAGTGGTGACTTTAAACGGGCAAGGAGAGGTGAAAGTTGATGAGACATATCCAGACGCAATTAATGATGTTATTGAATCAAGAAATAATGTAGAAAAGGACGAGCTATTGAGAGAGTTAAAACAATTAACAGAATTTTATCCTCTTATTCGTGCCAAAGTAGAGACAACAAATTCACCATTGTCCAGTATTTTAAAATTTACCAAGAAAGATTATTTCACATCATCAAGCAACACAAACAATGTTTTTACAGACCCTTCGTTAAAAGAATTAGATTGTATAGATACTAAACCATTGGTTGATATATGTGCTGAGTTTCAAACAAATGCCATGCACAACAGTAGGTTTTTTGGTACGAGTTGTTTTATGTGACGCTAACAATCTCCTAGATCGTGCTGTGGCATTTAGGCAAGACGAAGTCCTAAAGTTATTGTCACATACTTGTTCAAAATCGAGCACAACTGCCAAATTTTTGGAAAAAAAGAATGCAGAGCTTCATCATGTTGCATCTGAACTTCGAGATGGTAGGTGAATCAGTGATTTATTATTTTCTCCTAACATGCACCGTTAGTTGAACGACTTGATAGATACGTAGAGCAAACTAGAAAATATGTGGACTTAATTTTATTGCAAATACAAGAGCTCGAATCATTACTTCCTCACTCAGTTAGAGCTCAACTTGATACTCCTCTTTTTGAAAAATGCAAGAACCCATTTGAAGAAGACCCTCAAGCGGCAGCCCTCACAGAACCAAAGCAGCAATAAAAATTTTCTGATAATTTTGAAAAATGTGAGTAAGGTACTAAGAAGAAGGCTCTGATTACGGCTCGATTCTAGCTATTCACCCATTTTGGTTGCAAGGTATGAAGAAGAAGACTCTTAAGCTATTGATTTGAAGTTCTTTATAGAGTGGCATAGTGTCACCTTAAAAATACAAACGAAAAAATCTTACACTCACCTCTTCTTTGCGAGGTTAAATGCAAGGAAAGAGTGCAATGTAGGATCTCCAAATTTACATGCTAGCGTTCCATCTTCTTCTTCTAAAGGTTCATAATTTTCTTTATCAATATTAGCCTCTCCTGCTGGCTTCAAATGTCTCATCCAAAAACCTCTATCGTATGCCTTCAATAAATAATATTCGTATTTGTGATTTATCTGGAAATCAGGATCTATTTCAAAAAGAGCTTTTGCAAACAAATCTAACTCTTTGTGACTTTTGAAATGAATACTTTTCTTTTTCAAATATTTGCTAGTCTCAGGATTATCTTCAGAAAAGAATTTTTGTTTAAATGAATCTTCCAATTCAAATACCATTTCGCCATATCCTTCTTCTCTAAGCGTTTTTAAATAATTCGCAAGCGGAAGAGGAAATGAAGATGAATAGTCAGATAACCCCAAATTTTGTAAAATCTCATCAATGAACTGTTGACAATTTCCAGACTATTCAATAATTTTGGTTAAATTTACAAATATTAAAAAATTCCTCATACTTACTCCACTTTCAGGTTCACCTTTTTGTTGCTTGTAAAATACCGAGGTGTTCCATCTTCATATTGCATGTCAAAATCATCATCATCGTACATTCAATACTTACTTGACAATGGTTTCTGCGAGCTTGTCCCGTACAAACTCAAGCTCATCCAAGCTAGCAATGCTTTCAATATCTGCACAGATAAGAGCGTAATTACCTGTGACAGTTCTTGGTATGCACAATGAGGAATTGTTCCATTCAATCTAGATTGAAGAAGCGATAATATGTACATGTCCATCCAGTGGATGATGATTGATAATTCATATTCACTCGCTTGATATTGAACTTACCTTCCAACATCCAACAGCGAGAGCAATATGGAAAAATCCAAACGGCGCCTTTCTCTTCTCCATATCTACAAACGGAGATATCATTCTCTTTAAATTCTTTTCCAATGCATTCTTACTCGTTTCCGCAACAATTAATTTAATCCTAATTTTGTTATTATCTAGCTCAGTATATGGATTTTGCATAGGTGTATCTGTTACATCGGTGGTTTCATCATCTTCAAATTCTTCTTCATCGTGCTGTCCCGTAGAGTTGAGTGAATTTTCAACTGCAGAGCTACTTCTACGAGATTTCGCTTCCAACATATCGGAACCACCAATTGGAGAAGCAGATGCTTGTGAGCTATATTTCATGGTTGCTCTCTGTAATATGGTTGGAGTAATCATTTTGAGATCTTTAATAGAACGTTGAAGTTCTTTTGCTTTTTCAAAATCGGTATGAAGATAAATTTCCTTCAATCGTTCCTTATCAGACAAAATGGATGCAAATTTATCAAGGCTTTCTCCTTGCAATTTCTCTCCGTATAGTGCTTGTAATTTCTCCATCACTACTTTCTTACCAGAATCTTCGGGTTGATTTTGGAATTGATCCAAATCCTTTTTTGTATCATTTGTGTTGGGTTTACTTGGATTAATTCCCATTCTTCTTGATTTATCACGTAATAATGTGGTTATTGTTGAGTAATAATTTTCAAATGAATGTTTGAAACGTTTGTGGTCGATGAGATAGTGCTTGATGATTATTATTTTTGAATTTGATGATGATGAGAGAGGTAGCTCGGAATCAATTGGTGTTCGCTAAAAGAACGTAAAAGATTCTCTGATGACGATGCTGTGTTTTGAAACAATCACCTCTCTGGTTTTTTAAAGAAAGAACGTCGATGAATTTTTTCTTTGTGATGGATGACATGCAAGATAAATGTCCCTTTCTTGATTTTAAAAAATGTCTTTAAAACTCTTTACATTCAATGTCAAACAATTCGAGAAGGAATTGGATCAACACTATTTTACTTCTCTTTTAAATACCTACATTGAAACCGAAGAGGAGAAGGCAAAAATTAGAAAATATCGTTTTAATATGGATCAATATAGAACATTGATGGGAAAGGTATTGATGAGATATTATTTAATGAGAAAGAATGGAATTTCCGATCTTCAATTAAACAATAATACGAAGCTACATGATGATTCTTTTTCAAAATTATTTCAAATCAAAGCAAGCCAATATGGAAAACCGTTTTTAAAGATGAAGAATGGAAATAGTTCGTTGGATTTTAATATTTCTCATTCTGGAAATTGGGTTGTCTTTGGTTATATAAATTGTAAGAATGAAACTCCTAAAGTGATTGGTATTGATATTGAAGAGATTCATGTCAGAAATACGAAACTGGATGTCAAATGGAAACACTACTTGACTGAATTCTTTGATTTGATGAAATCATGTTTTACTTCCTATGAATGGTCTTCAATATTATTTCCGTGTTTACAATTAGAAGGTAGAGAAATCTCCACAAGTCACTTTGATTTTGACCAAGCATTATCAAGTGTTGAAAAGTGTAATGATGATCTAATTCGAGAGAATATGATTGAACGATTCTTTATACATTGGACTCTCAAGGAGTCCTTTATAAAGGCAGTCGGAATGGGTGTGTCATTTGGAGAGCTAACAAGAATTGAATTTAGATTTATCAATCAAGGCACTTTTATCCAAGATCAATGTTTGAATTTAGAACCAAGCAGTTTGTTCTCGAATATCTCTCTTAGCGAGTTCACAAGCCCAGAGAAGAAGATTAAACTTTTTATTGATGGAGAGGACAATAGTTCGGAATGGGATTTTATTGTCATTCGAAATTTGACACCTGGTCACATGATGAGTTTGGCAATGGGTCATGTATCTTCCAAACACATTCCTTTTGAACAAAAGCTAGAGTTACGAAATAATTATGTTGTACCTAACAATACTGACTTGGAGAATGAAACAACGTCGGTGCAAATACATGATTGCCAATTGAGTGAATTTGTTACAGAACATACTCTCTGAGAGATTAAAACTCATGCTTGCTAATTTTCATCATACTGTGACACCTTTTGAGAGTGTCAATGACATTCAAAAAGGGAGGCCTATTCTCTGGCTGACCATTCCAACATTGTTTCATGAGATCCAAATAAACATTTTCTACATGAATGAATTGTTCCAAACTCACTTCTCCTCTCAACTCTTGCGGAATGAATTCTTTGGTCCACATGAATTGCTCTTCGTCATTCCAAAACGGAATAAAGGGTCGAAGACCTTTGGACACTTGAAAAATAATGGATAGGCCTCCCAACTGAATTTGTAATTTGTGAAATTTGTAAAGTTTTTCTGAGCAAGAATTGTAAGGATTTTCCTCAAAGAATAATTCCCACATGATAATTCCAAAGCTATAGACATCGACTTTTTCATTGTAATTTTCGGTACCATCAATCATTTCCTTTTTAGATTCAGAAAATTAGTATTGTCATTATGTGTGTGAACATGCATTCACAACTTACATTGGCCATATAGTAAAAGGTTCCAATACTACATGGATGGTATTTCATTTGCATCAGTGTGTGATCAAGTATACTTTCAACCTACCTTGCAGTGGTACTCGTATTGGTTCCCATAATTTTTGATAAACCAAAATCACACACCTTACTGGTCCAGGATTGATCTGTTTCCAAGGAGTTCATTTACAATTTGAGAGTCAATTAATAAAATAATAAAATTCCATCCTTGATTACACCTACCTAACAATATATTGGCAGGTTTCAAATCTCGATGAATGACTGGTTTTGGTTTTAATCCATGCAAATAAGCCATTCCTTTCGCCACTCCCAATAATATTTCAACTTTTTGTGTGAAGGTCATACTTTGAATTCCTCGTTTACAATCCAAAATTAATTTTTCCAATGTTCCTTTTGATAAATATTCTTGAATCATGCATTTCCTGTGACTATTCTCTGTTCGTACTCGTCGATGACTACTACTATTCGATGAAATACACACACCCAATAAATTGACTATATTAGGATGTCTTAATGAGCTTAATAACGCTGCTTCTTTTTCAAATTCATCATTATCTATGAAGAGATCTTCTTTGAGAGTTTTAAGTGCTACTTCACAGCCATTCCAAATTGCATGATATACTGCACCATTTGAACCTTTAATATATGTGAAAAAGATTCAAATGGTAAAATCTCAAATTTTGTGAAATTCTTACCTTCTCCAATTTTGTGATTGACTTGAATTTCTTCAATAGGAATGACATAGGAATTTGATTTCAAATACTTGTTTTTTCTTTTCCATTTAGCACTTAAAGACCATTCATCACTATCATTTCGTTCATTCATCGAATAGAGTTCTTTCTTTTCTTCCATGGATAATAAAGGTACACTTGATAAATGTGTGAATTCTTCCATGGAATAGTCCCGATCATTTGAATTCTTCTGATTGATAGTATTATTATAATGATCGATGAGAAATAATGAATCTTTTGTAGAATTTAAAACCTTTTCAAATTGCTTTTCTGATTTTTCCTTCACATGCAATCGATAGAGTCGTTCAATAACTACTTTACAAGCATAGCATAACGGAATGATCATGGATGATAGACACATGGCAACAATAACCAATGGAATGATAATATCAAGTCTAGGTTTTGGAATATCAATACATACACCTCCATAAATGGTAAAACCATCTAAAATCTTGTCTGAGGGACATGAAAGAATTTGAAGATTCATATCAATGGTGATCATTGAATGAGTGTTTGGTTCTTGGAAGAGACATAGTTGTAAGGGAACTAGTTCGTAAACATCCTTCATGCTAGCAAGTGACAAATTCAATAAGGAAAGTGTTTGATTCACTTCATTCAATGTGAGGAGGAAAGGTTGATCCATTGGTATATCAAGGATTGGAGGATTCATTACTACTTGAAACAATGTAATATTGTTTGAAATCAATGAATTTTTCAATTTCATTTGAATTCCTCTACTTAAAAAATTCACCTTTTCAAACGGTTCATTCCAAATCGAAATCTCAAGTTTTGATACTTTCTGACCTGGATATAACTTCAATTGAGGAATATTGTCATTGTTAAATACATGTTCAAAATGAGTTTCCTTCTCATATTGTACTCTCATTTCATATTTGATATGATTTAATGGTCTTCCAATGAGAGGACCATAAGAGAGAGCTGTATTTCCTTTCGATATAATTGTAAATTGAATCGAGTTCATGACAGTTTCAATGAATAGACATCCACCCGAGTAGGTTGCTAAATTATTCACACATGTCAATTCAGATGGTTTTTGTTGTTGATTTGAAATTTTCACTTGTTTCAGTTGAACATAAAGAGCTCCACCCTTAAATGCCTTATTCGATTCGAATAGATTTTCATTAGAATACAAGTACTTGTCATTTTCATCACTGATAGTCGCAATAGGACCATTAGAAAACATATTGGAATCTATAATTGATAATGCATCACTTAAATAAATGGCTCCTCCATGCAAGTAAGCTCTATTATTGACAAACGTGGACTGAGTCACCTCCAAATGATTTCCATACGATGCAACGGCACCACCATTCATTCTCTCAGAGTAATTATCTGTAAAATTACATTGAAAAATTCCAGGATTCACATTTTCAAAATAGAGAGCTCCTCCTTCTTGGTTATTCGAATTGTTTAAAAATGTACATAAATTAATGGATACTTGGGTACGAAGAATGTAATTGGATGGTACCGACATTCCAAAAGAATTTGAGATTGAGACCATCGTAGTAGGATGGAGCGCAGAATTGAGAGATTGATCAATATGTTGTGTGAGAGTATTTTCAACAAATTCAACTCCACTTTTCACATGCAATGCTCCTCCTCTATTATGTGAAAATGTACACAAATCCACCAAGAGTGAGGCAACTCCATTAGTAGTAATAGGAGTGTTTCTATTTTCAATAAATTGACAGTCCTTGAAATGAGTCCATAACGAAGAATAAATTCCAATAACAGGTCCTTGACATTTGTTAAATTGTGAATGAGAAATCACCAACTTGTTAATGGAAGCAAAAGAGAGAAATGAGTTTCCTGTGACTGTACAACGGGAGACATGAACCAATGTTGTGAAAACAATACTGCATCGTGTATGATTCATTGAAGAATCTAGCAACACAAGGTCATTAGCGTCTGACAAGTAAAGTTCAGAATTTAAAAATTCACATTCTCTTAATGAGACTCTAAATTTTGATTGATCTCCATGATTTTGAAGTAAAAATCGTGATTGAAAGATAACCTGCTGAAAAGTAGAACGAGTGATAAAAGTCCATGCATCTCTCCAATCTTCATTTCCACTCAGTGATAAAATACTCGAGTTTTTCAAATGACAATTGTCAATGGTTGTGTTAAAAGGTAAAACTAGAGAAGAATCGAAAATACTAGAATGAATGAATTGACTCTCCTTGATTGATATGATTTGATCAATGGTAACATTTCGAAAATTGCACTTTTCAAAATAAATAGTTGCAATATTAATCATGGAATCCAAATTAACATTTTGAAAATGGACATTCAAAAATTTCAATGATTTGCTATTGATGTGAATGAAGTTTTCAAGCACAATATCATTCGTATTATTATTACGAGGGATTCCTTCAATCACAATTTCCTGAAAATAAGTGGACAGTAATGATGAAAAATCGTCATTTTGATAAATTCCACTTTCAATGAAAATGTGACCTGAGAGATTAATGTCAGGAATGGAATTGTTTGAAATTTGTTGTAACACTAGAGAGATGGTTTGGCAAGGTGGATAGGTCACGTTTGAAAAGGTTTCGGAGGAGTAACCACATGGTACATGATCGATACCATGTTGCGAGCTTACGAAGAATGCATGAATGTGTGGTTCAAGAGCCAAAATGAAGGAATGATGATTGAGAATGTCGGCAAGGATGCAAATTATTGATAGTTTCAAACAGAGATGAAGAGGTATCACTGCATACATTGTGTTTTGAAATTGTTGTGGTTTAAAAATCGATAATTGAGCAAAGCAGAGACATGACTTTTTTTCCGGTGTGAACAACGTTTTGATGATGTGTGACATGGCAATGGAGCGAGATCTTGTCGCTCTTTCGATGACCCTCATGATTTATTTGAAATTTATAATTTTCATTCAGTGATTCACCTCAGTTTCCTACAACCATGGAATCCATCCCTTATACATCTTGGATAAGTTTTCTTCGCTGGTAGCTTGTTCCATTTGTTTGGCAATGATGTTTCTCACTTTTTCGTTGGAATCTGCTTCGTTGAGTCTCTGCTCCACTAGTTGAACAATAAATGGACCATCATAATTGTTATTGGAATTCTTTTGTTGTTGTGGCATAATATCATCATCAATATTTTCAATATATGATTGCTCTTCTATTTGTTTGGATATTTCATTAAATTGGTCAATCGTATAATCAAAGATGTCATTCACGGATTGTTTCAACTCATTCGTTCTTGAAATCAACTTTTTGTGATGTTGATAATGGAATAATGAATCCATAGATTCCTTCTTGAACTCTAATGAATCGTTGCAATCCACAAAGTACTGATTGACCAGTTCATAATGAGCAGTTAATTTAGCTTCAAATTGTTGTAGTGCTTGTCTGAATGCTTTGTGGAAACTACTCAACTCAATCATGGACTGTAATACACTCACAAGTTGAGAAATCAAATTCATGTATGAGATAGCTGCCTTAGAAGCAAGCTGTTTGTAGGGTGCAATGAATTTAGATCGTATCAAATCAGAATAGTGCATTTGGTTGGATTGTACCTCTACCAAGTCAGGATCTTTCAATGTTGTATGAAGCGCTTCAATTTCATGTTCCAACTCTTCAAATCGCTCTTTTTGGTGAATAAGATCTTGGTATTCTTTTTGATATAAAATTTCCTTCTCGAAGAGAGATTGCCAATTCTTAATGGCATTGTAACATTCAGATCCATAGATAGAACCAAGATCTGCTGTATCAAAAGGTACCTGTCTATCTTTCTTTTCCAAATATAACACTGATTTGCCAAAAACAATCTCTGTTTGAAGTTGTTTCATCATATTCTCCATATTAGCATTTCTCGTAGAAATATTGGTCAACAAGCCGTTGAATTGAGATTCATTCAGATAGGGCTTGCAAATTGTCAAGTATTTGTTTTGCTCTAAATTTTGAAGTTCTTGCAAGGTGTGCACAAGGTCATCACGAGCAAGAGAAGTCCGTCTCAATGAGTTTTCTAAATTGTCCAATATGGATTCCTTCCAGTGAATAATACTTTGATTTTTAAGAGTGACGTGACTACTGAATTGATTGTTCCACATTAGAGTCTGTAATTTGGAACGACATATACTCTGCCTTGGAATAATAATTCGTTGAGCTACACGATTTCCAAATTCTTCAAAATCTAAAGTCAACTTTTTGATTTGATGCATCAATGCCTCATTGGAACGAATTTCATTAGATACGTCAGAGCGGTAGATATTCCATTGTTGAAGTGTTTCTATCAATGTTGGAATGGTGACCTTTTCTACAAATGTATCGACATGATCTTTGATAATATTGATAATGTTGTAAATAGATTGATTATAAGATGGATCATAGTTCAACAACTCTGAGAATATATCGTGAAGCGTATCAAGCTTGGTGGAAAAAAATAAATCAGAAACATTTGGAATTAAGCTTAACTCTTTGAATGGCGTTTCAAGCTGTGTAAATTGAGTATCCATCGCCAAGCATAGTAGATTTGCACTAGAAGGATTACTGAGATGTACTTGGTAGGCCATCATTTTGTCCTTAATACTCATGTCGCTTTCAAATAAATCCATAATAATTCTTAATAATTTGATTACAGAATCTGATTGAGAGAGAGCTGTTAAAAATTCTGGAATTATTACAAACACAAAGTTTTCCAAGAATTGTTTGACTGTACTTGTAATGTTTGCAATACCCGTAGAGAGTAGCACAAGTTGGTCCTTAGTTGGTATTTGATTAGCGCTGGACAGACCATTATCGTGACAAAATACAATACAAGCTTCGATTCTGAGAAGATTTCTAAATCCACACCAATCACTCACATCATAAACAGAAGACTCTGATGGCATCATCGAACGGCTTGAGTCAATAGCTTCAATAATTATCTGGTTCAAAAGCGATACAACGTCCACAATTTGATGGCTATAAGATACCATTGGAATAGAGAATTGTTGGTTGGTTAAAAACTGTAGATCCTTGTCAAGCTTTGCAAGCTCGTTATCAAGTGTTGTTATGCTATTCAAAAGCTCAGGGAGTGGAACACAAATAGATCTGACAATTGGTTCTAATTGAGAAGGATCCTTACAGATCAATAATTGATGTAGCACGTTGGAGATGACATATTTCATGTCATGAGCAATGTACTCCATGTCTGAGTATCGGTTATACATGCCTTGTATTTCTCGTAATGAGGAAACCATCTCTGATACACACATCTTTAGTCTCACTTGCTTATCTTCTACTTCTTGTTGTTTTTGGAAATACTCTGTGCTATCCGTTGAGAGATAAGGAAGAATATTGTGCAACAATGGTTCAGGCTTGGTGATACTTATGCCCATATATGCTAAAGTAAATTCCCTATTTTTGACTGTGTTGAATAAATTGAAATGTTGAGCAGATTCGTCGCTAAACTTCTTCAATAAATTCTCCAAGGAAGCACTAACGACATGCTTTTCAGCAGCGACTCTCAATTTTTCAGTATCCAGCTTGTCTTTGGCAGATTCAATAGAATTGAATGAGGAAACGTCAATGCTAGTTTTCTCTTGTTGCAATATCTTTTCATTTTCAATGATTAGGCAATATTCTTCGATTCTAGTTTGTTCGGATACACGAACCTCTTCGAAAACATCGAGCAATGAAATACCCTCCATAAAGGCCTTGAATTCGGATACAATATCCTCTTTCTTCTCAATTACCTGCTCAAGGAAGAGTGCATCTAATTGTTTGTCAAAAATGGAGTGAATTTGTTGATCTGATGTTTGATCAATCAAAGGATCGCTGATAAAGGTCATCAGTAATTCTAACAACAGATTTTTCTCCTTGTGAAGCGACATTAATGTCTGTTCACAAACACTATAAAACTTTGATTTCATAACAGAATCTCCTATTGCCATTTGGATACAGGGTGTCAATCGGAATGGAACAATTTCAGGAACGGGTAGATTCAATCCTTGATTAAAGCATATTTGATAATCAATATGGATAACTTCGCTCGTAAACGAATCAATGAGAATGTTATCCAAATGCCTATCTCCAAGACCAACAACGTATCCAATAGCCGACATACATGCGGTAGATATGATAAAGTTCCGTTGAGATTCAAAGCTACTGTTAATTGAGGTTTGTGTTGGATTGAATAGAACATGACGCTGTAACGTATCCGCGGGATTAATTCCTGGTTCCTTATCGAGAGTAGCTTTGCACTTTGTAAATACCTTCTTCAAAACTGAAGTAGGATAAGGCTGCTTTGTAATGTTTTCAGATTTTAGAATTGGAAGTAAACACTTGTAGTAATGGTCCATTGGCTTGTAAACGCTGTCCTTCTTTCTGTATAAATTAAAGATTGTTTGTGTGTCTTCAATCCATTCAATTAAACCACAATTTTTTCCAAGAGGAGTAACATCATATGTTCTATTTCGTAGGAGAGGGTCACTATTGTTATACTTCAATATCATGTTAGATGCTCTAATGAACTGTTGCATTCTTTGATCCAATCTTAGATCTTCTTTTCCTTTCAGTAGGAATGTATACGACTTTCCATTGTTTCCTATCAGAATAATCTTTTTTGGTTTTGTTTTAGAGCCAAGCACTTTAACTTTGCTATTGACACTTTCCACTGTAACGAGACTATCCTCGCTTGAATGCAAGTGGAAACCAGGAATTGGGATATTTCTTAAAATCTCAGGATTTAGCAACTTTGGAACAACATCTTCCATTTGGAACTCTCTAAATATTGAGCCTCTAGATATTTGATGAGAAAGATCAGAAAGCTTATGCTTGACAATATCAAGTTCTAGGTCAGAAACGTCATCAGTTCTGTTGCTCAATTCAATCAAGCTCTGATAAATCATTTGTAACACTGATTGATACTGAACTTGAAACAAATGCTCGACCCTACTCTCTGGAAGTGCGTTCATAGTAACGTTGTACGTTTGTTCAAGTAATATTCTAAATTTTTGACTCTTGACACCAGTCTTGGTCAAATATTTTCTGCAGCCGGCCAAAGTTTGTAACCAAAGATCATGCCAAGTATGAGTCATTCGTTTGCATTCAGTAACGAAGGATATAACGCTGTTCACCATGTCGACATTAATTTTTCGTAATTCTCCAATGATATCGGTACTATTCTTTGCATGATCCAAGTACCTAACAACAGATGGGTAGATGATACTTTGAAGTCGGTGTTTGCCCAACTTCAAAATAATACTTTTTGCGTGTGCATAGTACTCTGTAAAAACACTGAATATCTGTGGTATGAATGGTAACCAAATCCTATAATCTATGTCCTCTACAAATCTATTAAATTCCTCGTCATCGAAACATTTCAAATCATTTAGTAACTTGGCTACTATCTTTGTCACTTCAAGACGTGATAAATTAACCTGATATTGTAAAATGTTTCTGTACATTTGCAATCTATTTTTGTTTTCAGTGTCGTACTTTTCTAAAAACTCGAGAGCCATATGAAGATGATCTTTGTGTGACGATGGTGATAATAGCTCTGAAATAGACACGATCGTATTAAGAATTGTGGGAATTACATTTCTATCATTGCCAGAGGTATGAATTCCAAGTGAAGAGCATATCTGTGCTAAAGTGTCTTTTCCAAGACTATGTTGATTCTGGTCAATCCAGTAATAAAGCTTGGACGGAGCTCTCTGAGAAATCAATAGCTGTTTGTTACTACTTCTGGAAAGCTTGTTGGCCAAATTGACAATAGCTTGATTTCGGTCCTCATTATATAACTCATCAAGTTTTAACATGGCCTTTTCCTCTTCTTCTATTCCCAGTCTTTCTACCAATGATCGAGCAGTATGCATATTACATCTATCCAAGTGATATTTCAACAAAGTAGTATCTGCTTTCTTTTGATCTGCATAAATAATAATGCCATATTTTGGTGAGATCTTAACTTTTTCCAAATTGTGAGCAGGAATGAGATTGGTTGCAAACGGAGCGACGTTTTGATGAAGGTATCTTTTGATGTATTGTCTGTGGTTAACCTCTTCAGTGAGAGTTAGCTTGCTTAAAATCAAGTCATCATGTCTGTTTGAGAAATTGGTGATTCTCAAGTCGACACCTGCTTTCTGTTGTTCTGCCATTTCAATATATGAGGTCATGGAAGGCGAGTACGAGCATTGTGAGGCAAGTTGAAATAATTCAAAGCTCTCATCTGTTTTGAGGTAGTACTTGCACATCAAAATTCTATCCATAATTTTGGTTCTGTTTCGTTCACTAAAAAACGATGGTATCTCCTCATAATATCTGAGAGCCTCTTCAAATCGACCTTGTGTTTCATGAATGAACCCTTTTACCACTTGTAAAAAGGATGGATGTTTTTGAAAATCTGTCTCTATTACAGTTTGTAATCCGTTCAACATCTCCTGGTCATCATACTCTTCACAAAGAGTGGTACAAATGGCAATTAATAAAGTCTCTACTCTTTCCAATTTTTCTTTCTCTGAAAGCAAGGACTTTAGTCCATTATAAACAATTCTTCCAGACATTTGAGATTGAAGTCTAGTGAACCAATCGTTACAAACTTTTAGGTTACTCGTAAAAAAGGTAACAACTTGAGAGTGAAATAAACTACTAAAAGCGTGGCTGTATATCAAGGCATTCACTTGCCTTTGAAGCTCGCTTATAAAATATTGCAAAACCTCGCTATCAGGATGTTTGATTAATAACTTCTCGAATTCCTCAAATGTTGGCATGGCGTTACCGAAAGGTGTTTTCAATCTGTTAACAATACAATAGAGTACAGCATTCGGAACGCTCTTGTACACATATGGATCCTCGATGGTTGAACTTTCGAGAGAGCTAAACAATCGCTCAAAATCATTGCTCAATGTAGTTCCATCAGGCAAGCCTTCACTTTGTCTCGATGAATAATATTTGAACCAAGTAAATTCACTGGTAACAGTTTGATCTACCAATATATGACCACATTTTCGAATACTTTCAACGGATTCAGAGAAAATAACTTCGCTATTGCTTTCAAGACATTTGAAAAAACAGCCCAATAGCTGAGTTGTTCCGTTCAAGCTGTACTTATCAGTGTCTACCTTCTCTAAGCATTCCACAACAACTCTCAATACTGCCAGTTTGTTTTCAATCGAAGAATCACTGTCCAATATGGATCTTAAGGTATCAACGGCGTTGTCTGTAGGAAGAGTAGTTTCCGATTGATAGATGAGGTGCAACCATAGCAACAACTCTCTTTGAACATGCTGAGACACCATGTTTCTGTTCAATAGTTGCAAAACTATCTCAAGTACTAACTCACTGCTCACTTTCCCTTTGAATTTGTCAAAGTTATTTCTGAACTTCTTTAACATTTCAATAAATGTTTGTTCATCACTTTGCAACATATCTTCCATCCAATTCTCATGACCGTTCAACAAATCTGAATAGATATGATCATTTCCCTTATCCATTGAAAAGGCCATCATACCAAACACAAATAATCGATTAAAATCATTATTCTCGGTCCACTTCAACACCTCCAATGTGCTCTTCTTTAGCAAAGTATTAAATAGCATGTCAAATATACGTGCAAGCTCCAAGTACAAGTAAGCGTCAATGGTGATCTGTTTACATGCAAAACGTAAAACTTCATTAATAAATATCTTGATCATTGGTTTAGATAGCACGGATTCTAGGTTGTTCAACACTGTTAGAACAAACGAGAAAAACTCTGAAGGTATATCATCACAAGAATTGGAAAGAAAGCCTTCAATGTAACCTAAAGTGTTCTCAGCAATATCGGTTTCCACGTTTTTAACAATGTTTTGGTCAGAAGACTTTCTTTGGATTGAAATTTTTTCTGTGAATGTAATAATGCATTCTAAAATGGACCTCCAAAGTTGTTTCTTCTTGTCCGAAAATTTTGTCAAGGATCCTAAAAACAATGTGTCAAAAAGCAATGCTAATATTGTCTTATTTCTGTTGAGAATTTGGAAAAAAGTGGGTGGAGACAATGATACACAAACGAATCTTAAGCACATGACAAAAGTTTGAAATTGGCGTTCATCGTTCAAGGAGTTCATGTCGCTAATAAACTTTTGAATAAGGTTGGAAGTAAAATCGAGGTGTTTTCCCTCCCAAAGTGATGACGGCATGTTTGCCAAAGACTCTCCAATTCTAAGCTTCTGCTTATGGAGCGTGTTTTTATCTAAAAACCACCCTACGAGAATGTCAATGACATCTTTAAATGAAGTTTGCATCGCGAAAGTAATGTAGTTAATGACGCTGTTAGTATCAATCTTTGATAAGCTTGACATTGTATCTAGGATATCTAAGACAAGAAATAGGTTTGATATGCTATCTAGAGTTGTTAAAAACCTTTGACATTCCTTGATGATGTACTGATAAGCATATTGAACAGTAGCCTGATCAAAAACAAGCAAGCTATCATCTTTGGCATGTTGTAATAACAATGATAAGAACTCGTCATAAACAAGCAAATAATTGTTTTTTGCTTGAAGTTGCTGTTGAATGGTTGTCAAGACTGTAACAAAGAACTGAATATCAACATTTCGTTTACGCTCCGATAACGAGTTGTTGATTGTTTCAATTGCAATCTTGTCAGTAAAATTTTTGCTGTTAATGCTTTCAACACATAGAAGAAGACAAATGATAGCCAGCATTCCAAGCCCGAACAAAATATCTTGTTGGTTGGACCTAAAGACAAATGCTTTAATTTCTCTACAACAATAAAACACTTACTTGGAGTTTTGTACTTGTTGAATAAAATACTGAATAAATTCTAAATAATTATTCTTGATCAAAGCTACATATTTGATGTCGAATTGTTTGGAGTTTGAATCAATCAACAATTCGTTAAATATCTTTTGCGTAGCCAAAGAAATGGATTCGGAATTTATGGAGGAAGGTAAGTCCAGAACATTTCTTTTTGAAGCCAGATTTTCGATTTCTTGTTGTGCAGCTGACGACGGTGTTTCGATGATTGTTGCAATGGACGACTCTACATCTTGACTCATTTTTTTAATAATATTTTCTTTTGGTAGAGAAGCATTCAATGCCTATAAAAAATTTCCAGCTGAATCGATCAATTACGTTCAATCACTATCATAATTTATTAAATTATCATCAGGCAACATGTCTAATTCTACATCTTGATAGTTCACATTGTTCTTGACAGGCCTTTTTTGTATTGGAAAACATGTGGATAAAAAATTCGATATTGTCAATAGTATTGGATATTGATTCAACACCTTATTCACACGCTTCTTTCTCTTCTTTTTTTCAAGCTTCTCTTGATACTCTTTCTCCCATTCCAAGTCAGACCTTAATTCATTCACAGCTTCCTTAAAATTAAAGTCATGAACGGATAAATAATATCGTGCTTCATCTTCTGAAACACAACATAATTTCATAAAAAGTGTTAAAGCAAAAGCCTTCTTCCTCTCTTCTAATTTTTGACGTTCCTCTTCCGACATTTCTTCAAATGTCAAGTTCTCTTTTGGTAATTGTGTTGGGTCAGGTATTTCAAGCTCTGTTTTGTTATATATACTTAAATCACTGGATAATATTCGATTCTTCAGTTTAATGGCTTCTTCGTTCACACCGTATTTGATAGCAATAGATGTAAGGGTATCATCAGGTTGAATTTTATGAATGACTATTGGTGGTAGTTTTGGTGGTTGATGTGGTTCATTTTGTTCAGTTGTTTCCTCTTCATGATTCGTGATGGGTGGTAAAATATATTGTAAAGTATTATTTGAAATTTGATCGTGAAGATCAGACAAGGGATAAGTAATCTTCTCTTCGTCATCATGAATCTCCACAGGAGGTGCAGAAGGTAAAACATAACTCATCCAAAGATTATTTCCGCTTAACCAATCATTCGAATTCAACACTTCGTCGAGAGAAGGATATGATATTTTTCCTCTACCTCCAGACAAGTCATCCACAGATAAAGGTTTAATATGTTTGTACATTTCTAGTTTGTTGTTGTCTTGAGAATGCTGCTTGTTGTGCTTTTGCTGATGATGATTTACAATCGTATTACTACTGATTGAAGTTTGAAGTTGTGATGTCATGGCAGTCTGTAGTTGCAGAGAAGGAGTTTCCTGGCTTGCGGGTATTATTGATGTGTTGGTGTTGTTGCGATGTTGATGAGTAGTAGTCTGATGCTTCATTGCATGAAAGGACAAAGTGTTTGAATTTTGAACATCATTCTCCTCAACTTCCTCTTCATCATCACTCTCTCCGAGTTTTGAAGGCTTTGACATGAGAGACATTTTAAGTACAATCAGTTTAGAGGACAATCTAGTGATCAAATGGTGCTATTTTTTGTACAATTGATCCAGTTTCGAAATTAATTAATTTTAATATTCATACAAATACTAATAAATCTTCCGCAACGTGAAAGCAACAAACATTATCTGGGCCCAGCCGTTACACAAAAAAAAATGTCAAAGGTTTGTATTAAGAACTTCCTTGAAGACAATGCAAGCCGTATTTAACAATTTTTTCGGAATGAATAGGGACACAGTATCTTACTCGTTCAGTTCGAGAAATCAGCTCAATCAAGAACATATTTTGATTATGAGTCTGTTTCTGAAATGGCTGATGGAGTTTGCAAACTTTTTGAAAGAAGTCTAAAGAAGATCAACTCATCCAAGAGTAAAGTACAGTATAGCGTAGCAGATTTACATGATTGGATTGATAGATTGACTGACATTACTTGTTTAACGTATGTTGTTCTTGAATAATCTTTCAAACATGATTTTTCTGATGCTATCATTGTGTTCGGTGATTGATTCACAACAGATTCAAAGATTCTGCCTACGTTCCACACGATAGAGATTGGATTAAAAAGACTGTTTATACCCACTTGAAGAAGACTGTTGAGAAAGCAAACAAATCCAACAACTAGGTAATTATATAGTGCTGATCATCATAAACATGTGTACACGTTGTGATTCAATCAACGTGATTCATTAAAAACTAAAATCAATTAATAAAATTTCTTTTATTCTTGAAGTTAAGAGGAGATTCATCAAGTCATCGTCTAATTGCTTGAAAGTCGTGTCGGTGAATTGTATGACGATGAAAGAGTATTTAATAACTTGTTGCTGCGGACTCAAAAATTTGAAGAAGAAAAATGTCGTTTCGGACAAGTCGAATCAACACAGTGAACAACCGATCCATGTTGTCTTCCTACAGCAACACGAACAAACCTCTCATTAATTTATTCTCTTTCAATGTTGCAACAATACAACTATTATTATGTGTTGTTTCAATAATCATCATGATATCATCATTGGGAATACAAATTCACGGAGCAACTCCGTCCTATTTACCCTCCATTCCTTCCAATGTCGTTGCCTCTGCTATTTCAACTCAGACCAATGTCATTGTATATTCAGGTAAAAACGCCAATGATATCATTTCCAATCCTCGAGTTGTTATCACTCAATTACAATTCCAAGAATGTGTTTTTATTGTTGAGAGTTTAAATCCAATTACAGATGCATCAGGCGAGAAATGGTTGTTGATAAATATTCCAATGCAAACATCTTTAAATCAAGATGGAACTACATCAGGTGTTCAAGGATTTGTTAAAAGAGATGCATTATATATTCTTGTAACATCATCTTCAAAGATTACATCATCGACAAATATGATGGCTGATATTTGCCCAACCATGAGTGATGTTACTTCAATCACTTCATCAGAATACTCAAACTCAAAATTAAGCATTGTGAAGAGTGATTCTGCAGAGCTATTCAAAAGAAGGTGTAGCGAATCTGGATGTACTAAGGAAGATTTAATTTTTAACTTATCTTTTGGAACTCTTCTATACTATGAAACAGTAGAGAAAACCGATGGGTGGCGAAACGTGAAAATTATTACGGGAAATGGAACATTGGGCTCTTCACAATCGTTTAACACACTCTTTCAAAACGCTTACATTCGAGAGAGCGACATTACCAGCTTTAAAGAATCGACAAGAGAACGAATTGCTTCCGTTGTAAGACCTGACCCAGACTCTACAAACTTTGATCAACATCCTATTACAAAATACGGTTTGAAGCTTATCGGGTGCAAATACATAGCGGGTGGAAGAAGCATATCCGATATCGAATCTAGTGATTATACAGGCATGGATGCAACCGGACTTACGAGTCTTCTGTACATGGTTACTTTTAGCAAACGAATTCCACGTACCATCAATGACCAATACAAGGCTGCAGATTCCAAAATATCAATGAATGGTTTTCATACGGGAGATTTAATATTTCTTTCCAACACTTCATCAGATTCAATGACCAATGTGATGGTGTTTGCAGGAAAGGATACTCAATCAAACGAGGAATTTATTATTGAATCAACAGAAAATGGAGGTGTGAAAATAATGACTGTAACACAAAGATTAGGAGTGAAGTCTGTACGAAATTTGTCAAGTGGAGACACTATTTTGAATGGAAAGTTCAAATTTTACTATGCTAGCTTCTTTGAGAGATCTATCCAAGATGAGAAATTTGTTATTGAGCTACTCTTGTATATCTTTGTATTGGGAACTGTACTTCTTGCCATCATGTTTATTGTGACCAAACATGTTTACAAAAAGATCAAACTTTGCGTGAAAGGGTCTGTAGCAGCTCGTAGATACAGTAATGTATAACATTCCTTGGACAATAATTTTATTCCTGCCATGAAATAATATTTCCACTTAGACTTCTAAACATGTCTCTTCTGTTTGGCACTGAGTTTGATCGACCACGTGACGCGTCTTGTGTTAAAGTTTTTCCCTCACCTTTCAACAAATAATCTAAACTTGATTGGTTGTGTTTGGCAACTTTACCACGTGGTGAAGGGGGATGTGGGTCTTCTTTGGCAACATTCTCTGCAGGTTTAAATGTAGCTGCAAATTGTGTAAAGTTGATAGGTTCAGCATTTCTATTATCCTCAATGTTAAACACCTTTTTGATCTCGTCTTTTGAGACATGAACATTCATATCCTTAAAAACTCTTTGAACATCTTCGATTGAAAGACTTCCCCTAGAATATGCATCCATTTTTCTAAAGGCATCTTTTGCGCTTTTATGATGTTCTTCCATCTTGGAAAACAACAACTCTTTAGTGTCGATTTTTTGTTTTTGAGTTTGCTTTGCTCTTGGGCTTTGTGGCTCCTTGCTCACAATAGAAATCTCAGTGTTACTGAATATGGATGAAACAATTTTGTAGAGGTTAAACATCAACTTACTGTTTTTGAGAATACAATTTCTTAGCTGACTTTTTCGTTGTCTGGGTAGAGGGTTGTTGTCCAGACAAATCGAAAGTGGAACTAAGTTGTAGATTAAGCATTTTCCTAGGGCTTTGGACTTCAGGTAGTTCGTTAACAAATGTGCCAATACCCGAAGATAGATTGTATTCTTTCTCAAATACTTTTTTAGAAGACATTGATTCTTCTTTTGGTTTTGAGGAATATCCAACTTTGATTCCAGAAGAACTAATATCTTCGCCAAAAAGAGGATTTCGAGAAGGTGGGGTGCTTGAATATCTCACTCCTTTAGGGGTAAAGGTTGTTGGAGATGCAGTATTTTCGTTTTCAAGAAGATTACTAATGGAGCTGTTAAGGAGAATAGTTTTTTTCTTTCCCATTGACTTTTCAAGCGTTTGTTCATCTTTTCTTGGTGTTTGGCACGTGCTGCAATCATCCAAATCATAGCATGATCTATTTAAAGCACCTAAATCTAACAACTCCTTTTGGTTCTCGACATTAAATACATCTTGTTTTTTAACTACTTGCTGTGTGAAAACGTTATTGTCGTCTGGTAGTTTGAATCCTAAATCGCATAAAAATTTGTTGTAATCACATCGACCATTATCTAGTGCACTCTTTCTGACAGCTCTGTCCACAATCCAGTCTGGTAATGAGGGATTGATTAATTTTAAGGCGATTTTGAATCTTTCAGGAGGCAGCGACATCTGTTTGTCATTATCAACCGATCGAAGAGATTCTCTTATTTGAACAGGATTCATTCCTGTGCTGTCAACCAGTTCTGATCTAATTCTTCTATTGATTATTTCTTCCTCTTTACTTACACGTCTGGGAGAGGGTTCATCAACCGAATCTTGGTGTTTACTATATCCCCAGTATGAACTATCAATTAGCTTGGCAAAGTTTGTGTAATTCAATTTTTTGTCTTGTGTAATATTTTTCATTAAAGAGTCAACTTCTTCTGGAGAGATGCTTATTCCCATCTTCGTTAGGCCATTGAGAAACTCTTTCTGAGATATTGTGCCGTCTTTGTCAAGTAAAAAGCTTTTAAAGGCTTTTTGCATTGAAGGAGCCGACGATTTAAGTTTGTCGGCAACATGGAAGGCAAGTAATCTGTAGTTTGATTTGGTAGAGTGTTGTAACTGTTTTGAAGAAGCTATTGACGAGCTTGGTACAACAGAGGTATTAGCTTCTGAGGTTGTGTCGGAAAGAGTAAATGAGGTTCCATCTTCAACCATCTGTTGCGCCTCATCAATTATGGTACTAGGTTCTGGTACAACTTCAGCTCTTTCGTCATCTTCAGCCACATCTTGTGTTTGCACTTGGCTTGGCTGTAATGTTTTCTCAGCAGAAATATCAGCCAATTTCTGGTTTGGAAGAGGTGTGTTTTCTTTTCTAAAGCCAACTTGAATCTGATGTTTGAATGTTGGTGCATTAGGAAACTGTTTTTTGGGTTTTTGAGACCTTTCTACTGCTTCTTCTTTAAGTAAACCATTATTTTGTAAATTGGTTTCAAATGCTGATTCCCCAACGCCTGCAGTTAAAGTATTATAGTCATAATAATCTATAAACCCGTCCTTGTTGTGGTCGCATTTGTTGATAACATAATTTACTTGCTCTTCTGACAACCCAATCCCAGCCTTAAGAATCATGTTTTTCATTTCTGAACTGGATATTTCTCCACAATCTGAAGCACAGTTTGTACGTTACACATTGAAATAGTATGTACTTACTGTCAAGCGTATCGCTAATTTGATTCTTTAAGATTTTGTTTCGATTAAGCTCTGTTCTTACTTTGTTAATGGCTTCTCGTAGTTCGTGGTTTTTTCTTTTCATTTCTTGAAGCTGAGCATATGAGCTGTCTGATTTAGGATTACAGAGAGGATTGTCATCAGATGCATTGATGACTGTATTTTGGAAATGTTTCTTAGAGGGAGTTCGTTCTATGGTCGATTCTTTGTGTGGTGATATTTTTTTCTTTTCCTTTGTTAGCATTGTCAAAAATTTCTAGTACTTACCCCATACTTTTTTTCCTCTTTCTCATACTCCGAAAACTGGAGTAATGGCGACTTTAGAGGAGTAGTTAGTATTTTAGAAGAATCATTCTCTTGAGATGCAACACTTAGAGTAAAATCTGATTTGAAGGTGGGTGAGACGTATCTTTTTAGTGGTCGCTCCTCATTCGTATGCTCTGGTGTAAATGACAAAATATCTCCAACACTGTCTCTCTTTGGAAAGGTAGCTAATGACCCCTCAAATTTCGGTTTAGCATCTGGATTCAATTCTGCATCCAGTATTTCTGACGTTTTGTATGGATATGTTTTAATTCCTCGGGGAGAGTATTCTGAATTTTCTAACCTTTTATCCTCTAAAATCTTCATGACAAATTGATTGTAGTCTACTTTACCACCTGAAGTGCATTCCTTAATTCTTTCATTAAGAGATGGCAAGTAGTTAGAAGGAAAATGGGAAACAATCACTTTCTTAAACTGATTCTCTTCTATTAATCCGCAACTAAGAGGATCTTTGTTCTTGAGCTGATCGTAAAAAGATGCATTGAGCTCGTGAAAAACCTTTCTGTCGCCACGAATTCCTCGTTGTGGAAGGCTCATTGCTGAACGCTGTTCGTTTGGACCAATAAGAGACAAGAAGAGTTCATAGTTAACTTTTGCGTGTTATCAACAAGTTTGATCGACTATTTGTACCTACCATGTTCTCCTGATCCAACGCTTCCCACTATGGTGTTGATTGCTTCTGTGTTATCGAATCCACATTTACCAAGAACATGAACAAACGAGTCTTTTGCAACAAGGCCACTGTTTTGTTGGTCAAGTTTTTTGAGCTCTTTCTCAATGGTCTTGCGGAAGTTAAAGAGTTTGATCTCTAACAGACCTGGATTATTTTCTTTCTTGTTCGGAGTGTTAGTAAGAGATCTGGGAGAAGAAAGTACATTAGAGTTTGGTTGATTCGAGGCTATTGTTGTTTGTTTGGGAGAAGATGAGGCTTTCTCCTTCCTTGATTTATCAAAGTAATCTAAAAACTCCCGGTAATCGACTCGTCCATCGGACGTGAACCGTTTAACAACATTATTAACTCCATTGGTTACTCCAAACGCTGAAAGAACGTTTCTGAATTGAGATGGATCACATCTGCCATCCCCCAACGTGTCGTGTTTTTGAAATGCTTTCCTTAATTGTTCCATCTCAAGGGAGAGACGATTTTTAGGGACGCCTTATTTTTTTTGTTATTTACGGATATCCCTCTCCAACTGGCTTTCCTTTAATGCAACAAGGCAACAATTGTTGGTCATAGAAACGTGTGTTTCCCGACTCGAGTCGTTTTTAAACGGAATGATGATGAGGATCAAATTTTGTTGAATCACAAAAAATGTCGAACAAATTGGAATACCATCGTGGTGATGAAGATGGCTATGATGATAGCGGAGAAGATCATCCAAATGATGATGATACTTATTCATCGAACCGAATGCAAGACGATGAGGAGGAGCAAGGAATTATTCGATTTGCTTTTCAAAAGGAATCATCATCAAAAGGGCAATTGAAAGAAATTCATATCGTTACTCCCGGAGAACTCATTGTAGAGAATGGAAGCAATGTGTTGTGTGGGCACGGAACGTATCGTAATGAAAGAAATCAACTCATAAGCAGCGTTTGTGGTGTAGTAGAACAAGTAAACAAATTAATTTCAGTAAGACCTGTCCGAGCGAGGTACCATGCTGAAGTTGGTGATGTGATTGTCGGAAGAATTTCAAAATTAACAGGTAAAAAGTGGAAAGTTGATGTACAAGCAAGACAAGACGCAGTGTTAGATTTAAATTCTGTAAATATTCCTGGAGGACAACGAAGAAAAACATATGAAGATCAATTAAACATGAGAAGCATATATCAAGAAGATGATTTGATCACAGCAGAGGTTCATAGAACAGATGGTAGTTCTCTTCAATTACAGACTAGAAGTTCAAGATATGGTAAATTAGCAAATGGAGTGATGGTCCGAGTTCATCCATCTCTTGTGAAACGGTGCACGCAACATTTTCATAATTTTTCTTTTGGAGTGAAAGTGATTCTTGGCAAGAACGGGTACATTTGGATAACAGCATCAGGTAAATCTTCAAGTGACGCAATGGATACATCTGATTCTAGAAAGTCTTCTTTCACCAATTTAGATGATTTACTAGCAGCTGCTGACACAGAGGAAGAAGCTTCAAGACCCATCTCAAAGATGACTTCAAAACCTGGTGAACCATTTGAATCAAATAGTTTCACTGCTGCAGGAACGTATACAGATGTAGTGACTGGAAAAGATAGAGAGGTGGTTTGTCGAACACGAAACGCAATAATTTGTCTACAATATCCCTTTCATTACTCAGCCGTACCACCTATGTTTTGTAAACTGGTGGATGAACTTGCAAAATTCAAAAAATTGAAAAAGGTCCCTCACGGTCCGACTGTGTCGAACTAGGGAAGTGTGAAAGATGATTTCCCACTTCCCAAATTTAATGTTTGTTGTCAACATAAAACAAACGCAGTTGGTACCTTGGTTTGGTGTTAGCCGCACCTACAGTAAAGCAACTACTTCCTTCCAGCTCCATTTCAATTCATTACGAATTCACCAAGCTTTTAAACTCGGGCTGAACCTGAAGACGCGCGTTAGCACTGAACTGCAGGAAGCGGATGAGAGCATGGTGTTGGAGACATGGTTGGCATTAACAAAAGTTTTTGGGTGTGACTTGTGTCAGATTATCGAAGCCAGTCTTTTAGACTCGGGGCTGAACCTGAAGAAGCGCGTTAGCACTTGACCGCAGGAAACCAATGAGAGCACTAGCTTGAGGGAATCTGACACACGTCACAGAATATATGCATCTCACTTTATATTCCACACGTATGGTATTGAAACCAACAATGTGAGTGGACATGTTTAGCGCATGCGCTGCATTTGAAAGTGGTGTTGGAACGAATTCCTTTTCTCTTACAAAATTCACATGGTTTGGGTTGTTGGGTCAACATTGGAAAATGTTGCAACGTTGAAATTTCCTTATACCGAGGTTGTCGATCACTAAGGCTGTAAATAATGGCAACCAAATGGCCTAATTGTTGAGGCTTTCGGTTATTGGGTCCCATATGGAAATATTGATATAATTTGTGAGAACCAACCACAAGTGTCTTCATCATTGCAAAAAACATGCATCGTTTCCAACTTCTATGTCTACTTCGAAAATGGTACAAATTCAATGCAGCGTCAAATGAATCAACACTTCCCATGTTCATGTTATAAAATCGTAAAATGTCACATCTTGGTGTTTTGTTAGACCCTTTGGCTTTGACACGTTCTAATTCTTCTCTTGGAATTGAAGTGGACCCAACAGACGCCATAAAATTACATTTACCAGAATCAAACACTGAGAGTGCTGCAAAAGCGTTATCATTTCTAACAATAAAGCTTTGATCTCCTTTCTGTTTGAGATCCGGTTGCAAATAATTGGAAAATATTTCGGAAGGCCGATTACTTTGGCAACTCAATACAAATTCAAAGTTATTTTGTTTCAATTGCTCTGCTAATGTCAAACTTCCGTAAAATTGATCAGTAATTATTGTGTACTTTCTTGTGTTGTAATCTGGAAGTTTCTTGGCCAAATCCATAACATAATCAACTACGGTAGTACTAAGGTTATGCTCATTATTTTTCCCTCTGTATAACCAAAACCAAACCGGCATCCCGAAACTGTCACATAGAATAAATAATTTTAAACCTGTGGCATGTGGTTTACCACGGACGTGTTGTCTTCCCTTAAACCGTCCTTTGAACAATATAATACATTCATCAACAACCCCAATATTACTTGGGATCCAACACTCATGAAGCAGGTTGCAAAACGTGTCTAATATCCAATCAATATCGTATGATATGCATTGATGAATTTCTCGAAAACGTTTCTTGGTCATTATGTTGCGAATTAATCCGTTCCCAAATAAATATTCCTCTTCCTTTGTCCAATAATGTGCCAACTCCGGCATTTTGATAAGCCCCATTGTAAAAGTAATCGCAAAATAATAGTTCAATTCCTGCAAGGTAACCTCAGGTTTTTTCAATTCAGCACATTTTAAATTAGTTTTTTCTAAAATATGCTTTTCCACCTCAGCCGTGTATAATTGTTTGAATAATTCAAAACTATTTCCGTTTGTAACTTTGTTTGACGGTTTGCCACATTCTTTGGTGATGTATGGATTACAGAATTCCGGTGCTTTTTTCCAGCCTTCAGGAATATAACCATGCTTGTCTTTGTTGTGGGAGAGGAGAGCTTTTTTGCTTGCAAATTTCTTATTACATTCTTCGCAAACAATACTTGATTTTTTCTTTTTTTTTGATTTCTCAATTAATCTACTTGATGTCATTGATTTCTTTCTTTTCTTAGTTTCCTTGGTTTCGGCTGATGAATTATTGTTTGTAGATTTTTTCAATTTTTTAATGCTCCGTAGATTCCCTTCAAACTCATTTTGAGATGCGTTTGGATTAAGTGATGCGTAGAAGTTCATTATAGTTTGGACTAATTGTTGTTTGTTTCCTGATGTCCTAACATGATATTGTTTACATAATTCTTTTAAATTCTTGTTTGTGAGTTGTTGTAGCTCATCTTGTGACATTTTGATGATTTGTTGTTCCGATGATTTTGTTTGTTGAGTTTCACCCGAAGGTAGTTGTTGTGATGATTGTGGTAAAGTACTAGGTTCATTTTGTTGTGATGATTGTTGTGATGAGCAAAATGTGGCGCGTCCGTGTTGTTGTGGCCTGTTTGACTTGCTCATTTTTTCGTTATTTTCCAACAACACCAACGGCAACATTGATTCATAAATCTACTCACTCACCACATGTGTGATGAGTAAGGATGAAGTCATCGTTTAGTGTGAGCCTGTTGCAAACGGCTGACTCAAAATCCTACAATTAATTTGGATGCGGCTTTCCGAACCGTGACTCACGAAATACAAAAATAGACGTGGGAACTTGGCATTTTATTTTTAAATTTGCTGCTTTTTGATTGGATGCAGGAAAGAGATATCAATTTTTACCTATTTATCCCGAGACTATTATGGATGTCTATGAAAGTTCTCTTCAGCTCTCTGTTAAAGACATGCTTTCCAGAGACAAAATACCTCTCATTACTCAAACTGCAGCTGTAAGAGTTCAAAAACAGTTAATGAACAACGAACAAATTTTTTAATTATCTATTGTATGCTCAATAATGTTTTGGATGACAAGGTTAGCTTGGAAAGGGTATGGAGTTTGTTTGATTTGGTGCTGAAATCTTTCAATCTCATGAATGATGACATGCATTCTCTCGATTTTTTGCCAATTCACAAGAATGGTCTCTTCCTCGTTTTCTACTACAAATGGCTCTTCTTTTTGACTTTCTCGCAACAGTATCAAATAGGGCGTGCTGTCCAGTTCGTTTAGAAAGCCTGTTCAACAAGACACAATTGAAACTTACAAGTATGGAATACATGGCGAATTGATAAGGTGAGCTGTATTCATCTTAAATTCAGTGGAGGCCAGTCCTTGAAATTTGTTCAACAATGCTTGGTCAGTTAGTGGTCTTTGATTCAAGCTTATTGAAAGCCCTTGAACAAGTGCAAAAAACGTGGAGTAATTTTTAAACTTGTTTAAAAACTGAAACAGTCCCTTGATCGTCCATCAACCCCGTTCAACAAAGTACTTACTTGTGAAATTAACATCAATTTTTCAAAAGCCTTGTCGTCCATTCCAGCTTGTGTACAAGTACATGAAGCTGCCCAATTCCGTATCCGTTTGTAACGATTAGAAATGGCACGTATGGAAGGAGAGGTATCGATGAAATACAATTCCTGGGGCTAAACCAAATGAAGATGCTTGTAACGAATAGTCATGTACTTACTTTCATTTGACAAAGAATGAGCTCGTCCTGAAGGCATAGCTGTCTTGCAAGATCACATTCGTTAATGTCCCAGAAGGAACAGTTGTAATCATTCACTATTTGAATTTCTGGAGCATAGAACATAACTTGGGTATTAAAAGAGATGGGAAATAAGCCATGCACCATCATCATTAAGGTATGTGAAGAGGTCTTTTCTATGATCCCTGTTTTTTCTAAGACAAAAAGCAATCTGTCCAACTTTCCTTGTATGCATGTATCATTGGACACATCGGAGTGCTCTTTAATCCATAAGAACAACTTTCGTTCCAAATGTATGGCTTTCTCAAAATGAAACGAGAGAAAATCCACAAAACTCGCGTTTGAAATGAACAGATGGCTCGAGGCAATGAAGCACCTCATAAACTCTTCGTTCCGAGTGTGCAGAAATGCTTCCAGAAGCTCATTCAGCGAGATGCCTTCGAAAGACAATAGGGTGGTCCCATCATCAGAAAACACTGAAGGATTTTTCGTTGAAGTTGTAAGAATTGCGTCCAAGACAGGTTCAATTTCTGAAGCAATGAATGAAAGTTTACCGTCGTTTGATGCTCCCGACTCCTCCTCAATGCTCCTCGCTGAAAGCCTCAGTCCTAACTCTTTGAGACTGCCTATCATGAATTGTAAAACAGTCTCTTGGTTGAATGTTTGTTTATTGCCCGATTCGGTTTCAGTGTTCGTGTCGTGCATATCCTCCAACTTCATAGTGCTATGGGCGGAAGCATCGTCTTCAGTTGGCTCAATCATTTTTAAAAAGCTGTTTTCATCTCTCACGACCGTTGAAGCCAAATGAACAATTACAGCAATTTCTTTCAAAAAGCATCACTAAAACACAGTCCTGATGACGCAAGGTTTATTAATAACCTTGTTTGTTTTGGAGGTTTTGTTTTTATTAACGGTTTTAAGTTGCTCAGCACTAAAATAAAAGAGCAAAAGCCACAATTTATTACAAATTCAACAAGTAAATATAATCATCAACAGTCAGTTCCTGACGAACCATTCATTCATTCTTTGAATCAAAAGTGTTGTTTTGGAGGTGGATAAGGAATTGTCAAGGCGTTCACTTTTCCATGATCAGTTCCGACGAAAAGAATGAATCAAGTTATTCAAATTGATAGAGTTTCAATTCAATGAGTCCTTCAATACTGATAGAGTTTCAACTCTTGTTGAGGTTATCAAAAAAAAACTCAACAACAACCTTAATCTCAAACAATGAAGAGAAGTAGAGAGGATGAACCTACTCATCCTCCTACTAATCCATCTCTTGCACACGGCATCATTCCATTCTGGGATGAGTACTCACAACAAGTATCGGATGAACTTTGGGCATGTTCAAGAGATTCCTTTCATGAGTTTAATCAGTACAACAACAAGGGATGCACTGACGGATGGTTCAACTTTTCTCAATTCACTGTGATTGAATCCAAGCCAGTGTTTGATGTTCCACTCAATGTTCATCACTCTATAACAGAGAATGTGGCTTTTGATAACTCTAAAAAGCCACCTCAGCTCAAGAAAGCAAAAAAGAATCAAAAGGTGGCCCAAAAATTTCAAGCAGACAAATCCTTGAAAATCCGACTCTACCCCAATGAACAAGAAAGGACAACATTGAATCAGTGGATGGGAACTGCTCGTTGGATCTACAACAAGTGTTTAGAATTCACCAACAAATCCAAAGGTGTCAAGAAAAATAAGAAGAATTTCAGAACGTTTGTGAACAACGATAATTATCAGACAGAAAATCAGTGGGTTGTGAATACTCCTTATGACGTAAGAGATGCTGCCGCTATTGAATTGTTGACTGCGTTCAAAACGAACTTCGAAAAGAAGAAGGCTGGAACGATTGACAAGTTCATGATCCGTTTTAGGCGAAAGAAAGACAGAAAAGATCATTTTGTTCTCCACTGCAAGCACTGGAAGAAAAAGAACGGACTGTATTCTTTTATTAGGAACATCAAGAGTGCCGAACCTTTGCCTGTGGAGCTTCAGTACGATTCCATCATTATTAAGAACAAGTTGAACCATTATTATTTATGTATTCCACAAGTACTGGATATTAGGGGTGAGAACCAAGCCCCTCAACATTCAGGACAAGTTGTAGCATTGGATCCAGGAGTAAGAACATTTCAGACCACCTTTGATTTGAATGGTTATTCAACCAAAATGGGGCTCAGGAGGTGCCGAAAGAATTGGTAGATTGTGTTGCGCGTATGACAAGTTACAATCGAAGTGGTCTCAACCAGAAGTCAGACATTGCCAAAGATACAAGTACAAGAGAGCAGGAAGAAGAATTCAACAAAAGATTAGAAATATCGTGGATGATCTACACAAGAAACTGTGTTTGTGGTTGTGTCGAAACTACCAAGTGATCTTACTTCCTTCGTTTGAGACTCAGAAAATGGTAAAGAAACTCCATAGGAGAATTAATAGCAAGACAGCAAGAAAAATGTTGACTTGGTCACATTACAGATTCAAGCAAAGATTGCTTCACTAAGCTAGAGAGCATCCGTGGACACACATTTATATTGTCAACGAAGCGTATACATCCAAAACTTGCTCATGTTGTGGACATGTTTATACGGTTGGATCATCCGAAGTGTTTCGTTGTCCATCATGTGGCTCAATTTTTGACAGAGATATCAATGCAGCAAGAAATATTCTTCTTCGATTCCTTACTACTCATAGAATTAGTTTTTGAGCACCTTGTGTGTTGGGTCTTCCCCACCTTGTGTGCGTTGGGTCCTTTCCCCTGGCTTTCACTCTTTGAGTGTTTGCTTGCAAGATCAGCACTTTGTTCGATTTGTTTGTTTTGTTCAAAATGTTGATTTAAATAAAGGCGTGTTGATTGCCCAAAGTATAAAGCTGCATCGAAACCTTAATGAATAGCATCACCCTAATATGCAAATGAACAAACCTAAAAAGGGGGAACCAGCGGAAGGTGCAAGATATCTTCCTTTTCGTTGGACACAACAAGTTCATGCAGTCAAATGGTCTTTACCAGATACACCGAAATGACAATGCTCGCGTGTGCGGCACAAACACGAGCGCTATCATTTCCAAAATGGTTGAGCTGAACGAAGGAGAAAAAAAATGCGATTTGCTGAAAATCTCCATCATGGTTGTCGTGCCGAAAATCATCATCATTTAAATTGGACAGGTCCTATCGAGTTTCAACAAGTCAAAACAAAATTCAAAACATAATACTGTGAATCAAATTATTCGATTGAACAACATGCTTGAAGTTGCATATGCCTTCACCGCCATCTCACTTGCGGTTGTAGCCTTTTTCATTCTATCCATCTTTAACAATTATCTCAAAGTTAAACATATCAAAGGATCCTGGCAGTTTTTTGTCACTCTCTTCCGCTACCCAATCATCTCTCAACACATGTTCTTTGGATCTCACAAATCCCTTTATGAATTGACCAAGGAAAAGGGTGATGAAAAAACCGGAACTGTTCGAGTTTCCATGTATGACCGAAATATTGTTTCCATTTGCGACAAGGATATGTTAAAAGAATTACTGGTTGTCAAGGGAAACAATTTCGTCAAGCAAAGCAGACTCTATGAAATTTTCAATACCTTTGGTGTCAACATTCTCAGTGCATTGGATGCTAGCGGAGAAACTTGGAAGAATCATCACAAAGTTGCTTCAGGAGCTTTTGCAAGCAAGAATTTAGAATATATGGCTAGAGTGGCCTCAAAGAGTGTTGATTTATGCCGCTCATCAAAATGGGATAAATTAATTCGTGATTCTCCAACTAAGAGCTTTGTTTTGGATGCCAATGGAGACTTTTCAGATATTACTTTGGACGTTCTTGGTAAAGCTGGATTTGGACTTGATTTTTCAATTTTCGATGAATTGAATCCAGAAGGAAAGATATTCAGACGAGCTTTGGAAACCATGTTTACCAAAGGTATTATTGCCAAACGTTTTGTTGGTTTGAATCCAGTCTTGTCTTGGGCTTACCCATTGGTGTGCAAAGTATTAGGCATTGATCAAGCAGTATCAATTGTGAGCAACAAGCTCGATGAAATCATCAAGGACCGAACACAAGAAGTGGAGAAGAGAGGTCTCGAGGACGACGGAAACGACACTACTGCCGAGGAATTGGAAGACAGAAAAGATTTATTGAGCGTTTTGGTCGAAGCAAACTTTATTCAGAAAGGAATTTTAACCGATGCTGAATTGAAATCTGATGCTTATATTTTCTCTTTGGCTGGACATGAAACCACTTCCACAACACTTCAATGGGTATGCTACGAGTTATCAAAGAGACCTGAAGTTCAAAAGAAGGCAAGAGAAGAAGTGGATACTATTTTGGGTAAAGGCACAAACGCCAGAGCTCCCGATTATAACGACTATCCGATCATGAATTATGTCAACGCAGTTATTATGGAAGCATTGAGACTTCATCCTCCAGTGACTAATGTATTCCGTGTTGCTAAAAAGACAACCACCATTGGAAATATTACCATTCCAAAGGATACCAATGTGCTGATCAATATTTTCAGTGCGAACCGATCTGAGAATAATTGGGAGAAACCACTCGAGTTCATTCCAGAACGTTATCCATTGAATGCTGATGAACAATTGAAGATTCAACACGATTTTACATGGATTCCCTTCTCAATGGGTAATAGAAAATGCATTGGATTTAAATTTGCTCAAATTGAAGCCTTTGTCATTTTGTGTAGAATTTTGCAATTCTATGAATTGGAGTTGGGAAATGATGAATCGAATCCAAACGATCAAATCCATGATGTTCCTGGTGTTACTGTTAGGCCAGGTAATTTGAAGGTGATTATGAAACCAAGACAGGATTTGTAAATATCTCACACACGCACACACACAGACTTTAGTCACACACAATGCTGACGAAATTCTTTGAAAAAAACCCCTTCATGTATTCCAATTAAAAAAACAAATATTTGTGAATCCTTCGCTTAAGAATCAATTCTGTGGTCCAACATCCTAGGAGGAGAGCAAGACGGGTCTAATGGAAGGGAAGCAAGATTAACGGTGATAAAAAATAACGTTTTTACTAACAACAGCAAGTAATGGTGGAAGTATTGTGGCTGAGTAAAGGAAGTGATACTGGTGCATTTAATGTTTGAAAATACCATCACACCAAGAGGGCCTGGACAAATCCCGATCCTAATACACAGTATCACCAAACCAACACTTCACTATCAATTAGGCTTGTCCTGTGAACGTTTAAACTTGCATTGTTTATTTTGTTCATGTTTAAACAAGTTTGAACAAGTTTTAAATTGTTTGAACTTGTTTATAAAGTTTATTATGTTTGTTCATGTTTGAACTGTTTAAACATTTGTGAACAGAAAACACAAGAATCACAAATAAATTTAATTTAATATAAAAAAATGAAAAACACAACAACATTGCCACTAACACTTCTGGTGGCGTAGTAATTATGACACGTTGCTCAATGATGTATTTAATGCGCAAAGAAGCATCGGCATGAGATCTCTATTTTGCCATCTTCTCCCAATAATACATTTCTTGAAACAATAATGATATTCTTTCCCTTTAGCCATAATTATTCCGATTCGTGATAAATGCCATCCTGATAATCAAAACCAAGAACAACGAACGGGTGATAAAGAAAAATTCTTCTCTCTCTCGCTCTAATTTCTATTGTTCATCACTGAACATCATTTTGCTCTGAGGTTTAATTACATACCAAAATATTTATTTTAATTTTATATTTTGTTTATTGATGATAATGGTAACACAACGCAAATTGATTGAGAAAGGTTTTGGACCCGATCATCACACAACTGCATCTACATTTTACATCTTCCATGGCTATTGATATTTTTGCGTTATAGGGAGATGGAATTAATGTACACGCTTGAAGCTTTGTCTGAGAATTTACATTGCCAATCTCAAAAACACAATCAGATACTAGTGAATTCTTGTACAATTCAAACACTCTGGCAATTCTGAATTCTGTGTTCCCTTTGTAAATTACAAACTGCCCTTTCTTCAATGTAATATCATTAGACGTATTTGAGGACAAACCCAATAATTTACGACACTTAGGATAGAGACTAAACATGGCATTCATTGACATTTCTAGTTGAACAGCTCTTTCTTCCAATTCCTTCTTATTACTTTTATCATTCAATTTCTTGTATTTTGAGTGCTTCAGTTCAAACAAGAGAGCCCAAAACCACAAAACACTACCATATTGCCTACAATCATCAAACAAATGACATCCCCAATGGAAATTTGGAAATTTACATGCATCTGCACCAAATACTTCTCGGAAAAGTTTTCTGAATTTGACGTATATTCTTTCAGCCTCGGGAATTGCAAAACGGATCAATTACTTCCGGATATTTAAGGAACGGATTGTCTATTGGAGTGCATGTTGAGTATGTTTTCAGTAATTGGTTTCGCTTTGTCTTGGATAATTTCATGTATAGCACTTTCATATTTTCTAGAGTGAGAAAATTCATGCCGTAACATTTCTCTCTCACATATGCTTGTTGATATGTGCGTTTAATTTCTGGAATTTTAGGAATAATTTCTTTCATTTCTAATATTTTTCTAGACTTAGGCTCAACAGTGAAATCAGGATCGCATAACGAAGCTCCATATAAAATATTAGGAGTAAGATGTTGACACGAACTGGTTTCTAAACACCTTGAACATTCGTCTTTCATCAGTTGCAAGGAAAACCATTTCTCAATAGTATCCCAAATAAAACCTGCAACTTCAATTCTAATTGGAATTTCTTGGCCTGTGGATGGATGGATCACTGTGAGAGTGAATCCGTTCAACTGTTTGATTTCATTCATTAATTTGTCTGCGAATTCCCAAAATCCTAGCAATCGAATAGACTCCATTGACGAACATAATTGAGAATCCCAATTTAACAGTGTGTAATAAATTCCACAAGTAGACTTTGATTTTGTACGAAATTTCACAACGTCGTCCATATATATCAATACAGCAATTGGAAATACAGTTGTATCCTTTTGAATCATCTTTTGAAACATATCAGAATGATACGGTTGTGGTTCATTTTGAGTTAATTGATGACTCTCGAACGAGAAGCACATTCGTTCAACCAAAAACAAATCGAATATTTATATTTTCAATGCTTTCCCTTAATGATAGATAAACACATTCTTTGCTTGTAGGTTTCGGTTGTTGTGGATCCATCATCTTTTTTCTACCTCGCAATGTGTCATAGCAAGGATATTTAGAGATTTCTTCAGGATTGTCTTTAATTTACTTTAAGGCGTAGGCTTCCTTGCTAATGAGAAAAAAATTCACCAATAAGAAACAATATAGCTCCTCAACACATTTAAATGGATGAAGTTGAGACGAAGGACATGAAAATGAATCGGTGAGAGGAACATCATCTGTTTGGTCAATATATGGCATCTCTTGTTGTATTTTCTCTAAAAACTCCTTAATGGGCAAAGGCGTGATGGTTTTCTTCGGGCCAGAACAAGTCCTGATGTAAAGTGTCTTTGGGACAAATCCAATGCTGATGAAATCATGTTAGATCAATGCTTGCTGGTATTGGCTGTCTCTTCTGGTGATGTTGCAAGGCCTCATGAATTGTTATCCTAACAGTAATCTTCCAATGACACCAACAAAACATCGATTTCAATTTGTTCCAACTTTCAGTGGAAAAGAGTTGTTATACTTTGGCACCTTACACTTAGTGTCAGTGCTGTTGACCTTTTTATATCAAACAAAAAAAAGGCATGATTTAATCTCATGCATCTACTTTCCTTACGTATATTAGCTTGTACCTTCGTATGAAATGAGTTAGGAGGCACAAAAGATGATATGTTCCTTTCATTCATGATGATTGACTCAGCCGTTAAGAAGTATGACTACGAAACAAAAGTGATTCCAGTTCCATTGATTACCCTTCTGATTGCTTCAGCTTGACTTTAGCTGTTACCGTCATTCCTAAACCACTCAAATTCGATTACATCAGCCAACAACAGTGTTGAGTACCATTCTCTTGTTCTTCTCAACCTTTTGTAACAATTGAACAAAAGTAGATGTCACTATGAAGAAAAGCTGGCAAGTTTCACTCCCCTGTTGAACCAAATGAAAATGTTTTCCTGTACTGCAAGTGTTTTTCCTCAACATAAATCGCCTCACAAGCTCATTCAGCAAGCTCTGACATCCTGTTCGACAACTTCATCTCAATCTCTTTCAACGCCGTGTTGTATGGCCCAACATCAACTCAGAAAACAGGTGCTGAACGGTGGAACATTATTTGAACCGCTTGCCTCACAACGCTTCACCTTGAAAATGAGGGTGAGTCTATTCCCTCCATAAACTAAATTTCGTAGATGATCATTTGGTATTGTCGTTGTCAGACGAATTGTCCAAAAATTGAGTTCGTGATGCTGTTTCCTAGACCCGATGATGATTGTGCAGTGCAGAGAATTTTGAGGCCAGTTGCTCACACAAAAATCGCGTGGCTTATCTTGTTGCAACATGTTGAAGCTAAAAAAGTAATATATTTGAAACGTGAATAAAAATCAACTTACCGCCACCTTAATTTCATCTTGTAAATCCTTGTTCATTAAAATCCTCAACACCATCAAGGAAATTGAATACTGATAGAAGAACTGAATGAAGTATTACCATCTTGGATCGTGATACCATCAATATTGTATAAATGGCAGAGTTTTATTAAAATTTAACTTATGTACATAGTTTGGTGTGCTATTAAGAAAACCTTAGCTTTTTCAGACAAGTATATTCTGGAATCCAATTCAATTCATCCAGAATATACTTGTCTAAAAAAGCCAAGGTTTTCTTAAAAATACACCCCATTGAAATTTCTTATTTTTTTCTCTGTTTGAAATATTTTTTTATGTTTTTCTTGAAAAAGAAACTCTTTTGAAAAGTAAAATTATATTCTTGTTCGTTCATGTTTTTGGATGGCAAAACTATTTATTAAGACATTTTTTATTTTTTTTCCAAGAGGGAAAAAGTTTTAATTAAATCTGCGGATTAGTTAGGGCCCTCGTGTCCTCTGAAGAATAGATTGAAAAAAAGAGCAAAGAGAGAATTGATTTCACATCGAATTGAAGTTATTAATTTAGATGACGCTATTAACTGTGTGCTAGGATGGACGATTTCTCCTACCCCTCCCTTTGAACGATGTCATTAGATTTTATTGAACAATCAAAATATTCCTACCCTTCACTACGTTCAAAATAAATCAGGCATTAAAGGCCATCATTAATCAGATCTTATTCGGTCTTAAAGGAACTATTATAGATGATGTAACGTCAAGATTACCTTTCCAATATTGGAACAAATATGGTTCAACTAGTGATTGCTTAACATAAGAATACAAATGAAGTACATATGAGTTTAAGAATGGGGAGGGGTGGAAGAAATCGCCCATCCTAGCACACAGCTAATAGCCCGGATGGGGATGATTGCTAAAATACTGCTTAATTGCAGCAACTCCAGCAACAACAACCACCAAACAATCCCAAAATTTTTTTATTCCAAATATGAGAGTCGGTAATATTTCTCCAGACTGCATACTTGTAATTGGGTGAGATTTTCGCTTTCAAGAATCTAATATTGAGGGATTTTCAATGAACATGATCAATGAGGTTGGGATTGTCATCTAATTTTGTTGTCATTTTCTTGTGGTGAAAGGTCTGTGTCATTTCTCTTTGATTGAAAATGATGATATCTGTCTTGGTAAGAAGTCGTTGTTTACCAAAGAGTTGTCTGATGTCGAAAATTGTGGGTTGTGAGAGACTTTGTCTGGCTAGAGCGTCGACCTTAATATTCTCAGGGTCCTTATGTCCCTTTACTTTCTTTAGAGAAATTTGAAGACTTCTAGCTCTAATAATTTTCTGAAATTCTCGATAGAAGAGGAGGAATCGTCCTCGATAGTTCTTTTTGAGAGCTTGGATTGCAACTTGACTGTCTGTATGGATGGTTGCTTTGGAGCGGTTCGGTATAAGATGAATAGAAGTAAGGATGGATGCGAGTTCAGCAATGTTGTGTGAATATCCATCATGAATTCTGAGAGAGTGTGAGTGTAATAGTTTTGGAGTGTGACTGTGGTCGTAAATGTTGATTCCCATTCCAGATTTACCATTCTGTCGGGATCCATCAGTGTGAATTTCAAAGTTAGTTCCTGAGAGTTGAGGAAGTGAAAATTGTTGATTGTTGAGTTGGACAGAGATGTTGTACTGTCCTTGTGATGCGACATTCCGAAGACGTAGGCTTTTCTGATGAGATTGTTGGTTGGCCATGAGCATCAAGGTTCGAAGGTGAATATGCTCAATAAATTCCACAATTGAAGGAATGTCCAAACCAGAAAGTGTTGTTGGGAGATGAAAGAAACCTGAAGGAGTTCTCACATCGATGAGCATTCGTCTTTTAATTGCGGACCGAATGCTTGAGTTAATGGACTCGAGATGTTTCTTGGAAATGAAATTTGTTTTAGAGAGGTGAGTGAAGAGAGAGATGGCTTTGGCATGGATAACCTTTTTCAAGTTGAGAGGTTCCAATCTTCGCACAGGTAGGTATTTGAGAGAGAGTCGCAGTTTCTCAATCTTATCATTGACGTCTGCGTTGACAATTCGATCTGACCAAGGATAGTGACCCAAAACCCGAAGGTTTGGTTCAAGTGGAATAACAGTACCCTTAATTTTTGGTGTCATCTTGCTTTTTGATGGGAGATGAACCCCTTTGGATTTGGACGGGTTAATTTTGAATAGCAATTGAGACAACCATGTATCAACGTCGTCGAGTCGGTCATTATATTTAACATGTCTATTGCAAACAATATTCATATCGTCTGCAAAATTGAGAAGTCCGATATCATTGACATCCAGTTCTGTTGGAGTAATTGGAATGTTCCAATTTTCTATGGCCTTGTCAATTATTAATTGAGTGATGCAATCATAGATGAGTGGAGCTAATGGACATCCTTGGGGAATACCTCGTGTTTTGGCAAAAGGTGATCATTAATTTCAAGTTGAAGAGAGTGAAATATTTTAAAAAAATGATGCACCAAGTCGAGCACTCAAAAACCACCAATGTCTCACCGAACCATAAACGACCCTTTCATAGAGATGATGACGAAAGTTGCAACGACGAGGAGGAAGAGGATGGGATTAATCACTTGGATGATCTTTCCGAAATGTCTCTCATGAATCGAAGCAACCAATTATTTTTAAATGACAATTCTTCGAACATGAATAGGATCGCCAAAGAGCATAACAACCATGAGGGTTCATCGTCTTCATCTGTTCCAATGATGATGGCGAATAATCATGAAAGTACAATTTTAGAGCCACCTCGAAAGAAGAAAATTTCACACAGTCATTCCGATCACCACAACAATAATAATTACCCAATTTCATCATCCATTCACGAAAATCAACAAGAATCGAGTCATCGCGAGCACATGATGACTTTACCCAATCACAAATTTCAAAAATTATTTTCACAACCAAATTCAATATTTCAATTAATTTTTAAAAATCAATGGAAAACATTATACGAATTTATTGAAGAATTATTTTCAAAATATTCATGGATCCATTCCACAAGTGAAATTTCTCAACACATTTCATCCATCCATGACACTCAACAATTTGAAAAAATTTCACAACCATCAACCACCATCTCATTGAAACAACGATTACAACATTTATCACCCAAATATATTCAAATGTTAAATCAACATTTCATTGCCATTCCACCAGATGCTCCAAATTTGGAACTCACTCTTTCTAAGGCTGCATTGGAATATTCACAAGAATGTTCAAGTGTACGAGTACCATCACTGATGAGTGATCATCCAAGTGTACGAGTACCATCATTACGTGATGAATCTTCCATTCTTCTTTCAAATCCTCATTTTCATCTCAGTTTTAGACAAACTTGTAACATTTCAGAATTGGTGGATCGAATCATTGAAAGTATTTTTGCAGAAACAAGTTCACAAAATGAAAAACCAAAACATGTCTTGTGTTTTGGATTTGCTAAAATTAGACCCAATGCAGCACATGGAATCTCGACCATGACTACGGTTCAATCATTTTTTCCAAACTCGATCATTGATATTGTGAAAAGTCAAGAATGGGAAATATTATTATCTCTTGTTGGAGATTGTGTGATGAGTTATATTTTGAGATATTGTATCGTATTAAAAGGAACAATACCACGAAATAGTTTTCTTCAAATTTGTGGAAAACCATTGTATCATTATTGCCAAAATCTGAAAGAAAAGAAGAAACCACTTGCAGCACATTCATTAAAATTATTTCAAGAATTTGAGGAAATTATGAAGGACGAGAGAGAATTATATAATGAGAATGATCACCTGAGAAATTCACAGGTCATGATGATGAATGTGCGTTCGGACATTCACGAATTGGATCATCATCATAGTAGTAGTAGTAACTCGCACTCATTATTCAAGAAATTATCAACACTTTCGCACGAGAAGGAAGAGGAGGAGCTCGAAGAGGAGATGCACGAACAAGACGATCATGATCCTTCCAAACCATTACTTCTCGTATCAGAATCTGCGCTTCATTCTCTATTTTTGGACGAGTTGGAAGATCAGCAACACCTAATCGTTAATCCCATCCATACTACCACCACCACTACTACTACCAAGACTACTACTGAGACTCAAGACGATCGTATGGTACTCGAGTTTCATGATGAACATGTCGAGGATGATCATGTTGTGATGCATGTGATTCCTCCTCGGCGACAACGACGACACCAACGACAACGTAATGGAAATGATACATACAGTATTTCTGAATGTTTTATTCCTCGACAAGTCATGTTCTATTCGAATAAGAAGACACCTGTATTGGGATTTCCACAGAAACGTAGGTATTCATCATTCAAGAGTTTTTAATGTACAACAACAGTACGACCATAATTCTATTCATTCATTCATTCATATGATTTGTAGACATGTTCAATACGATGGAAAGATCGATTGAAGGTGCAAAGAAATTATTTAATTTTATTTTTTATGGTAAGAGGTGAGTTTACGAATGATTGTGTGTGAATGAAGAAAAATTCATCTTTTTCAAAATAATAATATTTTGACAATGACAATATATACATGATCCATACATACATTAGAGAACAACCTGATAAAAGACATGTCAAAGGTTATGGTTTTCTCTTAGAATTACTATTGGAAATGAAACATTGTCAAGTGAAACATCTCAAATCGACTCCCTATCGACTCTCTCATTATTGTCCATTGAAAAGAATTCAAAAAAAGAAAATCATTTCAAATACCATTTCCATTTCACATGCTGAACAACCACTCCTTTATAAAAAGATTGAAGATAAAAATATCAACAAGCATGGAAGTAGTAATATGGTATTGAGAATGGAACAATTGTTATGTACTCAAGAGGAGAATGATGGCACCATGATGGTCATGGATACTCTCAATTCCTCTCGTACAGTGCGTGATGATGATGCTGATACGAATAGTAATAGTAGGAACATTACCATTGCACCACAAATAGAAAGTGAAGTCATGTTAAATTCTTCAGAACAATTTGAAAATTTAGTGAACATGACTCAATCCTATGATAAGGTTTCACAATTTATCAAATCGACATGTAAAAAATTAATACCCTTTGAATTATTTGGATCTCAACACAATATGAATGTGATCTTTCATAATATTGATAGAATTGTATCATTGGGAAGATATGAAACATTAACATTACATGAATTAATGCAAAATATTAAGGTGAATGATATGAAATGGACGATTCGAAATCCATCAAAGAATTCTACTACTGCAATTAGTACTATTACTGCTCACTCTTCGCATCGGTCAGTCGATGTCTTGCAATTCAAAAAACAAACATTTATGGCTCAACAATTTATTCTATTTTTATTCAAACATATTATTATGGTATTATTAAGTACACATTTCTATATTACTGAAAGTGATCAACATCGAACAAAATTATTATATTTTAGAAGAGAGACTTGGGAATATATTAATCGAGTATCATGGTCAAAAATTAATAATCAAGATTCTTCATGTGATTTCTTGCATGGAAATCAACAAGAAATTGTTGAAACTATGAATCGAGGAAATAATTTACAACAAATAGAAACACAACAAGAACCACAACAACAGAAACAACAGAAACAACCACAACAACCACAACAACCACAACTACTACCACAACAAGATCATACTTACTCGACTCTCTTTAAACCTATTGAAAAAGATTTGGCTCTACAATTGTTAAAAAAGAAATCTCTTCCTTACACGAGTGTGAGATTACTCCCAAAACAAAATACTGCTCGACCAATTATTAATTTAGGAAAGCGAGTAATGAATTCTAATGCTGTTTCTTCTACTACTACTGCGACGACGAACACAAAGAATGATTTTTTAAATCCCAACACTTCAGAATTCAATTCTCATTCGTATTCGATCAATTCTAAACTCAGAGATTTATTAAGCGTTTTAAAATTTGAAACGAATAGAAATCCAGAATTATTAGGAAGTTCAGTATTCAATCCTTTGGACATGTATAAGAGATTATTACCATTTGTAAGAATGTGGAAAGAACAAGTACATCATGTCAGTGAAAAATTGAAAATATTTGAAAATAAGGAAAATTTAATGTTGTTGCAACAAGATCAATACTCGACACCATCGAATAATGATGATGATTTACATCTCAACACTCAACTTCTTCCACTCTATATTGTTAAAATTGATATCAAAGGAGCCTATGATTCAATTCCTCATCAAAAATTATTTCATTTAATTTCAAATTCAATTATTAGAGAGGATGAATACATTTCTGTGAAATATCATGTTATTCGACCATATATTGGAAAGTTAATATCAAAATATGAGCGAGTAATCATGTGTCCTAATCAATTTATGAGATTTACAAAATTACTCAATTCTCAACTTTCACACAAATATTGTAAATCCATATTCATCGATCAAGTATCCTATACATCGGTTCATTCCAATGATATGAACATGTTATTGAAAGAACACATTTCACAAAATTTAATCAAAATTAAGAATGAATTTTATATTCAAGTGATTGGAATTCCACAAGGAAGTATTGTATCACCTTTATTATGTAGTTTATTATATGCTGATTTTGAGAGAGTGTGTTTGAGTCATGATTTACCTGGAATGCACTCGAGTGGTGGTAATAATGGTAGTGGTAGTGGTAGTGGTAGTAGTTCCACTTCACATTCAGACTTGAAGAATTCCCACTCATCAAGCATTGTACTCTCTTCGTTGGAGAGTATGATGATTGGTACTACTAGTGGTAGTAGTAGTAGTACTTGTAGTAGTAGTCATAACAGTACGAGTCGTAGAAATAATCATGTTGGTAATACTGGTAGTGCTAGTGCCTCACATTCTTCTCAACATGATGTGAATAAGGACGGTACATGGAATTACTTTTCCAATGAGGACTCCACTCTCAAATATTTCATTCATGTATTGAATAGTAATGCTGCTGCTAGTACTACTACGTTGACTACCTGTGAGAGCCATGAACGAGTGGATTCTTCTTCAACCACACTCTTCACTGCTACAAGTGTGCACCATGATACCGCTACTACTACTACTACCACAGCTACTACTACTACTAGTAGTCATGGCACTAATTTTGTGTTAACACCACCCATTTCATTCATGAAGAGAGAATTAGTGCCATTGTTTTCACCCATTGTTGAACCATTACTACACAAATCTCATCTCTCTACCAGTACTAGCAATAGTAGTAGTATGAATGATCATCATAGCAATAGTAGTAGAACAAGACAAAATGGTGCTCAAGTATTATCTCTTCCTCAATATTTAATTTCATCACCCCCTGTGGTGTTTCAAAAAGAAGCTGGGCAAATTCTTTCACCACCACCACCACTCCCACAACATGAGGATACTGTGTCATTATCCAATTCTTCAAATTCTTCATTGGTGCTTGTTCCCTCTATTGGAGTACTATTGAGATTGATTGACGATTTTTTATACATCACCAATAATAAGAATGCTGCACAATATTTTCTTGAAAGAATGCATACAGGTAATCCAGAATATGGAATTAAAATTAATCCAAAAAAGACAAAGGTGAATTTTGAAACCAGTGTAAAATTAACAAGCTTAACTCTATGTGAATATCATGCTGAACATTTGATTCGATGGTGTGGATTTAATATTGATACCCAAACACTGAATATCACTGTAGATTATTCAAGATATTGGGATTGTCATTTAAAAGATAAGATTTCGAGAGACTGCAGAACTCCCGGTTTTAATCTTTGTAGAAAACTCAAACAAACCATTAGCTGGAAATGCACACCTCTCGTGATTGATGGTACTATTAATTCTCGTTTCACATGCTATTTGAATGTGTATCAATTATTTCTATTTGTTGCAATGAAATTTCACACCACCATTCGGCACAAGATGAAACCCCAATGGGATAAGAAAAATCTTGCTCACATGAAATCAGCCTATAACTTGTGCAAGACAACAATTTCTGACATTGTTGGATACATGTGGATTTGCATTCAAAGCAGAAAGAAAGTGATACACAAATTTGGCTCGTTTTGTGAGTTGGAAAAGTTGTACGTGCAATATTTGGGAGTTTGTGCTTTTCACATGATACTGCAAAGAAAACATTCACACTATGTTCCTTTTGAAATTTTGACCCAATTACGAATTGTCAAAAGAAATTTATTGGCCTCTATGGAGGAAACTGGGACAAAACAACTCATGAAACGAGTTACTGAAAGAAGATTCTCTACGGAGCTATTGAATCATATTCAATTCTAACAGAACCCGTTCTCATGATTGTTCTACACAGATTCAATAACTCGTGAAAGATCCAAATCTTCGAGCGATATCGTTTCAATATATCCTTCATATTTCTCTCGAATCAAGTGCAAGAACAATACTAATGCATACAATAAATTATTACGTCCTGGCTGACATTCTAACACACTGCCATCATCTTCGACGTTGAAATGTGGTACAGGCTGTAAGGTTGTCAAGCATAAAAACAGTCCCTTCTTGGTTGGTAAAATCTTTGAATCGCCACCCTTTTTCTTGATTATGGCATTAGCAACAGCTGGAGCCATACTTCTTGGTTTGTAAAGCCCCATTCCATTACTACTTGGTTCTTGTGGTCTTGTCTTGTCACGGTAATATTTTTGAGTAAAGCTATTCGATCCATGAGAATCCAACATGAAATCCATGTATTTGCAAACCAAGTATACTAAAATCTCCTCGTCGCTTGGGTAGTCATTCTTCAAATGTTCACTGAAACTGCCAAGCTTGTCAAATGATCCTCTGGCCATGGCTCTTATTCGGTCAACAATGTGCTTCCTATTTCCAATCTTGTCAAGAGAGGAGGATGGTACGCTCAAATATCTTTCAATCTTTAAACGTTTTCTTAATAAAATTTCAAAATCTTGATAAAGTTGAGGCTTTTGCTTTTGTTGATCGAGTACATTAACCATTGTAGACAAAATATATTTTAAAGTGTATCTGGACGTGTCCTCTGAAAGTGGAATAAATGTTGGAATGGCGTGTTGATATTGAGGTGAAATGTCTAGTGGATTGTAGCAATCATAACCCTTAAATTGTCCATTAAAGGTTTTGTATAATTGTGAATTAATATTTTCCATGTCACTTGTGATAGGAGTTAAAATTTTAAAAATTATCCATCTTCTCATATTTTCAGCCCAATTATTCACAATAAATGTATTTAAATTATATTTTTCTAAAGATTGAGAGGCTTCTTCGCTCAAAAGAAGTGCATTGCTGTGCATTGCATGATTTTGAGCCCTAGCTGATGATTGCCAAGACAACATTTCAGGGTTAAAGTTGGCGGAAGGAGCCAATCGATACGCAACATTTTCACTTTCCATTCCACCTGTGGTAAATCCTTTATCTCTAACGACTGGATTTGAAAAGATTAATGAAGTGGTTGGCATTGTGCTATCGAAATCTATTATTGCAGCATTTGGGCCAACAGAAGTCGAACCTAAAAGAAGTCCTCCAGTGCTTGATGTTGTAGAGGTAGTGGGGAGAGATGGTGGTGGTGGATAGGTAAGTCCCAATGTATCAGCCATAGCGGTATTGCTAAGAGGACTGCTCATAGTTGTTGGATATCCAGATCTACCAAATACTAAATCATAATTAATCGTTCCATATCTGTCGGCTTCTTTCCTTGTAGAAAGAATTTCTCTTCGTTGTTCGCTTCTTTTTGCTTCCTGTTGTAAATATTCTTCATACAGTGCTGTATTGTATTCATCAATTTCTTCTCTAGTATTTAAACCTAGTAGAGCACTGGAAGGAGTACTCATAAAAGTGGGACGGAGTTGCTCTTGTGTTGTTGGTTTTTTAGATCGAGAAGGAGGCTTTCCGATGAATAGACTCTTAATATTTCTGAACATGGTCTGTAATGTGTTGTTTGGAGATTTCAAAAACTCTTGACTCCACTTGTATAATTTTCCTCCACGATATTCATGCTCTTGTTGCGAATAAAAAGTTGGCTTGTTCCACAACTTGTTCATACGACGAATGATGAAATAAAACAATAAAATGCAAATTAAATAGGAGAGTAGGTAATAAATAATGACCGAAGAAGTAATTGCTCTCATCACGGCAATTCTGAATATATTGGTATGTATAGCAACGAATAATAATAACAATAAGATTGATAATTGGATGACATTGTTCCAGGCTTGTCGGTAAGAGTTTTCTATTGAAAGTGAATATTGTTTCGCTTTGTAGAGAGGTGAAAGCTTATCTATGGGATGAATAGAAGGATATTTATGATGACTGAAAATATTATCATCGGTCGTCCTATTATCATCAATAATACTTTCTTGAGGTTGATCAGATTGCGCTTGTGAAGTCAGATGCATGGAAGAGGAGGTTTGTGGAGTTGTTTCCACGTTGTTCGGGTTGGATTGAAGGTGGTGTTCATCATGACTCCTCCCAAAAAACATTTTGAGGTATTTTTTGTTTAAATTGAATCACGCAAAAAGTCATTGAGAGAAAATTATACATGACGATGATAATTCATATTTACATGATATTATGATGAAGATGTTCTATCGTGCACTTCGAAAGCTAAAACAACATTAAATTATTATCTTGAATTCAAATCAAACCATAAATCTCCTCATTTTTATTTTGTTTTTTGGACTTGTTCAGCGTTTGTAGAAAATGATGTTGTCTCAGGTGAATCTGAGAGACCTGTAATATCTAACAAGAATTACATGGAATGATGAAACAACTTTATCAATTTCATCACCTTTCGGCTGATGCAACCTTGATGACACACTAGCTTCTGACTAGCATGCTTTAAAATTTGAAAAAGTAATTTTGGATGAACGACACCCACGATTAAAAATGCTTCAACCTCAGGCAACACGATCATCATCATCAGGTATCGTAAGCAATACTTCACCTCCTTCTTCTTCACCTGTCTGCGCTCTCATCATTAGAGAGCAACAACAAGTCATCGCTAATATTAACGATATCGATGGATCCCTTGTTGCTTCTCAGCCTCTTGGAGGAATAAATTTTTCAAATATTTCTCCTGGATCCCGAAGTAATTTATCTAAAACAATAACCGTAGATAATAGGAGTGATGAAGACATTACGATCCGGTTAAGTTTTGTTCATCAACAAATTTCATCATCATCACTGAACACTGTAAACCATTCAACTATTAGCAACAGTAGTACCAATCCAAGTAATACCGCCGTATCAAGCAATGTACAAACAACTTCGGCAGTCACATTTCAAACATTTGATTCCAGTGATCAACAATTTTCTAATCAAATGTTCAATACTTTATATAACTTCCAACAAATCAAAATCAAAAAATTTGAATCAAATAATTTTGTCATTAATTTTCATCCGAACAAATTACCATCACTCTCTGATTCTTTCAAATCTCACGATCTTAAGTCTTTCAAAGGAAATATTGTGTTAGATGTTATCTCTCTAAAATATAACGACAAGATTAAAATACCTTTCGCAGTAGAATTCAATCAGAGCAAGCTAAAGCTAGATGAGAATGAAATTGAATTTGGTACTTCTATTATTAACCGCAAATATATCAAAGAATTCACGATCACCAATATTTCTGAAGAAGATATTACGTTTGGTATTTCTTCAAAAGATAATGTCATCATTAGAAATACATCTCATCGATCTAGAAGTTTTTCAAATCCTTTGATTATTTCTGAGGATAGAGCAATTGCCGAGTTGACTTTCTCAGAGTATGAAACTGGAAAGTTATTAGGAAAGACCGAAAATGTAATTATGGCTCATTCATCACTGAGGGTAAACGTTGTTTTCATTCCCAAAATCATTGGCGAATTGAATGTCAATATATCGATATCAAATGACATTGATGGAGTTCTTTCAACAATTAATTTTAAATCGATTGCATACACTACAGATGCATCTGATGCAATACCAAGTAAGAGTCGAAGTATTCTTGTGTTGGATGAATTTGGAAAACAAGCCATCTCAAAAATTGATTTTGGAGACTTTTTTAAAGGACAGACAGTGTTTAGAGTGATTACATTGAGAAATCAGAGTAACGAGTCGTATGATATTTATTTGACTACGAGTAGTAGTAGTAGTAGTAGTAGTAGCACTTCTAATAATTCATTGCAAACATCCTCCTCCACTACAACATCAAGCATTGGTGGAAACTCTCCAGTTGGAGGACAATCCCAAATAACTCCACAAGAGAATGCGAAGGAGCATGATTTCATTCACTTTGAAGTTTTTGATCCAAACATTCACAATGCACTTCTCCACAATGATGAAAACTCTTCCACTCAACAAAATTCTGGAGCATTCACTACTGGTGGCTCTTCGTCCCTGTACAGAGAAAGCATTGAAGAAATTACGTTACTACCAAAGAGTGATCGAAAAGTTCTTGTTTGTGCTCACGTACCTCTTGATGAGAATTGTTTATTCGATACATTAATGTCCAAAATTAAGACAACCATATTAATTACCACCAAAAGCACAAGCGGTAGTTCCAATGTCATGACCACTTCGAGCAGTAGTGCCACCAGCACTATTATGAGTGCTAGTGGAAGTAGCAATGTTGGCATGGGTGGAATGATGACACCCCCTTCGACAAGTATCACCTCTTTGGTTGGAGTTGGTAGTAGTGGAGTTGGTAGCAACACTGGTTCTACTTCGACTATTAACCCGAACACCATACCAACCACCACGATCATCACATCAACAACAACAACAACACCAGAACGACGAGTGTTGGCCACTCTCAAAGCCATTGCTCATACCTGTACTTCCATCATTGAAGTCTCTCCAACCAATATCAAATTTGGTGATAGCACTATTGGAGATATCAAATTCGCCTCAGTCACTGTCTTTAACAAGTCTGATTTACCTACACGAATTTCTGTTCAATTTACTTCCAAAGTGATTACTTGTAAGACAAAAACAGCTCTTATTGCTCCTCACAAATCTATTAGAATTAGTTTTAGATTATCTCCAAGAAGAGTCAATCCAAATTATAGAAAACAAATTACAATTGTGAATGAAAACAACAAATTGAATGAGCAAATTATTGAAGTCGAATCTAACAACGTGGACAGAAACATGTTGAATTTTCATTGCAAATTTTATGATGTTCACACTTCCTCGCAACACAATTATGCAAAATCTATCAACTTTGGAGTCGTTGCTTTGAATGGAATTGCATTATCCAAATTTCAATTGTCTAACATTTCAGACGAACCCATTGTTTTACGTTTGAGATCATCCTTAATGGAGAATGAACTTGTTCCCTATAGAATATCACGAAAGAATTCTTCCATTCAACAACAACAAGACATGATATCAAGTAGTGCCAATGAGACCGCTTCAGACAATGACAACATTCAACAGACATCACCACCCTCCGATGTCTATTCTCCCTATGATAGCAGTTCCACAACAACTTCATATCATACGACCACTGGAACAGGAAGTGGAGTGGATTCTGCCTCTTCACCAGTGTTCAAACATCACAAGAAGAGAAAAAGAAAACAACAAATTACCACACAGACCACCCAAACGACCACCACAGCAGCAACCACAGCAACCACAGCAACAAAAACTTCAAATGTTGTTTCTGCTGCTGCTTCTCCCACATCTCTTCAACAACAACCAATCAAACCCACTCCATTGTTGAAACTCAAAGAGGAATCTTTTCACATGAAACGATCCACTTCATTGCATGAATCATTCCGAACAGGTAATCATGTAACGGCCAGCACACCTACCTTATTCAACACGGATTTTGCTGGCGTAGATGAAATTAGTACATTGGTGAGCTTTGACTCTGATGATAGTGATGAAGATAACATGGACAACTTTTCAACGATCAGTGGTCATTCGGACATGTTCATGGGGAACACCGCTCCAATTTCAAACCCTCAAGAGTTTTGTGATGATTTACTCACTCTGTATGAAAAAATTCAAGAAAATCTTTTTGATCAAACGAACAATCAACAAGTGGCAGATGAAGAGTCAATTATTAATGATGAACTAACATTCAAAAACAAGTTATCCTTTGCAATTGAACAATATATTCTAGTTCCATGCGATTTAATTTCAATTGAGCCTCGATCATCCATGGATATTTTTGTTACTTATTCACCAAAGAGCACCAATAGCAAATTTATGACCACACCTTCCAATATTTCTCCTCTCAGTCTTCACAGTGATGTTTCATTTTCAAGCAATACTTCTATTAATGCCATGAAAAAGAATTTTGAAAAACTTTTTATTGAATTGGTGGAATATGATCGAACATTGGTTGATGAAATTATTCCAAAAGACTCTCTTCCACCAAGAGAACTTACGGTTCAATCAAAAGTTTGTCTCTCCATGATGGAAATCGCTCAAAAAAATATTAACTTTGGATCCATTACCAATGTTGAAGACCGAAAGAAGACTATTACCATCAGTAATGCATCTGAAGTTCCATTACTATTTCGTGTGAAGAGATCTGGCTCCATTGCCTCCAATGACATTAAAATATTGGACATGTTGGAGTGTGGTGGTGTTGTTCGTCCATACGGAAGTAGAGACATTCAATTATATTTCAAACCTTCTCTTCCAGGAGTATTCAATGAGACATTAACATTTGAGAATATTTTAGACGAATCTGAAAAGATTCATATTGTTGTAAAGGCTGATATTAGAAACTATGAAAAGTTTACACTCAAATCCAATGATGTCAATTTTGGAAATATTTTAATTGGTCAACCTAGCATTTCCAGAAAAATTGTAGTGACCAATATGAGTAAGAATAGAAGAATATTCGAAACTATGATCGAGTATGTGAGCTTTAGTTTTTGTAGATTTGAATTTGAATACGATTTGGAACCAGTGAGTCAAAGCACAGAAATTGAAAAATTAGAAACAGAGCTCGAAAAATTGGAGCATAAATATAGAATTTGTGTGAGAAAGAATAAGACTTCAAAAATTAAGAAACTCACAGAAAGGATCAATGAAATCAAAAAGGAACTCAATTTTGATGATAATACACCAGTGGGTCGAGTGGACGATGATGTTTTCATCTCTGAAAGCGATGATGAAGGAAAAAAGGAACGAAAATTCAAGAAGATTGAAGAGAATGGTATTCGATTTGCAATTCCAGCCAGAATGTCTCAGGTCATTAACTTGAAAATCAAACCTTATCTCATAGGCGCAACTAGTCCCAATGTTGCTTTTGAAAATGGTATTTGTAGAATGCTTGTCTATGAGAATAGAAATACGGATGAGCAAAAAATGGTGACTTTGAGTTCTGTCGTATACTACGATATCAAATCGTATACCATGATGACATCATCCTTAACAAAAGGTTCGCAAGAATCTTCAACATTAATGGTAACTCCAGTCTCACCACTCTTGGGAAAGGGTCACATGATCGATATGGAAAGACCTCAGTGGTCTGGAGTTAACTTGGCTTCTTTACCGAACAAGGAGTCTACCAATACGACTGCCATGACGGTTGGTAGTACTAGTAGTGGTAGTAATGGTAGTAATGGTAGTACTACACAACTACCAACATCCAGAATTGTGACTCTTCCAACAAAGATTGAGAAAATGACACAGTCATCCAAACCAACCTCATCCACAAATTTACTCAAATCAATTCAAATACTTTCTCCTGAAATTGATTTGGGTACAATATCTGTTGGTGAAAAAGTGAAATGTAAGATTTCCATAACCAATGAATCGAAAACAGAAGAATCAGGTTTTGTCATATTGGAAGGCTCCAAACAATCATCCGATTGTGAACTTCAATTTAGCAAAAGAAATGGAACTCTACCACCAGGAAAGTATGAAAATATTGAAGTCGTATGTGAGTGGTTTAGTCCTGGTACACAAACTCGCACTGTGAACATTCGAGATTTAAGAACCAAAGTGATCCACAAATGTACGATCAAAGGCAATGTTATTGTAGACTCTCCCATTCACTTTGAGAATTTGAGTGATGATCGAATTCTCAATTTTGGTTTTTGTTATATCATGAATAATGAGGCATCAGAAGAGGATCGAGCAAGCCATTTAACAACAAGTGAATCCTCTACCATTTTGAATACTTCTCTCCACAATTATGCAAAAGTTTCGAGTTTCAAAGTTCATAATACCAAAGACTATGCGCTCACTCTTAAATTAACCTCCAATTCCAAGAAACAAATTTTCATATTCAAAGATGAATCTCTCAGTAGTAGTGAACCAATCACTCTGTTGAAAGTTAATCCTCATGAAATTGTACCAATATTTGTAGCCTTCAAACCCTATATGAATATGAATTTAGCTAATAAGGGAAAATGTACTTCATTTGCAAGTAGTATTGTATTGAGTGTTTTGAATGAGGAAAAACAAATGTATTCTCAAGTCATTCAAATTCGAGCATTTATTGGAAAGAGTATTCTCAATGTTGATACTCAATTTATTGATTTTGGATGGTCCAGCAATTTAAAACAATTCACAGGTAGTTTCACAATTTCCAATGGCAATCAATATCTACCACTCGAATATGAAATTATTTCATCCTCTCCCAATGAATTGTATGTGTGTCATGAAAATTTATTGAAAGGAGTATTGAGTGGAAACAAAACTCAAGAGGTTCAATCTCCCACACAAAGTCCTTCGAAAACTTGTACTCATCCACATACCCTTACGATACCATTCATCTTTCAACCATCCTCCAGTGGTCTCCATGATAATTACTTTACAATAGTGAACAAATCTGCATGTTACCATCATGCGGAATCTACAGCAACAGCAACAACAACAACAACAACAACCATAGCAGGTCATCATCATGCGGAATCAACAACCATAGCAGTTCGTGCATTTGTCGATGATCGAAAGTCTCTTCGTAATAATCTTGTTGCAGACAGCTCTGGAGTGGATGCTTTGATATTCAACACAGTTTATGTGGTGAAGGAACGTTTACCAGTGATACAGGAAGAACCACATGCTCAACAAGAGAACTCTTCTGCTAGTGCTTCTGAAGTGGATAACAACCTTGGTGGTGATCTTACGACATCTTCTTCAGATGAACTCTTCATATCTGGTGTTCCTCTACCACACGTACAACAATTAGCAAAACAATTAATTGAAGATTATGAATATGTAGATGAATCTGAAAAGGATTTAATTGAGGAAATTCAAAATTCAATCATTTTAGGTATTCAAGAATTCCAAATGTCTAACATTTCAAAACAAGACATGTTTCTCATACCATACAGTGATGTGGACATGATCGTTTTTGTGAAAAAGAAAAAGAATAATACTAGTTTGCGGAGAAGTAATAATCAAGGCATCAACAATGGTAGTAATAACTCTCTGACTTCTAAAGATCGTCTTCAAGTCATGTTGAATTCTGCCAATCATTCATTCAATCAATATTCCAAGAGAGGAAAACCATTCATTTTACCAGCTGGAGAACAATTAACATTGGTGACCATGTTGACTGGTCTTCCATTGAACATGTCCATTCTCGATATTGAAACTCTTTTAAAGAAATCAAATGTAAATGTTCAACGATCTCTCATTTTGGCAGATGATAAGGAACATGTATTGAAATTGATCAATGTTCATATTCAATTGGGAATATCAGATGTTACACTTCGCTCCAACTCTATTAATTTGGGGAAAGTAGGATATGTCGACCAGTGGAATCCTCGAAAATTCCAAATCGTGTTGAATAATCACTCGGAGGTTATTGCAAAAGTGAGACTCGTGTCGAAACCCAATGAAATTGAATTTCTCTCCAACGTTTTCTCCAATGATCTCAGAAATGAGAACAATCCTACTACTAGTGCTAGTAATAATAATCATGCGAATAATAGTAATAATAACCATGCGAATAACAATAACATTGGCTATAACATGACTGGATCATCAGGCGATCAGAAAGTGAACAAGATGGAATGGACCATTCCTCCAAAGGGTCAAAAGACAATTTTAGCCACCCTCAAAACCAATGAGTATATGGATAAGAAACCACTCGATCCAGATGGACTCATTTCACTTCCTGTCGTCTTTGAAAATTTATTCAATCCATCCAATGTATTGACTGCTCAAATTACTGCAAATATCACTCAAAGAGTTTGGGAAATATTTGGATTACAATCCAACAATACGATCAAAATGCCATTATTGCAATGTCCTGAAATTATGAAAACAAATAGTAACACGAGTTCTGTGAGTGATTTAACATTGACCATCACCAACAATAGTCCTTCTAAAATTGATTCTAAATTTAGAGTCGTGTACAACAATCCAAGTATTTATCACTTTTTGAAAATTGATTTACTTGATTTCTCAACAAGCATACCAATTAAGGAATACAAATTTGAAAAGAAGTCTACTCTTTATATTAGAATTAGGTGTCGAGCGAAACAAAATGCAACCATTCCACATGAACTCTATTCATTAATCAACACTCCAGATGATTTGAATATTCATCCAAACGATTTGAAATATATGAACATTGGAAAGTTAATATTTGAATCTTCCAATCAACCAAAAGAATCTTTTGATATTTATGGAGCAATTATTCAATATCCAACCTTTTCACTTTCTGTAGACAAGTTAGATTTTAAATTACCATCCAATTATTATTTCAATGTTGGTTCATTATTGAGTGATGAGTCCAAAGATGTATCAACATGTTGGAACATGCAAGATGACTCTTCTCCTCCTATCCACAATGCACAAAGCAACATCTCTGAAGGAATAATCGAATCATCCAAAGATCATCATGGTTCAGAAAGAAAACGAGGTCATACTAGTACTACTGGTAGTAGTAATACGTTCACACTTCCCAAAGTTCTCCAAGAATCTTTTACTATCAAAAATATCAAAAAATATGAAGCACTCTATTTCAAAATTAAAAAGAGTTGGACCAATGAAGAAGAACTGGAAGGTGTGAATATTACCGTCTTTCCTGAAAAGGGTCTCCTTGAACCAGCTCTCTCTACAGTAATTAGTGTATTTATTGATTATTCATCCATTTCAAATATTGAGAAAGTCTTTGAAAAACTTTCCATGATTGGAAAGTCGTATCATTTAGTGGTATCGGATGAATATGCTCCATTGACCACACAAAATTTATCATTGAATGTTAAAGCAATGGATTATTACAAGATGTATGGAACTTCTACAGATTCCGAAAAAGTTGTGAGTGATGCTCATGGAATGGATCCACGTGGTGTAACTACTACGAGTCATACCTCCACCACGACGGATATTACTGCAATGTTGTTGGGTAATATCATTACTAGTAGTAGTAGTAATAGTAGTAATAGTAGTAGTAATAGAAGTAATAATAGTAGTAACATTGGTCATACGACTGTTCATTCGACTAGTAGTAGTAGTAGCAAACAACAACAACCATCCAAATCATTGAATGTACCCATATTGATATTGAAGGGATGTCGACAACTCTCATCATCTGGAAGCAACACAACTTCAAACAGATATGAAATTGAATTCAAACATAAGAGAACACTCACAAAAAAGACCATTGAAAGTAAGATTACATTGGAAAATCCATCACCTCAAGATGTTTCCTACAAAATTTATACCATTTCAGGTAAAATTAATTCGAGTACAAGTCCATTTACCATTAGTCGTACAGGTGGAACAATCGATGCCTTCGACTCTCATCAAATTACATTTACATTCAATACTGATTCTATTGAAAGCTTCTCTGATTATATAATGATTGAAAATTGTGAAAATCCACTTGATTTAAAGACATTGAGAGCATCTCTTGAAATTTTAAGCGAAATTGAAGATCCTGAAAAATTATTTGATATTCGAATTGATGGAATTAAGAGTATCAATACTACTAGTGATCTCATGGATGATAGTAATAATAATAGTAATAATGAATTACCACTCAAAATGGATTTAGGAACAGCATTTATTGATACAGTTATTAGACATCGATTCATTGATGTTGTGAATTTGAGTAATGATACTCCACTTGAATTCTTTTTCACATCGAATCACAATCCAGAAACTACTGAACTTCACTTTTCACTTTCATTAACTTCATTGAAACCATTCTATAGTTTACGAGTGGAACCAAAATCAAAAACAAGAGTTTATTTAATTTATAAGGTTCATAAGGAAATAATCAATGATAGTGTATCATCAACTCCTCCAACAATGATCAGTAGTAGTCATGATTCAAACACTGCAATGACGACCAATACAAACTTGATGATTGAATCTCGATCTCCTTCAACACCACCTCAGTCCATCATGATGGATCAGAGTCTCATGACAACTTGTCCTTCATTCCACTCTATGGATGACTCTCATACAACATTTATGGATGAATTTGATATTCTTGTCAAATGTAAATTAGTGAAAGATTATCAAAGAATGATCAAAGTGACAGCAACATGTGTGAGACCACAAATGTACTTGACAAGACAAGAAGTAACGTTTGTTTGCAATGAACAACATTCAATGACCATGATGGATGTTAATTACAATCCAATTGATCGATATCCAATTACACTCAAAAATTTACTCTCTGTTCCTTTACTTTATATCATTAGAGATGATTTTTGTAAATTATTCAAGATACATGTGGTCGATAATAATAGTTCACAAGTGGTATCATTTGTTCATAGTAGTAGCAACTTGAGTAGTAACGAAACTCTACCACCATTCTTCTTACCCATGACGAGTAGTAGTAGTAGTAGCACTACGAATACGACATTGAATACATGCACCACTACCAATCATGATCTTGCAACACAACAAACCATGGATGTATTGAATCATAGAATTTACTCCATTCCTCCAGAGAATACTCACACCATTGTGATTGAACCGATTGTTTCAAAACTTTCTAAAATGGATGCTAAATATTTAGAGGAACATTTATTTATTTATAATTATGAAAATATTCGTGAAAAGAAATTAATAACCATCAAATTCTCTCGAGGATCATCCATAACTCAATTTTATTCAACACCAGGATCCAAATCATCACCTGTATACAATGCCTTGGAAGAATCTATTGTCAATGTGATTACTCAATTTAGAAAATATTCAGAATATTATTTGTCAATGAAAAATTTAAGTGAATATGAAATGGACAACAGAAACAACAGCAGTGGAAGTGGTGGTTCTACGACATCAAGATCAAAACGAATTACTTTGGATGTTATTGAAGATATTCTTAGACAAAAAGAATTCACTTCTCTCTACTATGATATTCGATTCTTAACGGATGAATTGGTATTTTGGGGACTAAAAGGAAATGTTGTTGGAAAGGTGATATTTGATTTAGCGAACTTGTTGTACATTTCTTTATTCAAATATGGGTCATTATTCGCACAGAGAGACAAAACTTTGAGATTATCTGAGAGCAATCAATCACACAAGAGTAGTTATCATTCGTTCAAGCAGTGGATTGGCCAATTGTCCTACTATCTTTCCTATTTTCATGGAGAAGAGGCTTTTGAATTGAGACAGCTATTGGAAGATTTACTATCGATTCCAAGTGAATAAAGAGTTGATGAAAATTAGGTACAGATAATTGAAAAATGTAATTATTATTTACTCATTGATTTGGACATGAAAGAAGTTGAATGGCAGATGACTATAACAATGGTGCAGTAGATCAATACCAGCTTCATCATTAAATCGCTGTGAAAAATCTTTTTCAAACTAGTGTTGTAATGAAGGAGATCTCTTTGCATAGTATTCTTCCAAAGTTTCGTTTGGACCCAATAAAGCACCTAAATATTCCTTAATGGTCTGCTTCTTTTGAGATTTTCCTCCAAATCTGTCTAACAGAACTTGTTCATCAAATCTCTTTTTCAATTCTGTTGGAATTTCACTTTCACTCACAAAAGCAATCTTTTCGGTGGTCTTTTCATCCAAAAATACTAAATAGTGTGACCACAGTGACGAATAAATAAATTTCATCATCATAAATGAACTTGGAGTATATCTCTACTACATACCTTTAACAACTGCATATGCTGTAGAAAATAGCCATGGTGCTCTCATCAAACAAGCCAATTTCAATCGTTCAGGGAAATAATTCTGACATGTTCCCAAAATAGCCTTATCAAGCTTTGTGTCCACCAAAGACAATCCCCAATTATAGTAATCAATCAAGACAACAAATCTCTCTAACTTCCCCTGTGACTTTAAACGCAATTCATGTATCACAATTTCCAATACAAATCCTACTACTTTTTCTAACTGGTCGTATGGTAATGATCCAGGAACAAATTTATCAATTTCCAAACAAATGGCAGGAGATCCATCTTTATCATGACCCATGAAATAAACAAAATTCTCAACTTTGGTGAAAATACTATCAAAATGTGAGTAGGTCAATTTTTCTAATTGAATTCGTTCTCTCCATTTGATCAATTCAATAATAGAATTCATGGATTTGGAAACATCTCCATTGGTAGCTCTCAACCATCTCACATAAAACAAATCTGGATGAATTTCAGATTTGGTGAGAAATTGATTTAATGCATTCCATAAATCATTCATTGTTTTGAGAGAGTTCAATGTATTTGAATCATTGGATTCTTGTTGATTCGGAATGAGTCTTGTGGCCAATGCAGGATCAAATAATTGTTGTTTTAATGTTTCAACGAGAGGACGTTCTTGAGAGGAGATGAGTGAATCCATCGAATAAGTGTTATTCTTTTGAGGAGTTAATAGAGTGACCTTTTGAGGTGTTAATAGAGTGACCTTTTGAGGAGTTAATAGAGTGTTCAATAATTATTATCGACCAGTCTTTTGAAATTCCATCCGAATATATATTTCAATAATTATGGAATGTCAAAGTGATCAGAGAGGGTCAGATTATGAAGAATGTAGAAAAATGGTGCAATAAAGAAAATATTTCAAAAAATACAAATATTCGAGTATATATATTAATATATTCAAAATGATGAAATATGCATGAACCAATGAAGATCATCAAAAAATAGAAGAATTAACGTATTTTAAAAAAAATGTAATGTGCACCACAATCAGTTAATCCATCTTCTTTCACAACAAAAAACATACAAGGAATGATGATTGTTCCACAACAACAACAACAACAACAATAACGATCAACAACACGAATGAATCGGATGAGAAATCTTGATTTTTTTTCAAAAATATTTTTGTCTTGTAATTGGAATCATCGCCACGATCGTGGATTAGAAATTCAATCTCTCTCCAAATGAAACCGACTTTCATCGACTTGCTTTTGTCTCTGTTACATACAACTGTAGAATTGGACGTTTAAAAAACAAAATTACAGTAGTCGATTCGGTATTGTCAACACTCAACACAATCATTCAGTACTGACACAACAATATTCATTGGTTTTCAATTTGATTACAAGTTCTTATGAAGATCAAAACTCCATCACCCATAAGAGTAACAGGATGGAATGACAATAATAATACTTCATTTTCTTCCATCAATTATCAAATCGATGATCCACTCTCTCCTGCAAGTTTATTGAGTGAGGTGACCATCATGGATCATGATTTGACATTCACAAGAACAACATCAGCCATGAATCATGCAGGGTTGAATTTTATTGAGGAGCGTGAGGAAGAAGAATCATCATCCTCTGGTCAACCATTAAGAAATGAACATACCATCCATAATGCTCATGATGATTTATTCATCAAAGAAGAGAGTGATGAAGAGGATGACCATTATTGGCCGTTCATGAAAAGTCATCAGCAGAACCAGTCTGAAAGTACTCCCTATCACGAAAGTACTCCCTACCAAGAAAGTACTCCATACCACCATGCTGATAATGATGATGAAGACTCTTTCATGATATCTCTCAACCAATACGATCATCACATGAATACCTCTTGGAATAACCATGATTTCAATTCTACATTAGACCATCATCATGATCTTCTTTCCAATCATCATGACATCTCTTCATCACCTTCATCGTCCTCCTCCTCCTCTTCCCGATCGTTTAAGGACGACCCTCAAGAAAAATATTCTACGACTTGTGCCAACCACCACTCCTTGTCGTCCCCTACGACGGATAAGCCTCTCACTATGACGACACATCAAGAGTCGGAAGATGATCATCAGGAAGAATGTACAGACGAAGAGGTGGTAGATTCGAAACAAGATCATTGCTCGAGTACCTTCTCTGGAAAAGCTACCATCATTCCTTTGAATATCTCCAAGAAAGACTCTTCTTCTTCTTGGGAACAAGTTTATGAAGAAGAAAACAATTCGGAGAGGTCTATTGTAGAGGAACATTCCTCTCGAACTTTGAAGAGTAATCATGATGATGATGACGACGAACGAGGTGGTGGCCATGAGGACTCTTTAAGCACACAAGCCTTATTATCAAATTTACACAATTCAGAATCTTCATTGCTAGTGCCCACATCCAATCATCAAGCACATGACGAGTTGGAAGATTCAAACAATCATCATGAGGATGAACCTAATCTTTCATCACTGACCTCTTTTCCTATCATTCGTTCTAAATATTTAGCAAAAGATTTTGAAGTTGTGGAGGACATTATTGAAGTGGATTCAAGAAATGCTTCTTCCCTTGGTGTTTATGAAAAAGAAGATTTTGACAACTCTAAAACTCACTTGTATCATGAACAACAACACACCAACAAGAATTATGAATTTCATCTGCATGGTGATGTTCCAGTCTCTTCAGATGTGAGTTCTCCAACGCACTCTGTGACCACTCATCATCATTCGAGACATCGCTCATCTTCTCTGAACAAGTTAATTGTACTGACACCCACGATGAAAAATTCTCAATTCTACTTTCAATCCGCTCACAACAAACAATCTTCCAAGCATTCTTCTTCCAGCAATAATCACATGTTTGTAGTATCATCGCCATCCCACAATAATCAAACAACACCTCTTTCATCAAACTCCTCTTCCAATCACTTACAAACCAACCAAATAATACATCCTTCATTGATATCAAAATCAAAACCTTCCAAAAAGAATAGTGCCATACTTTCCTCTGTAAATATTCCCTCCCAAACCTCTATGAAACAAACTCTTGTCTCCACAACGATAGCACACAATACATCTTTGAACGTACGATCTTCATTGGATCAACAACACTCACCAACGTTTTCTTCCAAACTATTCCTGAGAGAATGGGATGCAACCACACAACCCTCCACACGAGCCAAACTATTATATTCATTTGTTGAATCATGCCAACACTTGTCATGTCAAGAATTAGAGAGCAAGCTTAAAAGTTACTATGAACTAATATTCACACGAATTTTAGGATATTTTCAGTTAAATTATTTACATTGCAATGATCTTTCAATTCAGATCAAATCATTAGGAATTTTTTTAAAACGATACAAACCCTTAATAGATTTTATAGAAATTGGAGGTACCCAGATACTATTGGAAATTTTAGGGTTTCATTATTACAAACATGAAGTGCAAGATAAGAATGAATGTTTATCATTGTTAACAAGTATTGCATGTAATGGAAGAAAGTTTAAAGAAGTGATTTGTTTTGATAACGGAATTTCATTGCTAAAGAATGCAATACTCTATCTACCGTCTACAGAGTCTGTTCATTCAGCAAAAACCTTTTTTCTAAGTATTTTTCATGGCAATCCCAAATATGAGAAGGATATTTTAGAGATGATTGTAAATTTACTTTCTCAACATTCTTCTCCTTTCAATTGGAAGAATCTTAATTCACAAATCTCTTCAACAAACACACCTAGAAGAAATACTGAATTTATGAATGGTACCACTCCAAGAGGTTCTTCTCTAATCACGCATTTAATATCTCCAAGAGGTTCCTCTCTTGTCAATAACAATGCTACAGATTCTCCAAATTCTCCATCATCAGGAAAAAAGAGTCATTGGTCAACCATTATTGAAGTATTTAAATCTCCAAGAGGAATTGGAGTTGATGACTTTAAAAGATCAACTGTATTTGATTTCACGACAAGTCCTCTTCAACAAACAACAAACTCTCCTCAAGTATCTCCTCATCAAAATACTGGATCACTCATAAATCTACCAAATAATCCGAACCTCCGAGATACCCTCACTCTTTCCTCTCAATCAATGTTACTCATTTATTCAGTCATTCAAGAAATATCAAAAGTTGTAAAGATCGAAAGAATAAGAGAAACGAGTGTCATTGATGTATTATTTACCAATTTAAGTGATGAAGATATTCGAGTTGTTAACGAGAGTGTTGATATGATACTACTCTCAATGAATTATCAAGATGAAAATGAAATTTTTGCTGAAATTATTTTACATCGAGTGTTACAAGGAATTTCAATGATAACCATACTTTTAGGCAAGAAGAGATTTAAAAATTTATTGAAATCTCTTTTCAAGAGTGATCAACAACATAAGAAACAAGTGAAACATTTTCATCATTTACTATTCGGAACATGTTCCATTTTGAATGCCTTAATAGAGAAAAAGAGTAGAAATATTTTTAAAAGACTCATTGATGCCAATGTAGTATTAATGTTGATCGAGAGTATGGTGGTGATCAAGGAAAAGTATGGAGAGAATGAATATCATTTGGAAGGTATCAAAGTCATGACAATGTTGTTTCGAGTAAGTAACTGATTTCTCGTTTACAAATTCTCGTTTACAAATTCTCGTTTACAAATTCTCGTTTACAAATTCTCGTTTACAAATTTCCGTACATGAAGAATTTAATACTTCGATTTGAAGAGTTGAACATGCCCGATGCGGACAACAGCCCACAAAACATTTTACAACAAGTTCTTGGAGTTGAAATCACTCAGTCTCTATGCAACACCAATCGCTCAACAAACTCGGCACTACCAACCAATTTTTATCTATTTCTTCAAGATGCCATTCAGAGATCATGTTTTGAACAAGTGAGGCAAAACATTACAGCCTCATCAAGAAAGTGATTCAAATATATTCGAGTATGGAACGCTTGCTCAGAGGGAATGCCAAATTCTTCTTGTTCACTTATAGGAATCGCTTCTACTTGTTCTTCTCTCATATATTTTGTGATAACGAATCCTCCATATGACTGACGCGAATGATGGATTCCGTAACGCCGTTAGAACTGACCTTTTGCGCTGTGTCTGTCTTTGAAGAACAATGTCAAAATGTTCAACAAAAATCAATTAACATTCATTTCGTCTTTCGTATTTCTCAGTGCGTCTCGTCGGTTACTTTTTGCTCCTTATCCGTTTGACAAATCGACAAGTGTCAAGCTGTCACTTTGACTCAAAAAAAATCATTTGGGTTACGTGACGCTGAATTCATCGAACAACGTAGGATTCAACAACAAGACCTCGCTTGTGCGTCATTCACACAACCTTCGTCATCATCATTCACATCATTCGTATCCAGTTGTGATCAACACCATAACAACGTTAGATCACATGTCCTCTCCACATCATCGATTGTTTGGACTCTCCTCCACAGAAAGTTCTTCGCGTGGCAGTGGAGGTGAAGACGAAAAGGCTCGTCAATCCTACATGCTCGAAGAAGCTGATAAAAACACAAGTTACTATCAAGCCATCATGATGAGTCAAGATTCTCAACAACAACAACAACAACAACAACAACAACAGAAATCAGTCAAATTCAAACCACCTCCACCACCTCCACCACCCCCATCTGAGGAATTGAATGACACTACTACTGGTGGTGGTGGTGATATTAACAATAGTACTAGCGGCATTGGTACTAGTAGTACCATGGGTAATACTTCTAATACTCTCATGATGAACAAATCCTTTCTCGATAGCATTAAGAATACAGCAGCACGGAGTCGACAAAGTTATCAACCATCTTCGAAAAGTAGACGTGATGCAGATGCTCATCGATTTTTAAATCCTTTATCTTCATCACCCACTACTCTATCTTCATCTTTGAATGAAATGATCCATATATCTTCATCATATAATGACCCTCGAGTCTCTTCCTTCTCAGTGGTTGATAAGGAAATTCTTGATTCCATCCATTGGGCCAATAATAAGAGTGGATTGTATCCAAATGAAACGATCAGTTCTATATGGAATCAAGCCTTGACCATTCATTCATCGTTGGATCGTGACACTCTTTCCAATTTTGCCTTCTCTCGTATTTTAGGAACTTATTTTGATCAATTTGGTTTAGATTCACTCTTTGTCATTCACTCGAATAGTGATAAGGAAAGAATTTATAACAAGATTTATGATCAATTATATTCAAGAGTATATACGGTCGTGACTGGAAGTATGAACCAATCATCCAACTTGGAACTCTCTTATTTGAATGTTGTTTTACAGTATATCAATGATCGGAGAAGTAGAATTCTCTATATTTTGAGATCATTTTCAGCTTGTCTATTTTTGAATTGTTTATTATTGGATTTCATTGAATATCTTCACAGTGTGGAGGAGACATCCATGATGAATCACAACACGTGTGAAGATATTCAATCTCTATGGGAATTAATGGAACAATCAACCACTGCAACGACCATGACATTGGAGAATGAAGACGACTCTTTTCATTTGTCGACCAATACCATTCATACCAATACCATTCATACCACCCCTACTACTACTATGGTGCAGAATAAGAGTAATAGCACTAGTAGTACGAGTGGTAGTAGTAGTAATAGTAGTAATAGTAGTAATAGCACTAGTAGTACGAGTAGTGCCACACCTTCTTCTCATCAAAAAGATCATCATAATAATACTCTTGACATGTCAACGACCACTACGATCAGTGTAACCACAGCAGAACCTCAAACTGTCAACAATCTCACAAGAAATTCCGTGAGTAGCAATGCAAGCACAGATCATTTCATTGATGATAAAGATGCATTGGCAATGGCTATTTTCAGTGCTGGTAAAGAAGATACACGATTATCGATGAGTGTTCAAAGTTTAGAGGAAATGAATGAAGACAACATGATGATGACGACGAATGAATCTTATTCACAACAACAATCACAACAATCACAACAACCACAATCATCATCATCATTATTACTTCCACCAAAACCAACCAAAAAATCACCTCCTCCACCTGTTCCTCAAATTCAACAAATTCAACAAATTCAACAAACTCAACAAATTCAAGATAATAACACTAGTCATAATGGAATGGAGATACCTCAATACAAACCTCCAAAACCTCAAGTCAAATCATTCCAAACCTCGTCAAGTTCTGGTGTTCATCATGAACAAGGAGATGTAGTAACTAGTCCTCCATTACTGACACACTCCTCTTCTGGCAAGGATCTAAAGAGTGGTTTAACAACTTTAACGAGTAATAGTAATGGAAGTAATAACAAACAAACACCTCCTCGTGACAAACGGATGGATGATATCATGAGAATGCAAAAATCAAAATCAGTTTCATTAGATATGGATCGATTTGGAGGAATTGGAAGTACACCTCCTCATGCTCTTGATAATGTAATTGTTAAAAAGACAAAACGTGTTCAAAATAGAGCTAAACCATCTTCCAATACCAATGCATTGAAGAATGAATTAGAAAAAGTGGAACGTGATGCTGTTCAAGAATCTATTAATAATATTGGTGAAGAGAATAAGGATGTGTCTGGAGTGAGTGGAAATGTCATGATTACTTCACCTGGTAGAGGTGGTGGTAATAGTAGCAATAGTGGTAATAGTGGTGGAGGCTTATTCAAAAAGAAGGATATTTTAGGATTCTTTTCAAGTAAGAAGAATAATTCAAATACTACTACTACTACAAGTACTACTACGACCAACACTACAAGTACTACTACAAGTACTGCTTCAACGAGTGAGACTTCAACAAAACAAACAAAACCTCCAATACCAACCTCAAAGCCTCAACAAGTACCTTCTCAACAACAACAACCCAACACATCCACTACATTCAATCAAGAAGTATCCAGCAATAGTTCCAATAGCAAACTTCAAAATCCATCCATGATTATTCAACCCATTTCCACGACACCCTCTTTGTATGAGAGTTCAAGTGGTGGTGGTGGCGGTGGTGGTGGTTCTGGTAATAATAATACTATTAGCAGCAATACTCCAACAACCACCAATACTCCAAAGAAGATATTTGGTGCTGTACCCATTGCTGGTATGGTTGGAGCAGTGAGTTATATGGGTGGTGGTGGTAGTAGTGGTGGTGGAACTATTCCTTCTTACCTTAAAAAGAAGAATGAACAGTCGACTCCATCTGATTCTGAAACTTGTTCAACCACTGCAACGACCACTGCAACGACGACGACTGGTACTACTACTACTACCAATCTGAGCATGGATTCTACAAATACACCCAATACACCTCCACCCACCTTTGTGAGAGGAACAGCACCACCCATACCATCTGCTAAAAAGAAAGATTCACCTCCACCACCAGTACCATCCTCCAATACCACCACTGCTACACAAGTGGATCCAACAACCATAAGGAAAAAAGATTCACCACCACCTCCTCCTCCTCCTATTGAGGACAATGATGAGATGAATGAAAGTAGTAGTAGTATTCATCATTCAAGAGATGGAGCTGGATCACCACCAACCATTGCCACAACGAGTGGTAGCAGTACTGGATTGGCTGCCAACAAGTCTCAACCTCCTCCACCTCCAGTGCCATCTTCCTCTCAGAAACCTGTTGTGGTCATGGACAATGCATCTACTTCTCCAAGTGGTGGTGGTAGTAGTAATAGTAATAGTGGTATACTACTGAAAAAGAAAGATTCACCTCCTCCTCCACCACCACCACCTCCTGAAGAAGAGGAATCAATGATCAACACGAGTGTTACGAACCATGCTGTTGGCACCATGACGAAAAAGAAAGATTCTCCACCACCACCACCTCCTCCTCCACCTGAAGAAGATGAAGAAGAATTGGAGAATAACACGACTACTACTACTACTCAAATCAAATCACAACCACCTCAATTACCACCATCCAATACAAAATCTCCAGTGATTGGTGGTGTCAATATTCTTGGTGGAGGTAGTGTGAATCAAGTCGTGGATTTCAGATCAGCATTGAAAAAGAATAATTCCTCTCCAACCACTACCAGTACTACAACGACTGCTACTGCAACTACCAATACTCCTCCTGCAACATCCTCTTCACCCTCCATCATAGAGAAACCTAAAAAGCCAGAACCACCCTCTGTACCTTCTTCCAATGATAACACGAGTGGTGGTGGTGGTATCAATCAAGTTGATTTTAGATCCAATCTCAAGAAACGAGGAGAGAATGCTGCTGCAACAAACACACCACCCTCAACGGTTCTTACCTCAAATCAAGAAAAGACAAGTACTACCAGTCCAGTGGATAAGCCTAAAAAGACTCCTCCACCACCACCTCAAGAAAATGAAGAAGAAACTTCCAACACGACCAACACAACTGGTAGTAGTACTACTCCAAAACCAATCATTGGTGGTGTGAATATTCTTGGTGGAGGTATTAATCAAGTCGACTTTAGATCAGCACTCAAGAAGAGAGAAAGTATAGTGATGAGTGGAAGTATGTCTACTGCTACTACTACGACTACTTCTACTACTACAGCATCCATGATGAACACGACAACCTCAGAAAATACATCCTCCTCTCCAAATAATAATAATAATAGCACGACAAATTCACCCATGATTGGTTTAAAGAAAACGACAAGTCAGCCACAACAAAATTCAACCACTACAAGTACAGCTGTCCAATCACAACAACAACAACAACAACAACCGAACAACACATCAACAACAAGTACACCCTCCAACAAACAAGTAGATTCTACAAGCAATGAAAATGGTGGTGTGAATCAAGTCGATTTTAGATCCATTCTCAAAAAGAGAAAAGAATAGAGAAAATCTTTTGCTTTACTAAATGGTTCATGATCCAATGCTTCACTTCCAATTTTAATATCTGATTTAATTGCTTGTATCAATTCATCCAATCCATTGTATTTCTCCATATATCTTATAAATCCACAAATTGATATTTGTAATTCTTCTCCATAAAAATCAGTGTCAAAATCTTTCAATAAATGTGGTTCAATGGTTTTCTTTTCATTTGAAAAATGTGGATTGTTTCCAATACTGATCACTGTTTTACAAATTTCACCTCTCAATTTGGCAAATCCAATATATACACCCATTTCAATTCGAGATAATTCATGTTCAAAATTTTCAGCTGGTAAATTCGCTGTTGGAATTCCTAATAATTTACCACCTCTTCCAAATCCTTTAATGACTGTTCCTGATATAACTATTGGAGTTTCGATGGGAATGACATTCATAATTCCTATTGTTATAATGAACAATTGTTGTGAAAATTTTGATGATTTGATATATCGGAGCAAGTGTGTGGAATTGATGTTTATCACAGTTTGGAAATATCAATTTTGTATATATTTAAAACCATGGTTCCAAATGATAATACAACAACATACTCGGCAGTGAATGGTTCGGTATGGTTGCAACCGAGATGGATGATTCTGAAGCCATTTTTTTATGTTATATTTTTGGAAGGGTGGTCATTGGTTACAAAAGTACTCGCACGATTACAAAGTTTGGGAATTATAGCACAAGTAGAATTACCACTATTACCACTTTTACTAGTAGTAGTAGTATTAATATTATTTATCTATTCTAAACTTGAATATTTCCTTGCCATCAATATCCAAAGCAATCACAAAAATGAAATCTTGTTGCACTTCGACAGAAAAGAAACCTGGATCCGTGTAAACATTCTTTGAGAATGGATTGAATACAGACCAAATAATATTTCCACTACCAGCTCCAGAAATGATATAATTTGTTTTGTGTTGTGGATTTTGAAGCCAATTAAGGAGATGCACATGACCACAAATATACAATGGAGGTTGATACTTTTCAAGTAAGGGTAAAACACTGGTCATCATATCTTTACTATTTCCACCAAGACCTCCAGAATAAACTATCATCATGTACGAATTTAAAAATGTCATTATAATTTCAATGATCAACGCATGTCAATGAATGCATAATAATTTCAAATAATAATAATTTTAAATATCAACACATGTCAATGAATAAAATTCCAAATATCAACACATGTCAATGAATAAAATTCCAAATGAATGAATAACAATGAAATTCATTTTAAAAATCTTACCATGATGATGTCCAAATATCAATGTCCATGAATTATTTCGTTCTCTGTTTTCTAACAAGACCTTTTCCATCATGTTTAATTGATCTTGTTTGTGACTAGTTTGAGAGTTCCAATAATCAGAATTCATCAAAGGATCTGTCCAAAAAGAAACAAATGGACTCGTGTCTAACATGACCATTGAAACATTAAATCCATTCAAAGTTGAATTCTTCACCAATGTATAATAATGTGAAGGAAGTATCCATCGATGACTCTTTTGAGTATAATCAATTTGAGCTTGAACATTTCCTCTGTAATCATGATTTCCCAGCAACATGTACCATTTCAAATCTTCTAATCCATCCACTTGATAAATATCTTCAAATTTAGTTTTAAATTGAGAATCCTCCACATGACTAACACCAAATTGATAAATATTATCACCCACACCCACAACGAAATGACACTTCTTGACCGATTGACAGAACTTGCCCATACTAGCAGCTACTTTCTTTTGACTTGAATCAGCTCTTCCCTGATCTCCAACAACCAAGAAATGTAAAAAATCATTTGAAGAAGTATATTTAGGATTGGGATACACATTTTCATTCTTTCTGCCAAAATAAACACCAAGAACCACAACGAACACCAAACACGTAACCAAACAACACAATCCACAAACTAATAAGCCTATCCACACAATTTTCTTCTTCTTTGCTGTCGACTTGTTGGAATGGTGCGGTGTTTCCGAGTCGAAGACACTCACCTCTCGCAACTGTTGGTGATCCGAACTTGTAGAGCTCATGTTGTCATACGAGTCTTCTTGTGAGGGCATTTTTTGTGAATGGACGACGAGAAAAAAATGACTCAACAACAAACCATCAAAGAACTCATAAACCACCTAGAGCAACAACAACAACAAATCAAAAAACTGCAAGACGCTGTTAAGACACTCACGCAAACAGTACAGCAATTAATTGAAGTTACAAAACCAACTCAACCAAAACCTGAACCAACCATTAATCTTTCTCAAGCTCAAAATGAAGCCCAAAAAATTCACCCTCAACCAAAACCTGAACCATCTCAACAACCAAAACAGGAAACTAAACATTTAGAAACTCCTCAACTCAAAATTGAACATACTAGTCAACCCAAGAACAAAATTAATTCAATCTCAATCTACTCGGACAACAATATCTCATCCTCATTTGTAAAATTTATTCTTAAAAGATTTGAATCAGTCATTGAACACTGGTACATCCCAGACAACAAGACCAACACTCTCAATTTAGTCATTCAAAATGCCGAAACTCAACAACAAATACTAAAGAAACTTAATTCACCAGCCATGACAGAAAAAACACAAACAAAATATTTCGCTTCACCAATGATTTTTACATCATCTCCAACAACATTAATAGCCAAAGAAAAATCAATTTCGAACATCCAAACTCTCATCAAGTACTCAATCAATCAAAAGAAATGTAGAATTGAACAAATGTGCCTAACATTCAATCCAAAAGAAACTTTGTACAAACTTAAAATTAACTTTGATTCCAAGAGTCCCAACACTGAATTGATCGAACAAGGATTTGAAATTATCAAAAGAAAGCAAGAAACACATATAGCAAATTGCATACTTCCTGAATCAACAAGCGAACTCGCAATTACCAAAGCAATTAAAACACTATGCAAGAACACAACCATCAAATTCGAAAAAGAGAGACTCAGTATTAAGAAAAAGGTAAAAGATACCTACTCATACCTAATTGTTGAATACAAGCTTAATGACATCAATGAATTGAATAGACTAACCTCAACAAGATTTATTTGCTCCACAGAATTGAAACCAATTTCTAGACAGTTCAAGCCAAAGTCAACCGCATGAACGTGCGTTTAATAGTTTTACCAGCACCAATGGTGCTAACAATAAACTAATTAGATTTTTTGTGAATGGAATCTCATTAGATTCATGGTCTACTTAGAACATCCAACTAGATACAAACAACGTACAACGTATTTTGAGGAGCAATCTCAGCTAGAGTACTGTCTTTCTAATATTAGAAAAACCAAAACACAACACAATAGAACGGTTAAAAAATGTCAACAAAATCATTACGTTAAGAATCATTTGTTTCAAATTTAACACAAAGTGTTGTTGAATAAACTGGCTTTTGCCTTATTTATCATTGATTCGCACAATGATTTCTTTGACACTTTTTTGTGTCTGCGATTGGCTTTGGCCCTATCTTTTTTAAATTTTATCCTTCGATGTTTTCGCCGAATTATTGCGATGTATTGAAAATGGTTTACATCAAGATTGAATGGATAATAGCTTAAAAATCTTTCAACAAATTGTTAATTTTGAAACAAATATCAAAGCAATTTGAGGTTTTTCATTACGTTCTAGTATCCATTTCTCGAGACAGCTGTATAACTATAAAGATGTTGGTTTACCCTCCTTCTCCGAAGATGTGTTACACGCCGTGGAGAATTGACAGCAACTAACCCATTGGTATTAATCTTGTATTGTTTGATGTTACGTAACAGTTACACAGCAATATTAATCTTTTGTTTGAATCATCAGAATACTAATTCTCCCATTACGTAAATACATGTACACAGATTACATTATATTATTGGGACGATACGAAATTATTGGTTTTGGCATCCGAAAGAGTGTCCTAACTGCAATAATTATACAATTATCCAACTGATACTCAGTGTTACTGTTGATATGTTATAATATGTTCACAGGCAACATCTACTTCAATTTTGTTCATGATAGAATGAAAATGTGCTCCCTAATGACATAGTTACATGATTTCTGTGTTACTATACCTATTGTTGAGTGTTACGGTTCTGAAGAGTTACTGTCATATACATCTGTTTACTTTATGCATGGTGGACTGATATCTGTTTGCCAAAAACGTCGCTCCAAATGTCTTTTCATGATTTATTCATGCTCCTGCACTCTGTTTTTGGAAGTTGTAAAACATTATTTTAATAAAGGTTGTTGGTTGACACTCCTTAAGCATCAATGGGTTGATGTGTCCTCCACCGTGAATGAAACGGAAGCTGCGGAGGTGGTGTTAGTATGCTCCTTGCTTTTGTTGTGGATTTTTTGATTTTTTTAAGTCTTTGTGAGAGCTTCGAGATATAAAAACACTTTGGAAAGTACCGGCACTTGTCATGCAAAGTTTTTACTAGTTGTTGAGCGAAATTTAACTTGTAAAACCCTTGATGGCACTCTCTTTCAAAAACATGCTAAATACTTTTAAATTTTATTTACTGTGAGGATGTTTCTTTTTCCAATCAGCCACTTGATGCTTTATCTTATCAAACACCAAACGTACATCCTCTGTACTCGTTGCACAACAGTCGTGCATCCAAATTCTCTGTTCATCAAACTTGTTAAGAGCCAAAAATTTCTGACGAATGAATTGAACCGACTCGTCATAACTGGATTTATCACCCTTGTAATCACTGAAACAAGTATCAATGCCATGAACTTGTAATTTCTTTTTGAAAATATCAGTCTTGTTTAAAACAATAATGATAGGTGTCTCTTTGAAATATCCATTACATAGACCTTCAAAGACATTGAGAGAATCATCCATTCGATTCAGAGAATCATCTTCATACATTTTCAAGTCATAATCAGCCAAAGAACTGACATAGACGACTGCACTCACTCCTTCAAAACAATTGACCCATTTCTTTCTTTCAGATCGTTGACCTCCCTATGGAAGTGAGTGATTCGAGTTGTGTGTGTTTAATCAGTTGAAAATCCGTGAAATTTTAAACGTTCATCATTCACATTGTTCATTATTATCATTCATTATTATCATTCATTCATCATTATTTTTATCATCATTATTATTTTTATCATCATTTAAAAATAAATGTCCAATCACGTTCAAATCACATTCAAATCACACACACACTCAAAACACACTCAAAACACACTTACCACATCAAATAATGAAAATTTCAAACCTTCAAATTCAAAAGAGACTTCAACAATTCCAATGGTCTTTTGACGACAATGAAGTAAATCTTCTTCCGTTGGAACATAATCAGCACTTCGAATTCGATCCAATCTCGCAAAGAAATATTCTGCTCCATCAAACACATGAACTTGATTTCGATGCGTTTGGAATACTCGTTGCACAAGTTCATTGTTCCATAACTTTTCAATATCACTCGCAATTTCTTCGGTATAGAAATTACGTTCACCACCCTTACTGGCAGCATTTGTGGATGTCATGAATGATCGATTCTTACTCAATGCTAATACACGTTCTGAACATTGTTGTAATTCTTCACTTAATTGATCATGTTCATTTAAATCTTTTAATTTTTGACACATGACAGCCATGGATGATACTACATTGAAATGAACAGTGTTTTTCACACGTCTTCTCTCAATTTCAGAGAATGGTCTTTGTGATATAATTCTAACTTGTTTAAAGAATGTACTTTTACCAGATTCACCACTTCCTAGTAATAATAATTTGACATCATAGTTTCCAGAATTGGGATTGGCATTTTCTTCCATGGCATCATTTTCATCGAATTGTTGAGGAGTTGAGTTGTTGTTGTTATGAGCACGAGAGTTGTTGTTTGGATTTGAGGATTTTGTTGTAGGATTGTTATTATTATTGGAGGAGGATCCTTCTTTTCCAAAACAGGCACCCATTTTCTTCTTCTTGTTGTTGTTGATACGTGGTGTATGGATATTTAGTAGTAGTCGAAGTGGCAGTAGTAGTGGTGGTGGTGTTGATGTTGATAATGTGTTGATGATGTTGGTGGTATCGGCAAAGTACAGAGAGAGCGATAAAGATTGTTGTATTCCAGAGAGAGTATGTGTGTATCAGATAATGACAAGATGGGCAACGATGACGACGATGACTGTGTGCAAAATTGTCGAGTGTGATGACCTGTATGTATGTGATGAAACACAACAAGATGCGTGTGTGCTATTTTTTTGTCGAAGAAAAATCATTGATAGATGACACCTTGGATGAACTCACGGGTGTTGCTTGCTCAAACACAGAGAGGTGTTGTTGTTTAACACTATGAGGGGAATAATGTTCACTGAATCTTTGTGCCCCTTTATGAATGGCCATCCAATACCAAAAGAAACACACTGCTTTCTATTGAATATGTGTAATATTTAAAAACGAAATACTTGAATATGTGTAATATATAAAAACGATATACTTGAATATGTACGTATGATAAAAACCAAAGTATACTCGAATGATTGAGTACAACACAGATGAATTCATTTATTAAAGTGAATCAATGAGAGAGTCCTTCAAATCTGTCACGACAGCTTCTGGCTTGGAATCTCTCAAATTGAAAATACTTTCAATCACACTAATTTCCGTACTTGTTGTATTGAGTCCACAAAATGCAGCCCAGTCATTCACAACCAAACCTGCGCCTATCGATTCGGAACCTCTATTCACTGTACCTGCCACAATAGGAACTTGAAGAAGTTGAGATAATTTGTCTTGTTCTTTCACACTAGTCTTTGGGTGAACAATACCACCTTGATTACTAAACACACAATAACTTCCAACGAGTGGGTTTCCATTAATTGTAGTACGGAATGTCTCAACTCCTAGAGTATCTTGTATAATTTCTTCTGTATTCTTATCCATATCTTTATGTATCAATGCAACGTAATCATTACAAGCAATACAATTTCCAAGTGCGGAAAGTCTTTCCTCAACACGAGTGACCTTCACAGTATCAGGTAAGCAATTTCTCAAGTGTAGTAATTCTTGATCGGTGGTTGTGGATGGAACAATCAAGCCTTTCTTGTTGCCGGCACATAATGTACCAATAATTCTACATCCAGCAATGGTTGCATAATTGACTGGAATATGATCAATCAATTCAGTTTCGAATGATGAATAAAAGTTGGCACTTGTACCTTGAGCAACAAGAGCATATCCATTGGTGAGAACGGAGAAGACTCCAATATCACTGGAGTTTTGGAATTGAGTTCTGGTGGCCATGATGATGTTGTTGTTGTGAGGGAGTTTAGAAAAAGCAGAGAGAGAGAGGAAAAAGGCTTATTCGGAGAGAAGCAATGGGTGATGATTGCACAAAAAGCTTGAGGTCGCGTGGAAATATTTTTTTGATTCGTTGCGCTTGTTGGCAGGATATTATTTTTATGCTTGGTAGTGACTGTTTCTTCAAAATCATGCTTGAACTTGGGCAATTGACGCTGTTCATCTCCAAATGCTGCAAAAAAGCCAAGTGTCACCCAGCAACTTGAAGAGACAAGGTTCAATCAACAACCGTTTGTTCTGGTTATTGCAATTGTTCAACTCGTTGCAACATGGAAAGTGAAAATTTAGGGTTTTTATGAAACGTGTTTGCAGTGGTTGTGAGTAATAACATGCAACGCGCGCGTATTACTCGACATATTCCTCAATTTCTTCGGAGGCATACAATTCTCCTCCACTATTATATTCTGTGGTTGGTGTATTGACTGAGGAAAGTGAATTTGTCAAACGGTGGTGGTGTTGTTGTTGTTGATTCATAATACCATTGTCATGAGAACTAGTAGCAGCAGCAGCATTTGTTGTTGTTCCTGACGTCAGTGGTGCCATACCCATCGTTATCGTTGTTGTTGTCAATGATTGTTGTTTCAAATTTTGAAATCGATTCAATTCATTTTTCATTTCTTCCTTTTCCATTTGTAATTGGATAATCATGGATTTCAAATCATTGACATTATTGGGTAAATCATAAATATTATCATACATTTTAGCATAGGTAGGTTGTGAATCCTCTTGTTCAAAATATGACTTGTTTTGATAAGAGTCATTCTCATCTTGATCTTGATCTTCCAGACCATAACTATCAAATCCATCTCGATCTGAAATCTTGTTATAATACATATCCACATCATTATATTCTTCAGGATATGGAATGAATTTAGGCATAATTTCTTGTGGAGTATTTTCACCATAGAGTATTCGATCAATTCTATACTTGTAGGGTAGTTTTTTAAATGGTTCAATCATAAAGGTCTTTTTCAATGGTCGAATTCGATAGAGTGCATTGAGAGTTTCAGTTTCTTCTGATATACTGGAATCCTCTTGTGCACCACCACCACCAATGAAAGTACTTGAAGTAGTAGTACTGATACTGTTATGATCCATCTTTTTACGTGCCTCTCGATACGCTAATTGAATATAGGGATTACAATTTTCTTTGAGTTGTTTCAATGGAAGTGTAGGTGAAGAGAGTTCACTTTGAAGGAAATTCAAATTAGCAGTAGAATTGAATAGAACGGTTGCACTTCGTTTAGGAGTGGCTGCATGGAAATTTACAGTCTTTCGATGTTGTTGATGTGGTTGAGAGGAAGATGACGACGATGGAGAATAATTATTCTCAACATATTCATCAATACTACCACTTGCCATGTAACCAGAAGGAGAATTCATTGCAACTGAATAGGTACTGCTCGTGGCATAATCACTTGGATCAATTCTTGGGTCTTCACCAAATACTTCTTTAAATGCTGATCGATCTGGATTTAACATTTTCCACAGAATTGTATCAATGGAATAGATCTTTTGATTTTGTTCTTCATAATCAATGAGAGATTGAGATTCTTTAGATTCAATATCTCGTAAAGATTCTGAATGTTTGGTAAATTCATCTTTCAATGATCGATATTCAATTAATTTAGATTCTAATTCACTTTCACAGATGGATAATTTTTCTACAAGTTGTTGGAATTTTTCATTTCCTGTTTGTTTTTGAAGTAAATATTTAGAGAGTATCATGTCCGCTAATTTGATGGATTTACACATTTCCATTCTTTTCTTTTCAATATCAATTCTCTCTTGTCCAACTTTCTTTTCCATACTTTTATCTATTTTTTCAATATTAATAGTGATATCAGCTTCCATTTCATCTCTCATTAACATGTGATCAAAACTAAATATGAAATTCAATGGTTGAGTTCGAATGAATGATTTGAGCATGAAATTAAATCGATGAGAAGATGGAGTACTAGATGCTACTTTGGTGAGTAACATCATGGTATTGAGTCGATCTTGTTCCTTCTCTTCTCGATCCAATACTTTGGAGAAGGCTAAATAAATCACAAAGGATTCTTTGGCAAGTCGTTGAAAACGTTCTTCTTCATCCAGTACAGAGGTTGATTCCATCATGAAGTTTGGATTCATGGAAGTGGTGTTGTTGTTATGATTGGACATGTTCATGGAAGTGGTGGTGTTGTTGTTATGATTGGAACTCGTAGAGCCTCCTCCTCCTCCTCCTCCTCCCATTCTTCGAAAGGATGAACTCTTTTTATCTTGTGAATCCATCGTGGTCATGGAATAATCCAAATATTGAGGTACCAATAGTAACATGTCATTAAATAGATAAGCATTGTAGAAACCATTCAACTTCTTCTTATCTAATTCCTTTGTAGATTCTACATGAATGGAATTAAATGTTCGAATATATCTTCGATGTGCTTGTAGAATACCTCCAAATCTTCCTCTCAATTTCTCTTGCAATTCAAACATGACTTTATCATTTTCAGAACTTCTTTTAGATTCATTTAAATTCTCTGCTACTTGATTGACAATACTCAATGCTTGTTCAATGGGTGCATAATCGACATGAGTTTCATCTGTTCTCTTTAACACTTCTTGTAAGAGTAAACGAATACGTGGAACTCTCTGAACAGGTACTACCAGATAGGATGTGAAGGTTAAACCACCACATTCTGGAGTTTCATGAACTTTGGCTAAAAATTGTGCAAATGTTTTGGATGACTTCTCTAACTTTTCAACCTTCTCTGAAACACTATCAAAATTATTAATATATTTTGAATACATTCTAAAGAAGGGTGCAAAGGATTTGAAAATGTTACCAATCAAGATGGGACTTGTTGGCCATTTTGCAATTTCCTTTCTCAAATCACTCATGAGCATTTCACTGGCTTGCATGATGGAAGGTAATTCACCAAATATTTCATTAATGTCTTCCATTTTGAGAATGGGTTTCTTTTTTGTTTGAGCATCATTGAGCAGTGGATCCATAAAGAGTGTTTTACAAGTACTGAGAGCAGAATAATAGGATTCTTCAGTCGAGAGAATTTCTAAGAGAGCTGCACGTCGTAGTCGAGCATTTCGTACATCGGTTGATTTTGAAATGTATTCTTGAAATTTACGACGCATCATAAAGGCTTGTATGCATGGAATGAGCAAAGGGCACGACGAAGAGGAGCATGCAGAGGATGAAGTAGTGGTAGTAGTAGTAGCAGTACGTGGCGGAGGAGTTTTATCGTCCGCAATCTTTGAAGAATGAAATTCAACGACAACTCCATCTTCACGATCATCAATGTCCTCATCATCTACTTGGTACGAGTTCATATTGGTCTCCATCAATGTGTTGGCGTTAGTGGTCATGATGGGAGGCTGTTGTTGTTGATCGACACTCTCTTGCTCCAACATGGCATCATGATCTTCGGAATTGCCATCTTCAAATTCATCTTCGCTTTCATCACTAGTACTGCCACTGCCACCACTACTCGTCCGATCTGCTGCAGCATCCATGATTGGAACCATTACAGAGGAGTGAGGAGGATGGGTGGAGTTGTTGTTGCTGCTGCTGCTCTGATTCGCATTTTTGAATTCTTGTGAGGCTTGACTGTTCGTGCTCAAACTTCCCAAAGAAGATGATGAATTGGAATGAGTGTTGGGAGCAGTGCTGAGGCTTGATCCCATTCCATTATTTGTATTACTAGAACTTGATGATAGAAGAGCATTCAATTGAGGAGAACTTGTCGATTTGATATCTGATTTTTGTGTCGATGATGATGTTGAAGAAGAAGATTTGTTGGATCTAAATTTTGAAAAGAGTCCTCCCAATCTCTTGGATGATTTCTTATTCTTCTTTTCTTGAATAAATGTTTGAATATGAGAGGGTAAATCAGAAATGTTTTCTAATCGTTTCACTTCCGAAGTAGGAATGTCAAATGGTGTCACAGCATCGGAGGATGACATCGATGTCGCAAGAGATAGATCAATGACTTGATAGGAATCTTGTTGAGGTGAAATTCTATAGTCAATTGTATATGTGGTTCATAATAATATTGATGAATGGTAATAAATAATTGTGTGAAGTGTAAATTATATATTATATATTGATTGGAGAGATTTGAAATGCATATAAAATGATAAAAGATCAGAGGATGAAAAATATATACATTTACGAATTGACATTTCAGTACCACATATTTGGTTGTGAGAGAATTTGAAAATTCAATCATCATCATTTCGTCAAAAGTCAAATGAATATTTCATTCAGAAAGTGATGTGAGAATTACAATCATTTCATCAACCATTAGAATATACATTGAACAAGGTTCAATCCAATGAACTTACTTTAAAATTTGAACATAGGTTCCCTTCGTTTTATGTATTTGAGTCTTTCCAATATAATCAGAAAAATCATTGTTAATTTGACCGTAGAGTTCTATATCTTCATTGGACATTTTTGAAAGGAGAATGCAAAATTCTGAATGATGATGATGAACACAGACTTGTTCAAACGCAATGTAACCCGCACACCACTACTGTTGGTTTTGTTGGTCGTAATGAAAATATCAATCTTGCGAGAGAGACAATTTGTTTGTGGATTTTGTTATTTTTTGAATTTTGTGTCAATCAAGTGTCAAATTCGAATTAAGACATGGTAGTACGGATTTGAAGCGACGGAAAAAAAGAGTAACTCTGTTGTGCGTTCGTCATCATGACAATTATGAATTTTCATGCCTGCAAGTGAGAAGACAATTAAGTGGACAACATGTGAGATCAGTCATGTCCTTCACAACAAGACAGTGTTTTAAATGCTCATTTTCAGACGGTAAAACTTTCTTGAATGAAAAACAATCAATTTCATCCTTGATTGTAAATTTCAAAGGGTCAAATTGGAGCGTGTGTCTCATGAATAACTTTTGTCTCAAAAAAAAATGTTCAAATTTAACCATACTCAAACCGATATTGGTGGTGGGTGTTGGGAACAGTTTTCTCTCGATCAAATACCAACAAACAGAACCACACAAGAGAATCATAAACACTTTGAGAACAATCCATTAGTTAAAATTGCAACCTATAATATTCTCTTTGATCATTGGGATTCACACATTTATTCCAAATCCAATCGAGAACGATTTGAATTTCAACTCACCCGAATTTTACCTCAACTGAAAGCAGATATTATTGGACTGAATGAAGTAGATCCTCTCTTTTTATCTCTATTATTACAACAAGAATGGGTTCAAAAAGATTATTATGTATCACAAATTGATTTTAATGATTTTAATAACAATGATAATAGTAGTAGTGACAGTAGCATTGACAACACTACTAGTGCTAATAATAGTAATCATAATAATAATAGTAACAATAATAGTAATAATAATAGCAACAATAATAGTAACAATAATAGTAATAATAATAATACTAATACTATTACTGCTACTACTGAAACAACAATGAATAATAGTGACAATATCAATACCACCACCACACTCCATCATCACATCTTTGGAAATATTGTACTTGTTTCAAAGAACAGTATACTAGTACCAATTCATATTTCAAAATTTAAATTTAATTCTCATTGGAGAGATGGTATTCAATTAGATTTTAAAAAGATGAGTGATGAGAATAATCATGATGATATACTTGTCACCATGATTGCATGTCATTTAAAAGCAGGTGAGACCATACAAGATATTTCAACCAGAAAAGAACAATTACAACAAATTTCAGAACATTTTTCAAGAGCGAGTCAAGAACAAATGGTGATTGTTTTTGGTGATTTGAATATTCAAATGGATGATCATAGCACAGAACCATTACCAAATGGATTTAAGGATCTTTATGTGGAATTGAAAGAATATCACTGCCATACATTATCAGAAAATTTCAAACAACAAGAAGAACACTCTACAACGATCATCACTCATTCCAACGGCAATCATCAAATTCCATCTCTTGAATATACCTATGATGGAGAATTGAATGGTTTAATTGGAGATGCATCATTTAAAAAGAGATTGGATCGATTCTATGTTAAATATTCATCATCTCAAATGGATGATAGCACAGACTACAAAACTTCAAATAATCGTAGAATATTCAGTGATATGAAATTATTTGGAACAGAATGTATGACTGTTGAAGATTTAAAGACTATTATCATGAACCAAGAAAATCATGACACAACATCAGACGATACTTGTCATCCACTCATTGGTAAGCCTGCTTCAGATCATTATGGATTGATCGTGACCATGAATTTATAAATGCATGAGCGAGTTAGTTGTATTAAGGATTGAGGTGTTTAATAATAGTTATTGCAAGAGTTGAGAGCAAACCTTCTGAAAGAACTGAATGGGTATCTCTACAACCTTGATCGTTACAATGATGACCTTTATCTGTCCTATCATTGCAGCATATGATGGTGTCAATAAATGCTCAAACAAGAAGTTTTCTAAATTTATGTTCGTTTATTTGAAAGTTGCTTTTTTGAGCTCAAAATATTTTCAATTAAAATATCATCAACAGAACTACTACCATAGAGACAACTCTTCAACGGCAATTAGAATACAACAACACTACAAACGACAATCAATTCATTGAATACAACCAACCTCCTAACGTACAGATCTACTTTCGAGAAGTAACACTGTCGTCATGAGCGAATCCAACCAAGGCTTACTTGAGAGAACATTTTCTTCCGAAGATGAAATAACGGCCGCAGACAAGATGAAACCAATCGTACGGAATGATGATGAAAGCAAGTATACTACTACTACGGAAAATGATGACACGACCACTCCAAATTCCTCACCTTCTCAATCATCGACCATTTCATCATCATTGAGTATTCCTTCACCTGTAGTAGCAATTGCTATGAATGAGTGTTCGTGTGATGATGAATTCACCACACCATCTCATCGTGCAGCAACCGCCATAACAACCACAACTTCAACCACTACAAGAACCACTACTCACTTCTCCATATGTGATGATTTATATTCACCATTATCATCTCCACTCTCTTCACCTTCGATTCGTACATTATTAAATTCATTAAAACAAAGACAAGACAAGGATGAAGAAGAAGATTCCTTGTTCGTCCTCAATATTGACCCATTTGAAGAGTCTCAGCAGACTCCATCCAGAGTTCTGTCAAGAAATTCTTCAAATAATGAATCCAAAAGAGACAGGGCAGAATCTTTCTATGGAATCATGAATAACAATATGAACCACATGAATGTTAACAACACTCGAAGAAGAGCCTTCTCATTCATGATGGATCCCAAAACCTTACAATCCAATTCTGAAATTTTAAAAGAGAATCTTGAAGTACCTTTGATGATGGAAGAATCGAATATTAATGAAACGAATATTAAGAAGGGATGGATGGAAACCAAGGAATCATCATCTTTATCTTCACCACCACAACAACGTCAGCACAATTATGATGGTGATGATGAAAAAGATGACGACGAACAATTTCTCATGAATACGACTAGTACTCATCGTAGTAATAGTAGAATGAACAACAACAACATTCAAAGAACATCAATCATTTCATTTCAAGATTCACCTCTCACTTCAACAACTAGTCTACCTTCTTGTTCCAACCAAAATTCCAACAAATTAGTGAACTCGTCTCCTCAAAGTCAGACAACCAATCCAAGCAAAACGAATACGACTATGGATTCATACTGCACTCGCTCGTCAGTCATTGATTATTATCATGATTTAATTAACAAGTTATCAAGATTGGATTTTGGAATTATTTATTCTATTCTTTCCTTTTATTTATTTACCATCGATGATTGGTTCATGTACACACAATTATTATTGAATCATCATCATGATTATTACTCTTCATCAAATACTACTACTACTATAAATGATCCAAAGAGTCAAAATCATGAGATTAAGAAACATTGTTCTCATATCGTCATGAACATGTTTTATGGAAAGAAATACAATCATTTATTTCAAGTATTTCCTTCTATTCATTGGAATGTGACCAATCCTGAATATTTGAAATATTTCACTAATGATCCTGGATCTAGTAATAACAATACGAGTAATTCTAGTTCAGTGAATCATGATACTTCTTCCCTGTATATTCAATGTATTTCTACTTCACTCAAAAGTGTGATTAATCATTGTTCACATTTCATTTCTAATCCTCACTTTAATCAAATCTCTCATTTATTTGAATTTAAACGATTGAAATCCTTTCATTTACAATATGGATTTCATGATGATTCCAATTTAACACAATTATTGAACAAGTCAAGAAAATCATTAGAGAATATGAGTATTACAAGTATGGCATTTTCTTCAGATGATCATCATTTACATCATCATGGTTCATCTAAGGATCATTTTCATCGTCGCCGTTCCACATCAGTCATGACGAGTCATTCATTCCATTCTCTCAATTCCAACACTAGATACCATCCATCAATGCCCTCATTGCATTCATATCATCCTTCCATCCCTCCATATCCCAATGTTCGCACACTCACTCTCTACTCCAAATATTTAAATCAAGTGGATTTTGACAAATTACCATCTGCATTGAATTCTCTTTCAATTTATTTGAAGTATCCAGTGATTGAACAAAATAATTCATCTCTCAAGAATTTCATACAACATGTGGTGTGTTGTTCTGCTACTACTACTTCTTCATCCTCATCATCCTCAGTATTATATACACCTCATTCCACAAGTAATGGTATCCAAGATTTACATTTACATTTCAATATGAGTCATTATATTCAATATTTTACCAATGATAACATGTTACACTCTCTTTCATTGACCTATTGTCAAATACCATCCAACTTTCATTGGAATATATTCTCAAAATTAAATGATTTGACTTTGAATATCACTCATCCATTGGAATTGAATAATTTATGCTCTAAAATTGGACATCAATTGAAACGAATGTATTTAATCATAGATATTGAAGAATTTTCTAATTCAGAATCCTTTGATCATTTCAATGCTTCATGTCCCAATTTACAAGAATTACATTTAAGTGATTTAAATTATATCATTTCAAAACATTTAAGTCAATCTCAGAGTATTGTAAGATTTGGATGTGATAGTGCTGTCAATGATTTGATGTGTATTGATTATTTATTGAATATTAAGAATTTATCAAGATTGGATTTGAAAGTCATGGTGAATATGTATGCATTCATTGATCTTGTGAAAAATCGTTCAAATCATTTGATTCAACAACAACAACATGCACAACCACAACAACAACAGCCATGGAATGGAGCAAGTAATGCATCTTTAAAGATGATTCATCTCAATATTGAATGTTTAGTACCAACCAATAGTAGTAATCATGACAACATGAATGATATTCCTTCTTCGATGAATACTAATCCAACATCTACATTGAATCATGTTGAAACTCGTTCTCGTAGTCAGAGTTTATTCAGTTCCAACCATACGACGAATACCATTCGATTTGGTTCTACTACTACTATTACTACTAATAATAATACGATACGATCCATCACTCATAACAGTAGTGAACTTTCAATGAGTAATAATTCTAATACTTCAAATAGCAATAACACTGCATACTCTCCACCAACAAATAGGCTTTCAAATAGTACTTGTTCAAGAAATCAATTCAATTCTCTTAAAATTCATAGATTAGAACTCATTTATCGAGAGAATGAGACTATTTCTGACTTGGGATTTTTAACCTATTTTAGAAGCATTGAAGAATTATCGATCAAATATGGAACTATCTACTCTCCATTATTTTCTCAATTATTATCGTTAACTAATATTAAGAAATTAACTCTATTCAAAACAAATATTAATCATGTATTTCTCTCTAACAAGTATAAGGTTTTGACCTTCCAAAATATTGTATTTATCGATTGTCATTTAAATTCTAATTTTTTGAAAGTATTGAATGAATATCAAGTGGTGGGTGGTGATTCAACAATGAATTCTTGGGCACAACATTATTCTGCAAACAAGAATGGTACTAGTCGTTCAAAAAGTAAGACTCTCCACTCTTCATCTCCAATTTCAAGTTTCAACTCTGTATCATCGTCCTATAATTCCACACCAACACCACCACCGCACAAAAGCTCGACTTTAAATTCTCAAGAATCTTGCATGTTAAATTACATCATTGATGGATATTCATTGCATGTCGTTGGAGTACCAAATATTGTGGTCATACAAGATGATTTACACAAATTGCAGAGTAAAAGTTCAAATATACTTGATGATACTTCCACGTTGAGCTGTAATCAATCATGCTGTATTCAATAAAGTGAATTACACAATTTTGACATTGATGTTTTTATGTTTTGCATTTTGAGAATTTTATAAAATTACAAATAATTTTTTTACTCTAGAATTGCCAAGTTTTCGTGAAAATGACGCTCAATTGTTGAATTTCATAGACTCGCCAAAATAATAAATAGTGAAATCGACAGTTAAATCATTTCATGCTTAGAAGATGGTGGTGGTGGTCCTCTCTGTCTAAACTCTCGCAACATTTGTGCACTGGCACAACATGAACAAAATGTTCCAACACAACAATCTCCACAACATCCTCCCTGAGGAAATACAAGAATAAATCCCATCGTTCACAGACATCATTTGGGAATATTATAAATTCAATCCATATTGGTCAACAATATATTGTTCAATCATTTCAATCCATTTTACAAAAATATAACATTATATTTGTTAAATGATTCATTGATAAACATTAACCATTTTAACATGAGAGAGTCATTTCAAAATTAAAATACCAAAAATTAACATAATTGCATACCTTAATTCCAAATGCTCTTCTCACCATTCCTCTCACTATGGTTGTCACTATAGTTGGAAAGAAACAAGCACTACAACAAATGCACCACCAAGAAGTAGTATTACTCGTTTCGTGTGTCATTTTCACAACATCTGCCAATGAACATGGTAAACAACAAGTCGAATACAAGGTTTCATTAAATCCACGTGCTTGATAAATTTTTGCTTCTCGTTGTGACGCAGAGGTCGAATTGGAAATGGTGGATGATTTTCTGGATGAATTTCTCCTTGCATTCTTTTTTTCAACAAGTACAGGTGTGAATTCATCCACTTGTTCACTCTCAGAATCGTCTTCTTCATCATCATAGGCTACAGAAGAATGATGATCTTTTTCATCAAAATCCATATCATCATCATCATCATAATCCACAACATGAGGTGTCACTTTAAAATATCGAGTATCGGAAATGGAATTGGAAGTGGGTGTGAGGAGTGGTCCTTCACGGAAAAGACCTGAAGACCATTCTTTTGATGAGAAGAATGATTTGTTGAAAAGTACTGAAGGTTGTTGTTGGTCATGTTGGTGGTCATCATCCGAGATGTCATCCTTCAGTTCAGAACGAGAGGATTGGAGTGTTGACATTTTTTTCAAAAACGCTCGTTGCGAAACTTTTGATTATGATAATGTGAATGCATTGAATTATAACAAACTCGAATTGTCAATGTCCAGTACTTCCAATGCAACAACCAACAATTCATTTGGAATTGGAGCTTGTAAACGAATGACTTTCACGAATATCCGTGACTTGCACTTTGAAAAATCAAAAAAAAATTAACCAAAAAAATCTTTTACCTTGTTCTTGTTTCCGAATGTTGTCTCTATTTTCAACGATAAAAATTGATAAAAAAGGACATTGTTCTCTTGCACATCAGGTACATATCAATTGTGTAATCGTTACCAATAATTTGATTATTTAAATTTTTATTTTAATATTAAAATAATAATAATGAAATGATGAATTTATTGTTGATTTCATCATTTAGAATTTAAAAGAAATTCCTTATAATTTATTTTCTAAAAAACAATTATCCAAAGTATTGGAATTAGATCTCTCTCATAATGAAATTGAATTCCAAGGTCTGCAACATTTATATCAATTTGAAAATTTAAAATCTCTCGTTTTGGATCATAATTTAATTAAAAGCGATGTAAATTTAAATATGGGAAAACCACTTCCATCCTTAGAATTATTATGGGTCAATTCATGTAATATTACGAATTTATCTACGTTTATTGAAAAGGTAAAATCGATGGCACCAAATTTACAGTATTTTAGCATGTTGAAAAATAAGGCTTGTCCAAATTTCTTTGTAGAAGGAGGCTCACCTGATGCCTATAATGACTATCGATTATTTGTGATTAGTCGATTACCAAATTTGAAAGTATTAGATACAACACCAGTAACTGAAGAAGAACGACAAAAAGCAATGAAAATGTATGCCTCATTGAAAATGCAACCGCCATCCAATGTCATGAAATAACATGTTTTATTTTTCTTAAGGATCTTGTTGTTCATGTGTTCATGGTTGTTGTGTGCAAACCAAACATTCAGTCCTCCAAAGGGACTGAAAAACGTGTGCTATTGCTCTCTTGAGAGTGTTTGTAAAAAAATTATGCAATGACTTGGAATACTCTCACACTGAAATCCAAACTACAAGTGAGTAATTCCAATTTCAAATGGTTTGGATTGGATGCATCCACTCTCCACTTCACACGACGCACAGTAGATGCATGAGCATGATTATTAGGAATGGAATATAAAAGTTTTAAGTGAATCTTGTCATTGATTTCTTCACACTCTTGATCATAAATTTGAATCGATCCATCTTCCATACCAATTGCCATCAAGTAACAAGAGAGTTTACGACTTTGGAAAAATTCTCTAAATTCTTCATACATTAACTTGGGAATGAATTGAATACTCGTCACGGGTTGTGGCATTTCAATACTTTGAACACATTCCAAATTCACTTGATGACTCTTTTCTTCCTTCTTCTTGGAAATCTCTTCAATCATCATTGGAGAAGGTACTCTAAAGACTTTAACAGTACCATCACGAGATCCTGTTGCCACATACAAATCATCAACACTAAATGAAACATCCCAAATGATACGTTCATGACATTGTTGATACAGTAATGGTTCATAGGTATCAAAGGAGAGACTTGTCTGTTCCATTCTCTTTCGTTGATAGAGAATCATACATCGATCTCGACTCACACTACACATCCATTCATCATTGTTACTGAATGCAATTCTACTCACTGTCAAATTATGACCCATCACAACATCAATGGGTTTAAATCCATTTCGAATGTCCCATAAACGAATTTGAGCAGCATCTGCATGTTTGGCTGAACATGCACTTGCCAATACACTTTTACAATGATTGGATTGAACACAAATCATTTCATTGGCATGTCCATAGAGTTTTTGTTGTTCTGGCCATAATGTTAATTGCAAGAGTTGAGTTTCAAAAGGTGGATGAGGTAATGCACTTGCATTTCCTTTTGCAAAAATAGATGATAATGATTTTTCATGGTTATGATCATCCAATGCTTCAAGAGTAGTAGATTCTTCTTCATCTTGATAATCAAATTCATTCACTGTAATCATGTCCTTCTCTTCTCCTTCTTTGACTGACTTGTTTGTGAGACCAAGAGGTGGAACGGTCGCTGCCATCACTCTTTCCTTCTTCGATTGACCATATAATTCATAATGTTTGTGACCCATTTTGGAATTTAAAAGACAAAGTGTGTTGATAAACGATTGAGGTGCATCAAAATATCGAATGACTTTCTCATCACCACCACTTGCAAACGAATAATAATCTGTGAAAGTGAGACAATTCATATCATAGCCATGAATTTGAGTACGAGCAATTTCTCGAATAGATCGTTCTTCACATGTTTGATATTGATTGAGAGAGTCATTGTCAATGATTGTTCTAGAATCTATCGTTGTATCAACCCATGTGAAACATCGTGTGGTCTGATCCGTACTTGTAGTCATGAAATAAATTCCATCTTTGGATGGTTCTACATCTAAATCCATCACACTATTAAAATGTCCAGAAATGCTCACCATTGGTTTCCATTCATTTTCATGTTCTTTCAATTTCCATAAATGGAAACTTCCATGAAATGCTGTTCCCATACAATAATCTCCAAACATGGAAAAACATCCACTGAAATAACCCATTTGACCAAAGAGACCGCTCAGACCTCCAAATTCACCCATTCTGAATTGATTCAACCAAACACCATGGTTGGATGTAGGTGACCATATCATCATGGTACGATCCATCGAAGTACTTAATAATTGTAATAAATTTGGACATGGATGCCAATTGAGAGAATGAACCCAATCTTCATGACCTGTTAATAAGGTATCCAATGTTACTTGATAATGAGTAGAGGAATCAATACTTGTAAAGTGATGAGTATTGTATAAATTCACAAGTAATTCTTCTTCTAATAAGGAATCTGAAGTTGCTTGTACTGGCGTTTGATCTTGTATCATCTTCCAAATTCTAATTCTGTTATCTTGTGATGCACTTGCCAAATAAACTGCTTTTTCTTGTTCAATGTATTTGAATGAAAGAGATCGAATCCAATCTTCATGACCTTTCAATACCAAAATAGGTTTGGTGTTGTTTGGATGAACAAAATATAAATAAATATTAAAATCAACTCCACCGCAGGCAACCATAATTTGTCCACTATTGAAAAGATCAATAATAGAAATAGCCTCCATTGACTTTGAATGTTTAAACGTTTGAATCAATTCATATTGATGATCCTTTGAAGAGTACACTTGAACATTTCCATCCGAGTCACAAACTGCAATATGAGAATGATAGAGTGCAGTCACTTTGGTGAGATGTGTTTTTGTTGAAATCTTTTGAACAATTTCATAATCAATTTGTGAAGGATCATTTCCATGGACATTCAACTTCCAAATCAATAATTGTTTTCCACCCACGCTAGCGACATAAATAGTATGAGTTTGAAATTCATTCTTGTTGGGATATATCAAGAATTGAACGGAATTGACTCTTTCATCATGACCTTTCAAAGTACACAATACTCGATTGTAATATGGAGAGTAGATGGCAACGAATTGATTTGCAGCATAGGCAAATAAATCTAAATGTTTGTAACTCTCTCGGATGGATAAGCCTTCTTCTACCACTCGGATACAATTATTAGTTTCACTACTTGTATTGTAATCAATAGGTTTAGTGTAGACTTGAGTGTTATAGATTTCAGCAGGCAATCGATACCAATCCGAACAACCGGAAATTCTGTTGGCACCAATCGAGATGAAAAGTGGGCGAATTTGGTTCGAGGAAGGTGAGGATGATGCATTCGACAAGGTCATTTTTTTTGTGCAAGCCCAGAGAGAAATTGTTGTTTTGCAATTCGATTTTGCACCAGCAAAAAATGATGTTCGTATGATGATGATACTTTTTGATGAATTTGTGTGGAGAATAACCTCAAAACGGCATGGTCATTCTCTATTATTTAAATAATTTTATACAACCAAACGAACTGCTCTGTTGGAGAACTTTGTTCCCTCGGTTACGAACCAAAATTTTGAATCTCTATTGCTTACTATTTAAATTAAAAAGGGCCAGTACTTGTGTTTTGGTCATGACATCTTCTTGATCACCCAATTCATCATTTGTCGAATAATTGTAAAAAAGGTAAACTCCATGAAAACCATGACTTGACATCTTGTAAAGACATGCACTACAATTTTATACAATTTCTAAATTCTCAAAACAAGGTGTCGTGACTCTATTGAATAACAACACCGTGGTTTTGAATGCTCGATATGATATCATGTACTGATTAAGATTTTCTCCTTTTCGATGTTGTGGTTAAGATTCAACTTGCCTTAAAGATTCAATCGAACGCACCATGATTGGCAAAGCATACTCGATGGATCATGGTCGTCGAGTCATGTAATATGTGATTCAAAATTTTTGCATGATTGTTGTCAAAGAGAAAAGCCGAACTCTAAGACTTGTAAAAAACTCTATTTGCTCAAATCAACCCTCACCACCACTACCACCACTACCACCACTACCACCACTACCACTACCACCACCACACAAACTCTAATACTCGCATCGTTTTGAAAATGCAAACAACCGCTGCAACCGTCCTGTGTGGGCAGTGGTTCATGCGATCATCGAACGTTATTTTCTCACTGTTTGTGGCTCAAGCAGTGTTGGGATGTGTATGTGCCTTCTCGTTGCTGTACTCTACTGGACTTCCGTTGCACAACACCACAGAGGAGAGTATTCGACAGAAACAAGCCAATTCCCTCACGTATGAAGTGAGTAAGCTCACCAGAACATGCCAAATCTCAAAAACAGTATTGCAATTTAGACTCTTCTATGGAACACCTATGAATATTATGGATACACAATTATGGATGAAGTTATTTGCCTATCTTGAAAGAATTTACTTGTTTAAAGTGAATGCATTGAGATTTGCTCGATTCGATGGACATTTCATTGCCTTTTACAATCATACCTTTGAGATTACTTTTGAAAATCGAACCAATTTTTATCAATTGGACATGTTGGATCATAACAGAAAAACAGAAAATTTCTCGAATGATTCCTCACATTGGTGGTCGTCGTCATCGTCATCATGGCCATCCACTTCCTCCTCCTCATGGTGGACGCGTCAACGTTTAACACATTTATATGAACGACCTGTATTGTTTGCCACTCATTCGAGACCCATCTTTAAAGAATTTCAACAACGAAATCAAACCACTCGACCTTTTTGGACCAAAGTCTTTCGAACACTCTATGGATTTGATGCCATAAATTTTGTCATTCCAATTTTCAGTGATGATTCATCTCGAAATAATAATCACACACAGCACCAAATGAACACCACAACACGAAGGGTCTATGCACATTTCAATATTCCTTCCCGACACAGGAATTCTACCATCGAGTCGAGTCCTGAACAATTTTTTGGACTCTTTGCCATTCAATTCTCTTTAGGAGCTTTGAATCAATTTCTAAAACAAGTGTCAGATGAATCAGAATATAGATTTATTATGAATTCTATGGGAGAGATATTAGCTTCAAGTTATGATCATGCCTCTGAAATTGCCTTATTTATTATTCAGAATCATTTATTTAGAAATACCTCTGTATTTAGTTATCAAAATAAGAGAATTGAAACAAGACCACTAAAAGATGAATATGGACTGGATTGGGTGATCGTTGTAGTATTTATATCGAAAGGATATGCAGCAGAGATTGTCAATTATAGTATTACCACCATTGTTGTATTCATCATTCTCATGACCATTCTCTTTTTAGGAATTTTAATATTTTTACATGTTCTTGAAAATTCCATTCAACAAATTACAGACTCGATGAATGAACTTGAATTATTGGGAGGAGTTGAAAAGATTCACAATGAAAATTGTAAAATTACAGAAATTAATGAGATGAGAATATCTCTCAATCATTTGAAACGAGGACTTTCAGCCATTCAAATTTATTTACCTCATATTGTGGTTGAGAGTTGTTTGAGAAGAAATTTAAAAGTATTTTCATATCCAGTTCGAAAACGACGTGAAATGACAGTCATGTTCTGTAGTATTGATAATCTACTCATTGTTGCCGAACACACCAATATCGTAACATTATTGAGAGTGGTTTCTGAATTTTTAGAAATTGCACACAAATTAGTTCATTTACATTTTGGAACAGTGGATAAGATTATGGACGGAACAATTATGGCATTTTGGAATGAAGAATCATTACCATGTGAATCGCATGAAATTAATGCATGTCGAGCTGCTCTCGAATGTTTGGAAAGTGTTCAATTATTGGAACAGAAATGGATTCAGACAGGATTTCCTCAATTAGTGTTCAGTGCAGGAATTAATACAGGAGAAATGGCATTTGAAAGTAAGTGTGTCTTGTTTGAGAGTTTGAAAAATGTGTGTTTGATATGAGAAACATGTTTCAATATATATTCTGAAATGATATGGAAATTTATGAAGGTATGGGAAGTCCAAAACGAATTCAAGTGACAGGTAGGTTCTTTCTAGAATGTTGTTGTTCATTTAAACATCTTGTATTTATTTTGGAATGATTTTGGAATGATTCTAAAAAATATGGTCCAATGTTAAAACACACAAATGAATTTTTTGAAATTAGTGATTGGAGATTCTGTGAATATTGCTTCACGACTCAATGCTCTAGCCTCTCATTATCAATGTTCAATTTTCATTGGAGAGAGAACCTACAAGATGGCACGAAAAGAATTTGTATGTTTGTTTGTCGATTTCACTCATCTCAAAGGAAAGCAACAACCACTGGCAGTCTATCATGTGAGATGTTTCTTGAAAGAGGCTACTGATCTCGATTTGAGATTTATGAATGATACGAATAGTGTACAATTTTATTTGATTCATCAAGAATATAAGAGAGTGGAACAATTGTGTCGAAAAATGTCCATGTTGGATGGAACTTGGCCAGTCACTCGAATTTTGTTGAATCGTTATGTGTGAGAGGGAGTTGTGTGTCATTCATTGATGACTTTGTGAAACTCAATTGCCAAAAACAAGATGAAGGAACGTGTGCAGAGTATATTCGAATAGGATGCAACCGCAACTACAAGATCGAACCAATTGCAAAAACCAATGTTGATGAATCAATCAGCTGTATCTATGCTTGCTGATTACATGGCTGTTCAATTTTGTTCTATCAATGAGTCCGAACCAACCTCCAAGATCGAGATGTCGAAGCCTCACTTTCCACATCCCGCCTTATAAAAGGTTAAAAAAATGCGCGCCATTTTGTGGTACAATTTTCAAACACTTTAAAAAATGTCATCATTCGAAGAACACGACCAAATCCGTGAGGAGGATGAAGAAGATTTTGGAGAAATGCAATACAATAGACGAAATCAAGACGATGATTTTGAATACAACATGGATGAAGACGACAGCGATGATGAAATTTATTCCATAAGTTCCGAGGAGGGAGATGATCACACAAGTGTTCAAAAAACACCCGTTGCTGGGCGATTTTCAGACCTTCAAATTATTGGTCGGAAACACACTCCTACCATTTCTCCTGATACCTCTTCGAAAAGTCCCCAACAAGATTATTCTCGACCATCTTCTCATAAGGACAGTCCACCAAACAACACCAAATCGAGATCCACACTCATTACTACAAGCAATCCAATGAAACACAATGACTCTATCATTAGCGAAGCTATTGAGCCTCCACCACCCAAGTTCTCGTTCAACACTCGAAAATATGATGATGACATTAAATCCTTAACTTCAAGTAGAAACGATAGCGATATTTCCTCAGTGATTGAAGAAAGTTCGAGGAAAAGCACCTTTGACTATTTAAAACAAAAACAAGATCAGTTATGCAAGTTAAATCAACAAATTAACATGGAAACAAAACATGTACTAAAAGAAACTGACAATATTGTGAAGCAGCAATCAAAGAAAATTGAAGAAATTGCAATTAAACCTACCAGAGTCAACAGCGTTGGGGATCATTCGCGGTCAACAACGCCGTCACAGAACAGACACACAACGGTCACTCCAAAAAGACCTTCAAGTGCATCTATTGCATCCGCTAAAAAGAAGGTTCAAGAAAATATTGACGAGCTTGCTCAGTACGAGGATGACGACTTGGATCGAGCTGCCAATGAAATGGGTTTAGAAGCAGCTATGAAATTCTACAAAGCTAGAGTTAAGTCTCTCCAAAAAGATGTCCTTGAACAAAACAATCAGTTAAAACTTAAAGATGACAAAATCAAAGAATTAGATGTTAGATATAATGCAGCCCTAATTGAGAGTAAGAAAGTTAACAAAAATCAAGCTCAATTTCAATCAAGGCTGGACAGGCAGAGAAAAGAATTTGACGCACTTCAACTTAAATTTAAAAAGCAAGCCAGTATGATCAATGAAATGCAAAAGGAAAATGAAAAACTCAAACTCAATATGAAGGTAGACCCATCCTCCAACGCTAGTCCGTCGTCCAATGAAACACCAAACTCTGAAAATCGAATTAAGGAAATCAAGTATACAAGAGCTCTCGAAGAGATTGAAAAGTATAAATCTCAACTTGCTGAGCTACAAAAATCCCAGAGAGAGGACAATGATAAACAACGAAAAGAAGCAGAAGCCCTGAGAAAAGAAAATAAGAGGTTAGAACGTCAAAAACAAGATATAGTACTTGCCTTTAAAAAGCAAATGAAATTGATTGACATATTGAAAAGACAAATCATTCATTTAGAGGCATCTAAACAACTGTCATTCACAGAGGAAGAGTTTACCTCACTTATGAATCAATAGACAATGAAAATGGAGAGAGAAATAAAGTAATGCTATATAAACTCGCTGTCCAATAACTCTCTTGCCTGTTTTCTCTGGTGTAAATAATCCACGACACTATTTAACAGCTCATATACCTTTTTTGGCTCACAAACGTTCAAATGCTTAATCAATATCTTGTAATAATCACCGCTATATAAAATATTTTTCGTTCCCTCTTTCGATGGTGATGACATGCTGTCAGAAAAGGCCACTTTGTTAAATTCATTCATTGCTATATTTTTGTATGTTTCTATTAAATTGATCATTAATTTCTTGTCATCATCCTTTTCAATATTTTCAAATTCATCATAACATGTAACAATGCTGTTGATGCATAAAAATATGGGAATGTCTTGGAATAGATCTTTGTATTCATTTAAGATGTCTGTTAGTATTTTGAATGAGGAAGAATATCGATGATAAATATCAATTTTTGCAGAAAGAGATCCAATAGATAACTGCACTTGTTCATTAAATGATAAATGTGAATCAAATTTACAAGTCTCTTCTGAAGAGCCTTCATTTTGGTTGGAGTCAGTAGAATTTTCATCAATTTTAGACGATCGTATCTCAATATTATAATTGATCACAAAAAATATAGAATGAGCAGATTTGTAATAATCATTCCACATGGTTTTTAAATTACCACCAATATCCCAAATTTTTAAATTACAAGTTTTTGCAAACTCAATATTAAATGTATTTTGTCCAATGGTGGGATTGTAATTTCGATTTCTTTTCGATTTACTGTAGAGTTGAGAAAAATTAAATTGAAAGGTTGAATCCAGTTGTGGATTTGATGATGAAGAATGTTGAGTCCAAGTCATGACAGTCGCAGGTGAATATGAAAATATTTCTTGTTTGTTCATTTGTTTAATGGTTTGCAACAGTTCTGTCTTCCCACTCTCTTCAATTCCAATGATGAGAATATTATAGGTCGGAGTGTACGTGAGTTTATCATAGACAAGTTCGAGAAGGGAGAGCATGATGGTTCTTATTTTTTGAGTGATGATGAAGAAGATCGGGATTGTTTCGGAATCAGAGTTTTTGATCAATGGTGTCTGAGGGGTTCTCGAGAATTTTTTTGTGATCGAGTGCATGCATGGTTTGTCGAGCACGGAAGAGAACACGTTTCAACCTCCTACTGAAGAAGAAGGACAGAAGCGGCTTCTTTGAATCACGTTTTGATATCATAACGTTGGGGTTTGGAAAACAGCAACATTTCAGACATCACCTCAACGATCACTGAATCAACATCATCCAATTTCTCTCGAAACCGTCCCAAACCAAGAATATTAGGTTCGTCATCTCAAAAAAACAACAAAAAATCACTCGGTGCAAGCAAAATGGGCAATCAACCTGGCAAGAACAAGCAATACAGAAAGAATGAATTGAAGAAACTAGTGGAGATCACTCACTTTGATATGGACGAGATTATGAAGCTCTATGAGCAATTCCTTTCCATTTCTTCATCCCGTGAAGATGATGGTGTGATAGATAAAAACGAATTTAAGGAGGCTCTTGGTTTGAAGGATTCCCTCTTCGTGGATAGAATGTTTTCATTGTTTGATGGTGATAACGATGGTACTATTGGTAAGTTTTAGTCTGTTATTTCTTTACTTTTATGACCTATCGTTGTATTCCAATTATTGTTATTATTATTAATGATATCATTCAAACCGATGAATCCTTCCCTGAAATATTCTTTGTTGCGCAATCACTCTACTACTTGTTCATCATCATCTCCAACTGCAATTATTGTTCCTTCAATACTTTCAACAACCGACGAATGTTCAAAAACACAACGAACTTTTATGATCGTCCTATGACATAAAAATTCATACTACTACTTGTTCATCATCATATATGTCCAACACTCAACTAGATGTGAGAGAATTCATTTGTGGATTGTCTGTGTTTTGCGAAAAGGGAACTATTGATGAAAAACTAAAATTCTCGTTCAGAATTTACGACTTTGATCAAGACGGATGCATTAGCAAGGAGGAACTTTACAAACTTTTGGAGGCTTCTCTCGTAGAAAACTCACTAGGTATTCCGCAAGAGCAATTATCATCACTGGTCGATGCAACCTTTGCTGAAGCCGATACTGATGGAGACGGTAAAATATCTGTAAGTATACAATGGTGCTTTTCTAGTTTGAACGAAACATTATTTTGAAATAGTTTGAGGAATATCGTGTTCTTGTAACAAAGCACCCAACTATGATCGGAAACATGACAATTAATACTTCCATTAAGAAGTAAATGATTCTTTGTACTACCATCAAACGCTACTAATACACTCCTTATTTCACTAATGATTTTTAACACTTGCAATTTTAATGCAAACACATTTGTACATTGGGAAATCAATTTATCGTTCGTTCATTCAGTTTCATTGAGATGCTTCCACTGATGGAAATTTCATTTCTCTTGCCATTTCAAAAAACAAATCGTGATACACCTCTCCACGTTTAATGGAAGACTTGTACGAGAACATCCAAACACAGTGTTGCTGTCCATGATTGTGCTCAAATCGATCCACTCTGTGAATAATCATGACCAATTCGTAAATAGTAAGCGGAGAACTGTTTCTAGAGAGGTCAGAAACTGCCGTATTATACCTTATTTGAAGGTAGTTCTTGTGAACAAGGGTTGAGCTTGGTTCATTCTTGCTCGGATGAACAAGTGAAGGATCAAAACTGTCTTCTTCTGAATGTTCGTGGTTCAGTGTTTGATCAAAAGGTTTCCATTCGCTCATAATCTCGACTCCTTCCTCAACGATCAAGCTTTTCACAAACTCTGAAACATCTTGTTGAGACATGTCATGCGAAGATTGTGTGAGTAGGGTCAATTCGAATCGATCCACAACAGGTGAATCTACCTGATGTTTTCCATTCTCTTCAAGATGTGTCTTTTGTGAAGAGGTGCTTTGAAGATTCTTCTCACTTTCCCTCAATTCGAGAGGACTATGAAACACCACAATTTTACCTTCTCCAGAGTCAAAATGATCATTCTGCCATCCAAATGGAACTCTCACCCATAACTGTTCAAAAACATCCCAATAGATCACATTAAACATTTGAGAGCCTTTGACAAGTTCAGAATTGGCCACCACTTGATGAACGAGATGTTGATTTTTCAAGGCACAGTTAGAAATGTATCGAACTACAATGGCACAAGCACTTCCAATATCGATCACACATACATATTGAAATAGCTTATTTCCAGACTCTTCATATTGAAATAAAAAGGTATAATAGTGATATCCTAATTTTGAGGAGCTCTCGAGTGGAATTTCTGTAAAATTCTTATATTTTCCACTACTCGTCACATAGACTTCTCTCATATCGAGTAATCCAACTTCTAATTCAATTTTGAAAAAGTCATAACGATGATATTCGTCAAAGAGCTCTGTTGGTGATCGACACAAAACTCTCATTTCATCAATTTTCTCCAATTTCCATCCCAAAGGATAGGTGAGATTTCCAATATATTTGATAAATTCACTTTTTTGATAATTGGAACTTGAAATGAGTGTTGAATGAACGTTTTCGAGTGAAATTGTTGAATTACTCGAGTCGTCAAGAGTCTTCAAGTCATTTCCTGATGCAATGGGAATATGATGATCAATAGAGTCATCATTGGGATAATCACACAAGGAAGAGAATTTAAATTGAGCTGTTAAAATCAATTCACCACTTTTCACATGTTTCAATTTTAGAGTGAATTTAGAATTGTCACTATTCAAAATACTACTCGCACTCAATTCAGCACTTCCACAGAAATCATCATCTCCTAAAAAATCCTTATCCCATACTTGAAATTTCACTTCATCCAATTGTTGAGTATTAATAACATAAATATTTTCATTCATCAGGGATGTCATGTATTTAGAATTTTCTAATTTCACTTGATGATTTGGAATTTTGTAATGTGAATTTTTGATGTGTTGTAATTGAATTTCATTCACACATGAAGAAGAAATGGTTGAAACAGAACTATTCGAATGATTATTGGATGATGAACGAACATTCTGATTTAAAATATTTGGTGATACATGTTTAGAAAGATTCTTAATACGAGTGTCATCATGACCACTCTTTCGATTGGAATGAAGATGACTTGTCAAATCAACATTTGGATTGGAAATGAAAAACGCACATGGAATGAGAGAATTATTTCGAGAGTGTAAATGTTTCTTGTGTACAATTTTAGTATTCTCAATATTATTGTGTTGCAATGTTTTCAAATATTTTAAATTCCTATTTTGAAATTGAGTATCCAAGATCCAAATAAATGTTTCATTATAAATTGGATTTAATGTTTTTAATTTGACAGAGGAAATGAGAGAGACACCACCATATGTGATGATCATGTACTATGAGTTGAATGATATGTAAAAATAGAAATTGCAAATGTTGAGACGAATCACAGAATGATGATAACAAATCATGTTAAAATCACTTACTGGATCCGAGAAGCCATTATCATCCATCGGAACAATATCATTGGCTTGTTTCACAGTGACAATGAGTCTATCAAAATACTCAATGTTGAGTGTTGACATTTTTTCAATCTCATACCAAGTGGATACAATTTCACGCATTTCTCCACATCATGTGGATAATTCAAATGTGTGAACGAAAATACACAAAGATTTAATGTTGAGTCTTTGAGTTTCCCTCTCGAGCAATAGAATCTTCCTTCTTGGTTGTACTTGTTATCGTGTTCACATTTCGATCCTTTTCATTCTTTGAATCATGATCACTTCCCTTAAACGTCAAGTAAAATATTCTAATGTTTTCATCTCGCCACACTGGATCCATTAATTCATCAGGTACTCTCTCGACTTGAAAGGTTTCTTGAATATATGGAAAGAACGCAAGATCTTTATGAGATCTCTTTTCATGTGCTACAATGATTTGATGACTTTTTGAATGTAATTGTTCATTGAGGGCTTTTGCAAGAGGAAGCCACATTTCTTTGGATTCATAAATGCAATCGCAAATGATAACATAATCGTAATGTGTTTGTTCAATGATTGGATTGGGTTCACCCCACAGATACTCAAAGGCTTGATATTGAGAGGCAAGAATTGGAGCTTTTTCATCAATGGAACCTTCTTCGAGAAAGTTGTAATCATCATGGACGATTTGACAGTTGAGATGAATGTTCTTTTCAATGAGGGGAATGAGAACTTGACGATCTGTGAAATGAACAGTGGCTCCCATGATGAGAAGAATAATTCCGATGAAACCTGTACCTGATCCAATGTCTGAAGTTTTAAAAATTAAATCATTTGATTTCGAAATTTAAATCGGATCGGGAACGAATTATTAAACACACACGCTATAATTACCTAAAACAGTTTTCCCTTTGAAATGACCTTTCGGAAATACTTTTTCGTTTTCCAAATATTTAGCTAAGACTCTACTCATTGATCGTTAATTCCGATCGCTTCAAAAAATGATCATCGTGTACATACAGTGCGGAATCCCATACAGTTGCTCCAAATTCCTTGTTTACAATATCAAGATCTTGTTCCACTTGAAGAATTCTGCCATCAATAAGCTCCCATTTTCTGATCATTTTTTTTAACTTGGTCAGAAAAATGTAAATCTCATTCGTCGTCCTTCTTTCTGCAACACAAGGCAAGTTATAATAGAGATTTGAAACAAATTTTGAAGAAAGGTAAAAAGAAGATCAAACATTTGCCAAAAATTGAAGCTCCCATGCCGGGAATCGAACCCGGACCTCCTGGGTGAAAGCCAGGTATCCTAACCATTGGACTACACGGGATTTACATTGATTTTCACACCGTTTCTTAGAAATCAGTGGATCCCATGGTTAAAGACTATGAGATTCCTTCGTTGCAAACTTTAGTTAGTGTCCTTATGACCCACTTACGAATGAAAGAACTGTGGTCGCCTCACTGAACCGTTTCTTTTTTTCTTCCAATCTCGAAATGTAAAATTAAATTCAGACATCAACTGTATTCCTTTTTTTGGAGCACTTCCAACAGCTTTCAACCCCAGCCAACAGTCACAACAAAAAAAAAGGACGTCACGTTCATTATCTGCATTCCTTCATTCTCATCAACTCCTCATTTCTTCAAAACCAACAATAACAACATATGCTCTCCAAGATATTTAAAAAACAAGACAAGACTGAAAAGTCTGACAAATCTGAACTTGGAAGTTCTTTCGAGCATGACAAAACCATTCAAAGTATTGATTTATTACGATGTTCACCTGGTATGGCTGATTTATTCAGACGGTTATATCAAATACGAATCGATTGTGGTGAAATTGTGAGCGATGGAGTGGATAAACAAAAACAAAAGGAAATGGAAAAGCAATTGAAGAAATTGGATAAATTCGAACGACAAAAAGGTAAGTTTGTTTGTGTTTGTACTTTTTCTATTGAATGGAAAACATCATTTCCAAAACTACACTACCTTACTTTCTAAAACACAACTCGTAACAACAGTACTGGTAAAAACTGCTATCGATCAAACCGAAACCCTCATCAATCAAAAGAAAAAAGTCAATGACAATGATCCTCGTCTCAACAATGACATTAACAAAGCCATTACTAAAATGGAAAAGGAAACGCGAGAATTAGAAAAAATTCATCAAGATGCCCTCAATAAGAAAACTCTATGGAAAGAAGTTCAAATGCCAGTTGAAATGAGAAAACAACGAGAAACCGATATTAAAAACTTTAAACTCTATGTCAAGTGTTTGAAACAAGAATATACGAAATTGCTTACTGGAAATATTAAATATTATGGTGAGGAGGATGATCCCGTCGGAAAGAGAGAAGTTCTATTTGAATCACTGGATAGTTTGGAGAAGGCGAAGGCTGAAATTCCAACTGTTGATATTTCTGAAGGTTTGGAACAAATTGAAATGGCCAAACGACAAATGGAAGAAAAGACTGATATTCTCTTAGGACAGATTCAAAAGATTGGTCAAATTGCTCATACACTCTCCGATGAATTGGATAAACAAGCTCAATTATTGGACAAGATGGCTGCCGATGTGGATAAATATAACAAGACATTGGATGAAACAAATGCACGATTGGTACAGGCCATACACAAAGCTGGAGGAGCCACTCGATTATTATGTATTTGCGTCATCTTTATTGTCATTGTAGCCTTGTTGGGTGTGGGATGGCTCTTGTTGGAAATTTTTGTACCTTCGTTAGGAATGGGTGTGGGATGAGTGTATGAGTGTGGGTTGCTTGATGTTGCTTGTAAATTTCAAAAGCAGCTCAGTAAAAACCACCGAGTTGCATGCTTTTGACATTGTAGTTGCGTTTCTAAATTTCACCTTGAAGTTCTTCAACTTTTGTCGGCTTTAAGGTCTAATATTTGCTTAACGTCTTTGGATTCAAAGTGATAATACACCAAAAGAAAGATCTAACGAATTTATAGTGTTAGAGGTTCTTTTCCTCCGAATATTTCTGAAGAGCTTCATTGCGTCTTTTCGCATGTTCATCAAGCTCAAAGACATTAAATTCTTTGACTTTGTCAAATAGTAACAAGGGACCCATATCCAGCACATCACCATAAGTCTTGCACCCTCGCTCAATTTTAAACCATGATAAAAAGTCTTTGAACTCCTTGGTGTAGGTTGGACCCTCCAGAATCTTGGTCAAATCTGTATACCTTGATATTAGGACTTGATTCTGTGATCTTCTTGCTAACAAATTGAACAATGTCATGCACCTATGCTCAATATCCGGATCAAAAGTTATTGAAGAAAAACGGTTTGGATTGGGAGTGTGCTGATGAAACAGAGTTCTGGTTGTTTGCATTTTTTGATTTGTCGCTCCAATCTTCTGTAGTTGCAAAAAATCTAATTCTCGCTGTAAAATCATTACAAAATTACTAGTAAGAAACACCGAACGCCGTTTAAAACACACCCATTGGTATTTTCTTAATTTTGTAAAGAATTATTTTATTGTTAGCACTAATGGTAAATCCGTGAGGATTGGGGTTTGTTGTCGAACTGGTTTTTTCGTTGTAAAAAAAAATGCACCAAGAACGTTTTGTTATGGCGTGTGATGTTGGAACCTCATCGGTGCGCACAGCTCTCATCAATCTCCGGAATGGATCGATCAAGCCGAACTCTCTCATCACTGATTGTTCTATTGAATTATTTACTCATCCTGTTACGATGCATATGGAACAATCATCCATAAATATTTGGAAACAAATATGTAATTCTTGTAAAAAGTCTTTACAATGTTCAAACACAAGCCCGGAGCAAGTAGTAGGAGTATGCTTTGATGCTACCTGTTCGTTGGTTGTTTGGGATGTCGAGAAAAATAAGCCTATCTCTGTATCTTTATGCAACGAGTTTAATCATGCTACCAATGAAGAGGACGTGAGAAATATTATTTTATGGGCAGATCATCGATCAAAAAAACAAGCCGAAGAAATTAATAGCACCAAACATGAGGTATTGAAGTATGTTGGAGGGAAAATGTCGCCTGAAATGGAGATGCCAAAAATTAAATGGTTAATCGACAATCAATTGATAAATTTAGAGAATGAAGCGGTACATTTCTTTGATTTAGCAGATTGGCTCACATATAAATGTACAGGTGAGCTTTCCATACGATCGCAATGTACTACCACATGTAAATGGGGTTTTGTCTTTGATGACTCTTCGAACAGAAAGGAAATTATTTGTAATGGATGGAATATTGAATTTTTAAAAAGCATTGGTCTTGAACAGTTAGTTCAACCAACCAATCGAATAGGATCAAATATTTGTGAAATTGGAAGAAACATTTCGTATCCATTAACAAAACAAAGCGCTCAAGAATTAGGTCTATTAGAATCTATACCAGTAGCTATTCCTGTAATTGATGCTCATGCTGGAGGAATTGGAATGATTGGCGCCGTTTTTAACATGAATGAAAATAACACCAAGGATGATCTCTGTCGAACAATTGTCATCATAGCTGGAACATCAAGTTGCCATATGGCTGCTTCTACAACTCCAATTTTTATTGATGGTGTTTGGGGATGCTACCGTAACGCCATGGTGCAAGATATGTATTTGAACGAAGGAGGGCAGTCGTTTGTTGGAGCTTTGATTGATTATGTAGTGGAGTCTCATCCAAAATATTTTGATCTTGTAAAATTAGTGTATGAAGAGACAAAGGAGCTCAACATTTCGAACTTGAAGAAAAAAGTGTATCAAAAATTAGATGACATTTTGGAATTGTTAAGAGAGCAGAGGAATCTCAAGTGTGTAGATATATTGACACGAGACATCCACATATTACCACATTTTAATGGATGCAGATCTCCCCTTGCGGATCCAAACATGAGAGGTATGTAGGATATGAATGGATTCATGCTAATCTTTTGAGCCTTGTACATGGACAGGAATCATTTCTGGACTTCAAACACTACCATTGAATACCAATGAACACATCTATGAGCTCATCCATGGTACAGCAACACTAGTACTCGCCCCTCAATTAGCGGATTTTGAGCCGTTAGCTCTTCTCTACTTGTCAACAATCCAATCGCTGGCGTATGGAACAAGACATATTATCGATGAAATGGTTAAAAAGGGCTACAATATTAACAATGTTTTCATGTGTGGAGGCTTATCAAATAATGAGCTATTCGTTCGTCAACACAGCAACGCCACAAACTTACCAATATATAGGATGGATGGAGACTCAATGCTTTTGGGGTGTGGTGTGTTGTCGGCTGTTGCGTGCCAAGAGTATTCCAATATGTTTGAAGCGATGAAACACATGTGTCACCTCAACAGAAACAAAGACGTTATTCCGCAGCATGACACACAGGAATATCATCAAAAGAAATACAATGTCTATTTGAAAATGAACAATGATTTCATAGAGTACAGAGAAATGATGAAGTAATGAAAGGATTTTGGGTGCTATGCTCATCATCAGAGTTTTTAGGTATTTTATTCTGAATTGTTTAAGGTAGATCTAAGCTGTTCCAACGGCTCCATTGGCTCTTTCACATCCAAAAACAGTTGATCCTTGATTATTTCTTCCAGTTTGTTGCAATCTCTAATAATTTGATCGATAATTGAGGCCACCTTGTTAACCTTATTTTTAGAAAAACGATCAATAGACTGTTGTGTCTTTTTGTTTGACTCTACTATCTTCATACACTCAATCTTGTATTGATTGCAAGTGTCATAGACTACCTGATGTAATATTCTCTTCAAAAATACTTTGTTGGTTTTTGCAAAATCTTGATTCTGGAACTGGATTAGTTTTTTGAAAATCTCCTGTGTGAATGGCGAAGCAGAATTGTTTGCCCCAGTTACAGTGGTAAAGTTATAACTTTGAGTTAATCTGGACGCAATAATTTGAATACTCTTATCTTTCAAAATATTGACAATGTTTTCAATCAAGGACGAGAACACAGGTGAAAATTTTTCTGTTTCTTCAGTAATTCCAATTCTTTCAGAAAGAGAGTTATAGAGTAATTCCTTAATTTGTGGAGTACGGGTAGATGAAAAAATATCCATTCTAATAGATCCAGAGAGTCGATCGACAACACCCACCAGTCTTTTAGCCAAAGTACACAGCCGTGACAGCAATTCATCTTCTTGTGTTGTGTTCTTGGAAGTTTGAATCATCGATGGAATGAGCTGTTCCAATAACCATTTTCTATACCTCGATATTAACTGAATAAATAGTAAAATAAAATCTTCGCTCATCTCGTCCAAGAATGTTGTATCAGGATTGAAAATTGTGTTTAAAATTAAATCAACCAGCTTATCAGTAATAGCTGTAAATATGGATTCACTATTGATATTGTCCTTTGAGGAAGATGTTGCTTTTTGTGAAATGATTGATTCAAAATCCTTCACTACCTGTTGTTTTACCAATGCAAAGTAAATTTTTGTTTGCCATTTCTTCAGCAGTAGAGTCTTCACAGCAGTAGTGAAAGTATTTGTTTCGTGCTTTGGAACAAACTTCTGTTTAAACTCATTAATAAATCGCTTTTGTCCTTGGAACATGAAATGGAAGGTTTTCACATTTCTATACTCGTACAGAAATTTACATGGATCTGACTGAAGCCGGTTAGAGATGGGTTGAAAAACGCTTGCAGTGATAAATTTGAAGGATGTAACAATTTTACGAATATATGGCCCTGTGTCAATACCTGCATCGGTGTAACCAGTTTGTATCAACTCTTCAATGTTAGATTTTCTTTCCAAAGAAAATAGTATATCCAAAAGAGGATCTATTGCATTTCCAACTTGTTGTAGAATATTATCGTAGAGTAACACTTTTACATGCTGCTCTGGGTTATTCTTACATTGAAGTAAATTTTCCTTGCTTGCTATAGTATCCAGCAATGGATTTATCAATTCCTGCTCTAAACACTGCTCTAGTAATCTCTTATTGTTAAATAAATAGCAGCCTTCCATGCAATCCAAAATTTTGAGCAATGAGATGTTGTAATTGCTTCTTGCAAGGGTCTTGCTATTAATTTTGATGAAGAAAATAAATGTAGAACACACTTGGTCCAAGAATAACTGTTCAGTCTGTTTGAGCGCTACATCTACTTTCTCGTAGAATTCGAAAAGAGCAGCCATGTGTTGTTTTTCAAGAATGTTTTCAGAAATATTTTCCTCGGAAAGCTCTAAGAGTATTACTTCTATTTGTTTCATTGATTCGGAGCATTGTTTGACATGATCAGCCATGCTGGAAAATATTAAATCATCTTCTGAGAATTCATGATTGGCCACTGATTGCTTTTCTGCTTCCAATTGCAATTTAGGTATTAAATTGCTTTTCAGCAAGGTAAAAATCTCTAAAAGCTTTTTTGATATAAATTCCTTCTGAGAGGCTCTCTTCTTGCTATGTAACTCTTTCTCGCATTTACTGATTAAATTGTAAATAAAATTTTCAAATTCTTTCATTTGATGAATGAGAGTAGGCATGGAAGAGTTCATCTGATCAATGGTAATGGTGTTTAATTTCCGAGAAAACTCAATGAAGGAACTATATTCCTTGTGGATGATCGAGATGGTTTCCTCTTTCAGAAACTCTTTAAATTCTTGAAGTTCTTCCAACAAGGTATCCAGAGAATCGACTCGGGATCGGTATTCGTTTACAAAATCAATGGCAGAAAACGTTCTCGAGTCACCATTCGTTGGAGTTGTTGGTGTTGGTATCATGCTGTCCTTGCTCCGAGTATGATCCACATCTTGTTTGATGGACGAAGTGGTATGGCTCGGTTCGCTAAAAGATCGTTCCGAAGATGATGATGGAGCTGAGCCAAAAACAAACACATCCAACGGGAACGTGTACTTGTTCTGCTTGCTTTTCACAGCCCACAAGAATTCTGTCATTTTTTATCTTTTTGTTTTCGATTTTGATGTTAAAATTATTATTATTAACACTAATTTTAATAGTTACTGACTCATTGGAGTGACCAATCCGTCCATTCATTATGATAAATATTATATATTATTATTCATTAGGATATTAGAAGTCTAGAAGATGTATTTCTCTGGAATGTTCATACCAGAGGCAATGTTCAAGTGATGAATAATTTCATCCTTAATCTTACTCTTGTCCTTCAAGTGTAAAGAGTTCAAACCAAAGTGATCTGCAATTGTGTTGATGTTTGATGTGATCTTACCACGTCTAATTGCCTTAACATTATCACCAATGAAAGTGACAGCAACATATTTGCTTCTCTTAACATCTCCCAATTCAACAGCGACCACACGTAATAATATGTGGAAAGCCTTATCGTCTGCCAGTTCATTGCACAACTCATCAAATGATGAACCCTTCTTAAATAATTTGATTTTCTTCATATCTTTTTCGTCATAGGCAAGCATGGCGTAGCTGACTCCAGAATTGTCATCTCTCACCATGGCATAGGCTTGGCCAACTTCTTCATCAAAGTTGAGGTCACCCGTTGAGTTTTTAGCAAGACCTTGGAAGAAACTTTTAGCTGATGCTGATAACATTCTTGGAGATGCTGACATGGATCTTGGAGAAGACCTTGGAGAGAGTGAGCTTTGTGAAACTAACTCTTCCTTCTTTTCTTCAATTTTAGGTTTTGGTTGTTCGACTGGTTTTGGAGTTTCAGACTTCTTTTCCTCTGCAACAGGTTTAGTCTCTTCAATCTTTGGAATTTCCACTGGCTTTGCTTCCTGTTTCTTTTCCTCGACCTTGGGTTGTTCTACAGGCTTACTCTCTTCCTTCTTTTCTTCAACAACAACAGGTTTAGTCTCTTCAACCTTTGGTTGTTCTACAGGCTTTGATTCTTCCTTCTTTTCCTCTGCAACTGGTTCCTCGACTTTCTTTTCCTCTACAACAGTTGGTTTAGCCTCTTCAACCTTTGGTTGCTCTACTTCCTTTGTTTCTTCAACCTTAGTTTCAACTTGTTTTTCCTCTACTTTTTGAACTTGGACTTCTTCCTTCTTTTCTTCGACAACAACAGGCTTTACTTCCTCCTGCTTTGGCTCTTCTGCCACAACTGGTGGTTTAGTTTCTTCAACAATTGGCTCAGATTTCTTTTCCTCAACAGATGTGTTGATTTCGACCTTAGGTTCCTCCACTTTCTTTTCCTCTTTTGGTTGTTGAGCTACTACAACTGGATCCTCAACTTTCTTTTCCTCAACCTTTGGTTGTTCGACTGATTTTACTTCAGTCTTGGTTTCTTCAACAACAGGTGACTTGGTTTCAGTCTTTGCTTTGGTTTCCTCAACCTTTGGTTGTTCCACTGTTGTTGTTTCAGCTTTCTTTTGCTCTACCACTGGTTTGGTTTCAACTGCAGCTTGTTTGGCTTCTTCAGTCTTTTGCACAACTTGTTGTTCGGAAGCCTCTTGAGTTTTTAGAGCCTTCTTCAATTTCTTCTTTTCAGTCTTTGTCATGGTTGGTGTGCTTGGAGAAGAAGGTGTTGTTGTTGTTGATGGTTCAATAGTTGGTGAAGTGGTTGTTGTTGTTGTAGTACTAGTGGTAGCAGCAGCGGGCTCTTCTGGCTTCTTCTTCTTTTGGTCCTCTTTAGAAAAACCATCCTTTTGTTGTTTCTTTGTCTTCTTTTCTAATTCCTTTTGTTTCTTTTGATCCTTTTTCTTTTGTTCATTCTCAAGGTCTAGTGAAGTTATCAATGGATAGAAATTGGATGCCACGATCAAAAGTCAATTCATGATGGACCCAACGCGTTAAAAATTATGTGTCATCCACAGATTGTGATCCCATTCGGTCAGAAGGTCCATCTACAACACACAAATACAAACCTTTAACAATTTTCGAAATATCATCGTCGTGGTGTTTTGCGACGAATTGAGACTGAGAGCGGTTCTTCTTTGTCATGATGATGGGTGTTGAAGTATTTTGGGAGTTGGGCCGAAAGTGGTGTGATGGAAATTTTTTTACCTCTTGTTGTGTGAAGAGATGACAGCCAACATGTTGTAAAGTTCTTTGGGTTGCATCCTTAAATCAGGTTTTTCAATTGACTATTTTCCTCTCTCAACATCCTTACTTCCTCTTTCAGTGATTGAACTTGTTTTGAAAGTTGTTCAATAAGAGAATAGTTTTGTTCTTGTTGCAAACAAAATTGCCGTAAAATGTCAACGTGCATGTTGGTGATATCTTGGTGGAGAGAAGTTTGCAAAACAAATAGCGAATCCTGAATTGATTCTTTCACTATATCTCGAATACTGTCCTCAGATACTCCAGTATTCTTTGATATTGAAAAAGAGGACCCAATTTTTGGAGTATTATTAGATGACACAAGTGGTGACGATGCTTGTTGTGACGGTTTCTGGGATGATATGTTTTCACTCGCTTCGTTTTCGTCCATCATTCTATCAATTTGAGGCCTATTGGTTAATTTCTTTTCGAAATCTTCTTGGTGAAGAATAGGAGGTGCGATACTTTCATCAGAGTTAAAATCGTCATTGGTGTCATCTCCACATGGAGAGGATATGTCATACTTTTGCTTCTTCTTGGGACCCGATGGCGAGAGCAATGCTCGGTCGTCTTGTGAAGGCTTGAGGGATTTGTACAGAGACATACGATTATTGGATGCATGACCTAAATTAATACTAGAATCCAGCTTTGATGTGGTGTGTGATTGCTCAATAGGTTTGAACGTTGGTTGCTTGCTTTTGAAAGGGTTATCTCCCACCATTTTGTTGGAGCTTATTTTTGCGTTTAAATGTTCCAATTGGGCTTGCTTCTTAATATCCTCAACAGTTGGAAATAGTTGAGCCATCTTGGAGTCTCCCATATTTTTAACAGGAGAAAAAACATCCATTCCTGCTTGACTGTCCATGCTGAGTGTTGATTTTGGTGGATGTGTGGGAGTTGTTGGTCTTTGTGGAATAATTTCAGCAGGTGGAGTATGTTGTTTTTCCTGCATTCTTTCTGTTGATTGATTTCTCGTCAATGTTGTTGCCAATTTAGAATTATCACTAGACGATGAAGTCGTTGAGGACTTCTTCAACTTTGCTTGAAATGCCATGGATTTAATTGAAAAGCTTCCTATAGCAACTTCAGCAACCGGGGTTGAAGTAGATTTCTTCAAATCATAAATGAATACTAATCCGTTCGACGTTCCAATTGCAATTATTGATCCGTTATCCATGTATGAAAAAGAAGAAATAGGATGGCTTGTTTTTATCGTCTCAACCATTCTTTTAGAATATTTATGTGTAAGCTGTTGTCAGATTAGTAATTAATTCTTACCTTTTCTCCTTAATATCAAAAAAATAAATACATTTGTCTAAACCAGCAGAAGCAAGTAGTGCAGCGTTTTGTTTTGAAAAATGCACTCCTGTGCATGGAGCTTGATGTTGCTTCATAAAGGAGCAATAAGGCTTTCCGGAATGAATATCCCATACTATCACGGAACCATCGTCTCCAGCAGTGGCCAATAAGGATTTGTGAAACGAAGAAAATTCCATAGATTTTACAGCTTGTTGACTATTATTTGTGAGAGTGCATGATAAAGTATTCATTTGTAAATTATGAACCAAAATTATTCCATTTGCGTCAGCGCTTGCTATATATTGATCACCTTCACTGAGGGCTACTAAAGTAATACCTCCTTTGTGTCCCTAAAATTATTTGGTTGCTTGATTTAAAGGTAAAGATAGAGTCTTGAACATACCTTAAACGTTTGAATAACTTCTTTCTTTTTTAAATCCCAAATTTTTACAATCCCTAAAGCTCCACCTGTACAGAGCTTTCGTGAAAATTCTCCAATTGAAATAGAAAGTACTTGTTCTTCAAGTGGTAGTTTACCAATATTTTCTCCGTTCAATGTTGTCATTACTAGATATCCATCATCACTGCAGCTGACCAAAACATGATCTATTAGTAATATTCAATATGCATTCGCACTCCTTAGTTCAAACTTACTATTATGATTCCATTTGACATCATTAATTGGCTTCGGATGTGGATTTATAGAAATATGTCGAGTGAGTGATGCATCTGCTAGCGAAAAATTGAAAACCGAAATTTGATCCGATCCAGCTACTGCCAACTTATAATTGGTACTTGTTGCTGATGATGAGTTTGTATGCCCCGAGCTCTGAATATTGGTTGTATTGCTCGGACTCGAAGAGTTGCTGCTTGATGATACTCTCGTCAAGGGTTGAGCATGTGAAAGCATTTTTTATTGTTGGTTAGACAACAAAAAAGTGGCGCCAATTTCTATGTTGCAGTAAAAAATATTCAACTGCACAGTTCAAACAAAATGGTCGAAGACTTGGTGGCAAATCGAAAGGCCAAAGTTGTATTGACAACCAGCCTTGACAGCGAGCATCCAATTTCAAACATGTTGGATGACAAGGAAGAAACCTTTTGGATTTCAACTGGCATGTTTCCTCAAGAAATCATGTTCCAATGTGAAAGTGTGTTTAATTTGCAATCCATAAGGATTATTAGTACTGGAAGTAAGTGTTTACAAGTTGTAGCATGCATGGTCATGATCATTCATCGGAACATACAACCCGTCAGTTAAATTGCTCAAGATCGAGTGTTCCGATAAAAATCAACCCATACAATTTCAACAAGTATTTGAAAAACAATTGGTGGATGATGGAAGCATTCTTCAAGAAGAAGAAATTGAGGTCAAAGTGGCTGCTCGATATATCAAATTTAGAATAATGAGTGGATATCATAATTTCGTCAGTGTACATTCTATTTCAATTAAAGGAGATACATAAACATCTATTTGTAATGATCAATGTTTTTCTCAATGAAAATTATAGGAATATATCACTTTCAGAGTCTTCGAGTATCATCTCAACAGAAATGCATTCCTCGTCCTCTTCCTCCCGACAACAGCAAACTACTCAAGAAACTAAAATAGGTTGCTTGACCTGTCACAGCACCAACTTGTGCTGGGTTGTATCGATTGGTTGCAACACTAAAACCATTTGGACCCTCAACTTGAATGTCAATGACATGAGCGTCAAGTCTTGCATCAGCCACTAATCTTGCCTTAACAACATCAAAGCCAAGATTCTCTGCTGCAAGTGATGCAACAGCCATGGTATTGACATTGTTTGGAGCTATAGGACACAATGGTCGTACAGGTCCTTCATAAACAATGTGTTCTTTAGTGGGATCATTGAGGGCTTGTTGAAGTTTATCTTGCATTTCCTTGGTGGTAAGTTTCATACTCGATGGATGTTTCTTCATGGTGATTGTAAGTCCTTTCAATGTTCCAATGAGAGCCATCTTTTGAATATCAAAAGCTCCCCATAATGCTCCACTTGCCACGTAGCAACCATTGGAAGTGTTGGATAATACTTGACGAATTTCCGATTCACATGTCTCATCAGCAAATGCTGTGGGTGATCCCACAAACAAATCACAATAACTTAAAAACTTTTTTCCAAATTCTACAATAATGTCTGGATGCGAAACTTCAACAATAAGATTTGGTTTTTTGGAAGCAAAATCGTTTAAATCTTTCAAATACCATTCTGGCTTGATGGACTTGTCATTTTCGACCTTGTCAAAAGTTCTATTCCACACAAACGCAATTTCAAATTTTTGACTTGCTTTTTCGTCGTTAAGAATTTTGTCTGTCAAGAATTGGCCCAACAATCCGAAGCCAACAATGCCTACGCGAGTTTTCATAGATGATGAAGACATTTTTTTGATGTGGGAATGATTGGTTGCAACAGTGGTGTCTATCGCATCGATTTTAAAGTGGTGTTATGTAGGGACAATGAAAATCTCAAAGTTCTTGCTGCAAATTATAGTTCAAAAGCGTTTAATCTCGGTTATTGTTGTTGTGTTCTTCTTTCTCATTAGATAGTTTAGGAATTGGGGTATATCCTACTCTCTCTGAAAATCTCGACGATATCAGTGACTCAAATTTAGGATATAATTTAGTACCATTGGGGTTCTTCAATTCTCTAAATAATGTGGTAAATCTTTCTGGGGCGATTTTGTGATAAATTGGCATGACCCAATCCCTCATCCAAGTGTTATTTTCTAATGGTGTAAAAGGGTCAAAGCGTCCAATATAGATTGAATTTGCAAGAGCAAGTGAAGCACCAACAAGACTTCCTCGTACAATCTTTGCAAATGGAGCTGGAGCTACATAAACTAAGCCAGTGAGCATACCTGCAAAGAAGGCATTAACAGGAGAATTCTTCAATTCATCATATTCATCCACACCTTTTTCTTCTTCTTCAGTTTTGTCAGTTCCGGAAACATTAAAACTAGTGAGTTGTGCAATGTTTTTAGTGGCCTCCTTCTCTTCACGGGCCTTCTGTTGTTCTTCACTTTCTGGTTTCTTTCCAAAGTAAAACATTCCGATATCAGTCATGTAGTAAAATATCAAACCAGCAGCAACACTGTTTGCTAACTTGACGCTTCTAATACCTGCCTGATTGAGAATAGAATTAATACGAATCTTGACTGAGCCTCCTTGTCCATATCTAATACCTCTATAGATTCCATGCATTGCACCTATTCCCAAGGATCCGATATAGGCTCGTCCAATATTGCCCATGGATTGTTCCAAAATACGATTACTACCTTCCTCTTCAATTTCCAAATATTCTGGAGGAGGTGTATTTTGATCGAATTGATAACTAACAGGTGTTTGTTGAGTGGTGTATTGACGAAGATTTCTAATAAAGTCGACTCCACTCTTTGGTTGCTGTTGTTGTTGTTGGTCCGATGATGATGATGAAGACATTTTTTGTGCTGGTCATCATTCAATCAATTTTTGAAAATTTCTACTTGGGAAACTTTGAAGACTTGTTTCTGTAGATTCACTAGTGGTCTCACTATTGATGAGGATTTACAAGAAAGATTATGTTCAGATGTCTGAAACCATGCTATGTATCGTTGTGTTTATTTTGAAAAACAAAATCATTTTGTGCTTTTAACGGCTATGATGAAAATTGGTTCGAGTTTCATCAAACCAACAAAAAAAATGTTTCAAAATCACATGACTCCTCCTCCCTCGTCGGCATCGGTGGTAGGAGTGCAACATCAACCACAAGTAATGAACGATCCACTCAATTCTACATCCATGTTGAATAATAATAATAACACCAATAATAATTTACACAATATTCCTACAACTTCAGGGGGTATTGTCGTACCTGTTCCTAGGCATTCCGCTTATCAAACTCCTCTTCAACCAACTACTCCAAAGAATCCAGGCTCTGCATCATCCAATATAGTCTTAAATACTCCTGTAGAGTCTTCTGCTGCTAATACTCCTCCTTTTAATAATCAGGTTCATGGGGATGCAATGGCTGTCGGAGATCAACATGGAGAACATCATCATTTGCAACACAAGACCCCTAATTTTCCATACTTTTCATCTTCTGCCTCTGTTCAACACGTTTTAACAACAGATAACAATCCACAGCAACCTCCTTACTCAAACGGAGTTCCAACAGCAACAATTGTGCAACCACCACAAACATCCTATGTTGTAAATAATCCAGCAGTTGAACCTGTCACAACTAATGCTCCACCTGTCTTAGAAAAAACATCTTCACGATCAGAGTCTCAATTTGTGTTTTCTTGCAAGCATTGTAGAACAATATTTATTGACAGCAATGCCCTAGTTTATCATAGTGACGAGAATGAAATTCTTAGCTTTTGCAGTATCTACAAAGTCGATGTTCGAGAAAACGTACAAATTGCTCCAAGTGACAGATTTGACGCTGGAAGTAATTATTACCCATTATTTTGTCGTCACTGCCAGTCATGTGTTGGAAGAAAATATATAATGAGTGACAAAAGCCCAGTAGTTGACATTTTACATTTATACACACTAGATTTTGATTGCTTATCTGTTTATGAGTTATGGTCAGCAGAATCAGAAAAGAACATAGGAGAAGAAGGAAACGTTACTGAAGCAGCAGCACTATTTAAAGAACTACCCACCCTAAAGTCAATTAATGATGAAATTGGATTTATTCACAAAACTCTTTTGAGTGAAAAAGACAAAGACGAGAAGATTTTTTCAAGACTTGATTCTCTTGAAGCCAACACACAAATAATTCCACAACTCAAACAAAAAATAGAAGAGCTTGAAAAGACTTTGAGCAATCTCAAAGAGGCCCAAACCAAACTCACTCACAAACATAGACAACTTGGTCATGAAGTTGTTCACATTAAGAAGGAGACAAATGTTACCCCATTGTATGATTTACGACCAGCTAATTCCCCAAAAATTGCAAACTCTGAAGCTCTAGCAAACACAGAAAACAACAAAAAACGAACTAGTTTAGGAGGAGCATCAACTAGTAACAATCTTACTGAAAGTTTATCTAAAAAGAAGAAAAACTAAGACAATGTAACTCTAGAGAAGGAACTATTTAATTATAAAAACATGTTAAATAACTCTTAAATTCACGGTTGTTTTCTGTTGTTTGAAAATTTTGTTTTCAATTTTCTGTTATTGCAATTGTTTGTTTAGTAATGCACTTCCCAATTTTGTTGAATATCAAAAATTCCAATTCTGTGCGGTCGTTATGTAAGTCTGTCTGTTCGTTGTCATGCCTCTTCAACTTGGCAGGCTTGCATTTGTACTGTTGTAAGTTATCTTTTCCATGTCGTAACTTGATATCGTTAGAACATGTGCTAGATGAGTGTTGGATGACTGGTATTGCAACTGTTGAAATGGAATGCCACAGCTGACCATTTAGCTGAAACGATTCATTTGTAGAGTTGTACCTGTAAGGGAGTAATGCTTTACCAGATGCAACTGGTAAATAAACAATTTGTTCGTTATGACTAGTTGTGACTGAATTGCTTGGTGTGACTACATTCTCGTCTTGTAATGGCTTTTCAGGAGCTAGTAATTGTTGAAGCTCATGTAAAATATTATTTACATCATTTGTAAAAATTAATCCAACTTGGCCAACGAAATATGATTTCAATTGTCTCAAAGATTCTGTGTCCATAATACCTAGCTCAGTATCGTTTATGGGATTTTGTTGTTCCAATAACAAGTCCACTGATTTTTGTAACACACTATTTTTCACACCCATCATAAATTCATACTCTATAGGGTCAACCTTTCGTTCTCTTTGTTCATTTTCTAATTTTAATTTCAATTTTTTCATCATTTCAAAATTTAACAAATGATCGGAATGTAAATACACCACAATAATAAACTTGAATTTGTGAAAGTTTTGACAAAAATTTTGAACATCCATATTCTTATCTAATTTTCGAATTTCTTTCGAACATTCCTTGTGGTGCTTTGGTGTCACTGCTCGGAGTGAAACGAGTTGTTGTCGCATGTCGCATTCGATGAATTTTTTCAATTCTGATTAAAATTCCACATAAAAAAATCTTTCAACAATGAGCTTGTTTGGTGACTATGATGAATTGAGTGAAGAATTTCTTTTTGGTCCACGTGAACCACCCCATGCAAGATGGCAAAACAATACCTTTGAGAAGGATCTTTCACAATTTAATGTCGTGCAATGGATGGAACATTTTTGGAATGATGATGATGATCACGAGTTCAATGATGATGAAATTCCGAACAAGTATCAAAATGTTTGTGGAAAAGTAAAGAGCTGGATTCGAGAGGATCTTGTACAAGCAGCGATGAATCAAGTAGAGCTCAATGATCCTACACCAACTGATCTTGTTCTTCTTCTTACATTGATTCGTTCTCATTTGAATTTGGATCTCATCTTTTATATGATTGAATTTATTCCAACTTGGTCGAAATGGAAAAAGTTTAAAGCTGAGGCTATTCATCAACGAATCATTCAACTTCCATCTGGAATTGTGAAAAGACATGCCAAATTTGAAAGTTATTGGGATTTACCATTTGTGACCTTTCACAAAATGAGACTTTTAAGAGCTTTAACGTGAGAATGATGAAAAAGATTTTAGAATCAAACTCTCTCGTTTTAGGATGTGAAAATAGAACGATATACACCACTGCCATAGGATTTTATTCCATGCTTCAACAGTTATACAGAGAAAATAAGATTTCATTATCTATGAATAGTGTTTTTTTCACAGAATTGAATGAACGACTGAGACATCTCGACGAAGATCCTTCAAAAGTGTTTACGGTGACTGGATCATTGAAAAAGTCATTATTGTTTGATGACCATATTGATGATAATGACAATGACTTTTTTTCAAGTCCTTCACACAAGAGTTCTCAACTGTGTGTCAAAGATGAATTGACTCAAAAGTATGGATTTTCAAATCCATCCATTGAACTCTTCAGCCACGAAACCAAAAAGCTATCTCTGAAACATGAAATTGTGACTTGTTCATCGCAATTCCTTTTAATATCGAATGGAGATGCTCCCAAGCAAGATCCTTGGGGCTCCTCATATGAATCCGAGCTAAGAGGATTTGACAAGTTAGATAAGAGAGTAGCTATGAAGATTGTGGATAACATGTCTGTGGCATCCAATCGAATATTGAACTACAAAAAAAAGCCATCTGTCAACCATGACAATCCCATTAAGAGTTTATGGTCTTTTATTTGGAACTTGGCAATCGAAGACTTGGAGAATGCAAAACGTTTCTTGAAATATTTGTGCCTTGATTTGAATTTTCCAATTGAGTGCATTGAATTTGAAGACGAGATGGGAAAATCTGTTTTGGGACAATGCCTCTTGCAATATTTGGTGTTTTTATGTAACGAGTTTCAAGATGGAAGATTGTTCAACATGTCACATGACACAACTATGCAACGTAGAATGGATGCATTGCCTCTGTTAATACTGAGCTATGGTTGGGATTTTCCAAAACAAGAAAAAGAGCTACCTTTTATCTTCAAATCCAATACCAAACACTCCCAACACCTATTACCATATTTGCTTTTCCAGTCTCAAAGATACAAACATGTGGATGAAAATTATGTATTTTCTCTTTTATTACAAAAGATGCTAGTCAGTGGATGGACCGATTTGGATTTAATACTTTCGTATTACTTGATCGAGAATGAAGAAATGATCATTCATTTATTCACTACCTCAGACAGAAGAGTCCAATATTCCTCTACTATGACTCTTCCCTTATTCGTCAGTGTGTTATTGAGATGTAATGTCAATCAAAAATTTGTTCCAAAACGATTAATGGAAAAGATGAGTGCCGAACAATTTCATACCATGATCGGAACTCATCTAGATTCCAATGGAGATTCAATACTTCATCTTTACTTGAAGAGTGTAGGTGATGATAATTATGCCCTGCTCGATGGAGAATTGGTATTGTCCCTCATCAGAAAAGCTCCAAATCTCTTACTGACCAGAAATAACGATGGACTCACTCCAAAACAAATGCTACTCGAATCATGCTCACCCATGAGTTACTATCTTGTTTACCTTATCAAGACTGAGTTTGCTCAATACCTTTAAAACCAGCATGCAGTAGAGCGTTGAACGTTGAAAGGAGGCCATTGGGTTCGGAGTTGCAACGTTGTTGTCGAAACAGAAAATGTGAACCTTATCGATTGGAGTGAACTGTCTGAAAATGGACATGCATGGCTTGTAAAAGAATCTTTTGAGAGCGAACAGCATCAATTTTAAATGAAAAAAACGCTCAAACACTACCACACTGTCGTTCACAATAGATCATTGCTTGTAAATGCATTCAACATTATTCATTGTACATTATTGAAGATTGACTGATATCATGCATAGGCCCAAACTAAACGCATTCTTTAAGTGTTTTATTACCAAAACATATTCCAAAGCTTCGTTACTGTTCTCAACGCTCATTCTTGCTGTGATTGTTTTCCTTCAATTCGGTTCACATGACAGCATCAATAATACATCTTTCATGTGTCCTGTACAAGCACAAACATCAGCCTATCAATTCCTAACCGAGTTCACACAAAATATCACGCAGTCTACTTCTTCGCTTCAGGAGCTTAATGCATGGTATGATACTTCTTCTTTAATGGAGTTGGAACGAGCACAGGAAAACACCACAGATGCGACCTTCACCATTTGCTTTTCTTCTTTCACATATGATCATCAAAAGAATACCTTGTCTTGGAGATTCCTTTTCGATGAACAAGTCCTCTACTCTTTTAATATCACAAGCACGACAGCTGACAATATCACTTCTATTCTTTATTATAGAGTCATTCATTCGAATTTGTTGAAAACTCGCTTTTCACAAGAATTGTTCATTCCCAATTCTAGAGAAATGATTCTTCAAGAGTATCCCGTTTCTATTTTGCAAAACAAATATGGAATGGATTTAAATGTTGACAAAATGCTGTTCCATTTAAATGGATCCTCTGTCTTCAGTGCATTTCTGAATATTTCCAAATATTTAGATCTTCCAGAATTATTTGAACATGAATATTATATTCAGTGGTTGACTTTGGAATTGAACAATACTCAAATCATGAATCAACTTTTAACCTTGTATTCCAACAACATGTCTGCACTTCAACAACACGACATGTATTTACTTTTGACATCCTCTCAAAAGAAATATTCCTTCTCATCATTGCAATCGTTTAACACTTCCATTCAAGTTTCTTCCATTCGCACCTCATCTCTTCCTCTGACCAATTCATGCGGTTCAAAATCTCCTGTGATTGCCTTCGCTTGGAATTCATGGCGTTTATGGTTCGTTTTAGGAATGGTTCTTTTAATGTTGGTAGTTTTGGTGAGTTCCATATGGAGACCTTATTTTGTGGTCACTCTCACTTTGGTTATCTTTCATTTGGCTGGAATTGTCAGTTTAAATGATGCTTTGAGTGGCTTCTCCAATTCAGGAACTCTGATTGTTGCCTTATTATTTCCAATTGTGAAGCCTCTGAGTGAAAATTCGTTGGTGTTGAAATTTTCATCTCTCCTGTTCGGAAGTCCCGTTCGATTCAAAAATAAGAAAAATGCGTTCTTGAATCATGTCTCGTTGATGCTTCCGACGTTGAGAATTGGACTTGTATTTACAGTGTTCAGTGCGTTTGTTTCTAACACTCCGGTGGTTGCTACTGGAATTCCCATCATTATGGAATGGGCAAAACAACACAAATTATCATCTTCTAAATTTCTAATGACGTTATTATATTGTACAGCAGGTGGTGGACTGCTTACCTATATCGGAACATCAGCTAGTATTGTTGCGAATGGTATCTATACTCAGTACGGGTATTCTCCGCTGACATTTTATGAGTTTGTTTATGTTGGATCGATATTAGCAATTGGGACTATAATTTATTGCTGTTTTTATGTGTTATGGATTTCGCCAAAAGAAGGAGTCAAGCCTAAACTCAATACTTCAAAATTGTCTTCATTGATTGGAATTTCCAACATGGCTAAAAAAGAAAAGCCTAAGCATAAGGAACGCTCTGAAAAGTTTATTTCCTTGGTGAAAATGTCAAACTTAGAGTCTCAACCCAAACGTTCCAAGGCTTACCAATTGTTCGTAACTTTAAATGGATCCACTAAGGAGAAAATTCTTCAAAAATTAGAATTAGGAAAACAATTTGAGTTGGAGGCCATTCTTAGGGAAGAACTGCGATCGAAAGACGAAATGGAGCATTCAGCTGTTTCTTTAGGGCCTCACCTTCCTAATTCAATTGATAAGGGAAATGTGCAATCATCATCCTTACATGATCCTGCAAATACAGATGAAAAGATGCAATCATCAACAGCACTCGAGCAAACAACATCTTCAGATTCCAGTAGTAATACCAATGAAAGTGGAAGTACTGTAGTGAAATCGAACAGCGATTCAATGATTTCCCCTAAAACTACTGATGCCAATGAAGTTCAAGCATCTCTGGGTATCTCCTTCTTGAGGAATATTGCACCAGTTGCTCCCAACGAAGTTATTCAAAAGAATGACATTTTAGTATTTAAAGGTCTTTCAGATTCCATTTTAAAGTTGCATTCCATGATGGTTGATTGTGTGAGTGATGAGACCAAAGATAATGTTATTATTGGAGAGGAGCTAACTTCCAAGTGTCAAGTCTTCGATACCAAGAATACAGAATCTGTCACCAATAACGGCTCGTTGTCTGTGGAAAACATTGAAGAAGGAAGAAATTCTCAAAGCAGTTGCAGCAACGTGAATTCATGCAATTCCATGGATATGCTCATTGAATCTCCCACAGCTCTTACTGATTCACATAACAACGAGGTAACCAACCAGCTCTATTTGAATTTAAAAAAGAAGAATGTAGAACAAGCCTCCGAAAAAAAGTCACTTGAGGTAAATTCATTAGCTCCCACGACTACGACACCCAACACACCGAACACTCCAACTACTCCTAGAAAGAGATTTAGCTTGAGATTTAATAAGGGCTCAGAAAACAAGGAGGAAGGAGTGAATGCCAATGAATTTGAATTTTTTGAAGTTGTGGTTGGGCCTTCTAATGTGTGCATTGGCGAAAATTATGACACCTTTGAAAAACGATATCAAGTCAAAGTACTCGCAATACGTCAAGTGAATTCCAGTACAACATTAATTTCGGATGAAAGTACCGTTAAGCATTCAGAAAAAACAACCATGACCAAGACAGATCATGATTTAACTCTCCACACTGTTTGCATTGGTGACACAATACTTGTTTTGGGAAAGACTCGATTCTATCTCAATCATCATGACTCTCTTCGAGAATTTTATTTAATATCTCGAATCAATAACGTATCACCATATCATGATCCGTTCAGTTCCAAACGTTTCGTATGGAAAATACCATGCACTCACAAAACTCTCAATTTGTGGTGGTGGGAACATTGGATCTTTGTCTTCTTTCTTGCCATGATTGCATGTGCCGTTGCAGGGATTTCGATGGTTCAATGTACATTGGTGACCTTTTGTGTGGTAATCTTGTTTGGTCTCATCTCTCCAACAAAAGCAGTGGATTGTATTGAATGGAGATTGGTAGCCATGGTCGGTGCTTCATTTGGAATTGCTACCGCTATTACTCAGAGTGGAGTGGCAGAGGCCTTAACAGAAATTTTAAGGTTGATGAATATGCCTCTCATCTTGCTGCCTGCATGCATTGTGTTCATTACGTTGGGGGTGACCTCTATCATCACCAACAATGCAGCTGTTGCTATTTGTTTACCATTAGGTTTGGCAGTGGCAAGAGCGAACGGACTGAATCCACGTTGTATGGCCATGTGTGTCACGTATGCAGCTTCGAGTGTATTCGCCACTCCAATTGGTTATCAAGCAAATTTGTTAATTATGGGACCTGGAGGTTATACGTTTTTCGATTATATTAAGGCAGGATTACCCCTCACCATCATCTATTGGGTGATTATAAGTGTTTTTGTTCCACTAATATGGGGACTTACAACACCAAATTTTTGAATACATTGATCATCATTGAATTTCATGGAATTTTCAACACAGTGAGGTGTTGTGTTGGTCAGGCAACGAGTTGTTCCCACCACCTTTAAAAAAAATGCTTCAAAGAGGTTTCTTGTTGCGACCCATCTCATCATCTTTACAAGTACAGCGTTCCATCAAGAAAATGTTGGGATTATCGGATCAAGCTGTTCGGCAATTCAGCACTCATCAAAATGGGTTCCAACTCTCTGCTGTTCCCTCCTCTTTACAAGATGTTATTTTTGAATTACCAAATGAAAAGCATCCAAATGTCGCCGTACTCTCATTCAATAGACAACAACAACGAAATGCCTTGGGCGTAAATATGGTAAATGAATTGTTGTCTTGTTTGGAATTTGTAAAATTCAATCATACGGAGCATCAAATTCGTTGTTTGATTATTAACAGTGCTGTGAAGGGAACATTTTGTGCAGGTGCAGATTTGAAAGAGAGATCACAAATGACTCAACAACAAACAAGTCAATTTGTGACCAAGCTTCGTAATTTGATGAATGATGTGGAAAATTTACCAATTCCAACAATTGCAGCTATCAATGGATACTGCTTGGGAGGAGGAATGGAGCTGTCACTTGCATGCGATTTCAGAGTTGGTGTTCTGAATAAGCAAGCAGAAAATTTATTGCCCTATTATGGATTGGTTGAAACATCTCTTGCCATCATTCCAGGAGCTGGAGGTACTGTTAGACTTCCAAGATTAATTGGTGTAAGCAAAGCTAAAGAATTGATTTACACTGCTAAAAAGATTAACGTGAAAGAAGCTTTTGAAAAATACGGAATTTTAAATGATGTTCTCGTGGTGGATCAAACTACAAGCGCCAATGAGGATTCATTATTGATTGATTACATTGTTGAACAATATGGTAAACCAATCTCTCAAAATGGACCTATTGCTGTCAAGATGGCCAAACAAGCTATTCAGCAAGGAATTCAATTGGATGTTGCCAATGCCATGAAGACGGAAGAATTGTGTTATGCCCAAGTGATTCCAACCAAGGATAGAATTGAAGGATTGACAGCCTTTAAGGAAAAGCGTAAACCAAATTACAAGGGTGAATAAATGATTGCAACAATGTTGAATAATATTGCATATTCTCATTCTCGCTTCGTTCTTTGATTGATCAAGTTTGAGAATTGGATTTGAGAATTTGGGCAATGCAATTTCTCAGTTAAAAACGAGAGAGAGGACAAATCGGAATCCACTTGACTTTCAAACAAAATGAGTCAACCACAAATCCCATCATCATCCGACATGCTCCTCCACACTCAATCCCTTCAATTCATGCTTCCACCAAAGCCTCTCATCATTGAAAAATTAAAAGATTGGATCCGAGAGGATATTCCAGCATTTGATGTGAGTGCAGCCATTGTCGGAGATTCTCATCAACGTTCCACCATCTTTTACAAGATGAAGAAGAGTAGTAGTAATAATCCTACTTCGGTGATTGTGTGCGGAATTCCAATTTTAACTCTCTTGTTTGAAGAATGTTTTTCAGGGCTTACAGTGAAATGGCTTGTTCGAGAAGGTGACAATTTGAATGATGATCAATTGGTGACACATTTAATAAGTGAATATGGAAAGACTCTCAAATATCCTTCACAAAGTCAATGTGAAAAAACTAAAATACCAATTGCAGTCGTCGATGGCCCAGTGTATCAATTACTTCAAGTCGAAAGATTATGCTTAAATATTTTGAGTCATCTCTGTGGTGTTGCCTCCATATGCCATCGAGTCAATGAATTAAGAATTGAAGAAACTTCTGAAAAGAAAGGAGGTAAATTTAGAGGTGAAATTGCAGCGACAAGAAAAACAACTCCTGGCCTTCGACATTTTGAAAAGTATGCAGTTCTGGTTGGAGGATGCAAGCCACACCGAATGGATCTTTCTCAAATGGTCATGTTAAAAGATAATCATATTGATGCATGTGGAGGTTCTATTGCCAATTGTGTGAAACGAGCAAAAATGTTATGTGGATTAAATACACAGAAAATTGAAGTAGAATGTCGATCTTTGGAAGATGCAAGACAAGCAGCCCTTGCTGGAGCAGATGTGGTCATGTTAGATAATTTCAATGCTATTCAAGCTCAAGAAGCAGCCAGTGTGTTGGTCAAAGAATTTCCAAATTTAGTTATTGAAGTGAGTGGAGGATTGAATCCAGAAACCATTTTAGATTATTTGAAACATTGTGAACATGTTCATGTCTTGTCGATGGGTATCCTGACTGAGGGAGGTGGTGTAAAGGTTGATTTCTCAATGAAAATCACAGAGAGACTGGATTAAGGGAAATTCACAACACGATGAATGATGAAATAAAATTATGAAATTAAAAAATGCGAAATGATGATGACGATTAATCCAGCAAATTTTCCAATTAACAAGTGCCTCCGATGATGAGCAAATTGTCATCCAACAACAAATGAGCAGCGAATCAGCAATATCCTTTGAATCATCACAGTCGGATTGTTTCTCGCTAGCTCTAACAGGCGGACTCACTCCAGATGCAAACAAGGACAAATTAGTACTGGTCGCCTTCCATTGAATTATAAAACCATTTCTTTTTCAGAGCGAACATTTGTGCACCATAGAGACATGTCTCTTTTTACTTGCTCTAATTTGTCTTTTTAAGATGCTGTACACCTTTTGTGGATGACAAGTAGTGACAGTTATTTATTCCTTAGAAGAATAACTCAAGAAAAAAACAACCACTCTCTCGTTCATATTTATTGAAGGGTGTTGTAGTAGAGTCGCTGTCGAGTTCATTTTGCGATAGTTTTTCAACAACCACTCGCTACTTCTTTCAACGACATCGACCAGAGAAGAACCATTAGGTCGTACCAAACAATTCATTCATACAACTAGATATCAAACGAACATTATCAAATGCCAGAACAAATTACTTTTAGCTCTACCACTGTTGGTAGAAGTATGTTTGGAGTCAACCTTTCCTTGTTGGTAAGTACTGATGAGAATGTTTTGTAGTAGTCATTCGTGTCGTGGTTGAAATAATCGTCGTTGCCGTGTATTGATGGGGCATGACATTCAACACTTTATCTTGAAAAACGTTACATGGACTGTAAATGTTCATTAATGGGTCATGATGGTGGAATTGCTGCAAACTGAACTCTTAAATGGCAACACAATGAATTCATGAATGTAACATTTCTTCTCTCTCACTCCTTTTCAACAACATTTCAGAAAGGAGGAACTATCACCCAAACCATTGGTATGTAAGAACGTTATTCTTCTAAATTGTTTGAATTTCTAAAACTTGTTCATGCATGATAAACAGTTGGAGGTGTGATTTCTGCAATGGTGGTCACCTCAGTCGTTGTCACCATTATTATGGTCACTGTATCTGCTGGTGTTTCTGGTCCAACTGCTAAGGATGATTATGCTCAGGTCTATAAGCGCCGTCCTTTCACTATTTATCCCTTATTAAATGATGTTGACCCTAAGAGTTTGAATTTGACATTGGTCAACGTGACACAACCTCTTCATGGCTCAGCTGTCATGACAGGAGGTGGAAAAGTGGTTTACACATCCAGTGGATCCTTTGCTGGTAATGACAGTTTTACTTATTATGTTACCAATGGATATGTGATTGCCTCTGCTCAAGTTAATATTGAGATTTTGAATCGTCCACCTGAATTGATTAATTTACAATATACTGTAAGCAAGAATTCCATTAAGAATGCGTTCGATGTGTTCCGTTATGTTTCTGATAGCGGTGCCATCATTTCTGATCCAGATAGCGATGATTTGGTGGTTTCTGCTGTTGGTGCTCCCCGTGTGAATGAATCTTCCGTTTCTTTTGATTCCCTCTATGTATATTATACTCCACCAAAAGGATTCAACAGTGAAGATACATTCACCTATTCTGTTTTTGATGGAAATGCAACTGCGACCGCAAATATTCATGTTACTGTGGCCAATGACGCTCCAGTTTGTGTTCCTGACTATTACATTGTTACTAAGAATGACATGGCAGTTCTTAATATTTTAGCCAACGATTATGACATTAACAACGATGACGTTACGATTTATTCAGCTGGTGCAGGTTCTATTGGAACTGTAATTCTTTCAGACGATAAGAAAAATATTACATACATTCCCCCACCACAAATAGAACCCAAAACTGATTCGTGGGAGTATCAAAACTTTGATGGATCTCTCACTGGTAACAGTTTTGTTTTTATTAAGATTGTGAATACTCCTCCTCAAGGCGGGGATCGAGTGTTTAATGTTGCTAAGAATTCGACCAATAACATGCTAGACCTTACCTATTTGGATTCTGACATGCTGGATACCGTCTATGTTTCCTTACTAACAAAGCCAACTAGAGGTACTTTCCAACTTGTTGAATACTCTGTCATGAGTCAAGTCAATTACGTGACCAAAGATTTTTATCCTGTCAAGGTCAATACATACAAGTTGGTTTACACTCCAGAGAGTGGAAATGTTTATTCTGAAAGCTTCCAAATTAAGATTACTGACACCATTGATTTAGTCACTGCCAAGATTACCATTAATGTCACACCTGTTCCACCTGTTGCCAATAATGACACTGCTCTATGTGCAAAGAATTCTAATGTAACCGTTAATGTAGTAGCCAACGACTATAGCGCTGCTGGTGATATCTTGAAGCTCACTTTTACCTCTCTTGCCACTCTTCACGGAGGTGAAATTAGAAAATTGGATGACAATAATGTCATGTATATTCCAGCACATGATTTCACTGGAACTGATGTAGCTCCATACTATGTTTCCAATACTAATCGAGATGGTTCTACTGAAGGTATTTTCCAAACTACCGGATATTTAATGGTTTCTGTTTCAAATTCTCCACCAATCGCAAAGGATGATGTTGTGACTGTTTCCAAGGGATGGCTCGGAAGCTTCAATTTGATTGCCAATGATGCTGACCCAAACAATGATGTTATCAAGTATAATGACGCCACGACTAGCTCACAAGGTGTTACAATTGGAATTTCCTCCTCGAGCTCTTTGGTCAATTATCAAGCATTGAATCAAACCTATATTGATTATTTCACCTATTCTATTAGTGATGTTGAAGGTGCTGTTTCCAACTATGCCAAAGTGACTATCAATGTCATCAATGATGCTCCTGTTGCTGTTGCAGATGAAGCCACCGTTTCTTGGAATAGAAGCATTGCAATCGAAGTATTGAACAATGACCAAGACATCAATCCTGGTGATAAGAGCAACCTCGTTATTAAGACATTGTCTACTCCATCTCAAGGAACAGTTTCAAGTTTCCAAGGTGGTAAAAAGGTGCTTTACACTCCTCCTAATGGCTTCACAGGAGAAGCAACATTCACTTATACTGTATCAGATGGAATTGACAATTCCAATACAGCTAACGTTAAAGTTATTGTGGTGAACAATGCACCAAAAGCTACTGCCGACGTTGCTTCTGTTCATTGGTTTGACAATGTTGTCGTGATTCCAGTTCTTGCCAATGATGCCGATGATGATGGTGATGCTCTTCACATTGAGTCCTTTACTCAGCCCTCCAAAGGTGTTGTTACTCGAGTTCAATTAGCGGATGGAAGTGATGCTCTTTCTTATACAAGCATATCCTTTAACAATTTCACAGGAAATGATACTTTTACATATGTGGTGAGTGATTATGGAAAGACTAGTGTTGGAGTTGTGACTGTACAAGTGACAGATAAGGCTCCAATTGCTGCCAATGACGTTTTTACCATGCATTGGAGATCATCAAATGTTGAGCTAGATGTCTTACAAAATGATTCTGATGAAAATAACGATCCATTGACAATTTCAACTGTTTCTACTCCAAGCAACTTTAAGGGCACTGTCACAAAGAATGCACAAAGCAACAAGTTAATCTTTTCTCCAACCTTTGAGTCATTGGGAACTCAAACAATTTCTTACACTTGTACAGATAGAACTCTCTCCAGTCAATCAGCTCAAGTGTCATTGATAACCACAAACAATGATGCTCCAAAGAACAGAGTAATTACTAAATCTGTTCACTGGTCGACTCAAAGTTCAGGAACACAAATCAATATTTATGATGTTCCTCAACCTATTGACACTGATGGAGACTCTCTTCAATTACTCACAACGGCATCTGTTTCTCCACAACATGGTACGGTCACCATCTCGAATGGTAATTCAACCACTGTTCCAAATGTCAATTACAAGCAAAGTAATGGCTATTTAGGAACTGACTCATTCAACCTTACTCTTACCGATGGAGCTCAAACTGCTCAAATACAAGTGGTAATGACTGTTTATGACAATGCTCCAACGGCTTCCAATTATTATGAGCAAAAACATTTCGATGTAGTTGCTTCAGGCTATACAAGAGATGTTGTTGTATTGTGCAATGCTGTTGACTCAGATAAGGAAGATACTGTTTCCATTTCACAGGTTACCATTGCCAGCGGTGGATCCATCTCACAATCAGGAAATTCTATCACATTTACTCCAACTTCAGGTTTCACAGGAAATGCAACGATTACCATTGTTTTCACAGATGGTTTACGTACCACAACAAGGTACTGGATCATCCATGTACAAAACGCTGAACCAGTCGCTAGTCCCTTCACCACTTCCATTCATTGGACTACCACCAGTACAACTATTAATGTATTGGCCAATATTACTGACACTGATAATGATGTCATTGATTTTAGAATTGTTTCCTCTGCTAACAGTTATGGTACTCCAAGTGTGAGCACACTCGCTGGAGTTAAACAAGTCACATGGACTTTACCATCTCCTGCCATTCTTGGAACTTCTTCCTTCACCATTGAATACACAGATGGATGGGCCTCAAAGAATCAAAGTTTTGGAATTTATATTCAAAACGCTGCTCCCGTAGCAACTGCTAAATCAATTAGTACTCCTTGGTCTAGTTATTCTACAGGTGTTACTATTGATGTGTTGTCTGGCTGTACAGATAGTGATGCTGATTCATTGTCTCTTGCCTCCAGTCCATTCACAACTCCATCACTAGGTACTGTTTCTGTCAGCTCTGGAAAAGCTCTTTACAGACCTATCCAAGGTCGTGTTGGGCTTGATAGTTTCCAATACACCATCACCGATGGAATTTCCACTTCTTCTCAAACCGTGACAGTGAACGTGACAAATAATCGACCTATTGCTGTTGCTGATTCTGTTTCAGTGCATTGGTCTACTTCTAGCATTGACATTGCAGTATTGAATAACGATGTAGACAGCGATGGTGATGCTCTTTCTGTCAGTTCCATCACACAACCTTCACAAGGATCTTGTTCTATTGTCAGCAATCAAGTGAGATATACCTTGGCATCAACACCAACAAAGGAAACAAAGACATTTACCTACAAGGTCAATGATGGAGCTCAAGATTCCTTTAATTCTGCAACAGTCTCCGTTACAATTACCAACCTTAATGTCCCAAGTATTGCAAATCAAAATAAGACTGTTCATTGGAGAGCTGCTTCTGCTGGTGTGTCCTATACTGTTTACAATACTCCAACCGATAGCGATGGAGACACTCTTATTCCAACGGTCCAATCTGGTCCTTGTTCTTTGGTCACTTCTGGATCGATCAAACTTGTTCAATACCAACATACATCATTTGAGGGTACTGAAGATTGTTATGTTAAACTTTCAGACGGATTGGATTCTGACACCAAAAAATTGACCACAACATCCTATGACAACGCTCCTGTTGCTTCTCCATTGACCGTACAATACTACGGTGCGAATATTCAAAGTGGAATCTTGATTGATGTATTGTCTCTTGCAACCGATAGTGACGTTGAGGATCTTCCCTATCTCGCTATCACTCAAACGAGTGCCTCCACTTTGTATGGCTCAGGAGTTGCCACCATTCAATCAGGAAAGATTAAATATTTCCCAACACCAAGCTCTGTAACAAGCGTTGGAACTGATACATTCACTTACACCATTTCTGATGGATTGAAGACATCAACTGCAACTGTCACAGTTCAAATCAAGAGTACTGTACCAAGGGACACTGAACAATTTTATGACGTGCATTGGAGAGCATGCTTTAGTGGAATTGTATTGGATCCTCTTTCAAGAATTAACTCGACCGATACACTTACTCTCGATTCTACACTAATTTCAGCTCCAGACATGCAAGGATCAGTCGTAGTTTCATCCAATGGAAAGAATATTACTTACACTCCAGCTTACAAATTCACAGGTGTCGAAACTTTCACCTTGAGATACACTTCCAGTTCAGGATCCTCTAGTATCAATGTGACTTGTACTGTTTACGATACCACTCCAACAGCGAGTGCTGTCACGGCAACTACACACTGGAGAACCAACCTCGTTACTAGCCTTGTTTCCTCGATTGGAGATGCAGATAGCGCGGATTCTGCTAATTTACAAACTTATACAGGTGTACAACCTTCACAAGGAACGTATTCCATTTCTAACAATGTTGTTACTTATGTTCCATCCTCAACAATTGGTAGTATTTCAATGACCTATGTTTGTAGTGATGGACTGAAAAATACTTCTGCACTCCTTACAGTTACAACTACAAACACTCCTCCAACGGCTGCTGTTAAAAGTTACAATGTGTTGTGGAGATCATTTAGAGATGGATTTGATTTGGATGTATTGAATTTGACTCCTGCTGATTCAGATGCAAACGGAGATACTATTCGTGTGAAAAGCATTTCTTCTCAACCTTCTGTTGGAACCGTGACAGTTCGATCGGGATCTTCGACCAATGTGACAATTCAAGCACCAGGTATCGTTTTCACAGGTTCTCTTTCCTTCTCATATGTAGTAACTGATGATGCATCAAATGGTGACGTTCCAAACACCGTCAACCTTCAAGTGTATAATAATGCTCCAACAGCCACTGATGATTCATACTCTGTACATTGGAATACAGCCTCATTGGTGTTAGATGTCTTGGCCAATGACAATGATCCCAATGGAGATTCATTGACCATTATATCCGTATATGGCTCCCTTGCCTCCACAGCTCCAATTATTGCAAACAATAAGATCACCTACTACCCTAGCTCAGCTCCGTTGGGTCAAGACGTTTTTTATTATGTAATTTCTGATGGTGTGACCACGACAAGTGCCAAGATTACAGTTACGGTTACAAACGCACGACCAACGACACAAAATCTCTCGTTCAATGGATTATGGTCAGCTGCTGTCAATGGAATTGTTTTTGCCGTTGTTGGAAACTCGTCTGACACCAACTCAGACTCTCTCACCCTCTCATCATATTCTTCAATTTCATCGAGCCAAGGTACCTTAACGACTGTGGATGGAGGAAGATCAATTTTATACACGCCCAAGACTGGATTTGTTGGAAGTGTTTCAACCATTACCTTTGTCATTAGTGACAGCAGAGAAACAGTCACTGGAACCATTTCCATCACTATTAACAACAATGCTCCAACTGCTAACACTGCAGCATTCAGTTATCATTGGAGAACGGTCATGTCACCTACATCAATTTCCTTAGGTTCAAGATTGAGCGATGCTGACTCGGATACAGTCACCATTACTGCCATTACTAAGGTCAATCAAGGAAGTGTTACATTGGGTTCAAACAACGCTGTTACTTACAAACTTTCTTCCGCATGGAAGGGTACTGACACTTTCACTGTGTCTTTCACTGATGGTTGGACTTCATCAAGCGCTACGTTTACTGTCACTGTGACCAACGTGGCTCCAGTTTCTTACAATATCGATATTTCATCTCACTTCTCAAATGCTTACACATTGTCCATTCCAGTGGTTGGTCGAAGTGATGCATTGAAACCTACCGATGCAGATTCTGCTGATGGTAATTATTTGGTGATTTCAAGCTATACATTGCCATCTCTCGGTACCTTAACACTCTCAAGTGATAAGAAGACTTTTACTTTCAACAACCCAAGTGGCAATCTTGTTCAACAAACCTTCACCTACGTCATTAGCGATGGATTTGAAAATTCAGCCACCAGTACTATTACTATTTCACTTCAAAATGTTGCTCCAACCTCCAGAGACTTGTCCTACACTTATTTATGGTCTGCTGTTCAAAATGGATTCCTAATTAACTTGCTCTATGGTGCAAGCGATGCAGATGGTGACTCACTTTCGGTTTCCTCCTTCTCACAACCCTCCATGGGAAGCGTTACATCGTTCAATGCTACAACTGTGAAATATACTCCAACTGCCAACACTGCAGGAGCAACCAGCTTCCAATTCAAGATTACTGACACTGCTCAAACCATTACTCAAACTGTTTCCATCACTCTCACGAACAATGCACCTGTGGCTGTTGCTGATTCATATACTAATAATTGGAGATCCAAGACTTTGACTCTTTCTGTTTTACAAAATGACAACGACCCTGATAACAACAATATTTACATTGCTAGCGTTGATTCAGTATCAGCTTCTCGTAGTGCCTCTCTTTCCATTAGCTCTGACAAGAGATCAATTATCTATGTGGACTCTACCTCCACTGGTGCAGGAAGTGACTCTTTCAAATATACCATTACGGATGGTGTCGCTACTTCATCTGCAGTCACTGTATCTCTGACGTTTACCAATACTGCTCCAAGTGCAACCTCTTCCTCGACAACCATGAAATGGAATGAAGTCAAGACCTTCTCTAACATGTTAACACAATGCTCAGATCCTGACTCCGATCCATTAAGCTTTGCAGGTGTGGTACAAGGAAGCTTGGGTACCACAACAGTCACTGATAGTGCTGCTGGTTCGTTCACCTATAAACCTTCAACCTCGATTACGTATACGGTTAAACCTACAGATGGCAGTGCCTATAGAGCAACAGATTCTATCAAATACGGCTGTACGGACAATTCTCTCACAACTTATGGAACCATCTCTATTGAGATTAGAAACACTCCACCTCAAGGATCATCTAAAACTAACAATGTGACTAGAAATTACTCAAACCCAACAGTAACCTTAACCGATTTATTAAGTGGTGTCACTGATGCAGATGGAGATACTGTAACAGTTTCATCAGTTGCGCTTCTCCCTAATCAAGATTCAGGAACATCAGTGGTTTTGATGAGCGGAACAGATGGCTCTGTCAAATTCACATATTCTAACTCGTTCATTGGTGCTCAACAATTCTATGTGTATGTTACTGATGGCCAACTCACTTCATCCTATATTTACACAGTCAATATTACTGGAAGTGCTTTGAGTTGCGTCGAATATTACATTACTGCATCCAAGAATGATGTCTCCATTCAATTTGAAGACAATCTTAGATTGAGCTTGGTCAAACTGTCTGGAAGTGAACCTGCGACAATTACTGTGGCTTCCACAAGTACCCTTAATAGCGTGGGATCAATTTCGAAGGACTCATCAACCAACAAGTTGACTTATTATCCAACAGCCACTCGATCATGCCTTAACAATAATTGTTATGCCACTTATTCCTATTCCAATACAGCTGGTCAAACTGTTGCATGTAGAATTTATGTCAACCAAGCAAATCAAGCACCAAATGCTCCTTCCTACAATTATGTGTATTCTGTGAGAAGAGATAGCAACTCGGTTGAAACAATGGATTATTTGTCACTTTCCAATGCCGACGACCCAGATACAGCTGACACTCTTGCATTGACAAGCGTTTTGAGCACTGGTTCATGCACAAGTGGTCTCGTGCAATCCATTAGTGTTGTTTCCAACAAGATTAACTTCCAACGACAACTTTCTTTCGTAGGATCAAGTTGCTGGTTTACAGTTGGTGTTGTAGATAGCGATCCAGTGAATCCAATTACTGTCACAGCAAACGTGACCATCACACCAACAGCTCTTCCACCCATGAGCGTCAACGACTTTTTGTCAACCAAATACAACACCTATATTGACATTCCAGTTTCAACCATTATGAGCAATGACTACGATTCTTTAGGTAATTATTTTTTACATTTTTTTCATTGACCTTAATCATTTCTATATTCATGACAGGTGGTACATTTTCTTTCAATGGAATTGACTCTTGCCCATCCGGAAAATGCTCAATCCTTAACCCAAGCGATTCTGCCAATGCTAGAATTATTCGTGTTTCTCCAGTGACAGGTAGTTGTGATGCTCAAACATTTGTTTATAGCATTAAATCAGATCAAGATCAGACTACATCATCTGCCACAGTTACAGTTCAGTACACTTCTTGTCAATGTTATTTGAATATGGATATAAGTATGTATTGTTACAAATATTTGTACTTTAGAAATAACCTTAACTTTACCAAATAATAGTCTTCTTGTTGGACGGAAGTGGTTCAATTTCGGATGCTAACTGGTTGAGTATGAAGCAATTCATGTCCAATATTACTATTGGTTTTGGTTCTAACATTTCTCCAACAGGTACCAATATTGGTATCGTTCAATTTGCATCCTCGGTGACAACCCACTTGCAATTAACTTCAGGAACAAGCAAAGATATTGTTTTGAATGCAATCAGTGCTTGCTCTCAGCTCAAATCAGGAACTGCCAGCAATCTTGGTATTAACGAAGCAGTCAAGATGCTCTACAATCAAGGACGACAAGATATCACAAATAAGATTATCATCCATGTGACGGATGGTGAAAGTAACGAACCATGTAGCTGCTCAGCTTGTGACTCTCGATATTCTTCTGACAAATTACTGTATGGTAACGTGACCACTACATACTGTAAATCACCTCGTTTCCCTGGCATGTCATGCTCTCAATGCAGCTGGTCCAGTTCAACAAGCAGATGTAATCCATGTGCTGAAGCTACTGTCCGATCGTCTGATATTAATTCGTGGGCACCTGGTAATTCTTTTGGTAATCCTGAAATTGCTCGATTTGGATCTGCCTTGTGGAAGTGGAGACAATTGGCCATTGGTATTGGTAGTGGTTTGTCATCAGGTTTTGGTCAATTACAAATTCAAAGAATGAATTACGACTACTACAATCAAATTACTGTGAATTGGAACAGTTTGGGTACAGTGTATCAAACCGTTGTTGACAATGCTTGTAATACTGTCGAATTGTCACAAACCAAGACTCTTGTTCCATTAAGTACTTCTGGCTATACAGTGACCTATGTTGGAAAATCCACTTCAGTCTATAAGAATATTTTGAACACGAATTGGATTCGATCTAATTTCACTTATAATGTAGCTGTCTCATCAAGTGCAGCAAGTGGTGTCGAAAAGTTCACACTTCAACTTGCATCTGGATACAATCAAGATGCTTTCTACACCTATTCTCCTTACTTCCCAGTGTATCTTGGTCAGGATCCTATTAGTGGTTACACTGGTTTCACATGGGAATCTCTTCCAAAGAGCTATACCGTTGCTAAAGGAAAGAGTGGAATTTATTCATTAATTTTAGAGGGCGAGGTGACTGAAGGAACCATTCCATTTGCAGTTTCTGGAGGTTCACAATATGCCGTTGGAACGATTAAGGGACCATCGAGTGTAATTTCCACTTACAATCCTCAACCTCCAACCTATGTGGAACAGTGGTGGTATCGAAATCAAACATGTAGTGCCACATTGGGTCGTTGCTATGTATATACTCGTTTCAGTTCAGCTTACAGTTCATCCGTGTTGAATACTTTGTGTAAATATTGGGACTCATCTGCCTCATTGGCCATGATTCAGTCTGCAGCAGAAAAGACCATTATCATGAATTTACTACCAAAGAATGAGTCATTGAGCTTCTTCCTTGGAACCACCTATTCTTCATCAAGCAAGACATATTCGTGGGCAGATGGCTCCTCCATGTCAAGCTACACCGATTGGCAAACCAATTATCCAAATAATTCCCCACAAGTAGTTGCTTCTTATGTGTACACTTCACCAAGTAATAAGTGGTGGATCAATGCCGCCAATTCACAAACTTATAAGGATGTAGTTTGCTATGCACCTTTTGTGTAATCTTTGTGAGGTAAACAATAAATTCATTTCTTATTGCTAAGAAGGTTTAAGAGGTAAATTGGTAAAAATCAATTTTCAAATTTAATTCAAGCTAATGTGCCTAGGTCGCATGATTTGCACATGCACAGTCGACCTTTCTTCAACATCACCAGGATCGTTCTCAAACATGGGTGGATACTTCTTGTCGAAATAGTGCTCAACCGAAAAGTTTCTTTCTTTGGCCAATTTGAAAAGTTTCAAGTCTTCCTTAATTAACCAAGGTCGATGGTGACTGATCAATTGTTTCAGTATAAATTGAAATTGAAATTTTAGCTAATCACACTTACGTATAGCTCACATAAATAATTGTATTTGGATGAGATAAATATTCACAACTGTCCAACAATTGGTGATGACAAATATGGTTAAAAAGTAAGTCGCTCAAAATAATGACATCGAAAGTTTCCTTCTTTTCTCCAACTCCAAATGTTTCCTCCAATTTTTCTCCCCAAGCATGTGGTCGCACTTCTACATGTGTACAATTCTCTCCAAAATTTAATTCAACATTCTTTTTCAAATTATCAATTAAATCTTCATGTCCAATATCAGTAATGACCACTTTTTTAGCGCCTAATTTTCCACATGTCAAGCTTGGCAAACCACCAGCAGCTCCCAATTCAACCACTGTCTTATCCTTAATTAAATGTTGATTTTCATAGAAATGTTGGGATAGACATTTTGAGGCGTTCCATAAATAATTTCCCCACAAAATATGATCACCTAAGAAGAAACGTTAATGGTCATCAATTTAAAAATTGCACAATCCGATACCTCTCCATGCACGGATACTTTTTAAATTTCTTATACCTACCTAAAAGTCGAACCTTTACTTCAAAATCCGATTGTTCAATGTTAAAAACTTCAATACGAGCTGGTCTTGGTTTTCTGAAATAGTTTTCATCGACTTGAAACATGTCCGATTCAAATACACCAGAGTAGTCCTCTTCAGTTTGGGCTACCGGTAGCTTGGAATTTTCGGGTTGTTGCTGAGGTGGATGTTGGCTCATTTTTTTTGTTGAATTTTTGTTGCTTCGAATTTTCACCTTGTAGCAACTAGTGACTTTGAAATTCAAATGAAAATGGCTGCTGACGATAGCAGATGAACGCCTTCGATGATAATAGTTTCAAAAGTAACAAAGCATGTGATGGTTTTGAATCAAATTTCAAAAAAATGAGTTTTCAAGAGGTGAAGCATTTGCTTCATGATCGATCGGGTAAAATTGTGGATGAAACAAGTCGGGTGTGTACTTCCTTGTTGGAAGGATCAAAACAAGATGAATATATTTCATCATGTACACGAATGATGGTGTCTAAATATGATCCGATTGTTTCAGCCTTCGGAGATCAAATTAATGAAATTTCAAATTCAACAACCGATATTTCTGTACAGTAGGTTTTGAGTGCAGTGATGAGTTTGAATTTTTTGGAATATTGTTGTGAACAAAGAATTCATCAAATTGACAGACGATTACAAACAATGGTGCAAACACGACAATCTTTGGATGAAATTCTCACGAAATTGAAAAAGATGGGTTTTGAAAATGAAGCAAAAGGAATTAGAGACACTCGGAGTTCAAAACCTCAGCAAAATTAATATAAGTTAAATTATCGATTTAATTGTTATCAAAGAAGAGTTATTGTAAAGGCATCACGTGTAATATTAAGAAGATAACAAAAGAGCAACAAGTTGCATACGTACAATGAGTTAAAACTTAAACTTCTTTTGTGATCCTGAGCTTTCTTTCCGTTTTCGTTTCTTGTCATCTGCTGACTCTTGGGTTGGTGGCAACATGGTAGAGCTACCAGTAGGTGGTACTTTGTATTTGGTAGATGAACCCATGTATTCATTGGCTCCAATTTCTCTTTTTTCTTCTTCCAACACTCTGTAAAGTAACTTTGGTTCTGAATCACTTGTTTTCTTTGCATCTTTTCTTAAATTGATAGCATCAGGAGTTTTCAGAGGAACTGTCACAGATGTGACGGATTTTTGTGGATAATAATCCATCGGTTTGGGTGTCACTAGACCACTAACAGATATGATAGAGCTTTGATCTTCCTCCTCTTCTTCCTCTTTTTCAGTGACTGCAGCCTGCATTTCTTCATCAGAGTCCACTCCTTCCCTAATCTCTTCAGTAGGCTCTTCTTCTGGCTCCTCTTCTTCCTGCATGTCGTCAATGATATCTTCTCCCCACAATGATTTGGATTTGGAATCATCCCGTTTATCTTCTGGCTCGATAGCATTGGCACCAAAGAACTTGTTATAGAGAGGTCTGTTCATGTGATCGACGGGCAACCGTCCCCATCCACCAGGATGGTAACCATAACTAGCTCCTTCAGGAATTGGAGCATTCAAACCTGGTATTCTTAAATTAGGATATGATGGAGGAGGGCCGTGTTCTTGCATCTTAATAAGCCATGGAGGGGGAGCGTTTACTGGCATACCCAAAGCAAGTCTCAGTTTTTCAGATAGTGGTTTTCCAGGCTTATATTTGTGGATATATTTTCTGCGTTGTTCAAATTCTTTTCCCTCATAATACAGATCTCCATGAATAGTAGTGTTATCTGGTTTTGTTTGATGCTTGTAAAAAGCGTCTCTTAGTACTTGATAGTCAATATCCATTTTTCCTAGTTTTGGTCTAACTCGTTCTCTCATCTTTTGTTTGATGGATTTTTCACTTTCTTTTTCTTGGTATGCCTCTCTCATCTTCGTAATTCCCGTTTTTGCAATAAAATCTGGAAGTTTGAAAGGTGGTTTGACATATCCTCTTTTACCTTGAAGATATTTTCGCTTTTGAAGCCAATGAGATGGTACAGGGACACTGTTTCTATAGGATTTCAAGTAAACCAACAGTTCAGGGTCATTTGCTGTGATATCATGAACGTCAACTACATCTGGTTTTCGTGCCAGTTGCTTTAGCTGGGAAACTGTAAACCTATATTTACGCTTCTTCTTTTTCTTAAGTTTGTTTTTGTTTTTACCTCGCTTGTTGGCAATAAGAGAAACAGGATCGTAATCGGCTTCATTTTCGTCATCCTCTTCTACCTCCTGATCCTGTTGGGCTTCATCCTCCTCACTGCTCAATTCAAACAAATCTTTTTCTTTCTTGGGTGGTTCCTCGATTTCTTCAGATACAGTAGGCTTAGAATTAAAATCCTCAGTTGCTCCAAATCGTTCAAATATACGTTTAAACTCATCGAGAATGTCTGATCCCGATGATGCAAGTTCTTGAATGACATCTTTTTGAACAAAAATATCATCTTGCTGATGATCCACACTATTTGATGCTTGATTTACTCTTTCGTATTGCTTTAATCCCGGTGGTAATATGATCGTCTTTTTTCGTTTACGCTTTTTATTCTTTTTCTTTTGTTGCTTTGCTTTTTTATCATCAACACCACCGTTTGTAGATGTATTGTTATTATTAATCATGGCTGCTGTGGTTGTTTCTTCACCGTCGTCGGAGAGAGGCATTGCTTGCTCCTCTTGCTTTGGGCTCATTTTTTTGTATTCAAAGGAATGATCCAACAAAAAAACCATTGAAGATGCTTTGTTCTCAATACCTAATACCGGGTTGATCTCCAGGTATAATTTCTTTATTTATCATTGAATGTGCTTCCAATCCAACGGTAGATTGCATTCGTAATGAGTGGAACGTTGAGTGTGTAAGCTCACGTGGCATTTTGAAACATCTAAAAATATGCCTCAACCTGTGTTTCCATTAAAGCAAGCGATGGAACGAAAACAGGTCATCATCAAGAACAGAACAAAAAATTGTCTTTAGGAGGACATACTGAAATAGTGATCTCTCTTTATTCTCTCTTGTATAACATGTCATCGTCGTTAATTTTGAAAATTACCAACACTCCCGAGCGATATCTGCAATTTTCAAATCTAGCCTATCTTCATCCTGATGATTGTGCTCAATTTGAAAATTGTCCTTGGATTCAATGTGGTCGACTCATTACCAAGTTTACTTCTTTTCCGAGTGTCGTTAAAGGAACCATTGGTCTCAACAAGTATATGAGACAACACGCGGGTGTTGAAGTGGGTCAAGATTGTACATGCCAAAGCTATTCTGAAGAGAAGGCTTCCTCAACATTGATCTCTACGCCCTCCTCCATTGTCTTTGAACTTCGGTTTTTGAATGAAAGTGCAGTTGAGAAGAAAGTAGTGAGCGTTACAAACCTCATTCCATTATTGAGAAAATGTTTTGGAGGTCATATTCTTCAAAGAGGTCAATCAGTAGCTTTTGTCTATCATGGAGAGATAATTGCAGCTAAAATTGTATATACATCTCAAAAGACTGTTTTGATTAGTGAGGATGAAAATACTAATGTTATTTATGTTACCACTGCTAAAGATAATAAGATTATGAAATTAACCAATGTGCCATATGACATCAATCAAGTGCCAAAAGGTTCTGCCTCTTTCTCATCACCTTCAGCTCCCAATAGTACTTTTAACAATGACAATATTGGTAGTGGTGTTAAAGTCATGACATCAACACTAGAGGAATCGTCACTGATCAATGAAGAGGAAGATGCAGACCAAATGCATGATATTTTCAACTCTGAATTTACATTTGAAACTCTTGGTATTGGAGGTTTAGATAAGCAATTGAACACTATTTTCAGAAGAGCCTTCTGCTCTAGAGCTTATCCTCCTGATGTTGCTGAAATGATGGGAGTTAAACACGTTAAAGGTCTTATTCTTTATGGTCCACCAGGTACAGGAAAATCGTTAATTGCCAAGCAAATTGGCCAAGTTTTGAACTGTAGAACAAAAGAAGTAGTGAATGGACCAGAAATCTTCAGTGGATTGGTCGGTTCTTCAGAAAAACGAATCAGAGATTTATTTGCTGAAGCCATTGCTGATTACAAAGATCGTGGAAAAAACGCAGGTAAGTAGTGTGACAGAAAATGCAACATCTGAGTTCAAATTTATTTATTGATGATATCAAATAGAATTGCATCTCATCATAATGGATGAAATAGACGCAATTTGCAGGAAGAGAGGAAGTATTTCTGACAGCACTGGAGTGCGAGATGGTGTTGTGAATCAATTGTTAACCATGATGGACGGTGTGGAATCAACACCCAATGTTTTAGTAATTGGAATGACCAATCGATTAGATTTGCTAGATCCTGCAATGTTAAGACCAGGTAGATTTGAAGTTCAAATTGAGATTGGTCTTCCCAATGAAGAAGGAAGAATGCAAATTCTCAAAATTCACACAGCAGCCCTTTCTAAAAATCATTTCCTTTCCAGCGATGTCGATTATCAAAGTATTGTCGATAGAACCAAGAACTTTACTGGTTCTGACATAATGGGATTGGTCAATTCCGCACGTTCATTTGCCATGAATAGAGGAATTGATTTAAAGAATAAGAAAGTTGTGGCAAAGAATGTCAAAGAGTACAGCTCTCAAATTCAAGTGACCATGGACGATTTTAATAAGGCTTTGAGTGAAGTTAAAAAGCCATCATTTGGTGTTGATGATTTGAAATCATACATTGGAAAAGGAATCGTAAGATATGGAGCTGAATTTGAAAAGCTTTATGAAAAGTGTAATTTAATTTTGAAGCAAGTGGATCAAGGAGAGAATACCTTCTTGACAAGTGTCTTACTGGAAGGCAAAAAGTTTTGTGGAAAAACTGCTTTGGCTGCTCATTTAGCCCTAGTTTCAAAATTCCCATATGTCAGAGTAGTTTCTCCAAATTCTATGATTGGTATGGATGAATTTGCAATGTGCCAACACGTTTCTGAAGCTTTTCTTGATGCCTACAAGTCTGAAAAGAGTGTAGTTGTGTTGGACAATATTGAACGGTTAATTCAATTGGTTCGTGTGGGACCTCGTTTTTCCAACATGATGCTCCAAACACTCATGACCTTTTTGAAACGAAATCCTCCTCAAGATAGAAAATTATTAATTATTGGAACGACTAGCATGCTTTCCTCGTTAGAGTCATTGGATTTGGTTGAACAATTCGATAGAGTTCTCACTGTTCCTGCAGTCACAGGCGCTGACAACATCAAGGAAGTGCTTGGCACCAATAATCTATTTGTCGAAAATTCTGATAAGTGTGACACACTTGTGGATTCCCTCATTGAAAATGTTGGAGAAAAGATTCCAATCAAACAATTGCTCTCGATCATGGACGTGGTCATTGCCAACAAGCAAATGCCCATTGATGACATCTTGGAATTAATTGATATTAAGAAGGTTTAATAAATGACGAAATTTATGAATGACGTATCCAGAAACATCATTGCTTATGAAATTAGGAGAGTTAGTTTATAAAAATCATTCAAGGCAAAAGAATCCAGTTAGTGATGAGTGTTGCATGTGTAAACACCATTAGTTTTTGTAGTTCGTTGAATTAAGCCAATCCGTAAAAATGTATTCCACTGCTTCCTTTGAGAGAAGTCCAGAAAAGTGGTTTCCTGACATGGCACTAGCATTGTCATTATAATTAGGATGTTGTCTTGGTGAGCTCAATGACACTCTCAACGAAGGTGCTCTTTTTTTAGAACTTTGGGTGTTGTTGTTGTCTGGAGATTGGCAAACTGTCATTCTTATTGTGTGCTGATACTGAATGGATGATGCAAAAATTACTACTGGATTGAAATACTTGTAAAATTATGTACAAAAAGCCGCAAAAAGGAAAAAGACTCGGAAAAAGACAAAATGTAGGGAGGAGATGCAAAATTGATAGGGAATAATAATATTACGGAAATACTAATAATTGTTGAACTCAAAAGGAGGTGATGATGATAGACCAGCACGTGTCAAACCCAAAAGTAACACCTTGCCGTAGCCAGAGCCGTGTTGTCAATACACTCCACTACGGACGAGAGAGAGAATTGTTGGCCAACAATGAGAGCGTTTGTTTTTTTTTAATGAGCGCTCGACCAACATCTCCCGACAACGGTAAAAAATTGGGAAGAATCTTTGTCCGAGCTTTCACTTGTCCAAAAAAGAGTCAGCTACCGAAAAGAATCATCAAACGAACGTGAAAAAAAGGTTCCTGAAAGGTCAATCGTCTGGCGTTCCCAACTCCCAGAAATAGTGTTACAATAGCATTTGGAAAGCACTTTATTTTTTAGAATCCTAACCATTTTAAAAAAGGTCGAGCAGGCTGTCGAAGTTTTGTTCTGGTGTTTGCTGGAGGTTTTTTCAATAAAAATGTTAAAACATGAACGAAACGCCTTTGTCGGTCTGTTGAGACCGGAATATCATGTTGCCATCAAAACAATGCTATTCGCAGTCCATCAATATATTAATGTCGAACATTTAATAGAAGATATTATTGATCAATGTGGATTTCATCGCAAGGATTTTAATACCATCCATCGCCATCTCGAACTATATTTCTCATACCTCATCACACACAACAAACGAGTCCCATTTGTTCTATACTGTTGCAAATTCCAGGTTGACAATTCAACAAAGATTGCACAATATGTTACTGATTGCATTGACCCGGACGAGGATAGTGCTATCTATAACATTTACTCTGACCCAAAATTTCAAAATCAAAGACAAAATCAAGAGTTAACATCAGAATGGATCAACAAACTACATTTTCAAGGCTATTTGAAATTGAAAGAGTGTCATGACGAGCTGATGCGAATTCGTCAAAAACGTAAACACTCCAAAACAAGTACAGCTTGCGAAGACCCACCTCAAACCTCAACAACGTCACAACGTTATTCTAGTTCAACCATCATGAAATTACTCGAACCAGAAAAAAATGTCGGCGTTATTGAATTACATAAAATCCTGGATCATGGTTTTGCTGAAGACTACATCACGTTGTCATATTCAACAAAAGAACAAACAGCACCGTATTACATGCTGCAACAACTAATTAACAACAAATTTATTCCAACACACTCATCAATTGTAAATACCAAGTCCGACACCATCTCTCATAATTTTGTAGACCATGCTGATTTTAAATCACAAAATAACGATGATGATAGTTATTATTCGGAATGTGATATATTTGATGAGGATATTCAAGAATTGAAAAAATTGTTTTTTCAGGTGTTAGGTAGTCGCAAATTAGTACCTCGAACTTTCTTTTTCACATATCTTCGTGATGCTTTTTCACAATTAATTTGCAAAGACAGTAGAGGCCATAGATGGAGCCCATCTGTTCTTTGTTTTGCTCAAGATTTATTGGTTATCATGGGATACAATGCGTATGAAGCATTGGCGAGAGGGTTGAAACGAGGACAAGAATTTGAACCCTCTTCTGAAAGATGTAACTTAGTCCTACCTTGTTCATCCACACTCGACCATCATTTTCACACCGCATCATATGGAGAAGGGAATACTAAACTAGACAAAGATGACTTTGATAAGCTAGTAGAAAAAATGAAGGTTATTGAAAATCAAAATTTTGGTCTTGTTCAAATTGATGCAGTAGATGTAACACCGCATTTAGGAATCAATACCAAGCTTGGGCTTGTATACGGTGCCAATGAAGGTCCATTGAAGATTAGTGATTGTACTGCACTAGCTCAGAGTCCGAATTTTCCACCCAAGGGTTTTTTAGCTGAAAAAATTGTTCAAACTTTATATTGCAGTATTAACGGTGAAGTTCGAATTCCTGGAAACTTCAAAGTATGCACTACTGAAACTGAACAAACCATTAGAGACACGATTTCTGAATTTCGTGACACATATACTCGAAACATCGTCTGTACTGTGTCAGATGCAGGGTCTGCTAATTACAAATATTTCACATCGAGCCCAAATGAACTACATCATTTTTGCTACAGTCACCATTGCAAAAACATGAGGAATGCAATTAATGGGAGACCAAAATTATATCCGGTTGCCACTAAAGTAGGTGCTCCAAACCTTCAAATTGCACGCCATTCCTCTGCTTGTATTTCTTCCAACGACAACGGAAACGGTTGCCATTTGATGAAAATTGTTATTCAAAGAACACAAGCGACCAACATACCACTTTCCTTCATAGTGAATGACAAAGACACAATTTCATTTGAATGGAAAGAAAAAGAACCACGGAATTTTAACTCTGGAGGCATTTCTTTCTATCATAGCAGCAATGACAACGAATTAAGTGTTACGTTGTTGAGTGAAACCCTTCATACTAACATTGGTAAAGTGTGTGTGGCAAATTTTAGCAATCAAGACATAGCTGTCACCAAAATTTCTTGTTCTATTTTACAACGATTTGAATTGAACACACTCGATGAAATATATAGACAACAACCTTTAGAGTGGTGTAAAATAGTTAAACGGAGCTCGTTTATCAAATATGATGATCAATCTGAGGATGTATTACGTGATGTATGCAATTTACAGTTACTTGAAAAATTACGATTATTGAACGAGAGAACCAACTATCGATATTTAGGATTCTATAAGTACTTAAAAGCGATACATGATTTATTTCATGTTTACGATGACAAAAATCATGATGGAACATCTTCACACAATTTGCACGAAGTGTTGCAAGTTCTTAAGGAAAATTTGGACTATTTGAATGAGTGGGATACCGTTTTCCAAGACGTCATTATTTCCAATAAGAATAATAATTTTACATTATCCGGAACCCTCACAAAAAACATCATTATCCATAACATCAAAACAATTCAGAAATTGATCAGAATTATTCCACAAGATGCAGTTTTTGATTTGTCTTTATTGGGAACACGTTCTCTTGAAGGATTTTTCGGAGAGTCACGTGATTATTCAAAAAGAACCACAGTATTGGACTATCATAGAAGTTACTCAAACATGAAAATCAAATTAGTGAAAAAAGAATGTGTATATCTTTCATACAATAACGATAGAAAGAGGAAATATTGTGATGCCCCTAGTCAAATTAACCAACAAATTTTGATGAGAATGACTGAAAAACAATTTGTTGACTTTAATAATGAAAGAAAGCAAGCTAGAGAAAGCGTGACATCCATTTCTTATAGTTTTACAGATCAAGATTTAATTTGTGCGAAAGACTTACAATTGCGATGTTTACAACATCGTGTCAACTCCATCCGTCAATCATACCATCAGTCAAGACATGACTATAGGGCCGGATTTGCCACCGATTTCATGGAGACAAGCATTTCCAATTACTACAACATTTCACTTCCTGTTTTCCATATTGAAACAAGTGAAGTTTTGCCAAACTTAACAGAACGACTTACATTAACCGACGACATCAGTTTTACCATTATTCAAACACACGACTCATTAATTCATGCTCAAAATCATATTGCGGCATTTTTGCTTAAAAAGCCCGTAGAATTTGAAATTAAGACTAATCATATTTCTTTGAGCAATGCAACCGTAGAGGTTCGCAATTTCAATGAGAACAATGAAAATGCATCTCGACATTCTGAACCAATTAACTCATTTAAAATATTTGTGGCACCAAATCAGACGGATCCATTCAAATTTAAATTAATTGGACAATTTTCATCAACAACCAGCACCAAGCTTTATCAAAAACAAATTGCTGTGATTGTTGGAAATTATCAGTTGTTGTCACCTCCTTTTTACGTATTTGCAAAGAAAACAAAAAACCTCGTTTCGTATTCCCAGCTGAGCCAGGTGGTGGCTTCGTCTCAAGACATGCAATAAAATGTCAAGCATTTTTCATCACAAAAAAAGTTCGTCCAAAAATTGGAACACGTTTAAAATTGTTCACCTATTTATTTCTTCCGACCACAATTACACCGTATTTTTCTAATCACAACAACATACCTCAAGTCGTTTTATTATTCATTATAGCTCCAGCAGAAGCCTTTGTCCTTCAACAAAGACAAAGCAGCTTTTGCTGGGCGAACAACAAAAAGCTAATGTAACAAAAACACTGAGACGTAGCCCGAATGAACCAAATAAAGGAATGTTACACCAGCGAAGTGGTAGTTGGGAACGCCAGTCAATCGTGCTCAAGTACTGTAGAGCATTTGACTGCTTGGGAATAAATGATGAATTTCTATTCGTGTGATTACGATATTTAATTCATTTTAGTTTTTGGATTCACTGTTCAAGAATAAATCTCGGAGATCTTGGAACGACTTATCTGGTTTGCCATTACCTCCTGTCCCAGATACAAAAGTCCTGCATACATACAAAGATTCAAAAAGAATTTGGTTCATTCACAAAGAAATTGAACAATTGTACTTACTTGTTCCAACTACCTCCGTTTGTGCCTAGAAATGATTTAAACGAATTGGTTGTCTCGAATTTGTGTAATTTTCCTTTTCCATCTGTGTAACCAATGTATTTTCCTTCTACAATGATGGCATCGTAGGTGTTGCTGCCATCGACAAGATATACCGAGTCACCATTCTTGAGAAGTCCTCTTTCAACCATGTCGGATATGGTTACTTTTACAAAGGAATTTCGCTTTCTTTTTTTCTTTTCTGAACTCCTCTCCTTTGATCGATAATTAGAATCGATACTTTTTAACAAGTCGTTTCGAAATTGTCGTAGTAGAACTCTTTCTCCATCACGTATTGCATAAAAACTGTTCCAAGGATTACATGTTTTCTTTTGTCCAAAATCCTCCTTTAATCTCAAGAAAAATGGTTTCAAATAAGAAAATGAATTCCCTTTCCATATTATTCCCTTCTCTTTATCGATTTTGAAAGATAATTCGTTTTTAAATCCTTTGAAATACAAATATTCTCCATCACGTAAATATCCCTCTTCGATGAGTTGTTGTACAGAAATTTTTAGCTTGGCCGTGTTTTTTAATTGGCGATCAGATTTCCTAGTTGGTGTTGATGAAGATGATGATGTATTGGAACTTCTTGTTTTCATTGGTTTACTCTCAGCCTTTGATGAAAGATTGTCATAATCTTCCTCTTCATCCGAGTTGGCGTCGTCCGAAGAAAATCCTTCCTCTTCATCCTCCATGTCCTCGTCTTGAGCATTGGTTTTTGTATGATCCGTAGTATTTATAGCAACATCAGTATTAATACCACCAGACTTTAAAGATGTTCCAACATTTTCCCGATACCACTCCTCAAACATTAATTTCAATCGTTTTAATTCTCTCTTTTCTTGAGAAGTTGTGTTAGATGTAAACAGAGCTCGGTTAGTGGCTGTTGTTCCATCTTGTTTTATTTTCTTGGATGATGGTGAAGAGGTTGTTGAGTTGTTGCTTGTTGATGATGAATTGAAAAGGAGGACTCCATGAAGTTCCTCGTTTTCCTTTTGTTTTGTGATGATCATTTTTTTTGTTTGTTTTTTAAATGATTTCAATGAATTCTTCTTTCTGATGAATGGTTTTTCCAATTTAAAGGACCAACTTGATGATTAAAACGACTTCTTAGAAATAGTAACCAATTGAACATGTTTGTGTTTCGAAATTCAGAATTTTATTTCACTGACATGGGTCATTGACTTTTTTGTCATCATCCATTTTGTGTGAAAGCTTTCACATACAATAGTAATCAAAAAAAAAAAAATGTCGAGACCAACACCATCATATACGACTTGTACAAGGAGCGTCGTTGCAACTACACTCGTCATCCTCTTGATGACTCTTGCCATCCTCTGGACTCCTGTCAAATGCCAAGACGATGAACCCATTACTCTCATCAATACCGATCCCATGGCATCATCCTCTTCTCTAGGAAACATTCCCGTATTAAATTCCCAAAGTGATCAACAAGCCATCGAAATTAGTAAATCTGCCACTCAATTCGCCTCTCAACTAATGAATCAATTAGTAACCGATTCCATTAATGATCATTTTAGAAACATGATGTTCTCTCCAATCTCTCTTTCACAGACCCTTTCCATTCTCTTACAAGCAGCTTCGGAAGAATCCAATGAATTGGGTTTACAAAAAAAGCAAGAATTGAATACCTTGTTAAATAAGATTGGTATTGGAAATTTGAACAAAATTTTACAAGGAATTGAATCATCCTACAGTCCAATGGCTACTACTGATACCTCTTCTGAATTCAGCACAACAAAATTAGTATTGACTCATGCACTTTTTGCATCTGAGGAATTTATTGAAAAGACTCCTTTTAAATCTCTCTCTAGTGTTTCTTCATTCCATGTGAAACGTGTGAATTTCTCAAATGTTGAAGCAGCTAGAACATTTATTAATACATTCATTTCAGAGAAGAATTCAGAAACCACTTCACCTCTGATTGGTACTGGATTTTTGCGAAATTCCACACAAGCTATTTTCGCAGATACTGCTTTTTATTTTGGTCCATGGGAAAAACCTTTCGATTTGAATCAGACCACGATTGATTTTTTCAGAACCATCTCTCCAAATGATGAAGATGTGGTTGAGAATGTAGAAGTAGACATGATGAATATGATGGATACTGTTGAAGAATATGGAGAATTTAGAAATTTCCATTGGATTTCAAAAAAGTATCGTTCACAAGATTTTGCCATGATTTTTGCAGTCACCAAAGATCGAGTGAGTTTACATGGAGATGCTGAGGAAAGATTCAATCGATTCATTACTCGTAAATTGAATTCTGGATGTCTTTCATGTGCATTCCCAACTTCGCCTCAATCATTGAAGAGAGTTTCAATTCCAAAATTTAGAATTGAAAGTAAGGTGAAACTTTCTTCGTTTTTGAAGGAAAAACCATTCTCACTTCCTTCATTGTTCCCAAAGAAGGTAAAAGCTCCAAAGAAACCAAAGACTACCAATTCTACTGAAGCTGCTACCACTCCAGCGACCACGACTGATACGACCACAACGACACCTACTGATGCTGCTACTACTACCACTGAAGCTGTGACTACTCCAACAGCTGCTGTGGAATCTTCTCCTGAACCTGTCAAGCCATCAGGTTGGGTGTTGGATGAAATTTTCCATAAATGTATTATGGAAATTAGTGAATTGGGAACCGTGGAAGGAGAATTAACTCCTGATACTGCCACTACGAATGAAGTTAAGGAGAATGATGGCGATAAGACATTTGTTCTTGATAGACCTTTTTCAATGATTTTGCATCATCTTCCAACCAATACTCCAGTGTTTGTTGCCAAAGTGGCTGTGCTTTAAATCCATTGAGAGGAAATAAATATCATGTATTAATGTCATATTATTTACAAAATGTACAAAAATTTCAAAGGTTACTTTTTTCTTCGAAGAGTGGTCAAGAGTCCAAAATGATCAGACGGGTAGATGGGTTTACCATGCGCTTCTTTGAATGGTTTGGTTCCTAACATGGTTATCTCCACAGGCTCAAATATTGAACTCTTCAGAAGCATTCGATCAAGTCTACTTTGATCTCCAAGAAATGTTTTTCCCATATCTTGCAGAGGATACTTGAGTTCTTTCCAAATATCCATAAAGTCAGGATAAAAGTTTTCTAAATTCTCATTTTCGAGAGGTGTGGTGTCCTTATGGTAATTCTCTTCTGAATCAAAATTAAAATCACCACATAAAAAACCAGTGTCATAAAGCTTCAAAAAGGTGGAGATTAAATACATTTGCTGAGCTCTTAGCGATTGGCTATCCAATGATTCTAAGTGGATTGTTGAAAAGCAGAGAATTTGATCGTTTACCTTCAACTCCAAGCTAAGAGCTGAACGGAACATTCGAGTTGGTAACTCATTAAGGAATAATTTTACAACTGGTAAATTCTTTTTCACAAATATCATCACTCCGTAAGGGCTGACAGTTGTTCCTCCATTTTCTAAAGAGTCAGATATATAAAAATTGTTTCGTATCCATGACTGTTTTGTTAGGATCTCTAAAGAACCACGAGTGACTTCTTGCAAACAAATAATATCTGCATTTGCGTTCTGGCAAATTTGAACAATTTCTAACATTCTCGCTTCTCGTTCAAGCAAATCAAACCAAACGTTATATGTTACTATTTTCAGTTCTTGGACATTATTGTTTGATTGTTTCAAGTTTTCATACATTACTGGTTGCCATGTTGATCCTACATATTCATGAAAATGAACCAGAAAGCTAGCTGTTGAAGGAGTATCGTTATCCGGATCAAATACAATTCGTTTTCTCACTTCATCCGAAATATGTCTGTCAACTTTTTGATCGATTAGAACTTTCTTTTCGATATTTCGGACAACAGTTGTTTGATGAGATGCATTGTTTCCACCACCTTTTAATCGAATTTTCAAATCAGCAACATGAGTGTCGTTTTCTCGTAATTTCAGCCATTCATGCTCGTGGTTCAATAATATACATTCACCATCCATGGATAAGCTAAAATCTAATTCTTGGTGATTGGTAATTCCAACTAGATCTCTCAATTTTTGTTTCAACTCTCCGATATTAATACCATAACGATCATCATGATGATTCAGAATTTCAAAATATTTTCTTCCACCAGCCAGATCTTCCGGAAATCTTATAATCAGTGCTGATCCACTTCCTTCTTTCATGTCCGTTGAAAATAATGTTCTTTTCGAGAAATTGAATAATCTCTTTGAGCGAAAAAGAAAAGATGATTCAACAATATTTTTTCTCATTTAATTGAGCATAAGAAAAAATGTTGAAATTGATTGAGAACTCCATTCCTCATTGTTGCTCATTCACAAAATTGAGCATGGCAAAGAAAACGAAAATGAATTTGATACATTGGCATCAGCGTGGTTTTTGGCGTACAAGAGAATTTAGTCAATGTTTCCGATATTTACGAAAAGATAATTCGGAATTTGAAAATAGTAATGAACAGGTTGAGTTGGCTAATGTAAACAGCATTAGCAATAATGAAAGCAATGGAAAAGAATCTCTGTCCGAATTAAATCAGGTTAAAACTCATGCAGAAAGACAACAACTCAAAATTCCCAAAAAACGAAACCAACTGATGGAAACGGTACAAAAATATAAAACGTTGAATCAACAGATTGTGCAAAAACAACAACAACCTCCAAAGAAGAAAAAGAAAAACTCTCTTGATATAACAGAAGAGAAAGCTAATTGGAGATTTCTAAATAATATGGATGCTCATATAATTAAACATATGAAGATTAAGGATGCTGACGCTGATGAACTACCACCATCTTATAGCAAGGAATACGAAATTGGAAAAAATAGAAGAACCAACCCTTATCATATAGAAGAGCGGAATTTCACAGTCATGAAACCCAAGACCAAGAAAATTAAAAAAGGTGAATCAAAGGAAATTAAAAAAGCAAGAAAAATGTTGGATGAAGATGAAAAGCATTTGAAGCCTGAAAAACCTCGATTTTGAAACTATTACATAGTTGATGAAATGATGGTACCTAAAAATTTTGATGAGGTCGATCTTCCACAGACCTCATGCTTCTTGGTTACTGCTGCTTCTAGGTAATTTGTTCCTGCTTTCACAATATAGACCTGATGACCTCTTCTTGCAATTGAAAACGCAGATGAGAGCTTTTTTTCAAAACCTCCAGTGACATCATGTTGATGTTTAAGCTCTGTTGAAATTTCTGATTCTGTACATGAATTTTCATACATATCCAATTCATACTTGCAAATTGGCTCATTGTTCGTCAATAGTCTAATTCTTTTAATGAGACCTCTAGTAGCTGAAATCTCATCTAATTGTGACTCTTTTGAAGGACAATTCAAATAGACACCAAAAACATCAGTCACAAATATTGACCTATTCGACAATCCTAAACGAGATAATTCATCCATAATGGTATCGCCTGATATTACCGAAAAATTACGTGGCTCCATGGAGTTAAGTTGCAAGTCTCCATGAATCACTGGAACATATCCCAATTCCACTAAATTTTCAATTCGTTTGGTTGCTTCACTACCTTGAACAAATCCGCCACAATCGAATGGTGAAATGCTGATGGCAGGAATCTTGTTCAATATTAATCGATGAACAATTTCCTTATTTAATTGTTGAACATAGAATCGTGTTTCTGCAATTTTCATTTGGAGTCTATGGATCAGTTCTGAATTGAGATTGTTTTCTGAATTTTTATATTCCTCTGATTGAAGAATGCGTTTCACTTCTGCGTATTCAAAATGGCCAAAGCTTCCAGCACCATGAACAACAATCAATTTTGTGTGAACCTTGTTGTGATAAAGCTCCGATACTTGTTGAGCCATCCATTCGATATTTTCATGGTTTAGACAATGCAAGGAATCTTTCGTAGTGGTGGTACTGCCTCCGAATTTGATGGCTATTGTCTCTGCATCATTCGTTGTCAAGTCGTTGACCATTTTTTGTTTCACACAGAACAAAGTACTTGGTCTTGCAATTCTTCTTCTTTATTCATTGTTGGGAGGTTGTTGCTGTTGAGGATCGGAAAGGGTGTTCAAAAAATTGTGTTGGAGGTTAAAATCTGGAACGTCATAGGGAAAGTCTTTGTCAGAAGGTAATTGAGGAATATCCGTTGGTCCTAGATCATTCAACATTCCCATCATTGTTTGTTGAGGCTGTACAATTTGTGAAAGCATTTGTTGTTGTTGTTGGTGATGAATTGGAATATTATGAGCTTGTTGATCATCAGAATCTTCAGAGTCGTTGTCATTTGTGTTTGCGAATGAGGATGGCTTCTTGTTATTCTTAATTAATGATCTTACTTCCTTAATTTGAACCAATGTTTCAGCGTCCACTCCAAACTTTGCAAGAACAGGAGCTAAAATTTGGTTGAGCTTCTTTCTCTTCTTGCTCGAGCAAAGTTGTTTGACTGGTTTATGCACTGTTGACATCAATACAGTATATTGCTTGGTTGTTTCGTTATAAAGTCGTAGTGAATAAACATTGTCATCGTTCTCGTCATTAATTTTTTTCAGTAAATCGTCTCTAATCTCAACATAGTCTCCTTCAGAAGGAGCATTAGAGCCCGATGGTTGACTAGATCCTGCGTTTGAGGTGTTTCTTTTTCTTTTCTTTTGTGCAGCGCTATTTTGGTTGGATTGACCTCCAGGAGAAAGTCCAGGTGAGGAATCATATCCAGACCAGGAAGCTTGATTTGGAGAAAGAGCTTGTTGATAAGATGGAGAAAGACGAGCAGTGTTTGTAGTAAACGAAGAGGTTGTCAAGAAATTTTGCTGTTGTTCCATTGGTAAGAATTGTTGGAAAATTCCTTGTGGTTGTTGCTGATGAGGAGAGGTAGGAGCATTAGGAATAATAATTTTTGTGAATTGCTGTTGCTGTCCTGGAGACACTGGGGCAGAAACAAGAAGTGATGGGGAGAGTCTTGTCATGGCTCTTGCTTGATTGGCAGCATTGTTATCGAGCGGCCTTGATCCAGGCGATGAGCTGGTATTGTTTGGACTTGTTATAATGATATGTTGTGGAGACTGAACAGGGTTAGAACCATTGTGATTGTTAATGATGTAATTCGGTGTGTTCATTGGCTGCATTCCGAACGTTCCTGGAGCTATTTGTACAAGTTGATTCGGGGATGATGGATAATTATTTTGTGGACTCAACCTATTCATCGCATTGATGAGTTGTTGCTGTTGTTGAAGAGTAGAATTGTGTTGCTGTGATAGTACTATGGTAGGTAAAGAGGTACTGGATCCTCCTGGACTCTTAGGTGAATGTGGTGATTGTTGTTGTAAACCAATTCCGTTAATCATGGCCATCAAATTATTATTGGTATTATTTAGCATGAAATTGGCATTGCTTCCTTGTTGTAATTGTTGAATGAAGGCATTGTTGTTATTGGAGTTGGAAGCAGGGTTCGGCATAATGACAAAAGTTGGAGCAGATGCGTTCATCATGCCTGCTGTAGCGTTGTTGTTGTTTTGATTGTTTGGCATTTGATTTTGATGGAGTTGATTGACTGGCTGACTACCAATAATGACACGAGGAGATGTCTGGTTATTTAAACTGCTCATGGTTAGAGATGAGGAGTTGGACTGATTCTCTATCGCGTTGCTGTCGCCATTGCTATTGGAGTGAGGATTGGAATTAGAAGAAATTGTACCACCATCATAGGCCAAACTGACAACAGCACCTGAGACAGGAATCACGTTATTGGTCATGCCTTGTTTTACTCCAGGCGAGGAAAGAGTCGTTGATGTTTGGTTTGTGTTGGAAGTGGCAGTACTTGCTCCTGACGGTGCACACTTATTGAGATGACGGGTATACTTGGGTCCTGAGACTAATTTGTGACATTCATCACAATTCACATACTTTGGAGCTCTCTTGTTGTTTTTGTGGTGATCGACTTCATAACACCAAATTCCTCCCTGCGATTTATGTCCATCTTCTTCACATTCCAAGCAAATAGAGTTTTCATACTTGATCTTTCTGCCTCTCTTTACTTTCATTTCCTTGTGTTTTTGAATCAGTTTGGCTTTGGCTTCTTCACTCATTTCATCATCAAAATCAAAATTGCTGTCATCGTCAGAATTTTCGTTAGAAGGGTGATGAGAATGAATATGAGAACCACCATCATCTTCAAGGAAGTTCTGCTCGCTTCGATCATCTTGTTGTTGTTGATGATGCTGTTGGTGATGATTATGTAAAAAAGAGGACGTTGTGGATGGTGTTTCATCCTGTTGAAGAAAATCACTTGTTGGTGATTCATTTCTCATCATCATGTTTGTAAAATTAAAATCCGATGAAGGTGTGTTATTCATCATGGTATTTTCTTTCTGTTATTAGATATGATTACCGAGTTCCAAAATAACAAACTTTTATAGGATATTGAGTATGGCTCAATATTTCTCTCTTGTGCAACAACAATGGTTGGTGTTGCTCAAGTAAAGGCTTTTCTGGCAGAAGAGAGGGAGAGAGCGGCCGAGAGGTTTGAATGCTCGTTCAGTAGCAATGAAAATATTTTTTGGTGTAAAACGAGCTCGTTACCGAAAGAAAGAATTGAAGTTGTGAGAAATATATGAGGAAACCATTGTGAGCTTCATTCCTCTGCATAACCATTTTGAATAAGGGCTTGTTTTAAAAGACCAAAATAATTTGTTTGTCATTCCAGAATTCTGGTACATGTGGAATGATTTGAATGGCTTATTAGTTCCCTAACGTGTTGCAATCTGTTTGATTGGACGTACAAAAAGAAAGCATCATCTAATTCTTTAAGAGCTTCCAAAACAATCTATTCCTCATCTTGAAATTGATTTGAAGCAAATTCTAATGCAAGGCCAAGTCCATTGGCAACGGGTGCAAGCAATGTTACATCTTTTTAAGGAATGCACCTCTTATCATTGTTGTTTTCTTTGTAAGAACCTTAATCATCTCACCACAGCCCTTCATTTATAACGAATAGTTATCAAACTAAGTAAAGAAAGTTAGAGCTTGAATGTCAGACAAAATGGGCGAAAAGCTTAACTTCTATGTTTAGGGAAATGAAGGATGACTGATGACCATACCAGAAACCTAAAACAAGCGATTCTTAATATTGGACTCCAAAACAAACACAGAATCAAAACTAAGACTTTTTTCATGTTTGTTCTCATGTTTGTATCAACGTCTATTACAACAACTCGTGACAAGGTTTTACACTTGATCGTACTCGCTAAAGAATTGAGCGAAGAAAACGACAAAAAAGGTCCAGAAAGAGAAATTTCCCGAAGAAAATCGATGTTGTGAGGTAAGCGGAGCAAAAATGCAAGCGAAAAAATTGATAAAACTCTCCTCGTGATCATTGGTCATACGACGAACGAGAGCCTCTGGATTATTTTGTACGAGAAAGGCTTTCTCATTATCGGAATTGAAAATTTAATTGGGTTTTGGAGAATTATTGTAGTACTACTGAATTGAAGAGTTATCATTATTGAGAATTCTAAAGTACCACCCGACACTCTACGACCAACAACAACAACAACACATATCCGATACACTATTTGATCTTTTAAAAACAATCAATTGAAAACAAACCATCGTGTAAATAACAAAATTGCATTCGGAAAGAGAGCAAGGCTTATCGTTGTGATCTTATATTATAATTATACCTTTTTATCGCAACATGAACTTCTCAGATCTGCCTTTTGAAGTGAAATGTCATATACTCTCGTTTCTAGATTATTTAAGCTTTATATTACAAAAAGGGCTATGTTTGAATAAGACCTTTTGTAGGAATTTGCTTTATGCAATTGAGCCACCAAAGAAATTATTGTTTGGTCCTCTTCCGAAGCGTGCTGCAATTCCGATTCAAACCAATGATGATGATATGGATGGAGAGTTAGACGACCAAAATTGTCATTCTAGAATTAGTGTGAAATTTCGATATGCCGTTATTGATGCAAGTCAGTTCTATGATCGAATTACAAACGTTTTACTTCCAAAATATTTGAAGCCCATGTGTTTTAATAAGACAATCACCTATTTAGATATTCATACCGTTGGTGCAAAATTGACCATGAAACAGACCATTGATATTTGCAAAGAATTTCCAAACCTCACACAAGTTCACTTTATTAATCATTTCCCAACTCTATCAAAACTGAAATCATTTATTTTAGAATCTCTGTATCCTCAATATTGTGCACATTTGCGAGTGATAGATATAACATCTGGAGAATTAGCATCACAAAATCAAACCGTTGGAAATACTGTGAAAAAGAAAGTGACTCCCATTCAACGGTTACGATCTGAAGAGGATTTTCCAGCCATTGTTGATTATGCGTTGTTGGTTCTTCCCAATACATCGTCTGCATCAACCTCGGGAACGACATCTTATTTAAAGTTGAATGACGAACAAACATTGACCTTTCTCAAACAACTCATTGAGAAGTACTATGTGCCAATCAATACATGCATTCAGGGTAAATACACCTTTCTATCAGGAGCATGTCACAACAGCCATTTTGAATGCATTAAATATTTACTAAATTTTGGAGCAAACCTAAGGAAAAATCGCTCCAAATCAAAAGATTCAATCAGTAGAAGCATATCATTGGATCTGATGAACATTGCAGAGAGCTCTGAAAAAGAGCTACTTTTACTGAAATCGCAACCAAATAAGGCCCTGTATTTTTCATTCAAAAGGAACTTTTGTATTGCGCCATTAGTAATACTTCAAAAAGAGAATATTATTGATTACTTGATAGAGAAGGGTATCACGCTGTGTGAATATCAAATTGCGTCCATCATTCAACATTTGAGAAGATCACTGGCTAATTTATCCTTTGCCACACCAGACATGAAACTCAAGATCATTGAAAAGAAGAAGAAGCAAGAGCAGATATTTTACAAAACTCTCCACAAACTCGATCACTTTTTATTTACTTTTTCAGATGTTGATGTTGAAACAGGTTCGAGTCCCATTCATCAAATTTTAGATTATACCTCATTGAGAATCATACTTCACAAAATGGGACTACACTCATTGCACAGCTCACCCGATTCACTGAGTAATGAAGTTGAACAAATGATTAACACAACAAATAAGTGTACAGGTGCTTCAGTGATTCACATGTTGTGTGCGAGTTCCTCTTCCCTTTGCAAAGTCTATCAACCCACAAGTATTTCTGAAATTATTAATGCCCTCTCTGTATATAGTAGTAGTAATACGAACGAAACGAATTTCCATTTGTCATCACTCGATACGGAAATATTTTCAAATATTCAAAATTTTCATCACTTTTTGAAAGCACGACTGGATATTTATGATTTGAATGGAATGACACCCATTCATTTATGTGTGGATATGGAGCGATATGATCTAGCTAAAGAATGGTTGAAATGGAAACCAGAACATGCACTGTTTCTCACGAAAAATACTAACGAGTCTATTTTACACATTCTTGTCGAACAATTTACACATACCATGTTTGACCTAAGCGCTTCGAGTAGTGACGACGAGGCAAGTTATAGAAAATGCATGAACAGTCATGTAGTGTTAGAATCACCGGCCTCTCCCAGTGATTTATCGTCGATTCCTGAGGTCATGGAGGAGAATTTACTCGAGAAGAGACGAATTGAATTACAGGAGAAGGAACGAACTTGTAAGCTCAACAAAATTCTTTCTCTCATCAAATTTATTGCTACCGGTTTGAAAATTAGTGATGAGGAAAAAAAGAAGCTCTTCATGGTACAAAACGATTTGAATATGACCATCTTGGATAATATCCACTCTTCTTTCGATGACTACATTACCGAGGAAGTAACTGACCACGAAGAATACAAACACTACAAGGAGTATGTGCACGAGATTTTGTCCTTACTTGAGAAATAAAAAGGATGTGTTGAAAACAATCCATTAAATAATAATAAGAACGTCATTATTGATTTATTGAAAAAATTAATTTAAGGGTCTTCGTTTATTGGAACTATCTACAAAAGCTTAATGTTTGTTATTGTTTTTGAGATGATTTTCAAACTTGGCCTTCTCATCCTCGTTCAAGCAGTAAATATCCAAGTTGAAGGTGTGAAGAGAAAAGTTGGTCAAGAGTGAAGAGAGGATCTTTCTCGTGCCATCGGCAGAGAAAGATGTGCCCATAAGATTAAGGCTCTGCAACTTCTTATTTTTCTCAAGCAAATTACATAATTCTGGAAGTGAACCGTCACCGATCAAAGTATTGTTTGACATGTCTACTGATGTGATACGTTCGTTCTTAGCAAGTGCTGAGAAAATGGTCTTGGCAGACGCATCGTCACATCCTTTGTTGGAAATATCCAAACTCTTCAAGTGTGATGATATCTCAATCACTTCACCAATATCAATCAGCTGCTGACGATCTAGATCTTTAAAGTCACAAATCACTGCTGAAAATTCTAAATCTGTTACAGAACCATCCTCAACGCTGTCAAGTAGATCTTCAAGTTCTTGGACAAATACGTACGACTTGGTTGAAGTGACAGACGAGGTTTCGCTCAACGCAGGTGACAATCCTTCCTCAATATTTGCTGTTGCGGAAGTGTGTGGCACAGTTGGTACTGTGTCTACTTGAATAGATGGCGGAGCACTCTTTGGGGTGTTCTTAAGCTCTTGTTCGAGAGTATTGATTCGTTTCAAGAGTGTTTGCTTTTCTTGTTCAAAATCTGATTTGAGTTTTGATTCCTTGGTGAAGGCGTCCTTCAACATATTTTTCGTTTTTTCGTAATTTTCATTCAAAGACGCAAGCTTGTTCTTTTCTTCTTCAAGATTCTTGACCTTCGATAACAACTCTTGCTTTTCTTTCTCGAAGTTGGTTTTCAGATTGGACTGTGTTGTATATGCATCCTTTAGCATGCTTTTCACTTTTTCGAGTTTTTCGTTCAATTCAGTCAACTCGTTGGATTTTGCGTTGAGATTACCATTGATATTCTTGACCTCCTCTGACAGTTGTTGCTTCTCCTTTGAAAGAGTGTCAACTTTTTGTGACATTTCCTTGCTATCGCTCTCCAATTTCTTTTTGCTCTCTTCCAATTGTGAAAGCTCAGAAGTCTTTTTAGAAAGTTCTTCTTCAAGTGTTGCTACTTTTTTAGACAAATCAGCCTCTGATGAGGAAGTATAGCTCTTCTCCTGCTCGAGTTTGTTGACTTCATTTTCCAATCGAGATTTCTCTGACTTCAGCTTCTCCAACTCTGTTGTCAACTCTTGCACTGTATCTTCAGCTTTCTTTAAGCTTTCAGCAGATTTCTTTTCTTGTTCTTCAAGAGTAGATTGAGCTTTTTGTAAGGCTTCCTTGGTTGAGGCCAAATCTTGCTCGTTCTTGTTCAAGGTGACCTTGAGTGATTCTAATTGCTCGTTGGATGAAGAAGAAGCTGATTCAACGGCCTTTTGAAGTTGTTGAATCTTTTCCTCTTTTTCAGAAAGCTGTTGCGCAAGAGCATTGACTTGCGTGTTTTTGTCTTCTTCCAAGCTCTGTGCCTTCTTTGTGGCTTCTTCCATCTCAGTAGTGAGTTTGGTCATCTTTTCGTTGAGGTCCTTGTTAGAGTCAGTCAATTGTGAGACTTGCTTGGTGAGCTCTTCTTTCTCTTGTTGGAGTGTTTGGAGAACAGAAATATTCTTGTTTCCATCTTCAAGTTGCTTTTGAAGGCTTTGAACGAGCTCTTGAGATTTCTTGTATTCTTCTTGTGCTTGTCTTGTCTCGTCTTGGTACTTTTTAATCTCTTCTTCTCTTTCACTGATGGTAGCTTTAAAGGATGAAACTTGTTTGACGCTTGTATCCAAAAGTTCTTGGAGACGTTTTGCTTGTTCATTCAATACCTGCTTCTCAGATGTAAGTGTAGTAATAGATTGTTTGAGAGAGTCTAATTCCTTAGTCAAGTGTTCGGATTGTTGGCTCAATTTTGTCTTTTCCTCTTCCAAGGAAGCAACTTTTTGAGAAACAGTGCTTGCCTCGGTCAGCTTGTCTTCAAGTGATTTGATGTTCTTCATTGAATCCTCAATTTGTTGCTTTGCCAAGCTCAGCTCTTTCTCTAGTTGTTCCTTTTCCTTTTGCATGGTTTCTTTGATGTGTGTGAGCTCATTCTCTTTTTCTTGAACAGTCTTGAGATGATGAGAATTTTGTTTTTCGAATTCCTCTAATTTGGAGTGCAAAGAGGTAAGATTTTGTGAACTAGTATGTTTTTGAGATAACAAATCTTCGACAGTCTTGTTGAGCGATTCCACTTGCTTCTTTACAGAGTCGTACTCTTGTGACAAGGTTTCTTTTTCCTTTTGGATTGTGCTCAACTGGGTAGTCAGCTTTCCTGCATCAGCAAGTTTCTGTTCATATTCTTTCAAAGACTTGACAGATTCATCTAATTGATTCTTGAGCGAGTCTCGTTCAGATACCACATGCTCCCTTTCCTTGGAGGCTTCTTCTTTTACCTTGGAAAGTTCTTGCTGGACGGTAGAAAGTGTCTTGTTCAGCTCAGCAAGTGACAATTCAGATGCTTTCAATTTTTCATCAATTAATTTGATTTCATTACTCTTCTCATTGGTCTCTTTTAGCAAAGCATCCGTCTTTTGTTGATATTCTTGGGCAGTCTTGTTCTTTTCATCGAGTTGTTTCTTGATATTGTTCAACTCTTGTTGCAACTTTTCATTCTTTTGTTTCCAATCTGTGTTCAATTTTGTGTTCTCATCCTCAATCCTCTTCTTCTCATCACTCACTGCCTTCAAACTCTTATCGGAATCTTGTTTTTGCAACTTGAGCTCTTTTTCAGCCTTTTCAAGCGACAATTTATATTGATTCACTTGTTCATTCATCTTCTTTTCCAATTCTTGTGATCTATTCTTCTCTTCCTTCATCATTTTGTTCTTCTCTTCCTCCACTCTTTGCTTGATTCTCTGCTCCATCTCGGACTCGACCTTCTTCTTTGCCTCTTCCAAGAGTTTCTTCTTCTCTTCATTCAAGTCATTTTTTAATTTTTCAATGTTGTCTTGAGAGGAAGACGAAGCCTTTTCCTTCTCGTCCAAGAGAGTCTTCTTCTCTTCTTGAAGTTTTTTAATTTCATCAGAAAGAGTTTTGTTTTCCGATCGGACTTGGGTCAATTCTTTGGAGAGAGATTCTTTTTCTTTGTTCACTTTTGATAACGAATCTTCCTTGTTGTTGTTTGTATTGCTCGTATTATTATTGACAGGTTTAGTCAGAAAAAAGTATAAATTGGCTGCACCGACAGCAACAAGAGCGAGTAAAAGACCAACAATGGTATAGTCAGTGGTCATGATGATGTTAATTGTAAGTTGTTGTTGTTGTTGCTCGTATTGTTGTGTGTGAAATCTGATGTTACAAGGATGTTTTCAAAGATGTCATTGCAAAAAACAGAAATTTGTGAATGAAGTTAAAGTCAGCCAGACATCATCTGGTTCTTTGTCTTCACGTACCTCTCTTTGCGATAATTTTTTGAAAAGACAGTTATTGAAAGATGAAGGGTGCAACCCGGTCGTCATCATACAATTCATTGAGGCTGTTTTCTTGTTACATATACCTGAGTGTTCATGAAAGACACTTGGATAATTACAACCAACAATTGGTCATCCTTGTTATCCTTGTCAACAGTTTACTGCACCCAAAAATTTTTTAACAAATTTAGCTCTAACCATAACCTAGAACGATTTTAACATGACAAAGAGCATTTTCCGACAAGCCGGTGAGAACTTTGAAGAGGAAGAAGTGAAGATTGGTCTATTAAACCAGGTCATCTATCTCTCCTCTACTTCTCATCATCACGCAATGATTATTAGCTTGTTACATGCCAGTTACAAGTTATCCCTATCTGTAGCAAACATTGAAGACAACAAATGGTAAAAAAGAATGAGCCTCACGTGTGTATTTTGAAAATACAACCACTAGAAAACTTTTTATTATTTCTTTTCCAAACGAATGAAATGAAACAAGGATTCTTTCTTGAAAATGAACGGAAACAGATACTACTATTAAGGGTCTACGAACATGTCGACCATCACCCAAAGTTTACCTCATGTATTTCGAAAAATGAAAACTTGGTACTGTTTTGAATGCGCCCTCAACATTGTCATTAGAAAAAAAACCCATTTCATATTATTTACCTCCATTTGTATTGGTTCTTTATGTTGAGAACGAAGATCATTTCGTGATTGATCAACATACAGACTTTTTGACTCGAGCCACATACGACATCTCTCCTTGCATCTCTCCAAGATAGTGGTAAAAGGTATCAAAATCAACAAGAATAGAACATCGTCCTCCACTCGTTATAGACATTAAAAAATGATGAGTGGACATTCTTCGTCGTCATCCTCATCAATACAACACCAGCAAGAATTGCAACCGATAGGCCACCACGCTTCAGCAGCTGGAATGGAAGAAGAGATCCTTGAGCATTCAGCTAGGAACGAACACAAACCTTCGCTGGTAGTGATGGGATCACCTTCTCATTACTCCTCCTCTTCCTCCTCCACTTCTTCAAATCTAGGTAACCACTCAAATACGGTAGCGAATAGCTCTAATGTCGAATTAAGTACAAATAATTATGATAATAATGGGATGAGCATGATGAATACGCATTCATCATTAACCCCTAATTCTAGTACCGTAAACGCAATCGTTAGTATTTCCCCCACACCCTCACCCACTACAGCATCAACAACGACATTTTTGCTCCCTCAAAAGCCTTCTTCTGGGTCATCATCCTCTTCTGAGCAGAGTAATGGATCACCAATGGCGAATACGTCAACAAAACCCTCACCGATCAATCATCATGCTTCATCTCCTCCTCTCAACACCAATGTATTCATTAATAATAATTTGAATTTAAAAGATCAGGTGAATAATTCGTTAACGACGACACCTGTAGCACTGAATCAAACAAGAACACCAATCAACCAAACGCCATCTAGTAATAGTAGTGGGAGTAGTACAGCAACAGCTTCAATTTCACAACAACATGCAACAGGTACATCTTCTCAAACATTGGCCACGACAGGGGCATCTGAAAAAACGACAAAACCAAGCAATGCAAATATTTCATCTCAACCTGGGGCTCACATACCCATTCCACTCCCTCCGAATGCTTCTGCTCACATGCTTCCTTATACGCCGTCATCATTTAAAACACAAATGCAAGGTATTCCGCCTCTCACATTATGTGTTTTAATGGATCAATTAGCAAACAAAATTCATCAGCACTACAACCCTTTTAAACAACATGAATCAAAACAAAGGCAACGATCAGCTTCAACAACCTCAAAGGAACAACCAGAAAATAATCCAAGAGCAATTTCAGCCAGAAATGACAAGCATGAAGGAACCACAGAAGGATCTCCTTCATTGTCTTCGTCAAAACAATCGGAAGTGTCGCCCCCTGAAGAGCATCCATCTGAATTGCAAAAACAGCTCTCTCCAACAACCGTTTCTTCTTCTCGTAGCATGTCAACATGGAAAACCACTCCCTCTCTGATCGACTTACTGACAGAGGAGTTTCAATCAAACCCTTCAGGATATAACGACCTTGCACAAGCTACAAACGTCTTAATAGAATTTTTATATGGAAATACTGACTTGAAAGAGCGTCGTTCGGCTCCCTCTTATTCCTCTTCTCAGCCTTCCTCTCATGTATTTTTGACGTCGCCTCCATACACTTCAACTGTATATTCATATCCGTATCATCAACCACCTTCCACTGGGTATCAATTGATACCGGACGCTTCTCAGCACCACCCTATTCACTTGCAGCCGCGTTCGGTGACACCAACCTCATCTTCAATTCAACCATCCAATAAGGTTAAGGCAACAACTTCGTCAAATCCTCCTCCGCCATTTCCTCCTCCAATTATTGTGCATTCATCAGTTAGTAACAACATGGAGCATCTTTCTAATTTTAAGCCAACTAGCTCGCCAATTCCAACCTCAATCCAAAACACAGCATCACCGGCATACTCACCAAGCAAAGGACTCAGTGAAGAAAAAACCTCCAATCCCTCAACTCCAGTTCGTATTAGATGTGCTCCGCCTTCGGCAACCACTTCTGTGGGCACAAGTGAGCCGCTTTCGTCTGGTTTGTTTCTAAGAAAAGATGAAAGTATGTTTGAACCAAGTACTGAAGAAACTGTGAAAAAAAGACGAGGAATCAAGAAAGTGAATGAGATGGACACTGCAACCGACGAACAAGATTCAAGATTTTCGTGTTACATTTGTGAAAAATCAGTAGTGGACAAAAATACTAAGTACACTTTAACATCTAACAACTATTCATCATTTGCAGAGGTTTTTCCACATGTGAAAATACCAATGTTTGGTGAATCTAAGCGCATATGTGCTAATTGCTATCACAAGAAATATCGTGCCTCGAGGAAAAAGAAAGAGCAAATCGTCGAGGAAAAAACAACAGCTGCCCTCACTTCAATTCCAAATTCCAATTTGTTAGCTCCAGCATTGTCAGTAGACCTACATTCTGAAACTCCTGAACGTTTCACTTGTTGTATTTGTTCCAAGTCAAGTACGTCTCCTTCTTTTGTGGATAACAATGCAATCACTGCTCAAAATTATCATTCCTACCTAAGCACTTTCCCCCAACAACTGCCTCAACAACTTCCGCAAGATAGATTGCTACCCGTTTGTGAATCATGCAAACTCGTGCACGAAAATGCTAAAAAGCGCAAACAGCCTCCTTCCTCCTCTTCATTTGAGCAGAATGAAGCTTCCAAAAAACTGAAACAGTAAAGAGGTTGTTTAAAACTGCACTACGGTTTCGATCCCAATCAGTTCGCAAGGTCAGTATCGTTTGAAACACTAACGAACTTGCCTTTTTTTGATCATCCCCGTGATTTTCAAAAATCATGAGCTTTAAAAACAATGTTTGACTTGCTCCAGTGTGAAAAGATCAAGAGCTCGACTTCAAGTATGTTCAAATCTCGAGATGCAACATGCTGTTAATCTTGAATCTAATCTAATGTTGATCTAAAAGATCATTATCTTTGTTACCATGTAATTCTAACTCGCCAGCTTGCATCATCATTCATACGTTTCATGTCACCCAGAAAAGAAAGATTCGCCAAAATAACCCTGAAACAATCGAAGCAATCTCTAATTAACTCCATCACGAGAGAAAAACAACATTGTTACTTGCGTCTCATACACCAAATTGAAACCGCGATTTTTTTCATGTGAGGAAGGACCACGAGAGAACGATTAACACACTTCAAAAAGAAGAAAACAACATCATAAGCCTTTATCATACTCTCAAACTCGTGTTGCGTTAATTGTGCTGACAAACGGCTTGAACTCCACACAGTTGACACCATCTCATTGTACGAATCTTCATATTTCTCGTGAGGTGATACATTCTCCCTCGTTCTTCTGCCAATTTCCATTTCGGTGCATTTCCAGAGGACATTTGTTTGCAAAGGGTTGCAAGTTGTTCATTTACTCTCATTGAGAAAAGAAAACAACTGCTTTCTTCATCTAGATATCTTCATTTCAAACAAGCAACACGCGAAACAGAGATATACTGCTGTTCCACTCCGTAACATCAACTAATTTGGAAACTAACGTGTAGTTCTGATAACACTTGTTTGTTCCAATCCGCATAACTCGTGGTTCATTCTCACACAACCAACAACAACAAGACCAACACAAAAAAAACAAGTTGAGTGTAATACACTTCCTCGTGAAGAACATATCTCTTGATCACGACCACCTCGATCCTTGAATCAACTCTCTCATTTAGAGTTCGATATTGCACATATTTGAGCAAAAGACACTTTCACCCGTTTCCATCCACCCATTACTGCTATTCGTTTGCGCACAAACTAGCATCAAAGTGCCTCAATTCCACGTTTGGAAATTTCAAGACTCAAAAAAAAAGCCTTACCTTAGTATTTGCTGTTCCAAGCAATCTCCTTATTAAAACGATCGTCTAGTAGAAACAAAGATGATGCATACCATGCCTATGCAACAAGATCCTATTCTTCCTCCTATTCCATTTACCTCCCATAAACAAACCTATGCAGGTCAACCTCCAACAACCATGATGATGCATCAAGGATCCTCTTCCACTCAATATAACCTCCATGGAAAGATGACATCCCCGCGGCTACAAATCTCCCATTCAAACTCCAACACCTCTTCTCACTATGATCCATTCCACCAAAACCACCATCACCATGAGCCACGACATAGCTCCTTACAACAATCCATGCATCCAACAAACACTATGAATACTCGTGTACATACCAACCATTCATCAGTCACTTCTGCCACTTCTCCTAACACTTCTTCTCCATTGTTACAATTTGAAAACACTGTCGCCAAGTCATCCTCACCAACTTTTAGACCATTGCTACAACCTCAACATGTTGTTGCAGATCCATGTTTACATGCTTTGCAATCGCCTGCAGTTGAAAAGCTCCCAAATTTAAATGAACTCATGAATGGAGATCGTTGGTCAAGCCGACCAGTCTACGAACCACAATTCACCAACTCGTCCACCCATCAACTGCCACATGTGACCTCTCCTCCACATTACCAATCGACCCAACCTCACAACCACAACTCATACAGACCTCAACCAAATGTAAATACCAACGGCTCAAAGATGATGTTAGACGATTTGGAACGAAAACTCTTCATGCAAGAGCAAGAGATTAGGCGACTTCAAAATGAGAATATGGAGCTCAGAAGAGAGCTTGAACGATTGCATGGCGAAAACTCTCCTCGCTCAAGCTTTGAGTATAGCCAATCCACTGCTTCGAACAATTCTCCCCGAGTTGTAGAGACTTCGCCAAGACCTGTGAAACGCTCATTGAGTGGCAACGAAGATGGCCTTGTCTCAAACTCGAACATTTTGGACAGTGAAGAGTGTTCGAAGAAGAGAAAAAACTGCGAGACCATGACCAAACAGCCACCTCAAAGTAAGAAGCAGAAGAATGACATTCGAAAACCACAACAACATCCAACACGAATCAGAAACTCTGGCCGTAGAGATGCCACCGTTGGTGATTTAGAAAAGTACACGGTGACATGGAAGGGAGAAAAGTATGTCTTGGTGAATGCATTCAAGAATCGAACACAGATTTTGAATTACTATGTTCCACTCTTTGAAAACAACTTCCCAGAAAAGACATGCAAGCTCGTTCTCTGTAACGATGAATACAAGAGTCTGTCTTCCGAGAACCCTATTACTGTTGAGAAGAAGAAGCACGCATGGCGAGTCTCCGTATTCACAATGGATTTCTATAACTTTGTCAAGAATTTTGACAAGAAAAACCTCAAGATTATTAACTCATCTGCTGGTTTCGTTCCAAATATTTACTTTGAAGAGCCACAACCATCCACAACTACATCCACCGTTGTTGACCACGACGCTTCTGCCGCAGATATATCATCTTCGAGTGCAAGCTCTTCATCCCAATTTTCTGTGAATATCCAACCAACTCTTGTGGCCACAGTTGCCAACCAGGATCTTGACACAACTCCAAGACCAGTCGCTAACATCAACACCAGACAATAAATTAATCGATTTCACTTCAATGACTGTGTTGGTTTGAACATTGTTTAATCGTTTAAGGGTAAAAATTGTTTGCCATCAACGTGCTCTCGTTATCGTAATCAATCACACCCGACTTACGCTAAAATTTCACAAAAAATTGTGTCAACTATTTCAATCACCTTCTCTTCACCCACAAACGCACAATTATTGACAACCGAGATACTCGTACTTCGCTTTTCCTCCGAGTCATCACATCTTCGTAGAGGAAGAGCATTGTGCACGAAAAGAGCTACATTTTGTTGAAATTGTTGATCTTGAAACACTGTAAGTGCGTCGTCGTGATGAATGAAATTCAATAACGCATGACCATTTATGAAATCCTTCATCAACACATGGTGTGTGGTTAGATACTCTTTGAATCATCATCACATCTCGCATATATTATTGTAACATCACATATCCCGATGAGTAACATCTTGCTTCAATTTACAGATCATTCCATTGAATATCAACCTTCAACGAATAAGCCTTTATATGTCTTGTACCATATCAAATGTTCTTATAGGACCAATAATTCAACCACCGCTTTCTATGCCTCGAGAGCAAACCAAGAGAGTTATACAGTCATTAAGAGGTATTCCGAGTTATTGGAATTACATAAAAAGATTATGAAACAGCTCGGAAAGAGATCATCATCATCAAGTAACAGTCCTAGAAAGGAAAAACATGGCTCTTCACCATCAGCAACCTTTCAAGAAGAAGGAATTAAATTTCCAGGAAAGTTATTGTTTGGAAATTTCAAGGTGCGTAATTTTCGTGCAAGAATCTTGTCATCTTTAATTTTTCATTATGAATATTTCATTACCATTTAATGACAATTCTATTGCACGGAATTTAACTGACATTATTGATGAACGCTGACTCTTGACTATAGGAAGAAAATATTGCCAAAAGAAAAGAAGAATTACAAAAGTATTTTGATTCAATTACCTCAAATCCAATGATAACACAGGATCCATTATGTAGTCAAATCATTTACGCCTTTTTCAGAAGAAATTTACAACGAGTGTCGCCAAATGTTGTTTTTGGAGAATACTATGAAAAAATTGTTGAAAAGGTTAAGAAAATGGCAACACCGTTTGGTCCAATCAGTGAACATGAGATGAATGCAGTGATGACTGTCACAAGTCAGGTCTCTAAAGGATATTCTGATTCTGTGTTCCAAAATATTGATCAAATTAAGGGATTGGAACATTTACTTGGAAATAGTTTGGATAGTATTCCGTCAAAGAGTGATGAAGATGATTTGGACGATTTATATCTAATTGTTAATAGCTCTCCCAAAGACACATTTGATGACGAGGAAAAGGGAAAGACATCTAATAAGAATAGAAAAAGAGTGACACCAGAACCCAAGTCCATGTGGTTCAACATGCCAATAGAAAACTCTATCACTTGCTCGTCATCAACTGAATCTCTTAATGGCTCATCACCTAGAAAAACTCTCTTTTCAACTGTAGAGTCCATACTGTCAATGGACTGGAATTCAGCTATTGCTGATTTGTGTCAGGTCATGACCAATTATAACAAAGCTATTCAGTATCCAAGAATGATGATGTACAAAGAATGTTGCGAAATTTATGAAAAGCAAAGACAAGAAAGGGAGTTGGCTTTGATACTAATCTTTAACAAGATGCAAAAGCTCTTCTCTCAAAAAAACCAAAAGTTACCAGAGCAAAGCAAAGCCTGTAAAAATTGTCTGTCAGCCCTTGCTCAAAACTGTGTCGATATGACACTGACGTTTGAAGAAATTTCAGAAAGCTTTGCACTCTTGAAAAAATACTTTTCTGAACTAGCAAATAAGAACCCAGCAACTCAATGTAAAGAATTTACCGACAATTTGGAGAGTCTGAAAGAAATTTTGCAAATTCTACTCGAACAAGTGAAAAAAGGTCAACAAAAAATCATGACTTTGCGTCAAATTTTGAAAACACTCTTTGTAGTGTTTGATGACTTTTCTACACGAAAGTTGAGTGCATTTTCACAAAGTCAAAACTCTCAAACTTCCAATGCTTCGACCACTTCAGGCACTGCTAGTGCAGACCATGATGCGGATGACCCTGCTGCTGTTTCATCCGAAGATTCCAACTCGTCTTACAATGTGTTATGCAGAGAATATATTGAAACCTATTTATTACCGTTTGCTGCTTTGGGATATGTTTCTGAACTTTCATTCATGGTTCCGGATGCACTCAAGTACTTTATTATTTACAATTGTTCATTGAGAGAAAAGAGAATTCGACGAATTTTAGCTCACAATCAAAAATCAGATTCTGATTCTAATAGTCTCATGGATTCTCAAATGAAACAAGCGATGGAAAAGTTATTTGCAGAGAAAATTCCTCAAACCGACGAAACTCGAGATGCCATTGCACGAGCATTTCAATCTGAATTACAAAGTTTAGGAAACTCTGAAATTATGGATCCTGAAGTATTATTATTCTGTATTCCAGAGCCTCTACATCGAACTTGTACATTATTTTCCATGAGATTTTTAAGTTGGGTGAATCAACTTCCTGAAGTTGAAGGGTTTCAATTTTGTAAACTCATGCATTTGCAATATTCACGGACCACACAACAAGAAGCAGAACAATGGAATCATATGGTTAACATGTGTAGAAAAACACTGGATATTTTAGAACAAGCCACAACGTGCTTTGTTGAACATTCACAAGAGCACAATATCACAACAGATTTGAAAATTTCAATCACCTACGAAACGAAATCGAGATTGGATTTAATTTCGAAACAGTTTTCAGGTTATGCAGAAAGATTGCACTATTACAATAGTGAATCAAAAAGATTTCGATTATTATAAACAGAAATTTTAAGAGTACAAGTTGTCGTGTAGCGTTTCCTCATTGTGAAATCAAGACAGCTCGTTAAGCAACCTTCCATTCGAACTATCTCCAAGAATGCAATTTTGTTAGCATCTTTGGACACAACAATATGCCCACTGATAAAAGACAGCCATTGAGAGTCCCAACCTGGACGTTTATTGTCAACAATAATATTACTATAAAACCCTAAATAGAGGGATGCGAATATATTAAAAACGAAAACAAGGTTTGTCTAAAGAGTCATCCGTAGGTCATTTACTTTTGTTCTGGATTCTTCTTTCCCTTGTTGGCAAAGTAGAGTCCGGCAAGGACATACCAGGAGAAGAAGTAAATGATGGCCTGGTGTTGATAAATTTCATGTTATTATTCAATTCCAAAATGATGGTGAATGTCATTCCACGAATGGTTCCAATAATGTCATCATCCGATTTAAATTTCGTAAATTTCCATCCATAATATTGTGGTTTCACGAATAAAGCCATCATCATCCACCCATCAACAAAATCATCATCACGGTAATAAGAAAATTTAAAACGATAAAATTTTTCAATCAGTTTCTTGCCAACGGATTATCAATTTTCATATATACGTACATATTCCTTCTTTCCTTGATCAGCCCAATATCTTGCTGGAGTGTATGGATTCAAATACTTGGTGTACTTGGCAAGAGGAGAATTAGCAAAAGCCTTTGCGAGATTGGAGACGACTTCCTTGGCACCCATTTTTATGAATATTAAATTTTTTTACAATACAATCGATGGCTGAGGGTTAAAGAAGAGAGGTCGTGTTCTTTGTTTCATCCATTTCTTGAGAATTCTTCAGCGAACATATATTAACTAATGTGGTCTCAAGTAGTACAGCTACTGGAAAAAATAACCTTGCAGCTTCATCTCAAGGCAAAAAACCGCCTTTTCAATTCTAAAGATGGAGGTACTTAAACGTTAAGTTGCATGTTGAGCAGTTATTGACTTCGATAGCACTATGAGTTGAAACTTGTTCTCATTTTAGAAATTAATGAGTTTGAGGTCCTCAAGACGGGAGAAGAAATTCACACACGACTCTCAGAATTTACTACGTTATCATTAATCGGGTTACAAGATCTTGTGGATTTTCATTAAAAATCACGATTGCTTGTAAAGGTTCGAACCATTTCCAAGACATTTCGAGGTTGATCCATGGGTGACAAGTGACCAGCACCATTCACAACCAATTGAATCAAATTTTCATAGGCATGCACATATCCAACAACTTGATTACCAATTTTCCATGGTTTTCTTCCTGGACCTTGATCATTCAAATAACTCGAGCTGTAACGCCATTTCATTCCGTCAATCCATTTTGATGCTCCAATGTAATTAACCAACCAATCGTATTGACCATTATATAATAGAACACGAATTTTTCTTGTTGGACAATCTAATAAGGCCTCAACTTTGTGTCGAACAGATTTTGCAATGTCAGCATATAAATTATTCCAAACTGTTGGATTCGAGTCATAATATTTCACACCAACAGTATGCATTAATTGTTTCACATAGGGTTGTTCCACGTATTTGATGTAAGCTGTAATGTCATAATCGCCATATGTTCGAATATCGTACACATTGACACCACCACTGCATTGGCCAATCACGTAATCAGTCATGTTGTTGTTGACATCCATTGCTTCAATGTATCGACCAGCTTGAATTAATTTGACCATTTGATTTTGATATTGTTGAACAACTTGTTGTTGCTTTTGATCAATCAATCCAACACTGTATGAAAATGTGTCATAGGTAGAAAATTGGTCAATGGGATGTGTCAGTCCGTCACCAATTCCAATACCCACAAGGTTAACTGGAAAACCTGAATTCATAATATTGTAAGCAATTGAGGGAATGTATTTTCCAGCATAGGATTCACCAAACAAGTATAATGGATTGGACTTGTATTTTGCTGCAAAATCTAACTGGAAAAATTTGATCAAGAAGATGTGGAGCTCACTGGCAACTCGATCTTCAGAATGAACATATCCTGGTGATTTGACATGAGAGAATCCACTTCCCAATGGGTTATCAATCCAAATCTGTGGCAAGATTGACATTTTCACAAAAAATTACAATTAATTGATAAAAATTCACACCATTTCACATTGTCACATACCATGTGATGATCTGCATTCCAAGTGTACTTATTTTTGACCAATTCTAAAGTAGTAGGATCCACGAGATATGGGCCATTCTCAACAAATACTGGTACAAGTTGGAGAAGAATGATTACTATGAACATGATATTCACAAAATAAACATACATCCACTAAGATGATAATAACAAATTGACAAATATATCATTGTTAAAAAACAATCATGACATACTTACAAAATTGATGCACTACCGGGGCCACCTTGGAACCTAAAAATTCAGTGAAAGATTCAGTGTCATGATTGACAACAATAATAGGACATCATGATGGACACCAAGTTTCGTATTTTCATCCTTTGAAATTTTGAACCTACCAAGCAATGACAGGAGCATTTGGATTTCCATTCTGTGCTTCCATGAACACATAATACATTTGTCCACTATATGTAGAATTCACTTCAATAAATCCACTATATTTAAAAGGATTATCTTCTTCAGTAAATCGATTCACTCGATCACCACTTCTATTGAGTCTCAACAACGAATCGTCATGATCTTTCAATTCTTGACCTGATGAAAATAACATGCTCGGAACTTTTCCACCTCTCTTGGTTTGTTTCCAAGTTTCGAAAAAAGCTTTTGCACCATTCTGACATTCCACAATTTCTGTAACTCCCAGAACGAACCATACGATTGTGAATAGGAGAAGAAGAAGGACAATCGCTTTCAGACTTTGTTTCATTATTTTTTTTGTAATGCGTAACATTGTTTCTTGCACCAGTCGATCGATTTGAAAAAGCCAGAGTTGTATTGAAATTGTACACTCACTGATCGATCTGTTAACAGCTCCGGTTCGTGTCTTCATTTTCAAAATGCCAATTGAGTCTGGAATTCTCTCAGTATTCAAGTACAGTCTTTTCTCTTTCTATGTCGACAGCGAAAGAAAACACTTCAAAAGAATCGTTGAAACTTGCGCCAAAGGCATTCAAGCGAATTGTGTTTGGATTCCCGTGGCAGGAATTTTTTTGGCGCGCAGAAGGTTTCTTGCCATCACATTTAAAGGCTTCCTTCAGGAATTTTGTGTTTGAAAAAAATAACGCAACAACAACTCTCACATACATGGATCCACAAATGCAGAATCAAATTCCAACTTTTAAGCTTTTATTAGTTGGTGATGGTGGTACTGGTAAGGTAGGTAGAATTTGTTTTTTAATGGTGTTTGATGATAACTTTTGTGTGTTGAATCCGAAAATTTAAATGATGACTGCGCGGATTTTTTGGTTGAATTATTAATCGTATTCATTCCGTGATGCTCCAATCGTGCAATAACATTACCTTTGAATTCATAATTTTGAAATCTTTGATGACCTTTCATTTATAACAATACAACAACAACAATAGACCACTTTCGTCAAGAGACACTTGAGCGGTGAATTCGAAAAGAAGTATATTGCTACTGTCGGTGTTGAAGTTCACCCATTGACTTTCTTCACCACTAGAGGTCCTATTTGCTTCAACGTTTGGGATACTGCTGGTCAAGAAAAATTCGGTGGATTGAGAGATGGTTACTATATTCAAGGACAATGTGCTATCATCATGTTTGATGTTACTTCACGTGCTACATACAAGAACGTTCCAACATGGCACAGAGATATTGTGAGAGTGTGTGAAAACATTCCAATTGTTTTGGTTGGTAACAAGGTTGATGTTGCCGACAGAAAGGTCAAACCAAAGTCCATCAATTTCCACAGAAAGAAGAATCTTCAATATTATGATGTTTCCGCAAAGAGTAACTACAACTTTGAAAAGCCATTCTTGTGGTTGGCTAGAAAGATTGTCGGTGACCCAAATCTCCAACTCTCCGAAGAACCAGCTATTGCTCCACCAGAAGTTGCTATTGATATGAATGCTATGAAACAATACGAAGAGGAGTTGAGAAAAGCTGAACAAACTGCTGTTCCAGAAGACGATGACTTTTAAGCTATTTAATTGGCTTGTTTTCCGACTAATCCAATAAATTAAATAATTATTAATTCTTTGTTTCTGATTTTCACTTAAAGATGTCACCAATTTATGTTGAGCGTTGGATCGAAACAATTGTGGCAATGAAAGTTGAAGTTTATTGGTGATTTTTCAACGCACTCAATTCTGAGTTTCTCGATATGAGACCCTTCATCTCTCTTTTTAATAAAAGTTTTCATCAATGGAGGTACCACAAATTCCAGTGGTTCCTTGATATTGCTTAATGGATGGTCTAGTCCAACCTCTATGGTTACCAGTCATGAAAGTTTCGTCGTTATAATGAGAAAGACACATCAAATTCTACATACCCTGTATCACCAACCATTAGAATGAGCATCACGTAATCATCATCCCACAATTGCATCACAAACATGTTGTAGAAATCAAGCAACGGTGTCACAACCACTTACCAAATGCATAAAAATCATCAAAAGATGCTCTACCATCATAGTGAGCATACCACAATTGCAAATGTGAGAATGCAGTGCTTCCACAAGTAATTGGTTGCCATTGAGAATTTGAAGTATAAATATGAGTTGGATAACCAGCAGCATGACCAGCATTGACCATCTTGGAAATGAATGCAACATTGTTATTACAACTGCTAGACCAGTATCTTTTTTTGCCAGAAAAAGTTACAAAATTAATGACACCATTTGTGAAATCATTTTCACACAAATTCAAAAATTGATCGACAACCTGTCCTACCCACAAATACTTACTGAGGTCCCTCAACATCAATCCAAATCTGACCAAAGGTTCCTCCATTTTGCTTGATAAAACTCACAGTATTTCTCACTTGCTCTGCAGGATCCATATTCACATTCGGAAAGATGTAAATATCCACATATTTAATTCCAGCAGCCTTTGCACGATTGATATCATTCACAATATATGGATTGACATGTCCAGATTGAGTCTGAGCTTGAATAATTGCAAACTCTCTACCATTTTGTTTCAAACAATTCCAACTACTTTGTGGAACATCTCCTTGAAAATAGGAAAGATCCAAACCAAGAGTCGCCTCTACTTTTGAATCCATCAAAGCATTTAAAAAACCAAGGAGGACTAGTGCTGCTACAGCACAGAAAACGACATGGAATTTCATTCGTGTGTGTGTGGTGATGATGATTTCGAAATTCGTTGTGGTAGTGAAACGACACGGAATCAAGTTGTTTTTTTGAGAGAGATTGATCGGTCTTGGTTTGCGGAGAGAGAGAGTTGATTGTGAAAGTAATCAACAGGAATGAAAAAAATTACAATGAGCGAGGCAAAAAAGTGGGTAAGAATTTCTGTGAATTTAGTGAAAATGGCCTGGTTGTGAAAGCAAATGTTTTAATGATACCTAAATGGAGGACAAGCTTCAAGATGATGAGCGTCATTAAGCAAAACCGTGGTGTCGTGTACATGGTAGAGTAATGTTTGGGTTTGCAAATCTTAATTTCGATCTTTCAAATATATTAGAGAGAGGGGTGGAAGAAATCGTCATTAGAGACAAGTTGCAAATTTTCAATCACACTACGCTACTGAAAAAGTCTTCGATTCAAATCATTCAACAAATATCTGGGATAGATTGGATTTTGAGAAACAGTTACAGCTTGTCTCTGTGGAATGACTGAAGGTTGTGAAGGAGGTTGAATGGGTGGTGGTGTTGGAGTTGGAGGAGGCACACGTTGCACTGGAACAACCATTCGAGGAATGGATGGCATTTGTGGTGGAATTATGGTTGGTGTCACAGGAGGTGGTGGAGTTTGAATGGTTGGCACTGGAAGTGTTGGAATGATTGGTGTAATGACAGGAGGTGGTTCAGTGGGTTTGATTTGAACAGGGGGTTTCTTTTCAACTTTTTTAGGAGGTGGAGGAGGAAGTAATTTGAGGATGGGAGGTGGCTGAGAGGTGTGAATAAAGTTTGATAATGATTCGGGTAACATCCAGACACCTTTCCAGAAAGATCTTTGAAGAAATCGTTCGGGTGTGTTGGCGTTGTGAAATTCGAGAATGGATCGAATGTAGTGAGGACGATGTGAACGTTCGAGTTGAAGTTTAAGGTAGACAAGTTGTAAATCTTTGTAACTGCCTTTCCATTTGATTTCAGGAAAGATGGGTTCTTGAAGAGTAGAAATGAGAGTGGACTTGTCCATTCGCGATGAATCTCTCAATTCTGTCTTGTTATGATTCTGTGGAGTTGGAATGATCGTATGATTGAGGGAAACCAATCGGTCATAGTCATAAATGATTGAGTTATGGCTGCTACTGAGAGGATGATCATGACTCTTCAAGTAGTGAGGAGATACGGTGAGTGCAACAGATTTTTCAGTGTTACTTCGCCATTGGGTGAGAAGTGTTGAAAATTGAGTGTTCAATAATTTTCTGAAAAGTTCTTGTTGCGCCCATGTCAAATATTCTCGTGGCTGCATGTTGAGAATGCTAAAGATTGGATCTTGCTCTGTGTCTTGAATGACGAGAAGGTTATCTGTAGGTTTCGAGGAATGTTTGTTCAACAAATGAATTCGATCTCTTTTCAGGTTGTGTTGTATCTCATTGTGATGTGAAACCAATGATTGAATTTCTTCTTGTGTGAATTCGTTTGAAATTAATTCTTCAACAAGTTTCAGTTCGTGAGTTGTTTTGGAGTAGTCTCCTTCAGAAGTTGTTTTTGATCTGCTTTGAGTTGGGCCATTCGATAAGGGTTGTGACAAAATTGAAGAGTCATAATTTTCATAATTGTACATTTCTCGCAATCGTTTTTCTGATGGGTCGAGCTTTCGAAACTTGGCTAATTGTTTAGCTCTATATCTTTGATCAATTCCGTTCTTGATGATAAATTCTTTTGTAAAGCTTGCCAATGTTTGTCTTTCATTGTCTAAAGATGCTAGAAGAGCTTTGTCCAACTCGGTATGTTGCTTCTTCTTATCGGCAATCATTTTCGCTAACCCAGATGCAATAAAGGAGAACGTCTCGGCGAACTGGCTACTCTGCATCATTCTCGTGACAGAGTGTACGATATCTTCATACTCTCCTTTTGCTTGCTTTTTGAACTCTTTCTCAAAAGCTATCTTTTCTTTGAGCGTCAGAGATTGCCACTCCCTCAATGTTGAGTCCTTTCTTGCAATTTGATTGTAATATGATCGTAATCTGGCATAGTTTTTGATTGCCTCTTGGTGTTGATGAAGTAATGAATATGCACTGTTATCTTTGGATCGAATCGATAGTAATTCTCTTCGTTGCTCTCTATTCATTTGATCCAATAATTGATCTAAAATTCTAAATTCTCGTTCCAAAAGCAATTCTTTCTCTCTATCCACTTGTTCTTTGGCAGATTTCACAGTAATGGCGTTAAGCGATTGTTGATAAATACCCAATTGTTCCAATCTGGCCTGTTCCAAAGGAGTGATGGTAAATGTTGGTTCCGTAATGTGTTTCAATCGTTCTCTTTCTTTCACTAATTTTTCTTTTAGAAGTGCAAGATCCTTTTTTTCACTGTCTGTTGGCTCCAATCCTGAAATGCTTTTGGAGGCAAGTTCGGATTCCATTTGTAATATTGAGCCCTCCAGGTGCATTAATGATAGCTTATCAAATCGTTCTTGAATAATTTCGTGCACTCTTGGAAGAAGAAGCTTATTCTTGATGGCTCTTGCGTTCGATGTGTCATGAGAAATAAAATCATCCACAGTGCAACTGTGGGGAATATTGATGCCTGAATTTTTCAACTGTTGGAATGCGTCTTGCATGGCGTCACGTTTGAGAGTTTCCACAATCTTGAAAACATCGGTTCCAACAGCAAATTGCACCAAGTCTATTGGTTCCCAAATTTTTTCATCAATTTGAAATGTGTTTTGTAAGTAGTACGTAGAGCCAGTATCGTATGACTCTTGAGATTCCTTTGTAATGCCCTGTTTCACTAAATTGTTCATTTGCTCATTTTCTGATTGAATATTTTCTGAGTTCTCGATCCATTTCTTTTTTTCGTTATCTAACATGTAGTATGATCGCAACTTTGAGTTGTTCAGAGCGTTCAAAATCATGGTTCCAATTGAGGAATCCGACTTCATGATGGTGTGATACATGTTTCTAATTTTGGATCCAAGTTTGCTCAATGGCTGTTTTTCTTCATCAATATTAAGATCTGTAAAGAAAAAGCTGGCAATTTTCTTTGATTCTGTTAAGGCATGTTTTGTGGAGAGATGGGTCTTTTGGATAATAAAGTTATAGAACGCTTCCAAGTTAATTCCATATGGAGAAACCAGTGCTTTTTCATCGGCATTCAATCTCGTACCAACTTCCCAGTCATACTTTCTTGAACTATCGCTCGGCGAGACTCCAAAAAATTTGAACCCTTTCACACTATTATAAACTCCATTCTTGAACTTCTTCAGTACAAGTGTCATCTCTTTGATAGGATCTTTTTTGGATCCAAAAACATGTTGTTCATTTGTGAATGGAAGTACAGTAAACTCGTCAATATCGCGCCATTCTGTGTCTTTCCTAGTGAGCTGTTCGATTTTTTTAAAGGTCATACTGTCACCTTGCGCCAGGGGTTCAGTGGAAAAACCCTTCTCTGCGATAAGGGTTCTAATTTCTTCCATCTCCCCTTTGGAAAGATCTCTGTTATCGATTTCTAGGGCATTGGAAGCTGTAAGAGGTGCCTTCCATGAGGTAGGATTCGTCACTTGATTTATATAGGTATTTTCCAAAGGCACGAATGTTGAAGTTGGATCTTCTTTGATATCAATCTTTGGCTTGGAAAATTGGTCACTCGGTATTTCAATAAGAGATGGCTCTTCATATTTTGTGTTCCATACTTGAATTTTTCGATCCATCTCTTCAACCAGTTCATTGAGATCTCTCCAATGTTCTTCGGAAAGCTTCAAAGGTTTTGATAAAATAGTTGACGCAATATTTGAGTAATTTTCTCTTAAATTTTCAATTAGGCCCTGTATATACTGATATTCTTCCTTATTAGCAGAATTAATTTGTCTAATTTCAAGATTTCTGATCTCATTTTCCATTGCTGTCTTTTTTTCTTGATCTGTGGAATCTGTTGAAAAAATAATAGAAAAATTTTCTGGAGAGTAAAGAGGAGGAAAGGAGTCGGATAGTAAGCTCTCTCCATAGCCAGATATTCCATAAAGTAATTTCAGAGCTCTAATATTTGCGATGTATGATCTCACTCTTGAAGAATTGTTTGTGTTCGTTGAGTTTTTGTTGTTGCTTGACTCCTCAACAGGACCAACCCATTTGATTGTTTCTTGAGTTGATGGGTCGCTATTGTTAAGAGGATATATCGCCTTCAAATACTCGGTTTCTTTTTCGCTCAGAGGAGTAATGTTTTCTCCCCTTGTGGTGAGGATGTCTTCGTTGTTGTGATCTAACACAAGTTTTCGAATATAATTTTTGAAATGGATCCAACTTTCTTCCGACATGTCAATCCCAAACAAAGTTTCAACTCTCTTTTGGAGATTTTGTTCTGCAATGAGAGCCACAGATTTAATAGACCCTCCTTTTTCCAAGTCACCTCCAACAATTACATTCTTAAAAGTATCAAAATAATCAACCCCTTCGTGATACTTGTCTATAAATTGATTTGTAGGGTACACGTTTACATTGGATTTATGCTTCACAGTTGAGTCACTAGTGGCTGAAGAGGTCATGTTAAATGTTATTATAGTCCGGTTTTGGGTGTGCTTTGGTGATATTCTTATATTGTCCTCTTCGTCTGAAGATGAAGTATCGCCTGTGGTTAGATGTGATTCGTTTGATAATGAGGATATCATTTCCTTTTTGATGTTAGCATGCTTATGTATGGAAGAGCTTGGTAATAAATAATTGATGGCCGACATTAGCACATATTTCGTAAAACGTTCAGATTTAGCTTTGGTTCTGTCTAGTATGTTCATTGTGATGATGGCTTCTTGTGAAATTGATAACTACGGACTAAAACCTACACTTGTGATTTTTCGATAGTTCTTTTTTGTTAGGTATTTGTGAATCTTCGTCAAAACTTGTTGCACTATTTTCATGATTTAAACCATCATTGGATGTAGATCTTCTTTTGCTATCTCTGAAGAATAACGTTTCTACAAGTGAAGTATCTTGATTCGAGTGTGAAATAATTTTTTTCAATAGCTCTTGTTCCTTATGTTGAACAAACAATTCCAAAATTTCCAAGGATTCACATTCTTTTTCTAAATCAATTACTTTCCTGTTCATTTCTAACCATTCTCTAAATGATTCTTTCGGAGCATTAGTTTCAGAATTGCCTCGTGTCGATTTTTGTTCAATATGTTCTTGCTGTGGCGATACCTGGTCTTTCGTCATGATATTTTCTAATAGTGAGGATTGTGGCTCAGAAGCGCTTTTCTCATCGTGTGTGTTATTTTCTGAAGAAGGCTTTCCATCTCCTTTTAATTCAGCAAGAAAATGTTGATTTAATTCTTCTCTCAGTTGTTTTACAGAAGCATGTTGTGTTTCGGAATCATCCTCACTAATAACATCATGGTTTGCTTGGAGTGAATTGGACAAATCCAAAATTAACTGATCAAACAAGTCATCATCTTCGGCAGTCCAACTTTTGCCAGACGCATGAGATGAGGCTTCATCATCGGATTGCTGATGTTCGATTTCTTCACCATGTGGTTGAGTATTTTGGGTGCCATTCATGATGATGGTGTTATTATTGTTAATCAAAGTAGTTGTGCTGTGATGGTGGATGTTTATTCAGGCGGAGCAATTTCGTTAATAACTCCAATCACAACGTTTCATTATTTTTTGTTTGCAAAAACGAAAATGTTAGGTGGTATACAATAAAGTTCTAATTTACATGGCTTGCAGTAAATTGGTACAATTAGGCAGTAGTTGAGGATGCGTTTGCTTGCGAAACGTTCGTTGTGCCAGTGTCAGCATCATAGTCAATATTGAAGAAGGACAGTTCCCACCTTACTTGTGAACCACTTTGAATTGCCACAAGTCTCCAAAACAAAGTCATAAACGACAAGATCAATAAAACGAGTAAGAGAATAGCCACGCTTTGTCGAACGGCTCTCTTCTTTTTGAAATTACCTCCCACATTGTTTTTGGCAAGAAAAAACACAAACACACTTAATCCTGCTACAATAATAAATACAATAGTCCTAAAATCGATAAGCTTCAAAATTTCTCCAATGTCACCACCTGTACTACCCCCTGTGAAAATTGCAATGAGTATGATAGTTAGAAGAACTGCCTTAAAACCACCCACTACTACAACAAGCGACACAAGGTTTGCTAAAATCATGCACGTGACAAAAGGCGGTGCTGTGTTTGGTCCTGCATTATTGCCAAATAATTCGTCAATATCTTCAGTATTTGAAATCATGTGATTGAGCGAAGTTGCCAAGCCAAGAGCTATGGATATTTGAAAAACTACTAACGAGCATGATAATAAATCATCGACATATCGCATCAACACCAATGTAATGAAAGCAGTAATAGCAACGAGAGAATATAAATAATTTGGTTGAGGATAGGAGCTTATACTCTTGTCCATCTTGTTGTAGAGATGTGACATTCCGTACATTATAATTAAGGTAAGCTGCAATATCATGTGAATTAAAGTTAGAATTGGATTTGAAGGGTAAATTCCTGCAATTAATGTACTAAAAATTACTGGCATGAATGTGATGAGCAATAACAAAGAGCCTCCAGCTGAAAGAGCCTTCTGTTTGATATATTCTACTTCGTTAGCGAGCCCGTAATCAGGTTGTTCCTGTGGTGAAATAAATAAAAATTTCAGCAATCGAATGTACAGAATGGGGTATGACATTAAATACCTCAGATAACTCTTTAAATAAGGCTGAGAGCTAGAGTTAATCCTGTTGATATATTGGTTTCTTTCTTCTTCATAAATAAATGCAATACTATTTCTCCATATTTTGTATTGTGAATATCTTTGTTGATAAGTTTCGTAATAATTCTGCTCGTCGTGACATGCTCGTGCGAGATCCTTTGGTGAATTTCCCATGATAGAATCATGATTGATTTCAGATTGTGGAACAAGTTCAAACTCGTTTTGATCTGTATCCCGATCAGATGTATCTTGTTGCAATGAGTCATTGTTTGAATTTACTCTCAATAATCTCCAATCCTTCTGCAAGAGCAGCTTCCACAAAATTGATTTTCTTGAATTGTCTTGAAATCCTGAATTTACACAAGATATCCGCACTAACGAATCCCGATCCAAATATTGAAAAATCTCAATCAATATTTCGGGAGGAATAAATACTTTTGTTGCCACAACATGTACTGCCGTCCCAGACGAATCACTATTTCTCTTGAAAGGATGATGATGGTGAACACGATCATACAATTCGTGATGATCATCCACATGAGCATCATCATCATTTATCGTCTTGAGAATTGTAAATTCGGCCATTTTTTGCTCTCCGTAAAATCGAAACAGAAGTTTGTTGGAAAGATCATGTTGTTCATAACACGTGTAATGGAGAAATTTGTTCTTTCGCAAGGCAACGAGGAGGTATGACCGCTCTTTCTCTCTGTGAAATTGTAAAGGAATGAGTGAAACACTCTTGTCATCTACCGCAGAAAAGACAGAGTTAAAGTGCTCTTCCAAATTTGATCATCTGACGTGGAACAAAATGGTCATGAATTTGAGCAATGAAACACCCAAAGAGTTTTTGGGTCCTAAATTGTTGTGGAATGCGTTCTATGTTGCATTCCTTTCAATAACATTTTTCAAAAAAACAAATAGTCATAAGGGACATGTGTGAAATGGTTTCATTGAGTGAAATGTATTGCAATGATCAAGTTCGAGTGGTTTTAATAGATTTTGAAATTTCATCATCATCATCCATGAGTATGTCTGATGAATGTCATGAGACAGAAGAGCGTCTTCTTGTCAAGGAACTCATGTCGCAATTGAATAAGAAATTCTTTTTGCAACAGCGTGGAAAGAAGAAATTCTTAGAACATTACGAGCTCGTAACACAACCCTCTCGTCATTGTTTTATACCCATAGAATTTACGAAGGACAAATCCTATGTGCTCAATGTCATTCAACAGAACAGGGAAAATTGTGAAATGTCTTTTTTGAGAAATGCCATTCTTACTTTTCCACGTGATAGACAAGTTGTTCTTGAAATTGTAAAACGTAAAGGATACTTGCTTGAGTATGCTTGTGAAGAGCTGAGAAATGATAAGGATCTTGTCATGGAGGCTCTCAAACAGAATGGTTGTGCCTATAAATTTGTTTCTGAATCTTTGAAGAATGAAAAGGAAATAGTTTTAACCTCGGTAAAACAAATCGAACATTCAGAGGGTCACTTATTGTCAAGGGAATGGAAGATAGATAATGACGTTTTTTTGTGTTCCATTTGTCCAAATCGTGCTCACAACTATTCACATACCAACTGGAATCTTGATTGCATCATGCTGTATTCCACATTGAGCTCTGATAAGGAATTTTACTTGGATACTGTGCATAGACATCCGTCGGCATTAGAATTCGCTTCAGAAGACCTCAAGAATGACAAAGAGTTCATACTTTCATGTGTTGCACTAAATGGAAAAGCACTGCAATTCGCATCTCCAAGCTTGAGAAATGACAAACAAGTGGTTTTTGAGGCATTGAAACAAAATAGGTTTTCCCTTTCATTTGCCTCCAATGAGATCAAGAGTGACAAAGCATTTATGATGAAAGCAATTCTTGAAAATCATCATGTTCGGACTTCGGCCAGTCAAGCTCTACAATTTGCTTCACAAGAGCTTTGGAACGAACAAGACCTTATCTTCTCAGCAAATCCATCTCATGTTCTAACAGCGTTTATGTATTGGGAAATAGAAAATAGTCGTCAGAAACCACAAGCTCAAGTTGCGCTCAGCATTCGAGAATTGTACATGAACAAGTTGAAACAGGACAGGAATTTTTTATTACACGCTGTTGCATTAGATGGAACAATGCTAAAACATGGCTCTGACGATTTGAAAAACGATAAGGACATAGTATTTGAAGCAATCAACAACACTGAAGATGCTTTAAGATATGCTTCTGATTCATTGAAACACGATAAGGAATTTATGTTGAAGATTGTGCAACAAAAGCCACGTGTCTTCACATTGTTTGAAACTAGAAATTATTTTGCACCGTTTTTACAAGACAGGGACTTTGTTTTGCGTTTGATTCGACAACATCTCACTTGTGTGCTGTTTTATATTTCACCCCAGTTGAGACTTGACAGAGAATTAGTTCTTGAAGCTGTTAGACAAATTGATTTTGCATGGGATTGTATTGCATTTGTCAGTGATGTCATGGTAAGGAAAAAAGATGAGATTTTCCATGATCCAGAAATTGAAATGGAATGTGTGAAACACACTGGATACGCACGAACGTTCAGTATGGAGTTGTATCAGGCTAGAATGGATCATTATTATTATGGTGCTTATTTGGGAAATAAGGTCCATTACTCTGAATGAATTTTACTGTGAAATATGTAGCTGCTAGGAAACGTATGTTCCCTCTAAAATTTAATTCCGCGTTTTGTTGCTCGGGAGCAAAAGTAAAAGTTTTGTAAGGTAATAATGATGTCATTCCAAAATCTTTCTATTTCTTTATGATGTGTTGATTTTTCCATTGATAATTCGTGGAATTTCAATGAAAACTCAATCCAACGTTCACTTATAAATCGTTAAGAATGATAAATTATTCGTTGAAAAACTCTTCATGACATTCCGTTTTGAACATGTAACCACAATTAATGCAAGATCTCTGAATTTCACCTCAATTCACACCACCATTGTGTTGTAAACATTTTCACACCACCATTGTGTTGTAAACATTTTCACAACGGATTGTACTCCCGCATCTGCCGCTTGCAAGGATGACCATAATCTCTGCCTGTGTGCTTTTCTCTTTTCTATATTGAGGATGCAATTCTTCGATTAAATTCCCTTCATCAAAAAAAATCCGAAATTTGAGAGTTCATAAGGATCATTCTTCGCTTTCAGAGGGTGCCATAGAAATGAGAAAACAATTGGTGGCTTTTCCAAAGACGACAACGAGTCATTTGCTTGTTGGATCTCCATGGAGTCGTTTTTTCAGCAAACAACTCTCTCCGAAAGAAGGATCTGTTGAATTACATTTCCGATATGGAATTGGTAATCAGCACTCACAAGGCTTTTCTACTGCACTTTCCAGACAAGAACAAAAGGCAGTGATGAATGGTGGTCGAGCTTCGTTGAGAATTTTTATGGATTTTGATTCAACTCTCACTCGGAAAGATACATGTACATTAATTCCTCAGCTTGCGGTGGCTAAACAATCTTCAAACATTGAATTGTTACAAAATTGGAAAAATATTTCTGGTGCATTTATGGAAAAGTATGAGAAGGCTCTGCATGATGGTCATAAGCTTAACAATTTTTCTCAATTTTTGGATGGCTTGGATCGTGCAGAATTGTTTGGCGTTACTGGTGTGGAAGAAAAACTAGTTTTGAAGGGAATATCTAAAGACGACTTGAAATCTCTCATTTTCAAATTTAACAGCGAGCTTGCAGTGAATTGTGAAAGCATTTTTAATTTGATTTGCAACGGTAGTGCCAGCACGAGTGAAAACTGTAAAAATAGTAGGATTGAGTTGTGTATTTTATCAAGCAATTGGTCATTAGATGTGATTGAAAGTTTTTTGTTTGAGAAGGTTCAACCACTTGTAAATAAGACATTAAGGATATGGCCAATTAACAGATTGTCCAGCAATGATGACCCATTGTGGAGTGCTGAGCATTCATTTTTTCCCAACATTTATATTTATTCTAATGATTTGAGATTTGATGACAACAATTTGACTGATGGGAAATTCTTGACCAAACAATGTGTGACGTCCATGGACAAGTTAATGTCTCTAAGGCATCATTTATTTCTCAGTAGAGACACTAGTCGGAGTGTGTACATTGGAGATTCATTCAATGACATGAGGTGCATCTTGGAGACCAATGGAATTTTTTACTTTCCACCTGATCGACAACACAATGTTTTGGATTATTGTTCCAAGTTTGGAATTCAAATGAAGACGCTCCAAGAAAATCAATTCAGAATTTCACATCACACTCCGACCATAGCTCACGATTGGAAAGAAATCACACAGGCCATTGAGAATGAAATCTGCTAGAGTTTTATTAATAAATTTGACATGCACAAGGAACTTTGCAGAACAGCAAAAAAATTGATTCTATTCCAATCATGACCTCAGACACAGATCACACTTGTAACTCCACACAACACGCCGAAAAGGAACAATCTTCCTCGTCACTGCAATACGTCAATGAACAATTAGTACCAGGTTTTTCTTGGATCATTCAAGATGAATTGGCCGGAATGAAATTCCCAAATGAATCACAATTTTACGAAAACTTATTATCGGAACCGTTTGGAGTAGGTCTAGTCATTTGTGTCAATGAGAAGTTACCTGCGTTTATTGGCAATAGCAATTCTAATATAAATATTAGCATCAAGAAAATGCATGTCATATCCAGTGTCAATGATTTGAATTCAAATTTAAATGTTGCACATTTCCCCATTGACGATTATGGCACTCCAAATAATTTTGAAATGGTTGAGAAAATTATCGAACTTGTACGCACTGTGAAAAGCAACACGATACAAAATATGGAAAGTAAGGGAATTGTGGTGCATTGTATGGCAGGATTGTCTCGAACTGGAATGGTTCTTGCATGCATTCTGGTCTCTGTGTGGAAAATGACTGTTTCAGATGCTATCCAACTTGTGAATCAAAAACGTGGAAAGAATGGACGAGCTGTCATGACCTTTAAACAAGAGAAATTTGTACAAGATTTCTACAATTATTGTAATAATAAAATCTAACATTTTGATCAATCTATTGTTGCTTTCGAAAAATAAAAAAATGCGACAACTACAACTCAAGATCAAGCTCTCGGTTTTGCCTCATGATATGATCATGGAAATTATCTCCTATTTGCCTTCTTATTTTTTATTTCATGCTTCCATGCGGAATTTATGGGAAGGCGTGTTTGGATCATCATCAAATGCTTTGGAAACAAATGCGGGTCAAATAGAACACTGTGATGAGAAGAAAATAATGTTACGAAATTGCAATACATTTTTCAATGAAATATTAATGGAAAGACTTTGTAAAAAATTGTACAATTTGGATTCGTCGACTCAAGTATCAAACATTCAAATAATTTGCATCATCATGGACACTATTTTTAAGAAATTTGTATGGAATTTGTGGATGGTACAAATATTGGAACCATTTGCAAAGTATTGGGTGTACCGATTGAATTATCCAACACGGTATTTGTTCAGAAATTACATCTTGAGGGCTATTCATTCACAAATACTGCTAACGAACGACGCAAAGAACAATTGGAACTTATTGAACAGACATTTAAACAATCACAATGGAGATATCACGAATTGCATTTTCTTCATGAGTTTTCATGTCGGTATGGCTATATATTGTTATTAAGCGAAGAAACAAATGAGACACGAATATGGAAAAGTTCGTTGGTAGCAACTACGGCGAATTCACATCCTCCAACCATGGAGATTAGTTTCAATATCACCAAAGATTCCCAATGTAAAACACACGTCCTAAGTATTTTTAATCAATTTGAATTGATTAATGACAATCAACGACATTTGTTGAACAAGATCTTTAAACATGAAGACAAGTGTGTGAAAATTCGAGGACATATTTTTCTGAAAAAATCGAACTTAAAGCTACCAAAGTCTGATCCACATATACGATCAGTTTTGCTGGAAATTTTTCCACAATTTACAACCAAAATTAATTTAGACAACAAAAGAGATCATGGCAATGTGGTTGATTTGGACGAAGAATTAATGTTACATTTTTTTTCTTTTGTACGAGATGTACACGGGTATGACAAACCCATTGAACGAGAAATCATGTTACAACGTTTTTGGTTTCCAGGTAAGTGAACAGAACCCATCTGTCTTGATTTAATGTACTGGATTGTATTGTTTACATGATTCCAGCTCTCCACACTAAGGAAACATTGAAATGCACCACTAGTCGAAAACACATGCCCTCTCTTTTAGGTCGTGATGCTCACACTCGTATTTCACGTGCGATGGCTCACTCCATTGCTAAATATGAGGTTACTTGCATTCCACATTCTCGAAAAGTCAAACTGAAACTCATTCCAAAAACAATTCCAATTTTTGTTACGAACGTTTGCTTCATGGCACTCATTTATGGATGTTCAAAGTTAAACGAATTCTTAGCCAACAAGTATCTCAAGGAAAATATGGACGATGTAATTTTGGGGTATTTCATCAAAGGTTGGCTCGTGTTGACAACAAATCTTGCTATTGTGGTAATGGCTGTGTTTGGATGTAGAGCATTCATGGAAATGTTTCATTCTTTATATGAACCTAAGGAGATTGAACTATAATTCTCTTCAACAACGTTGGAAGAGACATTAGCAATAAAGAAAGTCCGACGTTTGGACTTGCCTAATCGTTTCCACATCGTGGGCTCTTCAAAGCTTTTTTCTCAGAGGTTCAACATTTTTTTGAGATCGTCAAAAAAAATGAAGTCGTCTGGCACAAGACCACTCTCGAAAAATTCATCATCATCTTCCCGAGGCCTCTCATCGGGAGATGCTACCTCAAAGAAGAAGAGAGCTCTTTCATCATCATCGAATGGAAACAAACCAGAAAGGATGTCTGCCATCCAAAAATCAAATTATTACTTGATGGGCGAACGAGAACCAACAAGCGAACAGTTTAAACCATACATGGACCGATTGATTCAGCCTCATGTTACTTCCTATGATAATTTCACGAGTGAAATGTTGTCCAATGTATCCAAATATATGTTTCCACTTCATTTGTTTCCATTGACTGTGGAACAAAATGAAGAAAAAGCTCGATGGAGACAAGAACGAAGAAGAAGACAAAAAGGTGATGCCGAAGACCTTTTAGAGGATGAAGGAGAAGCAGTTTTAACTAAAATTCAGAAAACTGCTCGATTGAATACTCGCAATTCAAAAGATGATGATGGCATTGAGCCCGTAGTAAAACCGGCAAATGATAAAGTAACATTGAGATATATGGCCACCATTGAGTCAATTACACTCTCAAAGCCTATAGTAGGTGATAATTTAATTGACCAAACCGTATTGGCTGATAGACCAACATCGGAAGAAGATGATGAAACCTCAAAGACTATCCATCAGTTGCAAAAAGAAGTCGAACAAGTGAAACGATTTGGACTTCGAAGAGAAATGTATCCAAAGGATGCGCGTATTGCAAGTTTGACCTATGGTGGTAGTATGAAAGTTACGATTCGACTGAAAAACGAAGACACAGGCACTGTTGAATATTTGAAGGACATTGAAATTATGCCAGATTTTCCAGTCATGCTGAACTCATCACTTTGTAATTTGCCTTCTCTGACACCAAAACAAAAGATGTTACAGGGTGAAGAAGAGCATGAACCTGGTGGCTATTTCATCGTGAGAGGAAGCGAAGTCGTTTATCGTTTATTGACTCAACAACGTTCCAATTATCCATTTGCACTTACTAGACCATCATGGACTGGTTATAAAGAAGATTTCACAGATAAGGGTATTTTGGTGAGATGTAGACATCCTAAAACATTTATTACTCGTCTTGTGAACATTCACTACAGAAAGGATGGTGTCGTTTTCATGAGAGCAGGTAACCCTGTGCCATATTATATCAACGTTATTTTAGCCTTGAAAGCTTTGAGAGAAGTATCAGATAGAGATTTGTTCTTATTACTCACTGCTGGTACCAAGAACAAGGTTACTCTGGATCGTGTGGTTGAATTACTGGGAGATTACAGAAAGACATTCCCAATGATTCAAACTAGAGAGGATGCCATTATTGCGTTGGGATCTATTTATGATCCAAGTGGATTACGACGATTGGAGTGTGCTGTCGACAAGACAAAACTGCTCAAAGCAGGTCAAGAAGTTTTGAAAAATATCATTTTGCCAATGTTTTGTGATGAAAGTGAGGATGAAGATGAACTTTTGGGAGATGGAGGAAGTGCAACAGATACTTTGAGAACTGTTCCAACTATTTCTGAATGTCAAAAGAAGTTTGACTTTTTGGTTTATTGCATTCAAAAATTATACAAATTCGTGGATGGTGAAATTGTTGAGGAAAATTTGGACGATTTCGATAATCACGAATTGTTAACTGTTGGAGAATTACTATCCAATACTATTCCCTTAATTATTTACAACAAAATACAAATGGTACACGCTGTTGTGGCAAAGCTTTTACGTAATTCTCCCAGTGAGCTACAATTTGCAGAGCAACGATATTTGACTCTCTTCCGTGAAAGATCAAAGTACATTTTACCAAAATCTTGCACAGCAGATATTACCAGATTATTCAGTGTGGGTGATGTTATGATTGCTAATCCATTCCGTCCAGAGTTATCTCAAACTCGTGCTCTTTTCACCAAGCTTGAAAGAATTAATTTCCTGAGAGTTATTTCACACTTTAGAGCTACTCACAGAGGTATTGCATTCTTGGAATCTAATTCTACACGTATGAGAAGATTGACACCATCATTTTGGGGATTCGTTTGTCCGGTTCACTCTCCTGACGGTCACTTGTGTGGTTTAGTGAATCACTTGTCCCATACAACCGAAATTGTCACCGTACCAGCGAGGCCAAAAGAAATTTCTCAAATTATTGAAACTTGCAAACGTTTGGGCATGATTCCATCCTCAACAGAAAAATGCATTTCAATTTCCATTGAAGAAGAGGCTCCAATTATGTTGGACGGTACCATCATTGGTAAAGTAGCTAACTCTAAATTGCAAACCTTTGCAGATCAATTACGGTATTGCAAAGTTTCAGGAAAATTTGGACTTCCAAAGTATATGGAAATTGCTTGTCAACCCAAGTACACCACCATGGACATTCCTTATTTACCACAGCTTAATATTTTAACGGATATTGCAAGAGCAATGAGACCAGTCAAATATCTTCCAACAAACCAAGAAGAATGGATTGGAAGCGGCGAGCAAGTTTATCTGAGTATTGCCGTGTCTGCAGATGATATCAAACCTCAAACTACACACATGGAACTTGATCCAACCAACTTTATGAGCTTCCTTGGAAACTTGACACCATTTTGTAACTTTAACCAATCTCCACGTTGCATTTATCAATGTCAAATGGCCAAGCAATCGATGGCAGCAGTTTTTCACAGCGTTGACCACCGAGTAGACACCAAACTGTTCGACATGAAATTACCCCAAAAACCATTAACCAGAACGAAACACCAAACTGATTTACCATTTGACGAATTTAATAATGGTTGTAATGCAGTCGTTGCAGTCATTTCCTATACCGGTTATGACATGGAAGACGCCATGATCATGAACAAGACCTCATTTGAGAGAGGTATGATGCATGGTACAGTATTTAAGACTGAAGAGATTGATTTAACAGAGTCTGCATCCTTCCTTACCAACAGAACATTCAACAAGACAGAAATTGACTCTGATTATAATGCTAAGGAATATGACGATTTGGATTATGATGGTCTTCCTGAAATTGGTTTGACTCTCGAAGAAGGCACCGTTTTTGCCAACTATTTCGATCCTCAAAAACAAAAATTCTTCCCAATGAAGTGGAAAGATGTTGACTCTGCAACTGTTCATAGTGTCAAGGTCATTGCTACCGATCCATCCGATTATAAGAAAATCAAACGTGCCTCAGTTACATTCCGACTCAATCGTAACCCAATTATTGGTGACAAATTTTCTTCAAGACACGGACAAAAGGGTGTGCTATCAATTCTCTGGCCTCAAGAAGACATGCCATTCACAGATTCTGGTATTGTACCTGACATTGTCATTAATCCTCACGCTTTCCCTTCACGTATGACCATTGGAATGTTGGTAGAATCCATGTCTTCAAAGGCAGGAGCACTCCATGGTTATTTCCCAGATGCTACACCATTTACTTTCGACGAGCAAAATACAGCTATTGATTACTTTGGAGAGCAATTGAGAAAGGCAGGATACAATTATTATGGAAATGAAGTCATGTATTCTGGTCCACTAGGAATACCTCTTAAGGCTGACATTTATATTGGAATTGTGTATTATCAAAGATTGCGTCACATGGTTTCTGACAAGTATCAATGTCGTGTTGGAGGTCCAACTAATGCACTCACTCATCAACCTGTGAAAGGAAGAAAAAAGGCTGGTGGTGTTCGTATGGGTGAAATGGAAAGAGATGCTCTCGTTGCTTATGGTGCTTCTGCAATTTTGAAAGATCGTTTCTTTGATTGTACCGACTCTTCTACTGCTATTGTTTGTACACAATGCTCCCAAATGAACACTGTGGTCAAGCCTGATCTAGGTATTCCACAAGGTCATGTTCCACACCATCCAGAAAATAATGTCGATCATTTAATTTGTAGCATGTGTAGAACTGGAGAGTATTTGAGAACTATTTACATACCGTACACAACCAAATATTTATATTCTGAACTGTCTGCTATGGGTATCAATATGAAGATCCGTGTAGAGGAAAACTCGAACAGAAACATGTAAAGAAAATTTTTGCTGCTTCTTAATAGAAATTGTCGTCTTGCTCTATTCTCGGAACCATCATATTTTTAAAATAATCCATTTTGAAAAAAATTGTCCTGGTCAGGCTTGAGTTTAAAACATTGTTCGTTCACGATCATCATCTCAATCTTTTGAAATAATTGTATTATAATTTGACATCTTGTACAACAACAAAACCCTGTAAATATTTGATCATCACTCACCAGAAATGAAATTTAGAGTCTCCCTACCGCAATCAGCTCCGATTGTTATTGATCTTCCACAACTTCAATCCGATACAACCACGACATTGGATGATTTGATAAACTCTCTTGTTATGCACGACTCCATTCCCACGTCATTAAAACAATGTGCTCTTTCGTTGAAAGTTGGATTTCCTCCTCAAAAACTAGATCTGATAAAGTATGGATCGTCCTCATTGAAAGATTTAAAAATCGCCAATGGAGAAAAGATTATTATTGAAGAAGATACTGGATCGAGTGGAAAGATCGTGAAGGGAACTATAGTAGGTCCTTACGTTCCTCCATCGACAAATGTTGGTAGGTGTCATTTGAGTTATTGACGTTATAATAATACTTTACATGTTGCAAACTAAACAAATTTAAAAAAGGCTATTTTGTGAGAAGAAAGCAGCCATCTGACAATTCTTGCCTTTTCCACAGTTTATCCTATGTTTTGAATGGCAAGAATAATGGAAAAGTGAAAGAATTACGTGAAATTTGTGCCCACTATGTAGCTGAAAATCCAAAGGTATACACTACTGAATTTTTGGGAATGAGAAATATTGAGTACGCAAACTGGATCTTGCATGAAGGTAATTGTCGCATTGAATTTTAATTTTGGCCTAATCTATTTTCATCTTGTTCTCAAAATTAATCATGCAGATACATGGGGAGGAGCAATCGAAGTATCAATTCTATCGGCATACTACAAAGTGAGAGTCATTGCATTTGACACAACCACATGTAGAGAAGATGTTTATGGCAGCGACCACGATGAGTACACAGCTATGGCGTTAATTATTTACACAGGAGATCACTATGATGCACTGTGCTTGAACCCTCACGGAGAAGAGGGCTCTCCAGACAAAGATATTGTGTTGTTCAATGTCAAGGATGTGAATATTCTTGGAAAAGCAAGAGCGTATGTTCAAGAAGAGCACAAGAAATTCTTGTCCAGAAGAAAATAAATTTTTCTCAACACAAGCGTTTATGGATCTTTCGCTTGATTAATCTCTCGTTCAAGAACTTGCTGAACTTTTCTGCGAATTCGCAGTCAGATTGCGAATTAAAAAAATGTCAACACAACCACTGATCGTGTGTCTCACTGATTTCACCTCAAAATCCACATCAACCGATCATCATGTAACACTTAAATTTCTTAAAGATAAACTACGTACTCGAAGATTGTGTGAATTTTCGATGAATTTTGAATCACCTCCTCCGAATGAACACAATCAATTACTAAATTTACCAAAATCATGCTTTCCTCTCAATGTACGAATTTCCTACTCGTGTCAATGTATTCTCGTTTCCGATCTGTGTGGTGATCGTATTCATGTCTTTGATTATGTGAGTAAGAAACTGAAAACCTCCATTCTCGTTTCTTCTCGACCAAGATATATATGTATTGAAGAGAATTACGATGGGAAAAGAAACGATGCTCTTTTGTATGATTGTAGCAAGGGAACGACTGTGTACAAGTATAATTTGGAAAAGTTACTGGAACATGCCACGAAAAATAAGAATGAAAGAAACGAAAACTGTTTATGGACATCTACACATGCGTTATTGAAAGCTGCCAAAGAACTGGCTACCAATTTTCGAAAAGTTTTCATTTGTAATCATTATGGTAACAGTGTACTAGTATTGAATTCACAAAATGGACAATTTTTGGAAAATATTTCATTGAATGAACAAATTTCAAACCCCATTGGAATTGATTTGACGACTTTTGGAGACGTTATCATAAGTGAAGAAGCGAATCGAATTCAAATTTTGAGACGCGATATTGACAATGGACAATGGATACGAGTGCATGCTTATGGCAGTAAGGGATTTGAATATGGATATCACTTTAACAAACCTTCTGGTCTTGTTTTTGATAAAACATCCAATCGTATTCTCGTATGCGATGCTCTCAACAATCGAATTCTAGTATTTGCTCAGAATGGAACTCTTGAAAAGTCGTTTGGAAGTTTTGGCTCTAAGAGAAATGAATTCTTTTATCCTGAAGGCATGTGTTTGGATACTGTTTTTGGAAAACTCTACGTGTGCGATACGCATAACAAACGAGTACTCATCTTCCAATAAGATTCTTAGGCATGGCCATGAATCATTGAGGTCTCAATGCTCATGAATCGTTGAGGTTGGCTGGGTGCTCGAACTTTTTAAATTTGAAAAAATTGTTAAACACAACATGCCGTTGGTAAAAATTTTGGCAAAGCAATAAACACCCTGATGATTAGCTTGAAGAGAAAACTAACAACGGAAGAAAGCGAAGAGAATGATCATCAACAAGAAATAGTGCTGTTGGATGATGATGAGCAGGTTGATTTGAGTCATTTGGAAGACGATTTACAAACTCAATCATCGTGCTCATCATCACCGTTGAATCATCAGAATCATGATGAGAAGAATCTTGAAAGCTTTCACAATGTACAAGAAGAAGAATATTATTTTGAGCTCGATGAGCCTACTAGTATTCCAAATCATCAAGAGCCGAATACCACCAACATCCACCTGTCTGTACCAACCATTCCCGAAGAATTAAATGTTCAGCAAGAGGAAGAGAACGATATTGATATTGAAGCAATTCAAGAGCTGCTTTCGGAAGAGGAGAACACTCAACAACATCAAGTACCACCGTTCGTTCTTCTAAATAGTGATACATCCACTTTGGAATCATCATCGATAGCTGAATCTTTGGAGAATGACAGTGTCAATGAGCGACGCCATTTCAGCAACAACAACAATCACCAAACTGAATTATTATTTGCTCCATCCAATGAAAGCTTTGACAGCAGCTCGACAATGACATCATCTGCTGAGCAGCTCTCTTCCATTCACACTCATCACCTAGAAATGATGCCCGTTGAGAGTATATTGACAAAGATTTCATCAAATCAAGAACGAGTTTACCGAGCAACACATATTGTACAATTATTGAAAAATCAACTAGGTATCCAAACTGTTCAAGCTCTGCTCTTGGCACAACGGAGATTAATACTTTCTATTAAGGAAATTTCCAATCAAGATTATGAAACGATCATTTGTGCTGCCCAATCATTGGATCCAACATGTACACCATTCGGATTTACTACAGCATCTCAATATCATCATCAAATGGTGTCAAAGAGGTATCATGTGAAAACAGGTTCGAATGACCTTGACGAATTGCTTGGTGGTGGCGTAGAGTCATCAGCAGTCACGGAATTCTTTGGAGAATCAGCTTCAGGAAAAACTCAGCTTTGTCATACTCTAGCGGTCACTGCTCAAATTCCATACCAAGCCGATTCTCAGATGGGAAAGGTTATATATATTGATACAAGCGGGTCTTTTAGACCTGAACGACTAGATTCGATTTCTTCACGCTTTAAACTTGATCCCAACCATATTCTAGATAATATTTCATATTCCCGAGTTTATCATTGTGATCAACAAACTAAGAATGTAAATGAAATGAGAAAACTTCTCAACATGCACCAACAGCAACAACAACAAAATCCATTTCGATTAATTATTATTGATAGTGCTACAGGTTTATTCAGAACTGAATTCAAGAATAAGGATGAAATTTGTGAACGACAAAATAAGCTAGGCCAGTATCTAGAATCTCTAAACAAGCTTTCTGAGGATTTTAATATTCCTATTGTTATCACCAATCAGGTGATGGACGTATTCGAAAAACCATCGCCATTCAACTCTCCTAGTAGCTCACCAAAAGTGAAACCTGTTGGAGGACATGTACTGGCCCACACTGTCACGACACGAGTGCAGTTTTTTAAGGAACCTCAACAAAAGAGAAGAGCCAAAATTTTCAAGTCCAGCAACAGACCCGAGTTGTCTTGCTATTTTGGAATCTATGGAGATGGGATTGATAATTACAGAAATATTTATGATTCCTACTAACCCAATTTACAAGGAACAAGGAATACAAATGACGATGCATCTTTGAAATAATCCTCCAACAAGGACTCACACTCAGGAACTTGCGCGCCAATTGCTGCCCTTGTTCATTTTTAACCAATTTCAACTCCTGCCACAGAGCGCTGAAATTCTCATTTTATCATTTTGTCGAGGCCACAGACACGTGTTTTTATGCGCCCTAAACCCGGAGTGAAATTCCATTCAAAATTCACACGCTCTGGCTTTGGCCATCCCTCAAACAAACAAAAAACAAAACAACTAGATTTCAACAGCATTCAAAATGATGACCAATCTTAACAACAAACTCGTTGCCATTACAGGAGCTTCATCGGGAATTGGTGCAGCCACAGCAATTGCCCTTGCCGCCAAAGGTTACAAACTCTTGCTATTGGCACGTCGTGTCCATATGCTTCAACAATTACTAGAAGACCCATCCAATGCTTTATCTTCTGAAAACACCCTCATTGTTGAATGTGATGTTACCAACGTGGATTCTCTGTCCAATGCCGTTCAATTAGCACATGACAAATTCCACCTTCCTATTGACTGTCTAGTCAACAATGCAGGTGTCATGTTTTTACAACCGTTAGCAGAACAATCTTTACAAAGACAACAACAAATGATCTCGACCAATGTCATGGGAGTTTTGAATGGCATTCATGTCGTGTTGAAAGACATGATTGAAAAACAACATGGAACCATCATTAATATTAGTTCCATCGCTGGAAAGAAGAGCTTTTCCAATCACGTTGCTTATTGTGGTACAAAATTCGCTGTCAGTGGATTAACTGAAGCATTACGAAGTGAAGTCAGTTCTTCAAAAGTGAGAGTCATTGTCATTGAGCCTGGTGTGACTCAAACCGAATTGTTGGGACACAACGACACGGAGCAAGTCGAACCCTATGAAGAATGGAAGAAGACCATGACATTGGGAGTGTTGAAAGCTGAGGATGTGGCAGCAGCAATTTTATTTGCCTATGAAGCACCTCCTCATGTATGTGTGAGAGAGATTGCATTGGCTCCCACTGAACAGAAAGATTAAGGTTCAATGAAGATGGATTTGAAGAACTGTGCTTGGTTGTAATGAGAGCTCAACGAGTAAATCATCAAAGCTCCGTTTAGAAATCTTTTCATGTTTAGGAGATGGTTCGTTTTCAAAAAGTATTTGTTGGAATTGCATTTGAGTCTTGAGTTTGTGGATAAATCTCTCACATTCTAAACCACAATGATATTGGATGTTCTTCCAAAAGGGGAATTGACGGTGATTTTTTTATTTTCATTGTTTTTCTTCAATGTCGAATTTTCATATTCCTCTATAACCAGAGCTAGAAATTGGAATGGTTGTGTGAAATTGATATTCCTTGAAAAACAAAAAAAAACAATCCATGACTGTACCGATAACAAATTCTCCTCTTGAGAAAACACCCTTGCTCGTTGGCGATTCTCCAAACGAACTCAAATTGAGTGTTAACCAATCAGTCAAAGACGACCAGGAATTGGAATTTTCACAACAAGTTACAACAGTTGACAAGAAACGAAATTCGAAATGGAGACAGTGCTGGAAATCTCTTGTGTTGTATCTTCTCACCATCATTATGGTTGTTGCCAAAAGTTGTGATACTGTCTTGTACGTGAGATTGACCTATGAAATTCAAAACTACATGTAAGTCATCTTGCACTGAATGAATTAATTATTATTCATCTTCAACAACGTTTTGACAGTTACATGCTCACAAATTTTGTGAACGTGGCCTATGTCATTATTCTGTTCCCAATTGTGGTCTTTCAAATATGGAGAGGAAAAATTACAAAAGCCATGAGAGAGTAAGTACATGCTTGCTTTTTAAAATTATGAACATAATGTTTCGATTAGAACTCGTCAATACAAATATATTGTCATGGCCTTCCTTGACAATGCCACGAATACCTTGTCAACCATTCCAGCAGCGTTTGTGAGTGGAAGTGTCAACACCATGCTTTCTCAAGCTGTGATTGTCCTTAATATTGCGTTCAGTTTTATCTTTCTTCATGCAAGATATAACTCCTTTCACATGTCAGGTGTCATTTTGGTTGTTTGTGGACTAGTAATTAACATTTATCCTCTCTTCGCACAAGGTGTGTCCATTTCCAATGACGACACTTCCTCCAACATGAACTGGTTATGGGTCTTGTTATTGTTTTCTTCCAACATTCCAGCAGCGGCCAGTAATGTCTATAAGGAAAAGTGTTTAAAACAAGAACAGCTCGATGTTTGGCTTGTCAATTACTGGGTCTCTGTTTGGCAAGTGTTATTTGGAATTTTAACTTCGTTATTTGTCTTTGTTCCAATGCCAGGAACTTCATATACGGATTGGTTTGGAATTCCAGCATATATTTGGGGAGGAATTAAATGCAGTGTTGGAGTGAATACGATTATTGACGGAGCAGTTCCGGATCGATGTGAGGGGTTTCCAGCTGTGTTTTGGATTGACTTATTTTTTAATTTTACCTATGCCACTTTGGAGGTAAGTTAATCGATTGGAAAGAATTCTTAATGTTCTAAAAAAGGAAAATTGTACCAGTTGTATGTGTTCCAATATGGAAGTTCCACTCTTGCCGTCATTTGTTCTTTCTTGTGAATTTGTTGCTGGAGAAGCATTCGAATCTCAACTTTCCTTATTCGACGTCATTTCCTTAATCATTTTAGTTTTAGGAATTGTTGTCTATTCATTGACCAAAGAACAAACCGCACACAAAGACGACAAGTTTAGAAAGGTCCAAGAAACCATGTACGAAAAAATATGTCACTCCCTCAAATCCATGAATCTTTCGCGTTATTTGAAATCAAAATTATTTCAATCTTCCTTACTTCAAAATCATTAAATAATTTCCAAAATTGTTTTTAATATTTACATTTCAAATATTTACATCTCAATTTCTAACTATTTACATTCAAAATCTTGGACATTTCACAATTGTTCCAATGCAATCTTTTTCAAAACTTCAAAATTCGGAGTTCCCCATCCGGTCACCACATCGAATCCTTTCGTTGCAGGAAATCCTGGACAAGGAGCCATTGCATTATTTCCAAAAACGACATCATAAAAAGCATTTAACTGTTGTAAGGCAACCTTCTTATAGAGCCAATAATTTAAAAATCCCAAAGGTTTCATTCCTTGCCTCATTCGAGCATCGTTCAGTAAGGCAATCATACCTGCAACGACTGGAGTACTGGCACTGGTTCCGTCGACACTTTCGAATTTTCCTTGGTGCATGACTTGATAATTGACTCCGAAAGCGGAGATGTCGGGATAAGCTCTTCCGTTCCGATTGAAATATTTTGGGGAGGGAAGATGAGGTTGAGAGAGGTAGGAGGTGACGGCATCGTTTTGATAACTTGGACGAGAATAGGCATTACTGAAACCTCCTCCACTCCATTCCGTAGCTTCTTCTTGGAGTGAATAATTTCTCCAGTAAACCATTCGATTCGATGGTTTGGTTGCTCCGACACTTGTCACATACGGAGAAGAAGTTGGCCATTCTATCATGATGAGTTTATAAATTATCACATTGGTGGTTGTTATTTGTGATTAAGGTTACATCTTAAAATTAACAAATTCATTTACAAACCTGGTTCGAAAGAATTTTGATCCTCACTACATCTGGCTCCGTCGTCTCCACTCGCAATTAACACGGTTCGTCCCGTAACTGCTAATTTTTGAAATTCATAATCCAATGTCATTTGGACATCTTCCGGAATGTATTTTTCAACAGCTCCGTAAGAAATGGAATGTACTTGGGCACATTCTTCTCCTTGAGATTGTAAAAGAGCAATCCAGTCGAGGAAGGGATCTGCAGTTTCTTCGTCGGGAATGGAGTTGATGGTTGTGTTCATGTTGTGACCAGTTGCCATAATCTAGAGTGTGTTAAACAAAACCAAATGGTCAAGTGTTGTTGAAAATTAGTGAACTTACATATTGAATGTCTAAGGAGGCTTCAATTCCTGGCTTGGATGCATCGTTGGGTCCGTTGACAATAGGTTGAATTCTAGAGAGATTAAAAGCTTGTTGGAACATTTCTAAATCTTTGGGAGAATAGTATTCTCCTAAAAAGGAAGCGATCGCTTGTCTATTTTTGGGGAAAGGAATGGCATTGAGGTCATCTCGAGTCATGTTATATCGTTTCCAAATGGATTGAGGTGTGGTTATTGGACTTTCAGATAAATCTTTTGCTTGAAGGAGTGGTCGTCGATGTTTGACCATTCGTCGATATTGAGGAAAATGGTGAATTCCAAAAACAGTATGAATTCCAGGTGCTACTTGAAGTGGAAGTGCAAAACCTTCAATGGAACGGAAGAGGACCTGTCCGTTGTCTTTATGAACAAAAGGTTTCATTTTGGCTTTCAGAAAAGTATCGACAGATTTAACGCTCATTCTCACGGTAACAAAATTCAAATGTTTTGACAAGTGAGTGATGTGTACGTCTGGAATGCTGTTCAAAAATTGGAAGAGTGCTTTCGAATGCGAGTCTTCAGGCGCTGTTATCTTTGCCACTTGAGCCATGGACAAGAAGTTACCATAGTCTTCACTGTCTGGATTGCTGACACGTTCGAAAGTTTTCGTCAGCCATTCCGTGTTTCGATGTTTCAAAGCAAAGGTCAATCGGACACGTTGATTTTCTAACGCAATTCTTGTTTTCAACACGTGAGATTCACTCAGTGGTTGGAAGGATGGGGGAACTCGTAACTGATGAGAGTATTTCATTTGAACGTACGGGGATGATAAAAAACTTTGTGCCATGTCCAATGCATGCATCGGAGATGTGAAAAAGAGTTGCATGCTCAGAAGTAGAAAACAAAGCGTTAACGGAAACAAGCAAAAGGAAAAAAATCGAGAACGAAGCATGAGTTTTTTTAAATATTGAATACCTATCTGTTGCATTTGGTTGAAACAGTTATTTATATCAAACGGAGAAGCAAACTCCGATCCGATCCGGAGAACAATTTACCTTATTTAATTCTTGACATCATTCTAAGATGCAATCAATAACTCTCTAAGGCAGCCACCAATGTCGTCCAAGGTTTGTTTTTTGTTCGTGGTTATCCAATGAACTTGGAACCATTTTCAATTCGTTCTTGTTCATGTTTTACGAACACCAAAAAAAATGTCGAAACAAACTCTACTTGTTCTTCCTCCTGAAATATTGGTTCAAATATTAGAGTACTTACTGGATCGACATATCCGAACGAGCGGGACCATCCTCCTCACTCAAGAACATTCTTTTGGATTTGTTGAATATTGTCCGGAAACGAAATTACATGAACTCGTGAAACAAATGAATATCGTGATGAGTATTCATCCATTATTTTCAATGATCATAAGAAGAACAGCAACTACTCGATCATCCGAATATCAGAATACAGACTCGTCCTTGATTACAGAATATTTCAATGATCTTTGGTGGAGAATTTTTCTGAAGAAGTGTTCCACACTTGAAAAAAGAAATGTCAATGAAATGAAATTGCTACAAGAACAAGTGTTAAAGAAGGGAATGAAAAGATGTTTGAGCTTGTTTTTGAAAGTGAAAAGGTCATTAATGAAAGTAAAAGAAGGGAAAATTGATTTGAATCGTTCAGCAGAATTTAAGATTGTGGTGTTTGGAGCAGGTGGTGTTGGAAAATCAGCACTTGTCATTCAATTTATTATGGGACAATTTATTGGCGAATATGACCCAACTATTGAAGACAGCTATCGAAAACAAATTGAGGTTGATGGAGAAATGGCCTTGTTAGACATTCTAGACACTGCAGGTGCGTTTTGTTATTTAAACAATGTTCGACTGACACGATTATTGTGTTAAGGCCCGGAAGACTATTATGCGTAAGTAATCATGAAGTGAAGACAACATCAAGATGGTGATGACGGACATTATGGATAGATTAAGACGTTCTTATATACGTTGTGCAGACTGTTTTATTTTTGTGTGTGCTGTTGATGACCCACGCACTGTGCATGAGTTTGATTATTTAATTGAAAGCTCAGAAAGAGAAAAAGAGTCATGTGACATTCCTTGCATTTTTGCAATCAACAAAATTGATCTTGTTCGTGAAAATTTAATTGAGGATGTAAGCAACATTGTGACCGAAGATATGGTTGGCAACGTGATCAAAAAGCACAAATTAACCAATTACTCAATTTTTGAATCAAGTGGAAAACGAGCAATTAATTCAACCGCTATATTTGAAGAAATTGTTCGAAGAAAACGAATGGGAGACATTCATTGCACACAATTAATGAGTGAAATTATTGAACATGACGTAAATGTGTTCGAAGCTCGTAATGTTAGAGAAAAGAAAAAGTGTCTGTTCATGTAATGGTAGTGAGTTCATATGTATTGTGAAGCCAACAAGCCATTTTAAACAATTGAACTCTTTTGTACACTTGTTAAAACTTGTTTTTGAATCTCTTGATCCATTTGTAGCAAGTCGTCAATGGCAATAAGTTTGAAATGTTTCACAATATAATTGATACAGAAAGTATTGAGGCTTGTCACTTGATAGTCATAAATCTCATTCAATATGGCACACACATTCTTTGAGTTGATCTGTGCGATTAATACCTCAGTCACTAAATTCTCCATCTCGGTCAACAATAACATATTGCCAGCTTTTAAAATTTCCAACAAGACAGGAACTGTGTAAACTTGTTCAGTGCCATTGTTGGCATTCTCTAATTCCCCTGTGTAAATATATTGAATGACTGCTTGTACAGCATTGTATGAAAGGCCTGACATTTCAATAACCTTGGGATTTTTAGGTGTAAACTCTACTGTCGTTTCATTCCATTCCTTACTCAGAATTTTTCTAAAATATTCCGACCGAACCGCTAGCATGACATCATTGGCTCTAATCACTTGATCCGTGTCAGAAAATTTTAAGAGCACGTTGGAAAATTCATGCATGGTCAACATCTTTTTTAAGTCCTTCTTGAGCAACATGTCACATGTTTGATTGTTGCGGCCGTGTAACGATAAAGAACTTGTCGTGAGTGGTTCATCACTCTTCATGTCCATTTGAATGTCTTCTTGCGACAATGCACGATTGTACATTCTAAAGTTTTTCATCTCAACATTTCCCTGTGTGTAACCTCCTGGTGAACAAAATATGCGAAACTGCTGATTTGGAATTCTCTTAATGACTCCTGAATTTGCAACCTCATCACATTTGCCATCGAGATATAAAATTTGGTACGTGTCATAATATACGACCGCAACATGATACCAAGAATTATATTTATCCAAACTCTCAGTGCTATCAAAACCATCATTATTACTTTTCGTGGTATCCACTCGGCAATGGAGAGTATTTTCATGAGGTGACAACCACATGGCTGGTTGCCGAACATGATCCGAGTTACCATAATGAAATAGGCATCTCCAATTTCCAGTAGAACCACTTAACAATTTCAATCGGAATGTAATGGTCCATTGAAATTTGAGAGGAGAATAACCATCAGTCATGAATGATAAATCTTCATCAAGTTTTGATCGCTTCGGAAGAAGGTAGGGCAAGATTGAGTCTGCAGATGAATTAATTTCTTGAGGATGAACCAACTGTTGGGAGGGAGGAAAGACCAATTGTTGTTGTTGAGCATGGATCGGTTGGGACCCAATAAATTCTTGGCATTCAAGCCTGCTGCTAGCAGCGAGAGGACGGAGGTTATGGGAACTGGACATTTTTCTCTTTTTTTGAAAAGATCATTGTAAGATCTAAAGAATTAATAGTAATTGTAAATTGAACGGGATCCCTGTTTGCGATAATGGAAAGCATCAAATTAAGGAGTTATTATGCAACAATTTTGAGCTCATTAAGCATTTTAAACAGGTCAACAACTCCATTGATTGTGTCCAAATACACCACCAGAAATTGAAGATGATCATGATGTCGTTGTTGAAAACACTTGAAACCATCCTTTCCATATTTTGTTAATACATGTTGCAAGATGATGTTACGAACTTTTCCAAATGGCTACTTTAGTTTTGGGAGGTTCCATCAACTGGATCTTGCTTTTATGAAGAATTCCTATCAAATTTTCGATTGATTCAACACATGAAGATGATTACAACGGCTAAAGGCCATCTCTGGGTAGCCTCGCGTTACAATTAGAAAAATGTTGAAACAAGCATCAAGGAACTCCTTGCGACTGATCCAATCAAAGAGAAGTTATTGTTTACCCTCCTCCTCCGTCCTAAATGCATCAACCACATCATTCCAATGCAATACTAATCCTCTCATCATGACCAGTGCCATCATGACGAATCAAAACACACTCCGATTTAATAGTAACAACGCCAATAAGAAGGAACAACAAGATCCAGCAGAAGACACCCCTAACAAGGATCAATTCAAAGCTCGGGAGAAATTAAAACGGAAATGGATTTATTGGTTGCAGCGCCTGTTGCTTGGCGTCTTGTTGCTGGTAGCTGCAGGTTATGCTGTTTCTGTTTTTTTTGGTTTGGCATTCACCTATGCAGTGGTGGTTGCTGTTTTTGCCGTGCTCGCTGCACTGTTGGCAGCTTTTAATTGAGAAGAATGGAATCTTGATGATGAACAAATCCTCTAGATTTTACACTTTCACTACGCAAGAAAAAAAAACAACCAACGAAATAAACAGATAACAAGAGCGTTCGTCTTCATGATCGAAAGATTTTAATATATTTCCAATCCTGTGGATGTAACTGGAGTATATGACCAAGTACCATCGATAATCAATAAATTGTCTTCTCCGTTTTATGTCGAGAATGGTTCATTCTAATGATCACAACAATAAATGAGACTTTATTCAATATTTGGCGTTAAATGACTTGTGTCCTGTTCCGCTTGGACAGCATTTCCTCCAGGAACTGATCGTTGGAGTTTGTCCCCCAAACACAACAACAAAAGTCACAATTTAAAAGAGCAAAAACGGCGTTTATTAGAGAGTACACGGGCCTTAGTTATGTTCCGTCATTTTGTTATGTTGGACGCAAAGTAGAGATGATGGAAAGTCGCTGGTAGTGACAATAGTGAACGTTAAATAGGAAAAAGAACATTTGCCATTTGTAACACCGACAGATGAAATGCAAAACATTTTCACTACAATCCTCCAAAACAATGTTGTTTTGTTGATGAAATGCTCGTCCCTGGTAGTGACTTGTAAAATCTCGAGGAAATTAAAAGAGTTTAAAAAGAACACAACAGAAAGGAAAGTTTAGAGCAAAAAAAAATGACATTGTTTGATCCCCTCAGTAGGTCATCGGAAGATGGTGATTGTGCACGATTGAAATTGATCAGTAATCTTTGTAATTATTCTCATCATTTGGATGAATTCTATTCCAAGTTACAAAGTAAAATGAGAAATGATCGAAAAAGAGTTCATGGCTTTCCGATGCATCATGAAATGATCTTCACCTTTTCTCCTGATACATCGGATCCTAACATTTACATAAGAAATGATAACACAAACGTTAGTGATCCCACTGATATTCAAATATCGTACAGGTTGAATTTGATTTTAGTCAGTGATTATGAAGGAAGTAAAATTGAAGTATTTGATTTGGAAACGAAAAAGCACAAGAATAGTATATTTCCATTGCCACAAGAAAAGCCTCGCCATTTTTGCATTGAAGAGAATTATGATGGACAAAATAATGAGGCAATCATTTTGTGTTGTAAAGACGATATTCTCAAATATGATTTGAAACAATTTCTTACAATTGGCAAACAAGAAGTTGGAAAAATTTGGGCAAGTTCTAAATGTGACTGGGCTCAAGGACTTGCCATCTCATACTCAACACGACAATTATATGTTTGTGATCATGGACAAAGTAATATTGTGATTCTAAATTTAATATCTGGAGAGTTCGTTTATCAATTCCCAGTGAACGAAGCTTTTGGCTTGGCCTTGACTAATGATGAACAATATTTGGTGGTAACTCAAGTAAATTCATGCAACACTGTGCAAATTTTCAAAAAAGAGTCCTTCAATGCAGTGAATGGTGAAACAGAATGGAAATCCATCAAAACATTGGGAATAGTACAAAACGAGCATGGTTCAAAATTTCACAATCCTTGTGCTGTGATTTTTGATCGATTTTCTCGTAATCTATTAGTTTGCGATAATGGAAATCGTCGAATTCAGGTTTTTTCATTCAATACTTTTGAACCGGTTGGTGTTTTTGGGGATGTTGATAACCAATTTTTTCGATATTTTCCCTACTCTCTGTGTTTAAACGAATTGACTGGAGAATTATTGGTTTGTCAATGCGAAGAGTGCTTTTAAAAGTAAACGAGGAATTTTCACTGGAATTTACTTCACACATCCAGAACTGGAAGCAATAACAGCTTATGCAAAGCCCATGCCAACTGGAAATGTTTGCTGCAGGACATTAATTGGCAATGAATGAAGAATCTTGTAACAACGTTAAAAAGAGCAACTCGAGCTAAAAAAAAAGTTAAAAAATTTGTCCCCACCGAGGATCGAACTCGGGACCTCTCGCGTGTGAGGCGAGCGATCTAACCACTGATCTATGAAGACATTCACGAACAAAACACTTTGGAAGGGATATTGGTTGTTATGATGCAAGTTTGGTGTCTGTTGAGTGCAATTCCGTATAGAGCCTGTATTTTCATTTTGATCGTTCTCAATAATACAATTTAATATCAGATCATTGTCTTTCGGTCGTTTTAATCTTGTTTGATTGGTTTAAACGCCTAACCAACCTCGCTGATTGAATGCAAGGAATCAAGGTTTGATTTCCAAAGACTCCTATCGGTGCTTTTCTAAATTAATCGAAATGAGCTGTCTGAAAGAAACACACCGAGGAGCAAGTACAACTCGTGTCTCCTGAAAACCATTGGTTCTTCAAGGAGTTAACCGGAGTTGTTTTTGTTGAAATTCTAATGCCAACTGTCAACAATATTGTCCAAGCAAAAAAAATAATCATTACTTTGATTCGGCAGTTATTAAACTCTCTCAACATGTCTTCACAACAACCAACCCTTCCATTCGAGCTCTCTACATGGATCTCTCGTGTCAATACTCACTTATCCTTCCTTCGTAGCATTTCCTCTCAATCCGAACTCTATTTCAATGAAGAACGATTACAGATCATGATCCATCTCTACAATTTAATGATGCCACTCGTGTCCAAGTATGGTGCTCCACGTGTATGGCTCCCTGAATGCGTCCAATGGATCATGCATTGTCATTTGCTTCATCCCATTGATTTTATGAAAGATTGTGAAAATTGTTTTGGACATTTAATCTTGTTGAATACTGAAGCACACAAATTGGATGCTACTCAAACCATGCAATGGTTCCAACATGAGTATGGATGCTCCTTTGTACAAGCAGTTCAAAATGCTCTTGTCAATCGAAAGGATGAAGAGTTGAAATTTTCGTTGAAAATGTTCAAACCTTCTCGTGACTTGGTGAAAGCAGCCATGAATCAACAAACTTTCACCACTCAATGTAAGCAAGTGTTTGGTGAGAAGATTGAGAATCCCATTCAAATTTCATTCATGTTGGACAAGTATTACAAATTTATCCTCGCCATCAAGGACATGATGTTGAAAACTGAAGATCCAAATTCCAATGTTTCAGAATTGGAATTCATGTTAGTCCCAACATTGGAAATTGATTTAATGTGGCACACTCATTTGAGATATCCTTTTGATTATTTGACCTTTGTCAAGAATGAAACTGGATACTTGTTAAATCATGAGGATGACATGAGTGACTTGGATGAAGAATTTGAAAAGACAAAAACATTTTGGAAATCCAAATATGGTGAGGATTATGTTCGTCCACTCCACAATGAGAATGCCAAAGGAGATTGTTGCAATGTAGCAAAGGAAAATGAGAAAATTGTAAATGTCTTGCAACCAGAAATGACTCAAAAAGGAGAATGTTGTAATGCAGCTCAACAAAATGTGAATTCACAAGTTTTGGAGCCAACCATGAATCAAAAAGGTGATTGTTGCAATGTTGCACGACAAAATTCTCAACAAGCAATTACTCCCTTGTCTATGAATCAAAAAGGTGAATGTTGCAATGCAGCTCAACAAAATGTCAAACTTGACATTCCATTGACGGGAATGAATCAAAAAGGTGAATGTTGTAATGCTGCACAACAAAATGTGAATGCACCAATCTTGTCCATGGGAATGAATCAAAAAGGAGAATGTTGTAACGTTGCCAAACAAAATACCAAAATCTCGTCCATTACTCCTCTCTCAATGAATCAAAAAGGAGAATGTTGTAACGTTGCTCTGAACAATGTCAATGCTCAAGTTTTAGAACTCTCCATGAATCAAAAAGGAGAATGTTGCAATGTGGCCAAACTCAATTCCAAGGTCACTTCAGTCACTCCTTTAGCAATGAATCAAAAAGGTGAATGTTGCAATGCAGCTCAGAAAAATGTCAAACTTGACATTCCATTGACGGGAATGAATCAAAAAGGTGAATGTTGTAATGCTGCACAACAAAATGTGAATGCACCAATCTTATCTTTGGGAATGAATCAAAAAGGTGAATGCTGTAATGTTGCACGTCAGAATTCTCAACAAGAAATAATTCCCTTGTCTATGAATCAGAAAGGAGAATGTTGCAACGCTTCCAAGCAAAACATGAATGCACCAGTCTTGTCTATGGGAATGAACCAAAAAGGAGAATGTTGCAACGCTGCCAAACAAAATGTCAAACTTGACATTCCATCGATGGGAATGAATCAAAAAGGAGAATGTTGTAATGCAGCGAAGCAAAATGTGAAACTCAATGTGTTGAATCTCTCAATGAATCAAAAAGGAAATTGTTGCAATGCAGCTCAACAAAATCTCAAACTCGACATTCTTCCACTGTCCATGAATCAAAAAGCAGAATGCTGCAACGTTTCATTGCAAAATGAAATGATCAAGACTCTCATTCCATTGGCCATGAATCAAAAAGGAGATTGTTGTAATGTTTCACAACAAAATGTCAAGAGTCAAGTACTTTCAATGGGAATGAATCAAAAAGGAGAATGTTGCAACGCTGCTCAACAAAACGTGAATGCACCAATCTTGTATATGGGAATGAATCAAAAAGGGGATTGTTGCAATGTTGCCAAGAATAATGAGTTGTGTTTGAATGTTCTTGAATTGGGAATGAATCAGAAAGCAGAGTGTTGTAATGTCGCTCTTCAAAATACCAAATTTGAGAATGCATTACTGATTGAGGTTGGAGCCAATCAGGGTCTCTTCCAACAAGCGGTCATGTGTTAATATTTTCTCTTTTCAAAACAAAATTAAATACTGCAATTCTTCAATAATAATAATAACTTGTAAGTTACAGTAATGGCGAAGAATTTCCAAAAAAAATATGAAAACAAAACGCAAAGAGGAAAACACAAAGAAGAGAAAACAGGCACCGAAAAAACAAATATCCCTCCCAAAGAAATTGAAAGTTAAGGATACGGAAGAACGGATCCGTGAAGTATTGGGAGAGGATGCCAAAGAAGAAAATTTTCATTGTGATGATGATGGCATGGTTGATGACGATATTGAAAATCATGACGACATGAATGATGAACGAGAAGATGAAGGTGAAAACAATTCAATTAAATCTGGTATTGAAGATATGAGAAGGTGAGTAGTGCCTTGTGCCGTCAGTCAGAAAATTAATGAACTCGGCGATTGTCTTATAAACCAGCCGAAAATCTAAAAAACTGGATTGGATACAAGGTGAGTCCTTCTGATGCACATAACAACTTCTATTAACTCTAAACGATGAAAACTTAGGGTTTTTCTATTTACCAAAATTTGACTGCTATCTTCCTAGACCTGTATTCCACGAAATTTTGAACTATATTCAACCATTTCCATATTACTTGACTCTTCGAGGAGTTTGTCAACAATGGCTCGATGAGCTCTATCAAAATATATTTCCAAACGTGAAGGAAATGAATCTTGTGAAAAGACACGAGTTCGAAGATAGCATCAATTACAAATATCCGTGGTACAACAAAAATGTAAGTTTTCAAAGAGATGTTTTTGATACATCAGTCTCATGGGCATTACAGGCTAAAAACACTTACAGTTCGTGCATTCGCTATTTAGCTTTGTTGTTCCCCAACGTTGAAGTAATCTCAATGCCGTTGTTTACCAATAGTGGTTGGTACAGCATTCATGAATTGCATGCTCCAAACCAATTTATATATCTATTTCGCAAACTAACAAAATTGTGTTTGTTTAGTACTACGCCATTCGATGAATCACATTATGGGAGACAACTTTTCATAAAATTGGAATTTTTTGACTTTGAGGAAATTATGGACGCTTACCCAGATGTTATCCGAGACATCAACAAGTTATTACGACACAGCAAAGACACAGATATATGCAAGCCCTATACTCTCGACAAATCTTCTGATAGGACAGTTTTTTTTGAAGCCATCAAGCACTTGGTGTTGCAAGAAAAATTTTCATTCGAGCACATGGACTTGTTCAGCATGAAAGGCATTCATTTCTCTAAGGAAATTATTGATTTTTTTGTTGACAATTATAGAAAGCATAGCGAACATGGCTACAAGAAAATGTATCCGTACGAGGAATATTTCAACCCTCACGGAATACTGACGGTGAAGGACGATGTGGCTGATTATATTTTAGAAAAAGAGATGTTCAAAATAGCTTTCTCACATGCAGTCACAAATGATGAAATTGCTTTCACAATAGTTGGAAAAATTTTATGTAATGTCTCATCCTTATCCGTGGCAAAAGCGATCTTTGAGCAAGCAAAATTTCCAGTTATTTTTGAGCAAGAAGTCAATCCCTTGCTCGTTCTTCTCAACAATAATTACTCTCGTGAAGTTCCTGCAATTATTGAGCTATTGTGCTCGTTATATCCACTAGATTTACTAACTCTTGGAGACAGCAATGGAAATATTATTAAGAATGTCGATGGCCAATTTGTTCATGAGTTTAAATTATTGTACAAGTATATCGAAAATAAGGGATCACGTTGCTCAGGAGAGGTGATCAAATGTCTGTACAATCTGGGTTTTAATTTACACTATGTCGACCCAGTAACCAATGATAACTTACTTCACATTTGCCCTATTCCATGTAAGTACAAGCAAAAGAATATCTGAATTTTTCATAACCATATTTGAAATAAGACTTATTTGAAGTTCTTCCAACAGACTTTTTGCTGATGAAGAACAAGGACGGTATGACACCAATTCATACCCTTCTTTCGCAGAATTCGTCAATTGGCACAAAAGATTTGTGTAGGTGTTGCCAAAATAAGGGAATTTCTTTGAACAACATTCATGACCCTAATAACAAAAATCTACTCCATTACTGGGCAGATGTTGGTCTCTCAAGTTTGACTTGTACCGACTTCATTGAAGCCGGGGTTGATCCTAACGCTATTGACAACTCCAAAAAAACTCCATTACACTACTACGTCCATAATGAACACAAAGATTACGACGTTCTTGTACAACTGGGAAATAGAATGAGTTCTAATGCGCTCAATCAGGAAGATGAGAATGGAAAATTGGCGTTCACATATCTTATCGAAGACTTGCTCTTCAAACGCAAACCAGAGACCTACACCTCAAGATTTGTTCCTCTTTCGCAAGAGGTTGAGCAAGCTGTTCAACGATTGATCGAAACCAGTTGTGATGTACAAAAGGTTTTTCAGGCTATTAGCATAAGTATCACCAAGCAAGGTGACCCCGTTCTTAATGGAGCTCTTTCCTTGATATCCTTGATCAATTATCCATTAAGGGGCAACAGTGAGAAGGCTAAGCCTATGTTGATAACCTTGTGTAAAGAATTGGCCAAAATTAGAGATGAGACTCTTGATAAGTTATTAGTGAGAAAATTAGATTTTTCTCACATTGAGTTGGACCAATCATTGAGAAATGTGCCAATTAATGCTCTTTCCATGTTATTGTGTGTTTGGTGTAAATTCCCTCAACCGGTAACGCTACAAAATTGGTTCAAAGGAGAGAATGCAATACTATCCGATAGACTTTTTTCCAACATTTTTGATACCGACAATGGTTTACAATGCGACTTTATATACTATTTTCTTGCAGGTCGCTTTAACTTGACCAAGTTTGATTCTTATGTATCTGGTTTTTATGGCTATCTGAATAGTTGGCAAGGGTTTCAGTATTTTACCACTCAGCTCAAAAATTTGACTTTTGTTATTCCCAATTATGGAGAGTTAAACATTTTTCAATTGTGCTGCAAACTTGATAATTATGCTGCATTTCGTCACTTTGCTAGCCAAAAACCATACAGAGCTCAAGAATTTGTGGATTTAATAGCAGAGAATGGAGATAGCTTTGGTCCATTTATTGATGAATATCCATCAGTAAAATGGAAGCCTGAGCACATCAGTAAGTAATGTCAAGTGCTTTGAATTTGGGAAATTATTATTTTTTCAACATTTAAAATTAATAGTTACAGCATTGAAGAATCATCATTACTCTCTATGTTTCAAGTTAATCAGTACATATGACGAATTACTGACAACAATATCGTTGGAGGAAATTGTAGAAATTATTTGTGGATGTACTTATTCATCCAATGATATTGTAAACTTTGATATGCAGGCTATGAAACTATTGGATAGTGTTAACATAACCGAAGAAGAAAGGTTAAATTTATTTTCCAAGCAAAGAATCATTTACATCAATGACACATATGAAGAGTTGGACAAAAGTACTGATTATTGGCACCGAACGCTTGTAGAAACTCTAAAAACTAATAAGCTAATTTTCGAAGGTCCATCTAGAGTTCAAAAGACAATGTCATTAATGGAGATTTGTTACTTGTTTGGATTGTACTTTGTGGCTGCTTATTTTATCACAAATTCTTCTAACACCAAACAGCGAGGAAAAAAACTGTTCACCAAAACCGACATCAAACAAGAAACAGTATTAGAATGGCTATCAAGGAAGAATACGGTCACCTATCCAGGTTTCACTTTAGCTCATTTAGTGTGTACTTTTAAATGGCCCTCGAACTTGGCACAAACAAACCAAGCTGAAAAAAACAAGGTCTATTTGGCTCAAGATCTCATCCAATATTTGAAGGATGTGAAAAGAATTGATATTCTCAACATCAAAGATGACGACGGAGAAACACCATTATTTATGGCTTATCGAAATCGTTTTATGGAAACGGAATTTTCATCCGTCATTGACACTGAAATTGTTAATAATGATGGAGAAAAAGCGGAAGAGGTTGTACAAAACGAAGAATAAACCTGCGTAATGAACGAAGATGATCTTGACGTCAGTAAAGGGCCGCAATGTTTCTCAGGACGACAACCATATGATACTCTTCTAAAAGCAATTCGTTCAACTAATAATTATCATGACAATGTTGTTGTGGTCTGTCCTCATGCTCAATCCATCCGTCACTCATCATCCTTCTTTCGTTACTTTGGATTCTCCTTTCAAGATACAAATTCAATAGGTTCTTTCCTTTTGCTCAATTCCAACTTTTCCGAAAGGCATTGCTTGGTTAGTATTTTGGAAACAAAAAGACACCAATCTTTCCAAATTGCGATCAATGAAAAGGAGTTCAACAAGGATGACAACCAGATGTAGAGCTCATTCCAAAATTTCCAATAAGGATCCATTCCAAAATGATCAAAAGCTGATGAATGAACTTGGTTTTGTGTAAGTTGTTTGTGATGGGCGATTATGTTGTATGCATTTGTCGTTATCCATTCTGCACCAACATTGTTCTTTCAATGACAAAGAGTTCAGAGTCTATTCATTTCAAACAACATCCAACATGATTTTATTGGAAAGACAAACGTCTTTGACCTCAATAACAATTCCACATGTTTGTTGGTGTTGATACGCCATCTGGCAGGAGGGACATGTAGCAATCTCTCATTGGAGTGTTACATGCAAGCTCAGTACCAGCGTACTGTTGAACAAGATGAAAGCTCGCTCTCAACTCTCAGAATACACGATGCATGTATTACTATAGAGGTGACAGCTGTCTTGAAAACTTAAAGAATGGACCACCAAATGTATCCATCTTCCAAAGCAATTTCATACTTGAATTCTTCTCTCACTTGTCTTTCCTTTCGAAAAGCTTTGGAATGTTGGTCCTCCACAAACATGAATGTTTTAAAGTTACTAATACTACTAATTTCATGTGGTTGAGGAGGAGCTTGTGGTGGAGTCTTTTGAGGAGGATGATACATGGAATGAGCATGCGATATAAAAGGTTGAGAAATCATATACTGTGTGGGTGTGTGGTGCACTCGGCAAGTGTTTGATTGTTTTTGATTGTTTTTTAAATTCAGCTCAACGACGACGACGACGTGAAACGACAATATTTTGCAATCTTGTCTTGACGATGAATGATCTTTTTGAAAACATCTTTATAAAGAGCAGTGCTCGAATATATATCTCTTAAAAAAACAGTGCGGTGCGGGTGAATTGAGGCCTTCTAATTGGAAATGAAGAAATTCCCTGCGCAAAGAGCTCGTTCCGCACGAGGTGTTGCATGTTTCAATGGAATGAACCAAAACGAGTGTGAATGAAAACACAACAAAAAAGATGTTGTGCTCAGCTCCGCTCTTTAAAAGGAAATCTGAAAAGAGTGGGTTACTATTTTCAACTTTCGATTTCAAACACAAGGAGTAATGATTACGATGATGGTTATTTACAAAATCGATGATCATGTATTTGTTTTTTGTGTAGTGACACAGTATTACAATGTAAGACTAGTATTTGAATCATGGTTACAAGTAAATGAAGGAAGAGGCACAGGGATCTCCAAAAGGACATCGTTGTTTTCTTTCCTCATTATGACTTGCTTGTTTGGATGTTGAAGATGATTTTGCAGCTCCCACGTTCATGTCTTCATCTTCATAGAGTGGATGAAATTGTTCCATATTTGGATAGGTGAGAGCTTTGACCCAAAAAGCTCTGTCAAAAGATTTCAATAATTGATATTCACATGGATAATGATTTTGAAATTCATAATCTTGTTGCATTAAATACCAAACAAAACGATCCAAATCTTTGTGAGTTTGAAAAACGAGAGCACCTGCAGGAAGTTCATCTTCTGCTCCTGATCCTTCTCCTCCTTGTGTTTGATCGGATTTGGTTTCTTGAGAGGAGTTGTCAAGAGCTCGTCGCAACGATGGATACAAGTCCACTAATTTGAATTTTTCAATAAATTCTCGAGTCATTTCAAATTGAAGTTTGCTATTTCCTGTTTTCTTTAAACGAGTGATAAAGTTTTTGAGAGCTCCTTCAAAATTCAATTTCACTCCTAAAGCTGCCAAGCAATCATCTACAAAATCTTGACAGTTACCATGCTTGGTTGGATCTCCTCCTGTTTGTTTGTAGATCATGTTGACATTCCATTTGCAAATGACTTTGGCAAGAGTATCAATTACTTCTTCAAGTCTATCCACTGTTGAAATGTAATCAATATCTGCGGTTAATACGGCAGCTTGTGACATGATTTTACGAGGTACGACAATTCCAGAGTCGTTGAACTGTGTGTGAGCAATTTTGGAAAAAAATTATAAAAATGACAGTTGATTGTGTGTGAGATGAAATTGTCATCCAAATGAAATAACATACCTCCAATTTCCATGGTCCAACAATGAGAGCTATCAAAGTATGTGGCAATTTATCCAGTAAATTATGAAAACAAATACATTTCACATTCACGAATGATTTTTTGATGCGTTCCAATCCAATCCAGTAATCATCCATTCACACACACAAATCAGTCACAAAATGATCATTTCACACAAAAATTAACACCTACCTGTATGAAACATTCCCATCTCTGGCAATACATTAAACGAATTCAACACAGGTGACAATAATTGTCGAATGGTTCGATCCGTACTATTTCTCGCCGTCTCTGTCACTAACAATTTAATTCGAATCTTGTCTTTCAATTGTATGGGTGGTTGTTTTGAAATTTCCATATTTATCAAATCTCCTTCTCCTTGACTATTGCTCATGGTCGAATTAAAATTACCAATAATTTTCATATCGTTAGCGGATTGAGTCGATTGTAACAATTGCGAACCTCTTCGAATCAAATCCGAAGAATTTGAATTTAATGTCGAAGATGCATCTTCATTGACTTTGTTCGAAATGTCAGAAATCAATTTGGTGGTTTGAACCCAATCCGTATGTAAATAGGATTCTTTCAATTCTTCGGGATCACTCAATTGTTGAGCGAACATTCGCATTTGTTGAATATTATTTCCAAGTTTTTGTTTAATAATTGGATTGGCAAGAACCTTGTCCAAAACAATGTCTTCGGGTTTTTTTGTATTCGAAGAGGAAGATCGATTGGTTTTGGGTTTTGTAAAATCTTCGTTGGTTGTTTTTGAAATTTGTGATCCCATGATGATGTATGGTTTTGGATTAATAATTGAAATTGGATTTATAATTGGATGATGATAAAATTGGTTGATGAAAAAGTTGATGTGGACTTGGTGCGGATGATGATTTTGAAGTGTGTCAAGTATTTTTTTTGTTTGGTTCTGTAAATAAATTTTGACCAGTGACAGCTTGTTGATGTCTTCAAGAGAGATGAGAAGCTTTGAGAAAATGGTTTGGATTGTTGATATTAGTATTCATTGATGAGTGAAGGCCAAGTAATTCTAGTATACGGAAGATCATTGCAATTACAATTCCAAAAAAAATAAGAATTTTCTGTACCAATAACAACACCGCAGCAAGGCTTCTTTATCATGTCCTCAAGCCTTTGATCATCAAATCACACCGAATAATATTCATCAAATCATGGCGGATTCTTCCATTAAAACATTTCAAGTATTGTACACGAAACAATTGCTCAAGAAACATCCTTCCTACTCGGATGGATTTTTGAAATTTAATCCCGAAACCAAAGCAATTACGTTGTTGGATGAGAAGAATAGTAAATTAGAGAATACTTTTCTTCATTATTGTGAGATTCCAACGATTGAGAGTGGAGTAGAGTTTCAAACAAAGACATTCAAAATTCAAGTAGAGGATGAGATTGGAGGAGGCAAAACCAATTCTAGTAGTGCCAATAATAATAACAACAGTAGCAATTCAACAACAACATCATCCTCACAATCAAAGCCTTCTTCCTTCACCTCAGCAGCCTCTGTTTCAAAATCCAGCACTTCCGATGTAAAAACCACAACATCCAAACCAGCTACAACAACGAGAAGCGTAACTTCTACCCGTAAACCATTCAAGCCTCCCCTGAAGGAAAATTATGAGAGTTGGAATAAGAATTTTGGCAGTGGCTCAAAATCATCCTCTGCTACCTTATCTGACGATGGTGGCAATGATTCCGGTGGTGCTCGGAACACAGTTGCTTTCAGTAGCAATAACAGAAATAATATTAACAGTATTACACAAACAAAGTCAAATATCAAAGCCATCGGGAACGACCATGATGATTTGGATGATTTAGATTTTGGAGAATTTGATGTTCCTGTTCACTCGACAGGAGCTACAAGTCGATTTTTCAAAGGAGGAAATACTTCAAGTTCTGTACATAATAATTCAAAAAACTCATTCAACGTTTCCTCCCGTACTAACCCTTCAAAATCTGTTGTACCTGCCCAAAATAGTGACAACAGCTTTGACGACGATGAAGTGGATGATTTTGATTTAAACGATTTGGAATTACATAACGACTCTTCTAACGTCACACATTCAACGAAAAACTTCTTACTGAACAAACAACAAAATATCAAACAAACGAGATCTAGGTATGAGCCACCACCGCTTGACCCTGAAGAAAAAGAGGAACTGTATGACGACACTATGCTTGATGTTGAAGAGGATGAGAACTTAAGTGTGCCTCAGACTTTGAAAAATTCCCGAACACCACAACCAACAAATATCACAAAACAGAACATTCCCTCGACGAAACAAAATATGTTGAACAACAATACTACCAACTCAAAACCAACGTTAGATCTCGTAATAGATGACGAGGAGTTTGAGGAAGGGTTATTATCAAATTCATCCTCAAAGCACTTTCAAGAGCCAAAGAAAGTAGAAACTACTGCAAGTTCAGGTTTTCAGTCAGCATCTAAAGTGTTGCAGGCATCATCAGGAACGAAACCAAAGGTTGCTCCCAATCTGGATCTTAGCCTTGATAACTTGGACGTAGACTCTGACGAAGATTTAAAGTTAGAAAGTCCACCTTCAAAATCAAGCAATCAATCTGTTTTCAGACCTCCACAGCCAATTAAGCCCACGAATACGAGCCAAAACTCTTTCACTCCTCCTTCTACATTTTCTAAGCAACCACCAAAGGTAAAGAAAATTAATTTTGATGATGACGACGACGAAGAACCTAAAGAATCACACACCACTCCAAGACAATCCCAAAAATTTACTCCTCCTCAACAATTTATAAGGCCATCTCCACCACAATCAACGCCTCCATCCAATGAGAAAAGTCTTACAAGCAAAAAATTCTTAGAAACAACCAAGTCATCTCCCAACAAAAAGTTCAAGCAAACTCAGCTAAACATGGGACAAAAGCCAGCATCATCTCCAGCTTCATCACCCATTGCTACAAGCGATGACATACCCATACTTTCACTCGTCCAGAACGTCAAGAGAACAAAACACGAAATTATTTTCCCAGATGTGGCCATGAATGATTTATTTGAGCAAAGAAACGCCTCACCTAAACGTTTTGTGGAGGTTCCTGACAAATTCAGTAGCGTGGAACATTACAAGACAGTTTTTTTAGATGCGCTTTATGAAGAAATGAATTTGCAAATGCTCAATCTTGCAATGAACTTCTATAAGACGTACAGAAAGATTACACAAACCTCCTCAACCTCTTTTACACCCAAAACCAATAATCCACTATGTCATTGCAAACTTCAGTCGAAGTTGGCGATTGTAAAAAAAGACGGCCCAAATAAGGGAAAGCCATTTTACACATGCGGAAAGCCAAACAAATCAGAACAATGTAAATTCTTTGCGTGGGCAAACAATGTTCATCCAAGTATGGTCACCAACACAAAAAATGGGTTTATTGAAAACAAGACCGGCGAGTATGATAGAATGGCATTCTTTCGAAGAAACACAATTTATTTTTATTTTGGTTGCGAAGTTTTAAAACAAACATTTGGCTCGGCTAGAAAAAAGAATGCTATCACACAATGGTACCTTCATATTGACTCTCACAAGGAAAAAAGTCAATTTTATGCCAAAGATGACATTTGGATTCTTTCTAAAAGCAAAGATTTTCAATACAAGACAGGTAATCTTGTCATTGCAAAAAGCGTTTTCCATGGACCTGACAAAGATGGGAAGATTGAGCTTTCAATTTTGAGTGGAATTCCCGAAAATTTGGAGAATGAAAGCATTTACGCTATTCGAGGTCCTAATTTCACCTCAGAGTTTGAAATGATCGAAAATTTAAATGATCTAGATCCTCTTAAGCTGCCTCTGTTAAGCGACATTCTAGGAACAACCGAAGAAGAGAATTTGAAGATAATGAGGAAGAGACTCAATACCAAATTTAAGCCTCCTGTGGCTTCCTCTTCAAATAGTGACACAAATGAAGAACCTAATATCACAGACACCTCAAATGCAACAACCTTTGAAATTAACATGGATATGGAAGAAATTCAATCCATAGCCAAGTCCTTCATTTCTGAATACAAACTCAATGAAGATCAAGCAAATCTTATTCAGAGGTGTGCTCAGTGGTTTTACAAAGGAGATACCTCATCTCCAATTTGTCTAGGTACGTTCTTTAATAACCGTAATTTCAAACTTACGCGCGTCTATATTTTTAACAGTGCATGGAGTCTATGGGTCAGGAAAAACCACTGCCTTAATGGTACTGATCTTATTTATGTGTAGAGTGTTAGATGAGGCAGACGATCAATCTATTAGAATATTAGTAGCATCTGGAACCAATGTTGCTGTCGACAATATATTAGAGGGTCTTATTACTGAAAATTATAAGAATTTGGTACGAGTTGGAAGTCAAAAGAAAATTGCAAAAGCTGTCCTGCCGTATACGGTCATAACTGAAACTACCTCAGTTAAAGATCAAATTAAATCCTTGAAGGATATGCTAAATAATGAAGCCATGGATCCAGAGGAAGAAGCAGGTGTCAAACAAGCCATTAAGGAACTTCAAAGTGGCGCTCATGAAAATCGAAAGCAATCTGTCAGAGATGCGAGAGTCGTCGGAGTCACATGTGCAGCAACTGGATTCGAAGTGTTAAAAGGTCAAAAATTTTCAATTTTAATTTTGGACGAAAGCTCCCAATGTCTTGAACCTAGTGCCTTATTACCTCTGGCAAGATTTGGGTGTTTGAAATTTGTTGCCGTTGGAGATCCATTGCAGCTTCCTCCAACCCTCACTGGAACCAGAACCGAAAATCCAGAACATTCACTAGAAAAAACCATTTTCATTAGATTATCAAATATTGGACATGAACCGCTTTTGCTTCGAACTCAATACCGTTGTCACCCTCAGATATCAAAAATTACAAACGAGTTATTCTATCAAAACAAATTGATTGATGGAATTACAGAATCAGATAGAGAGCCATTGATTCCTGGAATGCCTCCTGTGATGGTTCTGGATTGTGAAGAAGGTGTGGAAGTTTCTGAAAATACCTCTATCAAGAATGATCTTGAAGCGAAGGTAATTCTTCATTTCATCAAGTTATTGCTTCAGAATGGAATAGCACCTCAAGATATTGGTGTCATTGCTCTCTACAAGCTCCAAGAAAGGTTCCTTTACTCATCTATACACGCTGAAGCAAAAGCAGTGAAAGTCAGCACTGTAGACGCATTTCAAGGAGGTGAGAGAAATATTATACTTGTGAGCACTTCGAGAACAAGTGAATATGGCCTTTCCTTTATTGAACAAAAACAACGTCTTAACGTTGCCTTGTCACGCGCAAGAAATCACTTGGTCATTGTTGGTAAAATGAGCACTCTCATGAAAGGTACTCTATGGAGCAAGGTGATCAACACAGCAAAGACTGTGAAAGGAGCTATTTGGAAGAGTAATGTTGTTTTAGCAAACAATGATTTTGACTTCCTGAGCAAATTTAGAGATTTTTATCATCCAGCCTTTCATCCCAACTCGTCAAGACCAAGAATCATGTTGGACGACGATGACGATTCTTCTATTTTGGACGAAGAACTTTTGCCAAAGAATAAGCATCTTGAAAAGTTTTCAAAAATTACTCATCGAAGAACTTCAGAATCCTCCATCATTACGGATCATGACGAAGAAGAAGAGTACAAATTTGATGATGATGATATTGAGGTTTCTGTTGCAGTACCAGAAGATGAGGAATCAACAAACATTCCTACTAAAAAGCCTCAAGCTGTAGAGGATGAAGAACTTGAATATCATTTTAGTGACGACGAAGAAATTGATTTTAACCAAGCAGATGAAATTATGAATGAAATGGAACAAGAATTCAAAGCCAAGCGAAGTCTCACTGACATGAAAGAGAGTGACAAAAATATTGATGAAACAGCAGAAGAAAATGACACAAAGAAAACGAAAAGGGACAACGACAACGAGGGAAATGAGATCAAGAATTTCACTCCTCTCCCAAATGATTCAGAAACGGACGAGCTTGCAAACCAAGATGAAAAAATGTCAGACATCTCCACTTTTAATGAGCCACTTCAAACCTTGGATGTAAGCAACACACCGCTACTGGTTCAATTTAACAACAATCAGAGAACATTACTGCAAGAAATTCCATCCATCACGCCACAAGAAAGTACCGCATCAAGTAAGGAAGCACCTCAAGCCTCAAATGACTTGGATGATGATTTGGCTTTCCTTGAAGAGCTCGAATAAAAATGATCTTCTTAAAACATGAATGTGGTGTCATTATTTATTAAGAAGCAATGACGCATGGTGGAAATCTCTTCAAAATTATTGAAAAATTGGGATATTAAATTTCATTCTCTGCATTAACAACATCATCAACAATCTCTTCAAGTTTTGCTTTTAGAGAAGCCTTGTCCAAGGCCGTCAAGTAAATCACTCCTCGTAATTTATCATGACTGTCTTTAAGCTTGTACAACCCTTCAACATATTGTTTGGCTGCCTCTTCGTCGTATTGATCGCCTGTATAATCTTTGAATGTGTCCTTTAATCTGACACCTCTCTTGATTTTATCTGTGAACAAGTCAATCTTATTCAAAATTAAATAAACAAGAGAGCTCTCAAAATAGGTCGAGTTGATGTAACTTTCAAATAAATCCAGTGACTCTTTCATTCTATTGGTCACTTCATCTTCGTAACATTTTTGGTCAAACTCTGACAAGCTGCAAATGTACAAAATGGCATCGACGTTCTCGAATTGGTGAATCCACTTTTTTCGTTCCGTTCGTTGACCTCCTACATCAATCATTGTAAAAGGTTTTCCATTAGACATGAATGTTTGTTCCACTATTGTTGTGTGAAAAATTTTGGAGTGAAAAACGATTAGTTCAAGTAAAGAAATTAATAAAAAGAAAAACGTACCCAGTCCTGTCGTTTTGATTCTTGTTCTCAAAAGATCTTCATCGGAGGGTACCCAACCAGGTTTTCCTATTTCATCTAGTTTTTCAAAGTAATAGTTTACACTATCCTCAATTAAATATTCAGATCGATGGTCTGTGAAAACCTTCTTGATACTAGGTGTGATTCAATATAGTTTGTTAAATACAAGTCCATGTTCAAAGATAATGTCACTTGTCAAAATACCCAATAACATACCCTTCGTCATTCCACAAAGCTTTAAAATCGTTTGCCATATTTTGATTCCATAATTTGGCTCCTTGCAGTGGAGCTCGTTGATTCTTTGTCATCTCCGCATAATAATCTCGCTTCTCGACATTTTCTTCTCGCACTGAAATTTGTAACGTTTTTGTGGCGTGACATAGTTGAATCATGTTTCTGATAATATTCTCTAATATATATGGAATGGCTGTCTTTAATTCTTCGTCTGTGAAGCCATTTGTATATATTCTCTTCAGTTGTTTAAATATCGTACCTATAAATGTCAAATGTCATCAAGATATTCCACATGTGTTACAAGAGAGATGATCGAACAGATTTCGATCATCATGACACGATGTTGTTGATCATCACACATGATCATTCATACAAAATACATAACATGAACACATTTTCGAAAACGAAAAACACATTTCAAACCAATAAAAGACGTCATGAATCAACAATCACCACTTCCAACAACAATTATTACTTACTCTTTCCCGAATCTCCTGCTCCCACTAACAACAATCTTCTTCCTTTCTGATGTGCATTCGATCCTGATTTACTTCGAGGTGAAGTTGGAGTTTTTGAACGATTTCCTCCCGAGGAACTATTGTTTGGATTTCTTCCATTGTTGTTATTGTTCTTATTGTTTGAGGATGATGATGAACCTCCATCCGATGAGTCTTTACCTCCGCATATATTACCCATGATGATGATATTGTTGTTATTGATATTTTGTTGTTATTATTTAAATAATGATTGGATGGTATTGATTTTTAAAGATTTTCAATCATAGAAGAATGGAAGAAGGATGATGATCCGAGAGTGGAATGGGTACAACTCTCTCTTGGAGTTCAAAAAGCCTTTGTTTTGAAATTTCCTGATATGAAATTCCGTAGAATGAGAGAGTGTGAGGCTTGTTCTTGTTTTTTGTAAAAGTGTCTGGCTATTCTCTCACCAATAATTACAATTGAACACACTATGAAATCAGAACAAGAGAACTCTGGAATGTCAAAACTTGTGTAGAGATGGAATTAAAACAAGTGACACACGAAATGAGAATTATGTTGATGATGATGGTATAGAAGGAAAAACCTATGGGATGATGAAGGGTTTGAGACTCGTAATACGAGGACACTTGTGCGTGCGGGAAGATTCAGTGATATTTTTTAATCTTTCTGCAAACGACTGTTTTGGAAGAATTTAGAATAAATGTGGCAAGTGACAGGTGGAGTGGGTGTTAAACTTTCAAAATGTAATGTCCTATTGGGATGTGTTAGGATGAACCACTGAGACATGAATTGATATTCCCTATGATCTAGTTCATAATTTGTACAATGTTTTTAATCTCATTTACAATAATGACATGACATCGATCATAAGAAAACTATTTCACATCCAAGACGCCAGTGTTGCATCCCTTATCACCAACTGAACATCCAACACCTGCTTTTTCGAGTTGAAACTCCAAACGAACTTGAGAACCTTTCACGAGAGGGAATGTCCCCTTGTAAGTAATGACTCGACCATCATCAACCATAACTTTAACATTGAGCTGATTGTTGATGTAGGTTCCAGCTTTGAATTTGTTTGAATCCATCCAAGAAGGAAATATATTGCGTATAAAATTGTTTGTATAACGGAATTAAGGAACAAAACCATATGTCTTCTTTGCACTTGCTCCTTCATTCTTGTTGGATCCCGTTACGACTCCCTGATCATCCACTTCAATTTTCATTTCCCATCCCTTAACAGTCGTGTTTGCTGGAACTCCTCGAAAGACAGTATAGGTGGAAGTACCTTCATCTCCTCCAATTTTGATTTTGACCATTCGAGTTGTGTTATTAATGTTTTTGTTTTTTTTTTGTTTTGGTGAATCTACAAGTACTTCAGGCTCACCTAAAACGATCCTCAAAGCAAGTGCTAAGGTCGGAATTGTGAATTTTCATGAGCTTTTCAACTGAATATTAAGGGCAGCAGTGAACTTGCTTATTCAAGATTTATCATCTCTATCAAATTTATTGAACTCTCTCTACAATGATTATTTAGTTTCCAAGATGCCCGTATTGAATCCTTTATCGCCTGTAGAGGTACCACCTCCTCCATTCTCCATAACAAAGTCGAGTTTGACTAGAGTCCCATTTACGAGAGGGAATGTGCCCTTGTAGGTAATGACTCTGCCATCATCAACTGTTACTCGTACATCAAGTTGATTATTGAGATAGGTTCCGGCTATGAATAGCGGTGATGAAATATTGTTAATGATCATTATTATTGTTAATGATCAAGTGGTGAATTATTGTTAATTTTAAGTGGTTAAACCGTTTCATTCAATTTTTGACGATGAATTGTAATACATTCCGAGAATAAGTACATCCGAATATTGAAAACAATTTGATTATTTAATGGGATAATTATGATGAAAGAATTCATAAAGAGCATGACAACTTACAATATGTCTTTTTTGCTTTTGATCCTTCGTTCTTATTGGATCCGCTCACGACCCCGTTATCATCAATATCCACCTTCATTTCCCATCCTTTTACTGCTCTATTGGCAGACTGTCCTTTCAACAGTGTGTAAGTGGAAATGCCATCATCCCCTCCGATTTTGATTTTCACCATTCGTACTATTTTTTTCTTTAACAATTTCTAAATTCGGGCGACACAACCACACAGACATTAATTTCATAACCTTTGTAAGAACTGTTCAATTTTTACCTCAAAAGCTTTCTGTATAGTTTTTTAACCCTTGAAAATAAACTAGTTGTTCGACCCAATATTTTGTTTAGCTTTACCACGGTCTCCTGTACTTCCTTAATGTCAGGACGAGTTTCAATGTCGTTGCTTGTCATTTTTTCCAATAATTTTGATAAGCTTGGAATTAAGTCGTCAGAGTCCGTCAGCAGTTGAATAGTTTTTCCTAACGAATAAATGTCAGACTTGAAGGGGTTGGTGAACTCTGGCGGCGCTTCGTTTCTTGTAAAAACTTTCTTTTCAGTAGCGAAGGAAAAATCTCCCAAAATCAAATGCATGTCTTCATCGTTATCATCTTCCACGAAAATGTTATCGGCATGAATATCTCTATGAATCACTTTGTTGGAGTGAATATCATTGAGAGCTTCCGCCATTTGCTCCAAAACAAGCACAGCAGTTTTGGAGTTCATTTTGATCGAGGAATACTTTGTTTGCAATGTCTGAGGATAGTATGGCATTTCTAAAGCCATAAATTCATCGGCAAAGGTGTAACCGCTTTCCTCGTCGTTTTGTGAAAATTGATGTGAATCAATAATTTTGATCACATGACCCGAGCTGAACGGTTTTGAAGCAATTTTAGTTGCTTCGTATCTGTAATTTAAATCATCCTTTTTAATCACTTTAAACACTCTTGTTTCGTTGTTCTTTAATTTAACTTTAAATACTCCGGCAGCTTTGACTTGAAGGGCTTGCACTGAACTAGAGTCATTAATTCTTTGATGTTTCTGTAAGAATACTTGAAGAAGATGATGACATTTCATTGCTTGACAATGATATCCATTTACAGAAACAACGCAAATACCGAATGATGGAATGTACAATAGCATGAGAATCGTGAGAACGACCACCCAATTCATGAACTGCTTGGTGCAGGACATTTTTTGCGACAAGTCGTCGGTTTTTAATTTTTTGTAATTGTTTAAAAAATATTCCTTGGACATGTCTTGGATATACAGTTTAACATCGTATTTTGGCAGGCCTTTAGAGAATGTGGCAAAAGACATTGAAAAAGATGTGAAAATGTCAGCTCGGAACATCTTTGCAGCAGATCCAAGCATTTGCCATTGTGTTCCTCTTGCCAAAACATTCATGTCAGAAGTGTTCATTATTTTTCGAAGAAACAACGACTCTGATTTGTTCACAACAAGTGTCATGAAAATTGTGTTCAAAGATAACGTTCCCAGTCGTAGTAGTTGTAGAGACCTTCTTATTAGAGAGGCCTCCAATCATGAGCAAGCGTCTGAGAGCAACATCGCCAAATGTTTGAATGTCTTTGAAAAAGACAATTTCTGGTTGATTGAAATGAAATTTTATGGACTCGGATCGTTGCGAGATTTATCATTCAACACCGACCAGAAAAGACCATTGACCACTGAAATGGCGATCACTGTGCTGCATCAAATTACCAAGGCTCTCGACTTCATTCAAATACTTCCATACGACAAACGCGACACCCTTCTTCTCCCTATTGTAGCAGATGGACGCTACATTCATCGAGACATTAAACCTGAAAACATTTTGGTCCAAAAGTATGACAAAGACAATGACGAAATTGAAGTTGTGTTGACAGATTTTGGTCTGTGTCGGTCCCTCAATTCTGTCGAAGAGGACAATGGTGGCACAGACGGGTACAGAGCTCCTGAAAAAAAGATTACAATTCGAAGTGATTTTTTCTCACTTGGAACATCATTACTGGAGATGTGGAATGAAACGAATGATGAACAGGGTCGAAAGTTAAAAGCATTTCTTTCAATTATGACCAAGGAGAATCCAGATGATCGTCCTCAGTCCACAAATGAGATTCTCCAGTTTTGCGAGTTGTTTCAGAACCCTGATCAAACGATTAGAATAGAACAGAAAGAACTCACAGTGACCAGCTATTCAAAACAGAGTACTTCTAACAACTGTGAACAAGTGAATTCCAATAACGGCTCGTTGAAAAGAAAAATCGAGAATTTAAGGGCAACAATGAAAAACAAAGAGGCCAAAAAGAAAAAGAAGTGATATTATTTTAAATACATCGCTGCCTTAGTTTGTGAAGGGTAATAAAGCAGTATTTTTGAGGGAATGAAAACGTTTGGTGGTGTTATTGTAAAAATTCCAAACTTGGTTGTTGAAAGTCATGACCTGTCATTCGCTCAAAAAATTAATTGGTGTGAAACAACAACGACTAACAAACCACAACAATCCTGCTTCATTTCCTATCTCTTCCCTATGACCACCGAGCCACACAAATTAATTGATCCAGCTGTCTTTTCATCATCTTTTTGTCTTTCCGATTATTTTGGCATGATGACAAGTGGCGTGATGAATCAAAAAATCACATCAGAGCAACAACAACCATCAGAAGAAGTCCAACAATCCACAGCATCTACTACAACAACAACAACCGAAACCAATGACGTTCCAGAATTTCATTATCGTGTCGATTGTTTTAATAATTGTTCGGAGACTTGTCGAAACTTTTTGAAACATTTCCAAAATAATTGCCAGTTATTGTCCCTTCACGAAGAGACGAGTACTGAACCGAATCATCAATTATATCATCCAAATATCGATCTTGATTTGAAGGAACATGTTGAAATTTCGAGTCTCATTGAACAATTTATTGTCACAATCGAATCGTCTCCAATAGAAGAAGTTGAAACAACCAGTAACAGTGGCAATTCTCCCAATACAAGTTCTGAATCATCTTCAGCTTCGACAGAAAAGGATTTGAAAATCATTGATCTTGCTACTTTGGATATAAAAGGAAAACTGTCGATTTCAAAAGCAAGTGGTTCGATACAGACCAATCTCAATTCCGATCCCATGAAAGATATGGATTCTAACAAGTTATGGATGCAGCTAGACTCACTCAACGGAATTTCCTTTCACAAATGGATCGAGAAAATTATATTTCCATATTTGAGATTATCAAACATTCCTCCAAAAATTTACAACCACTTGAATGTATGGCATGATTTGATAAGAATTAATCCAGAATTGACACAAGAAATGACTGAAGTATTCTTTGCCTGTTATCCTTCACTGTTTAAACAACTGTCAGAGCATTATCCTTATTCCAACGATCAGAAAAATTGTCACCTGTTACTAGCTGAATATTTAATTGGAATTCTGTGGACGAATTACTTGACTATCCATGAAAAGAAGGAGTTACACATTTTCAATGAGATTGTTATGCAGAGAACTCTTCACTGTCTGAAATATTGGACCCAATACTATTTTGATCGTTTTGATTTTTGGACGAATCAATTTGTGTCAAATTCTCTTCAAGAACTTATGGAGCTATTCCAAAATCTTCAACTGATATCAGAAGAATCATACGAGAAATTGTCACAATTCAGGGTTTGCCTTTCTTCCATTCGAGAATTGTTACAAACTTCACAAGTTCAAAGAGATTTTCCCTTTTCCATGTCTAGATGGAAGGAATATGTAGAAACGAAAAAGGAAGAACTTGGTTTGAATGAAAAAGAGACTCCCAATGAAGAAGAAGGCGAAAGACAGTCTCTAAATGAACAAGCAGATACTGATATCATTCAAGTAGTGGAAGAAGTTGCTGAAAATGGAGAAGAGGAAGACGACGAGGATGAGGATGACATGGATCTCTCTGAAATGTTTCACAATTTGTCATGTTCCATCATGTCTCAATTCGATTTATCACAAATTCACATTCCAGAGCTCTTCAAAGACAAGCTTGATGAGTCCATGTTGAATTCTCTTCTTGAAACGACATTTGACAACATGAATGACACTGACTCGTCACAACTCATTCAACAATTCGTGCTCTCCTTCATGAAAAGAATTTATCCCGAAAGGAGTGAAAGCGGCGAATTGGAAAACATGCCCACTACTGATTTATATTTTGAATTTATTTCGTTATGGTCTCCACTAGAAATTGCCAAACAGTTGACAAATTATGAATTTGTGTATTGTTTCGAGGCATGCAACACCCATGACTTTTTTGCAACCATTTCCAAAAGTTCATCAAACACACATTCGTCACAAAATCCCTATAATTTGAATCACATGATTGAAAGATTTAATTGGCTCTCCTTTTGGATTTGTTACATCATATTGAAACAAAAAGACATGAAAACTCGAGTCAAAACGATGGCATACTTCGTTCAGGTGATGTTCTTTGTCATGTGCTTGCAAAACTATCAAAGTTCAATGAGTATTCTGAGTGCCTTTCACAGCACGTCAATTGTGAAATTAAGCAAAGCTTGGGATCAACTATCAACATTCGAAAATGACGAAGAAGATGTTACATTTAACTTGCCATCATTTCCTTATTATCAATTTTTGAAAGGAGCCAATGAGTTATTTTCTTTTGACAAGAAATTTTTCAATCTCAAATGTCACATCATTTCAGAAATTGAGAAAAAGTTACAATCTAATGAGAGTGAATCCTCCATTTCTTGCATTCCATATATTGGAGCTTTTTTGGGTGAAATTTCAGCCATTGAAACTTATTTCAATGACTTTTTCTCGTTCAATGAAGCAAATATTCCACAACATGGACATAACAAGCCTCATCATCCTCATCATCATCATCAGCATAGCTATTTCAAAACAAACCCCAACACAACCATTCACACTCATCAAATTCCACATCATTACATGTTTAATTATGAAAAGAAAAAGAAAATTACAAAACCAATTAAGGAAATTCAAACATTCCAAAAACTTTCTCGAGTGAGAACAACTACCGATCAATTGAACCAGAGTATTCCACATGCGTTATTTAAACCAATTCCAATTTTGCACGTATTGCTTTCAACGAGCGAATTGATCAAATCGCTTCCAACAGATCCTAAACTTTCTGACACTATCCATGTGAATGGAAGTGTCAATCCATTAATTCGAAGTGACAGCTTGACGAGTATTGGTTTGGACAGTCCTACACTCTCAACAGCATCGAATAGCTCAAACAATGGATCTGGATTTTTCCAAAGTCAATCTGTCATGGCGTTAATGGCTCTCAAGTCCAATGCTCACAGCGATTATATCAAGAAAATATTTAGAGAAATGGCTAAGGAAATTGTGAAGAATGAATAATGAAAAGTCATGAATTGATTCAAGAACGTAAAAAGATTAGCTAATTTTGTGGTATCATTTTGCACATGTCATTTGTCACGGCTATTTGTTTGTACATTTTTGGACTCCAACTCATTTGCTAACATCAAAAAAATGTTACTTGATTTAATTGGTATTGTGACCCTCGTTGTTTGTATTATTTGGTTGATACAGCAAGACGGAGCATCCATCGAAGCAATCATCAACAATATTTCATCATCGACATTTGCTGTCATTGGCAAAACAAAACACTCGAAAAATGTAGTAGATGAAAAATTAGATAACTCCTCATGCGGTCGTCACTCTCGACGTTGTTTATTGCAATGTCATGATGAAACTGCAATTACTGGGAAGGAACTAGTATTTTATGTAGAATTGAATTTTGAACCTTTTTTGGATGGAAATAATGGAATCGTTTCTTGTTCCTCGAGAATGACCACAAATTTTGAAACGGATGAGCATGCAACAACAGAAGCAAAGGAAGAGGAGGTTAATGGCAGTGAAGTGTTTTCGGTTCTAAAAAAGGAAATTATGAACGGTGTCAAAAACGTCATTCAATGTCCTTATTATGACATCAAAATTTCATATTACGACAATGAATGGAAACGTCCATTGGTGGTGGTGAATGACCAGGGTGTTGACAAGATGTTTCGAACCATCCTTAGACATCAGCATTTGCATCATGATTCCAAAACATTTCCATCGTCCTCTCCACACCACTCGGACCTGAACATGTTGCCAAACGATACATCCTATCATGTCTACAACGACATTAACCATCGACCAGTAATTGTTGTAAATATTGTGCCATTACACGACGCTAGGCCATTCCTTAATCTCGGTAAAAGATTGATGGAATATTGTAAATATGAAAAAGCAATTTACAGCTTCACAAAAGCCATTGAACGACAATCTAAGGAAGCTCATCTCTTTAGAGGTGAATGTTATATTGATTCAAAGGAAAAGGAACTCGAAGGAAATATTTTAGAAGATTTCACAGCGTTTATTGACTCATGTCAACATTCTTCATATGGCCAACAATTAGGTTTATTGGTGAGAGGAAGTTTTCATCACGACATGGGAAACTATCATGCCGCCCTCGAAGATTTGAGTCAAGTTGTAAATCATGTCACCTATTCCACATGGGCGCATTTACTTCTTGCACTGGTATTTAAGGATTTGCGACAGCTTGAGAAAGCTTCTCAGGAAATTTCTCGTGTGAATATTCCACTAGATCCTGCTTGTGAATTACCTCGTGCTGGAGAAGAGAATCAACAAGACCCAGTTGGTACTAGCTCAACGATTCAGAATCCAGAAAATCAGGAAACATCTACAACTCCCTTCCATGGCACGAGAAACAATTCACTTCAATGCAGTTATCTGTCACATGACTTGTTTTTATTTCCATCCGTGATAAACAAAATTGTGAGACGAGATGGAGAATTGGGCAATGTCTTTTCCAAGCTCCTGACCAAGAGCAAACAATTTCAACAACACAACGAGGATATGAGCGAAATGCAAGAACTCTTCCCAACAACGAACTTGGAACCAACCATAAATGTACATTAAAACGGAAAAGAGTTCCATCACAAAAAAAAATGAAACTCCCATATGCCCTTATTGCCTTAGTAATGATGATGATCATGATCGCTGCGGGCGTGAAGGCCATCTCCACCGATCAATTAATGGCAGTCATGCCAAAATTGAAAAGAACTAAGGCGGAGGGATATCTTCCATATTTGAATCGGGCCATGAGTGATGGTAGTATTAATACTTGTTGTAGAATGAGTGCGTTTTTGGCTCAACTTGCCCATGAATCGGGAGATTTGGCTTGGTGGACTGAATTTTCTTCCGGTGAGCAATATGAAGGAAGAAAGGTAAGGGGAACATTATTCTCTCATCTTGTTTTTCAATTTGAATGATTATTAATTTTTGGTTCATCAAAGGATTTGGGAAATATTTATCCAGGAGATGGTCCAAAGGTAAGTGTTTTTGGTCTTTGAGAGAAGTAACATCGTTATCACACAATCAACAGTATAAAGGCCGCGGTCCAATTCAAATATGTGGTAGAGCAAATTATAGAGCTGCTGGCCAAGCTATTGGTGTGGATTTGTAAGTGGATACATTTATTTTGATCATAAAACAAGAAGATTTTAACGATTAATATCTATGCTTGAAAATCACAGAGAGAACAATCCAACAAGAGCATCAGACACTGATGTCGGATTTAAAACAGCTGCATGGTTCTGGAATAGTCGTTCCCTTAATAAGTATGCAGACTGCTCTCAAAGTGGCTTTGACACCATCACCAAGAAGATTAACGGAGGCTACAATGGCAAAGAAGATCGTGACAAGAAATTCGCAAATGCCAAGTCTGTTCTTGGATGCTAAGATGTAACACAAATAAACTTCCATCGTTGATCAATTTGGAACTTTGCAACTCCTTGTCTCATCCGTCAAGCCAAAGATAAAAACGCGAAAAAAACTGTCTCACTCCCCTGCTGCCTTTTGGCACATATTTTTCAATGATTGTTGCTCTGTGAAATCCAACATTTAGTTACTGTTTTCGATTTTTGCACGCCCACATTCACACTCGGATATCATTTCTTCAATAATTATCAACATCACTCAGTCCGATTTTTTGAAACCAAACATCTACATCACCACACACACCATCCAACCACCTTTGATTATTACTCTCTGTCTACACTGCCACACCCCATTCGTGTCTTTCCAATGAGTAACAACATTCCTCTCCTCGAACCATCAACAACAGAAGATTCGAACAACATTCAACTCGTAGAATCTGCCTACTACACACAACCCGTTCATGACTTGGAAATTGTCGATGATGCCAAATCGACTCTTCCCGATTCCACACCCACTGCCACGCCCCCAAAACTCACACGACGAGAACAATTAAAAAAATATTGGACCATTTTCAGGAGAGCTACTTTTGGAAATCGAAGATTGAAATCTTACTTGTTGACTGTGTGTAAATTTTTCAGTGTCACGTTTTTACAAGCAAATAATTTATTTGAGTTGGAGAAGGCTACTATTCATCCTGCTTTTGCCAAATCGATTGAAATTATTTCTTATACTTTTATGGCAGTGTTGATCTTGTCATTTACTTTTAGATATGTCAGAGAAGTTTATTGTTCTTGGAAAAAAAGACCGTTGAACATTACTTTGAATTGGGCAGAAGCTTGTATTTTCTTTCTTTACTTTATTTTTTCATGCATGACAGCTGTCACTCATTTGGTTTTTATTGGAAAAAGTGCATACAATGAAACAAATCCTGCAACGCCAACCAAAATCGGCATGGGTGTATTTGGAGTATTAGTGAATTATTACATTATTTTGGAAAAAGCTTGGGCCTATTTGAAAGCTTCAAAATATTCTGCGAGTATGTATTTGGCTAAGGGAACTCTTATTCCAAAAGCCCATCCAAACGAAAAGAAGACCAAGTAGAGTCATGGTTGAAAACTCCTAAAAAACTGTTTTGGTCAAATTCCAAATGTTATAAATTTGATGAATTCTTACTACCTTAGAACCTAAGACAATTAATTCAAACGAAAATTTGAACTCTTTGATTATGGGTGTCACAAAGAAACAATTCTCCTGTCAGTCGATTCAAACAGTGACCATCAGGCAACATGAATTGAGATTCTCCTCGACCTTTGCTCCCGAAACATTTCACTACTGTTCCATCATGTAAATTCATTACTTGCATTCTGCAGTTCATGTGATCGATCACGAGTAATAGATCTGAGCAGCTGTCAAAAGTCATTCCTCGTGGAAATGAAAAACATCCTACTGTGGATCCATGAGTTCCAACAGTACGAATGCATTTCCACACAGGCGCTTCTTTGATGCTCGAGTTGTTGCCAAGTTCATCTGAATTTTCTATCATTCCACTATTTCTGTAAATGTTAATACCACTCGAACTATTGTTACTCACAATCAAATCTCCATTAATGGTATTGAATTCCAAACCCCAAGGACACCCTTCAACGTAAAATGTTTGTAAAATTTGTCCATTCTCAGAGTCAAGAATTTTCACACAACGATCTGCAAAGTCTCCAACAAAGACTTGATTAGGAAATTTTTGCTTGAAAAGTGCAATTCCAGTAACCACTTTAAAATTTGAGCACTTCCATATCATGTCACTCTTTTTGCCATTCTTCAATATTTCATTTAAATTGTATTTCGAAATGGAATTTCCGTGAGAGGCAAAATATAAGGCATCTTCTTGAACTGTCTCAGTGGCTCGTGAATATTCAGTATTTTCGCTATTGAACAACTCCTCAATATATAAATGTCCAGCTTGAACTGTTGAAGAATTTTTAAAATTCATGATTAATTGTTTGGATTCCAAGTCAAAAATTAAAATTCGGTCATTACCATTATCGCTCACGCAAAAACATTGGTGCGTGTAGCTAATTTTCACGTCGAGAGGATAACTGAACGTCAATTGTTTGTTCGAGTGGGCTGCGTACAAAGCACGACTCTTGTGAAATGACATCTTGTCAATTGTGAAAATGTTTTTAAAAGCGAGAGAGAAGGGCTTGTTCCTGGTTTTTCTCAACTTGGTTTTAAGCTTATCCAACAGCAAACCTCTCGAGGACAACTCGTTCATTGAGGTATAAAATTCATCATTTAATGATGCTTCATGAATGTCATTGTCAATCAGTACAAGTGTCACAGCTTGTGCATGAATGTTGAAAAAGAAATGAGGATCTTCATGGCTGGAGAGAGAATTTACAAGCATTGTTAGTTGATTTTCTTTTTTTCGTTCATGTTTTTCTGAAAATCCTTCAGCACCAAATTTTTAGTTCTTGGCGCCATTTTAAATTCCTCTCAAGAGAATTCTTTGGACAGAATCATCTTCTCAATCATGAATTATGGCATCCACTTCAATTTCAACCAAATATTCTTTTCCAATCAATGCACTCACCTCAACCAATGTTGCCACTGGTTTCATGTCTTGGAAAAACTCAAAGTGAGCTTTGGTAATTTCCTCCCATTGAGAAGCATTGATAACAAACATGCGAGTTCTCACCACGTGCTTTCGTTGAGCTCCAACCTTGTTCAAATACCGTTCAATTTTGGAGAGAATGAACGCAGCTTGTTGATAGGGATCATTACAACCCACCACGTTTCCAGTTTCTTCATCGGAGGATACGGTGCCAGCAACAAAGACTTGATTGCCAACACGAACCACTCGACTGTAACCAACGAGGGATTCCCATTTGGATCCAGAGGAAATGTTGATTCGTGCGGTGGTTGGAAGTGAAGACAACTCACTGTTGTTGTTGGATGATGGTGATGAAGAAGGTTTTGTTTGTTCAGACATTTTTGTTCTTTTGGTAAACCAACTAGCCGTTACAAAATGAATTTTAAAAAATTGAAAATTGAAAATTTAAAACGATTTGTTTGTCTACAACGATCATGTTCATTCCTTCAAGGTCGAATCGTGTTCCACAAACGACTTTACTCTCTCCAATCTCTTCAGTGCTTCACGAGCCATATTCGCTTGCGCATGTTCATCATTCGTGTGCATGGATTGCTTGTCCTTCTCAATATAACTCTTAACCTTCTCTAATTGTTGATCCAATGAAAGAGTTGCAACAAGAGAAGAACGTTCCGAATTGGATGATGATGATACTTGTTTTTCATTCTCTCCACACAATACAATGGGAGCCCATTCCGAGCTATTCAACAGACCCTTCTTTCCTGCAAAACCAATCCTTGCCAAGCCTCTTCCTACAAATTGTCGTTGCCCTCCTACAAAACACGTCTGCTCCAAATACATGAAACGATCATCATAGGAAATGACTTGAGATTCAATACGAAGCCACCGAAACATTCCAACATCTCTTCTAAATTGAAAGGAGATTCCCATCAGCAGAGGATTAGCCTTTAAAACACTTTTAGCTCGGGTCCACATTTGAGTCGTAAAGCCATAGCTAATTCTTGCAAATTCTAACGCCGTAAGATATTGAGCATTATTTAAATGTAAATTCCAATCCACATCCAAAGGTGTTACTAAATAGTGAGTAATGTGTTTCGAGGTGGGAATAATGCTATGATAGACATCGGGAGCGTGATGGTGTTGTGAATGTTGTTGTTGCGAAATATCATGATCGTCATCTTTCTTTTTCCTGCTTGATGTAGGAAAGTGTTCTTGCTTCAACAAATCATCTCGAGTTAGGAGCAAGTGTTGTTTGGATTTGAAGAGAAAAACCACGATGAGAAGCCACACAAAACGAATCCAGTCAAACATTTCTTTTGGTTTTTTTAATTGTGTTTTGGATTTCGAGTTCTTTTGTGGTAAATTTCAACAATTTGAAATTGTTGGTTTGAAGACTTTTTTGGTCCACATGGGAAAGATGGATCTTGACATACCTTCACTTGTATCATCACCCAGTCTCTCAACATGTTATAATTATTCAGTGAATAAGAGCTATCTGACTTTCAATCACAATGACTTGTACCTTTACAATTTTCCAAATTCTATAATAGCCGTCTCCATTTGTAATAACGTTTACCAAAGATTGTACATTTTGAAATGATATTCAAGTGCATCTCACCTCGAGAGATCTGTATGAAAATGTGACAAATAACCATACCAAGATGAGAGATTTCTACACTAAAATTCATGTCAAACTGTCACAATTACTTGCAACGTCGGAACAACCCTTAAACTTGTGAGCTACACGGGCGTGTGGTAGACAATGGACGGTACATTATCTCTTCTTAATTGAAAAAAGAACCTCAACAACACATCACCAACACCTTACATCAACGCTTGTCAAGAAATTTCATCAAGGCGATTTGCAAAGATTTCAACAACAACAACAGATTCACGACAACAATCAATCCGCGGTTCAAACTCTTCTGAAATCTGCACAGGGGCGTTCGGCTTTTTCCTTCAACAATTTAATGATTACGACAACCTCTACTTCTTCAACAAGTAGTAAAATACGACAAACGAATACTAATAATAATAACAAATCTTCCTCACCTCCAAACAAACGAAGACGAAAACGAGGAATTTCAAATACAAAATTGTTGGAACAGGCTTCAAGCGGAGGTCAAAAACAATTTCAAAAGCAGCCTTCCTACATTAGAGGAAAACAACCAACGACACCATCAAAAAGTATTTCAAGTCATCCATCTAAAAACATCAACAATAACACGACAACAACACCTGTTGCAGATACATCTTGTATCATCCACCAAACAAGCATTCAAGCATCAAACAAGCATCATCCAACTTCTCTTGAACAACAAGATTCAAAAGTACTTCCGCCCCAATTGAAACTACTAAGAGATCATACAGGATCTTTGGTGTGTTCAAAACAATCATCAACACTTCAGCCAAGATCTCGAGTCATCATCCAATACAGACCCGAAATGCCCAATAAGAAGAGAGGTTCTTTAATATTGACTTGCTCAAGTGGAGGTGAAGAGGAAACGAACAACAGTCATCATATTCAAGGAATTGAACACTGCACTGGGACAGCAAAGAAGGAAGGTTTTGAGACAAAAGCAATTGTCCATCCATCTGATAACATTGTTGAGAAGTGTCACCATTGTGATGATTTGTGCTCGTCCAATGAAAACAACAACAACAACACTAGCCACTCGTTGATGCCACAACCTTCAAGCATCTCTTCTCCTGTATCTGAAGCCACAACACCCGAGGATGTTGTTGTGAGTTTGAATACTTGTGGCCTTAATACGACTAAGGCTACTTCTAACAATCATCCATCGACAACTAGAAGTCGCTCCAATTCCAAGACGATGTCATTGAGTATCAAGATTGATGATACTAACATATCTTCTGTTGTCATGATTAACTCCAAAACCACGAATGATCCTTCGATTGTGGTCACTCCTCCAATGCCTTCAACACCAAAGCATGATTCCGAGTCACAACATGCCTCATCGACATCATTCAGCACCAACAAACCCTCCACAGGTATTCTTTCACGACTACTTGCTGTGAGAAAGAATACAATCTTAATCAATTCAAACTCAGAAAGTCCAACTCATGAACCTCCTACTCGTTCATCATCGAGATTTAGAAAATGGAAGAAACATGCACGTTCTCAAAGCATGTCTCACTCTTCATCCAATGCTGCCTCAAGTAATGCATCCACAAGTGTGAGTAGTACATGTGGTAATTCATCCTCAACTGTGAGCAGTTTCTCCAGTAGCAAAAGTGTAGGAAATAGTTCGAGCCGAGAATACTTCTCATCTTCAAGGACATGCTCAGAATTTGATTCTCATGGACATTCATCGTCATGCTTGACCAATAGTCAGCATAGCGACTCTCCTCAACATCACACCAAATGCCAAGATCTTCCCTCTTCGTCAAACCAATCTAAAAAAAGCATTTCTCAAAGAAGAAGCAAAATACACCAGCAAAAAATGACAGAAGTCCAAGCCAGCTGTCACCCTTCAAATTCTCATCATGCAATGTTTCAAGCCGCTCCAAGCAGAGAAACAACAGCAACTGTGTTTGTTGAGGGTGATGATGGCTTGGATGGCGGTGTGATACCATCAACAACTACAACATCGCCGAGAAGTACTACAACTTCCAGTACCACACAACAAACCGCAAGAAACTACAAAAACGTTTTTTTGAATATGGTAGATGATCATATTACTTTGTTTTTGAAAAAGAATTCTTTCAGAAACAGCCACAACAGCTCTTCAATAATGATTGATGCCTCTCAAACATCATCTCGGAAGTTAACATTGGCTGATTGTCCTCCTGAAATTTTGCTTTACATTGCAAGTTTTGTTTTAACCACGATCAATTGTTGTGATTATCCAACGGAAAAAGCTTCATCACCTGTTGGAATTATTGTTGGTTCGGCATTCAATTTTTCAACATCTAGTTTATCACCTTCTGGATTCATGTATGATTCAAGTAGCAACATGTCATCAAGAAGCGGCAGACATTCGTCAACTTTGAAAAGGTTCGAATATTATCCTAAATATACCATGTTTCCGAAAGAGTTGACACGAGATTATTTCAGCTTGATGTTAACCTGTAAAGCGTTTTATTATGCACTCAACTTTGATCCAGATATTAAGAATGAAATGAAAAATGGATTGATTGAAGGATTTTGGGAGTATATTCTTTTTTGGCATTATGTCTATCCAAATTTTGCATCAATTGACAAGATGGATGATTTCATGACAGACGTAAGGTTAAGAAAACCACCAGAACTTTCCTACAAGAGAATTTATCAATATGTGAACATGCAAGTACAACAAATCAAGGTACAAATTCCTAAAAAGAAAAACTCATTTGACCCTACCAATTACTTTTATCTGTTAGTAGCGGGTGTGAACAGTCTTGTCATCCAAACAATTAGAGCTTTATTCTATGAAAGTAAGTGAGAATTTTTTAACACAAAGAATTAATAATTTGTTTCTGAGCATTTGTTGTTAGAATGATGCACATGTCACAAAATAGGCAAATCTGATTTCGAATGTAAAAGCATTCGATTCGATGGAGAAGAATACAAAGTGCGGATTGAATCTTGCAGTTTTATGGATTACTCTCTTGCTCCAAACTGTGCTGAATATAAATTCAGAGGAACAGATGGTATTCTATTTGTTTGTTACATGTCAAGTCGAAAATCACTTGATGCCATGATCAAGTATATTGAGAAATGCATTGACTTTCGAAAAAAAGATGATGCCCGAACGACAATGGACCCACCAGCAGCCATCATTATGGGCAACATTACTAACAACACGACCATTCAAGAACTCACAATTGATGATCTCATAGAAGTGAAGAATACTTACTCCTATTTCATCAGAGACGTAGTGATTGTGAATACAGATACCCTTGAAAACATTCAAACCTCATTTGAGAAGGTAGCAACCATGATGTACAGAACTAAAATGAAGAGCTATGTAAATACCATTCCAATTATTGAGGAAACCCTTAGAAAAGATGAGGAGACACTAACTTTAGATATAAGGAAAGGAAAACGACGACACACTCAACAGCGATGCTCCGTCATGTAGTAGGTCTTTTTACTCTCTGTGACATTTGCTACCTTTTCTAACTGACGATACATGAATCAAAGTTTTCACCAACATTTCACACGATACAACAACCTTGAAATCAACCTGCTGTACTTTAGAAAACATGTTCTTCCTCTAGATTCTCTTAAACAAACAATATGATGAATGTTTTTGTATTTCACACAACAACAAGTAAAATTCAAGGAACAAGATTTCATGAACACCTGAAGTGGATGATGAACCTTTTCTCAAACATCAAAAAAATGTACAACAACAAACCAACACTTGGCTATCCAACTCAACCACAGCAACAAGGAACCTATCCGGGATCAACATCCACACAACAGGGAATGATGAATAACAGTTTTTATGGAACCATTCCACAACAAACCATGATGTACAACAATCCAAGTATGAACAATTCCTCCTACATGATGATGAGTAATAATCCATCCACAATGAACAATAACGTCATGTACAATAATTATGGTACAACTACTACCAATAACAACATGATGATGGTGAATAATGCCCAACCATTCAACACTGCCGGATCTATGAATAATAATAATTTTATGAACAATAATTTCAACAACATTCCAACACCGAATAACATGATGGTGATGGGCAACAACCCATCATCAACCAATGTTGGTGGTGTTACTAACAACATCACTAGTTCTTCAAATGTTGGAATGACGACAACAACGACATTGCCTCCACTTCCTGTGAATCTCAAAAAACCTCGAGTTCATATCATTCCTTCACTCACGCCAAATGAAAAGCCTTTATCCATCAAGACTCTTGCTGAGCTCTCGCTACCCAGATGGATCATTCCATATCAATTGAAAATGAGCTCCAAATATTCGAGTACTGGGAATACCATTGCTTGTTTGAGTGAAGAAGGAGAAACAGCTGGTCTTGCAGGAGTTTGTACGAATTCGGAAGAACAACCATTTGTACAGATCATGTTCAAGGAGAAGGTTAGAGTTTCCCGAATGATTATTAGCCCATGTATTGCTTCTTCATGGGGAAGTCAATATTTAGAAGGGTGTGTGGTGGAGTATGAAACAGATAATGGTCAATGGAATCAATTGGCAACTGTGACATTCCAAAACGGATTGAAAACTTTAGATCTATCTTGGAGTAATGTTATTTCTGCAAGTACATTTAGAGTTAGGAAAAATGGAACAGGTTATATTGGTATTGGTGTGTGGAGATTATTTGGTATTTGTCAATATGACGAAGAGGAGCCAATTGAGGAACAAGTGAGTGATGAAATTGATTCTGCAAGAACGATGGATTTACTGTGCCTTCCTTATAATTTGAAAATGAGTTCCAAATATTCTTCGTGTGACAACTCGACGGCAGCATTGTGGGATGAAAGTAACTTGGGTACAGGTGCTGGTACATGCTCTGAAAATAATGCATATATTGAAGCTGCATTTAAGGGACCTCAATATTTCACTCATATCAGATTGAAACCACTTGTAGCTTCTGGTTGGGGAAGCTCCTACACGAGCAACACGTTATTGGAGTTCTCAGAAAACGGACTTGAATGGAGAACATGTATGAGCCTAGTTGACATTACTGAAAATCAACCAATTATTACTCTTCGCAGTCCTGTTTTGGCTTCAAATTGGCGAATTAGAAGAGAAGCTGCTGGTTATGTTGGAGTTGGTCTTTTGAAATTCTATACATTCAAACCATATTACAATCCTTATTCACAACCTGCCCAGCAGCCCAATCCTCTCAAATATACTCTAACTATGAGCAGCAAGTACGTACAATGCCAAAATACTTTTGAAATTCTTCAAGAAGAAACAAAAACCGGTGGTGCTGGAACAGATAAAGACACAGACGCTTGGATTCAAGCTAATTTGGATGATATTTACAACATTTATGCTCTCAAGATTCGACCAATTCAATTACCAGAGTGGGGCATAAAATATTTGCAAACAGCGACAGTGGACTGTTCTGTGGACGGATCAACCTGGGTCAATGTGAAAACTTTACCTCAAGTGGAACCAGCTGTTAATGTTGTATCCATTTCAAGAGTTCCTGCAAAATATATTAGAATTTCTATGAAGCACGATCAAGGTACATTCGTTGGTTTGGGAACTTTTAAGGTTTATGGCTACAAGTAATCAATAACAGATTACTATGATTTGTTAAACTAATTTGAAATCCATTATAAGATCTCACTCAGAATCAACAAGATTTTGACAGATTGGCTTGTAATTTGTTTTCTCTCCATTAACGTACAGAAAATCAGTAGCCTTTGTAAATTCCAAATTTTTCCAATTCCATGGAAATGAGATATAAAACAATATCCTTTTTGATAGATCGATTTTGGTAAGGGAATAGAATTTGTAATACACTTACCATTTACCCCAACCATTTCCATGGAGAACTGCTGGATAATTACTGTGAGGCACAAACTCTAACCAGAAGTCAGCATGTGTTGCCTTCGCCTCTTCTTCATGCACTGGTGGGTTATAGCTACCTCGAACCAGTATCTCATGTGTCTGTACCTCCAGCAGTGACAAAAACAAATCACCCTTGTAATCCAAAGTGAGATAATCTCGTGCTTGAGTCAACCAAACATATGCAGTCATTCCTTGATCATCAAATAAATCATCCTTGATATCTTGAGGCAATGCAAGAATTTTCTTATACAAGTCCAATAATGCTGATTGACGACCTATAAAACCACCAGAGTTTAGGTATTTAAATCTCGTTGGAGATGATGGGTATTCTTTTTGACAAAAAGAGTTACCTCCCCATCGTTTTATAGCACTCTCAACCACTCCAAATGGATGACAATTCATTTCTGCGTTGAAAACAATTGAATAATTGGAAAAGTGATTTACAAATTTTGAAATAATAGCTTCTGCATGTTGCAATACAACAACATCATACGCATCCAAGAACATCAAAATGGCATTTGGATTTTTGACTTTTTCTAAGGCTTCGAAAATGATATCAATTTTTTGTGAGAGAGTGAACTTCTCCATTCCATATCCTAAAATATTGAAATTGATTCCATTTCTCAAAGCAGAATACAATAATTTGCAAGCATTTTCATTGAGTTTTGTTGCAATGGTGATGGGATAAAATTCTTCTCCAAGAACATTCATTGGAACCATTTCCGTAAACGATTTGAAGCTAGTTGGTAGAAATGGTAGTTGGGAAACCTCTTCAAACGGTTCCTGCTGTCCGTCATTAATTTCATTCTCTTCCGAAACACTGGATATTGATCTGAGCTTGAAGATGAACACCAACAAACACACGTTTGCCAAAACGAACATGACGACCACGAACTTGAGAAGCCTAAAAGGAGAGAATTGAGGCATTTTTTTAATTGTCCCGACTGATCTCCCGCGCATTAAGGTCACAAACGATCTCATCATCTCAATCAGGAGAACGATAACGAGCAAGTTGAAATCTTTTTGAGGGTTATTCGAAAGACATAATAAGGAGCAAGTCCAGTTGCGAAGCTTCGCCTCGCACAAAACACTGAAGATTGCTCTTTTAAGCCGTTTTTAAAGAGCAATGATGAAGATTGCTCTTTTAAGCCGTTTTTTTCCTTAATTTTCTCTTTTCCAGATCGGCATTCATTAACAAGTGTTGTGGTTTTGGCCATCTCAAAATCAATTCCCACCACCCCATTCAATTTCATTAAGGAAGACCGATCTCAAAACTCCGTTCCGAGTTAATTGAGCACAGTATCTCCCTCCAACACATTTTTTGCAAAGTTTGAATTCAAGTATTTCCAGATTCACAACGGGTAGCTCACGGAATTTGGCAAAAACCCCAAAAAGTTGGTGTGACGGCATCTGTGGCACCCCTGTGCGAAGAAGACTTGCTCGTCTTATTTGTATTAAGGATGGTATCAAAAGAGCGAGCGAACTCAGTTGATGACCTCTCACAGTACTAACACAGTTTGATAACAAAGATTTTTTCGCGAATAACACAAAAAAAATGAGCACGTCACAACACACAAACATTCTCTGTCTCTCATTACTCTTTGTTGTGACATTCTGCTTGGTCTCCGCTCGGTCATCACCATTATTTTCAAAACTAACAATAACAACAACGTCGGATACTCATCATGACACTGATGTAACTTCCTCCTCACGACTACCAACTTTGAGAACTTCTCGGCCGAAGGACTCAATTTCCAGTACTGACATCCTCGCTACTTCTGCAGCAGTAAATACGAATGGCATTATTCCGACGTATTTACGCATCTCAACCATAGCAGGATATGACGCCACAGCGAATGGTCTCTCTGCTACTGAATCACAATTATTGACGCCTGTAGGAATTAGTTGTGCCACTGCTCCTTCTTCTTCTCGAGAAAATTGCGTCATGGTCGACCAAGGTCTAAGTCTAATTCGAAAAATTCAAGTTGTGGAAAATTCTTCTTCTGGAGTTCAACAAAGAGTCATGAATACTCTCGTTGGAGTGCTGGGAACACAATCGTATAATGGTGAGGGTTTAGACGGACCAAATACTTTCTTGAATAATCCCAGTGGAGTTTTTGTCACCCCATGGGGAGATGTTTATTTTACAGAGACACAATCGAACGTGGTACGAAGATGGTCTTCTTCCTATGGAAAGGTGTATGCCGTAGCAGGAAGAGTTTATAATGGTAAAACAATGTTTTATGGCGATGGAGGACCTGCACTTTTGGCAGCATGTAAGTTTACTTTATGATTATTTGAATTGTTTTTGAAATTATGGTTGAATGTACAATTATTGCTTTTTTTATATAATTTCTTATGCAATATTGAAAATGGTGTTACTTGCCAATGTTGAAGTGGCTTCTCCTCGTGGAGTCTTTGTCAGTCCACATACTTTGGAAATTTACATTGCGGATACATTTAATAATAGAATTCGAAAAGTATTTACAAATGGAACTATTGTCTCCATTGCTGGTTCTGGTGGCAATGGACCGTTCGATGACCACACTCAACCATTCGATCAAATGTTGGCTATTGATTCAAAATTATATTTTCCAACACATGTGGAAACTCGAAAAAACCATTTGGGGGAGGAGGAAGTGTACATTGCAGATTCCAATAATGCATGTATTCGAAAAATTTTGAGCAATGGAACACTTGTCACAATTGTTGGAGTTTTGGGACAAAAAGGATTTAATGGAGATGGTATTCCTGCAACGACCGCTTTATTGAACAATCCCTCAGACTTTTCATTTACTTCAACTGGAGAAATGATTATTAACGATAGCGACAATGGTCGAGTTCGAAAAGTCTCGAAGGATGGAATTATTTCGACCATTGCTATTGCAAGTGTTTCAGGTTTCGAAAAATGTAAATTTTCTGATGAAGAAGCAATTGCCAAGAATGCCACTAATTTTTTTGGAAGCATTAGTTTTGTTCATGTCGCCCCCAATGATGACATTCTAGTTTCAGATGTCAAATGTAAAAGAATTCGAAGAATATCAGGTGTCACTGGAAAAGCTTCAGCCTATGCTGGCACAGGTACATACGGATACAATGGCGATAATATTGCCGCAACAAGAGCTGTACTGTCAGCACCAACCAAAATGGCGATCCTACCAACGACTGGCGAATTAATTTTCACAGATTCATCTTTTGAACGAGTTCGAAAAATTACTAAAGATGGCCTCATACAAACCATTGTAGGAAGTGGACTAAATGGAAAAGCAACAGATGGAACGAACGCACTTCAAGCTCCATTAGCCCATCCAAAAGGATTGGTTGTCAATACTACTGGTGAATTGATAGTTACAGATACAAATAATCATTCAATTCGAAAAATTACCTCCTCTGGGACAATATTAAGAATTGTAGGGCTAGACACAGAGGGTTATAATTACGACTATGTCAACCCTTTACTTGCTGTGGATGCTCAAATTTCAACTCCTCGAGGACTAAGTATTTCTCCCCAAGGAGAGCTCTACTTTACCGCTTCTAATTATATTGCAAAAATTACTGTGGATGGTTATTTTAAAATGGTTGCTGGTACATCGTTCGCTGGATATGAAGGAGATTTCAGTTCTATTGATTATGCTCGCTTCAATCAACCTAATAACATTTTCATTTCCAAGCAAAATGAAATATTTGTGGCCGACAGTTTAAATCATGTCATTCGAATGATTGCGCCAAATGGAACAACGTACACCATATGTGGAACAGGTACGGCAGGATATAATGGAGAGAATATTTCACCTCCTCGACGTGCTCAACTCAATTATCCAACTGGAATTTATTTGAGTGAACAAAATGAACTGTTCATAGCCGATACGAATAACCATCGCATTCGAAAAGTTTCTAGAGACGGAGTTGTAACAACAGTTGCTGGAAACGGAGTTCAAGGAGGTACCGACATTGGAGATGAATCTATTCGTAATGCTAAAGATTTTAAATTGAACAATCCCACTGGAATATTGGTGGTCAATAATACTTTGTTTATTGCTGACAAGGGAAGCAATAGAATTAGAATAGTTGAAAATGCTTGCGAAGAAGGATATGTGATGAACATTGAACAATCCACATGTACTCCAACTTGCTTTGGAATTGTTGCTTCAGATCCATCTGTTTGCTCAGGAAATGGAGTTTGTAAAGGAGTGAATGTTTGCGAGTGTAAAGCAGCATACAGTGGAGACAAATGTGACCAAACCTTCTTGGTCTATTTCATTCCAATTAGTATTTCATTGCTTGTATTATGTGTCATAACGTCACTTGTCGTTATGACTATTGCTTGGTGCAATTTTAAAAGATGGAAACGAATGAAATTTAAGGAAAGTGAGCTTGAGCAAAAACTATTGGATCTTAATGAATATTCAAGTGGTATTGAGAAAACTTCTTTCATACCATTTGATGAATTGGAAATTATCAGTCGAGTCGGAAGTGGAGCTTTTGGAAATGTTTTCAAAGCCAAATGGAAACAGGCCATTGTAGCCGTGAAATCCATCGACGTTTCTTCCGAGGATATTGAAGAAGATGATTTTGCAAAAGAAGCCATGCTATTAAGCACATTGAAGCATCCCAATATCGTGTCGTTTTTTGGAATTTCTCTTTCTGAAACAAAACGACTGCTTGTTGTTGAATATTTGGACGGAGGTAGCTTGGAAGCTTTAATTTCAGAATTGAGAACAGGAAAACGCAAGTGCACGGTTTTACAGAAAATCAAATACCTGATCGATATTGCGAATGGAATTTTATATTTACACACTCTTTCTCCAAATGCAATCATACACAGAGATTTGAAACCAGCAAATATTCTGTTAAGTAGTAGTGGAGTTTGTAAAGTGTGCGATTTTGGACAGAGTAGAATGTTTTCAAAAGAAACAAAGAATGCCATGACAAGTCATATTGGAACATTCTTTTACATGGCCAATGTAAGTAATTTACAACTACGTTTCATGACAGATTGGTGATACTGGCACCTTTAATTATTTTAATAGGAAATGCTCTCAGCAGATAATAACATTGACTCAAGATTTGCCACTGCCATAGATGTGTACAGCTTCTCCATTGTCATGTGGGAATTATTATTCGAAGAGCCGCCTTATCTTTCTCGAAATTTCGAAAAACTTTTCTTTGAGGAAAATTTTGAATCATCTATTTATTCAAAACTAACAAGTTATAACATTTTGATTGAAGTAGTGAAGGGACTTCGACCACCAATTCCATTTTCAACTCAGGAGAGTTGCTTGAGGTGGTGTGAAATATTCCTTCAACAACAACACTCACTGTCAGTTGTCAACCTTTCAAATGTGGTATGGAAGTTGACTACACTAATTCAACAATGCTGGTCAAGCAACCCACAAGAAAGACCTTCATTTTCTGATATTGTTAACACTCTTTCTCAACTGAAACATGAGTTGGAACCATAAAGTTTACTAAATCGAACTTGTCATCCCTGAAAACTGTTGTTATCTTTTCTCACTTGACCCACAACAAAAAAATGTCTCAACTCAAATCGAGGACACAAACATCATCACGAAAAACGCTCATCATTATTGTGGTCTTGTTCTTCTTTGCGAACGGTGGTTTATTTTTATTTGTCATCAATCGGCGGTCTTCGGCTTCGAATCTCTCCTCTGATAATGAGATCCAAGATGATTTACCAATGATTAGTGACTCGGATCTGCATGATAACTTTCCTTCGGACGATACCATCACCTTCCTGAAAAACCAATTCGTTTCATTGGAGAAAGAAAATAATGAAAAGGATAACAAGGACAAATCAACTATGGAACAAACTTCCGAGTCGGAGACAAGGTCAATCACACCGACCAACTCAAACACTGCTTCAACTCGAATGGTTCCAATGAATGTTCTTGGAGAAGAATTTTACCCAATCACCATTGCAACAAAACTCAATGAAAATGCTTGCAAATTATTGTATTCTGCTTTGAGAAATGGAATCAATTTCAATATTTTAGGATATGGAATGGAGAAGTTCACTCTCTCACAAAAAATTGACATTACTTTTGAAGAAATTGAAAAAGTGAACAATCCAAATGCCATTTTGATGTTCTTGGATGCGTATGATGTTGTTGTATTGCAACATGCAGAAGCTATTATTTCAAAATTTTTGAAAAAGTTTCCAGGTTACTCAGCGGTCTATAATGCAGAAATGAATTGTCATCCATTTGGTGTGGTTGAGAGTGCAAAGAAACGATGGGGAGGAGATCCGTATTGTTTGAGTCAATACCCACCATCTCCCAATAGATTTCGATATTTGAACAGTGGAGCTTTTATAGGTCGTCAATCTGCATTATTGGATCTGTACAAGAAAATTCTTGCATTGCCTCAAGATATCAAGGATGATTTATTTGATGATCAAGGAATGACTGCATATGTTTGGTTGACTCAAGCACGAGATTATCTCACTTTGGATTACAAGGGTGATTTGTTTTTATCACTTTTGGAAGTGCAAGCTCATGAATTTCGAGTTCATAAACAGAATAATCCACCTGAACGAAACGAAGACGTCACAGCAACACATGCTGACTTTTGGTTGGAATTTAACACTCATCACAACTATCCAGCAACTCTTCATGGAAATGGATGGGGTAAATGGACCTTATTTTCTGTGGAAGCAACATTGCCGTGGAATTGGAAGTCTTTGGATTTTACCAAAGCCAGTGATTTTGTTTGGATTAACGGAGAGAAGACAAGCTTCAACTCTATTTGTTCCAAATATTAAACGAGTATTGGATTCTCTTTACCATGAGCTTGTGAATATCTCTTCTTTGACAAAGATTTTATTGAGAATCGATTGCTCTTGTCATTTGCCAATTTGTAGCTGTGGAATAAGAAGGATTTTTCAGAATGCAAGGAAAGTGACTTTAAATCGTTGTTTTGGGCGACACGATATCCATTAATGTCGACATGCCACAACCGGTAACATGATTTCAGTCACTTGGTGGTGACATCAAGACTGTGTTAATTCCATGAGAAGTGTTTGGTCCAATACTCCTGCAAAAACCCACGGTGTTGCACTACCGAAACCTTCTCTCTCACATCATTCCTGTCTCATACAGATGGCGCTCACCTTTGACCGACGACCAAGAGACTATGCGAAAAAAAAGCACCAATATGAGACACCAACCATTCTTCCTAGATACCACCACTCCTTGTTGGTTACTAGTTGCATTCTTCGTGTTCTTCGTGGTCACCATGATGCCTCCAAGTAGTGTCTCGTCCGCTCCTCTCAAATACCAGTTATCAACCATTGCTGGAGTGTTTTCACCGGGGTCCTCAGCAGATGGACCTGTAGCAACCACACAAATCAATAGACCCTTCTTTGTGGTTGAGGCTCCTAATGGTGACCTCTTTTTGAGTGAACGTTTCAAAATTCGAAGAATTAGTGGAGGGAATATCACTACAGTAGCAGGCATTGGCTCGAAAGGATATTCTGGAGATTCAGGTCCTGCCACTTCTGCAGCTATCAACAATCCTGGAGGAATGGCTTTCGTCCCTGCCACCAATGAATTGCTCTTCTCTGATACTGGAAATAATGTATTACGATTGATTGACGCTAGTGGATTAATTTCAACAGTTGGAGGTATTGGTAGTGGAGGATTTAATGGAGATGGTTTATCTTTGAAAAGTACACAATTATGGAATCCAGAAAAACTCATCTTTCGAAATAATACATTGTATTTTGTGGACAAACTAAATCATCGTATCAGAAAAGTATCATTTGATTCCAAAGTCGAGCTTGTGAGAACTATTGCAGGTAATGGAAACAGCACCATGTCCAATAACGAAGAAGGAATCGCGGCTACATTGGCAAGTCTTGACAATCCTTATGAAATGGAATTTGACAAAGCATCTGATGACATGTTTATTGCAGATTATGGTCACAACTTGATTCGAAAGGTTTCCAGCTCAGGAATGATTTGGACTGTGGCTGGAGGTGGTGCCAAATATCAAAATAATGTATTGGCTACACAAACAACTCTTAATTACCCTCAAAGCGTGGTTGTCTCTCCAACAGGCGATATTTTCATTTCTGATTTGAATACGATTCGAAAGATTTCAAAGAATGGAATTATCACAACTATTTGTGGTCAACCAGGAGTTACTGGTCTATCTCAAGACACCATCGATGCAGCCAATGCACAGCTCAACTCTCCACAATCGCTGTTTATCAACAAGAATGGAGAAGTTGTGTTTTCCGATTATTACAATAATCTGGTTAGAAAGTTAACGCCTTATTGTTCGGAGGGAACGGTCATGTCCTCTGATGGCACTTTTTGTTTAGAGTACTGTTATAGAAAACTTCAGAACATGACCAATGTTTGTAGCGGAAACGGATTTTGTGTGTCAACAAATTCTTGTGCATGTTTAACTGGATTTTACGGAAACGAGTGTCAATTCTTTACTTGTTTTGGTAAGAACGCAAGTGATGTCAATGTTTGTAGCAAACACGGCTCATGCTCTGGCCTAGATAACTGTACCTGTGAGGAAGGATGGATGGGTAGCGATTGTTCAATTCCTGTTTGTGTTCCAATTATGAACGCCAATCAAACCGTGGAGTGCTCCAAGAAGGTCATTTCTGGAAGTTCCATGTTATTAGAGCACATTGGGCAGGTTCAAAATTTAGATTCGAAGAATATTTCTCTCTCTCTTGAAGGATCTATATTCTCCAAAGTGCAAGTGATCTTTCCTCCTTCCATTTCCAAAGAATTGAGTCCTTACCTTAATGGAACGATATTGTCATTAGTCACCTCCGTCTATGAACAGAAAAACACAACACAAACTGCTTTAAAAAGCCCTCTTATTTCGATTACCATTTTAAATTCTACTTCAGGAGATGAAGTTTCGATACAACAATTACAAAAAGGAATATCATTGAAAATTCCAATGCAAAATTATCTTGATTTTTCAAATCAAAATTTGACATGCATGTATTTTGACGTGGCAGATCAGTCGTGGAAGAAAGATGGAGTCACCACAATTCGAGATGAGGTTACCATGGAATTCATATGCATAACTAATCACTTAACCTCGTTTGGAGTGGTGGATATCAATGGGTTTGGATAGGTGCCCAGCTTGACTTGTAATCTTAATTTTTCGACATGCTTAATCATTGGATTTTTAATTTTTATGAAATCGTCGGGGATGGAGGTATATCTATGTGTTGATATGACTTTCATCCATTAATTATGGGTAATTATTGAACTGTTCTCGCTTAAAGTAGACCTCTCGTGCATGGTCGGGTTTTTCGTCATCTTTGATGTTGAGCTTGATCCAAGCATTTCATTCGATAGGATTTGAAGAGTAGTACAATCGTGCTAGCGACATCAATGAATAGTGAGCTAAGTTGGTTGAGTCGTTCAACAAATGGTGACAGGTGTCAAATTTTTGATAGAATTTAAGCGACACCTTTTTTGTAGATCTCACGAAAATAATGGGGGTCATGATAGAGCATTCGATCAGGTTTAGGGTAGTTTTCGAGAAAATCAAGTTTAAAGGAGTTTCAGTGAGGTCAAAAATGACATGAAAATTTTTCAAAAAAAAATTAAAAAAAAATGAAGCCAAAACTCCCTGCATTTTTGAGGTGATCATCATCAACATCGGGTTGGGTTTGGGTTTGGATTCCTCTCAGTAGGATTTTTAAAAAGATTCAATATAACAATATATAACTTGTTTTTAATATCAATTAGTCCCACGCAGAGAGGAAGGAGATATTAAGCGAAAGATTTCTTGTTGTTATAGTGGATATTGAGATAACCCCTATTTTTGTACTAAAAAATCAGGTCCTGTGGTGGTTGACCATCCTCAAAAATTATCGTTGAATGATCAAAACTTGAATATTTCCATCAATTAAGATATAAGGAAGTAAGGCGCTGCTGTTTCGTTCGAGTTGAATGTGAAAATAGTTAAATATTTTGTGCGTCCAAGTAGGTGATATGTTACTCTTGAAGTTGGTCATAATTTAAAAATGGACGAGCAAAAGTCGGTATTCCCTCGAAATTGGATACCGTTAACGTTGATTGAAGAGTCGTTTCGTGATATGTTGGCCTTGAACAGCTTCCATGGTTGATCTCTAAAGTATTGTTGCTGTGAACCACTCTCAAATCAATCATAATTCAATGATGCTGTTTTCATTCAGGATGAAACATTGAATTATCGTTGTTGAGTCCTATCCCGAAACATGGTTATGGAATCTTTATGAGAATGTGTCTATTGAAATTGAGTTTTTATTGGTAGTTGTGAGTGGTGAGTTGCTACTATTCTACATAATCATGGTAAAATGTTTACCACATGAGATGAACATTATTGAATTGATTTAATTGAGAAAGGGAGGTGTGTTCTTGTTTTTTGGTGTTTGGTTTCATTCAATGAAAAGGCATGTAGTGATCATATTGAGATTGGTTCAAAATATTGCCTTGAATTCGACAACGGTTCATCAAGGGTGGTGATTTATTCACTAAATGTCATGAGTACAAACCAGGAATTGAACAGACTCACCAATGGATCATACTTGATTGAAATTTGAACAGCTCCTTTTTCATGTATTGATTATTGAGTGACTCCGATTGTTTGGTAGTTGTTGTTATTGTTGAACATTGAGTGCCCTCATCTTAGTGGTATGATTAGCCGGTGGATTTGTCCTGTGATTTTGCGAGTCCAAGTAGGTGATGTTAACTCTTGGAGTTTGTTATAATTTTTAAATGGACGAGCAAAAATTCGTTAATACATTCCCTCCAAAACGATTACGGATGAACCATTCACAAACAACAGCAAGTATGGTTCAGTGTAAAACTGTTCAGCAAGTAAGTGATGGAATCATGATCGATACAATTTCACAATTTGAACTTGTATTCGTCCTGGTCTGCAACTATTTTGGATCTTCCATCGAATGAATTCAATGTTTAATGATACATTCATCAGTATGTCATGAGATTCTAACTCTGATAGATGTACTTTATCACTGAGTGTTTATTCTTGTGTCATCTGTATCGAGTTGGTGGAGCGCTCTCATCTGTTGTATGATTCATTGCAAGAAGTGACCTTGTTATATTTTGCATTTGTTTGCTGTGATTCATTGTTGAAAACAAATGTTCAATATGACGATTTTCATGATTTGTGCATGTACTCTATGGATTATGTTCAAGGTGTGTTCATGTTTGTGGTCGTCATCTCATTTAGTGAATTTCGTTCAACAAGTGATCATGTCGATAGTTGATGGATTGTATCATTTTGAATAAATCATGATGAACTACATTGATAGTGATCATCTTTATGTGTGTTTCAAATGTGTTGTTTGATTCATTTGACTAATCTCTACAGACTGTACTGACCATAACATTTGGCGGATGAAACATAAGATGAAAAGTGTGTGGTAGATTTCATGTTTTCCAAATTCTAATATTCATTGGAGTACATGTTGACCATGATGATGACATGATATGGGATTGATTTCGGGGATCCATCTTTTATGCTCATTGTGAATTTTGCAATAACATGTTAAATAGTTGATGGAGTTGTGCACCACAGAGATGACATGAATTTTGATTATTCTATCATCATCATGAAGTGATCATGGTATATTATATATTATATCAATTTGAAGTGTTGTTCGTTGTTGTGTGCATGATGTGATATGAATGTTTGAAAAAAATGTGACATGTTCTTTGTATGTTGTGATGATGTTGACCACTCCTTATGAAAGTGATACTACATCTTTACAATAGCTAGTACAACATATCTATGAAGTTATATTGAATGTCTATTGATACTTGTGGAGATAATTGATAAATGTTGACTTTGAATGTTTTTAATTTGGTCTTGGTCTTGGACATTTCTGATTGGGTTTATTGGGTTTATTGGGTTTATTGGGTTTATTGGGTTTATTGGGTTTATTGGGTTTATTGGGTTTATTGGGTTTTGGGTTTGGGTTTGGGTTTGGGTTTGGGTTTGGGTTTGGGTTTGGGTTTGGGTTTGGGTTTGGGTTTGGGTTTGGGTTTGGTTGGGTTTGGGTTTGGGTTTGGGTTTGGGTTTGGGTTTGGGTTTGGGTTTGGGTTTGGGTTTGGGTTTGGGTTTGGGTTTGGGTTTGGGTTTGGTTTGGGTTTGGGTTTGGGTTTGGGTTTGGGTTTGGGTTTGGGTTTGGGTTTGGGTTTGGGTTTGGTTTGGGTTTGGGTTTGGTTTGGGTTTGGTTTGGGTTTGGGTTTGGGTTTGGGTTTGGGTTTGGGTTTGGGTTTGGGTTTGGGTTTGGGTTTGGGTTTGGGTTTGGGTTTGGGTTTGGGTTTGGGTTTGGGTTTGGGTTTGGGTTTGGGTTTGGGTTTGGGTTTGGGTTTGGTTGGGTTTGGGTTTGGGTTTGGGTTTGGGTTTGGGTTTGGGTTTGGGTTTGGGTTTGGGTTTGGGTTTGGGTTTGGGTTTGGGTTTGGGTTGGGTTTGGGTTTGGGTTTT